GAGGATTTCAAGACTCTGTGGAATATTGTCCAGTATACCATGAAGACGGAGGAAAGCCTTCAGCCGGAGGCAGGCGAAAACATGGTCTTTGAGAGCACGCTGAAGATGTTCCACTACATGGATCCCGGTTCGCAGAAAGCTTTCCCTGCGGAGCCCGTGGAGCGGTGTCGCCTTCGTCTGTTCGAGCGTTCGGTGACGGTGACCGAAGGCACCGGCCAGCGAAGCATTCACCAGGGCCACCGACTAACCGTGCTGACCAGCCCCAAGATCAAAACGCTTAGCAACATCCGGCATCTCCTCGGTCACAAAGAACCGATCGTGTTTGGCCTGCTCCGTGGCGAAGACGGAGCCCCTGCCCTTCTAGTCAAGGTGAAGGAGGATGGCAGGACCCGGTCGATGCTGATGACCTTCCAAGATGACGAGGAGCGTAGTGCCATCCATTCCATCCTTCTTGGAACGCTTCCTGGGGAAGCCGAAACGAAGACGCCGGATATCCCGATCCGTGCCTATTCCATCGAACAGCCTGCCGACCGATTTACCGGCAAGCCCGCTAAGACCCACCTTCAATTCCCGGCGGGCAGCGTGTCGGTGATTGATCAGGAGCATCGGATGGTTGATCATGGATATGGTCCCACGATTCTGTCGGAACATCTGCGAGCTTTTGTAGCTACGGAATGGGGATCTGCTACCGATCGTATCAACCTCGGTAGGTCTCGTTCTTTTCCATTCTTCTATTTTGTTTTTGGTTTATTACAGACCGGCTAATATTTTACAGCCCCCGGCGAGCTGAAACTTGGACTTGACATCAACAACCGAACCGGCCTCAGCCTTTTCCGCCCTGGGCAGCAGGATCTGACCCTTTCCCTTGCGGACAACCTCACATCCCCCGACATGCCCGACTCGTTAGCCACCTTCATGCAACTCGCCACGACCAAGCCAACAGTCCGGCGGTTCGACTTTGCGACAGTGAAAGGTAGACATAATCCGCGGCGATTTATAGCATCGGCAACTAATGCAGTGACTAGATCTTCATGCCTTCCAAGAGGCAGTGACTGGCTTTAGGGTGTTATTTGACAGGTGAGAATGGATTTCCTTGACTGGATGACCTCCGACTAAGTGAAACAGTGTGGCGTCTTCCTTTACGATATCCCGCCGCCGCATGGTGGTTCCCATTACGAAGAAGTGGGAGGCCAACATGGCTCGAATCCAGATTGTGCAGCAGGAGAAGGTCGTCCAGCTGCTGGCCTACCTGAACGACTTCCCCTACGGCAAGTGTATGAATTTCGTCCTCAAGTCAACCGACATGCTAGAGAACTTCGGTCGCGCGGGCAAATTCGGCGTCAAGATCGTCGATGCCAAATTCGCGCTGCCGAAGAACGATAATGACCCTGCATCCGATTACCTGTGCCTGGACATGCCGGAGTATCCGATGGAGCATGATGATATCTCGATTGCCTTTGATTCTGAAGCCGGTATGTTTCCTGGGCCTTGATAGCTATGGGCCGTCATACTGACAAGACAGACCGAACCAACTTCCAGACGGCCGCTCCAGGATCCGTTCGTGAAGCGTCACGAATGAGTTCACTCCGCCGGTAGCCTTCGAGCAGAGGATGCCACACACAGTCTTATCACGTAATTGAGTCATTGACGGCCGACCCACTGTCACGTGGGGTCCCTTCCCCACTCCCCATTCCAGTGTCCTTCATCCTTTTCTCTCCACCTTTCCTTCTCCTCACTTTCTTCTCCTGCTCAAATTCACCCCTCTCTTCTCGTATTCGCAATGGCTCCCCTCGATGGAAATGTTGGCGCTTCCACGCGCTCTCTTCACGCCGATGATCCTTTGAACCTGATCACCGATGTGGCCCCTCCCCTCCACCTTTCCACCACATTTCGCTACCCCAACAATCCCGATGATCTTGTGCCGGCCAAGGATCTCAGCGGGGTAAGCACTGGTCGATCTGGTTGCAATTCATAGTGCTAAATGATGCGGTCGTTAGTATGATCAAGACAAGACGAAGCACATCTATTCTCGAGCCACCGCGCCGAACTACACGCGGTTCGAAATGATCCTCTCGTCCTTGCTGAATGGTGATGTGGTCAGTTACTCATCGGGACTGTCTGCGTTGCATGCAGCCCTGACTTTGCTGAACCCCCGTCGTATCTCGATTGGCAATGGCTACCATGGATGCCACGGAGTGATTGCGCTGTTCAGCCGGATAACCGGGCTTCAGAAGTTGGATTTGGACTGTCCCGCGGAGGAATTGCACGCTGGCGACGTTATTCTTCTCGAGACGCCCGTCAACCCCCAAGGAACGGCGTTCAATATCGAAGAGTACGCGAAGAAGGCCCATTCCCGTGGTGCCCACCTTATCGTGGACAGCACCTTTGCCCCGCCGGGTCTCCAGGATCCTTTCCTGTGGGGTGCTGACCTTGTGATGCATTCCGGGACGAAGTACTTCGGTGGACATAGTGACATGCTGTGCGGTGTCCTGGCTACGAAGCGCCAGGACTGGGCGCGGCAGCTGTCCGCAGACCGGGTGTTCCTGGGCAGCGTGCTAGGCAACATGGAAGGCTGGCTCGGCGTGCGCAGCCTTCGAACCCTCGAGATTCGCGTGCAGCGGCAGAGCCAGAACGCCACGAATCTCGTCACCTGGCTCGACACGGCTTTGCGGACACCGAACCCGGCCGCCGGCAGCGATGAGGCCGCGACGCAGAGCGCCCTGCAGGGAGTCTACCACGCCAGCCTGCAGAAAGACGACGCTTCGTGGCTGCTAAAACAGATGCCCAACGGCTTCGGACCGGTGTTCTCCATTATGACCAAGGAAGAGGATGTCGCGCGCAAGCTGCCCAGCAAGTTGGCTTTCTTCCAGCACGCCACGAGCCTGGGCGGCGTCGAGACCCTGATCGAGTGGCGCACCATGTCGGATGCGACGGTGGATACGCGACTGCTGCGCATCAGCGTCGGGTTGGAGAATTGGGAGGATCTGCGGGCGGACTTGGTGCAGGCTTTCCGGGCGTTGGCCTCTGGGGATCGTACATAATTTGATTTTGTTGATATGATATGATATGGTATGATATGATTAGATTTTGATTTGTTTGTAGAGTTGTTGATATCATAGCTAGATGCTAAGAATTGTTGATTTTGAATTGTGAATTGATTGAATGGTGATGTATGTAGATGACCAACTAGAACTAGTCCCTTGCTGTGCATCTGGAATTCTAGGAATCCACATACATGTCTATTTCATGTACTGTGCTGTTGATATTAATGAGAGTTTGGTAGGTACTAGGCATACCCTGCTACCTACTGATCACCTATTTTACAATCCAACCACCATCCACGCTCCATGTATTTAGAATTCCCTAATCCTCACATCCTTCCCCGAAGCCCTTTGCAAAACCCTTGCAAACTCATCCCATAAACCGCCCCATTGTAGTTCCAAAACAAGTTAATTTCCCCATCCCTTGGTCATTCACAGGAACATTTGTAGTATGCAGTAATCAATTGACAATCTGCACGCCCAGTCACCAACCATTCGCTGACCTCGACTTCAGCTATCCCCAGATACATCGTCAAGACCTATCGACAACCCTACCTACCTCGGGGTATTTTTCAACTCCTCTCGTCAACCCTCCCTTTTCGAAACATTGTCTTCGCCTAGCCGCTATGCTGTAAGCTATGACTGCACCAAAGGCTATACCAACAAGTCTCACGCCCCATATAAGAAGAACCAAAGGCTGTTCTCTGAATCACGTAGGTATATCCGGCTTACTACGAGTCTAATCTGCCATATAAGTAACTACTGGAGCCAACACATCATGCACAGCCTTTTATTGAACACAAGACTTTGCCTGGTCACGAGGCTGCGGCTGCGGCGACTATAAATTCAACGCTCCGGTGGGTTATCTATAAAGAGCCTATTTCTCCCGTGAGAATTCCCCCTTTACCCGGCAAAGCTATAGTATATAGTTCTGACAAAGTTCTCAAGAAGGGTACGTGCACTCTAGATCCCCCCCCCCTTGCTATCATAGCGAAAGCACTGACTCCCTCCCCAGGACCAATTCATCTCCCAGACCAACTACCGCCAAAGCTAGCCCACATCACGCCAAAATGTGCTACCAAAACGTGACCTATTCCTGTGGCCATACCGGAAAATCATACTCTGTCGGATGTCACTGCGACACGAACCAAGGCCGGGTCTGAAGTACAGCATGGCATGCAGCGATGGGTGTAATGGATAAGAGGGTGAAAACTAGAAGTCTTGCCTCCGGATTTTGGGGTCGCGGTGTGGTGTGCACTTGGATTGTTTTTCCCGGTTACTTCACCTGGTTCTTGGATCCGGTCTGGTCTTGCTGATTTGTTTGTGGGTGTTGATATCTTGATAACTTGCTGTATGGTTCTTGATGCATGGATCCGTTCTACCTATCCTTGTCGGTGTTTATTTCTCGCTCCCTGAAGTCATTCGAATAGTGATGGGTGTGGAAAAGAAGAGACAAACCCTTCCAACTAAATTCAGTAAGTACTGACTAGGTAACTCTTCAGATCATGGTCTATCTGCCTGTATGTAATACTTTGATTGAGGTTTCGTTTTGTCCGTGGCAGGCTCATTAGAATTCTATTGTACGTTGGCGTTAGACCGAGACCTATTAGTTCCAGCTTTGGTTGCTGGAAAATAATGAGGGACTAGGGGTTGACCTATGCTTGCGGGCTGACGGGCAAAGTAAGCTCTAAATAGTGGGTCTCTGAGCATGGGCAGAAAAAGAAGCTTGTATGGTGTCCTTGGTCTATATTGCTTTGATCTCAAAGTTTACCACTCAGCCCTATTTGTAAAAGGGTCTTTCTGTTCTAGTCCTCTGCTCCGAGTCGTGAGGTCAAATTCCTGCTTAGCCCCTTCTTCAAGTACCCATCAGCCGTTGGCCCCAGATAGGTATCCATTGGCTCGCTACTCTGTCTCATTAAGCACGAGCTAAAGAGCATTCCAACTGGGACCTACATGATATCACCAGTAATAAGAAGCACTCGTCAAAGAAGTCAACGCCCGTTCACAATCCAACTCCGCCAAATACATGCCACCACCAAGTCCAACGACAAAATCATACCACCAGAAGCTCTCGCGTGTAAACATCAACGCCGTAGTAAAGTCCCAATATTCCGGATACCAACCCACCGATTCCCAGTCCAAGAAGCCAGTGATCTTCCCCTTTTCCACTAGAATATTATGATGTTTTAGATCTCCGTGACTGAAAACAACACGATGTGACATCCTCCCCATCCCCTTCGCGCGATCAAGCGCGTTAGTATATGCCTCCTCGGACGGGAACCCGCCCGCCCACGAAGGCCGAATTAGATATTCATTAAGCTCATCCTCAGATTCAAACGGTCCCATCGAGTGATTGGGGACCCGCACACTTCTAATGGCTGCGCCCGTTAGAGAGCAGATCCTATCACCGCCCCATGGATTTAGCCATCCGCGCATAGTCCCCAAATAACGCCGTAGCTCTTTGGATACCGAATCCCTTTCCTCGCTACTCAGCGTCTCGTATACCTGGCCTAGCTCTACACCGGGCAACCGAGTCATTAGAATCGAGACCGGCGCATGCGGCGTATCAGGATGCTCTGCGTAGCATATTACACGAGGAACAGGAAACCCAGCTGCGCGGGCGACTTGCATAGCCAGGACCTCTTCGACTCTGGTCCCGTCGGACCATTTCAGAATGAGGCCGAGTGGTAACTGGGCGATTTGGTTGTCAAAGGGGATGTCGAACCAGGCGCAGTAGAGCTGCGAGAATCGTTGAAGGTAGTCGTGTACGACGCCCCAAAGTCGACGCAGTCGGGGGGAGGTTGGTCGTGGTGTGGTTGGTATGCGTTCAGTTGTGAGAGGGCGGATTGGGTCTGGCCAGGTGTAATCTGGTAGGAGGTAGCGGGGGATGAAGTGGGACAGCATGGTGGATGCAGAACATCGGAGCGATATGGGCAGTAAAAGAAGAGACAGGTTATCAGGTAGGGGAGGTAGGTTTAAAGCAGCACAGATGGGGTAGTTTGCACGGCAAAACGCGGTGAGTGCTTAAATGTATGCAGTCTATCACTAGTTAGTTGGAGATGATAAGTCAGCGAAGTCATGGGAAAGGGATATAGTATAAAACGATTGAGTTTAGCACAACTATTTGATAGAAACTAAGTTGATAACATCTCTCCGAGTACATTGTATGAAAAGAAAAAACGGCAGCCGGCAGTTTAAAAATAGTCAGACAACGCTAATCATAGCCCCTGCTGTGATCGCGTGAATTCGCCTGTTGAGGCCGTCACCCCGCCTTCCCCGTGCAGACAACATTTGATTGATAATACTGCATGTTCAGTGCACTGGCTGGCTGAGGATGTAACATTCCCTGGTGCTTACATCCAGGTTCCGAGCACTCCGACCTATTCATATAGTTACCTCGGAGGCCAGCCACATGTGGGACTGGTGAATCGAACGGACGCGCAGTGTATGGCATAATTCGGACCACTGGCAGCACTCGCCTAGCTCTGGTGTGATAGTGGCGCCTGTGAGGTGATTCTGAGAGGACCTCAATGCAGGTATGTGGCTGGCGTCAAGTGTCAGCTGGTCAACGGCCAGTGGGATAGATATGACCGGGGTTAATGCAGTCAGACGCCTCGTTAATCGGCAAGAGAGTCTTTCTCCATTGGCCGCATGGATGAAGAATGACAACGGACTGAGTTATTTAAAGCGCATCTCGTTTGTTCACATCCATTCTGATCTCCTTGCCATTTCATACCTAAACCACACCCTTATCAGATATCCGATCTCTTACTCATTCGATTGCTTCTATAATGATCGTCAACTTGAACCGTGTCTGGCCCGCAAATAAAGACGGCCAGGTCGTGATCTCCATCGGATATATCCAAGACGACGAATACCATGATTACCGGCGCGACCGAGTCGAAAGTGTCGCAGAACAATGGCTAGATGTATTGCCTCGGAATGTGAGATTCAGTTTTAGAGGCGATCCAAATAGATGCCATGTCCGCATCAGCTTTGCAGCATCGCCCAGCAATGGCAATTGGTTCTCGCAAATCGGCACGGCGGCGCGGAATGTGCATAAGAGCAAGCCAACGACATACCTCAAGTGGACGAGTGACAAGAAGGTGATGAATCGCCACATCCTTCATGAATTTGGCCATATCCTCGGAGCCGAGCATGAGCATTTCTCGTCTGAATTTCCGTGGCAGTTCAACAGCACGGCGGTGTATGACCACTACGAGCAAGAGGTCAAAAACGAAAACGAGAGTAGAACGCCGAAGTGGTCGGATAAGCGGGTCAAAGAGAATGCCGTCGAGCGAGCATACACGAATGTGTTCAAGCGGGTGGATGAGAGTAATGTCCGGCATTCGATTTTCGATGACCAGTCGATCATGCTCTATTACATGAAGAAATCTTGGTTAAAACAGTCCGGCAGTGAACCGACAAGAACGCTCTATGAGAATTACTCTCTTTCATATTGCGACGGCGCGATTATGTACGAGGTTTACGATGAGCCAGACACGTTGTGGTCCTCGGACTCTTCTACGGATGAGGATGATTGAGGCTATATTGATCTACCAGGGGGCCACCAGAATCAAGCCAGATTGAGGGACATTGGTACTGCGTATTTATGGATCTTTCTGTTTTCTGTTCACAGCTTCCTGAATGCATACTTTATCCATGTATCCCGTTATTGCTGGGCCTCTTCAGATGAACTCGCCTGCTCCGTGTTAACTGAAATGCACATAATTAGTTCAAGTACTGTTTTTGTTCGCTGATCACATAATCATCTTAGTTCAACTTGTGCCTTACTGTTTTGATGCTAATCTCTTCACCAACTTTGTTTTTTTGTCTTAGACTCATTATCCTGCTCGTTGTCCTAGTTCAACGAACAGATTCACAACATTGATGCGTTCGAGTCTTGATTAGGATAGGTAAATGATTTAGAAGAAATACCAGGAAGATGAGTATGCCTGGGCGAGATTTCTTATGTAGAGTCAGATCAAATCGCTACGACTTGCAGCTGAGGGGATTCAGCTTCTCAGCGTATTCTAGAATAATCCTACTTTATTCTCGGACTTAAGATATGCGTTTATATTGATCCTAGACTCTGGGGCGCTCAGTGAAAAGTCATAGCAAGTCAGATTTGAAACGGAAAAGGAAAGAGATCCGATTTCCATACAGTAGGAGACTATAGTATGAAATCCCCAGATATCCTTATCGATAAGAGAAACTGATAAGGACTGCCAAGACCCCATCGCATCTTCCCCTCTTCTTCTCTCCCTTCTCCAACTTCCATCTTCCTCCTCACTCAATCTCTCCCTCCAGATTTATATCTCAAACCCCAACAACTCACCCCGCCAAGTAACCAAGAGAAATAAAATCAAGATCCGAAAGGAAAATGTCCACCTTCCATATTCACTACTTCTCCACCGCCTCCACCTATACAGGAAAGCCGACCGAAAGCCTACCCGCTCCGCTCCCGCTCTCTCAACTTTTCGAGGTCCTGGAGTCCAAGTATCCAGGTATGAAAGAGAAAGTGCTGAGCAGCTGCTCGGTGAGTCTGGGCGATGAGTATGTGGATGTGGATGGAGATGGCAATGGGGTGGTGATTGAGGCGGGGAAGGAGGTGGCGATTATTCCGCCTGTTAGTTCGGGGTGATCTTGATTTTGGACATCGGAGGTAGGTTTCTAATTGATGCCTACTGTGGTGGAAACAGTACTGATTATGACTGGTAGTTTGGGTTGAATTATTGTACCTCTATGCCTCAGTCAGAGGGATTGAGTGTACTGTTCATTTGGGCTACGCTATGCTATTCCAGATTAATTAAGCGATATGAACCAACGGCAAAGAACGAGACAAAGATGATCGAAGCAAGAAACAATTAGACACGAGACGAAGCCAACGCGAAGGAAATGGACCGCGAGAAAGAAAAGAAAAGATAAAAGACAGAAAAACAAACAAGATGACAGACCAATTATTAATACCTCCACATTCAATACCGCCGATACCTCAACCCCCAGGGCATCGCATTCTATACCATCCCATTATCCCAGATTATATGCCAGAGATTCACTTCACATATCCGTCATGCCAGTACCCCATGGACATTATCATCGAAGACGCATCACACCCGGTGATGATTCCCAGGACCAAATTCACAATCAACCATCCAATTTCTCCGCTCCAGCAGTAGCAGCCTTCTTCTGCTTCCACAGACAAACGCAGCAGATTCCAGAGAAGAAGAACATAATACTGCACACCATCAAAATTAGCAAGAATCCCTGACTGTCACCCCCAAATCCATCGGAACACAAGGGAAGAGGGAAGAACATACCACAACCCAATACTCAACCCCCACACACTCTTCGCCTCTAGACACACATCCTTCGACGCGCCGATCAAACTCCCATACTCGACCTTCCCATTCAAACTCTTCAAATAACTATCCAGATGCGTGGCGAACGCATACGCAGAGGACCCCTCGCTAGCGACTTTCGCGATCTCATTGCATTGCAGATAAGAAAGCGGTTTTCCGATGATCACGGCCACCACGATGACTGCGATCAGAACGAGGGTGTCGGCGATCGCGGACGCCAGGAAGGGAAGGATATCGTCGAGGAAGAGGATTGTGGTGATGATGCAGTAGATCGTTGCGATGCACGTCTGTTTTTATCAATATTGTTAGCTTTTCACATTGATTGATGGGACGGTTCATCTGTGAGGACATGCAACGGAGAGGAAGTCACATACGATGGTGATGGTACCGATGAAGATTCCTGGAGGAGTGGCGTCGTTGTCGACGATCTCGGCGATGAAGTTGGCGGTAAGACCGATGATGGCGATGAGGCAGCAGGCTTGGACGATGCGGGCGATTTGGAAGGTTGCGCCGAGGGCTCCGTATTTGTTAGGCATTTTGATATTAATGGGGGGTTTGATAGCAGAATCAAGGCAGGAAAGAGCAGAAGAGAGCGTGTGTGCCGCAGAATCAACCTGACCCGATGATAGTGACGAATGCAACAAGTAGAGAATACGAAGACGATCAAAAATCGAGATATAAGAAAATGAACCAGCTAAGGAGAGTATATTAAGGAAGTCGGGATGTCCAGCAACAAAGGAGTGTTTGCAGTAACAATTAGACAAAGGAACAAAGGAACAAACGAACAAAGTAGAGAAATATTATAAAATAAGCTGAATGAATGGATCTGATATCTAAGTATTCTTTCATCTGCTTCAGCAAGAACAATCCTCTTTATATACACAACCCAAATCTCATACCACCCAGACCATACCAGCCAGGATGAACCCCAAACAAACAGCTACAATGATAAAATTAGCACCGGACGGTCTAGATCCCCAAATCTAGACCACCCATCATCATCCCAAAATAGAGCCCACCGAAAAGCTCTAGCAAGCCGCATACAAACCAAGCAGATCTGCAACAAGAGCTTGCAGCTAAACACAGAGCTAGGGCCTAGCTAGACAAGCTGGTCCATGGCCAGCGAGTAAACCCCAACCAACCATCCCCGTCGACAGATCGACCCAAGCGCCAGGCTCACGTCCTCGAACGCAGTTCCTATTATAGAGTCCAGACCATGGCCCAAGTGCAAGCGACCATATGGACCAGAACTAAACGCACTGAGCCTCTGCCGATAGGACGGCGGCTATATCCCGTCTCCATGTTTCGTCTAATCTAAGTAGCATCACTCACCCTGTAGCTAGAAGCTAATTAAGAGCCAAGCGCCTACGAAACCACCCATACAGATCAACCAGCGGGAACAGAGCTATTAGCGCAGCGCTTAAACTAACCCACACAGACCCGTAGAATTACATGTTTAGCCTGACACTCGTACCTGCAGCCGCCCAGCCCGCCCAACCGGCCAGTTAGGGTTCATTCTCGTATTCCCGCCGCGGCCTCCCGTCCCGTCCTGGTCTGTCTTACCCTGCCCTGTTTCAGGACCCACCACGGCGCCTGGAACACCCACGCGTGGGCTTCCGCGCGGGCCTCTCAGCCAACGGATCGACGAGCTTATTTTGATCTGACACAATCAGGGATCTGGGGTTGAAGAGTGGGCTTGGCGTTTCTTTGTGTGGGTTGTTTGGGATTGTTTGGTTGGCATTTGAGGGGCTTTGTTGTTCATTGGTGTCAAGCTGGGCTGTCAGTTTATTTCTGTGAGGAAGGTGTGGGGATGGGAGATGAGGCTGTGTTCTAAGTTTGTATACGTTGGGAGTATGGCTAGTTTTTGGTGAGGGGTTCATGCATTGGGTTGATGCATTGAGTTGCGAGGAAGGGTAGGAGGTTGTTGCGGGCTTGGTTGGGTTTACATTAGGGTGTGGTGAAGATCTTGCTTGATCGCGATGCTGTCAAAGGGATTGGGGGTTTGAACCTACATCAGAGTCTATGCAAAGGTCTGGGGAGATCTGTTGAGAAACTCAAAACGACAAATCGGGTTTAGATAGATAGCGAAACTGCACGGTGCACCGCCCCCATGTACTAGCCAAACATAGACGAATCATAGCGAAACAACAGATTTAGAGAGTCACTGAGATCTTAAGAGAATGACAGAGGAGAGGAAAAAAAATGTGGACCAAGTCGAAAGTACAGCTCACTCTCAAAGCCCGCCCAGTCCACTATCCCAGCCTAAACCCGCCGCTCGTGCGTGTCTGGAAAAACATCTCAGGGTCATACCTCTCTCTCACCTCGCGGGCCCACTCTGTCGTCTCAGGTTCCAACCGTCCCCAGTAATCTTGCTCACCGTCGGCTTCATTCATGAACAAAGGACGGTGCACATCCGGAAGTACACCGTCATCGATGAAATCCTCGATGATGTTCTCGTGTCCTTCCAATATCTTTTGATTCGCGGTCGCAATCGTCTCGTCGAAACTTGCATTAAAGTACGAGAAGTCGAAGTTGACGATGAAGTAGTCCTGATCGGTGGAGAAGTTATAGAGATCCTACGCAGTAAAAGAAGTCACTCCGTTAGTACTTGATCCGGGGACAATGAGAGGAAAGGGCTAATGACGTACACCACCTCTATTCTTAACCTCTCGGGACATCTTGCGAGGCAGCGGCTGCAGTGCCAACGCCCCGATCATGTCTGGCACGTCCAGAACTGTCGCGGTGGTGTTGAACCAGTGATCACGGATTTTCTTCATGACTTGGGGGCCACAGGCGGCGTTGGGAACCGGCATCGTCTCGGTAAATGAGGTGTATCGTCGATCCCTGGCGACTGGTTAGTGGTGACTGAAGAACATTGACGTGTCGATGTAAGTGGTGGTGGCAGGTTAACTCACTTGAGGATGTGGATATCGTTGGCTTTCAGCTGCAGCAAAGAAAGATTATCCATTAACTCAACAATCTACAAGTGAAAATATCCTGGTCCAGACCCACTCACCAGCTCGTCATATGAATCCCACGTCTTAGTCACCTCTTTGGGATGGAGGGCGGTGAAATTGTCGAAGACACCCTTAGGCGGCTGGGGCCCATCGTAGAACGTAAAGATGACCCAGGACTGGAGAGTAGGCGTGTACTGGGTCGTAGCGATGATACCCGCCTTCTCGTCAGGATAATACTCGGCGAAATCGCGAATGGCTTTCATGACCTGGACAGCTTGGCTGGAATCGGGATAAATGAATTCTCCGCCCCAGACCTGGAAGATGGCTTAGAGACTAAGATTGTGCAGCCGGAGAGTGAGAAATCAAACCTTGTGATTCTGAGGCTGGGTTTGAAGCCTATAGGAAGTGACGATGCCGAAGTTGTTGCCGCCGCCTTTGAGAGCACCGAAGAGACCTATACGACTGCATGTTAGGGCTAGCATGGTCAGGTGGTTTGATCCGGGCTGAAGCTTACCGGCGTTCTCCTTCTTATTGGCATTTACGATCGTTCCGTTGGCAAGAACCACTTCGTAATTGACCACGTTGTTGGCTGCCCAGCCATACTGGGTACTCAAGAAGCTCATTCCGCCTAAGTGCAGTTCACAAGTTAGTCAAATACCCCCTGCCAAACCAGAAGATAGACATACCACCAAGCATGAGTCCCCCGACTCCCACACCCCCAAGTCTCCCACCGACAAGTGCTCTGCCCGTGCCCCGAAGCTTCTGTTGAGCATCTTCCCACGAGAGTCCAGGACCAACGAAAGCCGTCTTGTCATCTGGATTGTAAGTAACCTGGTTCAGTTTCTTGGTGGAAATCAGTAGACCATCCCTGACGCTCGCAAATCCGGGACTGGCCATGTGGCCGCCCGACTTGACGGCGAACAGATCGTCAACGTCATGCAGCGCCTTGACAACTTGGGCCATCTCCCGAGCATTGGCAGGTGTAACAATACAGGACGGATGAAGGTCAGCACAGATGCCTGACCAGTAGTCCTTGACAATGCGGTTGTATTTAGCAGTGAAGTGCTTTTCAACGGTCAAGCCTTGGGCCTCAAGCTCGGAGCAGATATTGGCGGTTGCGACCGGGGCGAGGATCATGAGAATGAACATGTAAATGAGGGGATGGAGGGCGAAGGCTCTACAGCCTGATGGGACCGAAGGCATGGCGTGGCAGAGGAAAGGGCAGTTTAGATGGATATAGGAAATTACAATAGAGGAGAATGGTGAAAGACAAAAACGAATGGATGGTAGAACTTGTTAGGTAGCAAAGGGCTCGTGGCAGCATCCAAGAGAACATTTTTATGCGAGAAGGGTGCACGTGCATTTATATTGGAAATCAAGAGAAAATGGAACCATCCGGCGAAAAGATAACCGGATGTCTCCTGTTTGTGGCAGTGACTTGTTTACATTCACCCTCGGAAGAACCACTCAGATGACTGATGTCTCTCAACTCAACAGATCCAAAAGAAAAGTATTTGTTTACACCGTGGCATAACATACCGAAAAGACGTGAATATGATCATCTAGAGCTGCCTGCTCGTGGTCGCGTGCTGATATTTTTAAATTGAGCATGAATACCAAGCATGGTGATGTGAACTCACAAGTCTAAGGGCGACCTTTCTTCATAGTCCTAAAGGAAGTACTAAGCTGCACCGCAGAAAGGAAAACAACAGAAAAAAAGAAAAAAAAAAAAAAAAAAGAAAGGAAAGAAAAGAGAGAGAGAGAAAACACCCCACTAACCTAACACGCAAACAGTACTGGCAAAGAGGAAGATGCTCTCATACAAACAAAACAGACACTCTTGGCTCCTCCAGTAGATCGGAACTCCCGTTGCATCTTCATGCTAAGTTGAGAGATCCATTGTCACCAATTACCTGATTCTGTGCCCACACTTCCAACTTGATGGACCCGTCGCTCTGCCCAAGGATAACGTGGACATTACATTCTACCAAGTAGAATAGGCAGTTATTGATATTTCTCTGAGGCATTGACTCCAGGTCTAATTTCTGTAAGTCGCAGATAACTGGCATCGTCAGTCGCACACCTGCTGGATGTTAGAACAGCCGGCATCACACGGATTGCTTCTGACAAACCTTCGTGATCGAGCCGAACTGGAGCCGCGTCCATTGTTGATGAGTATACATTACAAGACTTTGTTGAGAAGTCATCGTACTTGTGGACGAGGAAGATCGGGTAGTCCTCAAAGTCGTCGGTTTTGTATCGAACCCCCTAAAAGGCAGGAAAGTAAGCGCTGCTGGGCTTGCAAACGATGTACCGCGACCGATGAACTTACCTTAGACACGAGCCAGGTGATGGTATTCGTGGCGGTCCTGCCACTCGATAGTGAACTGAGGTAATGGTAATCCGCAGTATAGAAATTATCCATTGTCATCGACGCTTCGACGCCGAAGTGGCAGTGGGAGACCCTTGTTGCCGGTCGGAGAACCCCTGATCCCCAAATTGCGGCACCCCGTACCATGGACAACTGTCTATCGGTGGAAGATCAGCAAAATCGTTCAAAATGTGTGATGAAACCTTGAGCTTACGCCTCGTCGGGCCTGTAGACGATTGTTGCGCCGTTAACCGCGAAGCGATTAGAGATGGCCTGGAAGACATATGGGGACAAACAAAAGCCTCCAACCAGGAATATCTTCTGCTATTTGGTTAGTCTGTGGCGCTTGTAGTAATGAGTGAAGGTCTCTATAGGCTTACATTTATGTGTATCCTTTGTGGAAGATTGTATGCGGCCACCATCTGACGGCTCAATAGGTTGCAAATAGTACTCAAAGCCGGGTTGAATAACCCACGCAGATCATCTCTATCACCACAGTCAGTACTGATTGTACTTGTAAGAAGACTCATACATGTGACTCACGCGGAAAGAAGGACCTCAGCCTTCCGTATGTTGTACCACCTCGGGTTGTATCCCCGAGACTCCATACGTAGCGGAAGCTGAGCCTTTGACTGGTCGGAACCGTCGAATTTAGCCATGCATTCCTCGAAATTCGCCATAAAGAGACTTCCTGGGGCCCGTAGGGGAAGAGGGGCATCGATAAATGCATCGCCGAACCTCTCTATCATAAGAGTGTACAGTGCGCGCTGTACTGTAGTGGCACCGCAAATTGCACCTGGTCAATGTCAATTCTGCTGGACTCAAGTCTTCTTTCGTTGGGTGTACTGTACCTGAGGAGGCACTTATCTCGCTGTACGAGTAAGGGTCGACCTCGTCTATGTAGTAGCTGACTACATCCTGCATTGGTATACTGTTAGCTCTCGTTCACCTCGTGATCCGTTGCGCTGTACTTACTGTGGTGCCTCCGCCACAGTCGCACACGAGGATCGCATCACCCGCCTAGTGCTCAAGAGTAAGCAGAGATTCGATAAGTAAGACGGGGGATAGTGAGAGCCTACCCAGATTGAATAAGTCGTGGGTGACGCCTGGGCGATGATATCGGTCATGGCCGCATGAGGCTCGTCGATGAGCACTATCTCGGCTGAATATCCTCCAAGTCCTGTGTCAAAGCCTGCCTGGACAGCAGCTTTTATCGTTCTTTCCTTGGCGATCTCTGACCAGGTTGTGGGAACGGCGAACCAGAATTCCACAGGAATTCCGTCGTAATTCCCCCGGGTGACTTTCGCGACATGATCTTTCAATGCCCTCATTATGCATCGGTAGACTTCTCTCAAGAGGTCCGCGATGACTTCGATCGGTGTTTTGTTGTCGGGAATCCAGAGTGCTCCGCCTGCCCTTTCCCACGGCCCAGTGCTCAATGCCCACAGTTCATTGCTGGCCTCGTCATCCAGGAAAAACTTCATCCATGATGATGCCGTCATTCCTGGTTGAATCTGAAATCCCCAACGTCTCTTCTGGGCTCGCGGGTTGTGCACGGGGTACGCAACCGCACTGGGTGCCTTGGGGGCGTGCTTTGTACCGTTGTGGGACGGCCACCGGTTGAAGGTGACAACTTCATCCGGGCGGCGGGAAGAGGACGGGCAAATGAAGGCCGCTCCTACGGCGAAGACTCAGTTAGCTCTCATCCAGGGTGTATGTGCATGCGCATGCATGTGCGTGCAATCTCTGAGCAGGGGAATACCAGTATAAGTTAGACCGAAGTCTATGGCAACGACGATAGTTCTGTTGTCATCCATGTTGATCTTTACGGAAATGGGTTCTTCGTAGGCAAGAGGAAACGAGGGATTGAAGGAAACGAACACTACGAAGAGATAAGTTGTGTAGACAAACACTGGCCTATACTGGTCTTGTGCAGATGGAAGATTCACTTGGGAATTTGGTACTCTTTATATTCCGTGTGAAGAGGTTTGGATTGGCCTATGGACATAGATCCCGATAAAGGCTGGCTCCCCTCAGTTCTCGCATTTGAACCACCGGCTGGTATGGAGTCGTATAAGCCATATACCGTCGCCACTGACTCAGAAATGCTGCCTGGAAATTTCAATAGATGAAGTTTCTGTTACTGCTGCTCGTAAGCCCCTAGCAGCCAAGACATGCTACGAGAGGAGCGTATACCTGCAGCAAACGCCAACACCTGCTCCTGAACCGCCTCCCATTCTCCCATCCCTAATTGTTCTTCTTTGCATGCGTTTCAACATATTGTATCCGATATGGCTATCCCCCTCATTCTATCTTGCCGTAAATCTTGGGGAATGGCTCCTGTATGCCTTCCTGATGATTGTAGGTGACGACTGACCGCGCGATAAGCGAAACCTGAACTGCGCCCTCTTTTTTTTACGAGGTGTTAGACAGTCGCGAGATCCTCAGACACAGAATGCTCCAGATCAGTTTAAATCCCAAGACATGCCAATGGTGGCGTAACATGGCAAAGACTCACGATTCGCTCTGCCTGTTACCCTCGCCATGATTCCTATCCTCTTCAGGCTTGTCCGCCGCTCTTCCCGTTCACTCCAGGCCTTCCCCGTTGGGCTCCTTTCTTCAAAGTTCTGTTGACCGCTTCCTGTCTTAGTTATGACAACAAATCGTTGATGATCCTTCAAAGTGGCTACCGGTGGCACGAGACAAAGAGATGCGGTCAGTCGGCGAAACACGGGACGAAGGTGCTTAATCGGCGTTTTGAGTGGAAAGAATAAAGAGATCCCGAAATAACAGGACAAACGGCAAAGGTCCGTTGCGTTGTGGGCGCGCTTTGTGAGGCGAAGCCCGAAATATCCTCAGAGTCCTTCTTTGAATGACCTAGGCATGAAGGTTACGACACATACTTTCTTCTAACTTTCTTCTTTTTCGCCGAAAGTTGTCTCTTCCCCTTGGTTTGCGTCACCTCCTCGTACATTTCAGATTGCAGTTATTCTGTGATTCCAAGATTTACGCTCTACAAATTCCCCCTGAGCTCCCGACCAGACAGGGTTGGTGAGACATGGGAAAACGCCGAGCAAACGCTGGCGCGCCACCACCGACGAAAACGAAGGTAAGGCAACGAGGAGAACCCTTCCATTGCGTCCCAATCTATGTGGCTCTGGCTTTGGGCCGTCGATTCTATCCCTGCTTGGTTCTCCCAATTTCCTCCGGCCTATGATTAGATGTACAAACGCTCAGTGACATATCAAACCACACAGAAAAGGGCCGCACAATCAACGTCCCTGCCAAAAATGTCACAGGTAACGGATCAAGACCGTGATAGAATTCCCTACCATCAACCAGTATACCCCTCTCCCTCGAATTGTTGAATGGTTCCACTTTATCTAATATTCCTTGCTCCGTTCGAATACAGGACAGACGTCGTTCTCCTCGTTTGAATCCCGATCCTCCCGATGTCAGCACAACTTCAGACCCCAACCCTCAGAAAACGGAAAGGGGACAGGGCTCAGACTGCCATCGGGATATATCTCCCAAGCACGACGACGGAAAGGAATCAGGCGAGCAGACCCCCCAGTATGACACGTACGGATCCGATGATGATGACATTGGTGGACGATTGTATTCTCCTGGGTATATGTGCCCTATTGGGACGCGATGGTATCCTCCTAGTCATGACGATATAGAGCCCGATTGCTCTTTGTATGATCTTTATCAGTGGATCGGCAACCACGTGGAGGGGGATGATGTCGTCGGGGAAACAATATTGGCCAGTGAGAAGCAGGCAATTATGGACGCCTTGGACGGTTGGTGTCTTTACAAGAACTGGGATTCGCTGGCCGATGCTCTGCCACAAAGGTCTCTGTGGGCTATGCCCGAATTACTTGCCCGAGCCTTGGTTGCCAAGGATATCGTCGAGACGATCATGAAGAACCCCTTTCTCTACATGGACTTAGGTGATGATGTTTCTGGTCGAGCCGATGCTCTACCGCCACCTCTGGGACTGGAACTGTATCTCCTGTGGCAAAAGCTTCAGAAAGGTATCTGTACAACCCCGCAAAGACTTTCACCCAGCTAATTCTGTGCTATTATAGTCGATCGGGTTGCCGCACATAAATGGCGAGAACAGACTGTTCACCTCATGAATAAGGCGCTCCCCCACCAAAGGCCCAAGGACACATTTGCAGGGGTACGAAGTCTGAGGCTTCGACGACGTATTGCCAGACAGCTTGCCACCAAGATGCTGGACAAGTCCAGCCCCCTATATCCTTTACTTCGGAAAGATGTGGACGCCCAGACCAAGCTTGCGCTATTTAAATGGATGCTGCGGATCTATCGCCATGCAGCCGAGAGATCGGTCAAAATGTGGGTTGATGAGCTCGGCTATCAGTTCTATACCGACATCCACCAGATTGGCCTCTACGACGAAAACAGCGAGCTCTACCATATGGAATGGCAAACCTGGCTTACTTTCAATGACAACAACCCGAATGGCCGGAGAACGGTACTGCTTCTCGCACCACTCATCTGGCAACTGCAGTTCGGCGTCGAACCCACTCCTCGGGAGGAATTAGACGGCTTCTCGCCAGCTCCGGTGGATGAGGATGGTCATCCGAATGTGATTGTTTGTCGCGGCCTGGTCGTGCTCTCGAAGCACGTTGAGTCGGAACAAACGGAGGAAGTCTAGTCATGGCGTGGTGTCTTCGATGCGCAATTTTGTTGGTTTTGTTGCCGTAATTTGCTTTTGCTTTCGGTTCATACATCTTAGCATCGCTTGGTGGTCCCCTGTTAGCTGATAGGGGTAGATGTTGTCCATTCCTTCGTTTCGGGTATATATCTCTGTCTGTTCTAATGATCTTTGTGCGTGCGTATCGAAGAGTCAAGATGTTTGTGATGCCTGATTTATGTTTCAGCTCTGGATCAGGAGAAAAGTCTTGCGACCTGATGTCTCTTGCCATGAAATTTTGTAGAGTATCTGAGAAGATATTTGAATCGTAGTTCCAACAAGCCTGACGATGCGCAGGCAACAAGGCACTGACCCTAGTCGACTTGGAGAAAGTCATGACGTGGCTAAGGCTCTGCACCGCCACAGCCCACGGATCAGGTGACCATACCTGACCGCCTAGGCGGTGAGGTGATATGCTGCCGGCAGAACATCCAGATTTTGCGGCCTCCGCGGGCCTTCGCGATGTCATCCGTTGGATTTTCCCTTCAGGTCGGCGCATGTACGAAGGCTCGAGAATGACCTTGAATCTGTTGAGGAGTCGAACCTCCCCAGGAGTGGCCAGGGTAAACTGCTCAGCGCGACCTAGTAGGTCCCTTTTTTCAATCTCTCGCTTCAATTCCTCATATTCCAACACACGTTTGCTTGTATCGCGGTCGCCACCTCGGCGATATCTAAGCAGCGACGCGAATGTAAGTCGGCATAGTGTGGCTGGATCGACTGATTCAATGGTTTTAGCTGATCACCTTACAGAGCTCTCCTGCAAACCCGAATGACCTTGAATCGTCAGCCTCGATCGACGACATTCGCCTCAAAACAGAGTTCGAAAAGCACAAAGACATCCGAGACTACTTGCGCAAATGGCAGAACAACAACTTGAATCCCCTGGATCCGATCCGGGGCGCTCAAGCGACAAATGTCCCGGGTCAGTCGTCTCCTTGGATCGGCAACATGCAGAGCGATGCGACGGAATCCAACGATTATGGTAGTGAGGCGCTGCGAGAAGCCGATGAAGACGTTGGAGAATTCGACAACCTCGCTGACGAGGGTGATGGTGCGCACGACTTCCTGGAACCGGGAGATCTGGTGGCGCTATCAGCGTACGTTAATTCTCAAGCTTTGTACTCCTTATGACCGTTGTTGACTTTGTCCTTTTCTTCGTATGATCTAGCCCTGACGGTTTGATGTGTTTCTCCATCTATGTGCGATCGATGTTCAAGCAACAACAGTTCTACACTATACGGGGGAAATGGCGCGTTGCCTACGACAGGGATATTGAATATGTGAAGAAGGGGTTTGCTCCCAGAGAGTTGGTGGATCCGCTATATCCGCATTTCCCTGACACCATTGCACAATTGAGCCCGCACCTGCAGTCAACTATTGAGGGTGGCGTGCCGAGGCCAGTCGGGGCGCCTCTCGTGAACATGATGAAGACTTTCGATGAACAGGCGCAGGAAATCTTCCAGAACCATTCGAGTCGATTGTTCAACATGCATGACATTGTGGCGGACGAAAACGATAAATTGGAGTTCACTCTCAAGGAACTGGCATGCAAGGCATTGAACCTTGAGAAAGACCAGCTAACGCCTGCTGCACTCTGTGCCGTTCACCACGCCACCCGCCGAAATCAATTTCTCATTCAGAGGGACCGCAGCTCGCCGTTCTCCGATAATTATCTGGTACTGCCGAAGCGTGTCGCTCAAATACTGGAAACGGTGACCAACTGGGTGCGCGACCATCAGAAACACATAGTTCAGAGTGGAGGTTTAGCGGGAATGGGGATACCACCAGAAAATCGCTTGCCTCAATTTATCCAAAAAGCCCGTCGTCTCATACAACACAGCCGAAAGATGCGCTCTCCCACGACAATGGCGTCGGTTGGTCCAACCGCACATCGGTTCCAGCCTGGCGAGGGTGGGACATCGGTGACTGCTCGCACAGTTCAGACAGAGCGCACCGAGGCATTCAATGCCAATGATCGTATCATAATTGAATTCCTCAAGTTGTGGGCCATTTCATCTGATCAAATGACCCTTGGGACTTTGCGATCTGCTGGGTCGCATATTATGCGAACTACTGGAATGTATGAGTCACTAGATCTAACAGCCGCAACTGTTCCGTTATTCCTGCAAGAAATAGGAGCCATTGCCCCTTGGGATAACCTACGATTGCTGGATCCAAGTATAGCTCTGCCCGGACATGGAGTTTCGCCCAGCTCTGATGCGGCTTGGGCGGATGTTCAACAAGCTTCCGAGCAATTCAAGTCTGATGGCGTCATGGACACGATGCAGGATACCCGAACGGACTGGGGTGACCTGCCAGTGTACTGTGTGGACAGTCTGGATGCTCAGGAGATCGACGACGGCATTTCCCTGGAGCGCATCCCGGGCTGCGATGATACCTTCTGGATTCGTACCCACATCGCCAACCCGTCAGCGTTCATCGACTCGAAACACAGGATAATGCAATACGCTGCATCTCGTGTCCAGACCCTCTACACCCCCGAACGTACTTATCCGATGCTCCCCGAGACACTGACTCAGGAGCACTTCAGCTTGGCCCCTAATCGTCCCACCCTCACATTTAGTGCAAAGATGAACCTCAAGGGCGAGGTTCTGGAAACAGACGTTTCAAACGGCACTGTCAGGAACGTCGTATATATCACGCATGACAAATTGCGTAGTTTATTCGAGCCTGAGACACAAGGCTCTATGGAGTCACTGGCTGTTGGAGGAAACTTTCAACCCGAACCCTCGCGCAAAGAGATGCGAGAAAGCTTGTCTTCCGAAGATGAGAATACTTTCCACACATTGAGGAAATTGATGCTAGCTTTTCGAGAACAGCGTCGCAAGAATGGTGCCATGGAGTGGCCCTCGCCGGTCGACACCTCAGTCTCGATGACTGTAGGGTTGGAACCATTGAAACCTCACCTTATGCCAGTCGAAAACGCGACTTTTGTTCTGGGTGACCCCATTATTCGCCTGCGTCAACGCGAGGTGGATCCCCACGAAGTGCCCGATATGTCGAAACGTGACTTGGTCTCTCTCCTAATGAACCTGGCCTGCTGGGTCTCTGCTAGATGGTGTGCCGAGCGTAACATCCCGGTCGTCTATGACGGGACGTACTATCATCCGGAATATCCCCAGCTGACCAACCGCAACATCGCCAAGTTTGGTGGGCAAAGCTGGTTCGAATTGGCCGCACCCAAAGGAGTCTCCGCGTCAACAGCAGTTCGCCACGTGCCACTAGGACTTGACGCCTATGTCAAGTCTACTAGCCCGCTTCGACGATACACCGACTTGTTAGCCCATTACCAGATAGAAGCTGCACTGCGGTTTGAGCACGAGAACGGTCGCCGCCTAGATGCAACGACAGACGAGTCTTTTCTCCCTTTCTCTCGCGAATACGTGGACAACTACATCGCCAGTTCCCGCTGGAAGCGTAACCGCCTCAGGAGCGTGGACCGCGCGTCTAAGCAGTTTTGGGGCTGCATGTTGCTCTTCCGAGCCTTCTACTTCTCGGAGTGCGCGCTACCAGAAACCTTCAAGTGTTTGGTTCACAAGCCTTACAGCAGCATCGCGCTTGTAGGAACGCAATCTGGACACGGTTACGCGGGCGTGATCACATCACTCGGGATCCGCTGTCAGATCCTGGCCCCTGAGGGATCGCCCGACATTGACGTTCTCAGCGTGGTGGAAGCCAAGATTCACCAGGTCGATCTATCCCGTCTGGTCGTGGTTATGGAAGCTACGCGGGTATTGAAGCCGTTCGAACGGGTGGGTGAATGGCGTTGATCGTGTATATTTTCTGTCAGCGGCACCAAATCACCTCACATATTACGATTGCGGATTTTGTTCAAGGCGTTCTTGAATGCATCGACACTTCGCAGCAGGGGTGTGCTAGCCTCTCCTTGCGGGAACCAAATCAGCATCAGCCCGGCGTTATTCGTGTATCTTTCTCCGTATGTACCATATCCCCTCTACTTCAGTTTCATGTACTATCAATATCCCTTGTGTATAAAAATACTATAAACATATACCTCACCATCTTTTAAATCCAATATCCCCAGCAACGGTCTCTGGGCATGCAAATGAACAAACTGAAGGGGGAAATTAAGCGTACGCACAGCACGCATTATACGCTAGGAGTACCATCGACAATATAGGGTCAAATGACCTGAAGAAACGACAAGCGATCATCTAACGCTAAACCGAAAACTCCGCCTGCGAACCTACAGCACTCTACTGTTAGCCATTCTGATATCTGCAGTAGCATGCCTGTCCTCCAGCCCCCAATCCACCAAAACGTGTACGCCAGGGACCACCAATACATCCTAGCCGTCAATCTATTATCGCACTTGCAGCATGGAGGAAAAAGCCACACGAAATGCGACTATCACGCGCCCCCATAACAAGCTGGGCCCAGCACGGAGGCAAACCCACCCACCCCCGTACAAGGAGCAGAATGCACGAACAAAGACGCCACGACACCACTGGGTGATGTGCTAATTAGGTATTCCGCCACCACCAAGCTCCGTAGACCAGGCGCGCGGAATGTCTCACGTATTATTTATTTGAATTCGCGTTTATTCGCTACATTCGGCGGAGGGAGTGGCGGGACTCGTATTCTGCATGCAAGGAGCGCATGGCACTACTTACCGGGAATGTAAGGGGGCTGTGGAACATTGGTGGGGATACAAAGGGATTTTTTATGCGAGTACGAGTCTCTTGGAAGCTTGTTTCCACTTAGGTGCTGGGCTTGTGCGGGTCGAGGGGTTGGGTTGAAACTATCTAACTATGCACGTACAGTACAGTCTGGACGTCGGTGGAAGTTCACTTATCACGAATAGGGCTACTGCTATTCTTCCGCTCACGAGACTGTTACATTAGAGAGTTGCTGTCAGATTGTGAGGCAAAGAAAAAAACGACGTTAGACATATAGAACATGTAGATCATTTGGAAGTAAATAGCTGGAACTATATCCGCTCTAATCACTCCCCACCCCCGACATCAACCCTCGAACGACCTCGGCGATTTCCCGACATGTTCCCATCTCCCGAGGAACGGCATGACCACCGCCATGATCAAAGATCTCGGCCTGATCGGGGTCCCAGAAATTGTATAGCGCCATCGAGGCATCAAGGAAAGGGTCCTGCCCGCCCACCACGTGACACGCCGGGATGGTGATGACTTCATCAGGGAACCGATCGGTCAACATTGTTTGCCCCGTCACCGGATCCATAGGCGGCCATCCACAGACCAACACCGCGCATTTGATGCGTGGTTCGCGATCGGATTCCCTCTGCCGTCGCGCCTCCTCAAACAGAAGCGTCGTCGCCATCACCGCCCCCTCGGAGTACCCAATCACGCCATCAATGTCCCCCTCGCTGTCGAGGATGCCAATCAACCGATCCATGACCGCCGTGATATTCGATGGCCGTGGGTCGTGAAGCATGTCGACTACAAGACGCATCGTCTCCTCGGGAGTTTCGCGCTTCGGGAACTCGCGGATGTTGAATGCCGTGGTTGCTAGGTTGACTTCGACGAAGCTGTAGTTGGGCGGGGGTCCGAAGAACCCTTCAAAGTCGGCGGGCAGCTTCTTAACTGGGATATCGCCCTGCGTGAAGTGAAAGCCGGTCTTTCCGTCGGTGTTGAGAGATTCGCAAAATGGTCCTAAGTTGCATCCCCAGTGAGTCGCAAGTCCCGCCACGAGCGCCTCACGGACGTAGTGACATACCAAGTTGTGCTTGAAAGGTCTGCTTATGTCGAAAGGAAGATGTTAGAAAGTCTCTAGCTCGAAGGCCTCTGTGGACGGACGCGAACGAACCTTGGAGTTGCAATAGCCCCCAGGCAAGCACAAAAACTTCATGATGGATGTTGATCTTGAGTGCTGAACTTCACGATCAGAATGTAGGCGAGAACAGACCCAAAAGATTCTCTCTGAAAAGAAAAAAGATCAACTGTATCAGAGTCTTTCGCAAGGTTTCAGACTCTGAGAATGCGGGCCTGATGTGTTATTTTTGAAACACGACACCATGAATCAACTTCCCAAGAAAGGTTATGACGGCACAGCGTCTAGTCCTTCAAGCGATAAGGATAGTCAAGGATTAAACTCGCGAAGTGGTTTGAGATTCGCAACGAACTATGCTTCCCCACTCGGGATCTAGGGATGAGCGTGCGTACTTGATGGCTGGTTGGGTTCAAAGCGGCCACGAAGGGATATGCAAGGCACGCGAGGACGTTGCCAGAGGCCACAGAATGCGCATCGACCGCCTGATCTGGATAAACGATTAGGATCGCCTCTAAAGGGAAGGGGGCCAGACCTCATCAAGCTTTCATCTTATGTGTGCTTTGGGAACACGTTATCCCCGTGCGTCTAAAGAATATATTCAGATAAACCTCCATTCCGTGGGGATTCTCGTGCGAATTGTTTTTGTATACATATTGTTTTATTCTTGTTGTTGCATTCTATTGCTTCTTCTTTGCTCTTTAGACCCGGGATGTTAACCAGCACAGAGTCTGCAGATGGACTTCTCGACTCGTCGAGTCAATCCGACCGACCTCACGCGATGCATTCTCAACACAGTTCCGCAGCTAATTTCACAGAGAATGGTGCAAACGGGGATACAAACGGGGATGGAGGCAAGCAAAATGCAGGGCCGGAACAATTAGCCATCGTGGGCATGGCCTGTCGCTTGCCCGGTGATGTCTCCAGCCCAGAAGATTTCTGGGAACTGTGCTCCCGAGGCAGAAGCGCCTGGTCACCAATCCCCGAGTCCCGATTCAATGCCTCTGCGTTCTATCACCCGAATCCAGATCGCGCCGGATCGATTAACACGAAAGGTGGGCATTTCCTCAAGGAGGATGTCGGGTTATTCGATGCGCCGTTCTTCAACATCACACTCCAGGAAGCGCGATCCCTCGATCCCCAGCAGAGACTGGCCCTCGAATGTACATACGAAGCACTTGAGAATGCGGGAATCCCCAATCATTCCATCGCAGGGCGCAAGATCGGTGTCTTTGCAGGCGCGTCGCTCCCGGAGTACGACATGAATAATTTCAAGGATACGGAGGCTAGTCCCATGTACGCGGCAACGGGAACTGCTGCATCGCTTCAGTCGAATAGGATTTCATACTACTTTGATCTGCAGGGGCCAAGTCTGACGATAGATACCGCGTGCTCATCTAGTTTGACTGCTATGCATCTCGCGTGTCAAAGTCTTCGCGCCGGAGAGTGTTCCGCAGCGATTGTATCTGGGTGTCATTTGAACTTGTTCCCAGAGGGGTTTATATCAATGACGCGCTCAAGGTTCGAAGCCCAATATAGCGCAGTGAGAATTCGACAGTATACTAATTGTGTGATGAATCTTCAAACAGGTTGCTTTCGGAAGAAGGACGTACATACGCATTTGACCAACGAGGAAACGGATTTGGACGAGGCGAAGGCGTTGGATGCATCGTGTTGAAAACACTCGAAGACGCACAGAAAGCAGGAGACGCCATAAGAGCCATCGTCGTGAACAGCGGGGCAAACCAGGACGGCCGAACAAGAGGAATCACCATGCCGAACGGCGCAGCTCAGGAATCATTGATGCGCTCGGCCTACGAGGATGCCGGAGTCGACCCGGCACTGACAGGATACGTTGAAGCGCACGGCACAGGAACCCAAGTTGGAGATCCGATCGAAGCGACGGCACTGAATACAATTTTTGGAAAAGGTCGTACAACCCGCCAACCTTTATTCATTGGCTCCGTCAAATCAAACCTGGGCCATCTAGAGGGCGCGAGTGGGGTGGTTTCGATCATCAAGACTGCCTTGATGTTGGAAAGGGGGTTTGTCTTGCCAAACTGCAATTTTGATAAGGCAAATGAAGACATTCCCCTGGCCAAATGGAACATGAAGGTAAACGGGAGGTGCTCATCACGGCACGAGAGATTAAGGATTAAGGTCATGGCTGACTGGTTCAAACAGGTCCCGAAGAAATTAGCTCCCTGGCCTAGAGGCAAGCCCTATGCAAGTGTGAACAACTTCGGTTTTGGAGGATCAAACGCCCATGTAATCCTACGGGCTGGACCCCGTAGCAAAGGGGACGGAACCATCAAGCTTGATCCATTACCGCGAAAAGTATTCGTTCTCACGGGACACGATAAGCAGGCGCTTGCTCAGCGGGCGAATGATCTAAATGCCTACCTTGTGAAACATCCCGCAATCTTCGACAACCATCTGTTGGGAAACATTGCTTACACTCTTGGACAAAGGCGAAGTTTCTTCCAATGGAGACTTGCAGTTTCCGCGTCCTTTGACAAAGAGTTGGTGGAGTTCTTGACTAGTAATCCTGAACCACATCGAGCGGCGCAAGAGCCTGTTCTCGCGTTCGTTTTCACTGGTCAAGGAGCACAGTGGCTTGGAATGGGGAAGGAGTTGATCGGGACATATCCTGTGTTTAAGCAGACAATGCAAGCTGTAGATGCTTGCCTTGCAGCTCTTGGTGCTGGATTTTCAATGATCGGTATGGCTGTCTCTACATGAACACTGGGAAAAGGGGTCCCATTCTGACACATGGTTGACCTAGATGAGTTGCTCCTTATCGACCCCGCTACAAGCTCTCTTTCGAAGGCTCATATGAGTCAACCAGCTTGTACATCCGTCCAGATAGCACTGGTCGACCTACTTCGCTCATGGGGAATAAAGCCCAGCGCCGTGACTGGTCATTCAAGCGGCGAAATAGCGGCAGCATATGCAGCAAACAATCTGACACTCGAGGAATGTGTCCAGATTGCATATGCCCGTGGCCTTGCATCTGGCTTTTTGACTCAAAGCTCTAGAACACAGGGTGCAATGTTGGCCGTGGGAGCGAGCGCCACAGAAGTACAGCCCTTTGTGGATGCGCTGACGAACAAGCATGCCGTCATCGCGTGTGTAAATAGTGGTTCCAGTGTCACGGTATCCGGGGATGAGGATGCCATCGTTGAGCTCCAGGGGATCCTGGATAGAGAGCAAATGTTTACCCGTCGGTTGCAAGTCGACGTCGCTTACCACTCCCACCACATGAAGCAAGTAGCCCAACAATATCGCCTCCTGATGGGCAAAATTGTTCCGAAAGAGTCCGGCATCCCCTTTCATTCAGCAGTGCACGGCCGGAAAATACCTGCGAAGGATCTGGATGCGTCATATTGGGCCGATAATCTTGTCTCCAGGGTGGAATTCGTACAGGCTCTGCAGAACCTCGTCACGGAAAACCCGAAGGTTACTACGCTTATCGAAATCGGCCCGCACTGTGCTTTGCAGACGCCCATCAAGCAGATCCTTTCGCAAAGCTCCCCAAACAAAACCATTCAATACCTTCCGAGTCTGAAGCGCAAAGTCGACGCAGTTGAAGCGGCCCAGCAATTAGTGGGCGCTCTCTTCGTGCGAGGGTATTCAGTTGACCTGGGTGCCGTGAACTTCCCCGACTCCGGTGAGAATGCCCGCAAGCCTACGCTGTTAACGAATATGCCAAAATACCCCTGGAATCATTCCGAGCGATATTGGCACCTGTCTCGCTTGGCGCATAATCTGTATTATAGACCGACACCGCGCAACGACCTACTAGGCTCACTCTGTATGGAAAATGTTGAATTCGAGCCGCGCTGGAGAAACATCCTTCGGTTGGATGACTTTCCCTGGATTCGCCAGCACAAGGTCCTCGGGAGCAATGTGGTACCGTTAACGGCATTCCTGTCCATGGCAATTGAAGCTATGGCCACGCACGCAGCACTTCATCACATTACCCTGGAGAAGGTCGACCTTCGAGATGTTTCAATATCGCGTGCCTTGACGATCGCCGAGGGTGCTTCCGTGGAGACAATGTTCACATTGAAACGCGTCAATGAATCCGCCAGCAAGCCTATTGATAGCTGGCATGAGTTCAAAGCCTTCTCCTGGGTTGAAACGCGTGGCTGGGAGCAACATTTTCAAGGTTTCGTAAAAGGCCAAGAAAGTCAGCATGCGAATCCTGTCGATGGACAGCGACGACAAGCAGCCATTTCAGCAGAGATATCGCGCCAACTATCAGACCTCAAGGCCTCATGCACTGTACCTGTTGGCTCAGAGACTCTTTACAGCAATGTTGGGAGCAGCGGGGTTGAATATGGGCCGCTTTTCCGGTGCTTGTCTAACATCTTGGTCAGCGAGGACTCGAAATCAAGAGCCACGTTCTCTGCGCCAGATACCAAGACCTGCATGCCTCTCGAGCACGAAACTGATTGCATCATCCACCCGGTCGCATTGGACCACTGCCTCCAACTACTGTGGACACTACTAGGGTATCAGCACGGCCGATTAGATGTAACGCACGTCCCGTCCCGGATCTCGCAGTTTTCAATTTCACTTAAACGCCCCTTCTCTGCAGGCACCCAATTTGAGCTGTATGCGCGCCCCCCTCTGCCTTCTCCAACACGTCGCCCACGGGGTAATCGCATCCTTGTCATGCGGCCCGAAGACCCTCAAAATCCAGCCATCGAAATTGACGGGGTAGTAATGATCCCTTTGACGAACGACGGCGGCAAATCCTGGGCAAAAGAGCCTAATGCCATGTGCTACAAACTTCACTGGGAGCCGTGTCTTGACTTTCTCTCCACGAAAGATTACAAGTCTCTTCTGGAAGGAAGCAATGGAGATCCACATGGTGTTCAGAGGATGCGACTTCTGGACCGGTTGGCGGAACATTACCTTCGCAACGCCCTGGAGCAGGTCTCGCATGAGGAAGTGCGCAATCTGGAGAACCATTACCTCAAGTTTTATCACTGGATCCAAAAAGCTTGTAAATCCGCCCGCCTTGCACAGCCCCTGTCGGAGCAGACCATCGACTACGTTCGAACCATGAATGGGTCTGGTGCTCTCCTGTACCAAATTGGCTCGTCACTTCCCAAGATCCTTCGGGGTGAAGTGGACCCGTTGAATTGTATGCTCGAGGACGACTTGCTAAACAGATACTATCAAGAGATCGATAACATGCGTCAATCCTACTCCCAGGTCTCGGTTTGCATTAAGCAAATGGGACATCAGAACCCCAACATCAACATCCTCGAAATCGGTGCTGGCACAGGCGGTGCTACTGTACCTATCCTCGAAGCCCTTGGAGGGGGGAAGTCCGGAACAACCCCACGATTCAGCCAGTACACCTACACCGACATCTCTCCCGGCTTCTTTGAGAAAGCCAAGATTAAGTTTGAACCGTGGGACCATCTCATGACATACCAAACTCTCGACATATCCTCCGATCCGACAAAGCAGGGTTACCAGCCTCATTCATACGATCTAGTCGTTGCCTGTAACGTCCTCCACGCAACTCCAGAGATCAACAAGACAGTCGAACATGTCCGGATGCTGCTCAAGCCAGGGGGCAAATTGATCCTGATTGAGGAGACTTCGTTCAAAGCCAGACTTTTCCCTTTCGCAGCTCTGCCTGGGTGGTGGCTAAGCCAGGATGCGAATCGCGTTGACGGGCCACTTCTCGATCTCGATGGGTGGAACAGTGTCCTAACCGCAAATGACTTCTCGGGGATCGATGTCCAGCTCGACGACTATCCGGACTCGGAAGATCGAAGCAGTAGCATCATGGTTTCTACGGCCAAGGGATCGAAGAATGGACCCGAGAACGATGGTGATATTGTCATTATCAACAATGATAGGAGCCACAAGTCCCATTTAAGGGATGGCTTGAAGAAGTCCATAAGACAGACGACAGGCGTTGATCCCGTTGAAGTCGCACTAACCCAGGCGAATGTTACTGGCAAGTGGTGCATCTTCCTCGGCGATATGGAACAGCCGATCCTTTCGCAATTAGACCCTGGACACTTCAAGAAGATCCAGAATCTGGTCAGCGGCGCTCGAGGGCTACTATGGGTCATCCAACACAATAACAAGGATTCACGATCTCTCGCCGAGAACATGGTGATAGGTCTAGCTCGAACGGTGAGGTCGGAAACTGGCTTACCATTCGTCACGTTGGACCTGGGCGAGAAACTGAATATATCAACCGTGGAGGCTATTGGTCACATCGAAAAAGTGTTCAACGGTGCTTTCTGTCGAAAGTCACAGCTCACTGAAGCCGATATGGAGTTCACAGTTCGCCAAGGGCGTATCTGCGTATCTCGTCTTGTCGATAACGATGCGCTCAATTTGAGCATCCAACAGGAGGCCCAGGAGGCGCCACCACAATTGCAACTCTTCCAACAGCCACAGCGACCCTTGAAGCTGACCACCGGACATAGCAGAATGTTGGATGAGTTGTACTTCACGGACGACCAGTCTCTGGCAGCCCCGTTGCCTGAGGATTATATTGAAGTCCGCGTCTCGCATGTGGGACTGAACTTCAGAGATGTTCTAGTTGCGATGGGTCAGCTCCAAGAAGGCATGCTCGGTCAGGAGTGTAGTGGTGTCGTTACCGCCGTTGGAATGAAGGTGACTGACTTCCGAGTTGGGGATCGTGTGTTTGCAATGTCGCCTGGATGCCTTTCCACAATCGCACGATGCCCGGCGTATTGCGCCTGCACTTTACCCGAGAATGTCTCCTTAGAGCTAGCAGCCTCTATTTCCACAGTCTTCAGCACCGCATACTACTCCTTGATCGACCTCGGACGACTACAAAAAGGGGAGAGCATTCTCATTCACGCCGCCGCCGGAGGTGTCGGACAAGCAGCCATCATCATAGCGCAGTCTATCGGCGCCAAAGTCTTTGCCACAGTTGGCAGCCAAGAGAAGAAAGAATTCCTGATAGAGACTTACAATTTTGACAGTGACCAGATCTACTTCAGCCGAGATACCTCTTTCGCTCGGGGGATCCTGCACGCCACGGACGGCGAGGGGGTAGACGTGGCCTTGAACTCCCTGGATGGAGACGCGTTACAAGCGACTTTTAAATGTGTTGCTCCATTCGGACGGTTCATTGAGATGGGAAAGAGGGACATCGTTCAGAACTCCAGATTAGAAATGGCGCCTTTTGATCGGAACGTGTCGTTTGCCTCGGTGGATATGAACATTGTAAGGGAAAAGCGACCGATGATGTTCAATAGATTGTTGCGCAATTCTGTCGACTTGTTCGTGCGAAGCCAGGCCCTAACGCAGTGGCCCGTCACCACAATTCCCATCTCAGAAATTGAATCCGGCTTCCGCGCCTTGCAAGGTGGTCAGGTTATCGGTAAGATGGTCGTCCGGATGGTAGACGATCCAGACGGTGAACATGCCATGGTGAAGGTATGATACGTTTGATTGCCACAATGACATGGTCTCAAGTACTAACAATCTTGCAAAAATAGGTTCATCCAGCCAGAAAGCCTGGCGCCCTCGTCCAGCCGAATGCGTCGTATATCATCGTCGGAGGAACAGGAGGAATCGGCCTCGACCTCGCCAGCTGGCTCCCCAGCAAAGGCGCCACACATCTTATTCTAGTTTCTAGAAGTGGCGCCGCAAGCGACAACGCCAAACGAACTGTCCAAGAGCTGACAGAGAACGGCATTATAGTCGAAATCTGCCGCTGCAACATATCCAACCAGGCAGATGTGACAGAAAAGCTCGGCCATATTCTGCGCCAAATGCCCCCCGTCCGTGGAGTCATCTACGGCGCTATGGTTCTTCGCGTATGTTCCCCTAGATTCAAGCATATCCGGAAAAATACATAGCTGACGGATTTCAGGACATTCTCTTCGAGAAAATGACCCATAACGACTACATGGCGGTCATTAAGCCCCGAGTCCACGGTATCATGAACCTACAATCTCTCCTCAAATCCTCATCCACCCTCGATTTCTTCATCAACCTCTCCTCCGGCGCCAGCTTCATCGGCAACATGGGACAAGCCCAATACGCCGCCAGCGGCGGGTTCATGGCCGCCCTCGCCCAATATCCGCAAGCCTCAGGCCTACCCTGCACAACGCTCGACCTGCCCATCGTCCGGGGAGTCGGATATCTCAGCGAGGACCAACAGAAGCTCGAACAAGTCTCCGCACAGCTCGGCACTTCAGCCATCACCGCAGTCGAGATCCGATGCATTGTCGCAGCCGCGATACGGAACGAGATCCGCGAATCCAGCGAAGGCCACTGCGTCATTGGATTCGATTTCATAAAATCGACGCCCGTCGCCGAGCTCCCACACTGGGTCAAAGACGCACGTTTCTCGAACCTCACCCGTCTCTCGCAACTCATGGAAACCGCCGCGTCGAACAGCGCAGCGGCGAAACAGACCGCCGTCGAAGTCTCCCCGGCTACTGCTGTGCGCTCGGCGCGGGCCCTTGATGCAGCCGAGAGTCTGGTCGTCGACGCGGTAATCAAGAAGCTGTCGAGTATTTTGATGCGTCCGGCAGAGGAGTTGGATCCGTCTGTCCCGATCTCTGTGTATGGGTTGGACTCTTTGGTTGCGATTGAGGTCCGGAATTGGATTACTAGGGAGTTGGAAGCCAGTTTGCAGATCTTGGAGATTTTGGCGAGTGATTCCCTGCCTGTGTTGGCGCGGTTGATCTTGAAGAAATCGGGGATCTTGTCGGTTAAGGTCAAGGGGGAATGGGGGTTGATTGGGAATGAGAGTTAAGTCGCTGAGGGGATGGTGTGGTTTGGTTTGATTGGTGATGTTAAATTGCAGTTTATTTCGTTTATATTGATTGATGTTAGATGTTTTGTGAATTCGCTGTAGATGCATACGTTATATACGATAATATCATTTTTGCTGTTTCCCGAACTCTATAGATCAGATCTGTTGCCTTGAATCCTTGATTGTGCCGTAGACAGAGACAAGATAACAGGTCTACAGACAGTTTATGAAGGGACCGGTCCTCTGAATCCCATTTCAAACTGAATTCATCAAATCTATGCCACACGAGCTTTCTCGATTGAAGAATAACCGGACTAAACGACCAAAGCCCAGCCCATGCCGTTGGCAGAATCAAACCCCAAAGGAACACTTAGTTATACGTTGGTCACGAGCATTCCATACAACATAGAACCTAATAGCTCCCCGACCTAATCCTCCAAGTGTCGCCCTCCACAAAAGACGGCTTGCTGTAGCCACTCTGAATGATGGCATCAGTCTCAAGCTCCAACCCACATAGCTTCAAGGGCGAGTCTTCCTGAGTCCACACAATCAGAGCCACAGTGTTAATGCCGTCATACTTCAAGATTCCCTCAGGAACAGGGAACCTTGTCTGTGGTCCAATATTGTTGACTACCCAAATCAATCAGCTCGAATCCTTAACCAAGCAAAGTGAACGTAAAACATACCATATTTCCCAAACTGCCATCCATTCACGTACAGCACCACACGAAGTTTGGCAGGAGCCCCGTCAGGCATACACTTCTTGAAGACAAAGCTGAGCGGAATGTCATAACCAGCTGGAATAGCGAGGTCGAATCGCGTGGCGTAATATCCAGCCCCATTGGCCGGGAGTTCCTGGAAGGGAGACTTCTTGGGGAAACGTGTCAGTAGTGCCCCGGGGAGATGATAGCCCTTCCGTTCGGCATAGGTGGCTCTTTCGTTGAGCGGTCCTCGACTATGCTCGTAGTAGTTTTCGCCTCCGAAGTTGCCCGTGAGCTTCCAGGAAATGGCGGATTGGTCGCGGCCGTCTAGGTTGTAGTCAAGAATCCCTCGGGGCTCTTTCATTTGCTGAGAAGCTACGAAGAAGTTTTGCTCCAGTCCCATATGGTCAATCAGTATGGTCAGCGTGTAAGATGAGTCGGGGTCTAGTTTGGAGGGGAACTTGAACGTTTGCTTGTGGGACTTCTCCATCGGGGATCCAGGCCATGATCTTGGATAGGTTGAATTCAGCCATACAGAGTAGGCGAATGCATGCCCACTTTGGACCGAGAGGTCTATCGCCGCCTCCTTTCCTGTGGCTACAAAGCTGCCACGGTACAGCAAGGAGCCAGCATGATAGCCATAGTCCGAGGCATAGAGAGAAGTAGGTGTAGACAGCTTTATAGGGTTGTTTGTATCAGTGAGATTGCACGGAGTCCAAAGATCATCCTCGTATGGATTCTCGTCGCTAATCTCTGGCAGTGAGTTGACATAACTCCAGGACGGGCTGTCTTGGAAGTTTGGGAGCGTGATGGTAGGCGCCTTGAAATCCACTCTCCCCATTAAGCGTCCGTTGTTAGACTTGGTGATAACTTTCTGGTCGTTGAAATATAACGAGGAGATCTTCTTTGGTGCAGTGATCAACTCGATCTCAGTTGTACTGTTAATGTCTCCTGTCAGACGCAATGTTTCACCATCAATAGCCGCCGTCCGGAGCAGGTATCCTGCTTTCACAATAACCGCGTCGTTGGCCCGAGAGGGCAATGCGTACAAACCTTTAGGCTGTGGAGCACGGAGTGGAATGACCCAGTAATTGTATGCCTGATTTCGAGACAACAGATGGACCTCAAGTGAACCAAATTTGACAACACGGCGGCGATCGTCTACCTTCCACTGGACCACGGACAGTGAGCCAACTTTCTTGCTTGTGACACCAGGGCCTTCGGCTTGCGTGAAGGCTCCAAGGCTTGCTTTGACCGCGAACTCGTGGGTCTCTCCCGCGCCCCCGTAAAGCACAAGAACAGACTTGGAGCCAGTCCGTTTCCAGGATAGCATCTCGAAGGTCGAATAGACCAATTTGATACCTCCAATGTCGTAGTCCACTAGATGAATCTTGGCATCTCGACCGATAAGCGTGAGCGAACCTCCGAGCAGTGGAATGACGAGATTACCAAGTGAAGTTTTTACTTTCAGCTTGTAAGACACTGCCTTCTGCGACTTAAGGTCGCGGTGGTGAACAACATAAAAGGATGCGGATGATCCTGATAATGGCGTGACAAGCAGGTCACTAGTATCCGTGTAAACCCCAAAAGTGCCGGGTTTCGGCTTCATCGTCAGATATTCTGGGGATGCAGATAGAAAATTGACTTGCAATCTTATCTCGCTGTATTTCTCACGACTGATCCCGCGATTCTCATCGATGGCTGCTCCAACGTCGTAGGACGTATAGCCACCTGGATGGCCGATATTTCCCCAGTTGGTTCCGCCAAAGATCTATACAGACGATCAGTGAATTGTCTTCTTTGATGGAACGCGGGAAAAACTGACAAACCATGTAAAGATTTTGAATAGCGATCCGTAGGCCATAGTTGAGTTTGTATAGAACTCGGGCGAACTCGTGGTTGATAAACGCCGCCTGCTTCTCAACGCCAACGCCACCCCTATAATCAAGTAGTATTAGCAAAGAACAGGCCAGCCATAAAACACTGACAGACATGCCATGCATCCGGAACGCCTCCCTGAAACTCCTGAATTGCCAATGGTCCACCCAGGTTTATCTTCTCTCTGGTAGCGGCGTCGTAGGCTTGAAGTGGGTTTCGAAGCGACGACCAGTTGGTAGGATCAGAAGCTAGGTACTAGTTACCTAATCGCCCATGGAAGGTGGAAGGTATACCTACGACCAGTCTCCCAGCCGAGCGGATAAAAATCGAAACCGTAGATATCTGCGGCGCCGAGACCGGTCCCCGGCGCAAAGTTGCCTACAGGAACAGCATCGTTCACGATAAACGGGACCTCGATCCCTGCATTTCGATATTGTTTCTGAATGTAGGCCATATACTCCTTATCAAGGCAGGATGTGTCAGACGAAGCCTCGCACAGGGAGTACTCATTCTCAGGCTGCAGGAGAATGACCGGTCCACCGTTTGTGACTTGTGCCTTCGCAATAATGCCTCCAATGGTCGTAATGTATGGCGTAATGGCATCTACATAGTCTTTGTCCGATGATCTCACTCGGCCTTTAAGTCGCGATAGCCATCCGGGGAACCCACCCCCGGATACCTCGGCGTTAATGTAGGGTCCTGGCCGCGCAATTAGGTAGACACCGGCTTCGCTAGCGGCCGCAAAGAATTTCTCCAAGGCAAACACCCCGTCGACTCTGACTTGACCAGGTTCACCCTCGAGGAGTGCCCAATCCACGTAAAATGAAACGCACGAGTACCCTAAGGCACGAACCTTTTGGAATACATCCAGCCACAGGCCAGGGGAGGGAAGGCGGAAGGGGTGAAATTCACCAGAAAGAAGAAGAAGACGCTCCCCTTGGACTGAGATTGAGTACTTGTCCCACGTAACTATATCCTGTGCTGAGGCCTGTCCCTGTGCCATCCCGGTAAAAGTGATCAGGGAGATGCACAAGGAGGCGAGAGTCCAGCATTGTGGCCAAGATAGGCCCTTCATTGTGATAATTAAATTCCTTGAACTGTTTCTCTTGTTATGAAATAAAACGTGTCTTGATCAGATAACAAGTCACAGTGGGAGGGTAAGGCAATTAAATACCAGCCATGAGCATGAATAAGAAAGGGACGTGCTATACTTGCAGATGGTCTAGCCGCGCCTGTCCCGTCGGTTCAGACGGTATCCAATCGCTTCTTTTACGGATGCTTAATTTAGCCCCCGTCTTGGTTTGTCATGCGCTGCAGAAACAGTCTATCGCGGAGAACCCTGGCATGAACATTCTTGTCAGCCATCCTGCATGAGCGAATAAGAGAGCTTGTTTGGTGCTGTGACAATGCAAGAACCTGCATGGTCTCATCCTTCTGTTTCTTGATCTCATGCATGAGCAGGTTCAACTGAGGGGTGAGCTAATAAAAATGTCAGTCCATCATGGCCTTCTGTAAGCTATGGCCTCATTGTTATTGGCGCCGTGAACTCCTCGATGACCCAGCTACCCAAACGCCGTACACTCTCTGGTTTTAGTAAAGTGGTTACCTCGTGTAAATAAAATATTGGTAGCGAGAGCAGATAACGCCAAAAACTTTAGACCACGGGGTACTTCAGACGGTTAAAAGAAGGTGGCGGGACTCGGGTCCGACTCGCAGCAAGAGATACTAGCGCTGTATATTAATAGGTATCAGAGCGATCAATTACGCCCCAATCACAGTAGTTAATGCGATAGAAGTTAAACTAGTGCTCGTATCCGTACACGTACCTTTTTTCAAATTTATTGGCTGCGGGGTTCAACCACCCTTGTCATCTCCAGCAAAGGGCAATGAATCTGTGAAGAACGTAAACCATCCATGGCCGCTCTTTTGATCCCTGCATCTAGTGACCGTCATTCGTGGAGAGATTCAAGTATAGAGTAGATTATAGTGAAGGCGGAACTTGGGCTGGACGGCTTAGCTCGCAAAGCCTGCAAACGTAGGTATGGCTTGGATTTGGAAGAGGCCACACGGAGCTTAACCACCTAATTAACGAGAAAATTGCGATTTGTATAGCTAGCGAGACTCCAAGGTCAAAAGAGAAGAAAAATATAAATAATCTAGCGCTTGACTGTTTCGTATGTACGTTTTCTCCTCGATTTGCTCTGGCATTGTGGCAGGGTTATGTCACACCATGAATAATGGGATGCTTTAACGCCTCAGTTGTCAATTAAAATGGCAATTCTCGACTGAACTGTACTTTCCTGTTGGAAGAGTTGCATATGTTATCTATTTATAATCAGACTTGGGGATGGATTTCGGTGGGAGAAGTCGAAAGAAGCCATTTAGGGGAATCAAAGAAGGTGATTGTGATTCGGAAGGTAGCGCTTTGGGGAATGTGAAAAGCATCAGGCGATCTGCCCTTCTACATAGTAGACCATTGAGGGAAGCTAAGAACACTTTAACAGGCCACCTTTCTGTCGACACACTAATACTAAGTTGTGCTCTTCCAATGCTGCATACCGTCGGACGAGTAGAAGCATGGGAGGATCGGCCGTAAGTCACAATATATAGTTCGGTAAAGCACAGTACATACTGCCATGATATAACAAAAAGCCAAGTAATTGATGACTTACATATTAATATTACAACGGCCTTGGAAATGTTTACATATAGAATCAGCTTAACATTCTAGTCGCAGCGATAAGTAGTGGTTGTTTCCCCACGTACTGGGGCCGCATACTTCGGAATATTGCAGTTCCGATCGCACGATCGGTTGGGCTTCTTCTTTGAGCAATTTAATCCGGTGGAGCCACACTTGCTGTTTTCTCCGGGGTACCAAGCCTACTCCGTATGGCGAATTTGGCTTGTATAGCTCCATTCCGCTAGGGAAGGTGAATGCAGGTGAAACAGTATGGCAGATCAAGCTCGGACCGCGAAAAGGCACACCAAGGTGGCAAATGCGTGCCTGCGCTGTAAGCGCCAGAAGCTGAAAGTTAGCACAATCCAGGCTTCGGTTAACCTCGTGAATTGTCGTTAATGTACATGTAGTGCGATGTCCAACGCCCGTGCACTCTTTGCGTCAGAGCTGATTTGGACTGTCAGTCTGGTCCAAACACCCGGTGGAAGCCATACCAGCCCTCGGAATCAACCCCTAGACAGGCTCCGACGGCGTCCCACACAGCCTCCGATGCAGCCCAGTCTAACCAGCCTCACACGAGTAATGTATCTGGGGTCAGTCCCAGCTTTCTTGGATCAGCGGACACTGGGACAGCAACTCATGGCAACGGTCGATCTTGGAATTCGAGTTCCACCATGTCCCTTGTGAACGGGGTAAGTCTTATCCAACCCATAGTCAGGCCCATGGCTTAGCTTCCCAGGCTTTCCAGCTGCATAATGTATCCACTCTTGGAAACCCGGCCACGAATGCTCTACCTGGTGGCCATACCCAGGAAGTCGGGCTGGAAAGCTCAAGCGACGAGGCGGGGATGAGGGCTGCCTCACCAAGCACAAATGCCGGTGAGATACTAGATAATACCCAAATAGTACGACCGATGTCTCTCTTTTCAAGTCCGGCTTTGACAGACATGATTTCCTTGTTGCCAAACATCGAGGCAGCTTCTCTGCTGGTGGACACCTATTTCGATCGCGTCCACTGGTTCATGCTTATCTTTCACCAGGATGAGTTTCGTCAGCGATGGCCCAAGCTATATCAACTGTCTCGGAGACAATCACGCCAGAGTTCTCACTGGACTGGGTTCGTAAGCACGTTGCTCATGGTCATCGCCATCGGGCTTCAGTATGCCGGGCCGCATCGACAGCGACTCCTGGCCCGTCATGGTGTCTCCCAAGACCTGAAAGAGCGTATTCTTTCCACAGTTAGAGCCAGGCTCCTTGATATAGTATCGCTGGGATCACTCGAGGCAGTTCAAACGTGCATTCTGTTGGGGACCTTTTATTTGTACCACGGCGCGCCCCGCTTGGCTTGGCCTGTATGCGGATGTGGACTCCGTATTGCACAGGCTCTTCAATTGCATCGAAAGCTGCGGCCATCCGGGACACAAAACTTGCACATGCAGAAGGAGACTCGGAAACGGTGCTGGTGGGCCATATATGAGATTGAAACATTCTGTGCCGTCTCATATGGCTACCCCCACAGCATCAGAGACGCCGATTGCGACGTCGAGCCGCTTGATCCGTTGGCAAAGCTGCCAGTATCTCAATCACCGAGCTCCTTTGACGAGCCGCTCACCGGTGAACCTACTTTACTCTCATACAAATACTTCATGTCGAAACTATCGGTCATAACCAAGCAAGCGTTGGCGGAGCTGTATCGTATCGGTCCTGATTATGCAGAAAATGCAGCACGGGTCCCACCATCCTCAGACCTGCGAGGCATAATTCGAAAAGTGGATGATTTCGATTCCCGCCTTCGCCAATGGGATACAGAGATTCCAGCGAAGCTTCGATGGCAGAATGTAGCCCATAATATCAACTACACATCACTGGAAGAGGTTGACGAGGATATTGGAGCATCTGGGCCACGATTCGAGAACCATATCTACCAGCTTCAAGCTTTAGCTCTTACCCTGGCCTACGAGAGCTCTCGAATCTTGATCTACAGGCCGCTTCTGTCTTATAAACTCATTAACAGGCCCGGAACTGAAAGCATCTCGGATGACTTCGAATCTGCTCCGGCGAATCCATTAGAAGCATCATTGAGGAGCTGTCGTGAGGCTGCCATCAAGATGTCCGAAATATCATCTAGTGCTATTGTCGATCTGGTGTCAGAAACTTACGCCGCGGGCTTCGTCAGTATCCACACATTCACAGCTGGAGTGGCACTAGGAATCATTACCAGTATGGATCCTTTGAATTCACATTCTGGGGATACGAAGCGTGGCCTACGTCAACTCATGGGGATTCAGGAGAAGCTTAAGTCGCGATCTATCATGGCAGAACAAGGGCTAGAGATTTTGCAACGTTTAACAAAGTTGGTCATGGAGAAGGAACTCAGCGTAATGCTAGATTTGTCAAAGCCAGGAACAACAAGTTCAAATACGCCAAGAGCAGATGTTCCCAGCCAAAGTGTGACCTTGAACGATAGCTCCGCCGTCGCAAATCCCACCATGGCACCCCGTTATCCAAACACTGCACCCAGGTCCATTGGTGATCCAACAATGCCACCGGTGGAAACCGACCTAGCTGATACAAGCACCATGCTCAACGATCCACCCTTTCAATATATGGAAAACTTTGCATTCTCCGGTGCTCTTGATGATTTTGACCAAGGTCGGACTCCCATGTGACTCCCTTGCCGCTATCATGGTATCTTACTAACGAAAACAGCCTTATCGACATATATTCCTCGACTACAGCCGGGTGGTGACGATAGCCTCCTCGATTGGTCTTGCATATCGCAGGACCAGGGATTTCCAATGTTAGAGCAAACGTGGTTCTGGGGTCTGGATAACGTTTCTTCTCACCTCGGCAGTGAGGATCAAGAATGGTGAAACGGGATTGCTGGCAATCTTGAACAATGAAAAGGCCCATTTATTTATTCGCATGGTTCATGGCAGAGCTACACAAGTGTACCTGCGGCGACTTATGCTAGGCTGCTTCTTTGAGTGTATTAATATCGGATAGCATGCTATCGGGGCTTGGGCTGAGTGACGAAAAGGACATAGTAATCCGATGGTCTTAACGCAGAAGAACCAGTCATGAAACGATCCGACGATCTCGGAGTAGTGCAGAGTACATGTATCGAAGACCTTTCCATATTGAGGAGGGACAGATGTATCAATGTCGTTATGGGAAAGATGGGATGCATCGAAACTGAAGTCGGGCATATAGTGCAGATCATATTGGCACAGGGCCCCTATCCACAGACTAGACATCAAAAGGGATACCCGAAACTAGCCGTGTGGGTCTCCCGCACGGCTCTTACGCGCGCTAAAGCCTTTGCTGGTAAATGACGCAACGTACGCAACTCAATTCGCAACGCGTCCGACAACATCTACTTGCTAGCTGGCGCATAAAGATAGTATGCTGACTAGATTAGATTCTATTCGATAATGTTTTTCAGGACGGGAGTCTGTAGTTCTTTGGCGAATCTACGATTCAGTCGGACACATCAGACAGTAGTTATCGGTGTCTTCTTGTTTTGTTTTTATAGAGTCATAATGTCTTCGCTATGGGATATTAGTACATCTTCGCTCAAATCATTTTCTATCATGCCGCAAAGAGCCGCGCTAGAGAAGTCACGGGTTTTATCAACGAATAACTATATTACTATCGATGCCGATACGTTGGTTGAAGAGGAGGAGTTGTTTGATTATCAAGCTGATCGATTCTATCCCGTTCAATTGGGCGAGATTTTTTAAGATCGCTATCAATTTGTGGCAAAGCTAGGATTTGGTTTTTCATTGATCACTTGGCTGGCCCGAGATTTGAGGTAAGTTTTTCGAGAGGTTTAAATTGGACGATAACTGATTTTTATAGGTATCGCCAATATGTCGCATTTGAATTATACGTTTATATCTCGCTTCATCATCGGGAATTGTCTGTTTATGACTGTATTAATAGTTGTATGGCCGAAATGTCATTTAAAGGGCGAGGAATAAATAACATTCGAAAGCTGCTGGACTCTTTCGAGGTGACTGGTCCGCATGGCAAGCATGCTGTTCTTGTTTTTGAGCTCGCGCAAATGAGTTTGCGTGATATGAAATTTGTTTTTTGTCGAGAAGGGTTTGAGGAGGAATTTGTCAAGGGTGTTATTATCGAATTTCTTAAGGCTTTAGACTTCCTGCATTCCCACGGAGAGATTGTTTATACTGGTATAGTTCTTTTCGGAGATCGTGGGCTTAGATTACAAGTTTTTCTATTGATATTTAGCAGACGTACACTCCGGTAACATGTTACTTGGCCTTTACGATAATAATCTCCTGCGTTTATTGGAAGACAAGGAGATGACATTTCCTGTTATTCGAAAGATCTATTCCGATAGAATTATATATTTCTTACGGTTATCATTATCAAAGGAAGGACCTATGCTTCTTTTTGACTTTGGAGAAGCGAGAATCGGACCGGGCTTTTACGCAGGCGATATAATGCCATTGGAGTATCGGGCACCTGAAACACTGTTTTACGTGGGATGGAGTTATCCGGTTGATATATGGAGTGTTGGTCTTACAGTGAGTCGCTGTTGTATTGGATTCGATTCCCATAATTTCCTGTTAAAGAATTCATAGGCATGGGATATGCTTGGATCGAAAAGACTCTTCACCGCGCGTGACGAAGATGGTGATCTGTACGATGCCGCTCATCTGGTTCAGCTGATTGCTGCACTGGGCCCACCGCTTTTTGAGTTCTTGGCCAGGAATCCGGAGAGATGGGCGGACTTTTGGAATGATCAGAGTATGCCTTCCTTCTACGAAGATCACTTGTGTGCGTTGCTAATCCATTATAGATGAGTGGCTGGGTCTGGCATCTATACCGCATGACCGGACAATCGAATCTCTTGAAAACAAACTCGATGATAACTCGGGCTTTCTTCGCTTCCTGCGGAAGACTCTTACTTGGGAACCGGAGAAGAGGGCGACGGCTAAGGAGCTTTTGGAGGATCCTTGGCTCATGGGGAAGGAGGGTTGAATGAACACAAGTTGCTGTTTTAATTACACAGATTAAAGTGGCAATTGAATGAAGGAAATGAGAAACAGGATCTCTGAATCTTTGGGTACTCTGCCTTCTTCTACTCCTTCACGAGGCGTTTCTGAAAACATATCTTACGATTTTGACGTCAAAGATCTAGAGACTTTACGCATTGTAGTAGGTAGAATACTGACATGTTATAAGGTTATTTCAAGATGAACCAGGAACAATACAAGGGTAACTGCGAGATAAGCAGCTTATGAACATTCTTATACAGAGCTCGTTCGTTTGCACCCACTCATAGCTAACCAGCTTCGATGAAATGTTTCAAGACCCGATTGACACATCCCTTAATAGCCACCAGTCTCACCCTCCTCCTTCATCGGCTTAAAGAAACCTCAACAGGCTCGTTCCCAATGCCCCTCTTCTTCGCATCCTCCAGGATAGCAATGGTAGCGGTAGCCCCAATCCTCGTAACACCCAGACTCATGACATGCAACAAGTCATCCAACGTCCTCACACCACCCGCAGCTTTAATCTGCACTTTCTCACCCGACTTTTCGCGCATCAACTTCAAGTCTTTCACCGTCGCGCCCTTATAATTATACGACCCATCCGTCTGCTTCACAAACCCATACCCAGTCGAAGTCTTAACAAATGCCACACCAATCTGTGTGCAGATCTCACACAACCGAGCAATATGTTCGGACTGCAAATAATCATTCTCGAAAATGACCTTCAGGATCGCACCATTGGTCGTAACAGCTTCGTTGATCTGCCGGATCTCATCAGACACATAGTTCCAGTCCCCACCGAGGACCTTGCCCACGTTCACGACCATGTCGATTTCCGCGCCTCCTTCCTGCGCAGCTGCCGTGGCTTCGGTGACCTTGATGGCGGTGGTGCTGTTGCCGTGGGGGAAGCCGATGACCGGACAGACGAGGACGTCGGAGCCTGCGAGTTCCTGTTTGGCGAGAGAGATGAGGTAGGGTTTAACGCAGGCTGTGGCAACGTTGTTGTCTCGGGCTATTTTGAGGCCGGCGAGGATGTCCGCGTCGGTCATTGTTGGGTGGAGAAGGGAATGGTCGATCATTTTAGATAGTTGGGTTAGGGTGACCGTGATAGTGTTGGTTTGGGTGGACATGTTGGTGTTGTTGGTTGGGGATTGATGATTTGGATGTAGGAATGATTTGGGGGGGGGAGGTCAAGGTGGTGAGTTTAGTTGGTCTTGAAGTTAGACCCCCTCAGGAAGGGTATCTAGTATGTTTAAATATCCTATGTCTACGCATTGATGTATATAGTGCTCATAGGTGCAGCCCTAATCTTCCGGCGGATTCATAGCCATATGCGGTAACCCTCTCCACCGGAGATCTCTACCCTACCTCATGAGCTGCTCCACCAACTAACTACTACTGGTTAGCTAGATAATGTCTAGCTTCCACCGGAATCAGCTACCTTGACAGGGAAACCGGAAACACACTGCTTACTGCGTGGGGGTTCTATAAAACCTAGGCACACGCGGGGATAATCCAAGATCGCTTCTACCATTCCAACCTCATATTCCACCTTCCCCTAACCTCAAAACCCCCAACCCACCATGCGCGCAACAATCCACCTCATCCGCCACGCCGAAGGCGAACACAACCTCCCCTCCGCACCCCCCAATCTAACCGACCCACTCCTAACACCCCACGGCCGGTCCCAATGCCTCACACTCCGATCCGCGGCATCACAAATCCATCCACGGATCTCCCTAATCACGGCATCTCCAATGACCCGAACCCTCCAAACAGCCTATCTAGCATTCGAACCTGCCCTGGCAAACGGGCACTGCAAGCCCAAGATCCTCGCTCTCCCTGACGCGCAGGAAGTATGCGATTATCCGTTCAATACGGGGTCGGATCTCCCCATCTTACGTGAACGAGTGTCCCCGGCACATCTGAACATCCCTGTGGATCTATCCCGTGTCACCGAAGGATGGAATACCAAGGCCCCTGGGTCACGATATTATCCCTCGCGAGTGGCGCTGAAAGCTCGAGCTCGGGACTGTCGGAAGCAGCTATTCGATCTTGCAAGTGAGTTGCACGATGAAGGGGTTAAGGAACCAGAGATCGTGGTCGTAGCGCATGTGAGCATTTTGCATTTCCTCACGCAGGATTGGGAAGATGCGGGAAAGTTCAATGGGGGTGGGTGGAGCAATGCGGAGATGAGGTCTTACGATCTGAAGCTGGATGAGGACGGAGCTGGAGTTGCGCTGGTTGAGACGCCTGAGTCGAGACGGGGCCGAGGGAAGGACGGGGTGGCTTTTTCGGCAGATGAGCAGGAACAGATGTTTGAGAGGGCTATGATTGAGTGGGAGGAGCAGGGGCTTCATCCTATCCATTAATGCGTGGGAGGAAATATCGTATTGCTAGGATGGAGGCTTGGGTTTGTGGACAGTGCTCGCACGGGCTATGGTGGCTACACAGAAATATACAATAGACAGCCTAGACAATATTATATCCCCCAGTCTTCGCAGATATCATCTAGAAAGCTCACGCGACGAAATATTTCTGGAAAGAAAAACGTTGCGAAATTCCAATAGATGTAAATGGCCAGCAGCCAGAAATGTCCGGGCCACAGGCAGGGTACGAATTTATTTCAAGGAGAGCCTTTCCCGCGCCTTACTCATATATAAGTATGAAGTGCAAAATACACAACCATCATGGCGAATAGACCGCTCATCTTGCCACTAGCATTAATCACTCTAGTTTTTTAAGCACTGGGGTTATATCCGCATCATTCCCACAGAGTACTAATCTCTGGTATTCAGTAACCTTGTAGTTGTATAGACGTAGCGGCTGTTTAAAGTTCGCGGTGGAAGTTGGGTGAGCCAAACAATGCACCATATGCCAAGAAGGGCTGTGCAAGTTGTCATGGACAAATCAGAGCACTTGATTACGCTAACCAAGATCAACGTCTTGATTCTTTAACCAAGTTACTACTGGTTATGGTACTTTCTCAGCTGCCGGGAGTAGCTACGTAGTCATTGCGTGGGCTGAGAAACGATACCACGGACCGGAGATGAATCATGTCATCACCATCGAGACTTGATCAACCGTAGCCCAGAAGGTATACGTTGTTATAGGCGGCGACCAAATAGCGTGAATACGAATCTGAACCAGGTCTACCTTCCACCACCAAATTACATATAAAGTCATGCTAGAAACCAGATACAGACGTAGGAATGTAACGCCACGTGCATGATTCCTTGCTTGATTAGTGCAAATGGCCAAACCCAGCATACCATTGTACACAAACGAGCCTTTGCCCGAAGCATTGGCTCTAGACCTGCAAGATGAGAAGGAAAAGCACATACCCGACAACAAGTTTGCTTTCTCCCCAGGCCAACTGAATAAGCTTCTGAATCCAAAATCCCTCTCTGCTTTCCACGCGATGGGTGGGCTTCAAGGTCTTGAGTACGGACTGCAAACCGATTTAACGGCAGGTTTGTCGGCGGATGAGTCTACACTGTTGGGTTATGCCACATTTGGGCAGATCCGTGAAATTGCCGGGTCAAGCAAGAATAACTCTCCGGAATACTTCACAGGCGCTTCAATGTCGCTATCCGGGACGCCACCATTGCCGTTCTCGGATAGAAGGCGAGTTTTTGGGTGTAATGTCGTCCCCGAGGCCAGAAGAAAGAGTTTTCTGAGACTTCTCTGGGATGCCTATAACGACAAAATCCTTATTCTCCTGACCATTGCAGCTGTCGTGTCTTTATCCCTTGGAATATACGAAGCAGCAAGTGGACAATCTCAGGTAGACTGGATTGAGGGGGTTGCCGTGTGCGTTGCGATCCTGATAGTAGTTGGGGTAACGGCGGGGAATGACTGGCAGAAAGCGAAGCAATTTGCGAAGTTGAACAGGCGGGTACTGTTCATGTGGCTCGCGTCCTAGCATTGTTCTAACCTCTATAGAAATCTGATCGCCAAGTGAAGGTGGTACGATCCGGGAAGACCGTCCTGGTCCATAGCAGCGAATTAAACGTGGGGGACGTTGTGTATCTCGAGGCTGGGGATTCTGCTCCCTGCGACGGCGTGGTTATAACAAACCATGGAATCAAATGCGACGAATCGTCAACAACCGGCGAGTCGGACCAGGTTGAGAAAGTCAGCGGGACTGAAGCGTGGACTGGACTCAGTAGTGGCGGACCGTGTGAGGAGTTGGATCCTTTTATAATATCCGGAAGTAAGGTTCTTGAAGGGCTGGGAACATACCTGGTCACCAGTGTCGGAACTCATTCAACGTATGGCAAAATCCTGAGTGTCTTGGGGACTGACTCCGACCCCACCCCGCTGCAGGTAAAGCTGAGTCGCCTAGCAAACTGGATAGGATGGTTTGGATTGAGGTATGAGGGACTTACTTGCAGGCCAATATGAGTTATACACTGACACAAAGGAATACAGTGCGGCTTTGCTGTTATTTGTGGTCCTCTTCATCCGTTTTCTAGTTCAGCTCCGTGGAAATGACGCTACGCCTGCGGAGAAAGGCCAGAATTTCATGGATATTTTGATAGTAGCGGTTACCGTAATCGTCGTTGCAATACCTGGTACGGAAGAAACCTTCCTGAAGTTGGAGTAGACTTACTAACGACATATCAGAGGGTCTCCCACTTGCAGTAACGTTAGCATTGGCATTTGCGACAGCTCGTATGCTGAAGGAGAACAACCTTGTGCGGCTGTTACGAGCATGCGAAACCATGGGCAACGCCACAGTTATATGTTCTGATAAAACAGGAACCCTCACAAAGAACAAGATGACCGTAGTTGCAGGTTTGCTCAGCACTCATGAGCTGTTCGGGGAGCTACCCGCGGGTTCCCCCCTACACAAAAGAACAGCTACTGTTTCGGAAGCTTTGCAGAAGTTCGGAGGTGCCTTTAGGGAACTGCTTTGCGCGAGTGTCACTCGCAACTCTACTGCGTTTGAGTTGCAAACTGACAGTGGAAAGGAGTTCAGTGGAAACAAGACAGAGGTAGCTCTCCTTCAGTTTGCGGAGAGTCACCTTGGTATGACAAGCCTCGCCGAAGAACAAGCAAACATGCAATTAACCCATGTGTACCCGTTCAATTCTATCCGCAAAGCGATGGCGGTGGTGTACAAGACATCAACTGGGTATCGATTGCTCGTGAAGGGGGCGGCCGAGCTTGTACTTCGGTCTTCCACAGAAGTGGTGTTGGCGCATAAATCAAGTACAGACATGATTGATAAAGCGCAAATACGAGAGGAGGATCACCGGGCAATATCCGACATGACTGCCAAGTTTGCGGAAACGGGCCTGCGGACCATAGGAGTAGCCTATCGGGACTTTGACGTCTGGCCTCCCGAGCAAAATAACGGCCTCGAGACCAATCCAACGGGGTTCGAATCGGTTGTCCATGATCTGACATGGATTGGAGTACTTGGGATTCACGACCCACTGAGACCGGAAGTTGCGGAAGCGATTCGGACATGTCATGCTGCTGGAATCCAGGTGAAGATGGTGACTGGTTGGTTCTTTAGTCAAACGCTGCTCATTCACCCTGAGATGCTAACATAGAAAAGGTGACAATCTCGGCACCGCTCGAGCAATTGCCACATCGTGCGGCATAAAATCCGAAGATGGGTTGATAATGGAAGGGTCTGTTTTTCGGAAACTGGGAGAAAGCGAATTAGACGACGTACTTCCACGACTCCAGGTCCTAGCGCGGTCATCCCCGGACGACAAGCAGCTCCTCGTTGAACGTCTAAGATGTCTTGGGGAAATCGTTGCCGTCACTGGCGATGGGACCAACGATGGTCCAGCTCTCAAGTCGGCCGACGTGGGTTTCTCGATGGGGATGACTGGTACCGAAGTAGCCAGAGAAGCCAGCTCCATAGTCCTTCTCGATGATAGCTTCAAATCTATTGTGACGGCGATTGCTTGGGGGCGGTCAGTTAACGATGCTGTCGCCAAGTTCCTACAGGCATGCTTCACATCCTGGCAGCCTTCTTTGAACGATTGATGCTGACACCGCACAGTTCCAAATCACGGTGAACATTACCGCTGTCTTGATAACGGTAGTGACAGCGATCTACAACGGGGAAAATGAGAGCGTTTTCAAAGCGATTCAGTTGTTATGGCTGAACTTAATTATGGATACTTTTGCTGCATTAGCTTTGTGAGCATCCCTGGTGCATTTAAGCGACTTCACCTCCCGGAAGAGTAAGAGTCCAATATTTCATTCTAATTTCTTATATCCTAGAGCTACGGATCCGCCTACAGCGGACATCTTAAATCGAGCTCCAACTCCGAGGAATGCCCCGCTGTTCACCGCGACGATGTGGAAGATGATACTGGGACAGTCTGTATACAAACTCGCGCTCTGCTTCACCCTCTATTTTGCAGGTGGTAGAATTCTTAACCTGAATACACAAGAGCACACAGAACAGCTAAAGCTCGACACCATTATTTTCAATACTTTTGTCTGGATGCAAATATTCAACGAGCTCAACTGCCGTCGTCTCGACAACAGGTTCAACATCCTCGAGGGGATACAGAGAAATTATTGGTTCTTTGCGATTAATGCCGTGATGGTGGGTGGCCAAATCCTGATCATATTTGTCGGAGGGGCCGCCTTTCATGTCACTAGACTTGATGGGCCACAGTGGGCTCTATGCATAATATGTGGCTTTATTTGCATTCCGTGGGCTGGGATTCTAAAGTTCATTCCCGACAGTTTGGTGGACGGCCTTCTAGGGGGCTGCATGAAGGCAATCAGAGCGCTTGTTCTACCGGTTAAAAGGGCATGTTCCTTTGTATGGAGGGCTATCATCGATCGTCCGGGCTTCTTTAGGATCAGGTCTGGTTCAGGAGCACAGAACCACTGTGTTGACTAGCTGTGACCGCCGTGGTATTACATTATGGCATTCAGCACTGTCCGCTGCCCTTTGCCTGTTCGGTAGCCCTCCATTCCGGTCTGGACCATATGCTGAGTGTTAAATTGAATATATTAGTCAAAATAACGGAGGTACTTCATGGAGAATCTTTGATCGTCAACACAAGCGAAATATCACGATATTATGTTCCGAGAAATGCCGTAGGAATGTAATAAAATGGAAACTAGATGCAGCAAATATGCATGGACCAAGTATCAAACATAAGTTCTTATATACAGTGAACAACCACCACTGATATCTCGATCCACAATTCAACCTCCTCATAATCCTGTCCCCCTTCCATAGGTAGCCCCAATATCACCCCACCGCACATTCGCAAACGTCACCTTCGTATCCGGGTACAACTTCTCAATCAACTTCGGATCTCCCTCGGTGGCATTACACGGGCCCGCATCACCACCATCCAACCACTGCATGAACGAGCCGGCGTCATTCCAGATACTGAAAGCAAGAGTCATGCCTCGGCCCAGAGCCTCGCCCATCTGCTTCAGCCCGCCAAGACGAGTGAACGCGGAGGCAGTTTCCTTACAGAACGGCTCCGTAAGAGAATCAATCTCTCCGTCATCGAACTGAACGACAGCGTTTTGGACCACGCGGCCGGATTGGACATATAGACGGCGGATCTCAGAGAGTGCGCTGGTGGACGTGTTGGCCTTGGTAAGGAATTGTGTGACGACAGTGAACGGGCGAGTAGTGTCAACGGTCATGTCGTATCCGTAGAATGATTTAGCGCCGAGCGCGTACGGGTTGAATCCGCAGCCGGGCTTATCGCAGACGCCAGCGTCGCCGCATTCTGCGCCGGTGCATTCGTACAGTCGGGTCACGTTGCACGAATGAGGGGTGAAACCGGTGGCGCGGGCGTTCGCTTCCCAGATATCCATTTCGTTGCAGCAGGAGCCGCGGTCGGCGATGTTTGCTTCGCCGTTAATCCACGGGGTGGAATAGCATTGGGCGTCGCAGTACCCGGTGCCGTAGGTAGCACCGGCGGGGTTGAGGTCGCTGCGGCCGCCGGAGGGAAGCATGTCGGAGAAGTAGAGGGCGCCGTTCATGCCGCAGACGAGGGTGGAGACGTCGACGTCGAAGGCGAATTCCTGGTTCAGAAGGGATGGCGTGTGGTAGGACTCGCCGTCCTCGGCGAGGAGGTAGACACGCGGTGAGACAGAGCGGGTTTGGTTGGTGCTGGCATCGCGGAGGTACTGGCGGAGGGTCATGCGCGAGCCGCTGGTCTGCACGCCGTACTTGCTATAGTCGGTGATACCTTCGACAACGCAGTTCTGGCTGCAGGTTTCTTTATCGGGGCAGATGGAGGGGTCGAGGCCGGAGGCATTGGTGCAGGAGGTGTTGGCTCCGACTTGGTGGATGGGGTGCGTGGCAGCGTCGAGCACGATGGAGGTGTTCTGTTTCACGCAGCCGTTGCGACGGGTACAGTGATAGGTGGTTAATTGAGGGTGGACCTCGGGGATATTGCCAATCTGCTGTGCGGTGATGAGAGGCAGCAGCGCAAGAAAGGCGAGAGTCCGCGCCATGGTGTTCAGGTATTGCTTGCTGTGATTTGATTGATGGCGTTGTTTAGAAGTAATGCTGCCTCTGCATTTTCAGGGGAGTACTTCTATTTATACCCAAAACCAAACCCCATATAGCCAGTGACCGACCGACATTTTAATCGGTCACGGCCCCGGAAGTTTGCAAAAGCACGAAGGATCAGGTTAAAATTCTGGCAAAACCAGGGTCAAACTATTCATCCCGATGGCATAATACCCTCACTCTGACAAGTGTGGGGAAGGAGATAATCCCGGCAAAATGTCTCGGTCCGCTGGTCCGTACTAGAGCCTAATTGTCAGTATGAGTCCCAGTTTGTCTTATATGCAGTGTTATACACGGTATTAGATTAAGATCAACAGGGCGGGAAAGCTCCGCACGGGTTGAAGACCGGGGTAGTATTGTGAACGGCTGATTGACGGTCCAGCAAAGAGGAGGGGCATCGGAAGACACTTGCAGAACGGGAAAATAGATGTGGAGAAGCTGTTTGGCATGCCTTGGAAGGCTTGGGAGACAGTCTGTTCCGTGTCGAATTCGGCAGTGGAGGATCTTTTCCCGATGGGCTGATGGCCGAAAACACGGAGATCGGCCGGCGTTCTTTATTTGAAGCACACTTGCACGGAAGGATGCGGATAACAATAGGCAAAACGGTTCGTCCTTTGTTTGAGAAAGGACCTTCATATCGTGTGTTAGGCCAGGCCGTAAAGACTAGGGTAGGAGGTGAAGAATCGTGATTGCGGTTAGCCCGAGCGAACTCGAAGTCTAATTTCCAAAACATTATGATACAAATGATTATAGTACAGATGGTCGCGAGGCTCTCGTCTATACCTCGAAGACCTCTTTGACGAGCGTTTTCTTGTTTACTAGACGCAATGTTAGTGCCAAACAAATCACCCTGTATGCAAGGAAGACTCACCCTTCCCCATGGCATTTCTCGGAATCGGCGTATCGAGAATCTTCATTTCCTGCGGCATCTTATAGGCTGCCAGTCGGTCCTTCAACGCCCTTCGCATATCCATTGGACCCCATGGTTTGCCATTGCGACCAGTAGCAGCGCTTTTGGCGTTCAGGACAACGATCGCAGCAACTCGTTGACCCCATTGATCGGACGGAAGGCCAACCACCGCAGCTTCGGCAATCTGAGGACTATGGCCCGTTAGTACGTTGTCGCAATACGGATTGGATATGACTAAACCTACAGCGAAAGCAACTCCCTCTCAACTTCGAGCGCGCTGACTTTCTCACCACCGACTTTGATAATGTCCACACTTTGTCTTCCCTGGATGAAGTACATCGGGCCTCGCGCCCACTCTCCACTGGTGCCTTTGCCAGCATCCTCGACAATGCGTCGCGTCGCAACGTCGCCGGTCTTGAACCACTGGCCTTTGCCGTCATCGCTGTCGACGAAGGCCTCCTGCGTGGCTTTTTCGTTGGCCCAGTACTCGCGGAAGATGGTAGGGCCGCGAAGTTGGATTTCGCCTTCCCGTTCGCGGCCGTTCTCATCCAGCTCCTCGCCAGGCTTGACGACCTGATTCGTGTCTGCGTCTACCAGCCTGGCTTCCACAGACGGTAATGGCCAGCCAACGCTGCCGTCGACACGGTCCCCGAAGTCTAGACCGCAGCTGATAGCCATTCCAACTTCTGTCATGCCGTAACGTTCTAGGAGGACGTTGCCGTTGCTAAGATCTTGCCACGCCTGCTTGGTCGGGGTTGGGAGAGCCGCCGAGCCAGAGATGTTAAGGCGAAGGTTCTCGGGAGAAATGCCCTGCCTAGCAGCCTCTTTAAGCTCAGGGGATAAGCTCGGGAATGACGACAGTAGCCGATTATAGATAGTCGGAACGGCTGTTAGGAACGTGATCGTGCTCGTCGACGTACTGTTCGGCAGGAACGGAGCGGCAAGTCTCTTCCACACGGCATCGGTGTTGAATGGGAACATGAATTCGATCGACGATCCGGCGAGAATAGGAGCTACGATGGCATTAACGGTTCCATGGATATGATGCAACGGAAGGAGATGGAGGAGTCGGTCTTCCGGGGTGTATTTCCACGCCTCCAGCAACGAAGCCGCTTGCGCGGTGAGCGCAGATTGAGGGATCAGCACACCTTTCTAGACAATTGTCAGCATGAGCGGTATATCTGCGCGCATATTCCCTACCGGTCTATTAGTCGTGCCTGAAGTGTACAACATCATGCCACCTTTGGGTGTCTTCGTGTAATCCTCCAATGTCACATTCTCGGAGATGTCCGCTCCGGCTGTGATTTTCTCCCGCACATTCAAGATAGGCTCTCGATTCAACCCCGCCTTCAAGATATTCTGAGCTTTATCCGCGTACTTCTCAGTGGCAACAAGTATTTTGGCACGTGAATTATCCATGATATACTGCAATTCGCCGATCGGGAAGGCCGGGGAGAGAGGAAGGGCGATCGCATCGTTCGCAAGGATGGAAAGAAGCGTCACTGTAATGGCAGTTAGCAAGGCCTAATAGTAAGTCATTGAAACAAGATAAACAGTACCTACGTAGTCGTAGCTATTCTCCGCGAGAAATGCGACCCTCTCTCCTGACAGACCATCGTGATGGCCGCCCGCGGACTCGAAAAGCTGCTGTTGCGCGAGAAGCACATCCGCGACCAAATTTCCATAGGTGAAGGAACGCGACGACGCGCTGTGGACGACAGCCGGGCTGGATCGATCGTGGCCCTGAAGGGCTCGAAAGAGCGGTAGATTCGGTAGAGATGATAACGATCGGTGAAAAGGGGGTGTTGACAAGGATTGTAAGCGATTGAAGCAGGATTTCGAAGCTAGGACGGTCGGGATGGCGCGACGTGACGCGGGGCCCCGCGAGAGGGCTGAGAGTAGAGTGCGCCCTTGCATGGCGATATCGAATTACCGGAGCATGTTCAAATTGATCCGGATCTAGGATTTGATTGGAGACAATGACATTGAGAGACTCCGTGGACGAGATGAGGATGAAAGACGAAAGATGAAAGATGAACAGAAAACAGTTGATGTCATCCGCCTTCGGAGGTTTGCGGCCTCGGGGGAACCTCGGCAGTTCTCGGAGACCCTCGGCGTGACTTTGAATGCCCTAAATGGAACTACAGAACTACAGACAACTCTCTACCCCTCGCCAACTACAATCTAACGCAGCCTTTCTTCCTTCAACATCAAGACTATCACAAGAGCAAGCATAACACACGCCGTGGAGAGTACTTGGACATGTTAGCCTTGGGTCATGGCCTGCTAAGGGTTGGACTTACAAGGTGCAAATTGAAAGGCATATAAATAGCTGGATCGAACAACCTCTTGCATCGGTTGTGGCAGCTTCTTAGAGAATCGAGAGTCATCGAGGACCTTTCCGATAATCTGTTTATCTGTCAACTGGGAACTTTATTGGCCAGTATCATATAAAATGTGAACTGCCATCAAAATGAACACAACTTACCAGCTCCTTCCTTGGACTGTCCAGCAGGTTTTGCTCGAGACTCTTACTAAAGAGCCCTTGCACTAAAGCCAATCCTACTGCAGGTCCCGCAACAAACCCAAGTTGTTGGTATACGTAATATGTCCCAAAGCCCGTCGTTTGGCGCCTCTTAGGTAAACTTGCAGACATCCCAATGAACTGCGTTGAATAGAAAACACCCAATGTGGCGCCCATTGGAAACAGGAGCAATGTCTCCCAGATGGTACAGCCGTCTCGCCATTGGAAGAAAATCGCCAACGTTGTCAGCATACAGAAGCAGAGTGCAATGAGTGTCATGTTTTTGTACCGTTTTGTGCTAGATGTATCATGAGTTGTCAGTGGATTTAGGACAGGGTTCCTATTATGTCGAACTCACCTCTTGATTATATGACCGGATACAATTCCTCCGATAGACACACCGAGAGAGAAGAGAATGTATAACACTGAAGCACCAAGATCTGAGGAATTCTCGACGCGAATGAAATACGGTGCGAGACTGCTCAGGACCTGCCATTAAATCAATCATCGCTCATTTGCAACAGAGTTAATCCCTCTTTAGATCCTCGCGTGCAGAGGAAGCTTACCGCAGAACGTCCCATAACCAACACTACCTGGCCCAGGCAATAAGCCCCAAACGCCTTGCCCATCAAATCCATTGGCACTAATGGTTCCTGTGCCCAGAAAAGCTCTATCGCGATGAATGCAACGATAGACACTACAAATATGATCGAAGTAGCGTAGACCCACTCGGGATGGTCGATTATTTGTGCCCCCGCCGCTTGGAGTAGGAACAAAATAGAAAGCACAGTAGAAGCAAGAGTGAAGAGCCCAGCAAAGTCAATATGCCAGACTCCAGAGGCAGGTGGTGGCGCCTGTGATTTAGGCTCCGCTCTACTCATCGAGCTTGGTAGTTTTCGAGCTGCAAACAATATGCAGGCCAGAGCCAGTGGGACCTGGCCGTAGAAAGACCTGACTTGGTCAGTTTGACGCATCCGACGTGCAGGACTAGATTACTCACCATCTCCATCCGATTGTATCTAGGAGAAAACCGCCGATAGGGGCTCCTAGACTGCGACCAACGATGCACACCAAGTTTTCGTAACTTCGAAAGAGGGCAACATCCTCTGGTGGCATCACATCTATAATGAATTAGCAGATCGTTCTCATGTTTGACGGCATCTAGGACCTAGTGCTTACCGCTAATAACGATAGAGATAAGCAAAACCATTCCTGCACCACTAAGTCCTGCGAACACTCTTGCTAGTACCAACCAGTAAAGTGATGAGCTAGCACCGCTATACGAACCACATCAGTCATGGAGATAAGCCGCATTGATGCACAAACTTACCAAGCAAGACATGAAAGTGTGAACAGGACATATGAACAGAGAAGAATCTTCTTGCGACTGTACACATTGCTCAAATGGCCATACTGCCAGGTCACAATTAATAATCCATCCATGAATCTCTTCCATCTTCGAAAGGGTGCACTCACAACCGGCAAGGACATACAATATCCAAAATTGTAAGCCACCAACAACCACGAGCCCTCAGATAAACGATCAAACTCTGATGCAACGGAGCTAAACGTCGAAACCATGATTGACTCATCGGCGCTTGCCAGAAAGGCACCTATTCAGGTGTTAGCTAACCATTAGCTGACGGCAGCGCTGGACATACCAAAGAAAGTCCCATAAACGATGGAGGCATTGGATTGCTTTCCGGTCGCGATTTGCTCTTTAGACTGAACTTCTGCCGGGCTGGACGGGCCCATCAGAAATTGCTCTTCTTCCTCGCCTGACGGCATATTCAATTATTTCTGTCAAACAAGATATTGGCTTGAGAAGTTACAGGGTTGAATTAGTCGGAACCACTAAGGCTGGTCTCTTGAGTTAAGCCAGAGGGACAAATATCCTGCTGGGGCCCGGTCGCAGCAAGGGATAGTCTGCTATGCATATCACCGCCTCTGGGGCTACTCCCTCCCTTGCACAAACGACCCGCAATCTTCTTTGTAAAGAGAAAATGCTGGATAAATCGGCGTTGTAGGTCCGACAAGATGGGGTTATCTAACCGACCTGCATCTAGAAACGGTGTCTTGATTTCAAGGCTTTAGAGAAAAGAAATAGCATTTTCCGGGGCTTTTCTTATCCAGAGCAACTCATCGAACTGAGATCCAAGCACCAATTCTAGACATTCAAGAACAGCATGCAGTAAAAATGTCCACCCGAACTATTCCGCCCTCCAATTGATCGGTGGCTTTTCACGGATTCAACACATGAGCAATATTCAAAGGTGCGCAACCATTGGTATCTTTAGGACACGACTACCTAGCTCCTATGTTGAGCGGACAGCCAACTACATCCACCCTATCGATAGCACTTATGATTCAGAAGACTGATAACGGCATGGAGGTACCGCGCTAGGCTCGCGTTATATGGTCCGGCCAGTTGTTATGTATGGCTGGAGATTAGCCATACCGATTCATAAGCGGCGTTTGCGCTACTTCTCCAGCCAACCCTTGCGAGAATGCAGTCTACTCTCTACATTCTCGGTTACAACTTAACTCGTTAGCTGTTCTTAGCCATTTTGACGCATGGATCCTCTGATCTACAGGCGCGTTGACTCGCCAGCGATCCTGTGTCCGTATTGATCTGTGTGTCCTGATCAGGCAGTTGTACTAGTCCAAAAGCCCATACCCCTGTGTAGTTGGGCCCAGCGTATCATCCCGGGACGAGGCATAAAAAAGGACCACTTGGCTAACAATTCATAAGCCTGGCTATAGAAGCCAGGGGTACATATATTAGCTGGGATTGACTTGCCAACCAGAGGGAACGGTAATATTTATATTAAGAAGCTTATTGTGCGGGGAAATGATAATAGAAGGCCAGACGTGCCTACATTATATTAGAACGGTAAAGGAATCCTGACTCAGGAACATCCACAAAGCTAGCGCCGCTATTAAACACGAGACATATTTTAACCAGTGTATCTAGATGTAGTATGATATTATAGCTAGTCTAATTACTTCTAAGAGATAGTAATATTTTATAGCTCATCCTCAAAGTCGTCCTCCGACAGAGTTGTGGGCATATACCTAACAATAATGGCGCAAGAATAACATGGTTTGTTTTTCTGCTTTACATCTCCACAGAATATAAGCTGAACAAGCCAGATCTGGGGATACTGCCCGAAGTTCATATCCTTATTGAGTACATACAGGGTTTGCTGGACGGAAGAGACATGAATGTCGGTGTCATATTAGCCTTATCGTTACCGAGAGCACCCTAGTATGCTATCAATCCGCTTCCGATCAACTTAATCATCAATCACAAGATGACAATACAACCCCCCAGTATGAAGCCAAGTGCGCTCACTGTAGTCCAGCCGACAAGGATCGCTGTGCTCGAAGGTACAGAGGTCTGTCTCTTTGTAGCCCGAGAATAGAGACCCTCAGTAGGAGAGCAGTACTCCGAAGTCATTGTGGTCAAGGTTTGAATGGGATAACTCGCGTTACGAGTGGCCTTCGTTGAACCATTCTTCAGAGTTCCATCCACCAATAAGGTAGTCTCGCCTTCCCTATCAATGACGCACAGTGAGCTCCGATTGCGCGGTGCCGTCTTCTCATCATGGCGAAGATAGGTGTCAATCAGCGCCGGAACAAAGCTTCGATTTTCGTGGAAATCGTCGCAGCCGCAGAGCGATTCCAGTGCACAGCAGCAGTATACAGGGGCAGTAATAGTGACATTCTGTCCCCAATTTTCTGTGTCGTCGCTTGGTTCCGCCCAAGTGTAGCGGACCTGGTATCTGTACGCGTATGTGGAGTTTGGAATGGCGCACTCGTCGTCCTCAGGTACCCACGTCCCCACTATTGTATGCATGTCGAAAAAAGGAATAGGTCCTAGGCCGTTTGGAGACGTCTGCCCAGACAGATATGGCACGGACGCACCGCCAGAGTAGCTCAGGTGATTTTGGTCGTAGTCGATGGCATTTACCTCGTAGGCCCAGAGACTTACCCAGGCTCCTGTGCTATTGTCCCACGTTGGAGCGGAACCAGAGCCATCGGGTGTGTAACCACCATCGGTACTGTCCAAACTAGCAAGATGGTAAATCCGTCAGCAACCTTCCACGAAACTGTGGGGATCGGCCCCTCGTGAGTGAGATAGGAACTCACGCGCCGTTGCCAATAGGGTAGTGGCTCAGGTAACTGTCAGAATTATGCGCTTCCCGTGTATAGGTTTCCCTCCGCCAGCAGGTACAGCAGTCGTTGTCGCCGCTGCTGTAGTCCTCTGAGGAGCTCGTGGAGGAAGAGTCATCATTATCTGAACCACTGCCTCCTCTTCGGCGCTTCCAAAGAGCGTTCAAATCTGTAGTTGGCGCTTCCAATGCATCGTAGTTACTACGCTGTTCTGGAAAATCATAGTAAGCTTCACAGGCAATGACTAAAGTAAAAAGTACGAGGAGAGCATTTGTGAGGAAAAGGTGAGCCATGTTGGGGCTGTATGAAATCAATATGACGGCTGCAAGAGCCACCCGGTGCTGTTCCGTAACGTAGGGCTACTTTTAAGGAAAACATGCTAAACTGCTCGCCGAGACTCTTAGGCGGGATCCATGGCGGCGGAGTTTCTCAGTGGCCCTGCCCACGGGGGAGAACGGGGAAGATAGGGTTCAATCCATGGCGCCACGGAGGATGCAGCCGCCTCGTGTTACAGTAGGGCAATTCTGGATTGTTCTCCGACAATCTCTTGGCAGCAAAGGTATTGTAAGGGCTAGGAAAGGAGTACAAGAATGATTCTTCGTCCAATGTGAAGAATGTCAAGGCCTGTTCCCTAGGTAGACCGGCATAAAAGTGCTTCATTCCTCCCATTGCTTTGAACACGCTATTCACAGCTCCGGTACCAACAGTAATTATAAAGAGGAGCCACACGCTGTGTTCAGATACGAAAGCCAGCGTTTACTAATATACGACATCTCAAATGTTCAGTCGACGCCTGGCACCTTCAGCATCGGCGTAGCCTACAACGCGGATCAATCAGTTACGTAATTGTAGACAGGCTCGCTCAGGTCTTGCAGAGTAACTCGGTCTTTTTTCCTTTTACAAACCCATTCCTAGCGTGTCGCTTATGTTCGTACTCGCTAATATTTCCATATAGGTCATCCATGTCCTAGATATTGTTGTAAGGGGATGGACCAGTGAGTGGCGGCACCTATGGAGCAAGACGAGTACCTGCACGGAGCACTCATAAGGATGCTTGAGCCCCGTTCCTACTCTATGGGTCCACTGTCTCCATTGGCGATAGAGGACTTGGAGGCCGAGCTTGGCCCTCGGCAGAGGCTTATCAACTCTACTATCTGCTCCTGAATTGTACGAGACAATATTGTTTCCATTTAGCCCTACCGGCTCTCGGGAGTGTACCAGTGTCTTGCGTACGATTACATTGTCAGCCTCACTCCCCCAGCCTACTGTTGCTTTCTTGGCATGAAATAGCCTGTTTGTCCTGTCGCCGCGACTTGGGTCCTTGAGTCCCACTTATGCACTGCACAGTGCGACAGCGATGCTTCGTATACAAACAACGGATCTTGACCCTGTCAGAACTCGTACCCAATCGTGTTGTCCAACGCAACGTTTCCTTGTCTCGCCAAATGTGTTGGTCTCTCTGACTCGTATTTGACTGTAGATCATAGCCTAATCCCATCCTAGCGCGGGCCCGCACCTGAGCAGAGCAATATCCGTGGCCTTCAGGATCCTGCGGACCACTGTATTTTTAACACTCGAGAGCGCTGGTCATATCCGCCGCAAGAGAACTGACGACTCGATCTTCTCTGGCATCCGGATCGTAGTCAATTCCTGGTCGTCCGTGAGGTTACATTTGCCCATTGTCACCGCCCCAAGTTGGCAGGAGATTCCATACAAGAATTGCCTCTATTGACCGGATTAAACAATTCATGACTTCCTTCTGAGCTAGTCGCCCGGAGGCTTTTTATGTGCTTGAGTCGAGTTATGGTACTATGTCTTCTCGTGTTTCTCGGTATGTGATTGGGACATTCGCCCGAGTGGAATGTAACCTGTATGCTGATCTGCACTGCAACGTGTATTGGTAGGATAAATAAATGAAAGCCATCAGCTAAGTTGTCGTTGTCTGTGCCTAACCGAATCATGTGTATATAGTATATACCCTGGCAGGAAGAGTCGTAACAGTGCCTATTGGCGGATTCGACTTCCATTGGAGGTATTAGGATCCACAGAGTATTAGTGTGTGGAGTGAGGACCGCTCTGTCCCTCCATTTCCTGCCAAGTCCTGAACACGAAGATCTACATGAGTGACCTGAGCCGCCTGATGTGTCTGGCGAGTGGTCTGTCCTCGCTCGTACACTACAGTCATCACTAGGACCCTCCATCCTCCGCAGTGACTCAGACTGCTCAACAGGGGTAGATCAAGCTATAAACCTTAAGAAGCTGGAATAGAGTTGTTGTGGCAGCTATTGTCCCGTTATTATGATTATTACACCTCTAGGCTTTTATACTAGTGTTCTCCTAGCACCTAATACTAGTTACTTACTTAATATTACATTAGCAACTTCCGTGCGAACGTTGGTTTACATCTACTCGCATGTACTGCGTACTGACTATCTACATGTTACTCTAGCAATATCCTATACTTCACCCAAGACTTCAGACAGTAGAGAATGATGCCTATTGTCATACTTATAAATCTCAGAATAAACCTGACGCCCCTATTGCCACAGCTAATAAACAGCGTGTCTAAACATTCGAACCTAATCCTTTTACTTGGCAATATCGGCATTCAGTATTACATGTTTTCAAAGAAATTCATTGGCCATATCATTTTACCCAGTAGTTGTTCACAATTAAAAGTTGGGGAATGCCTTGATAGGCTAGCGCAGTTCCCCATTCCAAGGGTCCCTTAACTCTTAAGATGACCAGTGTTCCTCTCATAAACTTCTAGGCTTTGTATTGTCTGTCGCCGGACAACCACAGCATTTTCCTAGGTACTAGGCTTTAGTGGAGCGTGGCAGGCAAGAGCGGACGGACTGCGACGGCAAGGGGTGATCATTAATCGGCGTGCAGTTTAGTTAACTAGTGAGGTTACTCGCTCAGGGCACTCGGTCTCCCACTCACCCCGTGCTCAGCGATCGCCTCAGAAACGGAAAGAGTAGGTCATCGACCGTCCTAGAAGATCAAGTACATATGCCTTGCCTGAGGATCCCTCTCTGGTCCCGAGAAAAAAATATAGTTGGCTGTTGTAATGCAATGATCGTGTTTTTTGGAAGTATCATCGACGCACGACTAGACTTTTTCCGTTCAGTCGTTTATCCCAATTCTTGTGTAAGAACAGGTTCGTGTGAACACCAGAGCAGAGAACTTTTCACGACAAATAATTGATCACAATGCCACTCGCAAACTCATCCAGTAGATGCAAAGATGACCAACTCCGCCAACCTGATTGCCCAGTCACCAAAACCAGCTGACTCATCTTATCAACCTGAGGCACCAACCTGCCCTCCGACCCAAACAGGCAAGTCCATTAATCTCCGGTCACCTGCAGTAGTTTCGCATCTCCAACTGTCACGCGGTACCTTACATCGTCCTCTTTCTCTCTTTGAACCACCACATACCTGCGACGACCTTTGACCAACCTGTGATCTACTCCGTACACCGGTCCATCCTTCAACCAACCCTCAATGCTCCTCCGCACCAGCAGCTCAGGCCTGCTATCTCGCCGCTTCCTTTCCCCGAGTCCGCTCGTTTCTCAGCTTCCGGTTCAGTTCAGAATGGCTTCGACATCGAATACTCCGATGGAGGATACGATTCGGGAGAAGGTATTTCTAAACTTATACTATACACATGCACCTACACTCTGTTCGCTCCTGCACTTCCCTGGATATGGCTATCTGTCTATCTCAATCCAATCCTCCGACTCCGACTCCGGTGTCCTACGCCCTGTCCTACCCTCCCAAGAATTATTATCATTGTCGTTATCATTGAACCAAGCAGAGAATAGTACGAAGCTAACATGGAATGAACCAAACAAAACAGCTCACGGCAGCCCTCTCCCCCTCCTCCCTCATCATCCGCAACGACTCGCACAAGCACGCGCACCACGAACCAATGCGCGGATCGACGTCCAAGGAGACGCATTTCCAGTATGTTTTTCTTGACATGATTCGACCTTCTCCCTCTGGAATCTTGGCCTGGACAGCACAATCTAGTCCAGCCCAGTTCTCTACCTCTCTCCCTTTCGCTCTCTTCGATCTCATACTGGTCCCGTCCAGTTCAATTCAGCCAGTCCATTTCGCAATCGCGATACCACAAACCACAATTTAAACCACATGCCCAAATCCACTCACAAAGCTCAACACTCCCCAACTGAACCTCCAATGCTATCAATATCCATCCGCCTCCCTCCCCTCTACCCATATTCCTAGATCCCTATACTAACAAACACCTCCACCTGGCAGCGTAACAATAACCTCCCCCCAATTCCAATCAAAAATGCAACCAGCACGCCACCGACTTGTCTATGGCCTGTTGAAAGAAGAAATGAGTCGCGAGGGCGGAATCCACGCGTTGCAGTTGAAAACGAGGACGCCGGAGGAAGAGGAGAGGCAGAATCAGCGGGAGAGGGAGGGACAATAGGTGTAGGAATAAACATTCTCTCGCTAGGATATGGTTTCTTTGGGTCAGGGATAGGTAACTTACCTAGGTTATAAAGAAGGGTCATACATATAAATAGGTATGATGGGTGTAAATATATTATTCTATATTATTTATATTAATCATGGTATGTTGTGCTGGCTTAGTTTTGAAGTATGCTTGTCGGTGATACCTACCTATTATTTGAGTAAACTGTGTTGATCTTAGGTATAGATGGATAGGCCTGGTTCAAGGGTATGACTTATCTATACCATCCCGGATAGGCTATGTGAGTTATACCACCTAGAGCTATATTCATTTACTATAGCTATGTCTATGTAGTCGGACAGCTCGAAAGCCAGAAACAGAAACCCGGATGCCTAGATACGCGGCAAAAAGGATATGTCATTAGATTAGAAGCCTTACCTTTACCTTTAATACCAATCCCGTACCTACATATTCTTCGAATCAAGTGTCAACAGCAGATATATGCAAGCATGCATCCAAACATATGATACGTCTACCTGACTACTTCCCCCGCTCCTCCGAACTGAACGGAAGATCTACATATGACATCGCCAGTGGACCTCCACTAACTACTTGGCTCATGCCCCTCTATCATTCCATCGATCTCAATTCAAATCCCATCATATCTAATCACTCCCATTTATCTATCATCTACAGCCTACCCATACAGCAAACTCTTACTTACTTCATCAAGGCAATCAGATTAATATTAAAGCGATTATTACATAAATCTAGCGCCAAAGAAGTAAACAAAGAGACTCTAATATATACATGTGTAGCAAGCATCAAGCGCACCTAGGATAGCCAAGGCAAGGTAGTCCAGACAGACCACAAGTCGCGTAGACCGGAGATGCAGAACTATACACGACCAATCAGTGAATCAAAGGAGAAAAGAAGAGAGGAACAAATTGCATAGCGTAGACGAGACAAAAAGCATTCGACTAGCTTTTTGGTTCAGACAACAAAACAGACGGTGGTATAACAAGCTTAGAAATACAAAGGAAACAATAGCGAACGGATATCGAGCGACTCGGCTTACCGTGGTCCAAAATAACACGACAGTAAAGCGTAGACCATAAGAGACGCGGGAATCGATAACAAAACATTCATTTCGACCTTGATCAAGAACAAGGCAAAGCAAAGACGAGCAGTGGGAATTGCAAATTATCGGAGATAACAGTCGTAGTCGAGCACCGAGTCGGCGCTTACGAGGACTTGTTGGCTTGGGTGACACCGACAGCCACACCGACAACGATTGCGATAATAAGAACTGCAGCGATTAGCGTTGCCGATAGAAATCTGAGAGAAAGGGTCTGACTTACTGACGATGAGCAGGGCGTACCACTTCCACTTCCGGGCGCGACGGGCACTGTCAATGGCATGGCTGATCTGGGTGTTGGCTTGTCCGACGTTGTCGGCAACTCCCTCGGCGTCGTGGTTGATCTGCTCGATGGCAGGCTCTTGCTGGTGTACAAGTTCCGCCACTTCCTGGTACAACCGACCCAGCTCCGTCATATCCTGCTCAATCTTGCGGATCGCGGCCGATCGCTCCAAAGCGGCCTTTCGGGCATCGTTGGCCTGTCCAGTCCGGCTGCCAGAAACCTATTCACTGTTAGCACCCAGTCTTGCTAGAGTCTAGTCAATACTCTAGTAAATCGTACCTGGAACATCTGCTCCTGACCCAACAGAACGTTATCCACACCGGCATCCAATTCCTCGGGGGTGGCATCCGGGTTGGCGATCTCGTATCGTCGGCGCACCTGCTCGCGCAACCGCTTCTGGAACTCGGACTGAGTCTTCTGGTACTGCTCGATTTCCCGACGCAGGTTCCGACTGGCGACGTCGATCTGGGTCTGCACGCGGCTGTCGCCAGAGCCGGGGGTGCCCTTGATCTTCTTCATCAGATCGCGGAGGTAGCGGAAGCCATTGTTGATCTCATCCTCGATGTAATCCAGGGTTTGGCGGGCGACCTGATCCTCCTTGACGTTGCTGGAGTCGAGCATGCCATTCTGGGCAGCGGCCAGCTGGCCCTCGCGCTTGGCCCGGATGTCGGCGATTCCCTCGTTGATCTCACGGCACTTGTTCAGCAGGGTGGTGGGGTCGGCGGGTTGTTGTTGGCCGTAGGAGCCCATCTCTGCAGCGGCCCATGAGTTAGTCTGTGTCAATGGTGTCGGTGTCAGTCGAGCGGGCGCACATACCGTAGGTTCCGTTGCCAGCCTCCGTCGCACCGGCCTGGTTGTAGGGGTTCTGGCCATAGCCTTGGTTGCCGTACGGATTGGGTTGCTGCTCCTGACCGTAGGGGTTGTAGGAGCCGTAGCCGCCGCCTTGGCCGCCTTCGAGGTTCTGATACTACCAAATGGTGGTCAGTCAGTGGATGCGAAGCTTGCGCGCCCGGTGGGTAAGGAGGGGAGCAGGAGGGGACAGCAGGGGCAGGAGAGGGGTATTGATCCAGTGAGCGGGTCAAATCTGGGGGAACGAACACTCATGATGATATTTGGATTCGAATATTCGAAATTTCAGAGGTATGGGGTTGTAGAGGTCTGCGAATCGCTGGAACGGCGAGAAGAACCAACGGGGGTCGGGTCTGGACTGAACTGGACCGACGGATCGATGACAGAATCGGGTCGTACGGGAAACGAGTCGGACCGGAATGATCAGAAAAGGCGCGAGAGACGGGGAGAGGAGAAGAATGGCCGCGACAAAGGCAGAAAGCGAGAAAAGGCAAGGGTTCACGGGGAGGTTGAAGGGAAAGTAAGAAAGCGAGAACAAGTGGATGAAAAAGAGATGAGCGTCGGGTGAGACACGCGGCTGAGCAGAAGGCAAAGGAGTGAGTGGCTTGGCGGCAAGTCGTGACGATGGGAACTGCTTCTCGCTGCGCCCGACAATCCAGGTAAAAAGAGTGTAGTAGTTGGAATTGTGTACAAAATCAAAATGGGAAACAATTCAATCAATATTTTTTAGGACGGAATTTTGTTTTCCTCGTTCAGGGGCGAATCTCACGAAAATTATGATTGTCGGGGCGATGCACAGACCGATCGTCGAGTCCCCTTTTCGCGCTGGTGAAACGGCCGAAACTACGGGCGGTCCAGGCAATAGTTTGACCGATGTCTGGATTGATTGAGTTGAATTGAATTGATTGAGTTGTGGTGAATGAAGAGTGAAGATATACTCCGTACTCCGGAGTATACCAAGTTCCAGTCTCGTTGCCTGATTCAGGCAGTGCCATTCTTCCCTTGACCTTCTCTACGGAGTCTTGACAAGACCACCGCTAAGCCTTCGCGATGGAGTCGGATCATATCTCGCTATAGGCCAATAGACGGACGAGTCTGCACGTCATGTCTGCAGCTCGCTATGAGATGAGTATCAGAGCAATTCTACTAGAATACACAAGAACCGAGTATCTGATAGATCTTCCAACATCCACCGTACACCGTTCTCTGTCTGCCCCCACCGACCATGTCACCATGTAAGACCTAACGGCTGTCGACTTCCTTCGCCCTTCCAAACATTCCTGCGACCATTCCACGAGATCCCCGTGTACTCTCAGCTCACCGTTCTTCCGTCAACCTACCGGGGAGCTCCACCGAGACCCTGAACACCGTTAGACGGACTACCAATTCTCGACCCAATTCTCTAGAGCTAGACACTTAGACAGGGTATATAATTAGAACGGATGCCCTCCGACTCAGGCGCTGCACTGCCACCATCCTGCTTTGTCAGCCGCGGCTGTCTTCTCCGAGGCCTGAGGCAGACATTCAGACTGATCCTTGTTCGATGAATATGGATCATTCCAGCGGAGATGGCAGATGGCAGATTTCATCAAACAGATTAACCTTCACAGAATGGTTTCAGCTTGATTCACCTGTGCAGATGCCAATTAGCCTGAAATGAACGGCAGCGCCCGGTGGAGTCTTCCAATCTCGGGCTCCACCGCTGCACAGTGACCAATTTACCCTCATCTCGAATTAAAGCCCAATTCCCATAGAATGATATTCTCATACCTTGTACTGCATCTTCTATCGTCCTTATTGTCCCTATTAACCCTAGCATCCATATACAAACAATCAAGATGAGAGTCTTAACCGGAAAAAGATATATACATACAGCAAAGCACTTGTCCCCTTTCGGTCCGACTTCTCGCCGCTTTTGGGCTCCCGGAGATGTCCAACAAATACATCCGCACAAGCATGATAAACTCGCTAGTTTACCCTGTTTTAGACTAGTTGTCAGATAGGTATCTGACAGATTGAGTTAGAGTGATAGACATCCCAGTCGCATAATATAGTCAAGGTCGCTGGATGCTGCCGTAGGTAACCTGAATGTCCCTTCGAATCATTATCCTACCCGGAAAGTTGCATACCATCTATCACTTCGAACTCTCCCACAGTGGTTTCAACACATATTCACACACCGACTTCCTGAAGGTAGAATCGCCCCAGTCAGGCTTTGCGGATGTGGTGGCAAATGTGCATTCAATGCACCGGGTTACCAGCTCCAGGTGAAATGGAAGCATATTGTCATCGTTGAACTCGAGCCATTGCCTGGCGATCTCATAGCGGGATCCATAGCTGCCGTCCGTTTTCAACCCTCTCTCAGCGATATAACTGTCCATGGATTTGACAAGCCATATCTCAAGCAGCATTATTCCTAGCTCAAGGAGGGATTCCTTCGCAGTACATGAAGGTATCGAACGGCTCTGCGTAGGAAATGTGCTCACGATAAACGGCTGAGGAAGGTTTGAGACCATCGCAGAATCTGACGGGAATATTATAGAGGAGCTGGTCAGTGGAGATTGTAACCATGGCGTGGAGTGAAGTTGCATGATGGATGATGTAATATTGAATGAAAGGACCATTCGTTGTCGTATTGGCCATTCACACGTGGTGGATCTTGAGTCTCGCATTCGGAACAAGAAATCTCTCAGTGTAAGGGTGCCACCAGACGTTTGATCATTGACATTTATGTGTAAGTTCTGATCTCCCGAGCCACTGTAATAGCAGAGTTTGGCACATCGTGATAAGTAGAGATCAAGGGACTGTCTGCTCTCGTATGCTCGATGTAGGGATTGACAGAGATCTTCAATTTGTTGCGGCGGAGGTCTGGGGGTTCCCGGGGGACTGGGAAGATTTATTTGCACCAGTGGTTTATTCGCTCGGCTTAGTTGAAGACTATTTTTTCCTGTTAGCCTTCGTCGAGTTGACCCCGAGAATGATGTTTCACCTGTGTTCAGAATAATCCAGGTCTTCTTCTAAAACCTTCACTTCATACCTTCTGTGCAGCAAGGATGGGTGTGAGGGGACTGGACGAGGTGAAAATGTCACTATAAAACTGACGGTTACCCTCTTGAGTGACCTTGCGTGTTTCCTATCCATTTCTGATGATCTCGGTTGCAGAAACAGTCTCGCCTCATGCTCTGAGTGACACCCTGTTACGCAACCCCATGAAATAGCGGAATATAAACGCTGGGCATGATTCTGGATTATGTTCAAAGCTGCCGTGAAATTCCTGGTATCTCTGGACACGGACTGAACTGTAACATTTTGCCTTGCTATGCTGCGGTCCCTTAGTCGGCTTAGTCTTTGGGTGGATTCATCCAAGTCATGGATTCGCCGTTGTAGATCTTCTTTTCGGGCGCTGAATCTGATTCTCTTGGTGAATTCAAATTTGCTATTTCGTTTCGGTTGACTGCGGAGAATCTTTGGGAGGTCAATCCTGTCATGCTGAGACGCTTCGTGTCAGTCTGGTGTCAGATACTCGAAGCAGAGATGGGTACCTCAACTGTGGATACAAGACCGCCGATATTGGCAACAATAGTGCCGAGAATATACTCGCATCGAGTGACGGCATTGAGGTACAATGCAAAGCCCTCGCCAAGATGCTCTTTGAGAGCGTCTGCAATACCTGGATCCTGAAACAGATCGAACCCAGTTTCGTCTATCAGGGCGGTGATTTCCTCCTCCTCCAGGTGGGTTGGCTTAAGCGCCAAGCAGAGATCGGTGTGGAAAAAGAACCTTTGCTCTTCTAGCGATTGGATTAGCTGGTTCAGGAGCAGCTCTTTCTTGGTCATGAATTTAATCCTCTGGCTAGTGACTTTGTAACATTCAAGGGCCGAGATGATGAGCGGAATTGCACCCAGCACGACGCCAACAACCTCGAAGCCTGACATGCTGGACCACCGTCTGGATGAAACACGAAGAACGACGTGCTATGCAAGCGCAGGCCTTCGCTTGATAAAGGCGGGGTAGTCAGTGAGGTGCGTGCAGGGATCGGTTGGATTGCTTGCTTTTTTTTCCCATTAAACCCAACTCCAAGCCGCGTCTCTGCGATCTTTCCCATAACACCCCGTGTGTGAGCAAGTGAGATAGAAATTGTCCCTGCTGTCATCCAAGGAATAATGGATGACAAACGACCAAAATTGGAAACTCTGGCATCCATAGCCACAAAGGTCAGAAATGGCTTTGTCCGGGCGGGACATTCGGTCGCTGGAGGCAATTTGGAAGACAATTCGAGGCTTGTCAATCAAACCCAACGGTTTGAACTTTGGGCGAAAAACCTGGGTCTTTACCATCTAGGGCATAGCTCGCTCGACTATCGTTTTCGAGATGCCCCCTCGCTTTTTGGATACACTTTTGGTCTGTTGCGTAACCTGGATGGGCTTCTGATACAGCGTGAGTTGTTTGCTGTCGATTCGAATGTTTGGCTTCTCTCAGAATGCTAACAGAATTCCAGTCATAAATACACTGAACTCTGGACATGAAACTTGTGTAGATGCGACAATTGGTCCCGTTGAACCCAACGACCAGTTGAGCGACGACTCTGAAGAAGATGACTTCGAATCTTCGGATGATGAATCTGTTACTGATTTATTATTAACCGGTGTGACTGCGACTATCGATAAACTGTATCGTCTCTCCTTCAAGGTTCGCAACCCTACTGTGAGGCTGGGACTGTCCAAAGCGCTCAAGTATCATGAATTTGACCCGGAAACCGGCGTGGATATTATAGACCAGTTCAAGGAATATGATCAACGTCATCTTGAACAGCTTTTCGCCTCCTACCGCTCGATCTCCCCGGAGGTCTTCGAACAGGATTTCTTGGCGCGACGCCTGGCCAAAGCCAACACCAGACGGCGACAACAGTTTAGGTATTGGAAGGATAGGAGAGCTCGGTTCGAGGCTGTGTCGAGACCGGAACTTATTGAAAACATAGCGAGCGACCCTATGCTGCAAAGAGCAGGATATAGCCCGATGGCACCTTCACGTCCTTCAACCGCAACCTATCTCGATACGTCTAAAGTCAAGCTAGACGATGATTCCTCAATTATATCAAGTTCAACCACGGTGAATATACAGGATGATATGCAGAATGAGGAGGCCAAGGACTTTTTTTTCATTCCACCACCCCCAAAGCATCTATGGGACGGAGATGAGGTCGAATGCCCATATTGCTTCACTCTTTGTCCGCGCAAAATCCTTCGTCAAGGGTCCTGGGAGTAAGCAAAACGAGACCTCCTACATTTCGGAAGGGTCTAGAGCTGACCATACGAAGAACTCATATTCTGCGCGACTTACGTCCGTACATCTGCACTTATGAGCACTGTAGAGATGCAGATCAACTGTACGACAGCTTCGGCGACTGGGTCAAACATGAAACGTTGTCGCATCGGAGCAAGCCCGACACGACCAGCGGTGAAGATAAGACTTTGTCTACTCAAGCGTCTCGAACGTGCCCGTTTTGCCTCGAAGATGGAGGAACCCATCATATCGCGATGCATCTTCGCAGAGTGGCCTGCTTTGCCCTTCCACGATCGGTTGGAGGTGACGATGAGTCATTGCAACAGAGTCAGGCATCTGATAGAACAGATATTCAATCAAGCCCTACAAGGGTTTCTGACATAACAGCAGAGGCTTCGTTGGTTGGAGCAGAGTCTTTGCCCGAGGCCGATTTGGAGGTCGATTCGAACCATAATCCAGCCACTTTGGAAACCATCCAACAGCGAATAGATTCCCAAGGTACAAGATCGAGTATGGGCCAATTCTTGGAAACCCTCAATAACGAGTCAGCTGAGTCACGAGAGGACCTTCGTAGCATTGGTGCCACTGAAACGGATGATAATGATTCGGCCTCGACTTTTAACCTAGACGGCTCAGACAATATCAGGGTAGAAAAATATGCGGCCAAATCCGCATTGGAAGCGGCTATTGCCCTGCGATCCAAAGCACTAGCCAACGAAGATATGACAGGGGCTGCCCTGACCCGAGCAGATACTGAGAAAACATTAGCCGAAGACACAGCTAAGCTTAAGGAAGAAGCAGAAGCAGAAGCGTTTGCTCCAGCGGATGCATCAGCTGCTGCATCGGAGGCAAGAGCATCAATATCTGATGAACGATCTGCTCAAATGCCTTCTCCGGAAAAGAAAGCGGCTATCCGTTTCAAAGACGCTGTTGGGAGAAAGTTTAGCTTTCCCTTTGAATTATGCAACACATGGCAGGTAGGATGGAACCTCGCACTACTGGTTCTTGATTGGCATGTTTGGATACAACTAAAAAGATACTATAGGGGATAGAAGAACTCATCAGGCAAGCCTTCTCGCGTATCGAGGTTATTGGCCCCCAGGTTGCTGAAGGTAACTACGATCTACTGGGCCCGGATGGCCAGATAATCCCTCCACATGATTGGGAAACGACGATTCAGCCTGGCTGGTCTATTGTTATGCATATGCGGCCAATTCCTGAAAGTTCCAAAAGCGCCGATCCAACACCAGCGGGAGAGGTGGGAAAGCGCGCAAGAGGTAAGCCAACCTTCATATCTAACTTGTCTACGCTGCCCAATATCATACAAAATTTATATAGAAGCTGATGATACATTTTCTTTTTCTTTCTAGCAAAAGCGCCAGGCCCTAAGGCATTTGCTAGGTGGATGGCCGGCGCAAACAGACATCGCCTCAATACAGCCTTGAAATCAGGTAGAAAGGCTAGTGTGTCTCCATCTGGTCCATCGTCAGCTGCGGGAGAGGCAAACCCAAACACTACCCCAGCTAGCGAGCCCTCGACGGACAGTAATGCGTCTCGTCTATAGAGGAGAGTCAGGCGAGACTCTTGAATAACAGTGAGTTAACCTTTATCCCCATACCTTGGAACTTGCTTCCCGAAAGTTATACTTATCACCTCCTAAGGTAGCAGGGGCACAAAACAGCTGCGTTGTTAGCAATACTGGACCGTAGCTATGGCGGTGTCGGCCCGGAGCACACCACATGTTGTTAGGCACAAAGCCCATGAAACGTAGGTATGAATCAACGAAGGATAAGTTGCTGAGTGTAAGGTTGGAGCGCCTTATAATCTCGCTGGAATCTTCCGATGAATCGTAGGCCACGTCAAAGGCATGACCGCAGCCTTCAGGTTTCCGAGCGCGTCGAGAAGATCAGCGGCGATCTCAGCCTCGCATAAAAGTATCGATTCTTGATCTAGAACGTTCGTCACTAGGAGACGGGACTGGAAAGAACACGGGTTTAGCATCGATATTGACCAGAAGATGAAAAGAGCGAGCGCATAAACAAACGTACAATGCGAGTTTGTAGTCTGGATTCAGCAGGTTTCATCGTCCCAGTTGATTATTCTGGGTATCCGTGGGTGATCCCCGATCAATGCATAGATCTCAGCTTCGAGCCGCATATTTCGCCGGTGGTCCCTCTCTTCCGGGGGGCAAAATGGATTCGGGATGGGAGTCTTTACCACCGCGCCAGACGGTAACCGCTCCAGGATGGCTGTGCCGCCCCAAGCGAGCATTTCACCCTTGGAAACATAGACGACCTGACCATGTCGCGGGTCGGGAGCCTTAGCGGTGCTGGAAATGCAGATGTATGTAATATCATCGACACACTTAGAAGTCGCGTCGCTCTTCCCCTGCGTAGGCAGCTACACGTACATCGTTAGAGATGGGAATATGGCTTCGAAGCAACTTACTGTGCCCTTTGCTACTTCAGGGTCGCTTAGCTCTTGAACCTCCTTTTGTCGACTCGGACGAATGAACAGGGTTGTTAGGAGAGTAGTGAGTGAGGACCAAAGGAAGCGAAGGGGAGAGAGTACTAATCCATAAAGGAGCCGCATTATGAAGAGCAAAGAGCCCTCATGCCCTATTGTGCACGAAAACTATCCCGACGCTGATTCCGTGGTGAAGGGTACGGGAAATGAACGTTCCCTATCAAAGATGCAGGGACATTGGAGATGGGGCCCATATGAGATTTCTGAATAGGTTCAGATATGCGCGCTGGTGAAGGGTTTGCGTCTTTGATACTAGTTTGGGGTCAAGTCTTTCAGATTGTTGATGTAAATCTTGATTTGATGGATGCATGAGCAAGATCAAATCTGATTGTTCTATGATCTCGATCTTTTCTTCGAGAATGACTTCAAGAGACTCCATTGGAGCTCTGCAATCTCCGAGTCATCGCATGGATCAGTATCTCTAGACACTTTTGCTCGAGTGCCTGGATGAGCGTTACTAGGATGTGTTTGTTGATCATGCTCACCAAAAGCTGTTGAATGGATGGAAACGTTTGGCAGTATGTACCTATGTCTCAAAAAGCCAAGAACACAACATCTACCAGGCGAGAGAACCTGGCTTGTAGAAAGCATCTGAGTATCTAATTGGCAAGTCAGTACATAAACACGTAGCGTATATCCCAGGAACTGGTCAATGGCACAATATCAATCACCGGTCCGATATACTATCAAAAAGGGCAGTAACCAAGATGCATCCAATTCCAAAGATCAACATAGTCTTTGCAACACTAAACATATAGTTGCTCATCTATCAGCATTCGCCACAATGGAGGCGACTCTCAATCAATCACGATATTCATGTTGTAGTTGGCTGTGATATGCATGTTGTGCTCAGGGCTTTCTCAGAGGCCTAATGCTCTACACTCTCCAGCGTACAAGGAAATAGCTCTCGCAAACTCCCTACTGGTGTCTGGTTTCATTCCGGGAGTTGTAAGTCTGTAGGTATAAGCGGTAATATATCTTGACTAGCTCATAACTCTCTACATTTTATTCTGACAGATCACTGGAAAGAGCCCTATATATTCAGTTTAATCCAGCCTTATCTTACTATACAAGATAGAGTAGCATTGCTTCAACACTAGGATAAAGTATAGAGTAAAGACACAGAGACAGCAAATGAGTCATGACTCAATCCTAACAGCCAATGGCATTACCTTATTCAATCTCTTAACATTCCCATGAAAAAACAGAAAAATTCAACATCAAAAACGAAAGAAAAAAAAAAATCAGCCACACCATTCCAACCAACCACTCTGCAGTTAACTAACCCAAACCCGCCTAGCCGGTCCCACCCGTCACGCTAAACCAAACTAATCCCAAGCTAATCCCAACCAAGAAAGCCAAGCCAAGCCAAAAAGAGACAAGACATTTTCTGTCCCCGCTTAGCTGTCCAATCCAAGTCTCCAGAACTAGACACAATTCCATTCAACATCCGTCTTCGCCTTCGCCTTTGGTTCACTCCGTTGGACAGTGGGAAAGTGGGACCCTTTTTTCTACGGTGGACTCGGATTTCGGAGTTGTGCTGCAGGTCCGGCAGACCTGGTTTCTTTTTGGGCTAGACTATGTACATGACCTTACCTAGTCTAGTCTGGTGCTGGGTTAATCTAACTCCGTGACTAGTCCCTAATCGATGATTCTCACCGAAGAGAAGACACAAAAGAAAAGAAAGAGAGAGAAAAGAAAAAAGGTACCCGGATGTGTGGATAGAATCTTCACCTATGAAGATGATTCATGTTCATGGCGATGAAGCTAATGTAGGTACTGATCTTGTACCTGACTTCTGTACGTAAGGTAGGTAGTTCGTAGTCGTACATTTATTATTTACCTTATTTTATTCTACCTTAGTCCGGTTGGAGAACAGTCAACAGGGCTAGTAACTTCGCTGGCTGGTACACTACATGTCAGAATTCTGGGGTCCTGCCCTAAGTCTGACTCTGTCTCTGACAACTTTCTGTCGGCCTCGGTCCGCTCATAGCTCGGGATCCAGGCGGGATTCAGTCGAACGAGCACAAACGGCGTTTCACTTTCAGATCCTCGGCGATTGATCGATTGATTTCCCCAACCTCTTTTATTTTATATCAAGTCTATGTCAGCTGATGGTCTGTCTCGTTTCTCGCTAAACAGGACTCTATACCATGTACAGTGTGTACACCTGTTTCAATGATATTCTTGATAATATTAGTTATGATTACTGATAACTGGCACCTCGAAGCTAAGAAGTAAGAACGGTGGTTGACTCCACTCTACCTCCTCAGCTAAATTTCATTTTCTTATTGACTCCGTACGGATACTCCGTACTTCTACTTAGTCCGTACTAGGAGGAGACCACTCCGGAGTTCTGGTTCTAGTGCCCTGTCACGAGGGCAGTCAGTCCAAGACTGAATCTGAAAACAGTCTCCATAGATCAAACCAAGTAGATCTACCAAAATCAATAGCAAGGATCTTGTTCAATGTTTGATATTCAATATTCATAGAACGAGCGTAATTCATGTATATACATCTATCGCGTCACCGTCTCACGTCACCATCACATCTGCTCAGCAGGTTGCTCTCACGCGGACCTGCGCGAACCATCGCTCATCCCATTCCAAATTATGTATGCGAACTCTCTGAGGTATATATTATGATACAACGAAAAGGAAATAATGTACGAAAAGCAGTTATGCAAAATTATGCTTTTCGTTTTCTTTGGGTTTCTGTTTAGTTGTCCTGCTTCTTCTCGTGATGCCAGTCCTCCGGAGTCTCGGAGTCATCGGCATCCAGGGCGTTCATCTCGTCTTCCTGGGCGTTGAGGTGGTGGAACACCAGCCAGAAGACGATACCCGCGATAAACGAAGCGCAGGCCAATCCGACAAACATCCACATGATGGCCGGGTCGAACGCAGCGGGCGTCAGGGCCTCGGCGATAGCGGATCCGAACGCGTTGGTGAGCAGGTACATGGACTGCACGAAAGACTTCATCGACGGAGGCGCCTTGGTGTACGCGTACTCAAGACCGGACACGGAGGCGAAAATCTCGGACAAACCGATGAACACGTAGGCCGGGGTCTGGATGGCGATGTGGACGTCGTTGCCCTGGGTCTGGCCGTCGACGATGGAAAGGTCGCAGCCAGGCGATCCGTAACAAGGTCCGGCAACGTAGATGAGATGCTGGACAATGGCAGCGTACATCATGGCCAGAGAGGCGACGACGAAACCCAGCGAGATACGGGTGATGGGGCGGAAGCGGATACGCAAGCGGCGCAGCAAGGGGTACACGAAGGTCTCGAGCAGAGGGATAAACACGATGATCGAGATGGGATCAAAGTTCTGCATCAGATCGTTGGGGATGCCGTGACCGTTCATCTGACCGGCCTGGGTGACGAAGTTACTCGAGAACTGGCCGTAGACGACCCAGTAGACAGGGTAGAAGGCGAAAACACGGCAGGCAACCAGGGCACGCTTGAGCTCATCGATGAAATGGTCGTCCCACGGCACGGCACGAGAGCTGCCGTTCTCGGCCTGCCAGGTGGGCTTGGGAGCGTCCATGTTGCGGTTGACGATCATGATCCACAGCGCCTTGAAGGCGTCGGTGATGATGGATCCCTGGGGCGGGCGGACGACGTAGTACTTGCGGCCGACAATGAGCACCGTGGTACCGACAGCGAACATGCAGAGACAAAGCAGGTATCCGGACCAGAAGCCGATGTCCCGCTCCATGTAGGGCGTGGCCAGAAGCGAGAGCGATCCGAGGTTGATACAGCCGTAGAAAATCATGTAGATACGCTGGATGGTCAGGGCGGGATCGATGATAACCCGCTCACCCTTCTTCGTGGTGGACATGGCCATCTTCTTCCGCTTGTATTGATCGGCAATCTGGGCAGGTTAGTCTCTCTCCGCAGATGCACAGGCCAAGATGGGGAGGTTGCTTACCAGAGGAGCAACGTTACTCTTGATACCACCAGTTCCCAGACCGATAATCAAGATAGCAACGATGAACCCTCCCAGACCAGCACCATGGGCGAGGGCGGTAGGAATCGACGTGCAAACCAGGATAAGCAATCCAACCAGGTAGACGATACAGAAGAGAACAATAGTCTTGTATTTGCCAAGGTACTGATCGGCAACGATGGCACCGATAATGGGAGTAACTAGAAGGGTCAGTATATCATGACGCGCCGAGGACGCAAGTGCGGAAACCTACCATAACACCAGAATTGGAAGAAAGTGGTCAAGCCAGTAGCACCCTGGTGACCCATACCCAGAGCACCACGACCCTGACTGCCGTCGAGAGGAAGGTTGACGTAGTTCTGGAACATACCAGACATTCCGTAGTAGGTGAAGCGTTCACTCAACTCGACAATGGCCACCAGCCAGGCCGAGATGGGCAGGTTCTCGGCGACGTGACGCAGAGCCTTGGACTCGTCGTCGGTCGGCTCCTCGCCATCGGGGGTAGAACCGAGGGGTTTCTCGTTGGCATCGGCATACTTCTCATCCACCACGGGTTGTGGTCTGCAAATGTTAGTGACGATTCCACGGACGGATTGAGTCACACAGCCAGCCGAAGAGATGGGAAAGAAAGCAAGGGAAAAAAGTCAAAAAAGGCAAACTCACTGAGTAATCTCAACCTCTTGATCTCTGACAGACATGTTGCTGAGGTGGACGAGCCAGGAGAAATCCCACGGCAAGAGGAAAACTTTGGACTCAAAATTTCCTCACAGAAGATGCGCACGAGACAGCGAGACCGAAACGGACATGGACCTCACCTTATAAGCTCCAGGTATTACTCACAGTGGGAGAGACATGGGCCATGGTAGCCGATGCGGGACCGTCTTATCGCAAGAAACATGGGAAGGCCCCATCGTTAGACCATGACCAGAAAAAAAAATAAAAAATCCAATCGCGTGGTGCGAAGGAGGCTAGTCGGATCCACGAATGTAACCCCAGAGGCGTCGAGGGCAGAAAGCAAAGATATGACAAGCCATGTTAAGCATCAGCCGAGCAGCCACGGAGATTGGGGAGACTTTCTGGAAGCGGCCAGTCGGAGGAGGCCGATGAGTCTGGGCGAACTGCCTTGTTCGGGATGGTGTCAAGTAGTCGGGTCTTAGTCTCGTCGACTAAACGACCAAAGCCCGGAGTTTTTCCTATCGTTTTTCTTTTTTTTCCTTAATCGGCGAGAGTCTGAGGGCGAGAATTGGGGCAATCAAACGGACCCCCGCCGTCGCCACCGGCACCACCGCTTCCGGAAAACTGGAACCCGTTAGGTAACGGATTGCCTTTCGTGCTGCTCACGGCTTTAGACAAGGGCAGATAAGCATCGCTCATCTTATTCGTAAGTCTGACAAAGGATCCCGGAGCAGAGATAGCCAGCGAGCCGCCAAATCCTGGAGTCCTGGAGTCCTGGAGTCGGCGTGCGAAGGTTCTTCCTGGCCAGCGTCGGTTGAGCTTCTCCCCGAGGATAATCTTCTCGGTTATGCCGGCTGTTTCCTCCACCAATATTTCCTTGGATATCCGACCGAATATCACCGTCCATCGAGTAACGATAGTCGAAATCATGCTGATGATCCAATCCCCAACTTCCTTCCAACCTCCAGGATACCCACGCCCACTTCCAATACCACGTCGCTACCCCGGAATGCGGAGAGGGCCAAAGTCAAACCCAATCCCAATAGCCCGATATGGGTTCCCCGTAGTGCCCAATCATCGTCACATGGTTGGTAAGTTGGTTTAGAATTAGTTGACTTCCCCGCCAGGGATGAGGCCAGTCGTAGGATCAAAGCGAGGCCATTGATTATCGAGGACAAGGGGTGTGGAGTTCCATCGGATTTCCGACCGGTTCAGGCCGCCAGCACCGTGTTCGGCTGGTGAGAAGAGGGGTCGTAAGGTAGTATCGACTATCGAGATCATCTGAGAGGACAGGCTCTAGGAAGGAAGCATGTCTCGCGGCAATAAGACGGACCATCCATGTCGTGTCACCTGGATCATCCCGCAGAAGAGGTCAGCAAAAAGGTCCAAACACCCCGAGTCAGTGAAATTGGACTGAAATTGAACGATTGATCCGGTTTTCTTGGCAAGAACGACAAACGAAGAGAAATGACCGATCGGAGCAGCGACCGGCCACATTAAGTACCCCTGGTGGTTGAGGCCTTATCTCCCAGGCCGCCCTGCTCCGACTTCGCATCCCCCCAACGATGCGTCACCGCCGACTTCCCTTCGTGAGAAACAATAAACATGTTGGAGAATTGGAGTCATGTCTCTCTCACCTATTCCTGATAGGGTTATTTGGCCCGATTATTCCGGTTTTTGCATGCTGTTGCCATTGTCCTGAATCCCGATCTGCCGTGTCTATAGGGTCGAGGCGTGAGGACCGCAGGAGGCATCCTTTCTTCCAGACACAGGCGAAAGAGGAGGGGGAGAGCATCCCTTTATCTTATAGACGAAGGTTCATGCCCAGCTTTTTTCCGCGTGTACCAAGACGGCCGAAATAGTGAGGTTGTGATACTGGCCAATCTGGGCTGTCTTGACTTTCTTGGCTGGCTTACCGACGAGCTCGGCGTCTTGGAAAGAACGCCATCGCCTATCACGCAGCTCGGATAAGTCGCACAGGATGGCTTGGGTGGAAGGGGCGATACCTCTGTTCATATCTAGGCCATGGCGATGGATGTCGTGATTGATCTTCGGTGCCCCCCCCCCCCCCCCCCTGCGGAAACCGTCCGAAGGAACTGGACTATGGGGTACATGTCTGCCTTTTTACCCGGAAAGATGATGAAAGCGACCAATAAGGCAGAAGGTGGTGCCGATTATCCCCAAGCCTTGTTGGGACTACATAGATCCCTGCCGTTGGACTTGTCGTACAGTACAATCTGGACGGTTGCTCGCAAGTCTTAGACATTGTGTAACCATCTTCAGAACTGTCCAAAAATGATCCATCATGCTGTCAACCAGTCTACGGAGTGTGGCTGATTCTCCGACGACTGTTTAAACCCGTCTCCAGTTCATCATCAAGATGGCGTGCTGCGAAGGGCGTAAGCAAGTGGATCATCTGCCTGCGGATGACGGACGGAGCCTTGAGCGGACATATCGGAAGTCTGGACGTTTCAAATTGTCCCTCATTGGGGTGACTTCGTCAGGATTGTCGACACTCGCGCAGAATTGACCTGATTGAATATCAAGTCTACAGGGATGAAGAAGTTTCCTTCGACAATTATCGAATGATTGTGTCCTCCGTTGTCAAATCCATGGTGATGGGCAATGGGAAGGGAATGACCGTGCCAGAATAAGAGGCAAACGGCCAGCGATATCGGACCTGATGCAGTAGCTAGAGTATTAGCCCGTGCTTTGTCCAAGAGTCTAGAAGCTTGAATTAGGATCAAAACCTCGACTGAGTGATTCATGCTAAACCTCCCTGTCGATAAACAAGACCATGGGCTCACCGTATCCATGCGAAATGATGGATGGGGCCGAGTGGATGCTCCTGCCTCATGTAAAAGACGCCAATCGTCTGGACTCATCTCAGGATCCTTTTTGTGGACCAGTCAGGTTTAATATAAGACCTGTGCTGGATCCCTGATGAAATCCTTAAAATGGCTGCTGGAAGGATGCATCGATGGATGATGTGAGGATCTACGAAAGACGAGGGAGGGGGCAGATGACCTTCAACAAACGTTTGCAGGTCTCGAATGCCTGAGGCCCTCAAAAGCCCAGGCATCTCTTGTAGTGGCCTAAGATGGAAGGTGCAGTTGTACCGCTGCCAAAAATAGACCTCATTCGGGTAGAATTATATACAACATCTTCCATGACACCGTTGTGATCTCTTTCCATCCACTGAAAATGCTCATGAATCCAGTCAACTCGGACATCCAACCCACCCATTCAATCCATCGGGTCTTGTTCGATCGGGCGGTGGCCATCTAGCACCGATATTTCTCATCCCAACAACGTACGACTGACCTATAACGAGGATCCCACGGCAGCTCGTCCAGACCCCTATGAGTATTAGCAAAGTCGCTCAGCCTTCTGAGTCAGTCATCGGAACCACTAGCCTTTCTTCATGGACGGAAAGAATTATCCCAGGCCCGACCCAACCACCCAACCACAGGGCCCTGGAAGAAGAAGCTGTCACTAGTTAGTTCTACAGGGTTAGTGAAGGTCCCAGGCCCATCCCAACCACCCAGCCACAGGGCCCTGGACGAAGTCTAGTTAGTCTACGGGGTTAGTATGCGAGCAAAGGTCCCAGGCCCGACCCAACCAACCCAACCATGCGGCCCTGGGAAATGGAGCGTAACTCCTGTGAAAGTCGTTGCAACAAGGTCCCTCACTCAACGCATTAGCAATGTCACTAGATCCCCTAATTATCCGCGTTCACTCACCTGTCCCCAAGGACGAACAGATTTATCCCAGGCCCAACCCAACCACCCAACCACAGGGCCCTGGAAACAAACTGCACAGCTGGGTTAGCTCTACGGGCTAGTATACGAGCAAAGGTCCCAGGCCCGACCCAACCGACCCTACCATGTGGCCCTGAGAAGTGGAGCGTAACTCCTGTGAAAGTCGTTGCAACAAGATGCCTCAACGCGTTAGCAAATCACCTGATCCTCTGATTAATCAAGTTCACTGACCTGTCTGTATGGACAAAGCATCATCCCAGGCCCGACCCAGCCACCCAGCCACAGGGCCCTGGAAGAAAGCTGTGTGGGTTAGTTCTACAGGTCCCAGGCCCGACCCAACCAACCCTACCATGCGGCCCTGGGAACTGAAGCGCAGCTCGCTGAGTTGTTGCTACAATCACCTAGTGTGTACCTAGGTAACTAGGTTGCTAGGTAAGGAGGAGACCGTTCCAGATCGCTAAGTGCATTAGCAATGTCACATGGTACCTTGATTAGATATTCAGGTTCACTGACGTGTCCTTATAGGCAAAGAATCGTCCCAGGCCCGTCCCAACCACCCAACCACAGGGCCCTGGAAAGAAGCTGTGTGGGTTAGTTCTACAAGGTCCCAGGCCCGACCCAACCGACCCGACCATGCGGTCCTGGGGACTCATCAATAAAAGATGGGATGGATGAAACAGAAGTGATGAGGTAGATATAGTCGCAGCGAGCGAATTTGCAGAACTATTCGCTGATCAGTGGATGCCAACGAAGCAAGATAGCCTACTGACCTGTCTTCAAGAACAGACGAAATCATTCCAGGCCCAACCCAACCACCCAACCACAGGGCCCTGGAGAAGCTGTAGCTAGGTTAGTTCTACGGGTTAGTATGCAAGCAGGTCCCAGGCCCGGCCCAACCACCCTACCATGCGGTCCTAGGACTCATCCATAGAAAATGAGATGAATGAGGATGAAACAGTCACAGCGAACCGAATGTGCAAAGCGTTAGCAGATCAGTTGATGTCAACGTAAAAAGGTGGTCTACTAACGAGTCTCCAAGAACAGACAGAATCATCCCAGGCCCAACCCAACCACCCAACCACAGGGCCCTGGAGAAGCTGTAGCTAGGTTAGTTCTACGGGTTAGTATGCAAGCAGGTCCCAGGCCCGACCCTACCACCCTGCCATGCGGTGTCCTGGGACTCATCCCTAGAAGATGGGATGAATGAGGATGAAACAGTCACAGCTAACCAAATGTACCTGACAAGGTCAGAGTACGAACGGGGGACTGTATGTAGAGAGAAGGAGGAAACGAGATATGAAGTCGGATGCAGCCCAGGAGGTCAAAGGAGAAGAGTGGTGAGAGAGGAGAGCGGTGGAAAGAGAGGAGAACAGTAGACAGAGAGGAGAACAATAGGCAGAGAGGAAGACAATGGGAAAGAGACCACCGGAAAAGAGATGCGAGTGAGTCACAGCAACTGGACAACTGGACGTATGCATGACGTCCATCCATCATATGAGAAAAGCTCATGAATCTGATGAAGAGAACAAGCAGGTTGATGAAGAGAGCAAGTAGGTTGAAGCAGAGAAGGAAACAGCAGAGCGGAAGATGGAGAGAAAGGAGATGAGCTTTTATGTGGGAGGACGGAAGAGAGAGAAGTGAAGAGGGAGAAGAGAAGGGAAGGGTTGTAAAGGAAAGTTCCTGTAGCCCTGTAGCCTGGAGGTGAATGACGGTTTATCTTCATCACAGGGCACGCGACAGCAAATCATTTTACGCCGTAGGGAGTCATCTCCTGCTAATCAAGGTAGCGAGTTTCCAATAATATATTCCGATTTAGTTGAACTATTCACTATGTATAAAAGTATCACATGAAGAAATAAGGAAATAGAAGAGAGAGAGAGAAGCAAAAAGGGAAAAAAAGCGACCCAGTAAAGTCCTAAGCAATAGCATGAAACATATCGTAAAGGTGATCTCTCATCCTCGGTTTTTCTTTTTTTTTTAATACCTGAAACGAACCCCAGAAAGAAAAGGAAACAGAACTTGAATCGAAATTGGTATAAACCTCGTCAGATAACATATTGAGAGATACATGCCGTCGGTTTCTATGATTGATCATCACGCAGTTTGTTGGCCAAAGTCATGTCCAGCCCAAATCTGCTTTCCCTCATGTAACTTTTCTCGTTTGTGACTCGCCCATCACAAGATTCCTTATCATCGCATGCATGGTAAGAGAACGGAGCGTATCCGGAGTAAATCGTAAATGATCGAAAGACGCAGAGCTGATGATGCGCTTTAGACGGTGTACTTGGCCTTGGCCCGTGTGCTGCCGCTGTGGGCGCTGTCCGTGTGTCCCGAGAACTCGACGACATCGCTCTCCTTGAGGCGAAGGACCTCCTTGAACCGTCTACCGATCGACTCCAGGACCTCCTTGCCCTGAGCGGGTGTGCGGGTACCGGCCTTGTCGCCAGGAAGACTCTTGCCGACAGTTCGCGTCCACAGACCAACACGGTAGAAACCCTTACGCACGTTCACCACGACGCCCATAACCTCGCTGTCGCCATCGTTCTCCAGGGTCTCGCCAATAGCGGCCAGCTGGGCGTGAAGCCACAGCTCATCGATCGGGACGGAGCGCTTGTCCTTGAATGAGTACGACCATTTACCACCGTGCTTGTTCTGGGGGTCTTCCCACTCGGGCCGGATTCCCTTCTTGAAGAGGTGGTAGTCGGCCTTGAGGCCCAGTTCGGAGGTTGGCGTGATGTTGTTCTAGCAGAGAATCCGGTCAGCCAAATCTGAGGTGTGAACCACAAATGAGAGAGATCATACGTAGATGCCCCAGAATTCTTCGACGGAGTTGAACGTGACAACCTCCTTCAGAAGATCGTTCCAGTTGTCGCCCTAGAAAGGAAATATTAGCAACCCTGTCGATGGTTCGTCGCGTCGATAACTTACCTTTCCACTGGGAGGCTTTGTGAACCAGAGAGTCCAGTCGTGCATGAGGGGATGCTTCACGTTGAAGTTGTCGGCATCGTGGAACACCGTGACCGAATCTCCGTTGGCCTTTTCGGTCTGTTCGGTGGGTGCGGTGTTCTCGTTGGTCACCGGTAGGGGAGGGTTTTCAGCGACAGCGGCCATTTTGAATGTGAAATTCGAGTGAGATGAAGGGTTCTTTCGAGCGACTGAGATAAAGCGGGGGAGACTGCGGTGATAGAAAGACCGAGTGGATTATCGGAGGGGCGAAGAAAAAAGTCTTGGTGGGAGCGGCAAATTCTGAGCGAAAATCGACCGTCGGAGAGGAAGGAGCAACCTAGGAGAAGAAGGTTGAGGAAGAGCAAGTAAAGCGCGAGGCGACGAGGGAGACAGGTATCTGCTCCAGGCAGAATCACAACAAGGTGTGGTGACGGAGGCTTTGGAGGATTCTGCGGGCGAGAGACAATCTGAAGTTTTGAAGCGTTTGGAGCCGCCGCAAGCTGGATGGGCGACCAAACCTTTCCCGATCGGGCCTCCGCCTTCTGGCCCTTCCAAGCCCTAATGAGCAGTCATACGGAGTACACCGGAGTATGAGAGGGTGGACTGGACACAATCTAACCACCAGAAAATTATGCCAGAACGCCATTATCTATCGATTAATTTGACAATCACAGTTGTTTCTCCCGGAATCAAGACATAATATAAAGAAAGGAGAGGAAATTAACCTCGGGCTACCACTGCAGACAAACTCCGGCAAAGAGAACAAGAATTGAATTTAAGAGAAATAGAAGAAAACAGGCAACACCAAATATCCCCACCAGCTCTATGTAGTTCTGAATATCTATATTTAATCGAAAATGTCTAAAAGCGGAAGCGCCAGATGATGTCCAGAAGAAAGGAAGGAAGCACAGCGGAAAGACCTCTATGACCCCAGAAGAAATCGAAAACAGATGCCGACGTTTGCCAGTTGTACAACCAAGGGTATCACTAAATGCAGGTCTTGAAAACAAGATATGAGACAGACTATTGATCGTCGCTGGTGATCATACTGAGAAGGCAATTCCAGCCTATTGACTTGTCAGCATACTTCAGTAAACCAAAAGTTCAAGACACGTACCCAAGCTGACCACGTTGACGACCAGTACCCGGAATTCAATCGGGACAAAGGCAAAGTTGACGCCTTGGACCAAAGGCCAGATGGACAGGTTGGCCTTGTATGTGGGAAGGAAGGCGTTGCGCCACTTCTCGACGGGGTCGGTCCCTTCCATGATAGCCAGGGAAGACAGCAGGCAGGACAGGTTGATGGGCGTGAAAATGGCTTGATCAGCGACGACACGGGCAACGATGGTGCTCTTGGTGCCTTTGAGGACGACGTGACGCTGAAGGAAACCGAACCATGTCGTAGCGGCGGGGCCGAAGATGGCTATGGAGAGTCAATGGACGTCCAGCAACTTCGACAACCAAACAGGATCGAAATGACAGAGGATGATGTTCTTACCTCCACCATAGATGGCCAAACGGGCTGTCCGAGCTAGATCGTGCTTCTCCCAGCCCTTGCGATCGACAGCCTGCTGAGCGAGAACATCTCCGCTACCAAAGAGAATCTAGACCGGATGAGTATAAAGATCGTGGTGCAAGTTGAAGAACGAGAGGAATCGTACAAAACTGGTAGCACTGGCGGTGAGAATGGGCGACTTAGCCAGTTTAGCCTGGTACCTGGTAGCAGTGACGTTAGCTTGGAGCTTTGAGACATGGGGGGACGATCCAGGGAAGAATAGACTTGACGCACCAACGCAACATCTTGACGAGAATTGAGGAGTGAAAAGAAGTCCAATTGATACAGTTGAAGACAATTGATGCGACTGGAAGCGAAGTCAACGACAGCGAATGGTGGATGGAAAGAAATGACGGAGATGATCGATCAAGGAACCGGGACAGAATGATATAAGAGAACGGAGAACCTCCCCCAGACCGCTGATAAGAAGAGGACGAACCCCAAACAAGCAAAGGCGCGACCGCCGACCGCCACGCGGGCCACTCATTGGCAGCCGCCGTCACATGACGTGGGTCCCTGGACCGGGTTGCAGCCGTTGCCCAAAGGGGCGAGCCGCCTAGGGTATAGGGCTCAACCTCGCTTAGCGCACCCGCCGGCGAAATTTCGCTCCCCCAAACAGTTGTGGATAGCGAGCGAAAAAGTCAACCTCGACGTCGACAACCCTCAACGAACACCCCTCCCGTTCAACTCCCCCCCAATCGCCATATAGATCAACATGGCTGACGCCGCTCCCCGTGGACGTGGAGGATTTGGCTCGCGCGGTGACCGTGGTGGTGACCGTGGCCGTGGCCGTGGTCGCCGTGGTCGTCGCGGAGGCGCGAAGGAGGAGAAGGAATGGCAGCCCGTCACCAAGCTCGGCCGTCTCGTCAAGGCCGGCAAGATCACCAGCATGGAGCAGATCTACCTGCACTCTCTGCCCGTCAAGGAGTACCAGATTGTGGACTTCTTCCTCCCCAAGCTGAAGGATGAGGTTATGAAGGTACGGAAACGATATTCTTTCAAACAGCGACCGATATGGTGCGGAGGACAAATTGCGCATTGCAAATGGTGGAATCAACCGGAATTTCGATACATTGGCAACAAGGGAAATTCGACATGGAATTCGCAAGGGCGTTGAAAGACAGGATTTGAATGACGCAGTTGCTGACGGGTTATCAAAAACTACAGATCAAGCCCGTCCAGAAGCAGACCCGTGCCGGTCAGCGTACCCGTTTCAAGGCTGTCGTTGTCATCGGTGACTCCGAGGGTCACATCGGTCTCGGTATCAAGACCTCCAAGGAAGTCGCTACCGCCATCCGTGCCGCCATCACCATCGCCAAGCTGGCTGTCCTCCCCGTCCGTAGAGGTTACTGGGGTACCAACCTTGGTGAGCCTCACTCTCTGCCCGTCAAGCAGAGCGCCAAGTGTGGTTCCGTCTCCGTCCGTGTACGTTACGATTTTCCTGTCCTTTGAAGTGGTAGGGAAGACAGCAACTAATTCTACTAGCTTATCCCCGCTCCCCGTGGTACCGGCCTGGTTGCCTCCCCCGCCGTCAAGCGTCTACTCCAGCTTGCTGGTGTCCAGGACGCCTACACCTCGTCGTCCGGTTCGACCAAGACCCTTGAGAACACCCTCAAGGCCACCTTCGTTGCCGTCGTCAACACCTACGGCTTCCTTACTCCCAACCTGTGGAAGGAGACCAAGCTCATCCGCAGCCCTCTGGAGGAGTTCGGTGACGTTCTGCGTCAGGGCAAGAAGTACTAAAAAAATAGTGCAGTGATGGGAATAAATTTGCATGATTGTTTTTGAAATCGAATCATTTTCCTACGGGGTTTTCTTCTACTTTTTTCCTCTTCTTTTGGCTGTAGGATCGGCAAGGCTCCAGCGAACTCGACACTTAACGCTTTTACGGGATTGATGGTGTCTACGGTTGTAATATTCGAGAGAGAAGCACGATATAATTAGCGTCAAGTCAATAAACTTCCTCTCGCCAGTCTTGGTCTGCCTGCATCTCGACATCAGATGGTTCTACAAGCCTACAGTAGACTACATATTAGACGTAGAACCCGCCAAACGCAGTTCCCCAAAATATACGTAGCTCATGGTCATAACCCAATGCTCTGCGTGCCTTCAATCTACACCGTTCTTCAACTCATCTACTGTGACATATCAGACTTTCTAATCCACCAGTCACAGTCCAGGCTGCATGACATCTGTCCACCTGAGCTTTCATTAGGAACCAGTATCAACCGGAGCATAGAATGATTGAATTCAAGGCCCAAGGATTTAACTCCATAATTCGCACGGGCAACTGTGGGTCTGCTGATATGCGGCGCACGGAGCCCATCAATGATCGGTGACCAATAAAGTGTAGTAAATTCATCAGTATGATTTCACTGAATTGGATTTTGTACGTGTGGTAGTGGACGAAGGGTTTTATTAACTTGTTATATAAGAAGTATAGTTCCATTTGGAAACTCTACACAGTTATGAAGTTTAATTGAATGGTAGTCTCTTGTACCTTGTAAAGTGTATTGCCTACAGATCATACTCGAATATATATTTTGTGCGGATCGGAAGATAAGGTCCTTCTAGATCTTGGTCTCCACAGTTTATCCTTTCCATGTCGTTGCTTTTCACTAGCATTCTTTGATTTTGATTCATATAGCTTGCAAATAAAATAGCATATAAATGTGCGAAACACAATCAAACCCTCCAAAGAAGCAATTTCTCTCGGCTGTCCCGATCTGGAAGGCCGCTAAAAATCTTGCAGGTCACCCAGACTAACCGAAAAGGGACAGAGCTCAGCTGCCCGGATTGGCGGGGATACGCGCCCTTCCCCATGTCTTCCTACAGCTCATGGAAGATCCTGGTCAAGCATGCACCTCCCCTTTTTCCGCATCGTCATCTGTGTCATTTGGACTCTGCTGAAAACCGGCTCTCTTCCCTCCACAATGACTTGACCTTGATCGGACTATTTTTATCGTCCACACCGTGTCCTTGCGACCCATGATATGATCGTGTACTCACTCCTCCTGGGCCTGCTGGCCCTGTACATCGTTGGTTATGTTCGGCGCTTAGTTACGTATACACGTCGCATTCGACCGCTCAAGCTGCCATACGTGGTGGCTTTGTTCTCCGACTCTGATCTCCCCGTGATCATCCTGTACGGATCGCGATCGGTTCGATATGCCATCAAAAACTGGCTGCCCGGGTGGTTATCCGACCAGCTGAGCGAGGCGAAAATCATCAGCCGCTGGTCGGTCAAGGATCGTATGGCGAGGAGGCTGGGCGGTGTGTTCTTCAGAGTCACCCCTAAAGGCCCTGTCTGCAATGTCTCCGATGCGTCGGTTGCTTCTCAGATTTTTGGTAATCGGGGGGAGTTTCCTAAGCCGACGCAGCAGTATGGTTGGTTTATGCCTGTGTGCTTGATATTTAGGTGGATTTAAATGCTAATTGCGAAGATCTTTTGGAGTTGTACGGTCCGAACATCGTCACGGTAAGTATTGCTCTAGTATCTTATACTAGGACTGAACTGATGAGTACAGGTCGAGGGCAAAGAGTGGCAGCATCACCGCCGCCACACGGCCACCACATTCAATGAAAAGAACAACGCGCTGGTGTGGAAAGAGGCGATTCATCAAACCACTCAAATGATCGAACATTGGCAGGAGACGTCACCAACTGCGACCGAGACAGACTTCCTGGTCGAGAGAACCAGAGAAGATGGCCTCAAGCTGACCTTGAATATCCTATCGAGGGCGGGTTTCGGAGTCCCAATTCCTTTCAAACCGGTGCAACAAGGCCAGGACAGCGACCCGGAGGATATCTTCAAAGATTCAAGTACTCCGCCAGCAGGTTTCGACTACACGTTCAGCGCCGCAATAGCGTATGTGAGTATAAAAATCATCACGGTCATCCTGGCGTACAAGATGATTCCTCGACGGCTTCCACGACAGCTTGTTCCGTCGTTTGTCCGAGAGAAGCTAGCAGCGTACCGGGACCTCGACGCGTACTTGCATAAGCTGGTTGCTAAGTCGAAAGCTGTCGTGCAACATGCAGACGAGAACGCGGGAAATCTGGTCCACGGCATGCTCCTATCTCAGATGCGCGGGGATCAGGAGGGGGGCGATAAAGGTCTGACCGATCTGGAAATCATGGGCAATATGTTCATCTTCGCGATCGCTGGACATGAAACGACCGCGACGACCTTCAGATACGCACTTCTGCTCTTGGCGCTCCATCAGGACGTCCAGGACTGGCTTTATGAAGGTGTCGTGGAAGCTACGCGTGACGAGCCCGTTGAGGTCAGCGAATGGGATTATGACCGCTTGTTCCCTAAACTTATCACTCCATTATGCGTTATGGTACGTCAGGCCCTATATCAATTCCAGCTACACATCTATACTAACGAGTGATACAGCTGGAAACTCTCCGTCTTTACCCCCCTGTCATAACCATCCCCAAATGGACCGGCTACTCACCCAGCACCATCACCTACCGCGAACAAGACTACATCCTACCCCCCAAAACCAACATCAACATCAACGTCAACGTCCTCCACTTATCTGAAGAGTACTGGGGGCCCGATGCCGAGCACTTCCACCCCCAACGATGGGACGCATCGAACAAGGAAAGTTTCCTGGCCAAGAACGCCGACACGCCGGGTCTGGTCGCTGCTGGCTTAGAGTTCTCGACTATCCATCGACCTGTTCGCGGCGCGTACGCCCCATTCAGCGACGGCGTGAGGGCCTGTCTGGGGAAGAAATTCGCCCAGGTGGAGTTTGTGGTCGCGCTGGCTGTGATTGTCAAGCAGTTTCGGGTGGAGCTGGCGGAGGGCAGTGTGGAGTCTCGGAAGAATGCCGAGAGGGTGTTGGAAGGGGGGATTTCGGTTTTGACGTTGGGGATGGAGGAGAATGTTCCGCTGCGGTTTCGTAGGAGGTAGGATTGAGGGTAATGATCAATAATGGAATGGCTTTTGCTATGTTTTGCCTTGTTTGGTTGTCTGTTTGGGTATTTTCCTTGTGAACCTTCCGTGCTCGCTAGGGCATTGTGTAGCAATTTCATCCAGAATATTATTGGATACAATCGTGTGTTTTCTTGCAGATATCTCACTGAAAGATGGAATATGGGAACATTGCATTTTTTGGTGCAGCATTGTAGCTTGCAGGTAGACCTGTAGACCTCCAGATAGTTGCCAGACCTGGTCATTGTAAAGCTATTTAGACATTGTTCATAGATAGGTCTCTGGTTTCGCACTGAACAAATGGAATGGCTAGAATCCCTTATGAGGCAACAAACAAGATCATATACTACTACCTCCTACGATCTTGCTGTATCATGGCACATGCTATCTGTTTGTTTTGTTCTTTATACTTAATAAAGACGTTGCTATTACAAACTACCATAGATCACAAGGGCTCATTTACATCAATATTGTGTTCTACGTTAGTTCCCAATCATGCTTGAGAAATAGACTCAATATTGCAAACAATTGCATCCATAAATTTGCTCTATACAATGAACCAAATCACAGTCCACATAGCATGGTGCAGCCGTAAAGTCAGGCAATCCACTGAGTTTGCCTTGTTCTCAAAGTCATTCACTGATGGAAGTCGTTTGTCTCTCCCTCTTTCAAACCAGGTGAATCAATTCACCCTTCCCTTCACATTTCTTTGCCTGCCTTCTCAAGACCTGCCAACTTCCCCAACCCGAATTCTTTCTCTTTCTTCACTCCGTTACAACCCCCCACGCTCCCCTCACGTTTTCCCATCCTCTGCGCAATGGCGACAAACGAACTCAAGATGGACGACTACCCAGCTCACTGGAAAGCCACCCTCATGGGAGAAGCGTTCTGGAAAGACGCTGAAGAGTTCAACCAGCCCATCAGTGATAGTATTGACGCGAGTGAGTTTCCTGTTTGCTTCCTCCCACTTCTCACCTCACCTTCCTAATACCTACTGACCCTCTCCCCTTCCTCATCTCCATCTCAGATTCCCACCCTCCTCTTCTTTCCAGATTCCCCTTCAACATCGGCTCCGAACAACCTGCCAGCTCTTATCATCACCATTATCCTCATTGTCAAGATCCTCAACAACAGTCCCCCCAACTCGCAGAACAACCTGAAAAGCGCCACCGACGCTTCAGCACCAGCGACGCTCTCCGATCCTTCGCGTCAAGAGCATCAAGCCCGTTCCCTCCTACATCTCGCGCCTTCGACCTGCGCCGGGGCCGCTCTCAAACCCGTCCAGCATCCCCGTCTAGACCGCGTCGATCGAGCTCCATTCTCCGCTCCACGTTCAACATGCTGAGTAGTAAGGCTCCGGAGTCTGTGGATGCTTCCCCTGAGCCGAGAAAGAGTGCTCGCATCCCGGCTAACCAGGCGACTCCTATTCATCCACTTGAGGGCTTCCGTGGCGGAGAGACTTGGGCGTTGCTTGATAAGGGAAGACGGAGTTTGGGCTTGGATTTGTTTTTGCCTGTTGACGTGCTGAAGGAGGAAGAAGATGCAGCAGCAGCGAAGAAAGCAGAAGGTGAGACAGGGCAACAGGAGGACGAGGCATCTGAGCCCGATATCATCCAACGAGCCGCGTTTGAGATCCTGCCCAGCAAAGAGCTCGAGCCACTGAACCAGTTCCGTAAGTTACGGATGCTGAAAATCACGAGCATGATACAGTCGTATCAGAAGGAGATCTGGCAGGCTGCGTGGCTGAACGTCGAGTTGGAGGAGCTGGAGTTGGAAATGGTTTCGCAGCCGCGGATTCGGCGTCCGTATGTGGACCATTGGCCGTATATCAAAGGCGGTTGGAAGATGAGTAAAGAGGTGTATGGGGAGCCTGTTTACTAGTGAGCTTTCCATTTTCATTACACTCGGGCTTCTTTCTGTTCATTCCATGCCTGTCGTCGCTTTTCGGGATACTATTGTACACCATCTCCAGCCGGTGATTCCCCAGAACCAAATTAACTCAACCCCTTCCAGTGGCACCGACATGAGCACTGGGGTCCTCCACCGCAAAGTCGGCCGCGGCGAATATCTCGACAAAATCCTCATGGAAAAAGCCAAGATCTGCGCACTCGCCGTCGGCCGCTGCCGACAGCGCCTCTCGATCAAGACCCTCCGACTAACCGGGTTCGTTGTCGACGCAGACCCCTTCCTGCACTGGTTCGACCCGAAGCGTCTCAAGACGATCGAATTCAAAGACTACTGCGTGGACGCGGGGTTCTATCTCTCGGTGCCGATGGCAAAAGTCTCGGTGCTGTTTCCGCGCGAGGTCAACAATGACACCGCTGTTGTCGCGGTGCGTGCGGTCTCCATGTACAAGGATTTGAAGGTCGTTCGGTTCGAGGGGGGAAAGAAAGTGGGTGAGATTCCGTATCGTGGACCGGATAGTTTGAAGGAGGAGATTCCGCGGAATCTGGTCCCGGGGGAGCTGAAGGGCGAGGTTGATGAGGATATTGAAATCGACTGATTGATTGATTGACCGACTGTGTTTGGTCAGATTGATGAAGTGTATCTCAACAGTTTACAATGGACAAGAGGAAATTTACGCCCCCAGGTGTTCTTTATCGCCCCGTTTCGACAGCTCTTTTACTACTGCCTGTAGGATCCGACGCATTCCGTCGGTCTTTGGCATCCTGGGTAAATCGGTTTGGACCTAGGGCGTGCCGTAGGTAATATTTTACAAAACGAGTTCTGTCCTAGTCTCCATAGTCCTTGAAATAACTAACATAAATGATTGATGGTATACCGTACAGCGGCGGTGGGTTTACCCTCCTTCCTGATGAATGCATACTTTCGTACGATGCACTATTCACTCTTTTCTTGCCCTCTCTATCCCTTCACTCTGCTACTTAATTCATCTAGTCTGCCGATTCGGTGAATATGGACATTGCTGTCGGAGAAGAGATCCTGTCTCTCGCTGAATTTCAAACCGCTATACCCCCTCCGTCCTTGACACCAAAGAAGCGCGGAAGGCCAGTATCATCATACGACGAATATCTGACGTCGCAAACCAAGGCGCAGGCCAGGGAGCTTGATAACAGCTCTATCTGTTGGAACTGTGAGCATCGTCCACAGACGTCTGCCATGTGATTCAGAAGACAGACCGAGATGTCCGTAACTCCTTCTATATAACCTTCATCCCCGTTCTAACAAACGAGCCCTGTCGTTATAGTTCGAGGTCTACAGGCGCCGTGGTATGCTTAGCATTGGCTCGGTGTCCGATGTTAATAACGACATACCTCTACCTCTGTGCGGTCTTTGTCACAAAACCTTCGACGATCTAGTCAATCCAGGATTTGTCTTTATACCCACAGAACTGGATTATTTCCGAGAACATGAAGCGCAGGACAAGATCCGCAGAGCAAATCACTTGCTACAGAGGCGGACGCTCCTGCAGAAACAGAAACTATTCAACTGATACCAGGACAACGACGACTGTCTATGTAGTCTGGCTGATCCCGCAGACGATCGAGATCCGGACAGCGTACATCGCACATCCGCTGGTTCCCCGGAAGACCAATATCCTGCAATGGAGACTCGCAAGGAGTCACCTTCTGCTAGGGCCGTTGAAAACAACTTGGGCGCCACTTGAGTCCTTGCATCTTTCTCATACGTCTCCGCCTCCGTATCCTTGCGCTGATACTGCGAAGGCGGAGATCCCAAGGAGTCTAGTCCCGTCCTAGGGAACACTGATAGCGGGGAGTTTACATGGCTGGCTTTTCTGCGCATGGTTTCAAATTCAGCGGGCCCATTCGTTGTGCGGCGTTTCAATATGGCAAAGGGGGCGACATCTTTATGGTACTCTTCTCATATATGCAACTGCGAAATCATAAAGGTGCCCAGTGGTGGGATGAGCGCATGAAGGGCCATAGAGATAAAGAGGTCGAAAGATTTGTAGCTAACAAGCTGGAGGATCTGGCAGCATATGATGAGGTCAAGGATAAGGTCGACCACTACAAGGCCCTGATGGACAACGAGGAGGTAGCAGCAGAGGATTTCATTTCCATTGTATCCTCCATTCTTGGCATTGATTGATAGCTTTGTGCCAAGTTAAAAGAAAACCATTGCATTTGTGTCCCTTCTGCAGGCTAAGAAGCCCGGTCTGCTTTATTTTCTTTCTTTTCACTTTCCAGCTCCTCCTTCAAGTCTCTGGCCATAGGGATTGCGGCGAAAGCTCGGGGGAGCGTTGAATAATATTTCAGTTTACTGTAGACTCTCATTCTATGAGAGGCCTATGGATCAACGCAGTAAGAACATATAGCACAACATGTAACATTAAAAGATAAACTCACTAAGAAACCAACTACCAACTAAAGATGTAGGAGAGATCCGCTTCAGACTCTTCCTAAAGACATACCTAATAACGATACTATACACCAATAGATCCAATTCAAACAAATTCATAAGACATTAAGTAAAAGATAACAATTTAACAGAATCAACTACCTGCGTTACTAGAATCTCATCTCTCCCTCTTCCAATCTGTTCCGACCATGACCAGCGGACTGATCGACATGACGTCATATTATCATACCACCTCACCACATCACCTCATTCCATCACATCACGACTCTCCTTTTCTCCTACTTCTTCTCTCTCATACTTCCCCACTCCTGATCTCGACCCAACTCGACTCCACTTCCATAACCGTATTCACAACATAAGTTAATAAGTCCAGAATCGATCAAGCACCCTCCTCATCACCAACCCGAATGGCGCCCTCGTTGCCAATTCCATTAGTCCAGAAGCCGTCGACGTAGAGGGTTCTAGTATCGATCGTGAGCGTCAAATTCCAGCCCAGTTCACAATACAGAGGATTACAATATGAAATCTAGAAAGGGGAAGAGGATGGACTTACATTCCAGGCGAACTATCATGCGCAATCAACAGCCAGTAGCCGAGGATACCCTGCTGAATGATATCATACACGGCGAAGAGGATACTCTCTGAATCGACGTTGACTTTCAAGGCGAGAGGGCCGGCGGCGAGGGCACTATTTCTGGTCAGTTTCGGTGACTCACATTTTCAGATAGACATTTAGGATTCAAGGAAAGGAAGTGGATGGGGAGGAACGAACATCGGATACAACGCCTTCACCAACAACGCCACCCCCGAGAACGCCCCAAAGAACCTCTTCGTCTGCACATCCTTTCTCTTGGCCGCCTTGCCACCATTCACACCGACCTGATACACAACCACCAGGTACGCAATCGCACTGATTGCAAACCAAACCCATCTGCGCGCCGTATGGCCCGCATAAGTCGCGAACAAGCCGGAGCCCAACATCGCGTAGTCGGCGGCCACCGCGACGAGGAGGTGAGCGCCGGGCAGACCGGAGACGAAGGACAAGTTGATCAGGGTGAGCGGCTCGGTGAGGAACCAGTTCACGTAGCGCAGCCAGAGCACTTGGCGGTACCAGTCTGTGGAGGTGTCTGGGACGTGCTTGTGCGTGTGCCGGATCAGGTCGTGTTTCCAGGTGATGCCTTCGCCGGTGGCAAAGGCGAGGTAGACGAGGAAGGAGATGGTGGTGGTGAGGGCGATGAGGGTGTGGAAGACGCGTTTGGGCTGGGGTGGTTAGCTTAGCTTTGATGGGTTGGAGGATAGAAAATGGGAAGAGAGGGGACGTACTACGGGCGACCGGCTGGCGAGAATGTAGAAGATGACGGACGAGAGGGCCATGAGAACGGTGACGACCCTGATTAATCGTTAGATGTCTTCTATGGTGTAGATGGGCGAGGAAGATACCATAATGTGCGCTTTCCAGCATCGTGAATCTCCTGCAGGATAGGAGTATCGCCCGGGATGACGGTCGGAATAGGAGAGACAGGCGAAGTAGGAGTCGGAGCCGGCACAGGCACCGGCTCTGACTGAAGGGCCTCGAGCATATCGATAACAGCCATGGGGACAACTATAGACGATGAAGCCGTAGAGTCGTAACTGCACTCAAAAGAGGAAACGAACACAGAATGAAACACAAGATGAACGTCCAGTTCACACAATAATCAGAAACAATCCAGTCAAGCAGAAACCCACCCCCCGGACCATCATTCCATTATAAAGCCGAGACAACGACGTTACGAGCGACAATCGTCATGCTGACCTCGACGGTGTCGTCATCGAAGACCGGGTCCGAGATGCAGCCAATGCGGGAGACGCAACCCCGTCCTGATTCTAACGGTCGCGAATCCTGACTTTCGTGCTGCGACGCTGACTTGGGAGACGTGGCCGGCTTTTCCTGGCTTGGAGTTACACCGGTCTGCAGGCGACGGCGTGAAGGTTGGCACGATGCTGGTATTGCCACGGTGGATGGCTATGGGGACGTCGGGAGATCGACTTGTATATGGATCTTGTAGATCCCTTGCATACTGTCTATTTCTGGTTTCCAAGATAAAGTAGTAGTCACTGACCGCTTTAACTGCTAAAGAACTCTCTGTACTGCTGACAGGGCTGGGGATGATCAATGATGCCCATGCCCATGACTCTGGATATCCGTTCGTCTCGGATCCATGGAACTCCACTCCTGTCCAACGGCGATGGATTGGAACGCCATTCAAAGTCCTACTGTGGTATGACCCCTCAGGTTCAACTTCGACTCCAGCAAGAGCTGCTTTACGCTGAAAACGGGAAAGACTCTGATGACTGTAGAAATAACGTCACGATACCTAAAATTATACCGCAGCCACTCCAAGAACAGCGTGAGCCACAAGCTTGATAGCTGCCGGATTGCTAACAGTGGAAGTATCCCCAATCTCAGCCATCTCATTACTAAGGATCTTCCTCAGTATCCAACGCGTGATCTTCCCCGAGCGCGTTTTCGGAATATCCTCTGTACGTCAGGTAAAAGGGTGACGGACCATAGGGTTGACGGCTCGGTAGAGCTCGCGATATGGGGAATAGAAGACATCATGGCAACAGTGTCCTAGATCCAAATTTGACTTGGGAACAGAGGTAGTAGGGGTAGTGTTGAGATATTCTCACTATGGCCTTTGTGGAGATGCAGAAATACCACTGAGGGATCACCCAGGCCTCCATAGCAAGTGGACAGGCACGATTGTACCGATTGACCGCCATCTTGTGCTTAATCCTCTTTATATCATGCAGAGCTTCATCACCGATTGATCAAATCGATGCGTGTCAGAATCGTGTATGTCCTATTGAAGAGAAGATCGGAGGAACTCAGCGATGTGGCTTAGTGCATGTGACTGTAGTCTTTGGCTGATCAGCGACCCTTAAGACCTTTCATCAGTCCAAGACCTACACAGTACACCTCTGCAGTTTCATCAGTATCTAGCACTCATGTACGGACAACATGGGGTAGCGGCCACAAGGATGAATCTGGAGGGGTTTTCTCCTTTCTGCGATCAACTGTATCTGCTGAATGTGGGAGATGGAAAATCGAATTGATCTATCCGAATATCCCAAGCCAGTGCGTCCTGAGTCGATCGTGTCGTCCCAGAAACCGCTGATTAGGCCTGACCGCCAGTTTACATGATGTACTCAGGTGATACGTACTCCTACTTATCCTGCTACACAAAAGAGCATCCATTTGGGTAAGTCCTCGCCAGTGGCAAAATGACTGACGTGTAGGCACGGAAACAAGCTCCGAAGACATACAAAACGAAGCTTCCTGAACACGGAGAACGAGATGCAGAGGTAGTTTGACGGGCTGTATGAAACAGCGCCGCAGTGTCATTTTCTGAATAGAGCAAAGCATACGTCGTCATTCTGCACCGTTCCTACCACCACCATGGATCTCATTCTCAAACGTCTCTGGGCGCAAGTGCTGGATGCGATGGAGGATCATCTCGAAGACGACGACAAATTCTTTGAGATTGGAGGAAACTCAATCAATGCTGTACGGCTTGCCGAAGCTACCGAGGAGATGGGCTATGCCTTAACTGTGTCGGACCTTTATCGCCATCCAGAGCTTTCGCAGATGTCCAGCATACTCAAACCTAGTCACGGAACCCCTTCGCAAGACGCAGATCCGGCTCCTTTTGAGCTTCTTGCGAAGGGAAATGATCTGCATGGAACTTTAGCACGCCTCAGCACGATCCTCAGGGTCTCTAAAGTGTCTATTGAGGATGTTTACCCGTGTACAGCGCTACAGGAAGGATTGATGGCCCTCTCCATGAGGTCCTCAGGAAGCTACATACTCCAATACACCTTCCGATTCCCTGTCAATCTAAACACTGCGCGTTTACAAGAGGCCTGGGAAAAGGTCTTGGCCAGTAGTGATGTGCTTCGCGCGCGAATAGCTCGCCTCGATGACCCTGTCGGCCTCTTCCAGGTAATCCTCAAGCCTCCAATCGAATGGCAGAGTGCTAGCGGACTTGAGGCTTATTTAGCGGCCGATGCGAGAATGTCAACCCTCTGATTCGCCTCGCTATTGTCGTGGAAACACCAGAGGACAGGTATCTCGTGTGGACAATACATCATGCAATCTGTGACCGATGGTCGATCGCATTGACCTTGAACCACGTTGCCGCGGCCTATCAGGGAGCTGAACAGACGCAGCTCATACCTCCACGATTTGCTGCGTTCATAAAATACCTCAATAATGCAGACCAAGCTGCATGCCAGAGATATTGGGAGAGGAAACTAGCGGGATGCCATGCTCGACAGTTCCCAAAGCTTCCTACGCCGACTCATCAGCCTCGGACGAGTGGACTATTCCAACACTCTGCGAGGATCTCTTGGCGAGATTCCTCTGCCATCTTACGTTCCACGATCATCCAGGCTGCGTGGGCCGTGACACTGAGCAAGCACTCGGATTCAGATGACGTTGCCTTTGGCGTGACTCTAGCTGGGCGGGATATTCCAGTCAAAGGGGTGGCACGCATGCATGGGCCGACGGTAGCCACTGTTCCAGTCGCGATCCGTTTGAACTACGAGGAAACGAAGAAGGGGTTTCTAAGTGAAGTTCAAGCCCAGATGCACGAGATGATCCCTTTCCAACATTTCAAAATAGAGCGAATCAGCGGGTTGAACAGTGACACCAGATATGCGTGTCAGTTCCAAAACCTTCTGGTCATTCAATCTACACCCGATGAGTCCAGCGTACTTGGGTGGGAAAGAATCGAGGCCCAAACGCCCGATCTTTTCAACTACGGAATTACCGTGGGATGTGAGCCTGGTCAGGATTCACAGACCCTCACTATCCGGGTGCATTTTGATCCTCAGATGATCACTGCTATGGAAGTGGAAACTCTCGTACACCACTTTGAACGGGCAATATCTCAGCTCAACCAGGGGCCTGAGGACCTGTCACTTGGGCAGATCTCGCTTTTGGGACCTTACGACCACTCAAAAATATCCGAGTGGAATCGCAAGGGGCCACCACCGCCAGTGTAAATGTGTATCCACCAAGCGTTTCGAGATGTGGTGGGTCGGCGTTCGCAATCAACCGCTATCGAGTCCTGGGATGGAGTCTTAACATATAATCAGTTGGATCAGCTTTCTTCTCGCCTGTCACATTACCTAGTAAGCGAATATGGCGTTAGGCCAGAGCATCTTGTCGCGCTGTCTTTTGAAAAGTCCTTCTGGATGCCAGTGGCTATGCTTGATGTGTTGAAAACAGGCGGAGCATTTGTGCCCCTTGATCCATCTCATCCTCGAGCTCGTTTGCACCAGATAGCCGAAAATTCTCGAGCAAAGATTGTTCTTACGTCTGCCCAGAACGATGAATTATTTACCGGCAGCATGGCGGCGATTTTGTGCTTGGATCAAATCCGATTTGATGATCTGTATCCAGACCAACTTCCAGATCTTCCTAGCACGGCAGGGCCTCAGAATGCCGCATATGTTATATTCACGTCCGGAAGCACTGGCCAGCCTAAAGGAGTATTTATCGAGCATCAAGCTTTCTTGACGAGTGCTTTGGCCCACGGAGCAGTCATGACTATGAGTGAATCCTCACGGGTGCTTCAATTCGCCTCGTATGCCTTTGATATGAGTCTGATTGAGATACTGACGACGCTTTTGTTCGGCGCATGCGTATGTATCTCCGGCGAATACGAAAGACTACATACTTCGTCTGAGACGATGAATCTAATGCAAGTCGACTTCGCAATCCTCACTCCTGCAGCCTCCCGGGTTCTGATTCCTGCAACCTTGCCACACCTACGAACTCTGGTCCTTGGAGGGGAGGAGCTGTCCGAGGCTGATGCGGAAAGATGGACTCGTAATGGCCTGCGCGTCATGAATGCATACGGGCCCACCGAATGCTCTGTGGTGTGTAGCATGAATGCATCCGTGGTGCCGCAAGCACCCGAAAGCGTTGGCAACGCCGTTGGCTGCAGGATCTGGATCATCGACGAACATAATGCCAATCGTCTGGCGCCTTTGGGGTGTACCGGCGAATTAGTGGTGGAGGGTCCGATCCTGGCCAGAGGATATATGGACAATCCATCGCTGACGGCAGCGTTTTTTCTGGAAAATATGGATCTTCCACACATGGCTGATGATCACCTGGGGATGTCGTCCAGGCGCTTTTACAAGACAGGTGATATCGTGCGGTATGGTCCGGACGGTTCTATCTACTTCGTTCGCCGCAAAGACGAGCAACTGAAACTTCGTGGGCACCGCTTGGAAAGTTCGGATATTGAACACCACATCAAGTCCTACCTAGAAGACAGGGCTCACGTCGCTGTCCTGAAACACCGTGTTCCTGATCTGATGGAGAATGAGACAAGCTCGGGAGACTTTCTCGCTGCACTGATCTGCAACCTAGACGACGATGAAGACCCGCCGCAGCAAACCCATCAACAGCAAGTATTGAAATCCACGGCACGCCTCATTCACGATTCCTGTCTTTGCGAAGCCACCTAGAAAGCCACTTGCCGTCTTACATGGTCCCATCAATATACATCCCATTCAAGTCAACGCCCCTAACAAGCTCCGGAAAGCTCGATCGGGCATCCCTTTGCCATGCGCTTTCCTCAATGACCAGAGAGCAATTTTCCCAGCTGTCTCTAAACACTGGACAGAAGAGACAACCCCCCAGCACCAGTATGGAGCATAAACTGCATGTATGGTGGGCGCAGGCGCTTCGTTTACCCCCTGACGCCATTGGCGTGGACGATAGCTTTTTTCAATTAAGGGGTGATTCAATCCTTGCTATGCATTTGTGCTCTATCGCTCGAACGGCAAATTTCAAGTTGAATGTTTTCGATGTCTTTTCGAATTCTTCACTTGCACAGTTGGCTAGAAGGGCTGAGGAGGAAGGTAACGATCAGAAATGCTCCCCCGAGTATGACCAGTAGAGAATTGAGATTGCGTGAGCTCATGAGCTTACTTTCCTTTATTAAGATGTTGAAGATTCTAGATGGAACTTACTGTTTGTTTGGCCCGTGCAAAGAGTCAACAGTTCTAGCTTCATGTTGATACTAGCCTTTGCGCGTTGAACGACAACGAAGGTCAAGTGCAACTCATGTAGTTCGAACAATACTAGCACGAAGATCCCAATAGAGCAGTAGGAGCATGCCATATCACCTACCTGATCACCAGTACTATCACCACTCTGCCAGGAACCAGTGATCGACCTCCTGCACAGCCGATGACGCAGACGCAGTATCTAATGCGTCTCTAGGTTTTGTGACCTCATTCTCCTTCACCGCTGTCCTGATCACACGATTGCGTTGGGAGGGTTGCAGTTATATAATAGCAGTCATCTCAGGTCTCGAAGTCTTTCACACAATTATCTTCTTGCTGCTCCCACAACCACTCTTATATTTGTTTCATGTCTGACCTATCCCAAACCGAACACAATGGCGCACTATGACAACAAAATCAACCCATCTCCTCTGCGAACAAAACCCATGAAAGTCCTCGTCTTAGGCCTCCCCCGAACAGGCACCACCTGTACATAAACCCTTCCCCCTCGCCAACCAAGCACCAAACACCCCCTACAGAACCCTAACATGAAGACAGCACTATACTCCGCCCTCAACCACCTCGGCTACAAAACCTACCACTACGCCGAGATCCTCAAACCCCAGAACAACCACCACTTCACCCTCTGGCTCCGCGCCCTCGACTCAAAATACTCCTCCACCCCCGACTCACCCCCAATCCCCCTATCCAAATCCAAATCCAAACCCTCCTTCGAAGAAATCCTCGCCCCCTACAACGCCGCAGTCGCCGACCCCTGCTGCTTCTTCGTCCCGGAACTCCTAACCGCCTACCCCGAAGCAAAAATAATCCTCACCACGCGAAAAGACGCCGAAAGCTGGCTCAGATCCATGCAGAGCTTCCTCCTCCCGATCCTCTCATGGCCGTCATGGCCCTTACTAAGCTACTTCGACCCGCACTTCTCAGGTCCCTACTATCGGTTCCTAAGTCGTACGATGAGTATCCTCTCGCAGGGCCGCGTGCCGTATAGTCCCGAGGCAGGGCCGGTGTTGGTGGAGTCGTACAGACGACATAATGAGTCTGTGAGGAGGTTGGTGCCGGAAGGGAGGTTGTTGGAGTTTCGGGCGGAGATGGGATGGGGCCCGTTGTGTGGGTTTCTGGGGTGTGAGGTCCCCAAGGAGAGAGAGTTTCCGTGTCTTAATCAGGTGGGGGAGGCGGTTTGGAAGGAGGATAGGCAGTATTGGGTGAGGTGAGGGTTTGTTGTTCAGAGGGTTGGGGGGAGGGTTTTGGGGGTTGTGGTGGTGGTTGGATTGTGGTGGTGGGTGTTTGGCAGAAGGATTGAGGGTGAGGATTGAGGGTGAGGATTGAGGGTGAGGATTGAGGGTGAGGATTGAGGGTGGATGACGGAGTTCTGTAGGTAGAAGGTGGGTATGTATGTGTACATATGTATTAAGAATGGATTTGTCTAAGGTGATATACTATATTACAGAGTTCTGGGGCATCATATTCAAGATTTGACGGCATCCAACTGTTGAACGACGTCGTCGCAGCGACCACACAGCGGTTCTTCTTCAGCCGGCTGTTCGGGCACGACGTAGCGCCAGCACCGCGAACATTTATCTGCCTGCGGCGTGAAAACATGAACCGTGCCCGTCTGTCCGCTCAAGAGCTGGTACTCCTCGGTGTAGTGCCATTGCGCGTCAGCAATAGCGCTGGGGGTGGCCTCCCCAGGAACTCCCAGGGTCACAGACGAAACGACAAACTGATCCGGCAGCTCTGCCAGATTGCGCTGGAACACGGAATCGTTGACCCCCTCCGGAAGAATGATGTGGACGAAGGACTGCAGCGAGGAACCCATTTCCTTCTTGGCGCGGGCAGTTTCCTGCGCGGTTTTGATGGCGCCGTGCACCGCGACAAGGTCCTGGTAGTCGGTCTCGAGTGTGGGAGTTTGCCATTCCGACTCGGGGACGGCCGCGACGCGTCGCAGAGGGTGTTCGCATTGCGACTTGATGGTCTCCGGCGTGTGCTCCCACGTCTCCTCCACCAGCATCGGGGTGATCGGAGCCAGGATCTCTTGGAGGTAGTGGTAGATGTGGAACAGCGTGGTCTGCGCCGCGCGGCGGCTGGGGCTGTTTTCGCCGTAGGTGTACAGTCGGTCCTTGATGGCCTCCATGTAGAAAGCGGAAAATTCCAGGTTAGCCCATCGGTTGATAGCGTTCACGGCCTTGTAGAATTCAAAGTTCTCGCAGGCCTTCTGGCTAGCGACGACCATCTGAGACAGATGCATCAGTGCGATGCGGTCCACATGCTGCAGCTGGGCATACGGAAGGCGGTTTTCTAATCGGAAATCCGAGAGCGCACCAAGGAGAAGCTTGAAAGTCACACGGTACTTGTGCAGACTGGTGTTGACCGTCTGAAGAACCTGTTTCCCTATAACCACGTCCCGCGTGTAGTCGCTGCTGGCTGCCCACATGCGGAGTGCGTCGGGGCCCAGCGCGTCGTAAACCGGTCCCTTGCTTTCGGCCTGCTGCTTTCCCTTGCCTTTCCTCGGCTTGAGGGGCGGCAACAGCGTTCCGTCCATAATTGCCTGCGGTTCGATGGTATTGCCAATGGATTTACTCATCTTGCGGCCTTCTTCGTCGAGCGTGAACCCGTGGGTGATCAAATGCTTGAAGGGCGCACGAGGAGCGTCGGATTTCCCGGAAGCGAGCTGGTGCGCAGTGAAAGTGAGTAGTCCGGATTGAAACCATCCGCGGTGTTGGTCAGTGCCTTCCAGGTAGACGTCCGAGGGGTGCCCGTTGCTGTAAGGCGTGTCGATTTCCGCCCAGCTGGTGCCGCTATCGAACCAGACATCCATCGTGTCGGTTCCGCGACGATAGCCGGGTCCAGACGCATCTTGCAGGAACGGTGGGATCCAGGCCAAATCGTCTGCATCGTCGGTCCACCATGCGTCCACCCCTCGCTGCTCGATCACAGTCATGATATGGGAGACGGTATCCTTGGTGAGGACCGCCTCGCCCGTGCCTTGATGGTACAGAGCAGGAATTGGCACGCCCCAAGCACGCTGACGCGAGATACACCACTCACTCCGGTTTTTGACAAAGTTTTCCAAGCGCTGTCGGCCAGAGGCGGGCACGAAGTTGACATCATCCAGCGCCTTCACGGCGCTGCTGCGGATGTCAGCGACATCGGCGAACCACTGTTCCGTGGCCCTGATGATGATGGGACGCTTCGATCGCCAGTCGTAGGGGTATTTATGCTCGTAACGATGCTTGGCAATCAGATGACCTTCAGACTGAACGTATTCGAGAGCAGCGGTATTGCCTTCATCCAAGACGCTCTTTCCGGTCAGTTTCGTGGGGTCGCTGGGCATGGCTTGGTCGGTGAATCGGCCCTGGTCGTCCACGGGGGCGAACGCCGGAATTCCACGCGAGACGCAGGCTTCGTAATCATCCATTCCATGCCCCGGAGCACAATGCACCAGACCCGAACCCGAGTCGGCAGTGACAAAGTCCGCGGTAATGATTGGCTGCGCGTCTGCATCTGGTCCTTTGAACAGGGGTCGGTAGGTTGTGCGATCGGCCAATTCCGAGCCACGGATAGCCGGAACAATGACCGACAGGTCCTCTTTCAGGATGTTCTGGAGATACTCGATGCGGGTTTGGGCGATGAGAAGATGACCGTGCGTTTCAGACTGAACAATCGTATACTCGAGATCCGGATGGACGGCGATAACGGCGTTGGCAGGAAGGGTCCAAGGAGTCGTGGTCCAAATCACAGCGCTGAGGTCCTTGACCTGCAACAGAGGGTTCTGCGCAAGATGCGGCGGGACCGAAACCAAGGGAAACTTCACCAAAGCAGCCGTAGAGGTATGATCTTCTTTATACTCCAACTCGGCCTCTGCCAGGGCCGTCCCTGTCGACGGCGACCAGTACACAGGTTTGAAGCGTCGATAGATCAGACCCTTCTCGACCATCTCGCGAAAAATGCCTAGCTGCCTCTTTTCAAACGCCTTGTCCATCGTCTTCCAGTGATTCTCCCAATCTCCCATAACCGCGAAGCCACGGAACCCTTTCATTTGATCCTTGACGGCCTTCCCGGCCAGCTTGCGCGCCGCCTTCCTTATCACCGCCGCACTAACCGGCCCGTTATTCGCCTCCCCCAGCTCCTTCTGCGCCTCCAGCGCCTTCAACTCAATCGGTAACCCATGACAATCCCAGCCGGGGACGTACCGCACCGCCTTGCCCTTCCCCAGCTGCATGCGACAGATGATATCCTTCAGGATCTTGTTGAGGGCGTGGCCGACGTGCAGCCCACCATTCGCATACGGCGGACCATCATGCAGCACGAAGGGCCGGTCGGCGGGCCTCTCACGGCGCTGCCAGGCGTAGAGGTCGTCGGTGCATCGGCGTAGGTATTTCGTCTGATCGGCGGGCGTGACGCGAGCGGGGAATGTCGACTTGGGGAGCTTGAGCGTCGACGACCACGACCGAGTGAGCGACCGCGGCAGTTCCGGCATCCTACCGCTCAAGCATATCCTATTTTTGGTGGTTGGGTCGAGGTCAATTGGTGAGAAGATGTTCGGAGATGGGCGGAGATGGAGGACGCGGATTCGAATCTGATGAAACGAAATCGCAAGACTCATCTCGTCACATGTTTACTTACACCGCATTCGGGGCGGGTCTTGGCGGGCAGAAGTGGTATTGGATTACGCATGGTAAATTACCGAATGTTCTGAACTCTGGCAGCTTTTCAGAGACCTCTGTTCTATTTTAAATATTTATTGAATTACGTAGGGAGTTATGGGCAGCCCAATTGAATACTAAGTGGGCAATATGCTTAAAGAAATATACATTGTGTGAAGAATAGACTCGAAAGGTTGCATTGACCGATCTATATATAAACACCCGTTCAGTAACTATCCGGGGATCTTTAGCTAATGTTTGGAGCATGCGGACAAAAAAGGAACTCATACATGACAAATTGATATTCCGAGTAGTATAATTAAATGGCATATACAAATTAAACCGAAAGCAATCACTACAATAATGCCTAACGCCGGCAATCTAAGTGTGTCAATATATGGTCAAGCAGCTGACAGCGCCATTCTTCAGAACCTCGAAAAGAAGTCCAGGAAAACCAAATAACTCCGTATTACCCAGTCCCCCGTCGTGGTTATCATGGCCGGTCCGGTGACCTTTGCCCGTACTTTCCTCCCACCCGCCTAGAAACTCCACGCTACTCTCAGGGCTGTCGCCCCAACCGCGGTTCAGCACCATGGGCCTCTGCAGAGCTCGCTCTTCCGCAGAGTTGGCATAGTAGCCTTTCCAAACACCTCGGAGTCGCTCGGAGATCTCATCGTAGCGGGTTTCGGAGGTGATGATTTGGTTGGAGGGGTTCAAGTTGACCTTCCAGCGACTGCGGCGGTGGCGGTTGAAAGGATATGACCCAGGCACATTGCCGTGCAGAACGATCTTGGTCACGACCAGATTAGTTGAGGGGGATGGGGGAGATGGATCCGCGAGAGCGGACCCGGGGAACGCAGGCCCGGGTGTGGTAGGGTACGAGATGAAGGCATCAAAGCCATGGTGGAAGTAATTGAAGAAACATTCAGTGGGAAGCGACATGGGGTCTAGGTTGTGGATTTGAGAGAATTCGTCATCCGAGTCATCCGTGCCGCTGTTGGACGAATGATCGATGTCAGTTACATCCATTCCCCTGCCCGGAGACGGGCTTATGCGAAGAGGATCGTCGCCATTGGTACCGCCAGCGGCACGGTGGATCGAGATTCTTCGATCATTCTTACGGTAGATGGCGTCGGGCGGACCAAAGTCAGCAATCAGGTCCTGCGGTGTGGTTTCGGCTAGGCTGATATAGGAAGACGGCGTGGATCGGCGAACCGCTTCCAGTTTGCCAGCACCTAAGATGAGGAACTCTTCCACCTCATCCGGCACCGCGTCTCGAGTCTTCCCGGCCAACGCAGGAAAGCGAGGATACTGCGGTTGCTGAGTAAATAATTTATTTCGAGCCTCAGGCCACGACGCGCCTTGGAATATGGCCATCGAGGTTGCCGGCAGCGCCGCCGACGAGGACAGCAACGCTACAAAGTCGCACTGATCGGACCATGCGGAATGCTGCAGGGGAAACGAAAATGAGACCCCGGGGTATGAAAGCACGTATGTGCCATAGGGGGACTGATTGGTCGGAGGTATGTATTCGCCCGGGTAGGAGGGACCGAAGAGACGATTGTAGACATGTCGGAAACTAGGCCCTTGCTGTGAAATCGGCTGTTCCTGCGGCTTGACTCCCTTCAGTACCTCCTGGCTCTTGTAGACAAGAGTGATCTTGGAGAAGTCCAGAACTTCGATCAGACGTAGCCGTTGGTCAGGACCGTCGAAGCGCAAACGGAGACCGTTGGACGGCAGCTGCAGTGTTACGGGCTTCTGGATGGGATCCGAGGGAGAGTACGCTATGTCGATTGCGGGGTAGGTCTGGGGATGGGACTTGACGCGACTGAGGACATTATGTAGCGACGCACCGAGGGCTAGCAAAAGTTAGCATAATACATGAGCTACATGAGGTCAAGAAATGTAGACATGCTTATGAACCCCAGTCCTTTCCCCGGGAATATCTGCGTCTGAGTTGAAGGTCTGGTGGCGGTCATGATGATCTACAGCCCGTTCTCATCCTGGAGCTGGAATGAAGGGCAAAGGAGGATGATTACTCCATGAATATAAACAGTACAGATGAGTCTGTAGTTAGAATAGTCAGAATAGACAGAGAAAGGATGAGACAGGATTCTGAACCGGAACAAAACAAGAATCAAGACTCAGGGCAGGTCAGATCAGATCAGGAGGGACGATGAGCGCATGGGATCATGTGAGCGGCGGGACTGACCTCCTGACGCCCGGGCCACATGACGGCACGTGCCCGTTTGTTTACGTTTTCCCCTTTGGGCCTGCCGAGAAACAACATCAACTTCCACTGTCAGAGTCGCCCTCGCCAACCTCCCCACCTTGCATTTTGTTCCGCACAACTGATGCGGTAAATGCAGCTGACTCAATCTCGACACTGATTTATCGGAATTATCCGTTGAGTCTCCTTCTTCACCATGGCTGGCCCCCAACGGCCGACCTCTGGCCTGCCGACCAGGAGAACCACCACCACTCGCACGACTGCTCAGCCAACGACACGGAGAATGAGCTCTGCAGTCCCAGAGAAGCGATCTCTCAAGTCACCAGCGATCTCGAGTAGAGCGTCTACGGCGACATCGCGCGCGATCAAATCTCCTAGCGAGCCGGCTAGCATCACCGCGAAAAAAAGGGAGAGAGACTACGAGCGCGAGATCAACGAGGACACCAGCATTCACGTGGTCGTGCGCTGCAGAGGTCGCAATGATCGCGAACTGAAGGAAAACAGCGGAGTGGTCGTGTCGACCGAGGGTGTTAAAGGAAAGAACGTGGAACTGTCAATGGGCCCGAATGCCCTGTCGGATAAGACTTATACGTTCGACAAGGTTTTCTCTGCGGCTGCGGACCAGGTGACAGTGTATGAGGATATTGTCCTTCCAATTGTCAACGAGGTGAGACTTACCGGGAGGGAGTTAACTGAACCTTGCTGACAAGTTACAGATGCTGGCAGGATACAACTGCACGATTTTCGCATACGGACAGACGGGCACCGGAAAGACGTACACCATGTCTGGAGATATGACAGACACGCTAGGAATCCTATCCGACCATGCCGGTATCATCCCGCGAGTCTTTTACTCGTTATTCAACAAGCTCGAGGAGACCGAAAGCACCGTCAAGTGTTCGTTTATCGAATTGTACAACGAAGAGCTGCGCGACCTGCTCTCAGCCGAGGAAAACCCCAAGTTGAAAATTTTCGAGAACGAGTCGAAGAAGGGCCAAAACAGCAGCACTCTTGTGCAGGGAATGGAGGAGACCTTTATCCACTCGGCGACATCCGGTATCGAGTTGCTCCAACTTGGTAGCCACAAACGTCAAGTGGCGGCGACCAAGTGCAATGACCTGAGCTCTCGAAGCCACACGGTGTTTACCATAACCGTCCAGACCAAGCGAACCTCAGAATCGGGCGAAGAGTACATCAGCTCAGGCAAGCTCAACTTGGTCGATCTTGCCGGAAGCGAAAACATCCAGCGCAGCGGCGCAGAGAACAAGCGAGCCGCCGAAGCTGGGTTGATCAACAAGAGTCTGCTCACGCTAGGTCGCGTGATCAATGCTTTGGTTGATAAAAGTCCCCATATTCCTTACAGGGAATCGAAACTCACTCGACTGCTGCAAGATTCTCTGGGAGGACGCACAAAAACGTGTATAATCGCCACTGTCTCGCCATCTCGGAGTAACCTCGAAGAAACGATCTCCACCCTTGACTATGCGTTCCGAGCCAAGAATATCCGCAACAAGCCGCAGATCAACTACATGTCGAAAAAGACGCTCCTACGCGAATTCACCTTGGAAATCGAGAAGCTAAAAGGAGAGTTGATTGCGACAAGACACCGGAACGGTGTGTACATGACCCCGGACGCATATGAGAATTTGACCATGGAAAACGATTCGCGCCGGATTGTCAACGAAGAACAGCGCGCCAAGATCGAGTCTATGGAAGGAAACTTGCGTCACAAGGTTCAGGAGCTGTTCACATTAACCAGCAATTTCAACAACTTGAAAAAAGACAACGAGGAGACTCGCGTGTCTCTTCAAGAAACAAATGATTTACTCGAACAGACCGAAATCGTACTGAAGGATACCAAAACCCTGCTTGAAGAAGAGGAAATGTTGCGGAAGGCGCATCAGGATACCGAAGAGAAACTATACGATGCTGGCACAGGGTTGCTATCGACTCTGGATAGCACTGTTGGGGATGTGGACGGACTGCATGCCAAACTCCAGCGGAAAGCTGATTTGGAAACCGCCAACATGGAAACGTGGAATACGTCGACTTCCGAAGTATCACAAGTCACTCAGAGAGTTGATATGAGCGTGGAGAACTTCCAAACTCACCATTCGCAGCTCCTGAAGAACATGGCGGAGAAGATCAACGGCTTCGTGGCCAATGAACTGAGCAATATCGAACAAAATGGGACCGACCTCTTGGAACGCACTTCGTCTTTTGAGACAGCCGAGGCCGAGGCGAGATCTCAGACCCATGGCGCGCATGATGAAATGAACGAAGTGCTGGAAGAGATCAAGGACCTGCGAGAGGATGTCAAGTCCAAGGTGGGAGAAGGCCTGAACGGTCTCTCTGCTGCGGCCGCTCGCATCTCGAAAGAGGTCATTGGGGAATTTACCGATTTTCATGCTCAGCTACATGCATCGTACAGCACCCTTGGCCAGGAGTTCAAGGCCATGTTCGAAAACATGGTGGCACACCTCAACGGGCAAAAGACGGAGATAAACCGGTTGAGACTCGAGATTCAAGAGGCCAACCTCCGAACGGTAGACGCGAACCGGCGCGCTTCGTCCCACCTGGCGCACACTTTGGAAGAAGAGCAAGCCACAGCGGAAGCGGAGCGAGACGTGCTACTCTCGCAGATCAGAACCCTCATTGAGGATTCCCGCCAACGACAGCACGGCCGCTTGAAGGGCAAGGTGGAGGATGTACGGAAAGAGATCGCTTCCTCTGGTGACAACTTGGAGCATATTACGACCCATTATGATCGACAGGTGGACGAGTGGGTGTTCAAATCGGAGCAATTTGCCAAGGACGTGAACGCTTCACGAGACGAAATTAAGACGAAGATGCAGAATGACTGGGAGGTAAGTGTTTCTGTCAGCTCAGTTTTGGCCATTTGCTAACTTGTTAGGACTTCGACCAACGGAATCTCTCCATCCAGAAGGCAACCGAGTCGGTGCACGAGGAAACTGTGCGTATTGTCAATGCTCAAATGAACAACATGGACAAGCAGATGGAAGCCTTGGACGACTTCGTGGACAAGGCGCGATCTCAGAACGGCCAGTATCGCGACGCACACATCATAAGCTTGGAGAACATGGCGTCCAACGTCCACGACTCATATTCGTCGATGCATGACCAGATTTCCGGCTTGGGTGACCGCGTGAACCAGCTCCAGCAGGATGCGACGCAGCAGCATATCGATCTTGAAGAATCTACCGCGCCCTTGTCCGAGGAAGTCCGCAAGCCTCTCCAGACGCTCCGCACAAACATTCTCCAGCGCCCTCTCGAGGACTATGTCCCTACTGGTGCTACTCCGCAGAAGCGGCAGTATGAATTTCCTTCGGAGCTGCCTCGGACAGAGCCCCATGATATTCTGAGATCTCGGATGCGAACGTCGAAAGACCTTACCGTGCTGCCGTTCAATGATGAAGAGCAGCTTTCCCCGGACAGTTCTCCCGAAACATCTTCTCCTACCAAAGGCTTCGTGTACAACGACGCCGCGGACGAGGTAGGAACACAGCCATCTGCCACAGCCATCGTTACTCCTTCCAACACGGGCCTTAGGGAAGTCGATGCAAACGTCGCCAAACCACGCGTGTCTAGTATTGACGAAAACTCGCCCAACAACCCTCCGTCCGGCAAGAGAAAATCGTCATCATTGAACACCGATGGTTCGGACATTGACGACCTGGATGAACAACAGCCTGCGAAACGGCGCCGCTCTAGCCATGCTCTCGAGGCCAAGCTTCCACATAAGATGATTTCCAAGCAAATGGCCGGCATGATGGAAGGGAGGGAGAATGTGCCTCCACCGGGCCTTTCGGGCGGCCGAAGACTGCGAGGTAGTCCATCTACCTGAGCGAGTCAACATTGTATTCTTTGTTCGTCATTTGCTTCTTTATCTTATACCCGATATCTCTTTCTCTCGGCACTATATTGATGGGCGTTTAACAAAGGAAATTGGAGTTTGTGTGGTGGTCTGCATGAAGCGTCCCAGTCGCTTGGGGTCTTGTGTTCGTGGCTTTTCCTCGATTGGTTTGGGCTTTGCTATGGTGATTCCGTTGCTTACTGCCGATCATTTCGGTGCTTGGAGTTTTGTTTCTATTCGTTTGTTTTCCCGGGACACTACTAAGATACCTGGTACTGTTTTGATTATCGTTCTAGATTTCTGTTCTTTTTTGGGTTGTTATTGTTCTATATTCCTGTCGTGGAATAATTTTATTACCACATCAGCCGATGCAGTATTTCTCTTGGATGAATCAATCTCCGAAATATTGACTGTCGAGTGATATTGTAGTAACATGCTTCCTATATGAGAACAAATATGTTTCATGAACCCTATCCCTCATTTTCCATACCATCCTCACCATTCCCGTGCTCCGCACCACTTTCAAAATCAACCCCAAGAGCATTATCAGTTCGGAATCCCTCCGCCGGCATAGCATCATCCGTATCCCGTTCCACTGTCCCCTCCCCTCCCCTCTCCTCACAAAACTGTCCCTGCTCCCCAGCTTCAATCACCTGCCTCAACTCCCTCAGCCGCTTCGAGAACTGATCCATCATCTCCTCCAACCGCTGGCTACTCCGCTCTTTATCGCGGTCTTTTCCGAGCTGCGTGATCGGCAGACCGGCCGTTCCTTGGATCTTCAGCATCAGGCCACCGTTGACGGGTTCGTTGGAGGTGTTTTTCTCGAATGTTGGTGCTGGGATTATTTGTGTGTTGAGCACTTGCCAGGAGGGGGTCAGGCTGTGGGCAGAGGATACGGTGATTTGGGGTTGGGGGGCTTTGTGGTCGGGTGGTTGGGTCTGGGCCTGGGTTTGTGGGTTTGTGGTGTTTGGATGTTGTTGTTGCTGTTGTGATTGGACTCCTGTCGGATGTGTATGTGTCTGTGTCTGCGACGCGAGGCTGGAAGAAGCACCGGTGGTAATCTCGCGGTTTACCGGATGAGCCGTCTCATCGGACGCAGTCTCCAAGTCCAGAATGATATAGTTATCACGCACACCGGGGATAGGAGGCGGAAGGAGCGGATCCTTTCTTGCGATGGCGAACTCGTCATCCTCTTCGTCGTAAACCTCTTCGCCCGCTGTTCCTCCTGCTCCATCTCTGGTGCGCACGGGCTTCGATTTTCCCTTGGCGCCCTGCGACAGAACGTCCTGGTCGTTTTCGAGCGAGCGAAGCGCAGCTTCCGTGACGATGTCGGTGTCGTCATCGGAGAAGATGTAGTGGACTGTGGGGTGGTAGTATTCGGAGGTATTGGCGTCTTCGATTAAAGTGAAGAAGGGCTGGAAGGGTGGTGATTGGTGGTGGTGTGACGGGGCTGATGGAAAGTCATGATGCCCGTCGCCTTGATGGGCTTGGAAGGGAGGGTTATCGAGGGGAGGATCGTGGGTAGTGGCTGATCCGAGAGGATGGTGTGTTTGTTGGGCCGTCGGGGGACGGTCGATGATGCTCTGGGGGCGGGACGGGGCGTTCGAGTCGGCATCCCGTCGGATGGATTGGCGGGATGGAGAGGAGGATAGGGAGGGAGATGTGGTATGTTTCGGAAGAGACATGTCCAGATTTTCAGGCTACATGATTGAAATGAAGCGGATGGGGAGAGTTCGTGATGATCGGGAAAGCTGGAGGAGCTGGAGATCACCTGGTGCTCTTATCGATAGGGTCAGGTGACTGCAACTGGTATTGCCCGACAGGGAATTCATTCATGCGATCAGAACATATATACAAGAGAGTCCGAAGAAGAAATCAAGGAATAGAAAGGGGTATCGTGTGCCATGGAGCTTTTTAACGCCATATAGACTGCCAACTTGCGTCAGTATTGGGGTTCCTGGTGCTTGCAACGCATTATTCCTCGTTTTGTTTCCATTCAAATTCTGTCCACATTAGTATAGTAATATGTTAAAGATCCAGTAGTCTTACTTTGTCTGCACATCGGACAGAGCCCCTTCGAAGACTCCTGTTGAATCCAAGTCATCAGGCAGTGCTGTCATTATCATTATCAGTAATCGGTTCTATGAGCACATGCAGATCCACTATCGCACCATATGGAAGGAGTGGCCGCATTTGCCAAGTACTAGGAGACAAGGTTGGTTAGCATCCCTGACTTAGCTCCAAATCCTCGGGGCAACAGCGACACTTACGCAGCGAACAGTCGTCGCCTGGAAATTTACAGGTCGGACAAGTGCCGTCAAACTGAACGCGACAGATACCGCAGACCTCGTCGTCGGGCATATCCCATCTCCAGGTCGCGACGGCGTTCCACTCTTTGATGTTGACTTTCATGGTGGGCTGTGTAAATCGATTTGGGCTGGACTTGATATTCTCCGAGAAATTGGGTCTAGTGTTGGAAGAGGAAGGACGAGAAGTACTTCGGAGTAAAGAAAGATAAGAAGCGGAGTTGTTTGTTTTTCACATGGCGGAAGAGGAGAACCTCAGGCGACCATCGACTCCGCACTCCTCTTTCCCCCCACACCACAACAACGCCCTGCCTCTTCCTCGTTAATCCACCATTAATTTCTCCTTCACCGGATTACACAATCTGACGACATTGTGCTTTTCGGAATGTAAATATTGGGTCTCATCTCTATTTCTCCAAGAAATTCCCCTCCCCTTCTGTGACCATGGCTTTCGCGGCCTTTCGTAATTCTATCTCCTCTCCCCTTCGCTTGGGCCGCTCCATGATGTCGGTCTCTCAGCAGCAATGCCGCCAGGCCTCCTTTTCTTCCTACCTAGTTTCTCCTAAGGAACTCAGCGAAGCCCTGAAGAAGAACCCGCCGACGAAGATCTCGACTTCTCCCCGTGTCGTTCCCATCTGCGCGGCGTGGTTCATGCCCAATGACCCCGAGGGTCGCAAGGGCATTGACATCTTCCGGAAACATCGCATCCCCCAAGCCCGCTTTTTCGATCTCGATGCGATCAAGGATCCCGAGTCGCCGTACCCTCACATGCTTCCCACTGCCGAGACCTTTGCCGATGCGATGGGGGAACTGGGCATCCGGAGGGACGACGAGGTTGTGGTTTACGATACGGAAGAGCTGGGAATCTTCAGTGCGCCCCGTGTCGGATGGACCTTGCGCGTCTTTGGACATCCTAAAGTCCACGTCTTGAACAACTACAGACTGTGGGTTCGTGAAGGATTCCCGACCGAGACGGGCGAGCCTCAGCAGGTGGAACGAACCACCTATCCTCTCCCGACTTACGACTCGAAGCTGGTCATTCCCTACTTGGAACTGAAAGAGATTGCCAAGGAACATAGGAAAGAAGGGGCGAAGGAGGTGGAAATCCTGGACGCGCGATCCTACGGCCGCTGGGCGGGAACCGATCCTGAACCGCGCCCGGGACTCTCCTCGGGACATATTCCTGGCTCCAAGAGTCTGCCTTTCCAGGAATTGCTGGATCCGGAGACGAAGACTTATCGCTCTGGAGCCGAGTTACGCAAGATCTTCGAGGACCGGGAGATCGATGCCTCCAAGTCGATTATCAGTTCCTGTGGCACCGGAGTCACGGCCAGCATTATTGAGACTGCACTAGGCGAAGCCGAATATGGCGACCCCAGTCTTCGGAGAGTGTATGATGGAAGTTGGACGTAAGTGTTTGATTTACCGAGGTGCAAGTGGTTCGAGGTTTGCATTGCTGACCATGAATCTTCTGTTCTAGGGAATGGGCACAGCGTGTCAAGCCGTCCGACGGTCTGATTAAGAAGGTAACCTGAGGTGGTCACCAGGCAACGGAGGAGAAATTGAGAGATGAATGACCCGATGCTGTTCAAGCAACTCTGTATGACATAGCGTTCGTATTCCCATGCTTTGCTTCTCTTGTGGACTGGTGGATCTGTGTGACGGCGACAGCACACACCTTGAAGGTTGCAGCTGGTCGGTTTCCTGTTTGATATAGAATGTAGTACAGACCAATCTCCCATAGACATTATTGACTTTCAGTGGAAGTTGCGCCCAGTAGAACCTGATTATGCGGAGAAACCCGACACTGAAAGCCTGAGGACGACCGCCGCTTAGTCAGTGCAAAGTCCCGCGGCTTCGAGTTGATCCGCTGCTGTTCGGATCGCTTCTCTCTCTCTCTCTCTGTCTTCATCTCTCCGCTCAATACATTCCTTCAGCGCTAGTCCAGATTTTTAAAGATGCTACAGATGATTCTTCTTTCTGAGCCAGGGTCCCGTTGTGAGTAGAGTCAGAATCCCTTCATTTATTTTTTCAGCTGTCTTTGTCATGGCTTTGGTGCCTAGTATCCCGGACCTATGCTTCTCATACCACACTGGCTTGCCCCCACATCAGATCCATCCGCCTCCATCAACCCAAACCTCCTTCGTGGATCTGTTTCCCGCTAACATCGCCGTGCGGCTCGGGCGCAGTCGTCAAATTTAACTGTTTGGTGTAGGATTCCTGCGCCTGTTTCCGAATTTATCCTCTTTCGCCTTCAAGTCGCTTGTGTCTACCGTCGACCGCTTTTCGAGTCATGTCGACAGGGCGCAAGGTCTTCCACTGTGCTGTGGATGAGACGGCGTTGACCACGAATATCAGCGAAATCAAAAAATGGACGACCAACGGGGCCATCACCTTGGTCGTTCCTCTTTATAGTAAGTATAGTTTCTCTCCGGAAGTCGGTGTTTCCTTGTCGCTCACCAGCGATTGCTATTCTCAGCCCTTGAACGCCTTCATGCCTTGAAGCGGGCGGGATCTCAGGTCGCCATCAACGCCCGCGAGGCCGTCCGATTCCTCGACCGAGTGACGTCCGGAAAAGACAATGTGATGGCCGAGCGAGTTGCCCTGCAGGGGCCCATGGAACAATACGAGAATTGGGAGGAGGCCGAAAAGTACTTTCTGCCGGAGTTTGAGGAGGAGCCAGAAGCGCTTGACGGCGTGGCGGCAGCGGAGGATCAGGCGCTGCCTGCGAAGCGCCAAGGGAAAGGGAAAGACCAGAAGAAAAACGGTGTCAACCACCAGGACGATTTGTCGCAAATGCTTCTCAACAAGCTAAATTTCAAAAAGGAGTCGGATGCGGTTTCCATCACCTCGAACGGTACCCACAGTGCCCCTGCGTCGCGCCCGTCTTCCAGGAGTTCCCGGACGAGCCCCGAGTGCGCCAATTCCCACATGGTCGAAAATGGAGGAGGGCCGAAGGACCCCAAGGCTAAGCGTGTCAACGGACATCGCCGTTCTGCGTCCGGTTCGACCATTCCGACGGTTCCCCTGGTGCTGCGACCGTTGCTCAGTGCCCTGTTGTGGCGACTCCATAGCGGTCCCGATGCCTCGAATGCGGCCAAGAACTGTATCTTGGTCACCAACGATCGTCCTACCCAGGTCTGGGCGCAGAAGTTTGGCATCGGGGTCAAGAATATCCACCAACTGCGCACCTCCATCCAGTACGAGGAGCGGGAGTACAAGAACCGCTGTAAATATGTTGAAAAGACCCAATCCACCCAGCCCGCCGAACCGAAGTCTTTGCTTTCGTATGAAGACGAGAGCGATGAGGATGAACTGGTTTTTGTCCCCCGCGGACGTGGTAAAGGAGCTTCCAGAGGTGGCCCGTCGCGCTCCGCAAACAATCGCAAATCGGCCACCGCATCCAAGCCGGCCGCGCCGCCAGTGGAAGCTACCATGGAGATTCCGACGCAACCTATCGATCCCAATTCCTTTAGTCGGTCCCTCAACGGTCCCACTAAGCAACACCCCACGGTCGACCTCAGCACCCAGTCTGGAGCTGCACGCGGCATCGCAGGTGCGTCTCGACATCACGCCAATGGTCGCCGCGGTGGTGGAGGCGGCGGAGGCGGCGGTCGTGGTTCCTCTCGTGGAGGCACTCGAGGTCGTGGAAAACTTTGGGTTCCTTGATCGGATTCCAGTGCACCGTTGATCCAACATGTGTCGACGGGCGTGACTTTGCGAAATCCAACTTAGACCATTTCGGTTGCTACTCGAAGCAGAGAAAAAGGAAAGGAATTTTTTTTGCTATTCCCGGGCTGCTCCTTGTCAGACTATCAGCCTCAAACAGTGACTCGACAACGGATGAGGTGATGGGACTTGGAAAGATGCTACGGATACGATGAGTGCGAAACGGATATGGCACGGTTTCGATCCAAACCACGACGACCATTCGAAGATGAGAAGGACTACGGTACTCGGAGCTCTGGATCCGAGTGGATCTCTTGAGCCGACGTGCCTTTTCATCTTGTCATTGTCCGTTTCCTTGCCTACCGTCGCAATGGAGATTCAGGCTGTTTGCTTTCTCTTTCCTTCCACTTGCCGGTGGAACATAGGAACCACAACGTTCGGACCGGCTTGCTTTTAAACCAGCTAGCTTTTCTTTCTTCCGGAATCCTGCTCTATTGTCAAAAAAGAAAAACCAAAAAAATCTCCTCATACGGCAGTGCTTTTATGATCGCTTGATATTTCATTGGCATATTTTTGATTGTTGTGTGCGAGTTGAGAGGAAATCAAGTAGAGGCCGACAATGCTAGGATCGCTTATACTATTTATTCCGGGGCGAAAATTTATTGTGTGTATGGTTAACTGCTAGATAGCCTTTCGATAGCTCTTTAGGAAAACTGCATATAATGAAGTGACTCTGCCGGTACAGGTGCATACGTGAGCATTAAAAGCATAACTGATTGAATTATGAACGATGAGCTAATCAGTGCGGGACGGGATGACATCGTCCATCTGTTGGTTGCCCCGCTGATGAGGCACCCCAGGTCCCGTGTCTCCGCATCGATCACTTGACCTGCCATGCCACTTCTTCCATCTGACTTTCGCTCTTCTTTCTTCCTTCGATCACATTGTGTACCTGTCTGTGACCTTGGCTACTTTATTTATTCCGTACATGACCGATGTAAGTCACCGGGATGGAACCTTTCTTTTCCTTTCCTCAGTCGGTATACTCCGTCTAGATACATACTAACTACTATATCTACATTTACTACATAGTCAAGCACATACCCTTCCTGACTTACCTCACAACAAAAGACTGTTGACACTACTCTATTTTACTCTCTCAACCAAATAAAATCATACAGGAAAAATGGTCTCCTCCACTATCGACGATACCTCCCTCTCCGCCTCGCCCACTGAGCGCCGCAATTCGCTCGAGAAACACCTCCAGAACCGTCCCGAGCCGCAGGACCTCAAGGAGAAGCATATTTTGCTGGACACTAATGTTGCTCCGTACGTTGATCCCCGTTTCTTCGTGTCATGAGTTTTGGGTCTATCGAGACAGGATATGGCAGTTGACAGTACTTCGGATCGAATGTTTCCGACTGACAGCATGACGGTGTATAGATCCATCCAAGCCGCTCGTCAGGAGCTCGCTCGCCAGCGCGCATCAGACAGCTTGAAGAAGCATCTTGAGCATAGACCCGAGAGGGAGGAGTTGGTTGAGAGTATGTATTTTTTCTTTCTGATTCTAAATTTATGCTTATTGTTTTGTTTATTATTTCCGTGCATTCCCTTCCTCCTCCCGTTTGCCTGATCTTATGTACTGGACCTTCTCGTGCCCTGAAGTATACCAAAATTTCATCTCCACCAAGCCCCTCCCCCAAGATGAACGCTATACTAAACTAAGATGATAAAAAATAGGAAACATCCTCCCCTCCACCAACGCCGCCCCCGCCCTGCAGGCCCATGCCCGTGAGCTCGAAAAACACATGATCGCCGACCAACTGGACCACAAGATCCAAAGTCGGCCACAGCCAGAAGAGCTCATTTCTCAGGGGATCTTGGATGAGGAGGAAGATCCGAGAAAGCCGAGCGTTTAGAGAATGCGTTTAGGTAGTAGATGGGCGTGGGATGGATGGGTATGGTACTACTGGCTGGGATTTATATTGTTGATAGGGAGGGCGTTTGTTTGTTTTTGTCATTCTTCTTTTCTTCGTGGGTTTGGCTTGATGGGATGGATGGGTTTGATTTGATTTTGTGTGGAATAATTGAACTGGACAGACAGACGACAGACAGGCAGACACAGTATATGATGTGATCTGCATGTGAACATGGATATGAAAACATTTGTATTGACCTCTGATTTCTCATCACAATGGCCCTCCACTCACATGCACACCAAGACGGAACGAGGAAGATAGATCAATAACTCTCCATGTCAACCTGCGCCGACGACAAATCCGGCATCCACCCCGCCGGCCTCTCACTCCCTCTCACCAAGATGCCATACGCAGCACGCTCCACCTTCTCCACACTATTCTGCATAACATCCGTCTTCTTCCCGAGATCCTTAAACATGAAATGTCTCCTTGGCACACTCAGCCCCTCAAACAGAAACCTCAAGGCCTGCAGATCAACCACAATCCCAGCCTGCGAGCTACTCAGCGTCGGTTTGGACGGACCAGCCGCCTCTCCCTCTCCCTCAGCCTTTGCCTGCTCCTCAGATGCCTCCGTCTTAGACTGAGCCTGTCCACTCGACAACGCCATAACCGCGAACCGCATCATCTCGCCAGTCAAATCAAACAACCCCATCAAATAATCCTCCTCCGAGACAAGGATCCCATCCGGAAGACTCTCGCGGACCTGAGGCAGGGAAATCAAGCTCTGATGACGAAGATAGTAGTGGAACGACAGCGCTTCGATATACTCCTGCACTCCGGAACTGATTTGGCGTTGGTAGCGCCAGCTCTTTAGGGCGTTGAGTTCGGGGACGGCGGAGAGGAAGAGCTCGTGGATTTGGGCGAAGCGGGAGGAGGTTTCTTTTTCGATGGAGGGGGGGAGGGTCGGGGTTGGGAGGGTTCGGACTCTGTTTTGTTTATGGGGTTAGAGGGGGATGATGTTGGTGATGTATGGGAGGGAGTGGACGTACCGTTGTAAAGAGAAAATACTACCAAGAGATTAATCAATCGCGATTAGCCACTTTCTTTCAAGACTCGGCATATAGGATAGGATGCTAAGCGCGAACGTACATCTTCTTACTCAACCCAGTAATATCCCTCGATATCTTGATCAGCCGTTCCCGCCGATCATGGTGCTCGTCTAGCTCGTCGCGAAAAGTGCCGAACATGGCGAGGATCGGGGTCGCGGGTTCGTCGCTGGTCATTGTGATGGCGGTTTGGGAGCGGGTGCCGTCGTCGCGGAGTGGTTTGCCTTCCCAGGAGCGTTTTGTGCCGGCCATAGATTGGGGGTGAAATTGGTTAGGGAAGGAAGAGAAGAGAAGAGAAGGGAAGTGAAGGAGAGGGAAGTGTTGAAAGTGAAAAGGAAAACGGCGGGCGTCATTCATGGTCGCGGGGCTAGCCGTTTCAGGGTGATGTTGTTATCTGATAAGATCTAGATATTTGGATGGGATCTCGGGCATAGTATACCCATTCTCAAGGTAAAGAGCAGTAAATAGTGTAGCCTACGCACTTGATAAATACGAAACCGAGATCATCTATCTCTGTCCTGTTTCGCTTTGGCCAGAATTGCCTGCCACTCCAACGCACCTGGCTGGATTTCTCGCAACACACCCCAACTATCCTCCAGCCTCTGCAACAGCGTCTCCGTATTCACCCACCGATCCCATTTCACCGCCCGAAGGAACTGGCTCAGAACCCTGTACGCGCTATCCAGCGATCCTGCAATCCATCCGTGATGCGCACTACACGCCTCACCAGCCAAAAACAGTCGCCCGTCCGCAGCCGGCCTGACCAACTCGGGATAATAATTAGCGAACTGGCCGGGTCCGAACAGAGCAAAAGCTCCAGACGTATTCGGATCTTGAGACCAGTCATACGCATGAATGGCTTTGAATTGCCTCTCTATCTCGTTCCTCATGTCCTGGTGCGAAAGATGGGCAGATTCATAGTGCAACAGGGCTAAGTCATGAACCAGCACTTCGTTAAGTTGGCTGGAATCTGTCATGAGCGAGCCCATAAGCTGTGCGTCCCTGGCCCAAGTATACGAGCAAAGCAGAGTAGCAGGTCTTATGTTCTCCGTCACATAGGACGGGTAGATGCAGATCCGAAGAGGAAGGTCGGTGGCTGCGTATCCACCACGGGTGATATTGCACATAGTGATCCACCACGGCGTTTCGAACTCGATGGCAACCTTGACAGAAGCGTCATAGTGCAAAGTGCGGATTGCGTCGACCTGGGCTCGACTCAGCCCTGCGCTGCTAAGCTCCATGCGCTGCATACAGGGGAGACTTGTGGTGGTGAAGACTGCGTCGTAGGTTTTTGTTTCGGGGGTGCCGTTCGCTAATACCTTGACCTTCATGGGCGTGGATTTCGAGTGAGGATCGTGTTCGATGCTGGTTACGCGGGTGTTGAGGTATGGTTTGTAGCGGATTTGATTCACCATTTTGTCGGTTATGATGGATGCACCGCCTTTGATGCAGTACCAGTTGATAGGGCGTTCGTCAGAGAAGTCGAAGGATAGGTTTTCGAGAACGCTTTCGGTGAACGCTTGATCGTAGTGGCCGGTGGCGCTGATCTGGTTAGTTTTGTGTCATTCCAGTCTAGGGTGGCTGACTTAGATGTTGTCTCAAGGTACTGGACCGAGTAAAAGTCGTAGCCCCTACTAGGTGTAAATAGGTGCCGTGAACCTGAGGTGGAAGGCCGCATACATGACCTGACGGATGTAATCCCTTGTAGAGAATTGATCAACTCTCATGAGCGTCTGGAAACCCTTTTCAAAATTCCGTTTCAGCCTGTCCTTGTAATAACCGAATGCGTCGTCGAGGATAGCTTCCGCTCCCTCGTTGACAGTCCTAGGTTCAGTCAGCTATGAACCATGCATCCGCCGAAGACTCACGCGTCAGGAACCAGGCCATTGTTCGAAACACCGAAGTGGAACGGATCTCTAGGTCCTCCTTCTCGAGGAATGTAGCTGATACCATTGTACCTCTGAGGACAATTTAAACCTTGCAGATAATAAGGGATGAGAAGCCCGTTGTCCTGGGTTATATCGAGCTGCCTGAACAATCTGAATACCCTGGAAAGAGTCAATTAATGCAACAGTTGACCTCTCACTGCTATGGACGAGGACCAACCGATCCATTATAGGGATCTAATACCGTTAGAAATCCGCTGCATATACACGAAGAGAGGGTACATACATCTGGAAATCGCATAGCCCCAACATCATAATACTCACCCCATACCCAAGCAGAGACCGAATCCCTGGGGAACCAATGCGTATAGACCCTTCCACCTACTCTGGGACTCGACTCGAGAATATCATAGGTAATAAATGGATACATTGGATCCATTATCATGGCTAAAAACAGCCCCGTAATTCCTGCACCCACGATACAAACATGGAACAGTGTTCCGTTTGGCAAGTCGTCGATTGGCTGCTTGGGTTGCGCGATCCTGTCTGGGGGCGGGGGTAGATTCAAGGGGCCATGGGTGTCACTCAAGACAGGGATTGGGAGGCCAGGAATACTGAGGAAGTCCTTGAGCCTCTTGTAGCCTTTGGCGTTCTGTTCTTTGTCAAGAGTTGTTTTGAGGGTTTTGAGGACATTTTGCCCGACCAGATACTGGGCTGCGCGGTCTCGAATGAAGTAGGGAGGGGTGTCTTCGGTGTTTAGCTTGGAGATCGACTCAATGACGGAACTTGATTGATGAAGTTATGTTTGAGATGATAGTTAACAGAGAGTAACCTTGGAAGGGGCATTGATATGAAACAAGGGACAACTAGGCCTTGACGGGCAAGTCATTCAAGAAAAAGCGCATGCCATTTATACTGAAAATGATGCGTTTGTTCTAGTGGTGAGCTAAAAGGATATTAGGCCAAGCAACGAGAGCAGATGACATGATGAGAGTGACTGAATCGGTGCATTTAGTCGTGAAACCTCTAATAGTCATCACCCATCTCCTGGAGTATAAATTCTCCGAAAGGATGATGGGCACATGTACCACAAGTCTAGATAGGGACTGCGCATGCCATGAGTGAGTGGATACCATCTTCCAATGTCCAAACAAGACAGAGAGGGTCAAGAGCTGTACAAGTCTTTAAGCTTCTCCGTCCTAGATGTTTAGCAGCTGCAGGAACCGAGCAGTTGATTGGCGTTTCATGGCTTAGCCATTTTGGTGACTATACTGAGCTGTAGAAAGCTTATTATCTTAGGCTGGATGGTGAAATATCCGCAGATCAGGAATCACAAGAAAATGTATGTTCTACTAGAAGATTAGTTGAAATTCCTCTTCGTTGATACCGAAAGATGAACACGTGATGTCAGGCGGACGAAGCGGCCTTTTTTTCGGCGGAAGTGAGAAGTCAATCCTTCCATCGTCAACATCCCGGACCATCTTGGTGTCAGCATCGTGGAGCAGCACCACATGACGCACGACGGCAGATCGGTTGACACTTGACCCTGATATTCTACTCCAGTATTCTCCCCATCTGCCATCGGTCCACCTGCCCCGTTCTCCGTACCTGTTCATCCGTCGCTCCGCCCTGGAGCCAAGACTTTATATTAAAAGCACGCGCCAAGACGCATTCCATCGGGAACTACCAAAGGCTAAGCGAACAATGTCCATTGACAGATGCGGGGAAAGGGGTAATTCAGCTTTCATCACATCGGCAAAATGGAGCAGCATACGACCCCCAACCATATTCCGAGGAGCTACATGAGTAGTGTTGATGTAGATCAATGCCCAGAATGAACAGACGACACGGGGCCTGCATGACTAGGGGCCGTTGTTGTTAGGACGAACCCGGGCCATGGCAAGCTGGAGGAAGAAGCCCGATTGTATTTGCCATCGACCTTACGCCCTGCTCGCCAATGGCGTGGCTGATGACCTCTGGTCTTTGCATCATACCGGCTGATCATTTACCCTTCGTGTCGTCTTCCTCCCTCCGCCTTCGGTATGATTGAGGGCCGAGTACGGAGTACTCCGTGTTATTGATAATTTCTGACTATCTGATTATGGTTAGCTACAATGCAGATCAGGCAGAGCTGCGTTGGTACTGACTCCTTTCATACCTCTACCACACAATGGTCTTATCCACTCACCCGGTGGTAGGAATGATCGGCCTTGTTATGCTCCTTATGGTATCTGCCCAGTAGTGGTCTCCGGACAAGGGGATAATACACATCAAGGAGAGAATGGTATGAGCGATGCATAGCCGGATGAGTGGCAGCTGGGCGGCGTTCCGGATGAACTATAGCGAGGCCTCTCCTTAATATGCCTCGATACGAAGATGGGACGGGCCAAAAGCTATATAAAGGCCGTTGAGTACCCCCTCCGCCACTAAGCCCGACCTCAATCGTCAAAGAAATCGAGTCGAACAGATACATTGATCAACACAATGAGAGCGTCCTTCGCTGCTCTGGCAGCGGCCATCCTGGCTTTCACGGACATCGCCACTTTGGCGCATGCCCAAGACACTCGGCCGATGGAAAACCTGGGCCGCGGTGTTGTGGCAGTGCGCTCTGGAGACGAGGAGGTCCTAGTCACTTGGCGGCTTCTGGGACTTGACCCCGAGGATATTGGGTTCAACATCTACCGGGCGACCGGCGACGGGGATGCAGAAAAACTTAATTCCAAGGTGCTTACGGGTGGAACGAACTATGTCGACTCCAACGTCACCACCAACAAATCGAACAGTTACTTTGTGCGTCCCGTGGTCGACGACAAAGAGCAAGACAGCAGCGGAAAGTTCGTCCTTCCGGCGGATCAAGAGACAGAGCCCATCGTGCGAATCCCTCTCCGTGATAGCGGCAGCATAAAATATGTTTGGGTGGGTGACCTCGATGGGGATGGAGAGTACGACTACGTCGTCGATCGGACCAACGAGAGACAAAGCATCGAGGCCTATCTCGGGAACGGCACCTTTTTGTGGGAGGTGGGCTTAGGCACCAACAGCGAGAACCAGAACAACATCTCTCCGGGCTCGACGGCCATTAGTGTTGGCAACTGGGACGGAGTGACGGTCTACGACTTCGACAGTGATGGATACGCCGAGGTGGCCATTCGAATCGCGAATGGTGTGACCTTCGGGGATGGGGAGACCTTCAGCAACGACGACGATAACGAACAATGGGTGGCCATCCTTGACGGAAAGACCGGCAAACTCAGAGCGAGGAGCAAGATTCCCGATGACTACATCGAGAGTGGCCCACTGGCTGCTCGGTTCGGAGCCGGCTACCTGGACGGTAAGACACCTCATCTCTATGCCTTCATGAAGAATCGCAATGAGGACAAGTCATTCAACCGCGTTCTCGGGGCCTGGACATTCGACGGTGACTCTATAACCGAGCAGTGGATCCTGCTGAACAACGCAACTGATGGCGCGGACGGCCACAACACCCGTATCATCGACTTGAATGGCGACGGAAAGGACGAGGTCGCAGAAATTGGCTTCGTCGTCAACGGAGACGGCACCATCCTCTATGAAATGCCTGAGCCTGTTATCCATGGCGACCGGTTCCACATTGCCAAAATGGACCCCGAGCGAGACGGACTGCAGGGCTACGGCATCCAGCAAGACAACCCCGAGAACCTGATGGAGTACTACTACGACGCCGCCACCGGCGAGTTCATCTGGGAGCACTACGCAGACGAGACTGGCGACGTCGCGCGTGGCATGGTGGGCGATATCGATCCCACGCACCCCGGCTACGAAGCCTGGTCCTTCTCGGGGGTGTACAACGCTCCTTCCAACGAACTGACGGTCGAGGATACCACTCAGTACCCCTGGCCTCACCTCGGCCTCTGGTGGGATGGCGACGAGCTGCTGGAGCTGCTCAACGACGGCAAGATCGAGAAATGGGACTGGGAGAACCCAAGCGTATCGGGCAGCGTTCCTCGACTGGTCACAACTAGTAAATTCGGCGCGACCAACCCGGGTGGTCGATACCCTGGCTTTGTGGGGGACATTCTCGGCGATTGGCGCGAGGAGGTGATCATGACCAACGACGCCAACGATGAGCTGGTCATCTTCACCACCGACCAGCCTAGCGACATCCGACTGTATACGCTGGCGCATAACCCGGCCTATCGCAACGCTATGACTTTGAAGGGTTACATGCAGTCTCACCACGTGGATTATTTCCTTGGCAAAGACATGGAGACTCCTGCGCAGCCCAAGATTCACTACGTGGGTGCTTAGCTGCTAGACCTTTGGATGTGATAAGATATTTGAGGGGAAGCGACTTGCCATGCAGATGAAACAGGCTGTTCGAAGGTAGCTTTTAGACAAGTTGAATCAAGTGTCTCATTGACAAACTTTGGAAGGGAGCCCCAAATAATACGACGGTGGCTGGTGGACATTTGTTTAAAATGAACCTTCGTACATTCTCCGATCTTAGTCGTAGACATGTTGTATTTTGCTCTTGGTTGATGAACGAACCTCGCGGATGGTACGGGGAGAATAGGCATCCCTTGCACATCCTTCCTTTCCGCCCCGCACTACCGATCATGATATTTATTCTCCAAAACCCGTACCTGCCTCCGCCATATTCTCTAGCCTCGTGTATTCGCTGATTCAGACGAGTCAACGGTTCTCATTATCTTTTCTTGCTAAGGTGTTCTCCTAGAATGTCGCATTCTCCACAGCCTGATCATCCGGAAGCCCAAGACCTTCAAACAATCCAAATGAAGCCTGAGTATCTACTCAATTCTCAAACAAGCACGCCTGGGCAACCTCGCAGTACCCAAGATTCAAGTACCGATGATCCCTACCCTAATCTCCCATTAATTGGGACTGGCATGACCGGGATTGTCCTTGATATAGGAGACGGCCATGTGGTTAAAAAGCCAAGAAATATCAACCGGGGCAAATTCAACGACCCTGATGATCTGGAATATATGGATCAAATTAATAAGCAAGCTTTGGAGAATGAGATCGAGGTCTTCAGGCGGTTGGGAAGCCATAAAGGAATCATTCCTTACTTCCAAATATCCCAGTATGGGATTGAGTTAGCCCGTGCAGAAGACGACCTTGAGTCCTATCTTGCAACGAATGCCTCGGAGCCCAAGGATATCTTAAAAATGGATTGGATTATAGGACTTATTGAGGCCTTTACTTATATCCACTCTCACAGGGTATTTGTGGATGATATTGCTCTTCGCAATATCCTAGTCCTGAATGAGCAGCTCAAACTTGCCGATTTTGGGCAATCCATGTTATTACCACTTGATATCGACATGGCTTCTGCAAATGATAACGGCTTGGATGTCCGGATTGAGATACTCCATGTTGGTTGGGTTCTCTACTCTATTGCAACCTGGCAGATCCATAAGTACTATTTTTTCGGCCCCGAGAACCCTGATTTCTGTTGGCCGGAACCGGAATCATTCCCAGATGTTGATGGTATTCTGTTTGGCAACATCATCAAGAAGTGCCAATTGGGGTGGCGACTATGCGAGTATGGACCATGTTAAAGACGAGGCTCATCAAGTTTGGACGAGCCCCAGGTCATCCTTTACACGGGCCTGTCCCTGATATCGTGCTCTTATGTACCTGAATAGAACTTTGAGCTCTTCCCTTCTTTTGGTCCGAGAACAATTTTTCCACAGTTGACCAAGCCCGTGATTCATTGTCAACTCTTTTACGGGTTACGGTTTGTCTTGGAGCCATGACTTCCCTTTCCGAGGATTCTCGTCGCGTGCCAAACTGTCATTCTGAACTCTGGGGTTGGCCCTTTGATTCTGGGTCCGGCGGTGGACGAACTGTACATTCCCTTGAACCTGGATGTCTTTGAAAGGCGTGACGGACATTGGTACATGATGGCCAGCCAGGAGTTGACCGGTTACGGACGTGAGAGATCCCGGCGGCGTCCTTCATGCAGGGCTCACTTCTTACGGAGTGCCACGCTCGGAATTATCGGAATAGGGGTTCTTCGTTTGTTGGTTTTCTGGCTGACGAATTAGGAACACGGCTTTGCCTCATTGAGTGTTTTCCATTGTTGGAAACATGGCTAGAATTGGTTGAGGCCTGGCTATATTCACTTCCGATTAATAGAGGATGTTGGGCTGGAGGGCTTTGTCGACGTAGCGTGTTGCCAGACCGGATTTCTCGAGGGTACTTTGGCCATAACTGTCTATAGATATGAAGAAAGGCTATGGGTACTTCCAACGGAGGATGTCCACCCGGACAAAATATTCTATTTGGGATCAATAGTGCGGGGACTTTGTAGAAAGCCGCTAATGATTAGATATAATGAGGTTATGAATTTACTACAAATATACGGTATATAAAAAATGCGAATCAAGAAAGAACTGACTGTTCTAAAAACTGTTATCTCAATCTTTAATAAGAATCACACCTCCAAAGTCCTAGAGACTTAGGGCGAATATGGTGGCGGCGGATCGTCATAGTGCACCTGTTCTCTCTCCAACTCCCTCTCCGTCGGAGGTCCTTCGTCACGCCCATGCTCTCTGTTTCTTCTCCCAAGAAACGAGATACTACTTTCCATCTCATCTCCAAGCTCCCCTTCCTCCTCGCTCTCCGAGCCCAGCTCCATCATCCAATCCTCCTGGTTCATTTCGCGCGTACTCCCCACAAACCTCCCGTTTTGCCAGATCTCATTATGAATATCCTTATTCTGATAATCGCCTCGCAGCAGCAGACTATTCGATACTTGACAATTCTGCACGGTGGCCCTATCCAGCCGACTGGTTCTCACCCGACTTCCACGAATATCGCTCCGCCGCACCCGACTTTCTACAATATGTGACCCCTGCGTCTCACTTCTAGATAGCCACGAACCGACGACACGCGAGCCGTGCAGTAAATTCCGTCGCAGGCTTGAAGAATTGACTTCCGAGCCCTGGATTGTACTCCGTAGGTCGTGTACCTTCGACATCTTCGCGTTCTGGGCAATTGAGCGCTCAAGTGAGACCTGGTTGAGTTTGCTATTCGCGATATCGCAGTTGTAGATTCGTGTCTGGGACTCTGCACCTGCAAAGCGGCCGCCCTTTATGCTTGAGTCGTGGATAGTGCTGCGAGTTAAGGTGTCTGAGCTGCTTAGGTCCAAGAGCTCGCTCTTAACAATGGTGCACTTGGACATAGAGGGCCTAAGGCCCGGAGGGGGGATCGTGCTTTGGACGATGGTGGTGCAATCAGTGCTTGACAATGTGACGTACATGATGCCGAGTTTTTGTTTTTTTTTGTTTTCTGTCACTTTGTTGCGTTCTCAGCAAAGGCAGGTGCGCTATGGGTGGATGATGTGATAGAGGAAAGTGGTCGATGGTTATATTTATAGTGTAACCCTGTTATTTGAGCACGATGAACAACGTGTAGATTAGAGGAGGTTTCCTTTGTATTCCGTTCGCGAGGGTGGATTGAGGGTTGACTCTCAAATCCTGGGGGGTGCCGGCAGGAGAATATCTGTTCTCTTTGTGGGCTGTTCAATTTAGGTGATCAAGTGTTACGGGCCTGGATTGGGCAGGTGCGCTCCTACCCCAAGTCTGCTCTCCAGTAGGCCTGTGGGACAGTTATCGACTGAGCTACTGCCTTAGAAGGACCAGCATATCAAGTCCCCGACTTGGCACGCGCATTGCTCTATATAGTGGTTCATGGTCAGTTCGTTACAATTAAGTAGCATGGCCTAAAACCACCTTTCCAGGAGTTTTTTGAATAGTCATATTATACTCAAAGCGAATAGAAGAGGCTCGATAGAATTTAGTCGGGGCGTGTATGGGCAAAGCTGACAGGATTAGTTTAAAGTCGAACCTCTCGATATCATCATGTTATGGTTCGGTTTAATTAATATCACTTTCCGGGATCACCCATTGCTACTGTTCATAGTGTCTCTATTACGGTTAGTGTAAACTTATGTCTAGATGAATCCAGTTAACAGAACAAAACAAATGAGGCTTCACTTATTATACGAGCTAGCATGATACCTCTATGGCAAGGCATTGTCCTAAATTTATGGTGACTATCCCTTTGTGTTGATGAAAAACCTCATTCCCTTCGAGGGGACTACGGAGTACTTCTTTTTTTGTATTGTAGTTTATATCGTATAATCCCAACAAACTTCAAGAATATTTACCGACTCACGGTGATAAGAAGCAATTTGTTCATAAGAAAATGGGAGAATAGGAGGAATACTTGCGTTCTGCTTCAATGAGCGGATTGATCCACATGTTGCAAAGCTCTCCATCTCCAGTATACTTCGTCAGTGAGTACACTATGTATGCACTCCGTCATTTTCGGCATCAATTCCACAGGTCCTGGTATTCTATATTTTATATAGGTAAAGCAGACATAGTAGGGGAAATTCATAGAATAAAAATACAAGGAATTAATGTTCGCGAGTAAGAGGGAATAAAATTTTTGGATTTTCGAATTTTGCCATGTGCTTCTTTCACCATGTTGTATAATGCCTGCTAATTTAATACTTCTAAATAAACTGTCTAATTGAACTTCATCAAATCTGTAATACTTTTAGAGAAACATTAGTTTTTTTTTTTTTTTTTTTTTTTTTGTTTTGTTTTAAAGGAAGCTATTTTCAAGACCGTTACTCAGCAGGCACTAAACCCTTTTTAGAGGAAGAACTCGCGGTCCTCGGAGAAAGGTGAAAAGGTGAAGGCAGACAAAATTCGATCGAAAAAAGTCTGTGGACTGTCGAAACTCTACTTTATGGTTTTGGTGGTCTGGATTCCTCGTGCTGATCATGTTCGCAAGCTGTATATACAGGTGAAATAGGGGAAAACCAGGCAAGCTGCAGAACCGCGATCGTGCATGTGCTTTCCACGCCCACCACGCCCACCACGCCCACACCGTCATGCAGATCCGATCAGCCTTGTGGAGCCTATGTCTCTTCCTTCAGATCTATTCTGCTCGGGCCGCGTGGGTGAGGAAGTTTCATTGTGCTTCATCACAGCGAACAGATCCTGCGGAGAAGGCCTTCCGCATCGATAGCCTTCATGGTTCTTTCGACACCGTTGATAGCCCGACGCGATTCATCCTATCTATATTGGGGGTGCACAATGTCTCGCGGTTTGGCTGTAGTGACCTTGAATTAGCGCGAATTGGGGATTCTGCGCGGTTCCATGTGCTCGGTCATCCAGTTGGCTCTGTAGAGCATGTTACGAGCGAATGTCCGCTGCCCATAACGGACACACTGACACCGTAAGTACATTGGCCCAAGAGATTTCTTAACTATCTTTAACCTGAGCTTGCCCATATATCCAGGCCTGAAGGGCTCTTGTTCTCCAACTTTGAGATCGGCTACTCCTTTGATCATACTCATCGACTCCAGACCCTGGAGACGGAAATCAGCGTTCCATCGCAGAATGGTGTGGAACTAGATTGTGCCGCTGTCAAAATAACCCCGGACATCGGCAAAGAAGCCTCTGTCGCTTTTGCTGTCATTCCCGTCGCTGTAATGGTGCTCGTTGGCCTGGCGTCGTGGTACAGACGCGTCCACGCATCAGGGAGTGACTCGCTTGTTGAGAATCAAAGCACACGTGCTGACCAGAGCCGCATATGGGCAGTCATTCTCGACGTCTCGGATTACATTCGGTACTTGCAGTTTGTCTTCCTAGCTGGATCACTTACCATGGAATATCCGGGGTTTTATCAACCCGTGGTAAGCCAGGTGGCCTGGTCCTCCCTCTTGTACTGGAGTGGCCCGATCGATCATGGATTCACCTACAGGGGGGTTGAGGACGGCATGTATGTCAGTAACGCATCTTATGGACTAGAGTACATGTCGCAGATGCTTGGGTTTCCTCAAATGCCCGACATTATGTTTGACGCATTTATAAATCTGTTTCTTTTGGTAACGGGGTTGGTCGTCGTTCTTGTGGCTCTCTATCTAGGCACTTTCGGACCGAGTCAGAAGCTACCGTTCAGTTTGGCTTTCCGCGATGGGGGCTATATGGTCATCGGCTTGGCGCTGTCCTTCTTCAGCCTTCCTCTCTTGTCGTTCATGTCCTACGAGCTGATTCTCATTGGATACCTGCCCAACTACCGAGTCATCCTCGTCGGGATCGCCATGGCCATTATCGTTCTCGCGAATTATCTCATCACACGCCGTTTCAACCCACTCGAGGAAGTAGAGGTTGGCTCACAGTTGGGTGGCAACATGGAAGACCATTTCAGTGTTTCACGAGAGGTCTTCAGGGCTTGCTCGCACTATCTTCCGCACGCCATCCCTCTGATACAAGGCATCGTGATTGGTGGCCTACAAGATTATGGCTTGACACAGCTTTTAGTCTTAGGAAGTTGCGAAGTGATATTCCTCGTTCACTTAGCAGGTCAGCAGCGTTTACAGATCCTCACGTCTAGAAATGCCTGGTGTGCCTGTGTCCGACTTCTCACGCTGTGCCTGAGCACCGCATTTACCACATCCCTAAGTGAGACGGGTCGGCAATGGATTGGATACCTCATCTTGTGTCTCCATGGTGCAGTGATCTTGACCCATTTCGCGCTTTCTATTTGGCAACTCACTCGTGCATATCGGAAGAGCAAGTTGTTTCCGGGGCAGACTTCACAGTCTCTTCCGCTCACAGACGTTGATCCATTCCGTCCAAGCACCAACAATGGATCTGCAGCGGACAACAACTCCTTAGCCCTCCAAAAAGATAGCCTCGGGAGGTTCGCAGACTACACTCGTTCCGGATCATCGGGAACATCTTCCTATCGAGGAATTGAGATTAGAACCAGCTTCAACAACTATCCTAACCACAGAGCGCCCCCGACTTCAATGCCGGCAAATACACAACACGACGCCACTGAGTTCACGGACTTCTATCGAGCCCCACGAGCACGGATTGGGCCTCAATCGTCGTGTACTGATTCCGGACGCAGTTCAACCTCCGATGACCTCAATGAGTCCGCACATTCCAGCGATGAACCATCATTCGAGCTGACGTCAGCAAACCGTGTTTCTCAGAATACCCTCGACGAATGGCTAGATGTCCCAGGGCGGTTGAATGTGGATTATTCTGTTCGAGAGTCTGATCAGTTCTACGGCAGACAGAAACCTAGTGACACGGTGTCGGAATCCTCCTCGACCATGGGGTTAACCGGAATTGTCGGTAGTGAGGCATCCGGAAAGGATACGCTAAAGCACTGGACACGGAGGGCTGTGACGCGATTAAAACCACCCAAGAAGCCAAAGGAGAAGGGCTTCAAAGTTGTCAGGCCGGCAGGGCCGGCAGGGCCGCCGGGTCCGTCTGAGCTACCTTGAACGTGACATATTGGTGATCGACAGTCCTATGACCATTGAGTAGGACTCAAGTCCGCACGATCCGGACCGGGTTCCTAACAATGAAAATCCCCACACAAATGCTTGACTTTCATGGGTTCAAAGCGACCTACAAAATATCTTGGCATGCTAATAGCGGACACATCCGGCATTCTGAAGTAGGTAGGTAGATATGTTGACCCTTGCATAAACCCCCGTGGTATGGCGTGGAGCATGACCGACGGCAAGGAGGTCCGGGAAGACTGCTATGGCAAAGGGATGGTGTCGGGAAATATTTGAGACTCTCTCCTTGCATATCTAATGCATTTGGCATGCTTTTGGTTTAGGGCCGTACCCAGAGGTAAGTTTATACGACAACCGGTTATTATCCTTTTGAACACAAATAGGAGATCTCGTCTCCTGTTTTCTCATGAATTTCAAGACCTGCCTCTCTCAGCTCAGACTCGAATATTTCAAATTACACTCCGATATCTATTTCATTCTTCAAATATCAAGATGCTTTTTTCTAAGACCCTGCTTGCAGCTGGTAGTCTCTTTGCTACTTATGCAGCCGGGCAGGATCTGGACTCCTGGCCGAGAGACCCAAGCAGCATCGACGGGGCTACCGCGACCAAGCATACAGTATGTCGACACCTTTCCCGCTGAATGTTTGCATGTCTAAACATAGAGGATTTTAACGAATATTAACCGTACCGTACCATATAGCTTGTGCTTTATAAATGGCCTTTTGATGAGGGCATTACAATGTATGATTTGGAAAGAGGACATTGCTACAGATGGACAGATCTGGTTCCAAGGTATGTCGAACCTCATTATTGTACTAAGTTTTCAGAATTGGTTCACTGAGTCCTTGTTTGCAGACTTATCATGCGTCGGTGGATTCAGGCAAGGCCATCACCCAGCTCGGTCTCAATAAGTGTATACAGGTATGTGATCGCACGACTTCGCTCTAATCGGTCAGAAATTTTATCTAATAGCAACTGGTCTGAAATAACAGGTCGACTGACGCGTCAGGCTCACCGTATGAGCCTATCTGGGAGGGGCCAGGTGGGGACAGGCCTTTTGGCCCTGATTATATCGGGTCATGGTGTCTTGACTAGAATTCGGTTTGCAGATGGCCCAGAATAAATTAGGGTTTCTGTAGTTGAAATCATATGGAAGAACTATGGGCAGAATACTCTTGCTGCAAAGTACCTAGCTCAATAGACAGCCTCGATTCCTCTCAACTGGAAAGAGGCTTCGTTCCTCTGTACTCGTAATCATCAGGTCGAATCGGAACTAAACTGGAGACACGCCATTTCAAGTTGACCGTGGTAGATTCTGCTCGAGACGAGACGTTGCTTATCTTTTCCATCTTTAATTGTTCTACTATTTGGAAATAGGAGTCCTTTCTGGACCCTTCCGTATGTTTGGAAGACGGTATGATGCTTTTGGATTCGTTTACGGTTTTCTTTGGCGTATTGGTATCTATTGAAGGTAGTCATAAGTTATTTGTCAATTCTGCACTAATCCAACGATCGTACCGTTTCATGGACTCTGTAAGCTCACTCAGGTTTTTGCACCTTGGGATGATCCTTGCGATGCTTCCAGAACTCTTTTTGCTGCTTCTACTCGCGTTCCTTCTTTGCCCTTCCTTGTCCTTGGAGGTCCTTCAAAGCCTCTTTATGTCCTCTCATTTCATCTTCCTTCCTTTCGCCCTTGCTTTCGCTCTCTGTGATCCTGCTGTTGTACTCATCCTCGATCCTCTTCCACCCCTCCTCTTTCATTCTCTCTTTCTTCGCAGTCGAACTTTTGGCTGCCAATTCCTTCTTCTGGTTCTTCTTGATTCCTTCGTTTTGACGAATCTGGATTCTCGTCTCTCTTTTGGATTTATCGAGTTCAGTCTTACTGCGTAAAGCTTCATCTTTCAATCGAGTGGTCACCGCTCGATCCACCATGGCATCCAGATAGGAGGTGTACTCTTCGCCATCGAACACGCTCTCTGCTTATTGGTCGACAATATCATGAGCTATCTTGACAGTCGCCTCAGTATCACTATTGTAAGCCGTCCCGTATTCATTTTGGCTTTGTCCGTCGACCTTGCTGCGCATGTAATTCTTTCACAGCCTCCAAAATATTTGGCCTCGCAAGTTTTTGTACGTCCACAGGGTCCAGCTTTCCCAGTCGGTTGATTGGCCGCTTAATGACCTCTTCTGCTGCTGCCACACTCCGAGGATGTTAATCCCCTGTTTATTTGGCATCTGCAAGTGCAATGCAGGTTTCTTCAGGGATGACTTTCCTTTACCTAATAGTTTGGACCATCTCCGCAGTTTAGCATTTTGTTTGACCTTCCAAAAAAGAATTAGAACTCATAAATTTTAACTTGAAGAAAAACGACAGAGGACAAAAATTGAATGTGACTTCTCCAAGGCCTGCATTAGTAAATTCAGGTGGAAGTCGGCACGACCCCAGGGTCATAGTTGGAGGGGACACCCCCTGACACAGCTGCAGTTCTTGCGAACAAGCCACCAGGTCGAACGATCGGTACCTTGGTCCAGGGAGGTGTTGCGGCCATCGTGAACACAGGTTTGGCCCGTGTTCTTGTCCCTTAACTACTAGGTAGATCAGTCGATTCTCCATAGTAGTTAAACATGCCGGCTTCTAGACCTTTTTTGCCCAGACTAGCTCTCCCACTTGAAGGTAGGCTACTAGGTGGGCGGCGGGCAAGGTCAGAAATCCAAAGCAGTTCTGTCCTGCGGCATTCTGCGGGATATAATTTGCTTTACTGCTCTTCATTCGCGTTCCTATGCCGGAGGCTTCTTCTCATTATACTATTAGTACTACTACACAGGGGTTCGCCGTGTTGATTGACAATTTCTCTGCGGCAAACATATTCCCCATTCCATTCACTATGCTTAATCTGGTTCATGAGATCGTATCCTGTACTTGCTTTGTGTATCCTGGCCAGATGGGTTTGAATAGCTGATGACCGTAGCGAGATTCGTAGAGGCAATATCATCACAGTAGAATAAGCACAAATGCATAAGCACCTCCTGTTTACCCTCAGCTCCGTCCAGAAGTGGCAAGGACGATATGCAAGGGGAGATTTTCCCGCCCCGCCCCGTTAGCCCGCGGGATTGCACAGAGTAGGATTCAACAGTTTGAACCCCGGCCGATAACCGAGCCATGTAGCAAACAACGGGTGGTCTAAGCCCCCTAGTGAAAATCTAGGCCCGACCGATGCGAACAGGCATCCCGAATGTATCCCGTTCCCAAAGACCAGACTCCATGCCGGCCCCTGCCACCAGCATCACCAGTACAATCCATTATATAATAATGGTACGATCCAAAGCAGCTAGGCAAGACATACATCGTGGCTACTCCCAGGAGCGGAATGGAATGGATATCTCATTTTTTTTGAACCCCCGAGGATATCCGGACCAAGAGACCCTTCATATTCGTGTATAAATATTGAGATTAATCACCTCATTCATTGCGATTCCAAGCAAGCCGCAGACATCAAGTTCAAACCATCGAGACCACACAACAAATTCTAAACAGAAATCCTGCACTCCAAATCCTTCAACATGCTCCGTGCCCTTTCTATTGCTATGCTTGCCCTGGCGGCCGTTGCCCTGCCTCACAACGCCTGCACCCTCGATTGCAAGCTGGAGAAACCGGAATGTGCTTCTGGAATGGTACGTTATCTATCAAGTCTTCCGTCACATCTGTGCCTATATTAAAAGTACGAGTAGGTTGCCTCTGGCGGACCCGTAAGTAATTGTCCCTAGGTGGAAAGGTCACGGTACTGACATCTTACAGGGCTGTTGGGGATGTTGCGTGGACATGCCCGAAGAGATCAAAGAGGCCCCTCAAATGTGCACTCTTAAGTGTGCACTGGAGAAGCCGCAGTGTGCTGCTGGAAAGGTGGCCTCCGGAGGTCCTGTAAGTGATTTTCCTTGAGTCAGAGAACGACGGTAGTAATACTTTCCAGGGCTGTTGGGGATGCTGTGTAGATAAGCCCGAAGAGGCCGAAGAGACCAAGGAGACCCTGGAAGTCTGCACTCTTCAGTGTAAGCTGGAGAAGCCACAGTGTGCTGCCGGAAAGGTTGCCTCGGGAGGACCAGTAAGTGATTATTCTATCCCGACTTGAGAAGATGACAGTAGTAACAATTTTAGGGCTGCTGGGGATGCTGCATGAAAGCTCCCGAGTCAAACCCGCAGGTCTGCACTGCCGACTGTAAACTAGAGAAGCCGCAGTGCACTGCTGGAATGATTGCCTCTGGAGGACCGGTAAGTACTCATCCCGAGCGAGAAAGTGTTAGTCGTAACAATTTTTAGGGATGCTGGGGGTGCTGCATGGAGGCTCCTGAGGAGAGCCAGACTGAGAAGAGCCAGAACTGAGAGGGGGCAAATCAGCCTGGAGACAAAAGTTATTCTGCTATAACACTCTCTCTTTTGTCTGATATTTTGAAGGACTATCAAGTTACATGGGGACTGGATTGGGTGGTGTTGTGAAGGCGGAAAAAAATTGATTAAGAGTTATAGTTCTTTGGGAAGCACTGTATTGGATTTAGCATTCAAAAGCTGGTAAAGGCATACCGCAGGGAACTGTTGGGATTGTAATGGTGCCTAACCGAGATCATGAATGTGAATAATGATAAGAAAACATTGGTTATATTTCTATAAGTGTTAAAAAGACAATATGAGAGAGTAGGACTGCAATATCAAATGTCAATACGAACTGCAAAGTAGCTTTGGAATCTCCTTATGTAGGCCGATTAATAGCGCTGCAGCGCTTCTCATTATTCTTCACGTAGTTCAACAAATGGGGTATTGATTTAATGAACCTGATCCATAAGTACTTGGATAGGTAGAAAGTGAGTCCAGTGTTGCTGTTCAGCAATTTTACCGGTGCAAAAAATGTCTTCATGAACAGGATCAATCAAATGGCCAATAACGCTCATACTCAGCCCTTTCCTCATCAGTATCAGCCAATTGCTCTAATATCTGGTCTTTGACCTCGTCCAGAGCAGCTTTGCATTCATCGTAACGCTCTGGCTCGATAAAGCCTTTATCGGGCCACAGATCGCCCATTCCCTCTTTCACCTCTGCGACAAGCTCGGTTCCAGCGACCGCACCATCGCTATCTAGCTTGATGTTCTCCACGTCAGCTTCCGAGAAGTCGAACGGGAATGGGACATCATGCTTGACGGCGGGCAAATCTGCCCACGTGTCTTTTAGATCGACGAGGAGTGATCGAAAGTGAGCCTCGCCGTATACGAACATGCGGTGCGCAAGAAAGATCAAACCGTATGCTGGCGTCTTGCGGAACTCGACGACTCGATAGAGATCGGGGTTCTTAGCGTTCATGAGATTCCGCCATCCAAGGAAGACGTTCTGGACAGAGTACTCGCGCACAGCCGCGGCCCTTTCCTCTGGGAAAAGCCCGAAAAGGTTCGGTCTTGGTGCTAGATCGGGTGTCTCGGGCTCGAGTCCATCCCAGTCGAGAAAGGCTGGGTCAGGGTTATGGTTGAAGAGCGGCGAGACGTGGCACGATTGCCAGTCAATGATACCCGTGATTCTTTCCGGATCGTGTGGGTCAACGTAGATATTGTCATCGTGTAAGTCATTGTGCCAAAGGTGCGGTTTGGTGATAGTAGGGTCTTTTGGGATCAGAGCGTCGACGATCTGTTGGTACCATTCTAGAGCACTAAGCTTCTTTTCTTGATCGGGTCGGTAGAGCTTTGCACCGCAGAACAAGGCAGTCTGCTTGGGGGATTCAAATATTAGATTGCTTTCATCTCTCGCGCCCCCACCGCTTGCAGATACTGTGATAGAGAGTTCCCTAGGACACTGTCAGTTGTTGGATAAACCCAACTGGGATACGTTAGCGCACATGGTCCCCGTTCAACATTCAATGTCGATCGCTCCCCATCAGACCAATCCTGACCCGTAGCCGGACCGATGGCAAAATCTGAACCATTAACAGCATTGCCGTCAACGAGGTAGTGATTGTTGGTTCGTGACTGGACGTCCCCGGCGTAATACAACGCCCCGTAATGTGAGAACGAGACGCGCAGCCATTGCTTCTGGAGTTGAGTCATGGCAAGAAGTACTCGGAGCTTCTGTGTTAGTCCCATTGTGTCCCAGACTTGAGATAGCGGAACGCCCTCGGCTTTTTCCATGATGTTGAATTCAGCTCCAACAGGATGTGACCCCGCGTGTGAGTTCCACGAGTGAACACGAGGTGCTGGGGTGTCCAGAATCCTTCTGGCCTGGCAAGTCATCCTCGTCAGCAAGGCCTGGCCAGCATTAATGCGAGGGCTAGAGCGGACATACGAAATCCATTGTGGCAACTTCGCTAGCCGTCGTAAAGTGTGGAATGCCAGCATTCGGGTTAGGCACTTTGGCTACAACTTCTTTGCCGTCATTCATAGACATGAGGAAATTTTTATTGAACATGCCGTCAGGGTACTTCGTAATAAAGACGCATCGAGCGGAGCCGACCGACTCTGCTGCGACACTTGCTAGCCTATTCATGTCGAATCTGACCTCTCGTTTTCGAAGATTCTCCGCCTCGTCCATGATGAAGCGACCGCGCGTGAATTTGAAGAACTCATCGTTAGAGTTCCAGTCTGCTATGCATGAGAAATATAACAGAACCTTCGGATGGGTATCCTTACCTGGGTGAGAAGAGTTGAAGCCAACATTGCCATTACTGTAGAAACGTGGTGCAGATCCTTGAAATGAGCGACTGCCTTGCGTTGAGCATGGGTTTAGCCTGGCGCGTTGGATGTAGCGCCAAGGTCGCGCTGCTTGGGGTCGCCCCATTTGTTCACAAAGTGGCGTTGGCTCAGCCGAGATCTGGATTTGGTTGGGGAAGGCAGAGCGATCACTCAAGCCGCGAGAAAGGCTACTTCACTGCCAATGCAAGGAGATGTCAGAAAGGTGATGCAGGTACCCCTGTGGATCGGCCCTTGACAGAACGTTATCACGTGACCGATGGAGACCTACAAGTCTTTTGTATTGTACAGGCTGCTTCGTCTCTGTCTCCTGGAGAAAACGAGATATAGTTGTGATATTGGGAATGATTCGGTAAGTATTTACGGGCATCAAATGTTCCGGGCTATTGTGTGATTAGCGATGGAGAAGACTGTGAAAGTCCTCATTAAGCAGATAATCATGTACAGTACTTCTGCTATGTTTCCGGAAGGAGAAAGTATGATGCCGGAATTTATGTCCGAAGTGTGGGTGTTTCATGCTCTTCTAAACCGTGGAACTATTAATGGGATATGATCCGTGGGATAGCAAACGCTCTTACGCAGAGATGACGATGGCAACAAACCCCTCTACAAGAAACCCAACTACCGCGCTGCGGCCTTACATCTATTACAAAATTCTATCAACTCCGTCGCAATGGCCAGGGAAAGATCATACGACATTGCCATCATCGGCGGGGGTCCAATTGGCCTCTCTACTGCCCACGAGGCCGCCAAAGCCGGCCAGTCAGTCGTCGTTCTAGAGCAGTACTACTTCTTCAACCAGGTGCAGCAGCTGTCAATTTTCCCTTGACCCCTCATCCTCCAGCTACTAAATATCAGAATCAATTAGGCGGGTAGCTCTGGCAATCTCCCACGCATGTTCCGAACGATGTACACAGAAGACTTCATGGCCGATCTAGCGCACGAGTGTATGGGCTTATGGGACAATCTTGAAACGGAGGCTGGGAAGAAGCTGCGCTGGATGGCGGGATTGTTAAATTTCGGGAACCCGGATTATAATGAGAGAGGGCCAGAGGGTATGTATTCCGCCTCCTTGTCTACCTGGTGCTTTGGTCCGTCAGCATGCAATGTCTTTGAAAACAGTTAGCCCTGACGCGAGGTGATACAGGCACCCTCCTCGGCCCTATTAAGAACTTGAAACGGCTAGGGATGAAGTATACAGTATGTATGCGCATCGTCCCTTCTGCCCACCCCAGAAATGATGGAAGGGTGTACTGATGAATTGGGAAGACACCAAATCCGACATCGAGAAATCCTACCCCTTCACCAACCTCCCGGACAACTACATAGGGATCTATGCGCCTGACAACGGAGTTATCAACATCCCTCTTCTATTGCGAACCCTGCACCGCCTCGCAAGACAGAATGGCGCACATATGCATGGAAACACGCGTGCTGAGAAACTACAACCTCACGAAAAAGGACAAGGCTGGAGGATATCTGCTGTCCAGCAAGGGCGACGGATCACATATCATGCGAAGAAGATCGTCTTGGCTTGTGGAGCATATATCAACCACATTCTACGTGCAAGCTTTGGAATCCAGTTGAGACTCCAGATCTGGGAAATGGCAGGGAGTTATTTCAGCGTTGATCCTGGGGGTGGAAATGATCAGGGGACCGAGATTCCAAGTTTGTGCTCACCTATAACTCATTGAAAGACCAAATCCAAGGAGATAGCAGACTAATTGATTGCTAGTCATGTGGTTCCACTTCCAAAACCACCTACCCACCGGCCACTCTCAACTCTTCTACGGATACCCCGTTCTACCCTGGGGACCGCCCGATCTAGCACGCATAACAGTCGACACAGCGACACAACAAATCGCCGATCCAGACGAGCGGAATGAATGTGTCACCAGCGATGAAGATATTGCTAATACCCGGCGCTTTGTGCAGCGGTTTATGAAGGGTATTAATCCCTCTATTCCTGTGTTCGAATCGGTCTGTTTGCAGGGTAATGTTTTTGGTATGGTGATCCTACTCTCTACCCTCTATTCTGGCTACATTATTCATATTAGCTGCTCCCCAGCTCGTTGACCTTCGGGAATGACTGTAGAAGCCTTTTTATGCGGATACCGATCTAATTGATACTAGATAACATGTTCGTCCTCGACCATCTCCCCACCCAATACCTCCAAGGTGGAGATCCAGGCTTTGTGGTGTTGTTCACAGCCGGCTGGGCAATGAAATTTGTTCCATTGATTGGTCGTGCTCTAAAGGAGCTGTCTGTGGAGGGGAGGTCGAAGTATGCGAGGGCTGAGTTTGCGATTACCAGAGAGGATGCGAGTGGAAAGGGTTTGATTGAGGAGATTTAATATCGGCCATATTTCTTTATTTATGTTTTTTATAAGAATGCAGAGAGGCCTTCTGCACGATTACAATATTCCTTAATTTGGTAGAGCTTTGAATATTCGAGGTTCCTTATAAAGATGTGCGTAGGCTTTACGTGGGTAGTCTGGATGGTCTTTTGGATGATACTGTCTACTGATCTTCATCGCTGATTCTAATTTGTTAATTTATTACAGAGGCACCTCGGCAAATGGGAGATGGTGAATAACTGTGTAGAGTGACCTTTGTCGGACTCGTTCTCCACTTGGTGAATCTGTCGCCTCGAGGAGGGAATGAATCTATTACGAGAGGGAATAGCATGCTTCTTCCACGCGGACCTCTTTCCTGTATACCTACACCCATAGCTCTTCCTGGAAGTTCTCAATAGTCTTTCTTCTTCCAAAAATAAGCCAATATCTTGGTGTAGAGACTGCAGTTCTCTTGAACGTGATACCGAGTCTGTTCCAGCATCGTCCGTTGCAGTATTTCAAGACAAATCCGAAACCCATAAATGCACAGTTCCACTCGCCTGGTTCTCACCTTCTTCAATACATTGAGAATTAGCATTCTACCAGACGTGGCTCTGCTGCCGTAGGGTGGCGTGGTACCTTTTGCTCCATGCTTCCACGATCAAGATGTCAACCCTGCAGTTCGTTTGCCCATCAATAACCAAAGTGCTATGTTTCATACTGACAACGCAACGTACTTAGTATCTGTTTTACGAGTTGCTGTGTCTCTTCATTGTGGCTCTTGAAGAGCCACATGTAGATGAGAAGGAAGCCGCCAATGCAGGTGATTGCAACAATCGATGTTAATGCATAGAAGCGGTCCATTAAACAACCACTGACAGTCTTTCTTCCTCCTCGATTCCGAGAATCCTTCTGACGTGATCGTCTCTTCATCGGTCCCTATCGTCGTCAATACCTCTGACTTTACCAAACCCGAAAAGCTAGGCATTGCATTCGGAAGTCCGACGCTTATTACAGACTTAACGGTACTCGGATTTGGCGCCTGCCTTTTCTTTTTTTACCTGTAAGAACACTACAATATCTTTTAGAAAGATATTATTCAGATACTAATACCTTTAATTTAGTTACCAACGGTCCAGAGTCATTCAAGAAGACGAAAACAGGAAGAAGAACACTCGGTCCTGTGCTTATTGCTCTCCTCTTCATTCAATCACCACCCAAATTACGCCCAAACCTACTCCAGGAGAGAATATCTACTGCAGGCAATCAGAAATTATTGCACAAGGCATAGCAAGGCAACGAGCAACGTACCTCTGCTCGAAAGCGTTCACGACAAGAACATATTGTGCTTCAAGAAGAGGGCGATGATTTGTGTATTCTCCATCGGAAGTGGCATCAGGCCAGAGCCGTCCTGATTTCCAAGCTATGTCAACTCAACATGCAAAGGGGCCGCCGAGACAAAAGGGGATGATCAGGTTCGTAAGAATCTTAGAACAGCCGTAAGTTTACAGTGCTCATGCAGGGATTCATTAACAATATAAACACTCTAGCATGGGATGGCAAGAATGCGTAATAAGCAAACAAGAAATCCTGCTTCACCATATCACAATTATCCTTTTCGCTCTTCAGAAGGCCCAAGTTCCATCTGAAACATATTTATCTATTGTAGATATACCTGAGTTCAGGCCAGAAGCGAAAATAATATCTTAGCAAGAAAAGATATTCGGGCCAGAGCGCTATGAAGGCCTATCCAGTCATGATCAACCAGCTTCAACCATTCTCCAATCCAGTTAATAACAGGATCAGGATCAGGGACACTGGGAGTGAAGAACACTTGCTAACTGCTTGTCGACTGATTAGAAAGGTACACGGCAACGAACAATTCGCGCAGCCACATCAAAGCCGCTAGGGTTACCTGAAGCTCTGGCTTGGCAGGGCGATATTGGTGACGCCATTGGTATGAGAAGAAAATAAAATACCGTATGGTTTTAAGTAGTTGTCAACTAACTTTAAGCCGCTCAGGCAGAATACACCGCAGTAACACCCTCTGAGTTTATTTCAGGGATCATGGCGAAATGGACTTAGAGGACGAGAAACAAGGGAGGCCGTGTCCTCAAGAAAGGCCTGGATCGTGCAATCAGGATTGCTATACTGTTATAAATTTGACTACTAACCAGGTATCCATTAACAGCTTTCCAACTGCTTAAGATGGTACAAGGGTTACCAGACCCCGAATATCTTCCACTGTTTGACCATAGTCTACAATTGCAGTGGTTTCTCAATCGGTCCCTTGGTTTTGTCGACAAACAGGAACTAGAAAAGCCGAACAGCGCTCGTTCATAGCCGGATATTTTGAGGAAGTTCTTCCCGGGCCAAAGGATTCTATAATTGACGAAAGATTTCCTTTCTATGGATTCCATCACAACCAGATTATACCCGGTCTGATCGGGAGGGACAAACTCTGCTACAATACCCACGGATACACATAACATTCCCACCGGCTTTAGCCTCTCTAGTACGATAACGATACTTGTCGACCGACGCTATACAAGATGAACGACATCCGGAAGACGAAGACCGTTACGGAGGCGATTCAGTCATGGGTCAGCCCAGCAAACTCTCTGCCGCCTCCGAGTCTGTCCAAGAGATGAGGAAGAGAAATCGTAACAACAAGAAACGCAACGTTGAGCTCATAGGAAAGCTAGACCTGGTCCATGCTGCCACCAACAACGTTACGGAGAAAGCCCTAGTGGGTATACGCAATATTCCCTCTTCGGAAGATGATACCACATCCTCTACCTCATGTATCTCCATGCAATCAGCTTAATTCTATTCGCAAGTTAAATCCTTGTGGTCAAATTTCCACCATGACTTTTGGTTCGTTTGTAGTCCTCTGAGACTAGGGTGGAAGGCCACAGCGAAACATCAGTGCTTGCCTAGGTCTACACTGGCAAGTATTCAGACTTACTCGCTTGAACAGAGACAACATCCACAGTACAGGCCCAAGTATAGGAACAGATACGCCCAATGACGTGGCTACATTCTTTGACCGTACATGAGCAGAGCAGTTCCATCTCGGAGGTCCTCACTTATGGTTCCTTGGAAGTTGAACGATATGGAACAGGTTAAATTTCAAGGGTGAGTAAGGCACGAACTAGCCATGGAAGCCTTTCTAGAGCCATGAGGTCCACATTGCCTCTGTGAGCGGCCTGTCCCAACCCCCGCCGCAAATGTGACCGAAGGGTGACGTGGAAAAGACCCGTGGCAGAGAGGCTAGGTGTGGTATAGCCTTCCCGACTTGGCGGTGTTTGGAGAGGATCCAGTTTTGGAGAGGTATATATTGTTCTGGCTACTAACACTAACGTAGCTCATCGAGGAACACCTTCAATCTCATACGCCTACTCTAGTAAGATTGGCTAACTTGCTACTCCGGAGGGAGGAGTGTGCTCAAAATTCAGAAGTTATTCTTATTGCAAGGAATTAAATGGTGTCGGCGTTTCCTACAGTAGCTGAAGGTTGTGGCTTGGAATAGTCTCTGTCAGGCATATTTGATTCCTTCTAACATATATCAAGTAACACATTCACTCATTGACCAAGGAACTTGTACTTCAAAGGTGCATCATTCTCACCAAGCCCCTTGATGGTGACGATCTGCTCATCTCCCGGCACGATATCCATGGCACTGTCGCTGACCCGCACACCATCCCGCTCCTCAAAGACCAAGCACTTGACGGGCTTCTTGGCAGTGATCTTGAGTGTCTGCCCAGCATCAGATCCAGATCCCTTCGTCACTTCAAGTCCACGGTCCGATAGATCAAGGTACTTGAATGGCTGGGGCCAGTCGACATCACGCGCAGCAACGCTGCCGTCCACCCACAGGCGCGCTGCAAGGACATGCGGCTCCGGGATTTCGACATGGTCAATGACTCCGTCGGCGATGTTGGTGGTTCCGTTCGGGACGATCTTCACATTATCGTGCACAATGCTCTCGCGGACCTCGAGACCCGTGTTGACGGAGAGGAACCGCAGCTCGACCTTCCCGGATACCTCTTTCTGCTGGCTGCTGGCAATCCAGAGCTCAAATTTGCTGGTCTTTGGGGGCTGGGCGTGGGTGACGCTCCAGTCGTGATGCTCACGACGCACGCCCACCGCGATAGGGTTTAGGACCCGTGCGACGGCGTAGAACGCGGGCTTAGGCCGCAGGAAGTAATCCACGATGGCCCAGGAGATAGTGGGCCAGCAGTCGTTCAACTGCCAGAGAAGAGCGCCGCCGCAGTGTCGCTCGTCACCCCATTGACGACGCCAGCCGCGGTAGCCGAACATCATGGTTTCGGCCTGGACGACTTGGGTCAGGTAGACGTATGTCTGTGGACTTCGATTAGCCCTGAGCATCAAGTGATGAGGGTTAGAAATGAAATACCTCAAGGTCTGTGGCCGTTCGAAGGTTTTCAACGAGGTAGGTGGCGATTCTTCGTTCGTGACCATCGGCCTTGTTATGGAAATCGAGCACGTGAGATTGGGGATACTTGTCTTTCTCATTCTCCACGAAGTAGTCAATCGTCGAAAGATGTGGGAACGCCTCCATGCCGAATTCGGAGTTGAATCGGCCCCCAAGAGTATCGAAGATTTGATATTTTTCTTGCGTTCCATGCCACACTATGCTACATGTTAGCAAATATATTGGCAAAGCCAAATGTAAGACATACCATTCCACTGGTGCATGTCTCCAACCGTAGGATCGGAAGTGATCTTGCCATCTCCCCAGGGACTGCCCGGGTGGTAGAAGACCGAAGGGGTCAGTTTTTCAACGACGTTAGGAAGCAGCTTCTCGTAGATGTAACGAGCGGGAAAGTCGGTCTTAAGCCAGTTCTCCGGGTTCTTATCCTCGTAATCATATACCAGGCCTGCCTGTTCTTGTACTTGATAATCTTCGTTGTTGCCAACCCAGATCACGATGGAAGGGTGGTGGCGTAGTCGGCGGACGTTGTAGAATGCCTCTTGCTCAATGGACTCAAGTAGATCGGGCCATGTCGGATAGTTGCCGCAGCCGAACATGAAGTCTTGCCAGACCAGCACTCCAAGTTCATCGCAAGCCTGGTAGAAGCTGTCATCTTCGTAGCTTCCTCCACCCCAGACCCTGCAATCTGTTAGTATACTTTCGAAAATAAATGGCAAGGATGAGTGCATACCTGATCATGACCTGTCGTCCAGCGACCATCAGTTCGATCCATTTGCGATAGCGTTCAGCACTGATGCTGGGAAGGAGGTTATCGGCGGGAATCCAGCAGGAGCCGCCGCAGAACACATCCACTCCGTTTATCCTGAAAAAGAAGGATTTACCGTGTTTGTCGGCCTGTTGAATCACCTCCGCAGTGCGTATGCCGATTCTCTTGGAGACACGGTGAAGCTCGTCGTGTCCCTTCTCGAGTGATACAGAAACGTCATACAGTGTGGGATCACCATAACCATTGGGCCACCACAGAGACGGCTGTTTCACGTCGAATATCACGTTTGCGAGCCTGTCCTTGGGCTGCGTCACCTCGCGAGCGACCTCTTTGCCGTCAAGGCTGAGTGTGAATGTAACATTGTATGACCCGTCCGATTCGACGCCTTCAAGTTGCGCGAACGCAGAGACCTGGGCTGAGTGGTGATCCGAGGCCAGGTTCAATTCAGTCCAAAGATCTTCGACCCGGGCCGTGTAGACCTCAAGTCGCACGTCTCGCCAAATTCCGGCAGTCATCAAGACCGGGCCCCAGTCCCAGCCCCAGTGGTACTGGGCCTTTCTCGCCGCCATTCTTGCCGGGTCACCATTGAACGAGGCCCAGTTATGCTTCGGGTCTTTTTCCTTGAGTTTGCGAGCACGCAGCAAGGCACAATCAAAATCGATCTCTAGCACGTGCTCGCCCTCGGCCTCTAGGGCCTTGGTAACATCTACACGATGAGCGAGAAACATGTTGTTGCTTTCCAGGATCACCTTGCCGTCCAATTTGACGGTTGCAAAGGTGTCTAACCCGTCAAAGGCCAAAACAACCGACGATCCACTTGGGATCGCGGGTTTCTGGAACGCATTGCGGTAGGTCCAGGACTTCTCATTCACCCATCTGGCGTCCAACTCATTGAAGCCAACGTAGGGATTTTTCAGTCTAGATGGTTCAGCATTGGGTCAAATATCATGTCTCAAAGATCGTACTTGTTATTCGCCTGCAGATCCTGGTGAATCACAGAGGGGACCACGGGCACAGGCAACCAGGCTTCTGCCGATGCATCCTCACTGTCCTTGAAGCTCCATCCCGTGGAGAGAGAATGCTGCGAATAAGCTGCCATGACGAGCTGTGCAAGCAGAAAGGACAAACGAATGGCAATTGATTCCGAACTTCCGCAAAGGTGAGATTATAATCCTCAGAGCTACAGACATCAGCTTTTAGACGGGAACCCGTTGAATTTAGAGGCAGAGCCTCCATCGTCGTCAATGGCGCAGCGAAGTATGAGCGAAGAAGTCGACGGAGATACACGGAGGCCCCTCCGTTCCCCACGTGCCGCCCCTTCCTAATCGGGTCACGTCCAGGCGGGGTTGTGACCGTGCCCAATTGGGTTAGCGCCACCTGACTCTCGTCCCCTTCAGTCTCTCCGACATCCGTAGTAGTTTCTCTTCGACTCGCATCTTCAGGAATTGTTCGGGGTTCATCATTTTGACACATTCTTCTTCACATCCATCACTGCCACGTCTCCTAGCCCGTCTCAGCATCTCAATAGGAAAGATTTCCGGAGATTCATAAAGTTAAACTGCCACCGGTCTCGTCCTCCCGCCCTCTGAAACCAGCCCGTCTCTTCTCTCCCGGCACTTGTCTCTGTTAGGCACGGGAAATACTCCGTCGAGCTCTCTTTTGGGCGAGGAATATCATTGTTCCTGGACTCGTCTTTCACCGGTCCTCTGAGGTGCTACGACTGACCGAATCTAAATAGCACCGTTCGTGCCTGTGCTCCCGACCCTCCAATAGCCTGCCTACTTCCATTTGGTTCCTGCTGCCGTTTAAACTTTCTCGATCTTTACAATCCTTGGGTTAGGGTAGCATTCTGAGCTTTGACTCCCTTTCCATGCGCCTATAATGGATGTCTCCTGACACCCGTTCGTCTCGGTTCTGTCGGTCCTTCTTTTTTCCCACGTTTGCATAATCAAGACCCATCCCACCTGTGCGAGCAATCCTTCTTGTCCCCTCTGTTGGCACTGAAGTCGTGGTTGAGTTGCCCGTTGAAGGTTGTGGGCCATACACGGCATATGGCGATGACAACACCCCTGCCCTTTCTCTAACAGAGACCCATGGGTGACTGCACAGATCGTATGTCGCTGCTTCCTGCCAGGACCCTCCAGAACAAAGAGGATCGTTTCCACCTGGGTGCCGACGGGCATACCCCTCTCTGTTCGGGTTTTTGCCACTAATGACCCCCCTGGTCGCAGTAGTCCAGGGTCGCTTGCAGACATTTCCGCTCTTCCTAGGGCGCTAGAAATGGTCTGACAGCCTAAATCTCCCAGGGTAATTACGGAGTACTCGACCCTGGCCGCCCTGCCCCTCATCGTACCATCATGTCCTTTTTTTTTCCTTTCTCCATCCCTTGTCTCCTGGCCATTGGCCAACCCGTCGTCCTTCATATCCCGAACTTAAATTGACAGGGCCGTGTTCTATTTTCACATGGCGGAGCCGATATCAGATTGGGAAAATGTCTCATTCTTGGCAAATCCGCTCCCTTCACCCCGTCTGATCACGTTGTGGGTCCTTGAAATAAATTTGGCTCTTAACGATCGACGCCACTGGTGAGTTCTAACCGTCCGGAGACACCGGGGCGAATCTCCTGAACGAGGTGCCCAGTGCGCTGAGAAGGTTCGGATGATCCCGAATCGGCGTCGATGTGAGAGTTTGGCCTACGGTGTCCTCTTCATGTCTACGGAGTATTTCATCTCCTTCGCTGCGTCTTCGATCCGCAAATCACTTTTGGTTCGCGTATCAAACTTCCGGGCGATCCGGGGCATATGTGAATAGTCTTACCACCTCCATCTTTCTACACGGTGTACTTTCCCATAGTGTAGTAAGGGCAGCGAGGTGGGGGGCGAAACACATCTTAATGCTTGCAAATCCAAATGCAGTCGCTTGTCTGCCCTCAGGCTCAATGAATCGGATTGCGTGGACAATCAAGAGCTGGTCTATTAAATGACATTTCACGCGGGGTCCCACCTGCCGATTGGAAGGGGTCCGGTCCCTTCTGGGTAAATAACTCCCCTCAAACGTCGCTCTGCTAATCTAACAGCCTGCCGAACCCTAGTCGGGTTGCATTCTCAGGGAATTAGATATAACCACCAATGCCAGCGTGTCCTAGGCAACACTAGGCGCTTGGACTTACGGAGAAAAGGCCACCTTCTCAAGTTGGTCACCCGCGGATGAGACCAGGCAAGGTACATTGAGATCCTTGAAGAGCGTGCTTTTCACGCCCGGGAAATCTCCGAAGCAGCTCAAGGATCATTGATGCTGCTTTCTCTCGAGATGACGAGGTGAGGCTTTACAGCATGCATCCATCCTTTTGTAGAAGGGAATCGAGGCGCGGCCATCGCGGTGGAGTCTACACGGTGGAGAGGCCGTTGCCACTTTTCCCGGTACCTGAGGGACCTGATTTGGTCGGTGCATCTTCTGCAGCGGCACGCGCCCATCACTCTGTGGGGCGTATGGAAGCAGTTATGCAAGGAATCAATTCCTCAGCACATTCGACCATACGCAATGTATTGCACCTCACTGCGGTCGAACGTTGCTGGTCTCCGTTCGCCTGCAGGGCCTTTTCCTTGATACTTGCAGACGCAAGCCATCCAAATCGAGGAGGACCCAGCGCGTTTTTTGCCTCATCCATGTAAGAATTGGGCGCCATTGTAGACAGGGGTAGGAAGGTGAGAAAGCCACGAGAAGGACTCCATGGGGGCGAAGGTAGGGAGGGGAGATGAGCCGGACGGGGGATAAGATAGGATAAGCGAAAACCTGGGGAATATGCAAACATAGGACCCCCGACAGCAGAAATTCTCCGCGATCAGAAACTGTCCAGTGACCGAGAGCGAAGGGGGGTGCCGGCAGTGGGCGAGTCATCTCCGAGGCTTTTCACTCCAGGTACCTAGTATGTGGGCGTCCCAATCACCTTGCAGACTGGAGCCTCTTGGCCATGATCCCTGGTTAAATTAGAACCAACCAGCATTGTCAAAGGACACGGTCAGAAGGACCGGGAAAACGGCGCCAGCCTAACAGAAGTGCCGGTTTTGTTCACGATACCCGCCGGGTTCATTTCAGCCAGACAAGCACAGGCAAGTCTTTGGTCAGACTCAAACTGGCCGGTTCTTGCATAAAGGGATTAATCTATTTTCATTCATCCAGCCCCGAAAAATGCGGGGGAAGCGAAGCGTGAGATGATGGTCTGGCGACGATCTCCCAGGGACTCGACGCCAGTTGGTTCGGAGTCTCTAGCCTGGAGCGAAATACGAAATCGGGGATCGATTTGTATTGGACGTATGGAGTAAGGCAAGTGGGAATGGATTTATTTCTCTTGCCTCCATTCACAGTAAGTTCAGTGGATTTGATTAAATGGGGATTAGTTAGTTGGCAGCCTGCCCTAACCATTCTTAGTTTTGGGAATTATTTCCTACCGTTATTATTTTTTTAATATGTTTTATTTCATTTATTTTATTCTAATTTCTTTTTTTTTTTCTTGTTGGATCTCCGTGCACATCATTTCTCTTTTTCTTCCTGCCGACTTGGTCAACTCCTAAACACTCCTCTCGCTCTGCCCATCCGGGTGGATCTTATATTCTAGACATGTTTGCTTCTTAACCTTCCTCTCTTCTTCCTTTTTTTTGCACTCCTCAACCGGCTCACCGCGCCTTATTCCCGACTTCTGCAGGCTTGTTAATTGCCGTGCAGCGCCGCTGAACGGTGGCGACTTCTCTGCTGGGTTAGATCATTTCCGCCTGCTGCTTTGTTGCTATTATTATTTGCTACTACCGCTGCTGGCGGTGGTGCTATTGATCCTGCCTGCTTCACGATCCCTGGTTTTCGTTACATTCCAGCTGCTGTCTTAAACTATTCTGCATACCGAGTGGTCTTTTGCTGGCTGACTTGGGACCCTTGAATGCTCCCCAGCTGAGCGACCTGTTTCCCGGGTCGCTTGAACTTGACATTGACAGACAGAATCCCAGCAAACTGATCCCTGACCATGTTCCATACATTCGAGGGATTCGAGAACCCCACGGGTATGATTCAAACCCGGGGGCGTAACGAACGTCAGCCTTCGGTCGGTCGGCGGGTTACGACGCTTCGCGCCTGCACATCTTGCAGACATCGGAAGATCAAGTGTGACGGGGAAAAGCCCTGTGAAGCATGCAGGTGGTATAAAAAGGCAGATCAATGTCATTATTCCGATCCTCGACCGTCTCGGAGGTATGTCTTTCCCTTCCGCCTTGGTCCGGATTTCCTTCTCTTTTGTTACGGGCACAACAACAGTGAAATCGACCATCATAGCTTACCAAAATCTGGGAAACAGACATGTGGAGAAGCTCTCTACCACACTCGATGAGTATCGAGGGGTTCTCGAGAAGCTCTTCCCCACGGTGGCACCGGAGACCCTGGTCAATTTGCCACGCGAGAAGCTCGTGGAGCTAATGGCCAAGGGTGCTTCACCGGGGCATGCTCAGGTGCCACAGCCCCATCATCCAGCGTCGCCGGCTACCTCTGCCTCGGTTGACGCGCATGTGTCGCCCATGTCCCATGAAGATGGCAACCTCGAGTCGCTACAGACGATGCCTGAAGATTCCGACGTTCGAAATCTGGGCGGTGCGGAGATGACCAACGGCATTTCTGACGATGTAAACGCCCTTTCCCTCTCCGCTCGACAGGCCTCCTCATATCTGGGGGTCTCTTCCATAAACGCAGTGCTCAAGGTGATTGTCTGGCTCGACCCTGGCTGCTTGGGCTACTTTTCTCGCACTCCGGCTGTCAACCGCCAGGACACGGCCATGGACTACCCTCCCCCTCCTCCTCTTTCAGACACCCAAACTTGGGGGTCCTCTCAAGCTCAGCCCGACACACCCCCGCAGCCCCAGTTGCAAGTCACCGATCAACAGCTCCTCGACGCCTACTTCACATATTTCCACCCCTTCGTTCCCATGCTAGATGAGCAGTGCTTCCGCGAGACCTATATCTCCGGTCGGCGGAAAGACGATCGCTGGCTGGGGCTACTCAACATTGTCTTTGCGCTCGGCAGCATTGCCGCGGGCACAGCGGACGAGGTGTCTCATAAAACATATTATGCACGCTGCAAGAGATACGTGAGCCTGGAGTCCCTAGGCTCCTCGCACATGGAAACCATCCAGACACTCGGTCTTCTGGGTGGCTTTTATCTCCACTACATCAGCCAGCCAAACCTGGCGTACTCGCTGATGGGAGCGGCACTGCGCATGGCTGCCGCCTTGGGATTTCACAAAGAATTTTCGGACAGCCCAGACGGGCCTAAGAAGCAGATGATCTCGTCGTCCGATCTTAAACGGCGAGTATGGTGGTCTCTGTTCTGCATGGACACTTGGGGTGGGATGACTCTCGGTCGTCCAAGCATGGGCCGGTTTGGCCCGACCATCACGGTCAAGTTGCCCCATTGTCGAGAATCTGTATGTCGCACCGGTGATTAAACTTTCGATATTCAGGACTAACAGGCGGCAGGAAAACGTGCTCGATATACTCCCACTACTTGAGAACGTCCGGTTTTGCAAGATCGCTACTCAGATACAAGAAGTCCTGGCTGTGTCGCCGTTGACGAGACATCATGAGATGTTCCATTTCGATAACCAACTCCTCGAATGGTATGAGAATCTTCCGTACATTCTGAAGGATCACGAGCCATGCTCCGAGTCCATTGCGATCGCAAGGACGGTGATGAAATGGCGCTACTACAACCAACGCATGCTGTTGTATCGGCCAACGCTGCTGAGCTATGCCATGCGTCGGGTTCCCTACATCGCGCTGCGATCTGAAGAGCGTACCTCAATCGAACGGTGTCGCGAGATCGCAGAGGCCACCATCCAAAATATCGCATCCACAGCGCAGTCGCATGGGATGTCGGGGTGGAATGCCGTCTGGCTTCTGTTCCAGGCCACGATGGTTCCGCTCCTGGGGCTGTTCCTCAACGATAGCACCACCAACGACCCTAGAGCAAGCATCGAATCATGCCAAGGACAGGTAGAGATGGCAATGCTTAGTCTCGCACAGTTGCAGCCATGGAGCCCGACCGCCAAGCGAACGCTTGATGCCGTCGCCCGCATTTTCGAGGCCAGTAAACGAGGACCTGACATGGGCGGCGACATCAGCGGTCACTACGCGACTCCGCGGGACAGCATTATCTCCGGCGTCGTTCCTCCTGCTATTCTGCCCTCGCAGAATGAATTCGGCCGGGGAGTCATGGTGGCCAACGAGGTCAGTTTTACGGATCCGTTTGCGCCGTCGTTCATGGACGACTCGGCTGGACAGCAGCTGTGGGACTTTCTCAGCTGGAGCGACAGCAATCTGTGGCCTGGCATTGCTGATCTGGACTGTTCTCCGGAGACCAACCTGTTTGGGTCGGATGAAAAGAGCCTGAAGTACAGCAACAATGCCTCGGCTTTTTTCGGCGTGAACGATTCTGCCTATTATCCGAATCCCCCGCTAGCTTTTTACTAGTGCAGGCATCGGTTGAGGTCACTACGGTATAGTATGCCATTTGATCCGACTACCCGTCTGGGCACTTCATTTCCGTTCTGTTGATCTTTCTTTTATTTTGTTCATCTCCTTCTCCTGATTCCCCACGTTTGCCTTGCTATTTTTTTTATTTTACTTTTTCTTTTATATTTCCTTTCGTCAATCGTTACTAGCGAATGCATACACGACGTCATGTACCGAATTGATCCCACCAGGACTGGGATATGAATACAGTGAATAGCGGGAATTGTATATTGCATGCCCGTCGGCAGTCCAGCCGTCCAAATTGGGCTTAGTCTTTCGTTTATGGAATTAGCCAGGTGTTGATATGAATCGAAATTTTCAGTTTCTAGTTTTCCCTTGAGTAAAATAACTCCACAATCTGTACACTGAGTATGGAAGTAGTATGAAAGTTGCTGTTGATGGCATAACACAATGCGGACCACGTGACCTATGACCCGTATGCACATGACTAATCAGTCTCCCGACAACAACTCCCACCAAATCTGGTCTGGATATACAACTTAGCGGTGTCAACTGCGAGCGAGCACATCGCCCACATCCATGGCAGGGTAAAAACCAGACATCCTACTGTATCCACCAAACATCTTCCAAAACTCCCACAACCTAATCATCCCATGAGTCCCTGAATCAGCACATTCAACCCACCCAAAAAGCCACCATGGCTTTCACGTCATTCTTCCAACGCCCTTCACTGGTCTATGGCTCTGCCATCGCCCTCCGCGCCGTCCTCCTCATCTATGGCGCGTGGCAAGACGCCCACTCAGCCGTTAAATACACCGATATCGACTACATGGTGTTCACTGATGCCGCGCGGTACGTCGCGCACGGGGCGTCCACGTACGCGCGAGACACGTACCGCTACACGCCGTTACTCGCGTGGCTGTTGATCCCGACGTCGTGGACATCCGACGGCGGCAGCGGCGCATTCTTTCTCTTTGGGAAGGTTCTGTTCGCGCTGTCAGATGTCCTGGCTGGTTGGTTAATTGTGAAATCCCTGACCTCGGCCGCGTATGGCATGGATGTGGTGAGAGCGCGCAAGTACGCGGCTGTGTGGTTGCTTAATCCCATGGTTGCGAATATCAGCACCAGGGGCAGCTCTGAGGGGCTGCTTTGTGTTATGGTGATTGCGTTGCTGTGGGCGGTCCTGAGGGGGAAGGTTACCCTGGCAGGGGTGTTGTTGGGGTTGAGTGTGCATTTTAAGATTTATCCGTTTGTGTATGGGGCGGCGGTGGTTTGGTGGTTGGATGGGGAGAGAGAATGGAGTCTGAAGACTAAGTCTGAGGCGAAGGCCTCTATTGCACCTTCGAGAAAGAACCAGGAAGACGGAGACATCCTCTCACAAATCTCCTCCTTTCTCACCCCCTCCCGTCTCCATTTGACTCTCACCGCGCTGGCCACTTTCTCGGCCCTCAATCTCTCCATGTATATCCTCTATGGGTATCCGTTCCTGCATCATACCTACCTGCACCATGTGACGCGCATTGACCATCGACATAATTTCTCGCCGTACAGTACGCTGCTGTATTTGTCTGCGTCTGCTATGGGGGTAGCACCAGGAACAGAGGCAGAGGCAGAGGCAGTACACGGCTCCTTTGAATCTCTCGCTTTCATTCCTCAGTTGTTTCTCTCTGTTGTGGCTATTCCGCTTGTTCTGGGGAAGAAGAGTTTGCCAGGGACGATGCTCGCGCAAACGTTTGCCTTCGTGACGTTTAATAAGGTTTGTACGAGTCAGGTATGCTCTTCACATTTTTTCTTTCTATTATTATTGATTGGGTGTGATGCTACTATGCGGACCTACCCCTTGTTCCTTAACCACGATGCCACTGCTCATTCTCGAACTCCCCATCTTTCCACCTCGCTTGTTGATAGCTTGAAATTATGCTAACAATCCAATCATTGGAACACAAATAGTACTTCCTCTGGTACCTCGTCTTCCTCCCCTTCTACCTACCGGAGTCGTCTCTTCTCCAAAGACCCAAACTCGGTCTTGTAGCCGCTGCGTTGTGGGTTCTTGCTCAGGTTCGTTTGTCCTTTCCTTCTCTCCCTTTCCTATCTTATCATGGAGTGTGTATCATATATAATCCCTTTGTGCTCTTATCTATGCATTCTTCTGAGCCCGTTACCCATTTACCTACCTGCCTCCCTCGTATCTAATCCCACCCCAACACAACCGTACCACAAGCCATCCCTCCCATAAGGAAGAAATCCAGAAAGAACACCTCGACTCCCCCCAAAAAATATCTAACAGAATAACTAGGCCGCCTGGCTCCAACAAGGCTACCTCCTCGAATTCCTCGGCGTGTCGAGCTTTGTCCCAGGTCTTTACCTCGCAGGACTAGGATTCTTCGCAGTGAATGTTTGGTTGTTGGGGATTATTGTTGGGGATGTTGGTGCTGTTCCCTGATCTATTCATTTGTTTGTTGATTAGTTAGTCGGCGGATGGGCTGGGCTGAGTATGGGTGGTTGTTGAAGAATCACCGGCCTCCTCCTCCTCCTCCTCATCATCATCATCATCATCATCATCATCCTGTATTCAATTAGAAGATTCAGAGTGCAAAGTAGACCAAAAGTCATCGTTGGGCGAGGTAGACAATGGTTATTTTACGATTTGTTGTAGTTCCCTAGAGTTGAAGGTTTTCTAATGATAATCTCCCCTTGATATGTCAAAGGCTCTGTACGTTTGATCCCAAATCGTAAGAAGAAAGAATAGAACTTTCAATATGGAGCAGTGTAAGATATACATATAACTTGATTAAGAATTTTATATTGCCCCTGTCTGTAAAAGAAACAAGCTTTTCTAGATTTGCGATAAAGCAATAAATTTGTTATAGAAATCAACCCCCGCCGTAAGCTGTCTTCACCACTTTCGACATGAAAGAGCACCAACTCTATATCATGGCGCTGGTACTGTGAGTTCATGTACTCTAGAGAGCCGGCCTCCCAGCTACATTCCGGTTCCAGGTTCAAATGGCCTAACCGCCTGCTGCTTTGATATCGACCACAACGTGCTCTATGCCCATGACACCGCAGGGCCTCCTCTATTTACCGAGGCCCTCGACGTATACATGAGTCGACCAATATCCCAACGGTTTCTGCAACCTAGGCCTCAAAGCCCACTTTTACGATCCTCGAATACTACTACGGATATGTCAGGTTCTGGGTCCAATACGATATCGATTGTTCCATTGTCAAAAAAAAAAGGGGCTGCGCATTGGGTGTACGTCTACTTCGACGAGAATGAAAACCACGTTGCGACGTATACGTTCACTGCCATGCCTTTCGGGCCAACCATCTGTCTGGCCCTGTACACCATTGTTCACGGAGATAGGAGTATTGGTATCCGCGGCCATCTAACAAGGAATGGTGTTGCTGGGAACCTGGAGGAAAGATTTACCAAAAACGATCGACTACCCAAAACTACACGACGCCCTGCGAGGGATGCCACTCTGCCCGGCCCGTTAGAGCAGGAGGATGTTGCGCCAGTACTGGGATTGATTGCCCGGATAGACTGTTTGATGTAGTACCTGGAATTGCAATCTTGCGAGGTCTTTTCATGTGGTCCCATGTCCTGTTGTTCATGATTTGTGCTATTTCCATCGAGTAGTAGATGTCTACGAAAGAGAATGTGTGTGGACCCACCTTGGACTCGCCGTGTTATTCTGTGCTTCTGGCGGTCATGCTGAGATTACACAATAATGTTGTGCGGTTAGGCAGCACCAGGCCTAGGTGACTAGGTTAGCTAATGAGTGAAAAGGATCACTTGTTCATCTTCCCAGAGTGTGGAAGTGAAGTAGCCTTCGTAGAAGGAGTTTTTATTAACTGTTCGCTTTTGTTCCAGCCCCGTTCCTCTTCAGACAAGACCGCACAGAAGTGCTCGGAGAGGTGGGATCCCACTTGAACTGACTGAATTAATATTAGTATGAGGCTGCGAGTCAACCAGCCAGAAGGAGAGATGGAAGGAACAAAACGTTCGCCACTTGATGTTACTCCCACATCTGGCATAATGGCGATACGGCAAAGATAGAATGAACAAGGCATTGCCATCAATCAATCAGTCAGCCTGGAAAGCGCCTCTCGTCATCGGGTTGCCAGTCATAACGCTCGGCTAGGATATGGATTTGACTCTCGGTTGGCAAAGAGAAGAGGACGCAGCCTGGTAACCACTGATTTAGTACAAATCAAGAGACCAACTCTTGCAATGAAAACAAAGAAAGGCAGTGAGCATATTACCATATTGGGCCACTCGGTTCGTTCGCCATGAGATAATTCGCTCACGCAATTTCGATCTCGATGCACGATCCACATCCGCCTGGCGGTGATCTCCCCCATCTTTTTCACCATCGTCCCCATAGTCATCGTTGACACTCTCGACGTGCTGTAACATAGCTGCCGTGGAATTAAAGCGCCCCTGCCAAGCCTTCTCAATCAGGGAGTCGAGATGGCGATTTCCTGTCTGAACAACAGGCAAAATCAAACCCCCCGCAGCGTCAGCGGATACAATTTCAGGGCGACCTCCGGTTTCGAGCTCGTATATCATCGAGGCCATCGCGAACCGATCCGTCGCATCCGAGACGGTCTCCGACGGTCCATTCATCAGCACCGGCAGAGAAGGATTCGGGTACCCGAAGGGGCAACTGGCGCCGAAATCACTCAAGACCGCGTGGCCATTGGCGTCGAATAAGACGTTGTCGGTGCGGATGTCGGAATGCGTAACCCCCAGCGTGTGGAGATGCAGAAGCGCCCGGATAAGATCCCGATACCACAGGATGCGATCGGACTGGGATGCTGGCTGTATGGCGGAAAGCGGTCGGTATTTGCGGAGATAGATCCCCTCGGGTTGATCCACATCAATGACCTCGATGATGTTTGGGTGGGGACGCTCCGCTAGTAGACGCAGGATGGCTCTCTCGTCTTTCAGAAGGCCAAAGTGGAAGATGGTTTCCGACGCATAGTCCCACAGAGCTCTGGGTGTCGCCTGCTCTGAAGGGGGCTCGTAGATTCGACACGTCTTTAGAACAATGTCCTCATCGACATTATACACTTGACCGGCTGCTCCAACGCCTATGATGTCCAGACCTGTCTGATGTTGAACGGTCAGGCATGTATCTGCATAGCCCGACGGGCCATTCGGCTTGGGGAGATCCTTTGCTGGATGTTGCAGCTCCGCAAGTCGGCTTCCTTTGAGCTTGAGCGCAGTCTGGAGGAATTGGATCAAAGGGAAGACCGTCCAGCATATGGCAGAGTGTAGAAGGGACCAACAAGACGCAATGAACGGGGGCATCTTGCCGGGCGAGTCTTGCCGAAGCAGACTAGGAGAAAGTGAGGGATCAAGTTGAAAAGTGGTGCGCCTAAGGCGAAGGGGATCACGTGCAGAGGGGAGGGTTCATGAGAAGAGGTATCTTCATATAGACACACAGCAGGATAATCGAAATAGATGGAGATGTATATAAGATGTGACGTATCAATCTAGATGCAACCCTCACTAACGTTCAGATAAATATCACGACCGACTCCACTACTCAAGCACTATGGAACCGCTCTCGCAGCAATCTACAATGAGTAACGAAGAGCGAAATCGAATCCATGAGTGGCATTGATTTGAAGAGAGATAATATTATTCGTAATCTTGTTTTAATCATACTGATGATAATAGGCATTCAAGAAACCCTCTCAGTAATGTGATAAGACTGGCAAGATGATACCTGAACATCGCACTGGGGATCTGATGATCTGCATCTGAGCTTGATTTTATTATGTTGATTCAGTCGATCTGATTTGATTCAGTTGATTTGATGGATTGCTGACTGTCGGTCAAGTAATGAATGGTAAATTGCTAAGATTTGAATGGGTATGGGTATCGGCAAAGGTACGGTACTGCTTGGAGATCAATAGATCAATATCCAACAGACAACAGAAATTAAGACCACTCAAGTTCAAGGTTTGGAAACGTCGGCAATAATCTTATACGTCGACGCATGAATACTCAGTGGTCGGGTGCGCGGATATACCGCCCCTACGATCTGATGGTTGAGTCCGTACTGCGGATAAATGCCGTCTGAGAGTTCGACAAAATGCGCCTGCGGACGACTCTCGTACAGCGTCTCCAGAATGCTCTCGCTCCAGAGTCCGCAGCATTCCGTCCCGACGAGCTGGAAGTACGGGTTCAGCGGCGGACAGGCAGAGTCGAGATCGATGAACCGAATGCGCATGTAGTCCAGGTCCTGGTGCAGGCGGAGGCTGTGCACGGCGCCGACGACCAGGTTCTCGAATGAGCGGATGAAGTTGAGGTTAGTGATGCCGGAGAAGTCGTCAAAGAAGGGGAGGTTGGAGGACGAGCCGGTGCGTTTCTCGCGGCAGCAGGTTTTGACTACCAGGTCGAGGGACTTGAGTTTCGATTTGGAGGTGAAGAGCGTGTTCGTCGACATGGTGCGCGCCGCCTGGAAAATCGACGCGCAGACATTCCCCGTAAAGGCCAGCGATTCGACTCGCGGCGCCACGTCACCCAGCAGCCGACACAGATGCTGCACGTTGATCCCCTCGCCGAGCCAGCCAGATTGCGAATTATCCTTGTTGTAGAACCCCTCGAGACTGATGTTGACGTGCACCAGGGACGAGGGCAGTCGGCGCAGGATGGCCGCGATGGTGTCGTAGCCCTCCACCTTGGGCTTGGCGTAGGCGCAGTGCCACTCCCGCAACCCCGGCAGCGCGTTCGACAGCGTCTGCCAATGCTGCGGGCTTCGCATGATGTTCCAGGCGCCGCGCATGACAAACGCCTGAATGTCCGGCAGGCAGGGGAGAGCTTGGCCCGACATGCCGGCGGGGTCGTCGCGGAAATGGTGAATCATGGGAGGTCGCTTGCAGTGACCTCCTTCCAGGGTCAGAATGCGGGCCTCGGGGAAGCAGCTCTTGACATGACTGAAAATCTCGGCCAGCGTCGCGTTGTGACTGGCGTAGTGATATTTATAGTCGCCGCTGCGATTGGGAGGATCGGCGACGTCGGTCTGCGTGCCGGCCACGTCGGCCCAGTCGACGCTGCCCTCCCAGCCGTGATACCGACGCGAGGGGATCTGCTGCGGGGCGCTCTTGGTGGTCCGTTTTCCCCAGACGGGGATCCACATCTCGATCTGACGGACGTACGGGGCGAGATGAGGATGCAATGCAAACCAATGAGCACATTCGTCCAACTCGTCGGTAGTGCCCTTGATTTTGACTGTTTCCAATTAGATAGACGCCGAGCAAGCCAAAGTCAAGAACTAACCGTGTCTGTAGATCCGCTCCTGCACCAACGACCTCCATACCGGCGAGATGAGCGACAGGTTCGACAGAGCCTTCCGACGCGGATGACGTAGGGATTTGTTCCAACTCCGAGCCGACGATTTGCCCGGACCTGCGGTGGTCAGAGCGGATGTGCGTTCCCCGAACAGATAGTCCAGGATAGCCTCGTGAATCTCAATGGGCAGGTCCTCAAATCGCAGGTCGGGCTGGTCGGACGTCTCGACGGGGTCGATCTGAAGGACGGCCTCGTCCATCTCGGTATCTATGGGAGACTGGCAGGCCAGCTGACCAGGGGCGGAGGGCGGAGGAAGAGGCGGGGAGGGATCATCGTGGGCCTGATATTCGGCGCTGGTGCAACGGGTGGGTTTGGAGTATGGAATGGACGACACGGACGCTCTCGCCAGCGAATTGACCGAGACGGGACGGGGAGGCGGAATAGTGGATAACATGGGGGGCGAGCGGATAACGTGGTGGGGAGGATGGGAGGATGGAACGGAGGAGAGTAGAAAATCAAATAGGTATCAAGGAATCGTAACTCGTAAATAAGGCTGGAGAGGAGGGAATTAGCGAGAAACACAAAGGAGAATAGAATAGGACAGGGGAGGAAATAGTGAGGGCGGACCTAGCGAGAGAAAGGAAAAAGGTCGTATGACAGATGGGCAGACTTTCGAGCAGAGCGAAGCGATAAGAATAAGAACGAAGGGCCCCTTCAAGAGGGGGGAGACAGCGAAGAGGGCGAAATCAGCAGCCAGCGTGGTCCATGGCGGAGGTGATCAGGCAGTCGGGCAGAAGAACAGAACAGAAGAATTGGAGATGAATGACGACGATGACGGAGATGGACGGAAGGGGATTTAAGAAGTATGGGATGGGGGAAGAAGGAGAAGGAAGAGAGAGAAAAAGGAAGAGAGGGAGGGAGACAAGAAGAGAAAATGGAGAATGTCAGGCGATAAGAAAAAAAAAAAAAATTAAAAAAAGAAAAAAGAGACAAAAGAAAAGAAAAAGAATTTCTCCGCTCAGCTGAACAGCAGCAATCAATTGGTGAAACCGCCGACGATCGAGAATCAACGCAGATCCATTCTAAGAATATCAGGCCTGCACTTTGGCTCAAAAGGATGGATTAATTACAGAGTAACTCAAATCATTCATTCTGCACTCGTCACTCTGGTGAAACCGACTATCGACTGTGCGACGTCATCTATTTGAAGGGATGTCAAGGGTTCACTCAATTATCGATCCCTGGCCGATATCCCTCGTCTTCCTCCTCTCGCTTGGGAATCAGGATCCAGGATTTGGGAACCTGGATGGTCAACAATTAACTTAATCCTCCGTAGCATAAAGATCAGCCAAGGAAGGCCAGACCGACTGCTAAAATGTGGGCGGACCCGCAGCGTTATTCGGCTCTCCACCCGCTTCGATCTCTGGAGTATTGGCTTTGAAGACTAGACGGGGCTCGTGAAAGAGCAAAGAATGGAATAAGGGCAATCAGCGGCGTCGTCGGAATCGAAAGCGCATCTCATCCTCGCTATCAGAATCTCGCTCCTGGCGACTTCGTTTCTGACTGACCGCTGGCGTCTCCCGAGCCACCGACGTAGCGCGAGATGTCTCCTCTGCCGCATCGTCCTGTTCCTCCTGTCCCTGTCCCTGTCCCTGGCTGATCGCGGGCGGACTGCGCTCGGTCGGTCGGTCGCTAACCCAGTAGTGCTCGCCAATGCCGAAATCCTTCCGACTCACCTCTTCCAACGGCACAATCACCGTCTGGATGCGATGACGCGCCTGCCCGCCGTCGCCTTTGCGCCGGAACTTCTTGAAGTTCTTGCGCCCGTTCCATCGCTCGTCCCAGCGCTGGTCGCGGTCGACGTCCCGGCGCGACGGCACCTCCATTTCCTCTACGATGGCCAACCCCTTCAGCTGCTCCACGTTGACGTCCTTGAGGGAATCCTGTAGCGACGCCGCCTCCTCTTGCCGTCGCAAACGCTGCGCATCCTCTTCCGCCTCGCGGTGCTGACGGGCGGCCTCGCGGATGTCTAATTTCCGTCGCTTGGGCCGCGGCGACTCCTCCGCTTTCAGCTGCGAGGCCGGCTCGGAGGTTTTCTTCATCGTCTCAGCACGACGGCGCTTCATCGCTGCGGCGCCGGGGAGTAAACTCGACAGATCTTCATCCTCCTGCTGGGTGTTGTCGAGTTGAGTCTGTGACTCGATGGACGGTTCGATCTCCATGGACGGGGCGGGATCGTCGTCATCATCCGGGGCATAAGCGGGGATGGCGTTGATGTCAAAGCCGTCGTCGAACGTTTTCATCTTGCTCTTAAAGCTGCGCACGCGGGGACCTGCGCTCTTGGTCGACGCCTGCGTGGGGGGTTCGTCGGGCTGAGATTGCGGCACCATCTGGACGTCGGCACTTGACGGCGGTGCAGACGACGGCACTGCAGGCAGCGGAGGTTCTGATGACGGCGGTTCTGGCGACAGGACCGACTCGACCTGGCTAGCTGGCTCTGGCTCCAGCGTCATACACAGCGACGTCGCGTCGTTGGCCAGGATGGCATCCAGAAATTCGCTCTGTTCAATGACGCGCTGCTCCGTCAAAACAGCCACTCGGTCGCTCAGCTCCTGCGACCATTCCTCGTAGCGACCTTTTCCGCGGTAGCGAACGAGAACCACTCCTCCCCGACCCCTCCTCTGTCTGCCCAAGCCGTTGCGACCGGCCGTAGTGCGCATAAAGTGAACGATGTCCTCGGCAGTGGTGATGCCGTTCTCGATCCGATACAGTAGAGCCTTCCCGTGTCCATTCGTCACGGCATCCTGTAAATTCTCAAACTGCGTAGAGTCGCCAAACAAAAACGTATATCCCTCGAAGACGTTGATCCGGTCGGGATTCGGCGCAAACGCCTCCTTCGGTCTCTGGACAGCCTCTTTGCCCGGTGGCGGAAGATGCTCGGTCGGGTCCGGCCAGGCCGAGTCAAAATCAGCCTCCAACGGCGACAACGACTCCAGATTATCCAGATCACTCGGCGTCGCAGCATAAACCAGCGCGTCGATATACGAGTCCTGCACGATGTGCCTGCCGTTGACTAGCGCCTGCAATCCCTTGGCCGTATTGCGCTTGTTCTGCACCACATGGGTCGTCTGGCCTACGACGTAGGGTATCACGGTTTTGACATCCAGATCTTCCAGTCGGCTTCGGACGCGGGCCAGCGGGTCGTGGGCTTTGAGGTCTTTCGAGGAGAAGGAAAAGCTGAGGACGACGGGTTCCCATTTGATTCTGCATCAACCTGTCAGTATCTCGCCTGGGACGAATGGCCATCGCAGCACGCACCGCAAGTCATGCTTGTACTTTCCCAGTCGGAGAATATGCTCATCCTGCGTCAGCTGAATCTGGCGGCCCTTGATATCCTCCCCGTCGACTGTGGTGCCGCATTTCGAGTTCTCGTCGCTAACGGTGATATCCGATTTCGTGTAGATGTGAGACTAAACCATCAGTTAGACGGGTTGCGGAGGAATTGAAGCGGACCCTTACGCCGTCGCCGGGTTTCACAGGAGCAACTTCGATGATCATATGTTTGCGGGAGATGGAAGTATTGGCGATGGCATGTCGAACTGCGATGAATCAGCGAGTGAGAAGAGCAAAGTCAAAGAGTGAAATAAAGAATGTAGATACCTCCATCTTGCAAGACCCGACCGAAGAGATACTTCTTCCCAGGCCGCAGCCACACGCGCCGTCCTGGATCAATCAGCATCGAAAATGCATCACAATCTGACTTCCGGCACACTCACCTCCCAGAAAATCGCCCGCCGAGTCGAGAATCCACATGAGGGGCGAATGCGCAAGACAAACTGCGTGTTTGTCGCAGCGACTCCGAAGACGCTCCGCGGCACGTGAAACACGGGTCCGCCGACGCGAGCTCACGTGACGCCACGGATCAATATCTGCCTGGTTGGGAAGGCTGCCATTCTCTCTCGTTCCCCAAACCATGGACGATGGACGCGGCAGAGCCCATCGGGGACGAAATCCCGTCAGAAACGAAAGGAAAGGAGAGGGAGGAAGGAGATGACTACAAAACCTTGAAATATTCCCTACTGGGCCCCTCTCTGACGAAGGCGGGACAGGATGCCGTCGACCAGCAGAAGGTGTCGGAAATCATCTACAATGCGTCCAAAGGGTCCAAATTCTTTAATCACGAACAGAACCGCGATCGGGTCCTCACGGAGAAGATCGCTCGCATCTTGAAAGAGAAAACGCGGTTGGAAAGCCACGATCTCTCGCACGATCTCCGACGAGCCGATCAGCTGCTGACAGAGCTGGAACTCACCCGCGATCTGACGCAGTATGTTGTGCACGTCGACTGCGACGCCTTTTTCGCGGCCGTGGAGGAGCTGGATAGGCCTGAGCTGAAAACCGTACCGATGGCCGTCGGCAAAGGCGTCCTGACGACGTGTAACTACGAAGCCCGCAAGTTTGGCGTGCGCAGCGGCATGGCGTCGTTCGTGGCCTTGAAGCTCTGTCCGCAGTTGACCCTACTGCCGCAGAATTACGAAAAGTACGGCGCCAAAGCCAGGGAGATCCGGGCCATCTTTGCCGAGTACGATCCGCTCTTTGAGAGTGCCAGTATCGATGAGGCGTACTTGAATATCACAGCGTACTGCGACGAGAACCAGCAGGACCCGGAAGAGGTGGTGCAGCGCATGAGGGCTGAAGTGTTGGAGAAGACCAAGGTCTCCGTGTCCGCAGGCATTGCGGCGAATGCCAAAATCGCCAAGATCTGTTCCAATCGCAACAAACCCAACGGGCAATTTCGTGTTCCCAACGACCGAGAAACCATTCTTAATTTCATGAAGGAGCTGCCGGTGCGCAAAGTCAACGGCGTCGGGCGCGTGTTTGAGCGGGAACTTGACGCGATCGGCATCAAGACCTGCGGCGACATCTACCCCCAACGCGCGCTATTAACCAAGCTGTTTGGCGAAAAGGCCTTCTACTTCTTGGCGCAGTGCTATCTCGGCCTGGGAAGAACGAAGATCCAGCCGGTAGAGAGTGAAGAACGCAAGAGTGTTGGTACCGAGCGCACCTTTAGCGAGATCGGAAGCAAGGAGGAATTCCGGCAGAAACTGTGGTCCATCTCGCAGGAGCTGGAGAAGGATCTGGCCTCGACGCAGTTCAAGGGACGCACCCTGGTCCTCAAGGTGAAGCTGGCTACGTTCGAGGTGCTCTCGCGGCAGTGCCAGCCTCCGCGGGCGGTGTCGGTGGCCAAAGATCTGTATTCATTTTCGCTTCCCATGCTGGAAAAGCTGGAGAAGGAGGTTCCAAACTTAAAGCTGCGACTGCTCGGACTGCGATGCACCAACCTTGTCAGCACCAAGAAGGCCATCGACTTTTTTGGTTGGGCCACCCAGCCCAAACCTGCCGAGCTCAAGCCTGCCGAGCCCAGGCCCGACTCTGCTGATGCCAGCGAGCAAGAAATCAACGCGGAAGAGGCCTTCGAGCGCGCGGCACATCAGGAAAGGCAGGAGGAAATGAACGAGCTGGAGCAACTCAGTCAGGAAATCTCCGACCCGGCAGCCAACGAGGGTGAGGCCGAGGCCGACGGTGCCCTGTCTGTCGAGCCGTCAGAACCGGTTTACTGGGAGTGTCCGATTTGCTCGCGACCTCACGCGGCCGATGATCGTGCGTTCAATGACCACGTCGACTATTGTCTGTCGAGGCAGACGATAAAGGAGGCGGTTCAGGGAGCGTCCCGAGAGGTGGAAGGGAGTCCGAAGCCTACTCAGATGGCGACGCCGCAGACACAGACACGCAAGAGGAAGCCGACGTCAACCGACGATCCGCGGCAGAAGCGGCTTTTTTTTGTTTGAAATTGATGTGGTTGAGGTTTGTGATTCGGGTTAGGGTGTGGCCATTGTTGAAGTCATTGGAGTGCACGTACACAATGTCATGGAAATGTACATACTTGAGTGGCAGTGAATATCATCTTGCATAGAAGTACATAATTGAAACGAATATAGATCTAATATAAATAAATACCTTGAATAGTCCAGCAATCAAGATAAGATCGTCACATGGATGTCCTCAGGCACTAAGCCCGTTCAGGCACATCAGCCCATGCAGCGTCGAATCTGTGAATCCCGGAAACTTCCTACTTCTTCCCATCTTCCTTTTGAACGTTGCACATTAAATCCTCAATTCTTCGGTCCTCAACCCTCTTTCTTCATCCCTTTAACAGGTCCTAATATACTTGCGGTGTACCAGGGGCCACTAAACGCAACGGGCGGGGAGACTTCCACTCGACTAACACCGAACGGTACTAGAGTCGCTCTGGCGGTGTTGTTGGCACCTTCGACTAAACTATTCTTCTTCATCCTCATCCACCCTCTGTACCCGATCGTCTATTTTTATTTTATTCTCTTCTTACTCGTTTTTTTCTCCCTGTTCTCCTTCCTCATTCTCCCGGCTGGGCCATCATGCTTACAGATCCCCGGGGACTGTCGCAATGCCATGAGAAGTCGCTCTCCTTTCCGCCCCTCGACTGCCGCAAGTATGACCTCCGATAAACAAAACAACAAACCCTTCACTCCCACCCTCAGTGCCGCCTTTCACCGTTCCAGCAAATCCCCCTTGACCCCGAAGCTGGCCACTCCAGGGGGGTACCGTACTCCGAAACGATTGGCTCCCTCCGACGTCTCCTCGTCCTCCTCCAGACCCGATTCCGATTCCCTCCTGAGTGCCAACGTTACCCCACGGTCGGGCTCTCGCATCACCCGACGAGATGGTACCCCGTCCACCACCGGACGCAACTCGCCCCAGACCCCCTATGTGCAGGCCAGCGTCGTACACCACGGCTCCAATGTCGGATCATACCGGACGGATCGCAGTCCTGTCCGCGCAGGGCCAGGGAGATTGGAGCCGGCCAGGGCCACGAGAGCCAAGGCCTTTACGAATGAACCTCACCAGCTGTCTCGCTCGAATTCCGCCTCGGAGGGTGCGTCGGCCTCGCCCATGTTCTTCCACGCCTCTGACGCGCGGTCCTCTCCTTCCGAACTAGAACCTCATGCCCCTCCTGCTTCTGCTCCTCGGCCGCGACCGGGAAAAGCACCCGCGCAACAGACAACCTTCATCTACGCCAACGGAGCCGAGGAGCCCAAATCCGACGGGCCGGTCGAGTCTACGGCCTACAAGCGACGGTCAACCGGGCTGTCTCGATCGGTGGTGGGTGCCAAACCGCCTCCCTCCGCCTCGCCACGCATCATGTCGCCGAAACTGGGCCATGCCACGCCGCGGCTGTCCGACGGACTGCTGCCCTCGCAAGTTGGGTCGCAGGTAGGGTCGCAGGACGGCTCGTCGGAGGTGGGCTCTCGCGTTCACAGCCCTCCCTCAGGGAGTTACTCGCCGCGACTTCCGGCATCGACACCACGACACTTTAAATCCTCGAGTATGGACTCCGGTCCGGGGGCCGGAGCTGCCACCTCGCCGCGAGAGGCTCTCCGACCGAGTCCGATCATCGTCTCGCCAGGGGACGCCAAACTCGACGCCGGCGGTCTCGCCTCGGAACCGATCCCCCTTCGCCCGCGGATTTTCAGTAATGGGTCGACCGCGTCGGCAGATACGTACGCCTCGGCGCAGCAGAGCCCGGTGAAGGAGAACCCCGCGCCGAAAGACGATGCGGCGGCGACGGCGCGCACGGAGCGCAAGATCATGGACCTAGAGATCAGCAACTCCTCACTACTAGCGATCAACCGCACGCTCGAGCGCGAGATGCGGAAACAAAACGCCGAACTGCGTCGATTCCGCCGGCTCAGCCGGTCCGGTCGGCTGTCCGTGGCGCCATCGACGCGCTCGGTGTCGGGCACCTCGCTTGGCATCATGAGCGAGCTGGACGAGGGCAGCGAACGCTCGTCCATGCGCTCGCCTGACGAGCTGTCGGACTTTAGCGACTCGGAATCCACGGCCGACGACGGGGTCATGAGCCCGGATTCGCTGGCCGATCACGACGCGCGACACCAAGCACGCGATGAGAAACGGTTCTTCGTCGACCTCGCCAAGCACCAGGAATTGCTGGCGGATAGCCAACGCATGAACCAGAGCCTGAAGCGCTGTCTGGGGTGGACAGAGGAATTGATCTCCGAGGCGAAGAAGGCCCTGGAATACAACGTGCATGTCAACGACGTAAAACTAGGCGGACGAGTCCTGTCACCAGAAGAGCTGAACGAGATTGGCGAAATGGCGCGGGACATGGCGCTGCCGGAGGATTCTGACTCTCATTCCGATTCCAATTTCGAGCACGAATCTGATCTCGATCTGCCTGCATCAGAGTCCGCGACCGTGACAGCAGAAACATAACTAAATACCCAACATCTACTTCTTTCTTTCTTTTGTTTCTTTTTACTTTTTCTTTTTCTTTTTCTTTTCTTTTACTTCAAGGCCTGTTCTTCCGAGCCAGCGAATACCCTTTCATTCTTTTGATTGACTCAGTTTTTCTCTATCTTTTATCCTTCCGTTTCACTCACAGCAGAGCAGAGACAGAGATTAGACAGCCGGCCTTGTCTTCTTCCTTCTTCCATCTATCAAATCGATCTATGGACCTTAATACGCATACACATGGTATCATTTCCTTGCTCTTTTTCCTTCTCATTCTCATGTTCTCATTCCATTTCCATTTCCCAGTTTCCTTACTATGCTCTGCTTCGACTTTGTTCTGTGCTCTTCTGTTCTACTGTTTTATTTCGAACGTTCGGACTCTGTAAACGATAGAAAGCGGCGATTAGGTTGGGTTAGGTCAGGTTAGGTTCTGCTAGATTAGGGCGATATGATTAGAACTAGTACAGGGAGATCTGGTACTTTAGATAGATACCCGATGTTTTAATGATTTGATGTGAGATTTTGATTGATTTGACTTCTCGTCAGGAACTGGCGTCTTTATTTCATCCTCTACTTCTCACCCTCTCTTGTTTGTTGGTTTTTTCTTTCTTTATTACCTTCCCTTCTCGCTCTGCTTGGGTTCCTTGGAGACCTGACTTTATAAAGACCCGGTTGGCTAGGTTACTACTGACCACCATGGCTCCAGGGGCACCAAATATATATAGTTCAGACGGTTAGCGTGTTAACACCCCTAAACATTGTTAACAGTCTACACCGAGGACACCGCAGTGATCAAAAACCGACAAAGATGATTAAACAGAGAGATCCCTCCATCAATATCAGTGATTGGATTGATTGCATGGTTTTGGTGTTGTTGCCTACACGAGATAGATGCCTGGGGCAAACATCGGAATGCTTGGCATCGTGCCTTAGGCATCATATCTACCGTCACGGGTAAACTTTCAACCACCTCGATGGCCGCGCCTTCTAGATTCTACACTTCCCTCACCTGGTTGAGTTCACTTCTCCTGCCCGAGCAAGAGCCGAATGTACTCCAGTCAATCCCAGAATCAACGATGCTATCAAAGCTGTCAAAAGCCGCGAGGTCTGGCGCACCAGAGAACGCACTACATCTTGTCCACCTTCCCGGATCGTGTTGAGCTTTGTGACTTCCGCCTTGGGGGCGAAAGACAAAGAATGGCCAACTTCAGGCAGTAAATTGGCTTTCATCTCAGTCCGATCATCACGTTCATTCGAGGACCCGGACTCGACTAACGTGGAGCTGGAGCTGGAGCTGTCTTCTCTTTCTGTGGAGATGGCCGCCCTGCTTCTGGACACTGCCAATGCACCAGATGGCTCTTGTCCGGTCAGTTGCCGCGCGAGCGCGAGTAAAGCCTCATTGGGAAGATATCGAGAGTCGGTTTCTAGTTCACTATCGCTCTCCTGGATCTCATCGGGCAAGATCGCCGGCTTGGGGTCGGATACCTCTGTGATGGCTTAACGGAGGCCTTTTACGAACTGGTTGGCCGGGGAACTTACCAACCACCGGATGCAGGTTTTCCTCGATCAGAGCCTGGTTTAGATTCCTAGCCAATGTGGGAAATAGCGGATCTGCTGACCTGGTGTCGACTGGCTCGATCTTGGCTCTGGTTATGGCCTTCCGATTCCGCGGCGGACAGATCAGGCGCTGCCGAAATCGCTGGTGCCATCGCTGCATCTTGACCTCGATCTGTAGGTCCAGGTAGAAGGGCTTGGAGTCGTGATGAAAAGCAAGCGCAGTGTGGATAATGGAGTGGTGAACGGCCTGCCGCTCCAGTTCGTTTTCTTCCAAGTGCCAAACAAGCTGCCGATACCGACTGCTTCGAGAGTATGTGTCGTCGGACATGTCTGCTGCGAATCGCGTCCCGGTAAATTTCCATCGCGAGGCATAGTTAACTTCGGAATTTCTTGACAAGCCAATCCCTTCGAAGCTGGCATTGGCGGCTGCAATCTTTGGGCTGGCCTCAATTGTTTGGGATATTTGTCGCTCCCTCTTTTCTCCACTCAAAGTCTGGGGGCCAAAAAACTCGGTGACTTCGAGATCTGAACCGCCAATCCTAACGTGCCTTCTAAAATCGCTTCCAGCGTCGTGAAAGTTCATGATGATGGTTGCTTGTGCGAGCTTGCAGTCGGCGGGTTGGTGAAAGGTGAGATCCAAGTACATCAGGCCGGAATCTCGACCATGGAGCTTCCCCCAGCGCATCTTGGACATGAGAAAGCAACAATCGACCCGAAGCTTCTCGACCTTGAGGTCGCACAGACTAGCACTCGACTGCGTCTGGCACACGTCGACATATTTAAACGGTTTGGTTGAGGGCATTGTCTTGAGGGTTATTCCGACGTAGGGACGTGAAGGGTGGGTGTTCCGAGGCTGAAATAAATAGGAGCGATCGACAGTCTTTCGTCCTGGATCGCTGTGGGGCTTTGCTGCAGCTCTTCGTTGCCCTCTCCTCTCTGATTTGTGCCTGCGACGGGCCTTGGCGAGGCTGTGCGCAGACCCAGCTATCGCAGCTGAAGGACCTTCGTTTTGTCATCTACCAGCAGCTAGCAGCCGTCATGACTTTCAATATCACCATAGGTCCAAGTCCTCATGCATCGGATCATTCTATCTCCGACGAAGAAGATACGTCTGGCATTCAAGACTCTCCACCGCCCGATACTGGGAGACGCGTTTACGAGGACCCGTATGATGAATGGGCAGATATCCCCTATCCGGACAAGCTGAAGCCTAGTGATTCAGTCTCAAGACCTCGAACAAGCTATAGGCTACGAACAAAAAGGACACCGTATGTTGAACGCAGGAGAACATCTATGGAAGAACGAAGAAGAAGCAGACAACGAGACGCAGCACCAATCCCGGAATCGCCCCCATCCGTATCCACCCATCGCGACGAGTGGCTGATCTGTTCCGGCGACAACGACAAAGACATTACCGTCCACGTCGACTTGGACGTAGGGCTGGACATTAACCATTACCTAGACCGTCTAGCTCGACTGTGCCGACTGGGGCATTTCACTCAGGGAGTCCGGCTTTTTGAGGAGCGTCTTGTCCCCCATGTTGATTTCTTCCCCGTGGTAGCCGAATATGCAGACCTTCTCCTGGAGCAAGAGAGCTTCGGGCGCCTCCATGAATTCATCTCCGGTCGCCTACTTGATCCTTACGTTAACCTCTCAGATGAAGAGGTTCTTTTACTTAAGACCCTCAGATCTCTTGCTGGCATCCATACAAGAGGAGCATTGATACCGGCGTTGGAGATGACAGCAGAGGCGTTGGATTATCTCACGGGCAAGTCCCCCAAGAGTTTATCAAAGTCTACAACCGTATCTGGGCTCAAGGTATGGTGTCGAAGCCTGGCCATTGAGCATGGCTAACCCTGTTTAGATCCAGTTAATGGAGGCCTGTGTACGCATCATCGCATATGCAGCTGCACACTCAAACTTCCTGGAGACGGAACCTTTCCAGTCTCTCTTGCATTGGTCAGTCATCGGCGATAGGGTAAAAGGGAAGGATGACGATAAGAACATCAAATATCTGCGCTATAATGAACCTAAGTCAACCTTTGACCCCTCTCAGTCGGAGTCTCGTCTCCAACAAGGATCTGCTGGTGATAACGCTCAATCCAGAGGCAAGGTTACTCGGCAGAACTATCCTCGAATGGGTGGCTGGTATCATCACCTGGTCAGTCAAGGCTTTCTATGGGAGTCACACCGGATCTTACGAGCTGTGTTGCCTTTGCTTGGGGGTAGTGACGGGAATTACATAGTCAATGGTGGTTTCGAAGAATTCGTCCAGCTCGACGACATATCCAAAGCCGGAAAGCTATTTCATCTGCCTGAAGAGGGCTCGACGGATGAGCAGCTTCTCCTGACAGAGTTTGCAAATGCATCTCTGCTTGCGAGCTTTTTGGCCCCTGATTCTTCCCTCGAGACCGTCCGTACGGCCCATAAGCAATTCTATAAGAAGTCACACACTCTAGCGTCGACCATACTCTCAGCACATCCTTACTTGGTCAATAGTCGACCATATTTAAATTGGGTGTCGTTTGAATGTACTCGGGGGTTACGGGCAGACAGTCAGCTTCAATTGCCGGTCAATCAGCAAAGACCGATTTCGGAGATATGGTCCCAGGGTGTTTTGAGCAGAGTGCAGTTTCTCCAACAGAATAGCCTGTTGAACTTTGGACAAGCAGAACTGAAAAAGGCACACGGTAAGCTTGTATCTTACCAGAGTCTTGAGATTGTTTCTGCAAGCGCCAAAGAACTCGGGGATTATAAGTTGGAGAGGTCTGTGCTTGAGAAAAAATACCAAAGCTCTCACGACTCTAGCGAAAGCCTTCAGGTAATACGAGATCTAGCCCGGTTACATCGCGACACGCGGCAAGACATTTCGGGGTATCTTCAATGCTTAGTTGACGAGTATCTGCTGCTGACGACTGGAAATTCTACTGATCGTGAAACGATGCGCCAAGATCTTCAGCGTCGTCTTTCTGAATTTGACAGCGCCTTCCCTTTCCGCTTCGATTACGATGCAACTGCGCATCGCAACTTGGCAATTGTCTTCTTCGACAACCCTTTGTTAAAGTGGATGGAAAGAAGGGTTTGGTACCCATTGCTCAAAAGCTTGGGTCGAGACGTTGAAGCGGAAGTAGCGCGGGTGCAACTGCCAAGTGCCGAACGTTATCTTCCGAAACATATTCTCTCTCAGATGAATCCTCTGACTCAGTCTCCGGTGGTGGAATTGGATAAAAGACCAGACCCAGCGCCTGGGACATCGGTTCCGGAACGAAATAACCCAAATCGAACATCGCGCGCGATTCTACAGGAAGGCTATCGCAGCGACGGGGCGACGGACGATGGAATAGCCAACCTCGAAAAAGCGCTCCATTCTGCGCGATGCATGAAGAAGGAAAAAGAAGCCAAGGAGCGTGACGAGAAAGAAAAGGAAGATCAAGAGCAGGAGCGACAGATGCTTGAGGAAAAGCTTGCCGAGGCCGAGAGAGAACGGAGAAGTGCAGAAAAGCGAGCAAGCGCGGCAGAGGCAGGAATGCGCGGTATGCTTGGGCGGGAGCAGCGGCTACTGATCTTAAAGGATCCAGTAGGCAGAACATTCGTATTTCCTTTTGATCAATGTAGTAGCATTGCGGTGAGTTGTCCACGCTCCACGCTAAGATTCAGAACTGATGTCTTCCCACAGGCAATGAAGGAGCTCATGCAGCAGACCTTTTTGGATGATCCTTTTCTTTCGCCCTATATTGCCAAGGGTGATTATGAATTCACTGATTTTGATGGTAAACCCATATCACAGGACGATTGGGCGTCGGTCATTCAACCTGGCGGGACAATCACGATGCATTCCAAGACTAAACCGGAGGAGAAGATATATCAGGGCCCAGAAAAGGAAGACTTGGAACCTGAGGGTCCGAGGAATGACCGGCAATCAACGGATGAGGGTGTCTATCAACCGTACATTATTGAAGAGTCAGATGAGGAGTTGGATGACAAGCAAGACGACAAGCAAGATGAAGAAGCCAGGGATGATGATAGCGAAAATCGATCCGACGATGAACCTCTACAGTCTCCACGGTACACTGGGAGGTACTGAAATATTAGAATTTGTCTGTCTACCGTCTTTCATAGAAATGGAAGATAGAATAAAGACAATAGTCGCTCGACTAAGGAAAACGCAGACATTTCTTTAATCTGCTCATGACTACCAACTTACAGCCAACCTATCAGACTATCTAGATAAGTACATATCTCTGCCTGCACATTTCGAGTTTTCCGGTATTTCAAGGCAATCAACTCGTCACGCAGCCCACGGTCCCTAGCCAGAGTACTGGGTACTGTTGAATGTTTAGTTCTTGGCCTCTTGTCTAGTCGTATGTACAGTAGGTGTAAACACGTACAAAGTAGACCTTGACTTCATCAACCATTCTGCTTCATCTGTTCAAGCACTCTACATACAAGGACCTATCAACTTTCACAGAGTAGACGTCGTTCACCTTTGTACCATGTAGTTGAATATTTAATTAACGCCCCTAGTGAAAGTCAAACATCCAGTATAATGAAAATTAGCGCAGTTTATTCTCATAAGATCCAAAAAGTTCAGCCCAGGGGGTTCTATAACTCCCCATACCCTGTCGCGAGGTCTATTACCTACCTACACCTCCGGCCTCCCATCCCCAACCTGCTTGTCCAGATCATACTCCCCAAAACAAGCAAATTGATACTCAGCATCCTCCTTCAACGTCCCCACACCCGAAAGGAACCCATCCACACCACAAAACCCATTCACGGCGTCTTCACACCCGACCAATCCATCCAACGGCACGGGGGCCCCATTCAGCACGAACCGCAGATAATCCTTCGTGTTGGCCGTGTCCGAGAGATCCGGATTCCGATACATCGAGCTGGCGAGATCGTCCGTCTCAAACGACGTGCCCTTACCATCTGCCGGACAAGTCCAGACCTCAGTGACGATATTCGCCCCAAACGGCGTAACCTCATGTAAATGGAAATTCCTCTTCACCTGATGCTCAACATTCGCTGGGAGGCCGCCCGGCCCGTAGTTGAACCATTTCAACCCCAATGCCGCGAGAACGGCCACGATGACCGTATCATGCGACATGTCCATATACAGCGGCTGATTGAGCGGGAAGGTATCCCTCGAGGAATCCCACGTTGCGTTGATGCTCGTATCACTGCCTCCGCTATTCCCGTTTACTCCCTCTTTCGCACCCGGCGTCCTCCCTTGAAGTCTGGCCGCCAATTCTAGGATATATCCAATCCCCTGCGCGCGTCCAGTGGGTGAGCCGGGCCCAAAGACACCGTAGAATTGGATGTCGATGGCGTAGGCGTAGTCGAGCCATTCTTGTTCTGTGAAGAGTGTGCAGAAAGAGGAGTGTTGGGTTGTTGTGGCGTATTCGTAGGGGCAGAGGACCATCATTGAGGCGATGTCGAAGGCGGTTAGGTTGAAGTCGGTAGGGAGGTGGGGGGATAAGCGTTGGACGGCGGATTGAGTGAAGGTGGTGATGAAGTGGGCGCCGTCGGTGTTTCTGCGTTTTGGTTAGTTGGTTTGGGGTGTGTGTAGGTGGGTGAGGGGATGGTAAAGGACTTACCCTCCAGATGGACTGTTCTCGCACGAATGATCAGACCCAAGAGTATTGTTATATCCGTCTCCTTCTGGGATCACGACGAGATCGTATTCCGCGTAGGAGCTGTTAGCACCTTCATTATCGAAGAATCCACCTGTAGTCGTCAATCAGCACCTTCTCCTCATCACATCCACCCATCATCCCAACAAATCTTCACAGAGTAGGATAGGGAAATAGAGAAAGAAACATACTCAACCACCACCTCGCACTCTCCAAAATCCTCGCCTGCCCCGTCGTCCGAAATACAGGCTTGGCCCTAACCGTCCCATTCGGCCAAACATTCAAACTCGTATTCCACCTCTCCACCCCGGGCTCCTCAACCGCCCGATACAAATACCGTCCATACTTGGACCAAATCCTCGCCCCGGACGACGCCTCCGTCGCGGCGCCCGTCGGCAACAACGTATCCTTACCGAGGAGATCAACCCAGTCATTCAGGAAGCGTAGCGGGCCGGATGCGATCTCCGTGGTATTATGCGCTCGGCTATAGTTGGTGAGTTTCTGCGTGAAGGCGTCGATGCCCCCGCCGTCGAGCTTGAAACTGGTTGGGTAGCGTTGTGCGTGGCGGTGGAGGACGTGTGCTTGCGAGAGCTCGCAACCGCGGGGAACGCCTTTGGGGAGGTCGGCGAAACTGGGGACTTCCTTCCAGGGAGCGAGGTTTGCCCACGAGGAGACGATGTCGAAGCCGGAGGGGAAGACGGAGCCGGTGGGTGCTGGAGCTGGGGTGGAGGGACTGGGAATGGGAGTGGGGATGGCGGTGCTACCGATAGCCAACAGAGCCAGTGCAGTCGCAGTCACCGAGGAGAGGACTGGGGACATGGTGGATGGGATGGGAATCGAGAAGGCCTGACTGACAGGCAATTCTCCGGAACTCTCACATGTTTAAATATACGTCCCTTGCGCGCCTAGCGACGGACTCGCCCGATGATAAGCCATCAAGCGGTCAAGGGAGGAGTTCAGATTCGAATCCATGGCTGGCTGGTTGGTGCTTGAAGGGAAAGGAAACTCGCCGATAGGAAAGGATCCGCTGGTTGCTGGCCCTACCGGCCACAAGGTATCATCGTGCGTGGCGGGCTGCAGGAATCCGCCAGTCAAGGCTGATAAGCAGGGCGCTAGGAATTAGCGGCGTTGGTTTGGGGAGGAGATCGCGTGCCGTGTTTCTTGTTAGGAAGTGGTGAACAGGAAGTGGAGATGAATTGAGAAAGAAAGAGATACTGCGATACTGCGGGGTTGGCGGAGATCTCCGATGCGATTGCTGGCATTTGAGAGGAATGCATTGTCGATCGCTACATGACATGAAGCTACAGAGCACATCCAGCAGATATTACAGGAAGACCAGTCTATTAAGTCATCACTGGACATTATTCGTTAAGAAGTATGTCCATGGAATCAATGAATATCAAACAGTCGTATCCAGTCTTAACAACGGAACACAGAGAAACGCAGGGGAATGAGGTTAACGCAGGGGAAGGCAATGGGCAATAACGATGAATTAGTCTATGCGGAAGTCGGCTCCTCCTCGTGCTCGTGCTTTTTCTTCTTCTTCTCGTCTTTGCCCTTCTTCGTCATCGCCTCTGCCATCAGCTGCTCAAAGGCCATGTAGTCGCCCTCTTCCTCGGGATCGCGTTCCGCCTGCAGTAGCATTAGTATGATAGAACTCTTTGAATGGATCGAGGGCAAACTGACCTTCTGGTAGATGTTGCCCGCAATGATCAGCGCATGCGCCCGCTCCACCCGCTTGTCCAGCTTGATGCGCTTGTCACCCAGGACCTGGTCGCACACGTCGCGTAATACGCTCTGGATCTCAAACTTGCTGCCGCGCCACGCCGCCGCCAGGATCTTCCCCGTCACCTTCTTCTCGTACTCGGCCTTCTTCTCGTCCGTCCAGTCCTCGCCGCCGCGCTCCTCCAGTTTGGCCATCTCTTCCATGGTCATCTGCGCGTCGATGGCCGTCGAGATGGTCGTCCACGTCTCCTTGGCCAGCGTGCCCTTGTCCTTCAGCCGGGAGAAGAAGCCGGAGATCCCCAGGAATTTCTGCGACTTCAAGAACGAGCTGGCCTTCTGCACGTACGTCTGTCCGATGGCGTGCAGGATCTCCAGACCGAACGACTCCATCTTCAGGTTCTCCACCTCCAGACGGATCTTCTCCTCGAAGGCCTTTGTGACGTCGGCGCCCTTGTCGGTCTCGGTCCACACGCTGATTTTGTCGACCAACTTGGTGGCCAGCGTGTCGACGCGCTCCTCGCGGGCCTTCTTCCGTTCGAGTTCGTAGGCCGCCAGCCGCTCCTGCTGCTCCCGGGACAGACCCTTCTTCTTCTCCTTCTTGCGAAGTTCCTTCTCCTCGGGCGACAGACCAGCTGCCTCCATGCGCGCTTCCTCCTCGGACTTGTCCATGATGGCCTGCTGGCCGAGCGGGCGACGGGGGGTGCTTCTACCGGAGCTGGAGGCGGCGGGTTTTTCCGTAGTCTCAGGTTCGGGGGCGGCGGCGGGAGCCGGAGCCGGAGCTGCAGCAGTCGCCGCAGCAGGATCAGTCGAAGCAGCGGGCTGCGCGGCGGGCTGGGTACCTTCGGCGGTCTCCCCGGCCTTGGCCTCTTGGTCGTGGATGTTCAGTTTCTCCTCGGCCGACGCGGCCAGCTCCTCCTCTTCCATCTCCTGCATCGTGATGTCCATCGTGGCAGTGAGGTCCTTCATGAGGGAGATTTCACCGATCAGGTCGACGAAAGCGTTTCCGCCGAAGATCATGCCGAAGAACTCGGAGGGGTCCTCTGATATAAGTTAGCATGCAACCATAACACCACCTACCGATAGAAGCCAGACATACCGAAACCACTAGCGGGAACCGCATCCTCCTTTCCAAATTTATCATAGCGCTTTCGTAGATCTTCGTTGCTGAGGACTTGATAGGCTTCTCCGATCTATGGCCGTTAATTTCCGATCCAGAGGTGTGACAAGGCCAGGAAGCTTACCGCCTGGAATCGGGCATGCGCGGTCTCGTCCCCGGGATTCTTATCTGTCGAGGGTCAGATGAGCAGCGTCAACGAGCAGGACAGCGCAGGACAGCGCACCAGGATGAGTGACGATGGCCAGTTTGCGGTAAGCCTTCTTGATCTCCAGTTCGGAGGCCGTGGGAGGCACTCCTAAGGCATCGTAGTAGGTGGTATCAGCGACCATGACGGGCCGACTCGCCGGGGGGAGATGTGTGGGACTGCGAAGGATGGAGATACAGGAAAATATTGGTAAGAATGGGGGGTTATAGAGGGAATGGAGGTGAATGGAAGTCCCACCTGATAGTTTATTTTTTTTCTGCCTGGCGACTTTCGTCATTCGGCGGGGGGCATTTCGGGTCTCTGTCGCGCGCCGTAGCTGCGTGGGTGGTCGGGTACGGTCACGTACGGTCAGACTGGGGATAATTACGCAGATTTCTATGGCAGAAAGCACGTGTGGAGGCCGTGCATCGGTAAATACGGTACCCGGGGACTAGCGCGGCCTGGCGGCCCCTAACGAGCCACCTCATTTTAAAATCCTTCTTGGGCTTCTTTTCTTCTCTCTTCTCTTCCACTCCTCTTCTCGTTCCCAATTCCTCCTCCCCTTCCTCTTTTCTCTTTTCCTCTTTTCCGGATCTCGCCCTAATTCACTTCACTCTGATCCTGGAACCTTCCTCTTCCTCTTTTCCCTCCCCCCCTTTACGCACTGATCTCCTACCTTCTGTATATTATTTACCCTGATCTACGTTCTCCCACAATAATTCTCTCCTTCACATCTCTCTCTCTCTCTACTACTACTATCTAATACTGGCATTGCGTTCTTGTCTCTGCATTTCCGTCTCCATTTCTGTCTCCAATTCTCCTCAATCCCCTCCATCATGTCCCTCATCTCGAATATCTTCTACTACTCTCTCCATCCCTCCGAGTTGAGGTCGATCCTGCAATGGTTGGTACTCCCGCGCCTATCTTAGTTGACGATTGTGCCAACGCTTATGGAGGTCTAATGGTCCTTGGTGATAGGAAAGTCTGGCACAACCCCGTTCATGAGCGCGACACGACGAACGAGACCGAGACTCAGAAGGAGTGCTTCAAGTTCCTGGACTTGACCAGCCGCAGTTTCAGCGCGGTCATCAAGGAACTCCACCCCGAACTGCTGCTGCCCGTCTGCGTCTTCTACCTCACCCTGCGTGGATTGGACACCATCGAGGATGACACTTCAATTCCCCTAGAGACCAAGGAGCCGTTGCTGCGCGGGTTCAAGGATTTCCTGGAGCAGGACGGCTGGACCTTCACCGGAAACCGCCCCGAGGAGAAGGACCGGGAACTGCTGGTTCAGTTCCACAATGTCATCACCGAATACAAGAACATGAAGCCCGCCTACCAGGCCATTGTCAAGGACATCACCGACAAGATGGGCAACGGCATGGCCGACTACTGTCGCAAGGCCGAGCTGGAAGATGCCAGCGTCAAGACCACCGTCGAGTACGACCTGTACTGCTACTACGTGGCCGGACTGGTGGGTGAGGGTCTGACGCGCTTGTTCGTCGAGGCGGGATTCGGTAACCCGGCTCTGTTGGAGCGTCCCCGTCTGCACAAGTCGATGGGTCTGTTCCTGCAGAAGACCAACATCATCCGTGACGTGCGCGAAGACAACGACGATCGCCGTCGCTTCTGGCCCAAGGAGGTGTGGTCCAAGTACGTCAGCGACTTCGACGACCTGTTCAAGCCCGAGAACCGCGAGGTGGCCTTGAACTGCAGCTCGGACATGGTGCTGAACGCCCTGGAGCATGTCGAGGACTGTCTGTTCTACCTGGCTGGATTGCGCGAGCAAAGTGTCTTCAACTTTGCTGCCATTCCCCAGGCCATGGCCATTGCCACGTTGGAGCTGTGCTTCCGCAACCCGGCCGTCTTCGAGCGTAACATCAAGATCACCAAGGGTGATGCCTGCAGTCTGATGACCGAGTCGACACAGAACCTGCGGGTCTTGTGCGAGGTCTTCCGTCGGTATGCGCGTCGCATCCACAAGAAGAACACCCCTAAGGATCCCAACTTCCTCAAGATCAGCCTTGTTTGCGGACGAGTATGTCCCTGACCCACCAACTAGATTATGCTGTCGATGGAGTATGCTGACTTGTTAGATTGAAAAATTCATCGAGAACATCTTCCCGTCGCAGAATGCTGAAGACGCCCAGCGCAAGGTCGTTGGCGCGCTCACCGAGGAGGAGAAACAGAAGGCGCAGGAAGAGGCTGAAACACGCCAGGATGTCTTCTTCATGATGGCGCTGATGGGCGTGATCATTTTCATTGTTTCTGTTCTGATGGTAGGTCCACCTGGTTTTCGAATCTCTCTCTCTCTCTTTCTGACTCTCTCAGATTGGTGTGGCCTGGTACCTCGGTGCTCGGTTCGATCTTGCCTGGCAGGAGCTGAAACAGGGCAACTTCAAGCCGCCCAGGGAGAACCGTCGGGAGCTCTGAGCGATTTAACGTGACACGACATGTCTACTAATTATGTATTCATACCCGGGCCTGCTGTATGATACCCGAGTTTAATTCTAATGACTTTTCCATCCTCTTCCTTCCCTTGACCTAGGTATTGACAACATCTCTCTGGCAACGTAGCTAGCACGGATGTCAAATTGCAATCCAGCCTGTCTATGACTGTGGTTGTGCCGAAGAAGTGCTGATATTGAGGATTACCAGTGACGTACTAGATTTATGTCCTGCAGTTCGCTGAGATGGCATACGTCCATTGAGGATCTGGTACATCATACTACTAACTAGTCAATTGATTTGATCTTATCTTTTCTCCCGTCCCTCCGTCCCTTGAAATCACTCTAGTCTTCGTAGACTAGCACGGATGTCAAATTGCGATCCAATCTTTCCATGATTGTGGTTGTGCCGAAGAAGTGCTTATATTGATTTTCTTACCAGTGACGTACTAGATTTATGTCTTGCAACTTGTTGAGATGGCATACGTCCATTGAGGATCTGGAACATACTACTACTAACTAGTCAATTGATTCTATTTTTCTCATGCTGATTTCTCCGGTCCTACCATGCCTCCGGGCTCGTAGACTAGCACGGATGTCAAATTGCGATTCAGTCTTTTCATGACTGCAGTTGTGCCGAAGAAGTGCTTATATTGAGTATTATTTTACCAGTGACGTACTAGATTTATGTCTTGCAACTTCGATGTTGGGATGGCATACGTCCATTGAGGATCTGGTACATTCATTGTAGAGTTTTGATGTATGCTTTAGTTCGTCTGGAGTAGGATATTCAATGTTCAATTAATTTACTTTCTATCTGCAATCTTCTTACCATCATTGAAAACGTGTACCTCTGTTCCTGCAAGACCAATCCTACGATGTGCATCATATGTTCTGTGTTTGACTCTATTACTATCCTAAGATGATCTAAATATATATTTAGCTTAGATAGTTAATTATTAGATTGATTTCTATTATATTTACTATTCATATACTACTACCATTTCGCTATCTTGTACTAGATCCTCCTATCTTCTATTCTAGATAAGATATCTCTTTTAAGATAGATCTAGTTAGACATCCCCTCACGATAGCCTCAGGCCGGGATGACCCCGTTTCGGACACTAAAACTAACCCCGACGCTGGACTCTTGACTCAAGAATACGAGTCCTCTTACCCCCCTCCTTCATATTTGATCTTCTCCACGAGACCAACTCAATCCAACCCAAACCAACACCGAATAGATGATGTTCACCCCCCGCCTTCTCATCCTCCTAATCACCATCCCCGTCCTCATCCTCCTCGAAATCCAGCACCTGCATCTTCTCACCGACCCCTCCTCAATCTCATCATGGATTCCAGACGTCCTGCGCCCGAGTTCATGGCAGCGTCCTCGTGTCCGAATCGCTCAAGGCACGTTGCTGGGGTCCACCATCGCCGAGAACCTGAACGTCCCCGTGGAGGCATTTCGGGGGATTCCGTACGCGGTGCCACCGGTTGGTGAGAGACGGTTTCGTCGCGCGGAGGCAGTTCCTGTTCCTGAGAGAGTCAACGGCGATGGTGATGCCGAGGAAGTCGTGATTGATGCGGGGAGGTTGGGGAAGAGGTGCGTTTACCTTCCTAACTCATCTGTTGAACCGTGTTCCCCGCTTTGGGGGCGGGTTATGGGTGGTTCTACTGGAGTCCGATTCTCTCCAGATAGGGAAACTAGCTGATGGATGGAAATTGGCAGATGTCCCGGAAAGCAATTGATTCCGTTGAAAGGCGACACGGGCAGCGACGAGGATTGTCTGACGGTGAACGTCTTTCGGCCGAAGGGTGTCACGGACAAGGAGAAGGTCCCTGTGGCGGTGTATATTCACGGGGGGGCGTATAATCGGGGGTCTGGTAAGAAACCCTCTCCATTGAAATGCGACCAAGAAGATGAGGAGTAGATTGATGAGTTCGGATAGCCCTGATGCACAACACGGCGTCGATGGTCGGATGGTCTGCGCAGCCCTTTGTCGGCGTTTCTTTTAATTACCGGTATCTTATCTCTTATCTTTATCCTATCGCTTATCTCCTGTTTTATCTTCTCGCTGCTTCCGACTGACAACATCAGGATCGGCGCCCTGGGCTTTCTGCCATCCTCGACCACTGCCAAAGAAGGCGTGCTGAATCTCGGTCTGCATGACCAGCTACTGCTGCTACAATGGGTCCAGGATAACATTGCCTCGTTTGGGGGCGATCCGTCGCAGGTGACATTGTTTGGTGTCTCGGCCGGCGCGCATTCGGTATGTCTACAGACCATACTCCAGCTGCACAGCAACTATACCAAATAACCCAGACTAACAGCTGGATAGATCGCCCACCACATCATGAACACCGACCTCCACCACTCCCTCTACCACCGCGCCATCATCGAATCCGGCGCCGCCACCTCGCGCGCCGTGCACTCAATCGACTCGGCTCTCCACGAGGCCCAATTCCGACAATTCGTGGAAGCCTCGCACTGCGACAACCTCCCGGACAACGAGATCTTCCCCTGTCTCCGTACCCAACCCATCGACCTCATCTCCAACGCCTCCTCCACCGTCTTCGACCGCTACAACCCCTCCGTCCGCTGGGCCTTTCAACCCGTCATCGACCACGAACTCATCAAGCGCCTGCCCATCGACGCATGGCACTCGGGTGACTGGAACAAAATGCCCATCCTGACGGGCTTCAACACGAACGAAGGAACCTACTACGTGCCGGTGAACATGAGCACGGCGCCGCAATTCAGAGATTTCTTCCATACCTTGCTCCCCGCATATACAGAGCAAGATCTGGATACCATCGACGCGCTGTATCCGGATCCTGCAACCTCCCCGGCTTCCTCGTCACCGTATAAAGAGACGAGACCGATTGCTGTAGGAGCGCAATATAAACGCGTCGAAGCAGCATACGGTCACTACGCTTATGCCTGTCCTGTGCGACAAACCGCACATTTTGCTTCTTTGGACCCGGGGAGTAACGAGAATCCTGTGTTTTTGTATCGCTGGGCACTTAACAAGACCGTCCAGGGAGGTGCGAATCACGCGGACCAGTTACCCTACGAGGCGTATGACGCGGATGTTCGGGGTCTGTCCGAAGCGCAGGAGGAGGTGGCGGGACAGTTGCATGCGTATTTCACGTCGTTTATTGTGACTGGGGATCCGAATGCTATTTCTGGACGGTTTCCGGATAGGCCAAGGTGGGAGAGATATGTGGGTGAGCAGGGGAAAGGGAGGGTGATGGTGTTTGGGGAAGGGAATGATGAGAGAGCTGGAGGGACTGGGAGAGGCGTTGCGGCGAAGGTTGTGGATGATGAGTGGAGTCGGAGGGAGTGTGAGTTTTGGTGGACGAAGGCGGGGGTATCAGATTGATTGAATGAGGTATAGAGGTGGGTAGATTGGTGTGATAGGGAGGTGGGTAGGTAGGTAGGTATATGATACGAGATGAATGACTCCAATAACTCCATTTACACCTAAACTACCAACTCAACTCCTTTCTACGCCCCACCTCTTCAACATCCCAAATAATCCATAAACACTTAATCTCTTCTCCCTCCCTTTCACCACCTCATTCACCCCCTTCTCAGACCTATCTACCTTCTCACCTTCAAGATCTACCATCCCTCCATAACCAGGAAAATGACCATTAGAACAAGACCCACCAGAACCCGAACCAAAATCAACCAGAAACCCACCCAACCCCAACCCACCTTCCTCCAGATCTATATCAGAATCCAATCTCTCCAAACAAACCCTCTCATACTCCTCCACCCCGGCTAAAAAGGTAACAACCTCCCTCTTCTTCCCCGGCACATTCCCCCCATTCCACCATGAATCCGTCCTATCGAATAACGTCCCCTTCGCTTGGGATTGGATGAGTTCGCGCCAGGCTGATTGGGCGGGGAGGGTTGGTTCGAGGATTGGGTTTCGGTTTCGTTCACTGCTTTGGGTTTTGCATGAGAGGGGGGAGGATTGGGGATGGGCTTGCGTGGAGTAGGTGGGTGAGGGTTTTGGCTGAGGGTGGGGTTGAGGTTGAAGGGAGGTGAGCCGGGTTAAGAGGGTTGATATTAAGGATATTTGGGTTTCTATTATTGTGGGGCCGTTGGAGAGGGGGGTTGGTGCTTTTTTGTTATTGATAGTTAGTAGAGGGAGGATAGGTGGGTGGTATGGTGTAAGTGTGAATGTGTGTGGTTCTTTGTGTTGGGTTGAGTCTGGGGCGGGAAGGGGAGAGGAAGGTAGATATAGTGGTGGCCATGCACAAAACAGAGCAGTGCAGTGCAGAGTTGTTATGATAAGGAAAGAGGATAAGCATAAGGACAAGCATGACAATCGAAATGTGGAAATGCGTCTCGTCAAAGAACAGATCCACTAGCAGGAAATGACAAGGTGATAAGAGAAGGAGACTTACCATGCGGCGTATAACTCATAAAGCAATTCGGAAACCCATGCACCGTAATCCCCAAATAAGTCTTGATACCTGACTGCCAGTTCTCAGCCAGACTGATGTCGTTGCGGCCGCGGATGTTCATGTCGGCCATTCTGTAGATCCGTAAAGTTAGTATAGGTAGGCCTCGTGATCAGCGAGCCCTAGTTCGTATCCCTTTCTTGCCTTCCCATCCAGTTCGGATTCTTGGCCATCAGAAAGAAGGACTCCAACAATAGAAAGAATGGAGAGGAAAAGGATACTCACGCCCCAACATAACTGTCAAACCCCGTAGCCAACACCACCACATCAAACAACCTCTCCTCCTCCTCTCCATCCTCACCTAGCACAACAATCCCCCCTCTCTCCGTAAACCTCAATCCCATTTCTCCCGCCTTACCCTTGATCTTCACAACATCCACGTTCTCCCTATCCACGCTCTCATAGAAATCCCCTTCCAGGGGCACACGCCTCGTAAACAGAAAGTTCACCGGCTCTTCCGGCGCCACAACATCCCTCTTCCATCCATCCTTCATCCTCTCTCTCGTCTTCTTAGCCCAAAACGCGTACGCTAGTTTATTAGCCTCCTCAGACACATACGTCTGCGGGAAATTCCTCGCCCCGAAGTTAAACGATCCTGATTTCCACAGCTCCTCGTAGTATTCCTCCCTTTCAGTGTCGGGAATCTCAAAAATCGACCGTCCCGGTCCGTACGGGGCAGCCACAGAGGGAAACGGGACCCCAGATCGAGAATGTCTCGACGCGTGAAACAGTGCCGGCAGGAAAGGTTGCCAGCTATCCTGTTCAGCACGCGTCAGGGGACGATTGCGCATGGGAAGACAGGGGCTAGGACGACGGATGAAGAGGGTTAGTTGGGAGGCGGTTTTGGAGAGGGATTGCACGATTTGGACGCCTGTGGCGCCGGCGCCGATTACGGCGATGCGTTTGCCGATGGTGCTGAGGGTGGTTGGGTAGGCGGAGGAGTGGAAGATTTGGACTTGCGGGTTAGTGTTGGTGGTGTCGGGATAGGTAGTTGGGCTGGTGCTGGTGTTTATAGTAGCGTCGTCAGGATGAAGAGTTGGGCTAATGCTGGGATGCACATGAGGATGACGCTGATGCAACGGGTAATGGCGCTCCAGACCCGGAAAAGAAGGAATATATGGACGATGCAACAGCCCCGAACACAACAGCAGATAGGAAGCATGGACTTCGAGCCCTGATTCTGTCCGTACAGTCCACGTAGCGGTTGACTCATTCCAAACAGCCGAGTTGACCCTCGCATTGAAGGTAATGTCTTTCTTCAAGTGCAGCTTCTCCTCAAGATGAGCAAAGTACCGCCGCAGCTCGGTATGATCAGGAAACCGCTCGGTGAAGTAAAAGTCGCGCCAGGCCGCCGGGATCGTGAGCTGGTAGAAGGGCCATTCCGAGTCGACTCGAGCGCCGGGGTATCTGTTCCAGTGCCAGACGCCGCCGATGTCCGAGGCTGCTTCAAGGATGTGGACGGTGAGGTTAGGGAACGCGGTGCGGAGGGTGTGTAGGGCGTAGAGGCCGCTGAAGCCGGCGCCGATGATGAGTATGTCAGGGTTGGATGGGGCCATACTGGCTGGACATGGGATGGAATGATTCTGGAGGGCGAGAACGGAGAATGGGTTTTATATCAAGGGCTTGCCAATGCAGCGATCGATCAATACCCCGCTATTGTCTGAATATGCACGTAGTAAATATACAAAGTACTACGAAGGCCTTGGCCCGAAGAGTACTGTGCAGAAGAGTAAGTGGGAAAATAGAAGGTCTTGTTGATGAGCAGCTGTTAATAAACGAACGAACGCTTAATTGACAGGAATGGAATCATGCACAGACTTGAGCGAATCACGCATCATATAACTCAGAAAGGCAGGTTATGTATGTGAAGAAACAGGTTTGAGTGCTGTATAGGGTTTGGCGATCAGGTGACTGGCCTGCAGGGAAGACATGTCGACGACTTAGAAACAACTGTTGGACACGGTGTAGTCAGAATAGCCCCGCATGGATACACCTTTCATCTGTGCCCAGGATATTGTCTCTAGAAAATAGGCTGGAGCATCCTGATCACAGACCACTACCTAGTAGAATCGTATACGCCATATGTTTACAGGCCCTACCTCGTTCCTATAGCATATTTGAGCTGTAATACTCCCACGTAGAACAACCTGAGCACAAGTATCAACACGCCGGAATCAAACACCGACTTTCAATCTCTGAGGTTAACCCGTCGCCGCCCTATCCCTCCTCCGCGGCTCCCTGGCCCGGAATTAATTACTCCAGGTTGTCCCGGAGAGGTTAGACGAGATAACATAAGAATGGAGTAAACAGAGTCTCCGAGGGGAAGGGAAGGAAAGTGGGACGATAGTAATTAATCGCGCAGTTTAATCGCAACCAAAGCTTGGATGACTCGGGGTGACTATACTCCCGGCCATGTCGCCACCATCTGGCCACCATAGATCGGGGAAAAGACAAGTTGTGATCGAGTAATGCACTGTCATGGGTACGTAGGGACCAAAATTGGGGCACATCTTATGGTGATGTGTGACTGATGATAGGTGCTTAGGACGCGGAACTGGGGACGATTTCTCATAGCATCGTAGATATGACACATTCTAAACCTGAAAGACATTTAAGCGTTTTGACAAGAGGATAGGAATTAACGAGTGAACAGAAAGAGGGTAAGAGTGACGGAAGATGAGAAATATGGTTACCTACAGCCCGTCCAGGGACAGTGCCACACCAAGCTAGCACTCAATGGGTCACCAAAAGGAGAGAACAATAGGCCAGAAGCCGATTGACCTAGAACTTCTCTGCTCTCACGTCAATAACCCTCGGAGTTATCCGGGACATGGAAACGGAACCGGCAAACTCTTCCCGTGGAGGCGCCAGGCACGAAAGTTTGGTTGGTTTTGATGCAAACAAGGAATTCCGATTCGCCCTAACACTAACGGCAACGTAACCACAGTGTGTGACTGTGTCATCTGCCTGATGGATAGACGCAGGGGAAACTACAGACGGAGGACAGAGGTGTGGCATGAGTAACGGGTTAGTGAGAGGAGAAATTGGTAAGTGGACAGGTAGGACAGAACCCATGTAACCTGCTGTGGACGGCGAGACAAAAGGATGAAGATGCAGGCAGAATTGGGGTCGTAATGTTGTACATACGTGAGTCTATCAAGATGCATGGGGAAAGCTGAGTTGGGTCGGTCGAAACTCGACGGACAGACCGCGTATGCAATGAGACATTAAAGAAAGTTTCAGTCTGTTCTAGTCACTAGTCTGTCAGCCATGTGAAACGTTCTATACCTTCCAGACCCAACAGGCCTGGATGTCGTCACCTGTAGCAGGTAGACATTCTGGCCAGGCGTATGCCACGCCCAAGGGTATCCAATGTTATTGACTCCCTAACGTTGGCCATGACCAACTTCCCATGTCATATCCTAACCGCCCACCTCCTGAGACATGATGTGGAAGGAATCCCCGCAGCGACATGCAAGTTAGGTTCAGCGGAAGAGAGTTAGAACCGGTAGGAAGCATGTTGGCCCCTTGAAACCAAGAGGGCCGGCGGCAAACCCGTGGAGATGGATGAACATGTCATGCCGGCCATGTCATACTGACTCTACTCTCATGATCGTAGAAGTATACTTAATTCTGGTGGAAAAAAACCGAAAATATTCCAAATAGACCTAAAAACACCAATTAAAACAGTCTAATATTAGCACCAATTCTCCCCGCACCAATCCCCTCGTCCACAGAAATAGTCCCCTCCTACGCCGCATGAAAACGCCCCTAATTACTACGCGCTCAGCCAACTAGCCGCCATTGCGTGCATTGGCGTAGGTTAAAAATATCCCATAATACTTCCCTAAATAGCCCTTCCACTGTAGGTTTGCATTCTCTTGGTACCCAATCATCCCCCATATATGCCTATTGTAACACAGCCCGGCTGGGAAGAACGGGAGAGGGGAGAAAAAAGGAGGCCCGTGTGATGATTAGGGGTTCTAGATGGAGGGAGCAGAAAATAAATAAACAGTTTTAATTAAGTAGCTGCGGCTGGGTCCAACAGCTGGGCTTTTGGGATCTTCCGTCGTCCTTTGGGCGAGGAAGGGGAAGAGATGGCCGGGGACTTCCCCCTGTTGCCTCTTTTTTTTTTTTTTCCCGACTCTTTTTACCTCATCGCATCCTTGTTATAGGTCGATTATGAAGTGTGTAAGAAGTCAGGATCGGAACTAATCAACTTTTGTATTCCGTTTGGACCCGTTGACCTGGTATAGGATAACGTCAGAAATCGGGCCTTTCTAGCTGAGCTGCTACTGTTACTACATCACCAACCAGACTTTCACTGCGCTGAAAATTCGCGCAAACCAGCAGGGATTCATCCATAAGAGAAGAGTCTTCCGCCGACTTCTTCTCTGTCCTGTAAACTACTGTTGCGCAGGGATTCATCCTCAAGAGATTACTTCCCTCCGTTCCTATCTCCATTCTGTGCAATCCTGCCAACCTAAGCCATGTCGGACAAACTCCCCAACCTTGTGCCCGATGACGAGGAGCTGGACTTAGATACCGTGAACCAAGTCAAAGATCGACTGGCGCATATCCAGCTGCTCTATGATACCGGCAAGCCCTTCTTCCCTCGCGCCTTGCTCGAAGACCTGAGCCGCCAGATCGACCAAGGCGCAGAGGAAGTGGTTATCAATGATGTGGATGACATGCCGCAGAAGTATAGTCTCAAGGTTCCGGCGTGGTGTGCTGATTTCGCGTGAGATGTCCTCCCTTTCCCTGTCATACCTCATACCCATGCTGATAACTCATACTTATACCTCATACCCATACCATACCCATATCTCATACAATCCAGATGAAGGCTGACACACAGCAGGAGCACCTACCGCATCAACTACGCCACCACCCAACACCTCACCCACCTCACCCTCATCTGCCCGGAACAGGCTCTTCGGACCGACCACACACCCGTCTCAATCGTGTATGTCCGCTCTTTGCACTCTCCATCCAACAATACAGTGGAGCAAGTGCGCGAGCGATTCAACGAGGCACGCGATCTCTGGCTCGCAAGTGCCACATACCGCGACCTGGACCGCATCATCTCAACCCTGTCGCTCACCGTCCCGATCACCAAGATCGTCTGCTTCGGGCTGGGCTCGTTAGCCCCTCTCATCGACGACGACTCAGACACTGATGAGTCCCTGTCCCTGTCCATGTCCATGTCTATGTTGCTTGACAATGACACTGGCATTTCCCTCTCGGACGCAAGCCCGATCAACTACACGTTTGATTGGAATTTGACCCGCGCGCATGTGCAGCATGCCGCTGTGGAAACGATCCGCACGGCATTGCAGAATCGAGGCATGGCCGATGCGTCTGGCGTGGAGTGCTACGCGCAAGACCCGAGCTATGATGCCGTCGATCGTGAATTTTTGGCAACTATAGGCATCACGGCGTTGGATGACCCGAAGGGGTTTCTGGAGCTGGATGCTAATACCCTGGTCTTGTCTGTGAGCCCCAATGTGCCTATTAAGCAGGTCGTGGCGGACGTGCAGTGGCCGGCAGCCATGGTGTGGAATACCGTGTTGTCGGTGAAGGACGAGCCGGAGGAGTGGGTGAAGAGGATCATGGGGAATGGGGAGGCGCAGTGGGCGAGGTATTCTCTCTTCTCTCCTGTTACAGGATTCCCCCTAGGGCATGGATATAAGCTGACAGAATCAGTCCGTTCACTACCGATCCCGACTCTCAGCGCGTGAGAACCATGGTCGAACAGTATGCGACCGCTACGTTGGACGATGCCAATGGCTTCTTTGGTGATATAACTGTCTACATGAGATGATAGAACGGAGGATAGATGCGAAATTGTTTGCCGTAATGTTGGGGACATGACTGTCTACATGAGATGGTTAAACGGAGGATAGATGGGAAATTGTTTGCCATACTTTTGGTTTCAAACTGCGTAATTTGTCTCCACTTAAGTTTAAGAATGTGACATTTTTTGAATTGCTTTGCTCTTCGCACGAATCGTCCGTCCCTTCCACAATAGCACCATAGGAGCCAGAGTTAACACTACCGCCACAAACGCCAACAGGCTGCTGGCCCATTCATATCCCAGCCGGACATACATGGGCTTCGCAGCGAGCGGAAGGAATGCCGCAAAAATATTCTCGCCAAAGGCAACTGCCGCAATGGCGCTGGCCGCGAACCCCGCGTACGAATCCGTGACGTAGATGCTGGCGGCGGTAACTATAGTCATGATGGCGTAACCGATCAGACCGAGTGCAATCGCCGGAACGATCCAGTGCGTTTGGTCCGTCGACCAGCCGTACATGAACAATCCACCGGCAAGCGCAATGGCTGTACTGGGAATTGACAGATGAAGAATATACTCGGGGATCGGAGTGCCCGGTGTCTCCGGGTTATGAGCAGCACTGTTTATGTAGATGCGGTTCTGGAAGCAACAGGCGATGAACCCGACAATTTGGCCGACGCCAATAGATGCCTGCACCAGGCCGTCCGTATACGAGGGCCAGTCATATGTTCCGCTGAACACAATCGGGATGGACTGCGTGGAAATAAACACGAGACCGAAAGCAAAGGATGACCAGACGGTGAAAGACGTGACCGTCGGCTCGGTGGTGAGGAGTACGGCTGAACGCAAGATGGTCTCTTTGAAGCTGTCAACTGCCTCGGATTTATCGACCGTAGAAACTACCTCGGGCATGAGCTTTGTTCGTAATATCGGCCCGCGTGTCTCTTTCATGCACAATACAACAAGCGGGATACAGGCCCCGTAGAGGATCAATTCAATCCAAAAGACCCTGATTGTGTCAGCCGTGACCTGCCATTGAACCTGCCAAACGTACCACCGCCATCCTAATGGCTCTACTGCAGCACCGAGCACTGGTCCCATGGTGACACCAAACAGCAAGGTGAAGGTGTACAGGGTTAGAGGGAGTACACGATCCTTATGGTCCAGGAACATGTTCGACGCAAGACCATCCGCGCCATTTTGAAGCGTGCCTCCGAAAGCGCCTGCGATGGCCCGACAGACCACGAGAGTCGCAAAATTGTGCGCTAGAGCCTGGGGGATTATAAAAATGGTGAATAGAACGTATGCCGTCTGTGTTCCCGGGTTAGAGCTTCTGGCTGAAGGCATTTCGAAGGACATACCACATATCCATTCCTCATCCCATACGTATCCATCAGAGGAAGAGCGACAAGGGGAACCAATGCAGCTGCCGCGTTCCACGCCGTCACGGCAAAGAAGTTGTACTCGAAAATGCCATTGCCTAGATTGAATTCTTCTGAGATAGACTCAGCCGCGGTGGTGATCGACGTAGCATTTAGTCCGACCATAAAGGTGACCCAACAGGAGGTCAACATGGTCATCCATTTTTGGCTGTCGGGCCAGTTGAAGGGATTTTTGGGATGATGGGCCCATTGCACGGCGGGCTGCTCATTCATGTTCGAGACTCATTCCAGATTGGAGAAATTACTGCATGGCTAGACGGTCTTACGAATCCGACAAAGCCAGGGGGGCGAACAAAGCTTGATTATCCCTTGCGCCGGCATTACCGGATACAGAAGCCCAGCGGAGACACTTTTTGTGGATCGACCCAGTTTTATGATATGTTATTGGCGTGAACTTCGGCTAAATGAACCTCCTACAATAATGAACAGCTGCTTGGCGAGGCGCTAGTCGCATGTGCGATCGTCGGCCACATTTCTGCGGCAGCAACAACAACGCGTCCACTTCATATGAAGTCCAGCATCATGTACGGAGTACCGTCTTGTCGTTTGCCAAACGTCAGACCTTGACCTCATTATATTCCTGTTGCAAGTGCAACGGCAATGGCCGTGTCTGCTGAATGGCTGATCGTGACGTCGATCTTACTAATGCCCTTTGTAGCAGCGATGGCTTGAACGCGGCCGTGGAGCTAAACGAACGCGTTAACTCTGACTGTTTAACCGGAGCGTTCTAGATTTACCATGACCATGGGAATCCCGCGATTGCTAATAATCTCAATCTCTTGCATGGCGGCTCCTGCGCCCATGGATTGAGTTTGTAGGCTCTTGAAAACTGCCTCCTTGGCGCTCCAGCGACCGGCAAAAGAAGACCGTGGGTCGGCCGCTTTCGAACAATAGTCTCTCTCGGCCGGTGTGAAATTGCGCTCGATAAAAGTCGAATTTTCCGTATTGACACTGCTGATGCTTTCGACATCGACACCCACGCCCGCGATTGGTGATGTGCTGGATCGCCGGCTCACCTCGTCAAGCATCGATTGGACGAGGCTGGTCACAGTATCAGACTCGGTGGGGTCACGGTCTTTAACTGAGGTTCCCGAGAAGTCACTGGCCTTGGGGCATACTTGGGCATGGCTGGGCTCTTTGCTAAAAGTATACTGGTCTCCCATGAGACGGCTGTTAGGGTCCAGAAGGACCCTCCGCATGGTCTCCGAGTCCTTCCAGGGTGGCTGGCTTTTAACTTGGACCAGCGATTGCTTGAGTACGCGTGACACAAATTCGGGGTTGGTGAAGCGTTGTCGTTGTTTGACACGGTCCCGATAATGCTCATAGCCCGTGGATGACAGAGAGGCGAAGAGGTATTTGGGTGCGACAATGATACTGATTGCCCCTTTCTGGCCGAACCCGAAGGATGTGATCATGACTGCATTGATGTCCGTCGTGTGAATTGACTCCATTGGATACACTAAATGCTCGTATTGCCTCAGCTGCTCATCAACATTGTCGGCGTTACGGTTGCCAGGCACGATTCGGTCGCGGATGATCTGCATGCAGCCATTCAACTGCCACGCCCCTGCAGCAGCCTTGGGATGGCCAGTAAGTGACTTTTGACAAACACAGAGCAGTGGATTTCCTTTGCGACGCCCAAGATGGTCCATCTGCGTGTTGATAACATCACCTTCATTGATCTCGTTGGCTTTGGTTGAAGTCCCATGCATCGAGACAACGGCGATATCTTCAACAGTCAGACCCCAGTTCGCCAGTGCCGCATTCATGGGAGCAATAGAAGGCTCCTGTAGGCGAATCTGACTCGTCCAACGATTTTGGATCTCTTTCGTTCTCAGTGAAAACAGATGCTCTCTCCGCTCATCCCGCTCTGGGGACACGTCCGGGGGTCTCAGTGACTGACAGCGCTGGAGACTCGCAACATCTGCGTCAAACTGAGCGCGCCGGAAATCAAAGTCTCGCAGCGCCGAGCTCCTTGCTTCCGGGGCTTCCCGTGCTGCTGTCAAAACACCCTTTCCGGGCGCGGGAATGGAGCGACCGATCTGATCACCCGCCATCTGGTTGTAGGCGAGAATGCCATATATTGGCAAGCCCATGTCCAAAGCCAGCTGGGCAGTCATAAGAATCTGCACACCGCTGCCCGCCGATTCCGCGAACCCGCTACGTGAACTCGCAGTGGGCCGAGAGATTTCATTCGGAAGACGTCCCTTGGCCAGCTCCTCCGTGCCGTTTGCAGTTGCCTTGATATTGGAAAACTCGTATGCAAGCTCCTCGGTATAGTCGTCGCAACCTCCTACAATCGCCACCTTGCATTTTCCAGTTTGGATGGCGTCGCAGCCGGTATCCAAAGACTCAAGCGCAGTCGCACATGCTCCGACAGGTGTCTTTATTGGTCCCGCGGCGGAGAGCAGCAACATGTTGACCCATGCTCCGGTAGTGTTGAGGAAGTGCTCTAGAATAATATCACCTCTCACAGACCGGTCAAGGAAACGGTCGCGATAAAGACTGCGAATGGCTTTCATCGGCCCTCCACCAGTACCGAGACAATTTGCCACTTCAGAGACATGGATATGCTGGTAAATTTCGTAAGGATCATGGATACCGGCTGCCAGAAAAGCTTCGGATACACAGCAAAGTGTATACAATGTCGTGTCGTCAACCTGTCGCACAATATCCTCCGGAATTCCATACCGCAGTGGGTCCCACCCCGTCGGGATTCTACCGGCTACCACCTGATCAAACGGAATTCTCTTGGGGATCATCAAGACTGTGCCCTTCTTCACAAAAACACGGCAATTGTCGCTTTCTGCGATCGGGTGCAAGCTCACGTTGCTGCCATGACGCAGTCTGAATGCCTCGGCTGTTGTCTTGGAACATTCAAAGGGAGGAAGATCTTCTTCTACTGCTACCTCGTGTAGGTATTCCTTTCGAGAGGGGTCATACCCGTCTCGTTCATCTGGGCTGATCAGCCTTAAGCCGACGTGTTTCATGATATGCTCGTGGTATTTGTGAGGAACGTCGCTGTCGTTCACGGGCGACTCCGTCTCTGTGTCTACCCAGCCCACGTATGGCTCACCTTTCAGTTCACCATCAACATGCTTGATCAATCCCATGATCCATGCCATCTCTAGATAGCCCTCGAGCGAGAACTGCCCTTGATGTTCCATCTCCCATCGAGTACGAGCATTACCCCAAGGGCCTAGCTCGGAGAATCCGACCACGACCACTGTCCGCGACAAATCGATCATTCCCTCGAGTCGGGGAAGGCCGCTGGTCACCAGTAATTCATGGTTCACCAAATGAGGGAACCCGAGGTTTAGGTTTGCTCGTTTTATTGGTCTGGACTCGTCAGTCTGATGTTGGGGTCCAAACGCGACCTCATGTTGACGGGCGTCCTCTTCTGCAAGCGCGTTTCGTAGGTCAAGCTCATCGGACAGTCTGTGACGCGCTGCAGTAATCTGCTGCTTCACGTTCCACATCCCCCCAAATCCGCCCGTCAGATCTGCATACACCGGGGAGTCTTCGGCAAACACTGCAATTTTGGGCGTCATCAAGCCAAGTATATTGAATGCCATCTCGGCCTGGGTAAATGTGATAACACCGATTTTCTCCATCTCCGCAGCCAGCATGTTGGATGTCCGCATCAATCCAGTGCCTCTGGTCCAGCCAATAACCGCCCCGCATACAGTGATATACGTTGACCAGTTCTCGGAGTGAAATCGGTTGAATAATGTTTTCAGGCCAAGTTTGGATTCACCGTACAGCCCGTCCCCACCAAATGTACCCTCATTGCAGGACATCGGGAGTATGATCATTGTGGGCCGAGTGTCGATGCGATGTTTCTCTTTAGCTCGCCGTACGAGACCGGTGAGTCGCATAATGTTGGTTAGCATGGCCCTGAATGCTAGCTCATGCTTGCCGTTCAACGTGTCAAGCTCTCCTGTCTGAGGAATCGCGGCGAATGGTACGACATAGTCCAGGTCGCCACCAGTCGGGGAGTCATCGCCATATATATATTCCACCAGTGCGTCGCAATCTTGTTTGCTGGCTTGATTCATCGGAAGAAGCGTCAAAGACGAGCCTCGTGCTCCATATTTGCGGTAGACTCTCTGGTAGAATGGAGCGCAATCCGAGACAGCCCGGCTGGTGGTGACAACCACTCGCGCGCCGCCGACGAGCAGACCCTGTACTACCTTGGCCCCGATCGAGTCCGGTCCAGCACCAGTGACGAGCACCGCCTTGCCACTATATGTCAGACCAGTTGTAGCTCCTACATACAAGGTCTCAAGATATGCCTCTGTCATGTCTGCATCGTACTCCCACTCCTCTTCGTCGCGGCGAGTCTTTATGTGAACAAACGGGACCACTGAGGTTCTGTCTTTGGAGATCGCGCGCCCGTGCCGAACAATATCGGTGTAATTGCCGGTTGTGCGCCGAATCTCTTGATACTCCAGACGGCCTGTGCTTGAAACGACAGTTTTCGGACCAAGTGGTGGTTCAGTGTAAATGAAGGTGGGTTCGACAAGCTGGGCTTGGGTCCCACTAAAGATAATCTCACTTAACGTCGCGCGAACGTCGGAGCTCATTGATTGACCTGAGTCAGTCGTGTCCAGGAAAGCCCTGATTATGTTTGTGCAACTTGGTTCCCATCGATTCAACGTCCTATGCAGCTGATGGTCCATGCTGGAGTGCTTAACATTAGCGCGGTTTTGGGAGATTACGTTCACCCAGCTGATAAGCTCCTCTCGAGCCCAGTTCCACCACGAATCATACTGCCGAGCTTTGTTCGCATCGAAAAGCGGTTGAATACCCTGGAAGAATTGATCGTCCAACTCCGCATCCCATTGCTGCAGCCTTTTTTCCAATTCCCGCGTTTCAATTTGCGCGTCTGCGGTCTGATTTTCAATATTTATGTGAAGATGCTTCGCTAGTAAATTCAATTGTTTGCGCTGGAAATCTCGCTGGTCTTTGTTCAGAACCTCAAGGCTGGCAGAGTCAATGACCATCGACTGACGCCTCGAATTCTGGTTGTTTTGGTCAGTTGCGGCAATGAAATCGACCCCTTGAAAGGCGCCATAGCGGTTAACTAGTTCATCGAAATATGTCTGAGCCGTTTCCAAGTTTGGCAATCGGGTTTGCGGCTCGATCGTTGTCGCGAAGCACATAGGAATAGTGGAATGCCCTTTGCTCAGACCCCATCGTGATTGCAAGTAGTCCTGGATGGCATTTTGATTGAACCCGGCAGGCATCCTCCCAGAGACCAGTCTGGAGACCAACGCGGACATTTGCTTCCCTGGCTTCCCAACGAAACCCCCTTGCAAGACCTCCCCGAGAGCGGTTAGAGACATGTCTTCGACTCCTTCTGGAACCTTCCCAAATTCAGCTACCAGGTCCCCTGTTAATTCGTTTTGGAGGGTTGATTTGCCTTGCACGCATTTAGTACCGTGACAACTGCTAGAATGTTTTAGGATGATGACGATGATGACATACCCCCAGAAAGGTCCCGAATTGTTTTCTGAGTTGATACCTGGTCAAAGGGTCGCTGGAGCTTTTGCGCTGTCATGGCAAGAACGATATGACCAGCTGAAAGTATAACATCTGCACTAGGAATACAACCAACAGACTTAGCCGACTCGTCTTTTGGTTGAGTTTGCGCCACCGAAGTCACAGCTGGAGTTGCAGACGAAGATATTGGCACCGGGAGGCTTTTCTCTGTGACTCTATGGGGCTCCGGCTCCGGGTATCGAAAAAATATCTCATCCTGTTGATCCTGATAAGATAGAAACTCCAACTGGGACCCTTCCGAAGGGCAACTCAGCGCATGCTTGGAAGCTGATTTCTTGGCCATTGTCGCCAACGTGGTCCGAGGGCCGATCTCGATAAAGCGCCGAATTGTGGGATGCTTTTTGAGAAGCTCGTTTTGCGTCTCGATCCATCGCACGGGCGATGCCAATTGATATCTACGTTTGGTCAACTTTTTCCTTCCGACCCCATTCAGCAGAACACTCACGCCAGAATCTCAATAAACAATTTATACGCCAATTCTCTTTTCCCATCAGAGTCGGACACTCCCACGGCTGACGGATCTGGTATGGGATGGAGAGTCATAACGAATCGATTCTGGTTGCGCCTTGATCAGTGTGAGAATGCTGGTTCGGTGGTATGATTTACCACATAGACAGACTGTCAGCTTTGATATAATCACTACTCAGCTGATCATCCCTTTAGCTTAATATTCTACTCGGCACGTGTATCAGATCATCCTATCGAACCAACGCGATATATCATTCTCGGATCAGCCGCTCTACTTTAAGTTGGGCAATCCATGATGATCCCGAGAGGCGAGAATTAAGTTAGCCTCGCCTTTCAAACACCGATAAATATCGTGTACGGGTCCTGCTCGTTATTGGAACGCCTTCGTATCCGGGTGGGACAGAGATTTAAAAAACTCCGCTTGCGAAACTCCGGCGGCGGGAAGACGTCAATATTCAGTGTACTGGGACCAAAGGGAATTCTGGCCGAACTCCGACGACAGGTGGCGACACGATGACTTTGAGTACCGATAGGTTACTGTGAGAGGAAGAAAAGGTCAGCTTTCCGGTTGTTCCAAGTGGTCTGGAGTGTGTCCAATGCCTGTAAGCGTTGTCCTCTCGGGGACCTCTCGGCAGGCATCCAATCACTTTATATACGCACTGCAGGAAAGGGACCCGTGGGACTGGTGCTGACACAACGCCGGGATAATGCAACCGCAATATATGGAAGAATCGCCGGCATTTCCTCGCCCGGTGCGGTTTAAGTCTTCTCTTCATGCCTCCAAGTTCCCTGGCTACACCTTGTCTCCCACACAGGATGAACTGAGTAGGAAAGGCTTTGAATGCTGCTGCCGGGATGAAATATTGTCTCTCCAGTCTCCATTAGTCTCACTCGTTTATTGCTGTCGTTGTTGTGGTCGTCGCGAATACTGTCGTCGATGAGAGAAAGACCGAGAGAGATGACCCGGACGGAGGTAGAAGTGCCTGCCCTGTCACCTGACACCCCGGTCACGATGTCTCCCTCGACCTCTTCTTCTCCCTCGCTTTCTCGCTCCTTGTCGGTCTTTCCCGCGTCTACTACTGTTGACATTCGCTTCCAGTGGAACGATATTCAATTCGCGCTATCCGTTTCCGGTGAACACGTCTCGTTACTACAATCTCTCAAAACTTCCTTTCTGCTTAGTCCCTCGTTTACGTCTACCAGCACAGATGAGCCTCAAACCCCGATTGAATTGGCGCTTGCCTTCGTCGAGTTCACCATTCATCAAAAGGTCCCCGACATAACGCTGGCAGCTATCATGCGTGCCTTTGAATCAGAATTCCTGCAGACCAACACAGACATCCATACTGTCGTTGGTGGTCTGGCAGCAAACCTCGAGCAGCGTCAACACCTTTTGCACGTATACTTTACAGCCTCTGCCGTTAAGGGTGACAATGAGCCAGATGACGCTCCTCCGGCCTCTTCTACGCTTGACAGTGCTCTGTTGCACCAAGCACAACGGGGTCGATTCCACATAATGGCGGTTTTTGGCGGACAGGGGGATGCGAGCCGTTCCTGTGTACAAGAGCTCTCGGAGCTCAAAGCCACGTACGGCCCAATGTTGCGAGGCTTCTTACAGGTCATGGGAGCTCATCTCCATAACCTCTCACAGCTTTCGGAAACAGCTCACTATTACGACGGGCGGCCATTTCACCTAGAGAGCTGGATGTCAGATCCTGGAAGTATCCCGGGCGGTGGGTTCATAGCCAGCTCTCCAGTTAGTGTACCTGCTATCGGCTTGTTGAGTCTAGCTCGATACGTGGTTATTTGCCATGTTCTCGGCCTCACCCCCGGCGGACTCCGAAAGATTCTGCGCGCGACCACAGGTCACTCACAGGGACTGCTGGTTTCTATTGCCGTCGCCCTCTCAGATTCATGGGACTCTTTCTACGAAAGTTCTCAGCTCATTTTGGAGGCGTTGTTCTGGTTGGGCTGGGACTGTCACTTCAATGCTCCGTGGAGCAGAGTTCCCGCAATGGCCATGGGTCGCCCTGAACGAACAGCAGACCCGAGCGCGCCATCGTACATGCTCTCTGTACGTGGATTAAAACGAGAACAATTAGATCCCATTATTGCACATGTCAACAAACGCTTCTCGGAGGGCTCAGAAGTTCATCTGGCATTAGTTAACGCCCGAGATCAGTTTGTGGTCGCTGGTCCAGTTGCTTCCTTGGTCTACCTGGAAAGTCATCTCCGAGAATCGAACAGCATCTCCGACAATGACCAGAGTCGAATCCCCTTCAGCAGCCGAAAGCCGTCAATCCAATATTCTTTCTTGCCGATCAGCACGCCATTTCACACGCCGTACCTCCGAGCGGCTGCAGATTCATTAAAGTCACGATTTTCAAACCGACCGATTTTCCCACATCAATTGTTGATCCCCGTATACCACACTCAAACCGGTCAGGACCTTCGGGCCGTAGATGCGGACGTTTTGCATGTTGCATTCGATGCGATCACCCGCGAACTATGCGACTGGCCCACAGCATTGGCGGGGGCTACTACTCCTACGCACAGCAGTTTCCAACTTTTGTCGCACATCATAGTTTTCGACAGAGGAGGGCTGGCGCCGTTAGTCAAAAGGGTGAAGGATGGCCAAGGCATCCGGATCATTCAAGCTGCCGACCTTGACTCCCGAGACCCGACTGTAGGCACGATGAGAGATCTTTTTTGTCCCAATTTGTTGAACACGTCGACCAGGCTTCTGAGCTGGAGCCAGCGGTTTCAGCCGAGATTGACCGCCGGGAATCCCATGGGGATTGAAACACGCCTCAGCCGGTTACTGGGCACCCCTCCGGTCATGGTGGGCGGAATGACTCCTACGACAACTCATTGGGATTTTGTAGCAGCTATTATGAATGCTGGCTATCACGCCGAATTAGCTGGAGGTGGCTTCCACAAACCCGCCGACATGGCCGCAGCCATCCAACACCTCTCAAATAGCATTGCTCCGGGGCGTGGCATCACTTGCAATCTCATATATGTCAATCCTCGAGCTATGGCCTGGCAGGTATCCCTGCTCCGTCGTCTATCACACAAAAAAGTCCCAATAGATGGCCTTACCATCGGAGCGGGTGTTCCATCGCCGGATGTTATAGCAGAATATATTCAGACTCTGGGAATCCGCCACATCAGCCTCAAGCCAGGGTCTGTGGCATCCATACGCCAGGTTGTCAACATTGCCAAAAATCATCCGGACTTTCCAATCATACTCCAATGGACAGGCGGGCGCGGGGGAGGCCACCACTCTTTCGAGGACTTTCACGCGCCGATCCTAAGCACATATGGTTCTATTCGTGAGCATGCCAATATTTATCTCGTCGCAGGTAGTGGGTTTGGGAACGGGGAAAGCATTTATCCCTATCTTACAGGGTCATGGTCTGTTCCAATGGGTTACCCCGCGATGCCATTTGATGGCATCCTACTTGGCAGCCGCATGATGGTTGCGCGGGAAGCTCATACCTCACCAGCCGTGAAAGATATGATCTGCCAGACGCCTGGAACTCCAGACAGAGCTTGGGAAGGAACGTACAAAGGCTCTACAGGTGGGGTCATTACTGTGCAATCTGAAATGGGTGAGCCGATTCATAAGATCGCCAATAGAGGGGTGCTCCTTTGGGCCCAGATGGATAAAACAGTTTTTAGTCTGCCTCGGAAGAACCGCAGACCATACCTCTTACAGCATCGTGATTCGATCATAAGGCGTTTGAACAGTGACTTTGCGAAGCCTTGGTTTGGTCGTAACTCCCAGGGAAAACCCGTCGATCTCGAAGACATGACATATGGCGAGGTTCTGGCCCGTCTTACTGAGCTGATGTATGTTCGCCACCAACGCCGTTGGATCGACCATTCTTACGTTGATTTTACCATGGCATTTGCTCTGCGTGCACTGGAGAGGTTTCGTGCGACGTCGCATAGCAACCTGAGACTTACTCGTGCAATTCTCAGAGAAGATCCCGATACATTCATGCATACTTTATTTACAGCCTATCCGGAAATCGCCCGCGATTTGTTGAACCCTGAGGATGTGTCATTTTTCTTGCTTCTGACCAAACGACCGGGCCAAAAGCCAGTTAATTTTGTCCCGGCATTTAATGATGACTTCGAGCTGTATTTCAAAAAGGATTCCCTGTGGCAGTCCGAAGATATTGAAGCTGTGATGGACCAAGACGCAGAACGGGTTTGTATTCTTCATGGTCCTGTTGCGGCGCAGTACTCGCATACCGGAAACCAGTCGGCCAAAGAAATTCTAGACAACATTGCATCAACCCTGATCGACCTTCTTCAGCGGGACCTCTCCCAGGACGACGTCAGCTGCGGCCCCGACAGTGGTCTGGTCACGCCAGATTCCTGGTCAACCGTCTCATCAACCGCACAGGACTTGCCGTTGGAGGAAATGTCTCTTCCCTCGTCAGTGACGATTTCGGAGTATACGGACGAGAGCTCCTTTTCTCCTATGGGGCTAGGTAGTTGTCGAACTGTGCCTGTCTGGGTCCAAGCAGTTCTCGGCGAGAGGCTGGTACTCCAAGGCCGGGAACGACAGAAGAATCCTGTCCGTGATTTCATCACGACTTATCCGCGGTCTATTGTATGCTTGAATGCAGACTTGTCGGAGTTGTCGATAATGTCCGAAAAGTCCTCTCGGTCACAATCCTCTATGACGCTCAGGTCCGAGAATGGAATTGACATTGTGGTCGAAGTCCGGCCGGATGAAGGGGCCACGGCACTAAGGCTTCTTTATCAATACAACCCGCATAGCGTTCCTTCGAAACTGACTGAAGTCATGTACTGCCGTAACGAGCGGATATGCGAGTTCTATAGTAACCTCTGGTTTGGTGCGACACGAGGAAATAATGCTACTCTCAACGATGTCTTCCATGGCCCTGAAATGACACTTACACCTGAAGTGCTCAATGACATGATCATGGCCGTGGGACCCGCCTTCCCGGACCACAGAGTCATGTTTCCGGAGACAGATATCATTCCCATCGGCATGTGTATCGTGATAGCCTGGGAGGCCATCTCGCGACCCCTGGTGGCAAAAGGTGTCAATGGCGATCTGCTTCGGTTGGTTCATCGTTCGAATACGTTTGAATATCACCAGGATGCCACACCACTACGGATTGGCGATATTGTCCGGTCGCAATCACAAGTTCGAGCTGTGTACGCCGAGGAAGGAGGGAAGGTCATCGTCGTGGAGGCTACCATCAGTCGGCTTGCTAACCCCGTGATGACAGTCACGTCTACTTTTCTAGTAAGAGGGTCGGCCACAGAAGATTCAACGACATTCCAGCACACCAAAGAACCCGAAAGAACGCTCTTCTTGTCGACATCTCTAGACGAATCGGTTCTTCGACACCGCAGTTGGTTCCAACTGCATGAAAATGCTCCCCCGCTGGTAGGGAGATCAATCGTTTTTAATTTGGACACCCACATCACTTATAAAGGGGAAAAGATCAAAACCATGAAGGTGACCGGAACTGCAGCCTCCCAAGTTCAAGGACATCATCGCATGCAAGTGGGAACTGTCAACTTCGAATGTGACGAGTGTGTTGGTAATCCTGTGGTTGATTTCCTGGTACGCAAGGGCGTCGCGTCGGGCGGGCGGGAGGCCCTCGATGCGCCAGGCTGGTCCGGGCCATCAACGATGGAGATTCAAATGCCTGCCAGCAACCATGCCTACTCACAAGTATCTAAAGACTTCAACCCGATTCACACGTCGACAATATTCGCCACCTTAGCTCAACTACCCGGGACGATCTGTCATGGCATGTGCACGTCTACGATTGCGGCGTTCGCCTTGGAACACCTTGTGCTTGATGGGGAGCGCAGGCGGCTCCGCCGGTTCAAGGCTACCTTCACCGCGATGGTGCTTCCGTTGGAGAAGCTGTTGGTGAAACTCAATCACACCGGTATGGTCGACGGACGAATGCTGTTCTCGATCGAGGTTATCCGCATCCACAACGGAGAAGTCGCTCTACAAGCCGAAGCCGAGGTCGAGCAACCAGGGACAGCGTATCTCTTCACCGGCCAAGGTAGTCAGAGCAAAGGCATGGGTATGGATCTGTATAGTGCAAGTCCAGTAGCAAAGGCTTTGTGGGACGACATTGATGCGCAGCTTTATAAGGCTTATGGTATGTTTTTCCTATTCGTTCTTTCCGTTGTCGACACCAATAACGAAGGAATAAAGGCTGGTCGGTTCTTGATATTGTCCGGAACAACCCAAAGACGCTCACGGTCAACTTTGGTGGCAACCGTGGCCGGAAGATCAAACAGAATTACCTCGCCATCACGGCCGAGGCGACGCTCCCGGATGGCAGCCGGGTCCTGAGGCCTGTACTCGCAGGCCTCACACCGGCATCGACTTCGTACACGTTCACCGACTCGCGAGGTTTGTTGTATTCAACGCAGTTTGCTCAACCGGCTATCCTAATATTCGAGGCCGCGGTTTTCGGCGAAATGCGTACCAAAGGATATGTCTCTCGGGATGCAGTCTATGCAGGCCATTCGCTCGGAGAATACGGTGCTCTCAGCGCACTATCTCGTTACGTTCCGATCGGCGCTTTGGCGGAATTGGCTTTCTATCGGGGATTGATGATGCAAGCGTCCGTGGACGGACAAGGTAGCATGACCTACGGCATGGTAGCTGCCAATCCCAAGCGTGTTGGATCATGTAAGTTTTCTGTCTTGGGTCATATGGGCGATAGCTGACCGGGAAGTCTTTGATCAATCGGCACTGGCCCGCCTCGTCGATATTGTCGCTCGCGAAAGTCAGGAGCTGCTAGAGATCGTTAATTTCAACGTGGATGGGGAGCAATATGTCTGCTCGGGAACGGTGAGCTCTTCCTCTTCACATTGTCTACCACCACATTAATGTCTAACAGACCACCAACTTGCATGTTCTGGGGAAGCTCATGGACCATATCGCACAGTCCACCAACGGGTTCGAAGAAGTTCGGGCGGCCGTAAAATCGGAATCCCCAGAGGCGAACGGGACTGAACTTCAGCGGGTGATACGGGCCCTACTCGCGGAAGCCCGCAGTCTTCCGCGTCCCATCGAGCTTCATCGCGGAAAGGCAACCATTCCCCTGCAAGGGATTGACGTGCCGTTTCATTCCAGCCACCTGCGGTCGACTGTTGATCGGTTCCGACAATGTCTGCTGAAACCAGGGTTCCTCGATGTGAACGTAGATGTCAACGAGCTGGTCGGAAAGTATATTCCTAATCTGATGGCGAAACCATTTTCACTAGACGAAGCGTACATACGAGAGGCATATGAACTGACGCATAGTCCGATTCTGGCGCAAATGCTGGGAGGATCGTAATGAGGGTGGCAGACACAATTAGACCGAGCATGAAGGGAATAGGATGAGTATTGTTATTTTAATAGCTACTGCATGTGCATGGATAGATGTTTGTGATTTGTGAATGTCAACTAGCGGTTCTTGGAGCGCCGATCGTCTACACACTAGTACCCGCCTGTATGTAAAGCTTGGGGCTGAGGCTCGGGTTTTGTACGTCCGATCCCCGTTGTCCTGGTCTCGCAAGGCTGGTATGGAGTGTCTTGTTTGTAACATTCCCTTGCCTTCTTCACTTTGTCTTGTGGCTAATGTGTTCAGATATCACCGCCCGAATGCCTAATGCACGGATACCCACCGCCAGATGGCACAGCCCAGCGTGTGCATGCAGGACTGGTTTACACAGCCTTACTGATAATTAGAGCAAAAGGGGAAGAGACAAGAATGAGAAAAGAAGAAAGAAGCAATTGAAGCAGAGTCTGTTTCAACTGAAGCCAACGCCAGGATTCAGATGGTTCCACCACTATTGTCAGACTGGCGGCGGTGCGCTGTTCCAGCCCTTTAGGCCGACCATCATCAAGCTGCCCACCAATAGAGCCCCTTGAACTATTTTGGTATGTACGGTGTATCGACCGTTCCAATTCCGTGAAAGACGACTCGTGCCGGCCTCCCCGGCGGTACATCGCACAGATAAGCTGATTTTTGCGGAATCAACCTTTTGAACCGAGGATCGGCTCTGATGCATCATTTCCACCGCAGTCCGTGCGACCTGCAGCGAAAACAATGGCCATTCAAAGCGGTTTAGTGGTCCCACCGATAGTATTATAAGTTGAAGCTATTGAAAAACGGTTTCTTGTTTCTATCCTTGAATTTGATCCTTCGTTTCGACGAAAATTCCACCATCCTGGCTGACCGATCCTTCTACCACCACGGGGTACCACGATAAAAGACGACGTACGGAGAACACCGGAAAGATATATAGCTGGAGTACTCGAGTGGAATCGACAGTCAGAGTGAGTGAGACAAACTCATTCGCACTTAGACTCGGTAAGTAAGGTACACACACATATGCCCTATGCTCTTCTGAAGAGCAATATGATATTTCCGCGGGAGCAATCGGCCAACTGCTGAGGACTAATAGAGGTAGGATGGCTCCCGGATAACCCGGAATTTATTTGCCTAAACATCAACTAACTACTGCTACCAAAGGATCCTATAGTTAATTAAATCGAGCGTACGCGAGGCTTAGTCCCAACTCGGTGTCCTTTAGACAACCCCGGAGTCCCTCCGCGATATACAAGCTTTATCCCAATGAGGCCGTAGTGTGGCTCTATGTGGGCCCTTGTTCTGACAAGGCTGCACAATCCCTCGAATATTCTTCTTTCGCCCCCAAAACACACTCTATTTGGCTAGACCGACGATACCTGGTTTGCCTCCAACGAGGCATCCATCGTTCCATGTAATAATATGACCTTCTCGCCCAGACCGTCGATCTCTGGTCGGGTGAAGATCAACCTTTCTCATCTGGCCAGGTCCCCTCTTTTGTCTCACTTTCTTCTCTTCACCTTCCTTTTCTCTGGCTTTTTCGCGACCCCATGGCCATTCCCCGGGTTTTACTGGTATCGGCCCTTGCGCTGCTGGTCCCAGTGACCGCTCAGCAGGGGAAGGACCCTCTTAAGGACTTTTGTAGGCGATTTGGGCATCAAACGGCAGTGATTGATAATAAGTAAGAGTTTTCTGGGGCTATCATGAGTTTATCGGCGACTCTGGAATTACTGACTAGGACAAAGGTTGTTTATCGATGGCGGTTTCGTGAACTACAGCCCTCTCGACCAAAATCCTGAAAATTATACCAGTATAGTACCCCTTCTTACCTACCCTCCCACCCAATCTCATCCTACCACTAAATATCAGCAGGGATGATTGAAGCTAACGTCCCCAATCCTAGACAGCCGAATCCTCTATGCCGACTTTGACGTCAACAACCAGGGCATGCCCCAGGCCTACGCCAACCTCAGCAAACCCAGCGCCGTTCCCTCCGTGAATGGCGGCATCCTATGGCCCGACACGGTGAACAAGATCCTGTATCAGTACGGCGGCGAATTTGACGACAACGATGACTCCTCGAACTTCACGTTATGGATGTACGACGCCCTCTACAACACCTGGAACAAGACCAAGGAAGACGACACACAGGACGGTATTCAGCGGGCCAGCTACGGTGCTGGCGTCACGGTCCAGGACCGCGGCGTGGGCTATTACTACGGCGGATGGTTAAGTAATGCCTCGGTTCCGGACTGGGGCGATTCGGATCCCATCGCGCTCTCGCATTTACTGTCGTATAATATGTTAGAAAATACATGGACGAACTCTTCGGGGCCGGATTCTGTCGGTCGCGCTGAAGGTGTCATGCTATATGTTCCGGCGAGTGACGGCATGTTGGTTTATCTTGGGGGTGTCCAGACGCCGAGTAAGAATGGGACCATGACAGGCCAGCCGATGAATGTGCGTGACAGATCGCAAACACCTCTGTTGCTCGTGTGGACGCTGACAAAATGCAGGAAATTCTGCTTTACGACATCGCTAACAGCAAATGGTACACGCAAAAGGCGACCGGGGAGGTGCCCGAGCAGCGCAGACGGTTCTGCGCCGGTGTCGTCTGGGCGGAGGACCGATCCTCGTACAACATTTACCTCTACGGGGGATTGGGAGTGCCAGGGGGTCTCGGGTTCGATGATATCTATATTTTGTCGATGCCGTCGTTTCGCTGGATTAAATGGTATGCCTATCCAGCTGCCTGGGGTTGTGTCGCTTTGCTAATGAGAACCCAGGTATCCTCTCAGTCCGGGAGAGGGATTTCCTCATCACTCGCTAACCTGCGATGTTGTAAATAATGCACAGATGATGTATGTTTTCTACCTTAATCTCATTCTTTTGGACAGGCATTCTAACTTCTCGGACAGCGTCATGGGCGGCACCTTCACCAACTCCACGTCCTGCGACGTCCCACCGATCTACGGCATGCACAACATGGACCTAGGAAAGCAGAACTCCCTGAAACAAAATTGGGCCTCCTTCAATCCCAACCTGACGACCTATAAAGTCCCGTCAGAAGTCACTGACGTGATTGGAGGATCGTACGTCCCGTCCTTACAACATCCCCATCCTCATCCCTCTCTCCCCACCCCCTACATACCTTACCTGATAACCCCCACTCATACCTAACCAAAACACAGCACAACCGGCGGCGCCAAAATTAAAACCCCCTCCGGCGGCTTTAGCGACCGCGATCTGCAACCCTACTTCGAACGCCAATACACGCCCGCCACGCGGTCCCCAACCCGCCCCATCCCCACGGCCACCGCACCAGCCGACTCATCGTCCTCCTCTAAGAAGCCGGTCGGCGCGATCGTCGGTGGCGTAGTCGGTGGCGTCGCCGGTGCCGCCATCATCGTCGGTCTCGTATGGTTCCTCCTGCGACGCCAACGCAAGAAGAAGGCCGGTACTGCCGGCGCCACGCCCGTCCCGACCACCAGCGAGCCTCCCACGGCACTTTCATCTCCCACGGCAGGCGGATTCGGGTTCTCGGACCCTAAACACGTGGTGGCGGATCCGTATCCTCTGTTGGGAGATAGTTACGCATCGCAACATACACACAACGAACAGCAGGGGCAGGGGGCCGTGGAGACGACGCATCAGCGCTCACCGAGTGAGCTTGAACCCGCCCCGTTGGTCGAGCTGTCATCCCCTGACGCGGAGGCCGTCGCTGCCTCGAGGGCCCAGTATTCCGCGACCACCGTTGCCCCGGAGGGATCTGCCCCCGGAGGATGGTGGAAGCCAGACGGGAGTGTCGGAGATTCGGGTATGCAGCGGTGATGAGTCCAGAGTGTTTTTGATTATGTGATCTATTCCGGGGCTCAGTGGCGTAGAAAGACTCAGTATGCGAGATTAGTTGGTGGAGCTATATGATTGTAAATTGTAATGTATCTAATATGGAATGTCATGACAAGATTTTATATGTTTAGTTTGATCCTGGATCGATGATAGGGGAGGCTGTGAGTTGATTAGAATCTCGCGTTTGTCGCAACGTCTCGGATAATACTTTCAGAGATATTGCTTTGTGTAGCATTATTCAATCTATCTCAATGCTTAGATTCCAACCAATGTGTTCGCTCACCAGACCATAATTTGTTGGAGTTTGGATGCCTGAGGCAAGACGCCAAGCATCTCGCCGTTTGTTTACCCCTAGATCGGCAACACCTTGGAAGACGTCTTTTCTTCGTACATCCATCAATAAACAATTTGGTATTAATTGAAAGCATGTATTTCATACTGCAGTGTACTCGGTATCTGGAACGTCTACATAAATAAGTGTATCTGCGTGTAGGCTTAGAAAACACGGGTATTAGTTTGTGAAGGGGATATGCGAATATATAACTACAGGAAGCAGTATGGCATCACTCGAGGGCGAATCCTATCGGCATAAGCTATGATTGCATGCCTGTATATTAGAGCAAAACTTAGATTTTGTTTTTCCTCAGAAACCTGTCGCTTTCTGGAATTGAAGATAGTGCGCAAGTGCAGCTAGAGTGAAGGCGTGGCATTAGGCACCAAGGCAAAGAACAACGTAGGGTGACGCCCGAAGCGGCTAGCGTGGACAAGGCGTCATACAACTCGACTGTGGAAACTGCAAACTGTTCGTGGCATTACCTACATCCAGCTCCCCAGTGAAGTTATATTATGGACACCACTGTTAACCTAGCCCAGACCAGCCCAATGTGTCTCTTCCCCCGGTTCCGACGGCTTTATCTCGGATGCTGTCAACCCTCCACATCCTACTAGTATCAGTCCCTGAGCACAGGATAGCCTAGTCCCCGAACTCTATTGACACTCGAACCAGGGTATTGAAAATCCCTCATCCAGAATAGATCCGTCGGCGCAGAAATCCGCGCAAAAACAACCAATCTTCACTGGCTCGGGACGCGCGCAGAAACTTGCTTGTCGTGTTACTGTGGCTGGCGTTATTCGGCCGCCGAAGTTGTCAGTGCGGGTTTGAGGGAGGGGGGAGGATAGGGTGGGAAAGGACCCGGAGGACGGAGGGATTTGTGACCAAGAGTTATGAGGTATTTAGTAGATTGTAGTCAGCGTGTGTTATGTTTGAAGATGAAGCTGAAGCTAAAGCTGAAAAGGCTGATTGTTTGTTTGATTGTCTCGCACGCGCCCGGTCCCGTGGCCAGCCGTGCCCTACTTCCAGGTCGATCAACGCGGAGTTTTGTCAGCCCGAAGACGTTGCACGCTGTAATACAGATGTGAAACATGTTTATCCTGTCAAAGGTCGTCTGAGCTGCATGGTCTTGGCTGGTCACCCAGTCGGGAGAGGGCCATACCAAGCATTGGAGTGTTCTTTCTTGTCGAGACTTGGCCTTCGATAGGCAGGTCAGGTAGGTCAGTGGTTCGATCGATCTTAAGGGCTACTATCAAGATGAGTGAAATTACAGAAAGTGCTGGGCGAGTTCAGCCTGGGATCGAGAAAGAGGTTGGTAAGAATGAAGGCACGGATGATGCTGCATCTAGAACGGACGAGCAGAACCCTTCTATACAGGAAAATGCCGAGGGCACGGCCAACTACCAAGACTTCAAGCTTTCTCTGTCTGGGAAACTCATCTTCTTTACTCTGGCCGTGCTGACGTTAATGGTCTCGCTGGATGGGACGTCTATCTCGGTGGCGTTGCCAGTATGTCCGTCAAAGCAACTGCGCAAGTCAACAAAGGCTAAAAATGAGAACAGAAAATGGCAGCCGAATTGAACGGCTCTGCAATGGAAGCCTTCTGGAGCGGGACCTCATTTCTGCTCTGTTCAACGGGTGAGTCTCTGCCATTTGCTGCATTGCGATCGCAACCGTTCTAACCAAAAGAATAGTTTTCCAGCCCAGCACCGCCACTCTCTCCAACATCTTCGGTCGACGTCCACTCATCATCATCTCCATCGTCTTCTTCTTCGTCGGTGCGCTCGTCGCCGGCCTTGCACACAACTTCACCGAGATCCTCGTCGGACGATGCATCCAAGGCGTCGGCGGCGGCGGCATCGCCATGCTCTCGGAAGTGGTCGTGACGGACCTCGTCCCGCTGCGTCTGCGTGGGAATTACTACGGGATCCTCAGCGCAGCGTATAGTCTAGGCTCAGTTCTCGGACCGATCGTAGGAGGTGGATTCTCGGAGAACGTCACCTGGGTAAGGCCATTCGAACTCTCCACCTTCTATATCCTACATGCTAATTCTGCCCCGACCACAGAGATGGATCTTCTATATCAACTTCCCCTTCATCGGCATCTCCGCCTTCTTCATCGTCTTCTTCTTCCACCTCCCCAAACCCCCAGGCTCCCTCCGCCAAAAGCTCCTCCGAATCGACTACCTCGGCACGATCCTCTTCGTTGGCAGCGTCTCCTCCTTCCTAATCCCCCTCTCGTGGGGCGGGATCATGTACCCCTGGTCCTCCTGGCGGACGCTCGTCCCCCTGATCGTCGGCGGCTTGGGCCTCTTCATCTTCGTCAACTATGAGATCTACACCCCCAGCGAGCCGATGATCCCACACTCTGTGTTCACAAACCGCAGCGCCGTAATCGCGTTCATCGCATCCTCCCTACAAGGTCTCATCCTCTGGTCCGCGCTCTACTACCTCCCTCTATACTACGAGGCGGTCAAGGAATTCGAACCCATTTTAACTGGCGTCGCCCTTTTCCCCGAGACATTCACCGTGGCTCCTAGCGCTATCTTCTGCGGAGTGATCATCACCGTCACGGGTCGTTATCGATGGGGTCTCTGGGTTGGATGGCTTCTGTCGACCATCGGGCTAGGTGTTACCTGTCTCCTGAAACCGGAGACTAGCACCGCTGGATGGATCTTCCTAAACATCACTCCAGGACTGGGGCTAGGGATCCTAACAGCCGCAATTGTATGCACGGTGCAAGCCTCCTCCACGAACCGCAACCTCACCGTCGCAGTTGCGATGGTAGTATTCTTTCGAGCATTTGGCCAAGCAATTGGTATCGCCGTGGGAGGTGTGATCTTCCAGAATCAGATGAAGCATAAGTTGTCAAATTACCCAGCCCTCGCGGGACATGCTGTAGAGTATAGTCGCGACGCAGCGGCCCTCGTCACCGTCATCCAGGGAATGGGGGATACGGGAGAGGAAGGGATCAGGAAGGGGGAGTTGAAGGAGGCGTATACGGATAGTTTGAGAGTTATTTGGGGTGTCATGTGTGCTGTTTCGGGGGTGGGGTTGGTTATGAGTGCGTGGGTTGAGAAGTATGATTTGAATCGGGCGTTGGGGGAGGATTTGGAAGAGGTCAAGAAGGATGGTGGGAGGAGGGACGAGGAGATGGTAGAGGGATGTGAGGGAGGGGGGGGGGGGGGGGGGGGGAAGAGATAGAGAAATAGTGTGTTTTGATAGGGGGGCGTTGCTAGTTGAGTATGGAGTAGACGGCATAGAGAAGAAGGAATAGAACGAATGAAGGATAGGATCAGGCGTTAAAAATAACAGATAAATGTGTAGAGCCGTGAAGGCGATTGGATGAGAATGGCGACCATGAATAAAACCTAAATTAAGGGGTGCCACTTTCAACACGCTACTTGATCTCAAGACGTATGTTATTCCCTACGAGATCACTAAAAAGAAGGTAAAGCAGTAGCAATCAACCTTCAACTAACCCTCTAGACCTCAAGACTACCCAACATACTCGATCAACTCCCTCCAAACATCATTCCCCCTAAGCAACTCCATCTCCTCCCCCAACAAACAAATCAAAACCTCCATTCCCTCCCCATCTAACATCGGCGCTGTATACGCCGAGCACGGCAACGGCCGATACGTCGGCCTCCTCAACAAGTCCGGCTTACCCAGGTCCCCAAACACAGGGACACGGATATGCGCAATGCTCGAGCACGACAAGTCCGTCTTGGGATCGAACCCGCCCCCGTAGGCGATATTAGCCTTGTCAGGTTCATTGGCGATATACGTGACGTAGCTGCGCAGGGAGTATTCGTTGGTGATGTCGAGGACGCTTTTACGGAGGAGGGAGGCGAGACGGGAGAGACTGGAATTGACGATGTCGGTGAATGAGAGGCGGAGGAAGGCTACTCGGATCATGTGTCCCAGGTATGCTGGGGAGAGGCCCATGACGCGACGGAAGTCGACGGCGCGGCTGATGCGTGAGATGGCGTCGGGGGTCTGCAGCCGGGCGAGGCGGATTATGGTGAGACGTTGCCAGATGAAGGCCGTGAGGGCGTCGTTGGTGGAGACGAAGGGCGTGGATGGGTCGAAGTCCTCAGGGTTGGCATCGGCCATGGCTTTGATACGTGCTACAGCGGCGGCGGGGATGCGGAGGTAGCGCCATTGGAAGAGGGCGACGGCGGCCAGGGGTGGAAGGTCTTTGATGACAAAGGAAGGGCGCAGGTCGGAGTGGTCGAGGAGAGGCTCGCACGGGCCTAAGAGAGGGATGATCTCGCGACGGGGCCGGTTGGCTTCGTCGATCTGGGCCTTGGGGATCGGGTCGCCGCGCATGGCGGTGGCGAGGAGGTTGGCGATCTGGAAGATGCCGCCGGCATCGATAATGTTGTGCTGGGCGGCAATATCGAGGAGTAGGCCGCCGTGGATCAGGTTCGCTTGGATGTCCAGCACAGGGGCTGGGTCGTCCTCGCGCTCGTCGTACGGCTCCGGGAAGGCCTTCCTGGGACCCAGCACGTAGCCCGGTAACATGGCGGAGGGGCCGTGGGCGGCGAGAAGCTCATCGTACGATGGACAGACAGCGGAGCGGTCCTCAACGCGGACGAAAAGGTGGTCCGGGGATTCTTGTCTCGGGAAACGTGCGACTTTGAATACGCCGGAGTTATTGGGCCCAGCGCCTTCGTTGATGACCCTGCCAGAGAGGAAGGGCAGGGCAGAGATGACCGTGTGGGCGGCGGATTCAAGGGAAGCCAGGATAGAGGTACGCTTTTCATCTGCCAGGGGGAAGCAGAGGAGGACGTGAGTATAACTTTTGAGAATGGGGAGCTGACCGATCACATCCTGGATATGATCGTAAGTTACGGTGGTGGGCTCCATAGCTGATACTAGAACAAGAATGGTAGGACCTAGAGTGAGGACGCAGTCAGAGGGACAGAACGAGAATAGAAAGGCGGGATGACCAGAGATAGCAGCGATTGCCGTCCTTATCCAGGAACTCAGGACACGAGAGGGTTACACATGGTGACGCAGTCGAGATGCAGAAATAGCCCGACCCGGACTGGACGAGCTGGTCTTGGAGTAGTCATCAGCGCGAGCGGCTAATGGAGATGGTCTTATAATAGCGTCTCCTGGAGTCCGTGTCTGCATGCGTCTTCTCTGTACGTTGGCTCCATTCTGGCCAGAAGAATGCCATTGTTGTGCAAGGAGACCGTTATGACTGGGTATAGAGAGAAAATGGGCAAGGTACATCCTGGCGGAGGGTAATCGAACAGCTTACAATTAATTCATTGAGCTGCGTATCAGCTGGTTCACGTTCGAATATATACTAACTATGCTGAGTTGTCATCCTTTCAGTGCTTCTCGTCGACTGTTCATATGCTGGGCAAGTTAAGCATCGCTAGTCAATACCCATAGATCACTCGGGCCTGACCGTTTAGTAAACGTTCATATCAGCCATCCCATTAAGCATCGCAATGATCATATAGACTTTCGCCCTGTCTCTACTAATGTTACACATGCCACCTCCTTACATCTCATTGATCTCCACAGATCCCTTGATCCCAGATCCACCTGCTCATGAAACCCCCGATCCTCTTAGCCATTTAGCCACTCAGCAGAAACTTCCCCTTTAGACTTCAGATGATCAAGCCTGCTTTGTTCTCAATCAGCGTTAGATCCCTGATTTGTTCAACCCGAGTCGGAAATCTCCAGCCTGTCAGACGCGCTACTTGGATGTGACTGGACCGTGGAAAACAATCGGAACTCAAGCCGACGCTGTGTCGTCGATCGTGGAACCTGTCGATAGAATATTGCCCGCGCTCAGTGCTCGTGCGAAGAAGGGTGCCACGAGTAGGGCATACAACAGGAGATTATTCGATGTCGTGTTTGAGCGTGGATTGTTTGTTGGGACTGGAAAGAGCACGGCAGGAGTGGAATGCAACTGGTCTGATTGTGCCATGCTGGTGGGCTGCAGTCGCGGAGCGTTGCAGGTTTTCTGCCGCAAGATGTTTTATATTATGTTCTGTTTGACGATAGTGAGTCCTTAATATGATAAAGCCCTAACAGTGCTAGAGCAGGTATCCGATCGTATAATCAAACGAGCCAGCCCAATATCCTACTACCAACCCGTATTCCAGACCATCCAACCCATACGAATTGACATCCCCTGCAGTTCGATTTGATATCGTGCAGACGTCCATCCACACGAAGCCAGAAAACAAGCAGAGCCACCAGGCCCGACCAGACCAGTTCCTGAGAGTGGAAAACCCACCATTTGCCACAGCGCACCGGCAGGGACCCGACAGGCGTTCTGGACCAGTCATGTTTGCAGATCTAGCCCGTATGGCAATCAATTTAGACGCAGTGTCATCACCATGAAGGCTGTCCCAGCAGGCGCCGGCCCTGCGGGCTGGGATATGGCCGGGTCTGGTCGTGGCCTTTTGTCCTTGTAGTGGCAGATTGTCTTGATCTGATCTGAATCGGCGTGGTTTGACCTGATGAGATTGGGCAGGAACATACTAGAAAAGACTAGGCCATTAGTCCATAATTGATGGGGAGCTTCGTAAATAACAGTCATGGTGGTCTAAGGGGAACCGATAGAGTCTTGAAGTGGTGCAGCAGAACTGAACCATCAAGTATAACCAGCGAAGTTGTAACAGCCAGATAATCGATAACTTGAACTCTATCAAGTAGTTCATCCCAGCAAATACTACCACTGCTCAGAGTGTGTTCAACGCAACGCAGCGTAAGCGCAACAGCAGTTCGTACCAGGCTTCAGGTCTCTCTCGCCCAACCAACCAGAGTTTGTGTCTCTTTTTCCTCTGATCCCACCTTCATCTGGTACTTCGCTCTTTATATTCCCTCCCACCCAGTAGATCGACCGGCCTCCATCGCACAGCGTCAATCAATCATTTCCCTTGCCCCTACCACGCCCGGCGGTAGAGAAACAGCGACCCGCAGCCTAGACATCGCATAGATTAGGAAACCGGACATGAACTGCAAAGGCCGAGGAAGAAGCTAAAATGGTTTCGACCCCCACTATATCTCGTCAGCGCCCCGGTTCGGCTTGCGAAGAGTGCCGTCGTCGAAAGGTCCGGTGTGATCGTCGTCGCCCCCAGTGCCAGGTTTGCTTCGAGACGGGTATCGAGTGTAAGATCAACACCACTAGATTACCCAGGGGGCCTAGAAAGGGGCAGTTACGGACTTTAAGGACGAGGATTGGTAGGCATCGTTTATTTCTTATATTCTATTAAGTCTTCTCTACCGTTGTCATTATAACAGCTGATCTAATTACTCGATAGCCGCCCTGGAAAGGTGCCTTGCCGACCAGCACCCGCAGATAAATCATCAAATGGCCAATCTATTCAACAGTTCTCTAGTGGACATGGATCCAGAAGATGATCCTTTGAAGGACTTACCGTCGTTACCGGACTTTTCTGATGATCGCGGAACGGACATCAAATCCCCTACTTCATCGGACTCGCAGCCCCGAACAACAGGCCTTGTTTCCGAATTCATGCGAGCTGATCTGTAAGTCCCCCTCCCCCCTCTATTTCTTTCAATTACCATGGATGTGTCTGATAGTGACAGGGACCAACTCTACTTCGACCGCGTACACCCATTCGCCCCTATTCTTCAACGTTGGCGCTATCATGTCTGGGCCAAACAGGGCAAAAAGACCGACTCACAGACCTGTCTTCAGTATGCTATGTGGACTGTCGCAGCCTCTTTGTCTGCCCAATTTCAGTCCTTCCGCGACACACTGTACCAAGAGACTCGGCAGATGCTGGACAGTCTTGACGTGCGGACGCCGCGGTCCGTCACTATGAGTGTTAGCTCAGGTCCCGGCATCGAGCAAGCGCAGGCATGGGTGCTAGTTTCCATCTACGAATATATGCATCTTTCGCCGCAGCAGGCGTGGATGAGCGCTGGGCGATGTTGTCGCTTGGTGCTGGGCATGCGTCTTTATGAACTCGATGATCCGAATAATCCGATTACGATGGCGAGGGAACAAGATGGGTTGGTGGACTGGACGGGGCTTGAAGAGCAAAGACGGACTTTTTGGATGGCGTACTCGTTGGACCGGTTTATCAGTTTTCATAACGGGTTGCCGTTTACGTTGAATGAGAAATTGGTATGTATGCGGTCGGCAGCTGAGGATTAGAGAAACTGGACAAACAAACACAGCTGACAAGACAAAGCAGATCTCAACACGGCTACCAGCGCCCGAAGAAGAGTTTCAGGCCGGTCAGCCGGTCGTCACTCGGTTCTTGGCTGAGGTGATGGCGCGCAGTTGTTTGGGAGGTGAGACTGCAGGAGGAATGGTAGTCTCGCCGTTTGGAGAATGTATTATTCTCGCGACGATCTGTGGACGAGCGCTATCGCATCGTCAGAAGCTAGCCGTGGAGCAGATTAATGGCGACGTGTTTGATGGACTCTGGGCGAGGCATCAGTGGCTGCATGAGCTGCTGAGCCATCGCATTCAAGTTCTTTCGACGTCCACGCAAGTCGATTCGATGCTGATATTTGCGCGAATCGTGGCGCAGACCATGGTGCTGTATTTGCACAACGTACTGGAGTCCATAGTCTGGAAAACGGGTGATCACTTGTTAGGTATTATCGAGTATGAGAGATTGTGTATTTTGGCGGCGCACGAGGTGGTGAATCTGGTCAGGTTGCAGGGCCAGTTGGGGTATTTCAAGGTGAGCCCTTCATACGTTCTGGTTGAATGCAAAGCTAATGATGTAGGTTCACCCGTTAACACCGATTCCCCTGATGATGTGTACCGAGTTCTTCACAGCGCATGGGTACCTCGATTCGTCGTTCGATGGCATGTTGCGAGAGCTGCTCGAATGTCTGCAAGACTTGGAGCGAGCCAAGAACCCTATTCAGAGTCCGCAGCTATCTGTGACATAATGTCTGTGCTTACTCTATTCAATCGAAACGAAAATGGTCACGGACCTGTTCAGCTGTAGCACACCCTGCATAGTATCGGACGAATCAGTAATCTGTCCAGAGGCCCATTATAGAAACATTTCAGATCATTACAGATTTCAGTAATGCCTTTCGCTTCTACATTGAACTCCTTATATACTCACTCCTCTCTATATTCGCCTACCCCCTCAGAAATCGACATGGATATGTTTCACTATACTCCGACCAACTCCTCCCAACAGCCTCTGGACCGTAATTTCCCGTCAATTTCCGATGCTCTGGTACTACCGCACAGTGGCTGCTGACATATAAGGAAAAGAAATTACAGGGCGTAGACAGGCCGAAGAGATATGCCGGCCAGGAAACTCCGGCCGACGTGTCCCCCGAAAAAGCAATATATGTCCATCATTAGCCCTTGAGCTTCGGTATGACTGTACTGAACTGAATAAATATAGAATGTTCTTGTGGTTTGTAGTAGCGATTGTATATCAAATGGAATAGTAAGGACAGACACGGACAAAAGTGATGAGCATCTACTTCTCCAGCCAGCCTTAACGTGTACCTAGCTGGCTTTACTCTCATCCCCCATCCTCATCCCTATCCCTATTCCTCCGCGCCAAAATGAGCAGCAAACTCTCCCCTCCGAAAGGCAACAAAACCGTACTCGTCTTTGGCTGTCAATGTCTCACTTTCTCAGCGGAGGACTTTCTAGCTCTCCGCGAAACAATATCCTCTTCACCAGAATATGCATGGGCGCTTGAAGTCCTCGCCGAACTCCCCGTCTACTATCGCACCGCAACACACCACCTCCCCAAACTCACCACAATCCCTGGAGATCGACAACTCCGCTCCCTACACGAATGGTTCCGAAGAGGCGATATTGCGGGCGAGACGTTTCCGCCTCCGTATATACAGCTGGCCCCGCTGCTCATGTTGACGCATTTCACGCAGTTTGAGCAGTATATGCGACTGACGTCTCCTGGGTATCGGGACCATGGGAGGATACATGCGGAGGAGAGCGAGGTTGGGGAAATTGTGGGGTTTTGTATTGGGTTTTTGAGTGCGGCTGTGGCTTCAGCGGCGGACTCGAGGGAGAGGTTTGCTGAGTATGCGAGCGTCGCGGTCCGGTTATCCATGCTGCTGGGTGCAATTGGGGATGCACAAGAGGTGGAGGAGGAGTGGACATCGCTGGCCACGGTGTGGAAGGGGGAGGATATGGAGGGAGAGTTAGAGGAAGTGCTAAAGAGGTTTCCTGAAGTATGCTGTTCCTCGTTTGCTCTTTCGCTACATCTTTGAGGCTACAGGTGGATGGATGCTAACTCTACAGGCATATGTAACCGTTCGCTACGACGATAATCGCGCCACGATCATGACACCCCGGCGCAATCTGGCCCAGCTTCAAGAGTCACTTCAATCCGCAAGCTTCGGGTGCAGCCAAGTCGACTTCAACGGTCGATACCACTGGTCTGGGCATAAAGACACTGTACGCTCACTCTTGGCCATGTGCTCTACGGATCCATCACTCCAACTCCCCGACGCATCGCAGCTGGTGCTTCCCACGCGCGCCAACACAGGCGGCCAGCCCGTTGCCTCCGGGCCCTTGACGACGCTGGTCCTAGAATCCATCCTCTCGCAACAATGTGACTGGCAGCGCACATTCTCAGCCGTCTACGAGTCCCAACTCAAGATCAGCGACTCGATCATTGTCGAATTCGGTCAGGAACGCTGTGTCCCGCCGACATTCATGCGCAATCTCCGCGGTCGCGTCATCCACTTCGCAGACCTAGACCTAGACCTGACCTCTCGTCTCTCCCCTCTCAACTGCAACCCTAGAACATACGACACCGACATAGCCGTCATCGGAATGGCCTGTCGTGTCGCCGGGGCCGACGACCTACCTGAGTTCTGGAGCCTGTTATGCTCGGGGACCTCGCAGCACGAAATAATGCCCGAGGCGCGATACAAGGATTTCGAGACGCCGTGGCGCCCGGGGGCCCAGCGACCCTGGTTCGGGAATTTCGTGCGCGACATCGACGCCTTCGATCATAAGTTCTTCAAGAAGGTGCCTCGCGAAGCCATGTCTCAGGATCCGCAGCAGCGATTGCTTCTACAAGTCGCGTACCAAGCGCTCGAGCAAGCTGGATATTTCCACGATACCAACCAGGACAAAAATATCGGGTGTTATGTGGCGTGCTGCACGGTCGACTACGAACATAATGTGAACTGTCACGCTGCCACGGCGTACGCAGCGACGGGTCTCCTGCGCAGCTTCATGGCCGGGAAACTGAGTCATTATTTCGGCTGGCGAGGCCCCGCGTTCTGCGTCGACAGTGCCTGCTCCGGCTCAGCGGTCGCCCTTCATCAGGCATGCCAGGCCGTCTTGAAAGGCGAGTGTCGGGCAGCGCTAGTCGGCGGGGCCAACGCCATCATGAGTCCCCTGGCGTTCGATAACCTGGCAGGCGCCTCATTCGTGAGTCCCACGGGTCCGTGTAAGCCGTTCGACGCAAAAGCGGACGGGTACTGTCGTGGCGAGGGCTTTGCGGCCGTGTATATCAAGAAGATGTCAGATGCGTTGGCGGACGGGGATCCCATTCTCGGCACGATTGCCGCGACGGCGGTCGAGCAGAACAATAATTGTACGCCGATTGTTGTCCCGGATGCGGCTTCACTGGCTGGTTTGTTTGAGAAGGTGACGAAGACAGCGAGGGTTCTTCCGCGCGATATTTCCGTCGTCGAGGCCCATGGGACCGGAACTCAGGCGGGCGATCCGGCTGAGTATTCGAGCGTTAGGCAGACGCTGGGCGGCCCGCAGAGGGACAGGCCGCTAGCCTTGGGCTCGGTGAAGGGCCTTGTGGGTCATACGGAAGGCGTGTCAGGGTTGATTGCCCTGGTTAAGGTCCTCTTGATGATTCATGGAGGCATGATCCCGCCGCAGCCGAATTTCGAGACGCTGAACCCGTATATCCAGGCGAAGGAGGACGATCAGATTGAGATCGTGAAACAGCTGAAGCCATGGAGTGCAAAGTTCAGAGCAGCCCTGATCAATAATTATGGTGCGTCGGGGTCGAATGCGTCCATGGTGCTCACACAGGCGCCTAGGGATAGTTGCTCGTCTCCAATCCATGAAGATGGACTACCATTCCCAGTGAGACTTTGCGGCTATGACGAAGGTCGGTTACGAGACTACGCCGCAAGGCTTGTTGAATATCTGCGTGATCAACGGGTGCCAGGCTCTCTAGCCCTATCCCTAGCGAATGTAGCGTTCAACATCTCGCGGCAGACAAATCCAACCTTGGACAGACACGCCTTGTTCAGTTGTCGATCTGTCGATGAGCTAGAAACGAAGCTTCAAGGAATCGCCGATGGTGACGAGTCACATTTCATTCGATCCAAGAAAGACCAACGCCCGGTCATTCTCTGCTTCGGCGGACAAGTATCCACATCCGTCGGACTAGACCGAGCGGTCTACGACGCGATGCCACTTCTCCGTCGGCATCTTGATGAATGCGACTCTATCCTCCAGGAGCTAGGACACGATAGCATATACCCTGCAATTTTCTCTCGCACGCCCATCACAGACCAAGTTGAACTGCAAACACAGCTCTTCGCGCTGCAATACTCGTGCGCCAAATGCTGGATAGACTCCGGAGTTGCTGTAACCGCAGTTGTCGGACATAGCTTCGGGGAGCTGACGGCGCTATGTGTATCGGGTGTGTTGTCATTGACCGATGCTCTGGCCTTGGTCGCTCGCCGAGCAGCCCTGATCCGAGACAACTGGGGCTCTGATAGCGGCGCAATGCTCGCCGTTGAGGGAGAGCAAGCGGAGATCCTAGATCTACTAGATGAGTCGCATAAGGCGGATCCGAATAGTGCTCCGGCCACTATAGCCTGTTATAACAGTCCTCGAAACTTCACCTTGGCTGGTACGAAGGACTCCATTGACTCGGTCCAAGAAACGCTGAAGCAGCCGACATATGCCCATATGAGAACTAGGAGGTTGACAGTCACGAATGCGTTCCATTCTAGCCTAGTGGACCTGTTAATTCCTGCTCTCGACCACGTCACAGAAGGTCTAAAACTGGGAGATCCGTCCATCCACCTTGAACGCGCGACAGAAAATGCTTCGACTGGTGTTCCGCCCCTAAGCATCGTATCTGATCATCTTCGTCGACCGGTATATTTTCACCACGCGGTTCAGCGTCTAGCGGAAAGGTACCCATGCAGTGTGTGGCTTGAGGCAGGATCAAATTCTACCATCACGTCCATGGCAAACAGGGCTCTCGCCAGCACGGAAGGACATCGTTTCCAGCCCGTCAATATCACTAGTTCCACAGGGATCCAAAATCTCACGGATACCACGCTGGCCCTCTGGCGAGAAGGCATTCATCTACGGTTCTGGGGATATCATCCAATTCAGACAAAAGAATACACTCCGATGCTTCTTCCTCCGTACCAGTTCGAGAAATCTCGTCACTGGATGGACAATAAGAAACTCCCTGCCTCCACCACGATGGGTGCTCCTAAAGCATCCACTGAGGAAAACAACCTATTCAACTTCCTGGGCTATCAGGATAAAGCGCAGCAGATTGCTAAATTCCACATAAATACCTCTCATCCGGGATATGTCGACCCTGTATCCGGTCACATCGTCGCATCCACAGCGCCTCTCGCACCCGCTTCATTCCTCCTCGACATTGTCATCGAGGCACTGCACACTCTCCCCGAAGCAAAGGGCAAGATACCCCAAGTCCACTCCGTTACCAGCGACGCACCGCTTTGCCTAGACCCATCCCGCACTCTCTGGATCGAGCTACACGCGACCGATGATGCCAAACAAACCTGGGACATTAAATTCATCAGCGAAAACCCCGCTAAAGGCGCCCGATCGCAAATGATGCACTGTTCAGCCCGCATCATTCTCTTCAATTCAGACTCCTCCGACCTCGCAGCCCAATTCGCCCGATACACCCGCCTGATTAGCCACGCGCACTGTCGCAACCTCCTTATCGACCCTAACGTCGACGACATCCTGCAAGGCCGGACCATCTACCGCGCGTTCTCCGAGGTAGTCGCCTACTCGCCCCCATATCGCGGCGTAACCAAGCTCGTCGGCAAAGGCAATCATTCCGCCGGCCACGTCGTCAAGGAATATACTGGGGAAACCTGGGCCGATCCTTATCTCTGCGACTCATTCAGCCAGATTGGTGGCTTTTGGGTAAATTGTATGACGGACCGCGCGTCAGACGATATCTACATTGCCAGTGGCATGGAGATGTGGATGCGGTGTCCTGAGTATGCGGACAAGAGGGCACCGAGGCCTGAGAACTGGGATGTTCTGGCGATGCATCGACGCGAAGATGGTATGTATATTAGTGATGTGTTTGTGTTTGAGTCTGAGAGTGGGAGGCTCGTGGAGATGTTTTTGGGGTTACAGTATTCGAAGATCGCGAAGGTGGCGTTCACGAAGATTCTGAGGAGTTTGGCGCCGGGGGCTTCGGCTTTGACGTCTTCTGAGGGGGCCAAGGGAGGGGATGAAAAGGCAGCGATCGCTGGAAAAGGAGGCGCTGCTGTGAAGATGGACACGGAGACGAAAGCTCCCAAGAAGAAGGCTACAGTGAGTATTGCCAGTCGGGTCAAGGCAGTAGTTGCAGAGTTCTGCGCCATGAACCCTAGCGAGATTCACGATGATGGTCATATGGCCGATGCCGGCGTCGACTCGCTCATGGCGATGGAGCTAGCTCGCGAGATGGAAGAGGCGTTTGGATGTACTCTTCCAGCGACAGATCTGATGGAAGCCGAGACCTTCCGAGATATGGTCAAATGTGTGCAAACGGCGTTAGGAGTGGAAGGCGATGATGCCAATAGCAGCACGACAGAAGAGGAACACTCGGAAAAAGTGATTGACACGCCGCCGCCGTCAGAATCAGCGGCCACCAGTGTCTCAGATGTTCCAGAGCTGTGCCTCTCTCAAGATGGAGTCCTAGAAGCGTTCGGACAGGTGAAGGCGTTGACCGATGAGTTCCTGGCCGATAATCATTGCAGTGGACGTGTTCATGCTTTCGCTCCTTTGCAGATTCAGCTTTGCGTGACATTGACGCTCGAGGCCTTCGAGGAACTAGGCGATACTCTTCGCAAGGCTCAACCAGGTCAACGACTGAAGCGGATCTCGTATGATCCCCAGCACCAAGAGCTCGTCGACTATCTCTACAAGAGGCTTGAAGAAGCTCGGTTGATCGACCTTGATGGGTCTACTGTCATTCGTACTGCCATCGCAGCTCCGATGCGCTCCAGCACTGCTATCCTCGAAGAAGTATCTCGCGATTACCCTGAGTACGCCGGTGCCAGCAAGCTTTCCTTCTTCACTGGCAGCCACCTCGCCAGCGTCCTCCGCGGCGAGCAAGACGGCCTTCAACTGATCTTCGGCACCAAGGAAGGTCAAGAGCTTGTGTCGTGGATGTACGGTGACGAGCCCCACAACGTGTCAGGATACAAGCAAATGCTAGAGTTTATCCAGCAGCTAGCCGGTTTAATCCATACCACACGGAGCCCTCTCAAGATCCTCGAAATGGGCGCCGGAACAGGTGGGGGAACAAAATGGTTTCTCCCCGGCCTAGCCAAGCTCAACATTCCTGTCGAATACACCTTCACCGACATATCAGCCGGATTCGTCGCGCAGGCTCGTCGCCGATTCAAAGACTACCCGTTTGTTCAATATCGCGTGCACGATATCGAGAAGCCCCCGGCCGACGATCTTCTTCGCACTCAACATATCATCATCGCGAGTAACGCCGTGCACGCGACGTCGAATCTGCGGCAGTCAACGCGTCATATGCGCCAGGCTCTCCGCGATGACGGCGTGCTCATGATGTTAGAGATGACCAGGCCCGTGTTTGCTATTGATATCGTGTTCGGTCTGTTCCGCGGATGGTGGGTGTTTAACGATGGACGGCACCATGCGATCACGAACGAGTCGCGCTGGGAGGCGGATCTACATGCAGTCGGGTATGGACATGTGGATTGGACTGATGGGTATTCGCCCGAGGTCAGTGTGCAAAGAGTCATTTTTGCAACGGCTTCGGGGGAGCAGCGCGAACGGTTACCGTTGGGGAAGAATCTTGCTTCGCCGATGGTGGCTGTTGATAACCTCGCTCGCGGGAAGGCGACGGAGGGGTATATTCGACGTGCTGCTGAGAGGTTTGAGGCCCCCATCAGACCTGCTTCTGCCATCTCAGATGAGAGTTACAGCGTCTTGGTCACCGGTGCGACAGGGAGTTTGGGAAGCCATGTTGTGGCGCGATTACTTCGAGATTCTGCTGTGAAATCGGTTGTATGTCTGAATCGACGGTCAAAAGGAGACGGATTTGACCGTCAGATGCAATCGTTCGTGGACAGAGAGATTGATCTAACCCCGCAAGAACTATCCAAGCTCGAGGTTATCGAGTCGAACACCTCGGAGCCCAATCTTGGACTTTCCACCGACCAGTTATCCGACCTCACGCGCTCAGTAACCCACATACTCCACAACGCCTGGCCGATGAACGGAATATCCAGACTTTCTGCTTTCGAGCCGCAGTTTAACGCGATGCTCAATCTGATCGATCTAGCCCGCGACGCCGCCAGCTTCCGCACCAAGCCCATACGTTTCCAACTAATCTCTTCTATCGGCACTGTTGGACATCGTCCACTGCTGTCCGGTCAACCTATCGTCTCAGAAGAACCTACCAAAATTGAATGGGTTCTACCAAACGGTTACGGCGAGGCCAAGTATATCTGCGAACGGATCCTCCACGAGACCCTCCATCAGCACCCAGACCGCTTCGAAGCCATGGTGATTCGCCCAGGACAGATCGCCGGATCAAGTGTCTCTGGATACTGGAATCCCGCCGAGCATCTACCCGCCATTATCAAGTCTGCCCAGACATTGAAACTTCTCCCTGACTTCCAAGGCGTGGTTTCATGGACCCCTGTTGATGCTGTGGCGGGGACTGCTGTCGATTTACTTCTCGGGACCCATAAGCCCCACCCTGTGTACCATATTGACAATCCCGTTCGGCAGCTGTGGAAAGAGATGGTAGCTTTGCTGGCAGATGAACTAGGGGTGCCGAGGAGTAACATCGTGCCTTTCCCCGAGTGGATCCAACGCGTCAAGTCCTTTTCTGGCTCAGCTGATGATAACCCTGCTGTTCGGGGGGCGGACTGGCTGGAGGACAATTTTGAACGCATGTCTTGTGGTGGATTACTATTGGATACCACTAAGGCGAGAGAGCATTCGTCGACTCTCACGAGAGTTGGAGCTGTTAGCGACGGTGTGACGAGAGGGTATATACGTTGGTGGAAGGAGAGGGGCTTTTTGCAATAGAGGTTTCGGTTGGGACTTGGATCTTTTTTTGCTTTCGGCTGTTGAGTCTGATGTTTGTTTACATAAAAGTTTTAATATAGTTATCACACAATTAACACTTTGATTCAATCTGTCCAGTAACCTCTCTCCCTTCACTCCCTTCGACGCAATGTCTATCCCTTGCTGCACATTCTCCGTGCAACAAACCCTCCCTTTAAGAGGCATAAACAATCCATCTCTCCCAGATCGGAGCTGACCCCGTTTTCAGGGACGCATTCTTTTTCTTGTATTGAAATTCGTACTTTTTGAAAAGTAAAACCGAGACTATGTATGGGGAAAACTCCATTCTTTTCCACATAAGTGCACTAGTTTACCCAATAGGGGCGTGCAGTGGGTTCCTGAGCATGTTAAGTAGGGCTTTTCCCGCGAATTTCTCGCATGGAAAACGAAGCCACAATTAGAAATTATCGTATCAATGAAAAGAGAACACAAAAAGACAACATCCATTCTCCACGCGGGACAAATCTCCTCTTCTCGGCCCCCGAACAAAATGCGATCACCGCTCGTAAGATCACACATTAAAATCCGATAAATTGGTTGCAGGGTGGGAAATGCGCAATAGAATGCTCAACTTGACCACGAAGCCTGAGACGGTTGGGTCATGGAGCCAATGGAGCCATCTTGGGCCGGACCTTTGCAGGCCAGGCTGAATGGCATTGAGCGCGTAACGCGAGTGAGGATAGTTTGTTGACTTGATTTCAGGTTGGACTAGTAATGTCTGTTATTGTAAACGGGGCTCGAAGTGCGGTGATGGAGGCTGCTTTGTTGAAAGGCATTTCTCAGAAGTATTCCCTCGGATTTCTAGATTGTATCTTTGAAGTTTTCGGAGAATATGTATCAACCCCGGAAGGAAAGAGGCTCAATCGTCCTGCAACTAACGAAGATTATATCCCCGAAACCCAAAAGGTGGATCAGGCCTTGACAAACAGGCATTATATAACCGCCGGAGAACAATCTTGATCTATTTACAATATATCTTAAGGTCGCCACCACCGAGTGAGCCCAAATCAAGAGCAGCAGTCAAGAAGCCCCATCTCCAAGTCACGAAGTACAAGAGATTGCCCTTGTAGCCATGTGCGCTACTTCTGAGTGATCCGCCTACTATGCCCTATGTTGAAGGCCCATCTCTGACAACTTCTCCTGTTCTTGCCGAATGGCCTAGGTTGGGAAGCGAAATCCAGTATTCGTCATCGACGGACTCTTGGTATTGTTGGGATTGATCTTGGAAGCTCTTCAAATAATTTCCGAGCCGGTCTGGTTTCCACTCCAACCGAGTCAGAGACTAGAATGTGCCGTGGTTGACCATAGACAGGTAAGGTTGCGAATCGGGCCGATGAAATCACTGGCGCATATACATCGAGTGGCCAAGCCGTAGACTTCATCGACTGAATAGATGCTGGAATGGCTGTAGGGTCGGCCACGTCTATTAAATTATTTGTCATTATGATTCGTACGAGTTCATGGAAGCTTGGCCAGCGATATTGAAACCAGTAAGTAGTCCTGGGGGCTGCTCTGTGACACGATATTTAGCAGGCTTTTGTCTCTTCCGGAGAGCTATAGGGATCGGTCAAATACGCCAGTCCCCATAAAGACTACGAAATTTGATCCCCATACTCTAGGCTGCAGAGTAAGCAACATGTCTCTCGACGTGTCCTCGTTATTCTCTGTTAGAGACACCGTCGCTGTCATAACGGGTGGCGGATCCGGTAAGTCTATCACCCCCTTTCCTTATAGCCTGACTATCAACCGTCAATCTAACTAGCCATGCCTCGGCCGCACCATTGCTCACGCTCTCGACGCCAACCACGCATCTATAGTCTTCATCCTCGGCCGTCGGGAGCACGTTCTCCAGGAAGACTGCGCTGAAGCACAGAACCACTCCCTCATCCCCGTCCCAACAGACGTCACCTCAAAGGAGTCTCTCGAGGCAGCATACCGCACCATCGCATCCCAAACCAACCACATTGACCTCCTCATTGTGAACAGCGGCATCGTGGGCCCTCCCACCTCCCTCCCTCCGAATCCCGCTGCGAGCCCTTTCACTCCACCCACTCTCCGTGAATTCCGCGACCACCACTTCTCCCACCCAATGGAGTCAATCACCAGCGTCTTCGACGTAAACATCACAGGAAGCCACTACACTATTCTCGCTTTCCTCCCTCTCCTTGAAAATGCCAATCTCTACCGCCCTTCTCCCCAACCAGACACAGTGTCTCCACCTCGCCCGCAAGTCATCATCACCAGATCAGAGTCAATGGGATTGCACCGGGCTTGTTCTATTCTGATATGACTTGCCCGCTATATCAGTGGTTCAGGATCCCTGGGACAGGCGTGTCAGACGGGTCGTTCCCGGCTACACACATTCCGCTCACGAGAGGCGGTGGGGAAGTTGATATTGCAGGGCTGGTGTTGTGGATGGCGAGTTACTCGGGTGGGTATCTAAATGGGGAGACGATTGTTTTGGATGGTGGGAAGAGGAGGGTCGTTATCTAATCACAGTGTTCATTGATCTGGTACTGGTTATGATCCTTGTTTGATCTTGGTTTACGTCCTCTAGGCCGGTTGATGTGCTCTTTTAAGGTTTGAATTTGGATGTAATATGGGGCTGTCTGGGTCTTTTCTGGATTTAAATTGAGGTAGCTAGACTCTAGTCTTGATACGAAGGCAGTCTTCGGAGTATTTCCTCTCTCCCGATCTATATGTGCCCCAAGTTGGCTACGATATGTCTTCGGCGGGAGATTAAATTATCGCATTTCGCAACCACCAGAACTGCAAATTGCTATTTGAGATAATCCCCCTCGATTCTCCCTTGCTATTCACTACAACCATAAGATTCTATGATAGATGGCAGCTCACAGACTGCAATCTATCTTCGTCAGCGACTGCCAAGGGCTCGGCGGGTCAGCTGATTCGCTGACTAACGCGCACCGGAAGGCAAGAATACGCGACCAATCAGCAGCGGAAGGGAACTCTACGCGAGGGGAGTATCTATAGCTTCATGTATGCTGTTTGGGGAACTATAAATGGGCCTAAGTTCAGTAGCCATTCACTTCATTCCACGGAAGCAGCATTCAAGAAGCCTTTCTTGAGTACCCAAATCGAATTGAGAAATCACAAGCAACAAACCGATCAACCTCCCATCAAACAAGTCAACCAGCCTTACCACCAACCCAACCAACAAAATGTCCGTCTCCACTACCCAGCCCGGAAAGAAGTACGTCTTCGGCGTTCCCCTCTACGACTTCCAAGCCCTCGACGTTGTCGGTCCAATCGACCTCATCCACTCCTCTTCCAAGCAACTCCTCGCGGAGATGGAATCCATCGGCTTCCTACCCGCCGGTCTCGCCCCCCACGCCATCGACGTCGAATTCATCTTCCTCGCACCAACCCTCGACCCAGTGAAGCTGCACTATGGAATGACCCTCGTCCCCACTGCGACCTTCTCGACCTGTCCGCCCCTAACGTGTCTCCTCCTCGGCGGCCCGGGACCACAGTTCTTCAACAATATCCCGGAATCGTACGTCTCGTTCCTCCAGGAGAGGGTGAAGGAGGTGGAGTTCCTGTTCACGACATGCACGGGCGGGATCGTGGCGAGTAAAGCGGGGTTGTTGGATGGGGTGAAGGCGACGACGAATTGGGAGTTTCTTGACGGGGCGAGGAAGGAGTGTCCTGCCACTGAGTGGGAGAAGGAGAGATGGGTTGTAGATGGCAAGATTTGGTCGTCTGGGGGTGCGTTTGCGGGGATCGATATGTTTGAGAACTGGTTGGAGGGGAGGAGGGGGGAGGCGTTGAAGGGGTTGGCGAGGAGTGGGTTGGATTATTTGCCGAGGGGGCTGGATGGGGAGGTTATTAGGGATTAGAGGGGGCTTGGTGAGGCTTAGGTTGGGGAGGCAGATACGGCTTTGTTTGGCTCGGGTGTGATGTTATGGGGTTGTCTGCATTTGCTGTTCAAGGTCAACAGTTGCGTTTAGAGCATGTGTACTATAACTTCGTAAATCGTCATATGAGTGGAGAGCTATCCTGAATTAGCATACATTCTGATAGACCTCACCCGTTCAAACAATTCGCAGCATCAATCCACTCCTCTTGGGACAGTTCCACCCCTGGTCCATCTCCAAACAGATCTCCAAAGTCGATCCCCAGATCATACGAAGGCACATCAGCCAGGCTGTTCTGATACGCACTCCAGAAGTCGGTTTTTCGCATACCTACCATCGCAGGACACTGTCCTGGCTTAAATTGGGGGCCTATATGTGCAGCTTGGCTTGGATCCTGCTCATCTTCGGCAGGTAATCCAATTTTTGCTTCAACAGGAAGCAGAAGACCCATGACCGATTTGAAGAGGTACAACATATCCGGAAACTCACCAGGGTTACAACCCGACTTGGATCCTTGCGCCAGGCGGTTGGCGAGGCATTCGAGCAGGGTAGATATTTTTCGGGCGCTCACCCGAGCGATTGAAATAAGCTCTGGTTGGCCTGCGGCAGCTGAGAGGGCTTCTAAGACGTTGCGGATAACCACTATAAGTCGAGACCATTCCACGGCGCTGAAATTGAATAGTTGGTTCATGGGAAGGGATATGAGATAAGTTAGGAAATCGTTTCCGGTGGTGATAATTGCCTGGAAGCCGGCCGTATTGCTTTGCTCTGGGCGGAAGGGGGTATTGCTTGCTTTGAAGAAAGCGAGGAACAAGGTTGCGGTTTTGATCGGAGCTGATTGAATATTCGTCAGCTCGGTTCCTGCGTTCAAGGGCATGACTTACGGGTGTCCAGAAAACCATCCAGGGATATGTCATGGACTGGGTTCTCATCCCGATATGTCGACTCTATATTCATCTGCACTTGAAAACAGCGCAACATGATTAGTGTGTGTGGAGAGTCCGACTGAGCGAGTTCAGACAAGTATAATTTGAGAGTTTCCGGAAGAACAGCAATATTGGGTCGTTGGTTTTGTGTTGACATCCTAAAACATCAGATCGATCTTTCAAATTGCAGGTGGTTACTTACAGTGACGAGAGAAAGTAACATCCAAGACAGGCATTCTTGATTTCATTGATGGTACAAGAATTCTGAGTGGTTAAAAAAGCATCATCGTTATATCGAAGCTCAGCCACCATGCAGACAGCAATGTGCAGATACTGATGGATTTGCAAGTTCGTGGGACGGACATTCATGTTATACCTGGTCTCCATTAGACTTCCCGCTCAAATGCAGCGATCGAAGCTTACCAGGCAATATAAACAAGCAACCCCTGGAGGTAGTCAAGGCTCTTCTCCCCCGCAACAACGACCCTGTCCGCCAACACAGCCCGAAACCGAGCATCGAGACTTCGCAACAATGGCATATCCTCCGTAGCAGCCACTGTTAGGACCGCCAGATAGAGAAATCGATGCTCTGGGGACGCAATGTCCTCCGGAGCAGTCACAAACGGAAAATAGCTATTCTTGGCACGAAACCTCTCTACTAGCTCATCGGCTCGCTTCTGATCTAGTACCCGCGGTCGCACGCCCAGTCCATCGGGAATATGCGGTGGTTGATCCGCCGGAATCGGCTCAGACCTTAGAAACTTCTCCTGGAATATGCGATTATGAAAACTGACGAGGTTGTCAGATGGGGGCGGTTTTTGCGACGCGGCGAACAATCCTGAAACCACGTCGATTTCCTCTCCCTTCGACACAGCTGGACGTGAAGCCTTCGCAGGTACAGTACCCTCGCCGATTTGACATTGTAGATGCAACGCTTGACAGCTTCGCGCCTGTCAGCAGTTATGATCAGGCTCCCGGATTCATCAAGCTTACCGCCGACACGGCGAATGTGCGAGTTCGCGCAGGCAACGCGTGCGCTTGGCGCGACAGTGGGCGCATGCCCTGACATTCCGCGGCCTGGGGCACTGGAACTTGTGGCTTGATTCCATTGACGGTGGGTGAACGAGCTTTTGATGGAGAAGGATGCTAAGGCTAAAGTGGAGAGTGCCTGGATTGCCAGCGAGATTCGGATTGATGCCTGATCATCTCTTGGCACGGCTGGTTGACTTTGGCCTGAGGCACGAACTCCGAGCATGTTATTTATAGATCTGATCACCCTAGGGATAAAGAACCACATCGCAGTAATGTGGCGATTGTGAAATATTAATATTTCGAGCATGAAACCATTCTCCAAGTTCTCATGTAGTTTAGAGCCTTTTTACATTTAATGAAACGTGCGAATGATCGTGCAGCACCGATTCTCGCCGTCCATCAGCAATCTCGGCTTCCTAATGTGGTTGCAGCTGACCTGACCTCTTGAAAGTGGGTCCCGATAAGCTCGCGTGAACTGTATCCACCTTCCTAATGTGACAATGTTGAAGTGCGGAGTTGACTAAGCAGTTGCGGTAAGACGATCATCGCCTTGCTCGGCTGCGAAATTGCGGTATTGCGCATTCTGCAATATTGCAATATGAAGCTATAGAATAGCGGTGAAAATGAGCGATTCTAGCATTATAAATAGATCTCTTAGATAGTCAGAAAGGAGGTCTTCAACATCTTCAATCTATTTGTTTGATATAGCCAATTCAATTGCTTCATTTAATTGTTTTTTAGTGGTTCAATCTATCCGGATCCTTAGTCATTTTGCTTGTCAAGTCTTCGTTCTTTTACAGTTATGAGTCCGGTGACCCTCTAGATTTAGAAATATGTCGATAAGGATTTTTTTGAGCAGTATTCTAGCGAATTGGAGGATCATGGCTAGCAGAATCAATACGGATAGCGTTGTGAAGGTGAAAATCGTCTTCAACGGATCGGACGATTGGCGTGATTGGATTAAGGAAATAGAAGTGTATGCATATTGTCTTGCAATATGGGATCATTTCGATTTTGATCGAGAGGAATATTCAGAGGAGTTAGAATGTTTTAAAAATCTGATTGAATTTGACAATAAGTTTTATAGGAAATGGCAATATCAGCTTCAGAATTGGAAAGATAAGACAAATGCTATAATAAAAGTGGAGAAAGAAATTTGATTTTTTATACTGATCCGGGCAAGATCGATAATTGAAAATATGAAGAAGGAAGAGATGATTAAGGCATTGAAAAAGCAATTTAAGTCGAGCAAGAGATACCTTGACAATAGGGTTCTTAAGTTATATAATACGGTTAGCAGGAGATCTCTCAGAAAGGGCAGGATAGAGGCTTGATTGGATGAATTTATTTTTGCGTATGTAGCGATCAAGAAACGAGGCCTTTCAGAAAGTCAGAATAGATATGTGAAACGGGTATTTTTGCAAGTGATTGGATTTGTATCATTCATATTTAGTGATCTGCAATTGCAGGCAATGAATGACGAGGAATGCAAAGACGAGACATTTTATAAATTGTTCGTGCGATATAGAAATTATTTTATGAGTCGGCAATATCAGGAATCAAAGGATCAATTTGCAATGGTTTCATTAAACGGCCATTCGGACGGAAAATTGAGTGAAAATCGAAAGAAAAGTTCTCAGGATTGCATATGTGGAGAAATTCACTGATTCGTGGAATGCGCATATCTCAATTTATTGGAAAAGATTGCTTTATTCAAGACAGATGAAGCAATTATCAAGAAGATTAGAGATTTAGTATTGTGAAAGATTAAGTTCGATGCAATGATTAGGGGCTATATCGATCGGAATTGGAAGGACGAATCGCTTCAATTTTTTTATACAATGATGCTTGTATTCAACGCAGGGATCATTTCATTTTTAAAGAACTGTTTTATTCTTGATTCAGGAGTGTTCACGCATGTATGCAATGATATTTCGCGATTTGAATCATTGGACGAAAACGTGGTAGAAGATCTGCAAACAAATGATTCAATTATCAAGATCCTAGACACTGGAATTGTCAGAATTTGTTTTAATTGCGGAAGCGATAAAGGCAAAGAAATGATCATTTTAAAGAATGTGGCATACGTTTTCGGTTTGTATATCAACATTTTAAGTGTCAGAAAGATTTAACAAGCAAGATATGAATGGGAATTTGGTTATAATTGCATCACAAAAAATGGTAATGTTATATTTCGACTAGAAGATCATTTCACAGGATTATGGATTATTGAGAAATCGAAAGGATTGAGCGAGGATTTACATGTATATGTGATTTTTATACAGACGATCAAGAAGTCAAAAAAATCGTTCATCTTGAAAGGAAGAATGGAAGATTGGTATTGTCGAATGGGTCATGTTCATCGAGATGTAATCAGACGCTTATTTGAAGCTGTTATGGGCATCAAAATTATCGATTGGAATGATCACAATAGAAATCAATAAATATGCGAGCCATGCAAGATCTCATGGGCTCTTCAGCAGATATCTAGGCGTTTTGGAATAAAGACAATCTCGTTATTCGAGAGGGTGCATTTTGATTTCATACAGATGAGATCAACACTCAATAGAGATCAGTGGATTTCACATTTTTATGACGAATATTCATATTTTCACGCAATGAGTACGCATTCGCAAAAGAATGATTGCGTCAATGTTATTAAGATTTTTGTTAATCAAAGAAGAAATCTTTTCAAGATATGGATTAAATTTATAAAAAACGATCAAGAATAAACGTTCGAGAATGAGATCAAACACTTTGAACATCTCAAAGAGATTGTACACGAGTATTCGGTGATTGGAATTCTGAATCAAAACGATTCAGCAAAACGTGTAGGATCTATATTGATTTTGAAGATGAGAAAGATGATATTTAGAGCGAGATTACCCTGGGACTTGTGGCCATGGGTCTTTGCATTCATTGCAGAGATAGTCAACCGGACGTCTATTGCTAGTATTTAGTGGAAGATATCTTTCGAATTATTTTATGGAAAAAAATTAGATTTCGCGGCACACCGCACAGTTGATTGCATTGTTTACACAAAGCAGGATCAAGATCGAAGCAATAAGATGGCTTCACGCGCGTATCGTGGAATATTGCTTGGGTCAGTTGCATTGAATATATGGCATATCTGGAATTTGAAAAAGCAATTAGTAAAGATCGCGAGAGATGTGCAATTTGATGAAAGCAGGTTTTATGATTTCAACGAGCCATTCTTTGAAGATCTACTTCGCAAGACCTTTCTTATATCGTCGTTAAAGATCGCAATTCCATCGCAAGGAGAAGAAGATCTCCATCAATCGAATGACGCGATTGATTTTGCGGAAAGAGATGAACACTTTAGAGATGATGATTCTGACGGGTTGAATGAGGTTTTTATTAGTTAAAATAATGAAGATTTGATTAAAAAAGAAGGATTTGTTGAATTGAGCGAGTTGGACCGGCAATTTAGTAAGGAAGTTAGATATTAGATGATTATTTCGGACCGCATGCGTACTGCAGGATTTTCAACATTTCAATTAATGTTTTAATATTACAACCAGGATTATCGGCAAGAGGCAGAGAGATCATTTTTTCATATGTTAGGAGGATTTGATGATGAATTACCGTTTCACATATCCGTACGCCCACGAGAGGAAACCCCGGACGATTTTCTAATGAGATTATTGCAGGAAGCAGTAAAAAACAAAGATTTTACATTCATTATATTTCATGAGGATTTTAGCAAGACAGATGCAACGGAAGATCTCGATTCGTATATTTTATCGAGATCAGAGGGTGGAAGATTAGGGAGTGAAAGATTAAGAAGATGAGGATTTTAGGATGATGGGACCCGTTCTAAAAATATTGTTTAAGGTAGGAGATTACAAAGAATACGATTCGATTCGCAATATATTATTCATTCGATTATATAGGATTTCTCGATTATTGAAATGCTGAATCAAATAGAATACGTTTTCTCGATTACTTTCAATTTAATAGAGATTAATAAGAAACGATGATATCGAAACGATCTTTTTTTGTTATTAGAAACATATGCAGAGATGCTGTAGCATCTGTTAAAAAACGAATTTATTTCTGTTATCTGTGTAGAGATAGGAAATCTTGAATTGATGAAAGCATACGATTTCGCATATTACAAAGAAGCGAGAAATGCGTAGATTTTATCATTGAAATGGGTCTTCACATACAAATTTGATGAAAATGGACAATTTCTGAAAGTCAAGACAAAAATCTGTGTACGCGGTGATTTGGAAGAAGATTTTATGTCTATTAATTATGCAGTAATCGCGTCTGTAAAAGCATTTAGAGTAATTATGGCACTTGTGACAGCATTTGATCTCGATATGGATCAGCGCGATGTTGTAAACGCATTTTTGAATGCATTGTTTGACAAGATTATATATACAAAATGTCTGGACAGATTCAAAGTCAAAGGAAGAGTTTGAAAGTTTAGAAAGGCACTATACGGATTGAAGAAATTGGGATATTTTTGGCAGAAGGATCTGGCAATAACATTGCTTGAATTTGGTTTTGTTTCCGTTTCGGAGGAAGAATGCTTTTATTTCAATGTTTACATGATCGTTTTTGTATATGTCGACGATATCATTATTATTAATTTATTTACAAAGATCGCACGCGAGGCAATTGATTGATTCAAGCACGTTTTTGCAGAGAAATACGAATTACGCAATATAGGAGAAGTAAAGTGGTTTTTAAAAATCAGAATTATTCGGGATAGATTTTAGCGAAAGGTCTGGCTCTGTCAGAACGTTTATTTCGAGAATTTTGTTACGAAATTTCATTTTAACAATTTAAAGATCTGGTCAGCGATCTTTCATTCAAGCGCCTATGATTTATTTTTATACACGGAGCAGGCGCCGTCTCAGAGGATCAAGAAATACAAGATAAAGATAGAATTGATTCAATATTTCATTGTGATTATTCGCGTTGATGTTGTCTATATGATAAGCTGTTTATCTGAATCACTGAAGAATCCGTTTTTGAATCATATTTTCGTTGTGAATTGAATTATTGCATATCTTTACGTCACGTGTTTTTTAACAATCGAATACTCAGGCAATTAGAAGATTAAAGAGATGGCTGTAATCGCTTTAGATGCAGCATTTGCGGATTGATATGATTGATTAAGCTCTGCAGGATTTATTTGGAAACTATACAGAGGTCTTATTGAATGAAAATTAGACAAGCAATGTGCAATTATTATCTCTATCATTGAAGCCGAATATCTTGCGCTTTCTGAAGCAGCGAAGGCAATATATTGGTGAAGAAGAGTTTTCAATATCATGGGATTCGACTCTGATCATAATTTGATTGTACATTGCAATAATTAACAGACTATTCGTTTAATCACTTCAGCAGACGTTGAGCAGAGATTTAAATTATATTATGTTGATATCTATCGATTCTGGTTTCGTCAGGAGATTCAGTAGGGATATTTACGCGTTGCATGGGTTTCTATCAACGAGATGATTGCAGATGGCCTCACGAAGGCATTTTTCGTTTAAAGATATCGTGAATTCGTCAGGATGCTTAATCTAGTCAATATCAAGGATTTTATCATCGATATAAAAGAAAATTGATTTCGCAATGCGATGAGGGAGTGTGTTGAAGTGCGGAGTTGATTAAGCAGTTGCGGTAAAACGATCATTGTCTTGCTCGGTTGCGAAATTGCAGTATTGCGCATTCTGCAATATTGCAATATGAAGCTATAGAATAGCGGTGAAAATGAGCGATTCTAGCATTATAAATAGATCTCTTAGATAGCCAGAAAGGAGGTCTTCAACACCTTCAATCTACTCGTTTGATATAGCCAATTCAATTGCTTCATTCAATCGTTTTTTAGTGGTCCAATCTATCCGGATCCTTAGTCATTCTGCTTGCCAAGCCTTCGCCCTTTTACAGACAACAATCAATTGATATTGATTATGCTAGAACTCCGAGATTAGTATACATCTAAACACACAGTAGCCTGAACCGGAACAACATCCTGATACCACTTTGGAGAACACCGAATCAGTCGGTCTTCGGTCCAGTATTCAATTTCTGCCGTGCCAAGGAAGACCTCGCACTGTGGTTTTAGGCAATCGATCATATTTAATGACTCCGTAGGAGTAACAACAACAAATCGCAGAACTTCAGCTGTTCGATGGCCAGGGAGAAGTAAGGGCGTTATGTGGCGCTCGTGCCGGATGCTTCTCTCCCGGCTCACCACCCTTCATACACTCGATGTCCCCGTTTGATACCACTGACTGCCGGCCATACTTTACTTCGCCCAGTGCCGATTCTTCGTCCTCTGCCGATACAAATGGTTTGCCCTTGGCCCATTGGAGTGCCCGGAAAGTTAGATAGGCACCTCCAACAGCACCAACAGTGGACACGAAGGCAATCTTGCTGAATCTATCTCAGAGTATTGTTAGCCTAGTAGATATCAATATTAGACTTGATGGTAGCCCGAGATACCTGAATGCAGCAAATCGTTTGTGTTGTTTGCTATCGGTAGGGGCGCGAGAGGTCATGATGAGAGTTCTTGGATAATGTACTAATGTTTGACTACTTAGGAATATGACGGATGAAGACATGTTGTTTCTTATATGGAGCGTTAATTCCTGCAAATATCCAATTGCACAATAATAAATATACAATTCCTCGATTTGCCTCCGCGTTACCTCATCCGTCTTCCAATTAGCAGCGGATCCGGGCACTGATAGCGGAGTCGCTCGGAAGGGGGGACCCGAAAACATCATCAATCTGGTAGAAACCATCCTTTTTTCTCTTCGTTTGACGGCCCGTTCAGTGGATTGAAACATCCAATGGGAAGACTATCCGGTGATCGGGATTTGGAAAATCACGAACAGGTCATGACATCAACCATCGCGCTATACAATGGACTTAAAGCCTCCCTTCCTAATGGCTCTTCTGGCTTTTTTCTGGAATGAACGATTTAACCTGGCTATGAATAGCCGTGTTCGAAGGCGGCGGTGGCGAACTTCTAATAGATTGTGTGATGTCCTTTTCCATACTAGCAGTATGTTGGTTAAATCACATTCACCACACTCAGCTGGCCAAATAGAATAAAATAAAATAAAAATAAAAATAAAAATAAAAATAAAATAAACAGAACTATTAAAGGTCGTAAATGGTACAGGATGCAAGCATTTGTGTCCGCTAGGCATGTTTTGTCAGGAAATGCATTGCCATCAACATTCTGACGAGGTTCTAGCCTTGCTGCTTAAAATCACAGTGGCCAGTAGGAACGCGGTCCGCCCCATTTACTACTATCCACATGACGTAGAAGATGTGCCTCTGGGGATCGTCCCTGGGATCTAGAGCCGTTATTCCAGCTGGCGATATCGACTGCGTCATGAGAAAGTCTCATTCTTTCCGAATTGACATTTTCGTACGAATACATGTTTGTCGCCACGGTTCTCTCGACTATAAAGGTATGGGTTACAAGACCAGTAGTCAAGGTCATACTTCCATCACATAGGTCATAGTCAATCTTCTCCCCGACCAATCTGTTAATCATGGCCCCTGTACGACTTGCCGCTCAAACATCCCTCTTGCGGGCAATAAAGCCCTGTCCAGCTGTCGTCAGCGTCTCACAGACCGGCATTGTACGATCAAATATCATTTACACATGCTGCTCAAGACGTTTCATCTCGTCCACTTCTCAAAATCAAATCAAGGAATATTTCCCAGCCCCGGACACCCCCGGAGTCAAGGAAGTCACAACGGCATGGTCACACCCAATGTAAGTTTGTTTCCACAACTTAACACATAATATGGCAGCTAATGCGACTGGCAGATACACCGATTCCCAGATGCGCGATGTGAAAATCGCACATCGAAATGCCAAGAACTGGTCAGACTGGGTCGCGCTGAGCACAGTGCGATTCTTTCGCTGGGGCATGGACCTCGTAACAGGTTACCGACATCCAAAGCCGAACGAAGTTCAACCAGCCCGGTTCAAAATGACCGAGAAAAAATGGTTAACTCGGTTTATCTTTCTCGAAAGTGTTGCCGGCGTCCCAGGGATGGTGGGCGGTATGCTGCGACACTTACGCAGCCTTCGACGTATGAAACGAGACAATGGATGGTACGTACTGACACCCTATGAATTACGGACCGGTGGATCTGATTTGTCGATATATAGGATCGAGACTCTTCTTGAAGAGGCGTTCAACGAGCGCATGCATCTGCTTACATTCCTCAAACTCGCCGAGCCAAACTGGTTTATGCGACTCATGGTTCTTGGTGCCCAAGGGGTCTTTTTTAACGGGTTCTTCATCTCCTATTTGATATCGCCACGGATCTGTCACCGGTTTGTGGGTTATCTCGAGGAGGAAGCTGTCATCACATATACCCGCGCCATTGAAGAAATCGAGGCAGGTAATCTGCCAAAGTGGACAAACTTGGAGGCTCCTGAAATAGCAGTACAGTACTGGAAGATGCCAGAGGGTGAGCGGACAATGCGCGATTTGATCTTATATATTCGCGCCGATGAAGCTAAACATCGGGAGGTGAATCACACACTGGGCAACTTGGATCAACTGAAGGACCCGAACCCATATCAGATCCAATATGTGGACCCAACTCAACCGCACCCGACTAAGAGTCTCGACAATTTGAGTGGAACGGGGTGGGAGAAGAAAGATATTTACCACTCAACATGATGCTTCTAAAAGTCTATGCATGGAATGGGTCTATTCTACCAATACGAAGTACTATATTGTTAGGCAATTCTGTACAGTCTGAGCTTGCGATCAATGTTGTAATAGTTGCTAAAGTTCCGACAAAGCAAATTGAAAAAAAGGCGCAAGTTTCCCATACAAAGTAGTAATGGTGTTCCCGTGTGGATAACGACTGGACCTCCGAAACCCAGGTTGAACCATCCCTAGGGGGAAACGTATCTTTCTCGGTGGAACACAAGACGCATTGAAACACGCCAAAACTCCTCACATGGCTATTGCGGTGGCCCATCGGTTGAAGACAATCGCACATGCAGGCGAGATCTTTGTTTTTGGTCAAGGGTGTATTGTGGAGAGAGGAACTCACGATGAGCTGATGCTGGCGAAGGACGGTACTGGGATCTGACGTGGTTACAAGATTCTGGTGGTCATGGCAACTAATATAGTCACTTGGCTCGATAGGCTCTAATACAGTATCGATCTATCTCTCATCACGACGGTTTCTCTACTTAGAATAACTTAACTGAACTCTCCGGGTTTGAATTGCCATCTCAGAATTAAAACGATAAAGTCCACAATTCGTATGAGATCGTTGAGGTCTTCGTGGCCATATCTAAGTTACAATCTTCTAAAGTCTTTAATATACCCCGTTATACAGTTAGCATTTACTAACTCCTATACTTATATGTGATATTGTAGTATATAAGGAAGGCATGTGGCTCAAGCGCGCAGAATTTTCGAATTCAGTGCGGTTATGGCAAGATACAAGGGCTCTATGAATACCACGTTCTACAAGAAAACACTGGTGGTTATATAAAGATTAGACAACTGTCTCCTGCGATGACTACTTCAAGCATGTTATCTCATCATCAAGGAATCTTGTAATTCTGCTTGTTCTCTCATAGTAGGATCTCGCACGGATCCCACCAACATATATTTATTTGCGGTCTTGAAAAAGTAACAAGACCAATAGACAGTGTAGAAGCTCTGCAGAGACCGCTTGCACAGCAGTGGTTAAATGGAGGATGCAATGATGCGCTTGATCAATCCTGAAATGAATGATTTTGGAAGAGGCAAGGTCTTCTAGAGTGTTGCATATCTAGAAGGTGCCCTGGAAAGGGTAAGCAAATGGCGAGATACTTGGCAGCTTGCCTCAGGCATCCAAATGCCTACAAACAAGGCATTCCGAGCAGTATCTGACAGGCGTACAAAATAAAGCACAGTCTATTCCGGTTGGAAAGGTCAATGTAATCCAAATTCCTCCCTCAAAGCCTCAGCAAACAATTCCACTCCTGTTTTCAGATTCTTCTCCGGCGCGGCCGCAAATGTCATTCGGAAATGCAGCTGACCATTCGGTTTCTTGTTAAAAGAGAACAGTGACCCTTTGGTGACGAGTACACCTTTCTCCAGAGAATTGGTTGCAATTTTTGCTTCCACTTCAGTCATTTGCAGGTCAATGTCCTGCTGCGACCCGCATAAAGACGCGAGCTGAGGGTGGTGTCTCCAGTCCAGCTGGATCCACAGAAACATGCCAAACTCGGGTGGATTCCAACGTGCAATTTCCCTTGGCAGATAAAGCTCACAGGCGGCAAGAATAACATCACGACGTCGTCGATACTCTTGAGAGAGGTGGCTCAACCATGAGGCAAATCCGTCGTGGCCTCAAGTTTCGTCGAGCAGGTGCCAAAGCATAAGCTGGGATGGACCGCTAACAGACACGGTGCTCACTTCTTGATAAGCGAGAAACTTCTCAATAATTGGAGCTGATGCAGTGACCCAGCCGGCACGTAGACCAGGTGCGAGTATCTTGGCCGCAGAATCGAGACGCACGACTCGACCAGAGGTGTCTAAGGCGAGAAATGAGGGGATGGTCTGGAAATGTGATGTCTCGTTCGACACTTTATCTTCCGTCGAATGGCTATTACTACCATTGGCGGCATGATAGGGACCCATCCGAAGGAAGTAGTACGGATCGTCCTCGATGATGATGAGGTCATGTCGTTCGGCGACGTCGTATATTGCCCTGCGTCTTTCCAGGGGCTGGCTGAACCCGGTCGGATTCTGACCGGTGGGAATTGTATACAGCACGCGCGGTTTTGGAGATTCTAAAACATCCCAGGAGCAGAGTATCGCGTCCAATGCATCGGGTTGCAGGCCATCCTGATCCATCTCAACACCTTGGACTTTGATCCCATTCAAGGTGGCACTCTCCAGAGTTCCGGGATATGTATATTGCTCCGTGAGAACGGTGTCTCCCCGGTTGCAGAAGATTCGAAATGCTACCTCCAACGCTGCGGTCGCGCCACAGGAAAGGAATGTTGCCCAATCTGAATAAGGGGGGTTATGCACGAGCTCAACATGTTCCGTAATGAATCGGAGGAGGTGTGCTGAGCCGTTCGCATGACCATAATTCAACCCGATCGAGAGGTTGTACGTTGCCCCTTGTTTGGATATAGTGCCCACCGATTGTGCCACACCATTGAAGGAATCAAGCTTCGTCAGCCCTGCAGTAGCTCCATGAAGGGACATATACTCCCATGGATAATAGTCTGCGGTGGGTCGGCCTGTCCCGAGTGAGATAATCTTGCGCGGACCGGCTGGACTGGACCCCTTTTTCAAAGCAGAGCCGGCAAAGTCCCGACTTTCGGTGCTGAAGTGATGCTCCAAGGGCTTAGCCAACGGCTTAACCCTCGCGTAAGATGATTTGAACTGGTCAGAGGAAGTGAAGGGAGCAGCGGTGAGCGGGAGAGGAGCGGCGTTGGCCCGAAGGGATTCAATATCCGCGGGTTGGAGACGTGTCATGGTCGCAAACCAAGGAATCTCCGAGATGTGTTGGTGACTGCAGCATGTTATGCGCGATTCCTAACCTCCTTCATTCAATTATAAATAGTTCACTGGTGGAATTGCGCAATAATCCGTATATCGCTGATCTCGGAGTGTTCGGAGTGATGTGGTCACAACACGCCGAATACCCCGATCCTTAGTTCGTTGTTCTGTTGGAGCCAGCCTTTTTCCTCGGACCTCTTTCACCCGCACCACTTGACCGATTAGAACAGTTATTAGCGCAATACTCCACTAGGTCAATGTTACAGGGCATATCAGATCCATTATGCAGCAGACTCCGGGCGTGGTGTCGACATTTCCCTTAGACAACCTCTTTGTGGAAATCAACAGTCTCCTTGGTCCAGTCTGGACTTTTGCTTCTTGTTGTGATTTTTTGCCCTCTTATATTAGCCCACTACCCCCGCGATTAGGCCGGGATGATATTGACTACCTTATCAGAGCGGGTGCCTTTGATACGCCAGACGCGGTGTTGTGTAACGAACTCGTGCAATCCTACATCCGCCATGTGCACCCTCATATTCCATTCCTTGACCTGAATTGGTTCATGTCGGTGGTTATGGAAAATCACTATAGTCAGGAGACCTGCGATGGGGAAGGCTCAACGATTAGTATTCTCCTGTTCCAGGCTGTGATGTTTGCAGGCGCGATATTTGTGGATGTTAAGCACCTCTATGGCGCCGGCTTCCTGTCCCGACGAACAGCATGCACAACACTTTATCGCCGAGTTCGGGTACATGAACTTCTATCCCACTCTCAAGCAAAGGTCAATACTAATGTAGAATTTCCGATAGGCGCTTTATGACCTCGACTGCGAAGATGACCAGCTGAGCGTGATGCAAAGCCTCCTACTCATGTCTTACTGGTACGAAGGTGATGATTCACAGAAGGGCGGCCGCCACTGGATAGATGTCTGCATCTTGCTAGCAAGAGTCAATATACTAGGTTTTGACTGGCCTAAGAAGCAAGGTGGCCAATGGAGGCTGCGGAAGCGACTCTGGTGGTGCATTTACACGCGAGATAAACTTGTCGCTTTAGGGCTACAGCAATTTCCGAGTATCGAAGAAGAATTTGCTTCGGAGATACCAATGATCACGATCGATGACTTTGCCCCCCTTCTGTTGCCAATTGAAATGGAGGATGTTACTGCTCATCAAGACAGCCTGAGGCGGATTTACATTGAGAAAGTGAAGGTCTGTCGGTTCGTTAACCGTGCTCTCCATCAGTGGAGATACCAACAAAATCCCGATGACCAGCTTCTGATTAGAATCGCCGAAGCAAACCTGGATCTGTGCCGACAAGACCTGCTTCAGTGGCAAATGAATCTCCCTCTAGATCTCGTTTATCACGTTGAACTATCTCCTCTGCAAAATCAAGCAGACCGTATCCTTCATTGCCACCGAGCATGGCTCAGGCTAGCTTTCCTCGAGATTCGCTTTACCGTTCATCGCCAATTGCGGGCACTCCACGGAAACACAGGTTACCTTTCGCATGAGGCAGAACAGTCGCTGGAAGAATCGCTACAATTAGATGCAGTGCAAGTAACCGACGTTCTTCAGGACCTGTATTATCAGAAACTTCTTTACTCTCTTCCAACGACTAGTGTCGCCGTGATTTGCCGCACGTGTCTCACGCTTTTGGGAGGAATGAACTCAAGTTTACCCGACAGTGGCAGGGCGCTAGTCCAACGCTTTAATCTTTGCACCTTTGCATTGAAGCAACTGAGTACGTTGTATGGATCAGCTGTCTTCCTAGTCTCAGTCCTGGGTTTGAAAAAACAACGGTTCAGACACAATGGGTACACATCCATGAAAGATATCTTGTCTCACATTGATCTCGACACCCTGAGTCAACTGACCTTACTGGGTTCGGATTATCCGGCTTCAACAGTTCTGAGCATTCGCGATCCATACTGTCTGCAGGTTGTGTCAACTTTGAAGTTACAGCGGGACAGATTGAGCTCTTGAATTTGCGTTGGGCGTTTCTGAACTCCAATGTCAGAGCAGCCGCTATGCATGTAGTATAATGTTAAGAAAGCGACGAAATATCATGGGGTGGTCTCACCCTCGACTAATTTGTTATGATAAAAAGCTTTAGGAGACGACGATATCAAAGTATAGAATAATAGGTTTGATTGATAAGCATTCAAAGGACGCTGTACAAAAAGATTGGACCTCTTGGCAGGTAAAAGTCTCATAGCCATATGTATTATAGCGCACACTAGAGTTATTCTTTGACCGTAGATCATTCACGTTGGTGTTTCAACCCCTTTGCGAAACAAAAAGACTTTTACACACTCCCACCTCTATATATTGCAGTACCTGGTAGGAACGATCTTTCCATCAATCATGAAACGATATTCTAGTTTCACTTTCTGACCAGCCTCTATCATTCTTCCTATTTTTCTGAAAGGTAAACGCTGAGGACTGTCACATCGTCGATGCCTCCGCCATCATTCGGTTTCTGCCCGGCTTTGTCAGGCCATTTTTTACTATCCTACCATGTTATCTCGTATCTCCACAAATTCTCCGATTGATAGGAACCGTCGGCCCTCGGTATATGGGCGTAGGCTGGACAGTTGCACCGAGTAATGATGATAACCCTGCATCAGTCATATCGCGTCCTCGGACTGCGCTAGCTTCATGGCTTGTTGCCTACTCCGAGGCTATTACTCCGACAACGCATTCTAGGCAGCTGGCAGTTCGGTGCGGAGAGCACCGCGTTATCTTCCCCCCTTCTTGACGCCCTTCCAGTAGTTGAGGCCAGTTCAGAAGTAAGATCGTCGTCTGGGCTATAAGAGTTCTTATCATAAGAGAAATCATCTCATTGGGCTCTTGAGCATTCGTAATCGAGGACGCTCAGTCATACCAAGGATCCTTCCCCATGGGGTCGCAGGGTGGCAATACAATGATAAGAAATTGCTAGGCGATCCATCTACCCCCGCACGCTTCGTCTTTAAGATAAAATGTCCCTATAGATAGTTTGCTGTTATCTTGATCCACCAAGTTACTTCGTTTTTGCTTCGTGACTTGACGGAGCTCTTAACATGTCGGCAAATAACATCATGCTAAAAGACACCTCTGATATCGAGAGAAAGCCTAGCAAAGACAATAATGGCCCTCCCTCATGCGAAGCCCACACGGGCACCTCCACTCCCATCCAACAGGATCGGCTTAGTCGCTCTCTTTCCGCACGTCAAGTGCAGATGATTGCAATCGGAGGGACAATTGGAACGGGCCTATTCTTAGGATCTGGGAATGCCTTGGCTAGTAGTGGACCGGCTTCCATGCTCATTGCCTATGCTATCTGCGGAGGGATTGTGTTTGTGACAATGTTGAGTCTTGGAGAGATGGCGGCGTTTATTCCCGTCGCTGGGAGCTTTTGCACGTTTGCTGGGTGAGTTATCTTCTACACACCGTGGATGACCTATGCTCGCAACTAGTTCTCATAACCGTGCATTGCAGGAGGTTTGTTGACGATGCTTTCGGGTTCGCACTTACCTGGAACTATTGGTTCAATGACGCTGTCACCACCGCCTCGGATCTGGTGGCTTTACAGCTGATCTTGCAGTACTGGGTAGATCATTTCCCTGGATGGGCTTTCAGTCTTATCTTCTGGGTTGTTTTGATTTTGATCAATGTCCTTGCGGTTAAGGTTTATGGTGAGGTTAGTCAGAACTTTCCGATGATTTCTTGTGGTGATATTGACATAAAGATGTTTACTTCAGGTCGAGTACTGGCTCAGCGTGCTGAAAATTATAACTGTTGTGGTAAGAAGGCAACAAATCAGGGAATTGGTTGATGCTCATGGTATGACTTTGCAGGTCTCATTATCCTAGGGATCGTTGTCAACTGCGGAGGCAACTCATCGGGCCGTTATATAGGAGCAGAGAACTGGCGCATTCCTGGGGCTCCGTTCGTTGGTGGAATCGGTGGTTTTGCATCCGTATTCGTCACTGCAGCGTTTTCATGTATGGCTCCTTTTTCCTCAGTCCTGACGACAGAGGTGGTATTTGTTAACGTGAACAGATGGTGGTACAGAGTCCATCGCCATCACTGCAGGAGAAACCAAAAATCCTGCAAATACTCTCCCAAAAGTCGTACAAAATGTTTTCTGGCGAATCTTGATCTTCTAGTATGTTGCCTTACGCCTCTTTGCCATGGAGCCAACACTTACAATCTCTCTCGATACGTGAAGCTTCCTTTCGGTGCTGGTCATCGGTTTGAACGTTCCCTACAACTACCCCGAACTGGCTGAAAAGGAGGTCAAGACCTCTCCGTTCACCCTAGTCTTTCAAATGACAGGAACGAAGGCTGCTGGTAGCGTCATGAACGCAGTTATCATGACCAGTGTGATATCCGCAGGTAACCATGCGTTATTTGCGGGCGCTCGACTACTTTATACTTTAGCCCTCGCAGGGCACGCTCCCAAGGGCTTCGGTCGGCTTAATCGCCAAGAGGTGCCCTGGGTTGCTGTCATCGGCACAGGAATAGTGAGCGGGCTTTGCTTTGGGTCCAGTAAGATCGGTGCAGGTCAATTATGGCTTTGGCTACAAAAGTGGGTCACTTACGCTTTCCACCCATTAAACCACCTAGGGCCTAACAGAGAGAATTAGCATCGTCGGAGTATCAAACCAGGTAAGCTGGATTGCTATTGGGATCACGTCGATACGATTCCGCTCCGCTCTCGCAATCCAGGGAAAGACGCATTTGCTACCGTTTCGTAATTATACATACCCCGTTGGCCCTTGGATATGTGTGATTCTGAACGGTTTTATCATCCTCGTTCAGGGATGGAGCTGCTTCAGTCCGGAGTTTTCAGCTGTTGACTTCGTAAGTTTCTATGTGGAGATACCGGTGATGCTCTTCATGTACATAGCTTGGAAGGCTGGCAAGAGAACTAGATACGTCCGGTTGTCGGAGATGGATTTGGAAACAGATACGTACACTCTGGAGGCGGAGGAGGTGGAACTGGCGCTTACTGGTCGGGTTAGGAGGTTCATGAACTGGCTTCTCTAATCGCTACCTTGCTCCTAGGAGCTCAGTGTGACCTTCTATGCATAGAGTTTCGTTATGTGCGCTTCTTCGGTGCTCATGGACAAGGGTCAAATCACATTGTCATATGCATTATCCGTATCTAAGGTAGACTAAACACCAGTATTAAACGCGCTTATAATATCTACATCTGCGGGTTGAAAGCTCTGGGACAATGGCTGAAGTCTGTATGGATGTGCAGTGAGACACATAGAGTTTGTGTATAAGGTCTATCAATAATTTATGACGTAGATGAACAAGAGAGGGAATACGCTTTCAGCCAGAGAAGGATCCAAGAACACAACCTTGAGCAACGATCCTGTTCATCTTTCAACATTTCCTAAAGTTCTAGTTACAAGCGAGTTCCCATGTTCACATGAACTGCCTTGATCTGGGAATAGGCCTCCAATCCAGCCTCTCCCAGCTCCCTACCAATTCCACTCTGCTTCACGCCCCCAAAAGGAATCCTAGGATCGCTACTAGGACCACTATTGATCCACACCATCCCGGATTCCAACTCTTCCGCCAAACGATGTGCACGCCCAATATCCCGCGTAAAAATGCCTGCACCGAGTCCATACATACTGTCATTCGCCATCTCAATGGCTTCGGCCTCGGTTCTGAACGGGAGGATCACCACACACGGACCAAATATCTCTTCACGGTAGATTCGCATGCTCGGCGTCACATCGGTAAATATTGTTGGAGCAATAAAGAACCCCTTGCCGTTGACATCGTATGGCCGGCCGCCGGCCGCCAACGTGGCCCCTTCTGCTTCACCACTCATCACGTATGAGAGAACCAGCTCATGTTGCTCTTTACTTACCTGGGGCCCCTGAAAGGTAGATTCAGCGAACGGGTCAACGACCTTGCTGATATTAGCGACCTCATCTTTAAGTAACTTCAGAAACTCCGGGGCAATTCGCTCATGGACAAGAACGAGGGACGTAGCACAGCAGATCTGTCCCTGATTAGACATGACGCCACGATGTGCCCACTTGGCCGCTTGCTCAATATCGGCATCGTCGAAAACCAGAAGAGGCGATTTGCCGCCCGTTTCCAATGTCACGTTTTTCATTGTGAGTGCTGCCTGTCGCATGATTTCCCGGCCCGTCGCCGTTGACCCGGTAGACGCGATTTTATCAACATCAGGGTGTTGCACAAGGGCAGCGCCACATTCACTTCCGCGACCATTGAGCAGGTTCACCACTCCTGGAGGGAAACCGGCTGACTTGATTAAGTTGGCAAAATAGAGAATGCTCAACGGTGTCTGCTCCGCAGCCTTCAGGACTACTGTATTTCCACATGCCAACGCTGGGGCAAGTTTCCATGACGCCATTCCAAGTGGATAATTCCACGGAATGATCTGGCCCACCACTCCTATTGGCTGACGGAGGGTATATGCGAATTTGGCGTGTGTAGTGCTGATAGTCTGCCCAAACATTTTGTCTGCCCAGCCGGCGTAGTATCGAAACGTTAGGACGACTTCGTCGATGTCTCCGTTGAGAGCTGATAGATAAGGCTTTCCTGATGGCGGTTTAGATTAGCTCCACATTGACCTGCAATTGATACTCATACCATTATCCCAGGTTTCAATGGTTGCTAGAACTTCTCGATGCTTGTCGATCAGATCCGCTAATTTGTTCAGCAGCTCCCCGCGATCCGTAGGCGATAGATCACGCCATGTAGGATCTTTCAATGCTCTCCTCGCGGCTCTGACAGCCAAATCCACATCGTCTGTCCCGGCGGCGTAGACTTTCGTGATTATTGTATCGTCACTATGATATGGCTTGTTAATAGGGCAATCCGAGAGAGAGGGTGGCAAGGAAGACAGAGGGAGTTGGCTCAGCCTATAGGCAACATACGAGGGGTTGATCGACGTTATTTCGGCACCAGAAACAGACTTGACAAATTCATTGTCGATGAACAGTCCGGTGGGCTGTGTATATTGTCGCCCGTTCGGGGCCGTCAAATCCACAGACAGAGACATTTACTGCGAGCTGATGGTGTTCGAGTGTGTTATGTGAAGGGTTAAGCACATTCTTGTCCCTATTGCTAACCTCATATCCCGCTTACGTTGACCTTGGTTCCCACGACCTCAGCTTTACTAAAAGAATTCTAATTCTATCTAATCATTTCGGAAATGAATGTGCTCCACATCGGCGTCGGAGAGAGCTTCGGAGAGAGCTTCGGAGAGAGCTTCGGAGAAAGAGTCGGAGAGCGGAGAGACCCGGACGGGGTATCGGAGTAAAGACAATTTTTTCGCTCAATTACGCCATCAGAGTGAGAAAAAAGAGATTGCATTTAAGAGAAGCGCGATAATGAACGGGCTTATATCTATAAGAGAGTAGAAATCAAATTTATCAGCCCACGTGGGTCAATTACGCGGTCAGCTAGTGAAGAGGGCCATCTCAACACCCATGCTTCAGGCCAAAACACCGTCCTATCCGTTCAATCTCACATACATTCTTCTCTAAACATGCCTATCAAACTCGCAGAGTACCTCTTCCGCCGCCTACGTGTTCTGGGCATCGGTTCTATCCATGGCGTACCCGGTGATTACAATCTGACTCTGCTCGACTACGTGGAGCCCGCTGGCCTACGTTGGGTCGGTAATGCCAACGAGCTCAATGCCGCCTATGCAACTGATGGATATGCTCGAATCAAAGGACTGGGGGCCCTCATTACGACATTTGGTGTGGGAGAACTGTCTGCCGCCAATGCGATAGCGGGTGCGTACACTGAACTGGCTCCTGTTATTCATATCGTTGGCACTCCCGAGCGAGCGTCGCAGGATGAGCGGAAATTAATCCACCACACTTTTAACGACGGCGAATATACTCGCTTCGCAAAGATTCATTGTCACCTAACCGTGGCCCAGGCCAGGTTGTCGGAACCCCGGGCGTGTCCAGAGCAGATTGATGAGGTATTAAAGCAGTGCCTCATCCACAGTCGGCCCATTTACATTGAGATTCCCGTCGATCTGGTCGATCAGGAAGTGTCCGATGAAAGGCTTTCCGTTCCAATTTCTTTACCGGGAACAACGCCTTCGGCAGCTCTTGACCGAGTCTTTGAACGCGTTCTTGAACGAATCTACACCGCCAAGCAACCCATTGTTATCGTGGACGGAGAGAGTAGGCCACTAAGAATCGTCGAATTAATCCAGGAGCTCGTGCAGAAAACGCATTGGCCCACCTGGTCAACGGGCTTTGGAAAGGGTCTTCTCGATGAAACACTGCCCAACTTCCACGGAATCTATCCAGGGAGTCATGAAAGTTCCAACACACAAGGCTTCGTCAAACAGGCCGATCTAGTGCTCTGCTTCGGTCCTCACCATAGCTCTAGCAACACCTACGGCTACTCCAACATCCCCAACCCAGAATCCACAATCTACTTCACATATAACGCGATTAAGTTTGGCACCGACGTTGTTCGCGACGTTCCTCCAAAATATATCATCTCCCAACTAGTCCAAACTCTCGACTTCGCGAAGATTGCGCGCTACACGTCGTGTCCTGATCTGCCACGGGACTACAACCTGTCATTCTCCAATGTTGACGGCAGTCAACCAATCGAACAGTCAAAATTATGGCGTCTTCTTGCCAACTTTCTCCGCCCAGGGGACATAATCCTCGGCGAGACCGGTACGGCAGGCTACGGTGTTCGCGAAATGGCCCTACCCAAACACACCCGAGTCTTTACCCCTGTAACTTGGCTATCCATCGGCCACATGTTACCCGCTGCGCAGGGTGCGGCACTGGCGCAAGAAGAACTAGTCGCTTCATCCAACTACAATGGTGTCCAGAATGCACGGACAATCCTCTTAATCGGCGACGGCAGCTTCCAGATGACAGCACAAGAGCTCGCCACCATCATTCGACACAGGCTCAATGTTGTGGTCTTTCTCATTAACAATGATGGGTACACTATTGAACGCTGCATCCATGGCCGCAAGCAGGGTTACAATGATATCGCGCCATGGAGGTATCTCCAAGCACCGAGTCTGTTTGGGGCCCGCGAGGACACTTTCACGGGCTCAGCGAGCACCTGGAAAGAGCTGGAGGATATACTTGCAAATAACGAGGTGAAAGACGGCAAGGAACTTCGAATGATTGAAGTGTTCATGGGCCGAGAAGACGCCCCCACAGGCCCGCTAGCAGGGTATCTACAGGCGCAGATAGAACGGGGGGTCGTGGATAATACTGTGTGATCAAGAATATATAGTAGCTCACAATTTTGGTCAGAGAATTTTAGAATCTGCTGTTGGCGTCTAGATGCCCGTAGCAAGCTACCAAGAATCCCGCCCTTTGCTTACCCCTTCAATGACACCTTTTGAACAGACAACACCGGAGAATATCTTGGTTCTTTCTACACCAATCAATCGTTGATTCAATATTGATAGATGTATCCTTGTGTTCTATCATTTCATCGATTTTGACCACTGCGATCCACCCGGTCCCTAAAACGCCTACAACAGTGCTTACTTCAATAACCATGCAAACTTACACGACTTAAATCACATAATATAAAGATGAAGAGAGACACTGTATACTTTAAATCACTATACTATGATATAACTATCCAACCTGATCTTACACGGAGTACAATATAGTAAAGCAACGCTAAACCGACTTAGACTGAGCCCCAGTTCGGAGAGAAGTGTAACACTGTGCTCCGGACACTCCGAACACTCCGAGACCTCCGAGAGCTCCGAATAGACACTTGCTGGAGGAAGTGAATTTTCCGGTTCTGGGACAGCTGCCAAATTGGGTTTTTCAGCAAGGGAGGCAGGAATAAACACATCGATGGTTGTTTGCAATTGTGAGATGGCTTAGGGCCATCAATTCAACAACCACCACTAGTTCTCCACTGAGTTTATTGAGGTATCGCTCATTTTCATCGTGTATGACGGATTGACAGTACGGCTCGATGGTACTCCGATTCTCCGATTCTCCGAAAGGCGCAATCCCCACGTTTCCAACTCCTGCTCTACACTCAGCTATAGTCATCCAAGGCATGTAACAATGACATCCAGATTAGCAGCTTGTGAGGTCTGTAGAAAGTCCAAACTTGCATGCGACCACCAGCAGCCGGTCTGTAGTCGTTGTCGGAATAGCAACCGACCGGAGCTTTGCACTTACAGAACTGCGCCCTTTAAACGAAGAAAAACGGGGAATGTGGTGCAATTGCAATGCACTTCTCGTCCGTATGATACTCACTCTTTCTGATACGATTCATCATTTACTAACACACTGTCTCTTGTGTCAGTTTCGATAATGTCAGCTCTCCAGACCCCACCTCTCCTGCATCATCCCCGCCGTATCCCGGAGATAGATATCCAAATCCAGGATACATTGGGTCCTCGAGCCACGTTACGATCTTCAATCATATCACTCCCTCCGTTGATCAGGGCTCCACGTCTCATCTGGCAGCTGGTGCGGCCCCCTCGGCAGCTCCAAGGTCCCAGCCCGATGATGATCTTGTCATTTACCACTGTGCGGATGCCCTCAAGCTCCTCCTCAGCGAGTTTTCCTTCTCTGCCATGAAAGGACTAGTCAAGTTCTGGAGAGCAAGGGGAACAAATTTAGCTTTGACAGGTGCTATTCTAGACCACTGTCTTGACCACATTTGTCTCCCAGCTATAGCGACAGGCGAAGATGAAGATTGGCATTTGCAATACAGCAAGTACCTGCTCGCGAGTTCAGCTCAGCCACTCAAATATACCCACCACTCAACTCTTCGCGACTTCTGTGCTCAATTTATGAACCAGAAGATGCGATGGGAGACGCTGGCGATCTTCCTCTCGGCAGTAACCCGAGCCACGATGGACATTCCATTTTTCCCAATGCTTTTCGTGACTGAAGAGAAGAAATATAGCCTCCGAAGACTGTGCACGAGAGTGATAGATTATGCGCTTGAGGCCACTCTCTCTCTTGATTGCCTCAATGATCTTCAACCTTTCTTACAGTACGAAAGCTTTATTGTCCATTCGCACGTAGATGGAGATCATAGTAGGTTTTGGCTAGTTGTTTTCCACGGTCAAGCGCTGACGATCGCCAGGCTACTACTCATGGCGAAAGCTCGGAGACGTTATATCCTCAATCTTTGCCTTAGGCTATCACGAGAACCTTGAAGAAAAGCCCGGAGCCCCTCGCTTCCTGACCGAAATACGCAAAGCCGTCTTTGCCCGCGTGTACTCGGCAGACAAAAACGTGGCCATCTTTGTCGGGCGACCACCGCGGATGAGTAAACTATTCTGCCATTTTCAAGTCCCATCTTGTCCTCTCCCCGATGAGCCTTGGCTTTTATCCAGTATTAGGCCGGATGATGGAATCGATCATTCTCAGTGGAGCCCCTTGAGTAAAGCCAGCTATATGGCCGAGTCTCGATGGAGTGCATTGTGCGCTGCGATCAAGGAGGATGTACTCACTTTACAAAGGAACCGACCCAGTGACAGGGAGACCCTTTATCGGCGTGTTTAGTAGGTTTCATTCGTCCAAGCCTGTACTTCTGGCCGTTAACGCAGTTAGTGACCTAAAGACCGAGGCCGAGAAACATTATTCATCGCTTCCTCGGCATTTTCAGCTCCGTGGCAATATCAGAGAATGTACCCATGACCCTTTTGAACGGGACTTCATCGGCTCAGTGCGGCTGAATCACTTACATGTGCTCTTCCTGCTGAATTTAATCCTATTACGTAGCCCCGCCGAGCCCGATGCCGCTATCGTCAATGTTGCAGATCAGATACTCAGTATCACAGTAGACATGATTCTCCTTCGAGATCAGCTCACGAACTCTGGGACGTGTCTCGTGTGGAAGGTATCCATTTCGACGCCCCATAAAGAGCCCTTGAGAGTGACACTTCCTTTTTACAGGTTGCCTACTATGGTCTCCCCGCTGCCGGAATACTGCTTCTCGCTCTGCTCGACGAGCGTGCCTCCCCAAGCACCCCTCGCTTGACAGAACCCAGGACGCTCCAGCACCTCACAATCCTCGCCGCCGAGCTCCAAGCCGGATCGATCATTCGACCGAGAGAACCAAACTTTGAACTCATGTCGAAGGCGATGCAGACCATTCAGAGCTTTTTAGATACAATCACTTCCGAATCCTTGCAACCGATGCCGATCATCTCGCCCCGTGAGTCTATTGAATGGCCAGGCCCGTACCAGCAATAATTAGATTTTGAGATTGGGTTTTGGCAGAGTCTTGCATCTCATCCTCTCTTGAACTTTCACCCGCCTCCTGAATAGCTACGAAAAACGGTTTTGTTTTCGTGCGGCTTATGAATTATGTGTATACGACCGAAGTACAGAAGAGTATTTGAAAGCAAATACAAGGCTGGTGCTAGACATCGTACAGGGTTATCCCGTCGACGCAGGGATAGAACTCCTCAAATGAAACGCACTGCACATCCCTGAGTAGAATGTACCGTCGAAAGAGATAAGGAACTTCGACGCGGATTCGATAAGAGGCAAGCCTGGTTAGAGGTATCGCGAGCTTGGCTTCAAGCTCCTCCAAATGGAGATCCCAGGTGTTTATCATAAATAAAAACACCAAGACCAGGCCACTCGCAGTCATAGCACTGGGAGTGTAAATAGAGATCAGCCTATCTACACGCAGTAATCGAATCGCTGAGAGAAGGTCGCAAGGTCATCCGGGACCAGAAGCATTGTACCCACCTAGAAAAGACACTAGAGAGAGCATGAGATCCTATCTCAGGAACTGACTCTACGGCCAAACCAATGCCATAATAGAGTAACATTACCAGAGGCACACCGAATCCTAGTGAATAGTCAGATTCAGTTCACGGTACCACATGAATTGACTGCTTTATAAACTCACTGCGATTCGAACTTGAGAGGCTTTCCGCTGTTAGAGTGAAAAGTGCCGTCTGCGAGATAAGATGTGGGACAATAGCAGGAGCAGTAGGGTATGGATACACAGATTTCGATAGCTGCATCACATAACCTGCTAAGAGACCAAACAAAATGATTGATATGAGACCACGCCGGGGTCCATACTTCATAAAACGAGCACTAGGGAAGAATATTTGCGTGCAGAGTACTATGAGGGCCAGACTGTTTATCATAGGCTCATCTGGGCGTATCAGGTCCATTGTCCTTTGGGAGATGTCGTATTGGTATCCAAGTAGAGTCAAGGCCAACACTAGTATGGCTGGAGGTAATAGCCCTCGTCGTATGTTAGTTATGTCAACTTGCCACCAGGATAAATTTGTTCCGTGAATCTGGCAGCGGTCGATTTGAGATCGGTAATATATTCGGAACAGATCCCGAGCAGCAGCGAGGTCGTTGTTTCGGAGAGACTGTAAGGACCAGAACGCATGACGCATTCTTCCCCTGGAAATGAGAAGATAGGGTGACTTGGGCGAGGCCGTCATCGCCAACAAAAATAGAAGGCTGGCCACCGCTGTGGGTATAAGGAATTCCGAGTCAAACTTATCCTGAAGGATGGCTCTCCCGGTACGGATACTGAATATGATTCTATCGGCGTCTATGGTTAATGGCTTTGTAACCCTGGCTATCTTGAGGCCGCTCCCGGAGATACTTACCCTATCCACGCAGAGGTTAAATAGCCCTGTAGTTCAGGTCCGCCAGCCTCAGCCAGGTATACAGGTACCGTACACATATGGACTGAATCAAAAACAAGGAGAAACGATCTTTGAATATCAGTGTCCCAATAGTTCATCCAGTTTCCCCAATACAGCTGACGTAGGGAGCTAATGAGACAACAAATTCCAATGACAACGAGAATATTCCGGGACGTCAAACACAGGCTCCAAGGTATCGTAAGTAAGAAGCCCGCTAGACGCATCCTGTTGTATTGTTTAGACAGGCCGGGTAGACTTTGAGTATTCAGCACTTACATGTGAACCCATCTTGCATCCAAAATGTCGTAGTAGCCATCAACAAGGGCATATGGTCCAAGCATCCATCCGCTTCATAACCAGCATCAACCGTTAGCAGACTCAGCAGGAGGTTGGTCGACAATTTGGTTTATAATTAGAACATACCAAGTCACAGCCGCTACTGCAAGCCCTAGATACCGTAAAAAGGATTGACGCGAGGGCAGTCCAGTATTAATTTGTGCCAATTCTTCAACATAGGTAACATTGGTTGGGTCGTGAGCGAAAAGAGCACCTTTTCTTAAAAGGTCGCGAATTTCATGAAAGTTGTACTTGGTGATAAACTCGTCGGCATTGTGTAATACTTGGTGTTCACTCCAGTCTCTGTATCTCCTAACGCGGAGTAAGTCTCGTCCAACCGAACTATCGCAAACCAATATGGAAAGCAGCTGCTGTGCAGCTGTTGAACACTTACTGGTATTCCTCGACTTCAGGGAGGGGTTCCCGTGCCGTGTGAATGATAGGATCCGTTTCACTATATTCTCCTGAGCTCGTCATCATATATAGAGACTCAAACTCGGTGATACGCGAATCGAACAATCAATACTCGAGAAACTATCGATGGGAAGGTATACGAAAGATGGGAAGGGATGGTTGACACTGCAAATGCTCAGCCACACACGTGATCTGAGTTGGCCCTCAAGGCAGCATTTGGCTACATGATGGTGAGGCTGTGTGTTGTCGGACGGTAAATCAAATGTCTTTTGGATAATGAAGTATTAGCGCGGGCGCGTAGTGCGGGGAAACGGGATGGTTTCCCATTTGTTCAGCAACGACGGCAACTCCACCTCCTCCAACCAAAATATTAATATCTCTAGAGCTCTGTACAGTTCTGTTTTTCCCGACAATAATATTTACAGGCTGGCACGAAGCTAGGCCCTGTGTGGTTAGCGCATCATGTGACTCTCAGCGGGCCGGTCCTCTTGGCATTCCCGCTTCCGACCCGCCCGGCGCTTCCCAGAACTTCATCACTGCTGCATGAGTCCATCTTGTTTCGACAGGGCCGCCTATTCAGGTCAACTTTGAATTGATGAAAGGTCTCGAGAAGCCCGCTGAAGCGCCGACTAGCTGAAGCCTATTGTGGGTCCCATGCATTAAGCCATATCCGGAAACGAGGCCCTACAACAGGTGGTCCAATAGAACAGTATATTTTGCCATGGTGGCGTCTACTGTAACTTGATCGGACTACAAGGAAAGTAATGACAGTACGCAACGCTCCACCGATGAAATAGTCCTGTGAAATCTGGCACATCCGATTGGGACGGGGGAAGTTGTTGTGGGTTGCCATTAGTGCCATGTTAGGACCATGCAAGGTCCTTATGCCACCAATGCGATCGTTCGATGAAGCACCGAGGCTGCAACACTCTGATTCCCCTACAAGGGGCTGAGTGGTCAATAGCTGTGGGACAAATGCACATCAATTCCGGTTTGCTTCTTGTTTCAAGTGAGCACAGCATATCATACGTCAAAAGCTCGGAAATAACCTGCCGCCCTGAAAAGCGCTTTGGTCTCCCAATGCGGGAGAATGGCATCGGACTTGAGCAAAAAAAACTCCGGTGTAAAGAGCCTATTTTCCCTAATTAATGCGCAACCCATCACTCAACTTCGGCGCCTAAGTCGATCTGGCTATGCGCAGTGGACCTCCAAGCGCTGCCCCGTTATTTGTCGGACTGGGTTTCCTGCGGTCTTTTCATCTGACAGCCCACGCGCGAACAACGACCAATCGTTTCTCTGGGCGCATAGCCCACCAATGAGATATGCACTTCATCTCCACGATCACTCATGATGTACATAGTAGTCTCGTAGGGGTGGGGGGTTGTTTTCGTTCAGGCGAGCGCTTCAAAGACATATATAGTCTTATCCGTTGAAGTTCATCGAAGCTGGTGGTTGTTAATTGCTTTGTCTCCAGCTATCACACCATGTCTTTGGCTCTGTCGGACCCGATGAAAAAGGGTATCCACGATCCTTCTAGAGGCAGTATCTCAGCAATCGCCGCCAACGACTCTCGACAATTTATTGGCACGGCCGAAAATGTCCACTTCCACGGTAAGGTATCCGACCGACCCCATCACCAGCCACAGCTAATCCATTGGAAGGAGACGAAACCCAGTTCGTGGATGATGCGCATTTACCATGCGCGAGGAATGCACGGTTCAACTCGCTCGTTGACAGCGAGGAATCTCTCTACTGCCTCGAAAGCACCCGCGTCCAAATCTTGCGGGACATTGACAATTGGGTTGATGACCGAAAAGGTCGTTGCATCTTCTGGTTAAGTGGTTTGGCTGGTACAGGGAAGACAACGATAGCCCGTACGGTGGCTCGTAAATGCGACAAAAAAGGGCGGCTCGGGGCCAGCTTCTTCTTCTCCGCGATCCATAGTGACACTAGATGTGCCACAGGCTTCGTGACTACGATCGCGCGACAGTTAGCTGACACTGATGCTTTGCTGCGTGGTGAGATTAATCAAGCGATTCGTCAGAGAAGGCAGATCTCTAGTTATGCACTGGAGGATCAATGGCGTCATCTCATTCTTGAACCTTTGGTTCAAGTTAACCGAGAACAGCGTCGGTTACCATACATCCTTGTCATTGACGGCCTGGAAGAATGCGCTAGGACGGCTGGAATTGCCACGGTCCTCCGTCTGCTAGCTCAGTTACAAACAGTCGGGTCAGGGAGTTTGCGGGTACTTCTCACAACCAGGCCTGACACGAGGATTGAAGCAGGGTTTTGTGACATACCAGATGATACGTGGAGTTGCTTCAAGCTTCACAGCATAGACAAGGAGGTTGTGAACCATGATATAAGCAGTTTTCTCTCCTACGGGTTCAAGCACATTGCGAAGAACCATCAGCAGGCTGAGGACTGGCCCGGGCTCCGCACTATTGACCTCTTGACACAGAGGGCCGGCGGTCTGTTCATATGGGCCGCGACTGCATGCAGATTTGTTGGGTCGGACAGTCGATTTTCTCAGCAGCGACTGATTCAACTTCTTGATGAACATATTTCCATTGATGACCCGATATCCGAGCTTGACAGAATCTATCTCACCGTCCTTCGTGGTACTGTCTCAGAACAGCACACTGCGGAGGAAAAGGAGTCCATCTACGACATTGTCCGGCTAGTCCTAGGGAACATGGCTGTGCTTGTTTGTCCGCTTCCAATCACTGATCTTGCTGCTTTACTTCAATTTCCACCCCAATCATGTCAAGCGGGACCGCCAAGGACCAAAGGTATTAACGCGCGTGAAATCTCCATACATCTGAAACACTTGGGTGCAATTGTGGACTTCCCTGAGGAAGCGGATCAACCCCTTCGCCTCCATCATCCCGCCTTGCATGAATTTCTCTTCGACTCAGCGAGATGCACCGAGCATGCATTCCATGTCAGCAAGAGACAAATACATCTCACCTTGGCTGGTTGCTGTGTGGATCTCATGTCCCAAGCATGGAATTCCGTTCCAAGTGGACGAGAAATGTTCGATATGAGGAAACCCGGTGAGGTTATTGCCGACAGAAACCTGACACGGTCAAAACAGCGGCTACCAGCCAGCGTGCGGTATGCATGTCTCTATTGGGTTCACCACTTACAACAGAGCGGTGACACACATCATAAAAAGGACAGCTTTGATCAGTTCCTTCGAAGACATGGTACACATTGGATTGAGGTTCTAATCTCAAAGGCCAAGCTTTCCCATGCTCATCATGCGATAGCTTCCTTGGAAGATATGACATTTGTAAGTTTTCGGTATACTAGTGCTATCATTCGAGCTGACCATTTTGAAGAGTGACAGCGTCGGTACATATATTCGGGCCACAAAGCGGTTTTTGCTATCTTTAGAGAACAGTCGCTAGCCAGCGCCGGATATGATTCAGTAGCCAGGTAGCATATTATAACTTGTCTTCGACACGGAGAGTACGAGCGGAAGAGCTTCCTCTTCATTACTTCTACCTTAGTTTAGATAAACTCTATAGTTTACGATTCGTTCGTTTGAAGTGTAGGGCCACATCAGGAGAGACTGGTGGGGGCATTGGGTTTCTTTTTCTTATGTGGGCTAGATATGGACAGTAAAACAGCAGAAAAGGAAAAGAATAAGAAACAAAAAAAGGATGACCCCGGGGATATGAAATAGGGATGAGCCCTTATCTCACAGCGCGGCTGTGAGTCATTTCCCCTCCAGAACGTTTATCAACCCCCAAAACAATTGAGGAATCTCATAGCATTCACAAGCATCGTCGGAAGCGCCCGTATCCGAAATCTTCGCGAAATTTATAGCCAGTGATGCTACCGGCGGTCGGTTATGTGAATCGTCAAAGTCAGGATAATCAGGCCTAATATTCTTGCTCGTCCATGTCGTCATTGCATAGGCGATCTGCCAGCTGATTGTCATCCCTTGAAATCCAGACATACCTCACTTCCCCAACATTTTCCACTCTATCATGAAGATCGGAAGCCTCCTCAATAAGGTCTCGATTTGCAACCTCAATGCCTCTCGAATTTTTCCATTCGTTTTCGCGCCATTTGTCAATCCACTGAGTCATACAGCCGATTGCATATTTGGAATCCGTATTGATCGTGACACAGAGCCTTGGGTATGACGCTAGATCTTCATACCGTTCCAGAGCGAGCTCCAGTGCCAGGATGATGCCCGTGATTTCGGCCCGTTGGTTTGTAGGCGGTGGATATGTTGGTAGTGTTCTTCTCCACCATTTATTCCTCCCCCATCTGAGCTGGAGAACGGCAGCAGCAGCGCCGATTGCACCTAGCTCTCCATTGCCTCTGCAGCCACCGTCGGTATAGAAGTGCATGATGTAAACCATCTTGGTGGAATGCGCTGTTGAAGGGGATGTCACGGTTTGATAGAGGTTCAGTGCACTGCAAGGATGGGCGATAGAGGTTTATAAACGGATGACTATCTTTGGTAAGCGTCTTGGATGATGAAGAAATGAAACGAATGGACGGACGCGATGATCTATCCAGATGGCCCATGAGCATCCTTTTATGGCAAGCGTCATATGACTCAGAGATCATCTGCCGTGGACAGATGGAATCATCCAGCCACTTCCTGGAGCGATGTCAAAGGGATCTCCCATTATTATCTTCTCCGCAGTTGTTTCCATGGAATGGTCTTGGTGGGGAAGGCAAATGGGGAAATGCTTGGCAACGCACCCCTGAGGCATCAAAAGAACTCACCTATCTTCTGAGAGCAGACAGATCCCGTATCCGTTTGGGCAGTTATGGTGGAGGAAGAAAGGGTTGCTGGAAGAAATGTCTCAGATGAGGCGATCTACCTACTGTTCTGTTTACTGCAAGGATACACTGTAGATCACACGACTGCTAGCTCGTTGCCTGGACAGGCAGCCCATCTCAACCCCATCAACGCAAGTCACTACTATATTTACACGCACTACACTTATTGAAACATATATAGGGGATTTGGTAGGTCTAGAAATTGCATAAATCCGACCTCCTCGGGTGTTAAGAGGTAGTAGAGTCGAGAGCGATGTACACAGTAGTTTTCCCGTATAGCGCTGTGTGCCTTGCGCTAAGCCGAATGTGGCCCGGTAGCCGGAGCCAGGCAGCAATTTCTGAGATAGGATTCTACTGCGTGGAAACAGAAATTAAGGCACTTTGCGAAAATATAGTGGTGGTTTACGGCTATAACCTGTCTATCGAGGAATTATAAAATGTACAAGGCCGAAGATGGACACCCGCTATTGATGCTTTGGATATGTAGAATTGCTACAAGACATTATAGTCCGAATGCAGCAAAGTGAACAGGCACCTAGTGTATTCCATGGAAAATGCCATCTTATCAGGGCAGCTATCTGCTTCTTACTTCATTTTTGGGGGCGTATTCAGGGAATCTTTAGTGATGAGCATTTATAAAGTGACGGGTTCTTTTTAGGGGGCACATGCTCGTGGTATAGACCTGATGGAAGAAAGGGCTGTATGCTTGATGCACCGAATTCCAACCTAAAGCCGATCCCACCCGGTTCCAGAGCCTGTTATCCATGGAGTAGGCCAATTGTGATGCTGGCGTTTTGCCAATCACTTCGCAGAAGCGAAGTCACGTCATGAGCTCTCACTATTAGCATCAATACTTATAGCCGTACTCGTCCTTGGCGCTAAAGACTCCTATGCTTCCCGGATCTCTTCGAAGCCTCTCCCTGTGAACGTTCTCGTACCCTTTGTTCTACATAAAATGTAAGCGCTAATGCACACGTGACAGATATTGCGTCTATATCATTTCGGAGATAGGCCCTCTACCGATACCAGACAGGCTAAGAGCGAAGCTAGTATGTATTCGTACTCGAGCCGCGCGGGCAACCTTGACTTCCTTACTACTCGCAGGACTAGGCTAGTAGACTAGGCATATAAGACCCCAGCCCTGCCAACATACGCGCAGTCTCCCTTTCATTCTTCCCCGATATCCGAATAGATACAGCCGACAGCCTACTTTGCTTTGGGTCATATTCTTTTTGCATAGAAGGTTCCACATCATTTGCAATCTTCTTATCAAGAACATTATGTTCCTATATCGCCGCCTCGCTTCCATTTCCCGTCCATGGAGCATGATATGGTTCTCCTTTTGGCGTAAGCCGTGTCATCATCCCGTTTCTCAGGAATACTAATAACCCGACCATACAGTCCACTGGGAAGCTTTGAGAGAAGCAGTTCGTCGAGACGGTCTCGCAGCAATCGTGCGCCCACAACAGATTCGTGATGCTGCTGCAGCGAAGTTGCTCAATGTAACCTGTAACTTACCCATCGTACCTCCCATCAACACGTCTACAAACTTACCTCAGCATAGCCGCTGGTTTTATTGCATTCGAAGACACAACCATTGTTCCATCGCTCGTGAAAGCCGCTAGCGGCGTTGTCCTTGATCTGGGTCCCGGGCCAGGAAACCAGATTCATCGATTTGATACCACTGTTGTCGATCATATCTATGGTATTGAACCTAATCCCCACTTCAAGAGCGCTCTAAAAGCCAAGCTGGAGACACATGGCTTACAGGATAAGTATAAGCTCATCGATGCTGGTATTGAAGATAGCGATATTCTGAGGGAGGCGGGAATCACGGAAGGGAGCGTGGACACCGTGCTATGCATTCAGGTCTTGTGTGCGGTTCAGGATCCACGAAATGTGACGAAGGAGATTTGGAAGCTACTTAAGCCCGGGGGCAAGTTTATATTTTGGGAACACGGTTGTAGTAAAGATCGCTTGACGAATGTGGCGCAAGGTATGTTCTGCCAACTCCTCTTTCTTGGGCGAATTGTCGTAGGAATCAAAGGGTAGCGAAAGCGAGCTAACATGGAAAAAGCTTGCTTCAACCCTGCTTGGAGTACATTTGTCGGATGCCATTTGACCCGGAATGTATTGGCAGACATTCTCAACAGTGGGGAGTGGGAGAACCCGGGCGCGATCGAAGAGCCTGAGGACCCGTTTAGTTTTCTGCCTAGGATTCAGGGTGTTCTTGTTAAGAAGGCTTGATTTACCGCAACTAGAGCGGGTACCTGCACTCATGGATGCGATTAGGGAGGAGATGCCTTATGTCAACAATGAACAATCTATAATAAATTGTCTACTAATAAAACTGGAACGAGGTCAGAGGTGAGGAGACTGGCAAGATGTTTAGGTGTTTGCGTCGATCAGTTGGTCTATACAATCCCACCACTTCTGAGTCTGTCCACCCATGTGTGTGCTCAAACGCCGAGTCAGCGCGTCCCCCTCTGAACGGCCTTTAATTTGTGGTTCCTTAACAAAAGACCGTTTAGACCCAATGGTAGAAGGACCAGAGCCTTCCATTTGGCGACAGTTCATCTGTTTGAACCGTTCCACCTCCTGCCTATCAAAGACTTCATTTTCATATTGTGCCGAGTCGGGGTCCGACCATCCCCCAGTCAGCCTGAGAAGTTTTGCGGCAGCGAAATGGCCATTATACTCAGCTAGCTTCACGGCGCGCACGTACTGAGATCTGAACTGTCCGGTAAAATGCGCGCCTTCATTCAGCAGAACTTGGAGCATATCGAGACGTCCGTACTCGGCTGCACCTTCCAGCGCCGTTCGGCCGTAAAGCATAGCCCTAGGGGCATTGACATTGGCACCGGCTGCAACGAGCCTATACACAATGCTGATATATCCCATAATCGCGGCAAATTGCAAAGCGGTCGCCCCATGGTTGGCGTCGATGTCCGCGCCGGCTGCGAGAAGAATGTCGATTAGTTCCACGTTCCCTGCCTTCACGGCGATCTGGAGCGCATTTGCTGCGGGCGAGACTGATGGTGCTGCATTTATATCTGCTCCCGCGTCTATGACCATCTTGACGGTCTCGGGATCATTGTTTTCCACGGCCCGTTGTAGAGGCGTTGAGGTTGTCCCGGGAGGGTTGACATTTGCGCCGTGGCAGATCAGAGTGTGGACTAAATGGCTATCTTTGGCTTGTATTGCGCAACAAAGCGGAGTCAATGTTGTTTCCTGAACTGTTAGTAACTGATTCACATCGGCGTTTATCTGTATCAGATCCTGGGCTAATCCCGTGTTCCCGGAGTATAAGCTGATTGTAAGTGCACGCCCAACATCAGAACTGGTCCATGAAGCTGATTTCAGAAGGAGGCGTAGAAGAGTGCGATCTCCCTTGGCGGCCGGAATAAGAAGCACACTTTGACCTCTTAGAGGTAGCGAGTCATGCCACCATCCTGGTTTGTGTAGAAGGCGCCGCTCACCCGAATCATTAGATGAATCTTGTCTGGAACCTTGATCCTGGCAGATATCACCATGCACGGCGTGATGTAGAACCTTTGGCTCGCCTGCAGGCTTGATACCTGCGGCGAGCAAAAGCTCAATGAGAGGAACGTCGTTGAAGTATGCGCCCATGGCGACTGCAGTTGGCGCCGTCAGTTTTCCTTGGACTTGCAACAGAATTTCACGAAGTAAGGTGTCGCTCTGGCTCTGGAGAGCGTCCCACACAGCAGCATTCAGTATTGACTCAGTAACGGTAGCTCCTCGTGCAATAAGTAGCCTAACGAGTGGATAGTCTCCGCAGTTAATGGCTGCTTCCACTGGTGATATGAATCTGACTAGACCGTTATAACGCTTTCGCTGGATTGAAGATACCCGTGAAAGGGTGCCAGAAAATAGCTTCTGTTGCCAATGCACGGTTTCCTCGCGTTGTCTGTCAACATTATGACATAAGAGGTATTGCACAGTGTCAGTATCCCGTGTGAGAATTGCTGTTGTTAAAAGGATCTGCCCAGAGCTAAAAAGAACACGGTGTAAAATGCCCGTGCTTGCCAGGTGGACAGCGGTCTCCATATTGCCAATCGATGTCAGAAGGTCGTATCCTCTGGCTACTGCTCCTGACTTGAGTAGCAAATTAATTGAGCCCACACAGCCAGCCTCGATTGATGCCCCGAGAGCCGTGTTGGGAATTTTTGTGTGCAAGTCGTTGACCCTGGCCCCCAGGCCCAACAGTGTCTGCGCACCGTTGAAGTCCCGCTCGCTTAGGCTGTGGATTAACTTGAAGGTGTAGAAATCGGGGAGCAGCTCAATCTCAGTTTTATACGAGGCATGCAGAAGGGCCCAGTAAAGCTCGCAATCTCCTGTTTCCATTGCCCTTTGAATGAGCGATCGCCCGATAACAATGTCAGTGGGTTTGAACCGAGTTCCCGCTCGTACAAGTTCTTCCACGACGCTTTTGTGACCGCCAGAAACGGCTAGCACAATTGGCGAGATGAATGTAGTCTCCGTAATTGTAGGGTTGAGATCTACATGAGCGAATAAAATCTGCAACATTCTAGAGAGGCCCCTCCGAGCTGCTAGCCCAATGATAGTGGTGCAACAGGCATGGCCCTCAAAGGATATTTCCTGCAGAACATTTGCATCCACGTTTTGCTGTAGGAGGAACTCAACTATTGGTACATTTCCCGATGCAACTGCGAGCCCAAGAAGAGAGACTTTGCCATGTTCCGAGTGGAACCGTTCTTCAGTGTCCCCGCATGCATCGAGGAAGATTCGCAATATTTCCGGGTCAGGCAGAGGACCATATGAAATTATCGACGCCCGGATTGCCTTGGGTGTTGTCCGTGCTCCAGCGGAGAGAAGAAGCTTGCATACTTCCAGTTTGCGACCTCGTCCAGCTATTACCAGAGCTGAATTAAGCAGACCTTGCCGCTTAAGGCCTGGTTCGTACGATAGCAGGAGGCGCGTAACTTCAAAAGAAAGTACATTGTCGTGAATGGCAGCAGCAAGCTCCAACGCCTTTAAGCCACCCTCGACGTAGGTATCAGGACGTACACCTGCATCTAGCAATAATCTCATGGCAGTGAAATCATGGAACCGGAAAGTCGCTCCGAAAAGCCCCTCGGACATCGCTTCAGCCGCTATGCCATTGAGTGAGAACAATCCATGTATTTTCTGGATCGTATCAATCCCAGCCTCTTGGAGCAACCCCAGGACCATGTGGTCCGAGCCTTGCCGTCGTAGGCTTCCGAGCTGTATGAACTTGTTAGAGAGTACATACAAGAAGACCTGATATTTCTGCGTGTGGGGTTCGTTGCCGCTCGGAATGATCTGATCCATAGTGAGAGAATATCGATCATCGGCTAACCCCGGCATCAATAAACGCATCATTGCTATCGCCTTAGGAGTGCTGAGAGACTCCGAGGGCGTGGATACGACTGGTTCTGTTAGCCATGAAATTAAACAGTGTAGGCTGCCTCTATCGGGGCTGTTCGTCGATATTGCACTCTCTCGAGGCATTGACAAGAACGATATGGGATTTTGTACCATAAGCCCTATCAAAATGTGTTAGTAGGACCAATGGCAAACGATAAGATTGCAGCATTACCTTTCCTTCTCTTGGTCAAAAATGCTTGTTGGAATATATACCATGGCAGCCTTGGTGGCCCTGTAAGCTCAGCATGGACTGACAGAGGAGAGCAGATGTCTATCCCTTCGGGTGTCCTTGGTGATGGAGCTGTGTATTGTGAGAGACGCCGAAAGCGTTGGGACGACCGATGATACATGCGTACCAGATATGACCCTTTCAATTGTTGATTCGAATGTCCTCGACAATTCCCTTCTTAACTTTGGTGACGGACACTTGACACCATTAATGTATACTTCGCTGTGTTTATTATCCTTGCGTCGCTTTTCGACTTTTCTTCGCACAATTTTCCATTTCTCTGACGTCATGTTGTTTTTCTCCAGTTTCCACATCTTCAGTCGCCGTTCATATTGGCGTCGTCTACTCTTCGCACTTAGGGAATGAATTGATCTAGAATGTGGGTGGTGGGACTTACGTCTTGCGAAAACCTCTGGTGATTTCAAGGATCTGCATCACCTGGGACAGTTTCTTGTTCTCCTTAATATAAAGGCGTTCGATTTCGCCCTTCAGGGCATTCCATTCAGAGCTGTCCATGCCGCGTGTGTATCAACTTTATCAGAAACGGCGCGTCACTGACAACCGGCCCGTGATGGAGATTGAGAAGAGAAGTCGGAAATTCTTCTGGGCGCCCGCTTACAGCAGATCAGGCCTTCAGCCTCATCGATGACTTGGAACGCCCCGGGAATCTCTCGGCGGTGGTAGCCGAATTAAAGGCCTTGATTGGTGCTTCCTTGCATTCTGCATGACCCTAAGCCCCGTTAAAGTAATCATTTTCGCCGATCCTTCAGAGGGACAGGGCACTTAGAGCCGTTTATTGGACCAGGCAAGAATATTCGGCATGTTCATCTTGGCGCTCGACTACAAGGGTCCGACATCTTTTGGTATTACGTCTGGCCCCTCGCAATTTCCAGTAAGCACTTCGAGCTAAGCCCTGCTAGAGATCAGTGAACTTGATTGGCTCTTGCCAAAATCTCCCCGGAGTATTCAGCCTCTCCACGCGCGTCCCGGAAACGTTTTGGGTGCTTACATGTAATTCCTCAAGGCGTACGTTCCATGGTGAATGGGCGTCAAACTGATGTTTAAAGGCACTCAGAACCCCCAGAGGTAACCCATAGTTTACTATCCTGGAGTGTCAGTTGTAAGTGGACTTTAACTGACATCTTTACCTTCCTTGAACCAAACATTATCGAACGACTTTTTTTGAACCTGTCTTCCATGGCCTGGAATCCTAGTCTTGTAACCACAGCCGGGCCTGAGATTCGTTCGGGAGACAACGTCAACGCAGCCATGACACCTATGGGATTCCAAATCAATAGACCATCAACGAACCGCAAGCGAAACCGACTCCAACAACCACCGATCCACCATAACAACCATCAATCATCTTTGCCTTCGCATCTGGCCCTCTCAGACTCCATGATTTCCACGAGCGATGTCTCGACCGCCTGGAACAACGCTTCCTCTGCGCCCCATTCTTGGCTGACTGGCCCGAACGCACCCATAATGGAACATACACTGTCCCCAAACTCTACCATCTCATTTCAGCAGCCAATGCAACCAACCTTGTCGATCCCTCAACCTGAATATAACACAGATGTGTTTGGTCTCGGCCCTGAGCTTGGATACAGAGGAGATCCGATCGGACAAAAGCCCTCGTTAATCTTGCCTAGGTGTGTCGATCATATCCGACTGAAATCCTCCAATATTCTCTAATATATTTTAGGGCTCAGGGATTGTGGCCACGCCGATGCGGGTGGATCGGTTGTGAATATTCAGGAACCTTTGCTCGCAAAGCAGAGCTCATGCGTCATGTAGAGACAATCCATGTGGCTCCGGGCGCATATAGATGTCCGGTCTGTGACATGCGTTTTAATCGGGGTTCTAATATGAGGAGCCACCTACAGAGGAAACATTAAGAAACATGGTTTTCTAGGGTGACATGTTCCTCCCTTTTTCCCCCCCTCATCCTGCTCCTCCTCCTTCTTTTTTGCTTTACTTCTTTTCCCCTCTCTATTTCTATCTTTTTTTCTTTTTCTTCTAGTTCTTCTGTTTTCTTTGTCTTGTTCTTCTCTCATCGCTTTTAGCCTTTTTCCCTTTCGTTCTATCAATCTATTATTCCCTGAATTGCTTTTCTTCCCGAACTTCTTATTAGTACACTTAGACCATGGAATTTCAGAAGAACACTATAACACACTGATCGTGCCTAGAAACATTGTAGAAAGCCAATGGCGCATGCCTCGGGGAATTCCAAACACGCAAGTGGAATAATGGGGCGGCTTTCCTCGGCACTTACAGCGGCCTGCATTGGGCCGGCCCGTCGGCGAGCTCCGACCGTCTTCTTTATTTTATCCTCCGTCTTTCTTCCTACTACTGGACAGAATTGACTTGCAAATTAATCCATTAGGTTCCTAGTAGCACAGGGCTCGACATGGTAATGGGAACAATATCCTTCGTTACCATGCATACGTAGGTTTCCTGTTTTCTTGCCCTAAAACGTTGGAAAATATTTAGACCAAAAACGGAAAGAGAGAGTAGGAAAAGAAAAAGGACCGCACGTTTTGGGGAAAGCGATGAAGGATTCGCCACAAAGTGTCAGACGATAGACCTTCAGCCCTGCGAATCCACGCAATGGAACATAGCCACGAGGAAAACGCCTGGAGGTTATCAGCGCCCCACAGGTCTAGAGCTTGCTGGGGTCCCCTTTAATCTAACCAGGAATGTCAACGCCGGCAAAACCCCCAGTGTTATCCGGACCTGGGCTCTGGCCAATCCACCCTACTTTCTTGCTCATGGCCCGATTATCAAGTTCTAATGTTGACATCAAACCGGGTTTGAGGTCGAACTTGCGTAATCCCGCCCCTTGCTTGTTGTCTGATAGAAGCGCGAGGTTCCCTGCGTGCTCCAGGCCGTGGACACGTTTGACATGATCAATTGGTTAGTACCTTGGGAATGTGAGCGATGCTTCGGTAACTAGGAGCCGGGACGATCTTAATCTTGGAGCTCAACGGATTCTCTTGTTATCCTCCGCTTCGTACCGAGGCTCACCAAACCAATTTTTTGCACAAGGACGAACTGGAAGAAATAACTTAGGAGTAAGAATGTACGCCTCTCTTACGAAAAATGGGTCTTGAATTTGTCTATAGGGGGCGACATTGAGCATAAAAATAAAGCAATAATCAGACGTTAGTCATAACACAAGAGGACAAACGGTGGAACAGGAATATGTCCTTCGCATGCCTATCATTGCACCGGCGACACGTGAATCTGCCAGTATCTTTCGACATCAGGGTGTTGCTCTTTCCTCCTCTCTTCATCCCGGATGTCCTGGTCGTATTCAGGATGACTCACCCGTTCTTGCAGAATTCCCCGCTTATCTGAATCCTGCAAATACTTTAGGAATTCTAAGGAGGTCTGGACATACTGCTGAACCCCTTCCTTGACGTCGATCGTGGCTCCTGTCGTCCAGCTCAGCAACAGTGGCTCAATCAGAGGGGCATCCGTCACTGATGGATGCGATGTGCCGACAGAAGTCATGAACCAGGCATCTTTGCCTCGCTGGATGATACCCTCAACCAATGCCTTGACGACGTCAAAGTGGGGTCGTCCGGTGAAGATGGTCACTTTTCGGGACCAAGAGTCGGAATGTACAACCAATGTCGGTACATCAACGTCGTGGTTCAACGGCCCACTGGACTTTCCAGGATCCAGCACGATGGCCCCTTTCGCAGGAAACAGATCGGACGGAGCGCCCTTCAAAGTGCGCAGAGCAAGCGTCGCACCAAACGAATGGCCTCCCACCGTTAACTGATCCAGATCAAGTCGGCCTTTCCAGTCTTCTAAATCTTCGCCTTCTTTTCGACTATTTGCACTAAGAATCTCGTTCCCCTTGCCCTCGTTTATTTGCATCAGTACTTGATATGTCTCCTCCATCTCTAACTGCCGCATCTCAAGCTGTAACTGCTTGAACTCCGCGCGATCCAGGTCCTCCATTCCTTCGAGATCGCTCGGTCCGAAGGAGTAGAGGGGCCTCTCGGTTCCGTCGTCCGTCCTCATAATCATTGTCCCTGGGCAGCTCCCATCTCGATGCTCCACCGCTGCAACGACGTACCCACGGGACGCGAGTTCCCCCAGGTAATTTGTATAATCGGTCCTCGAGGACGCGAATCCGTGCGAGAAGATAAATACCGGAAATTTCGATTCGGGCTCCACCGCCAAGTCGAGTGTGCCCTCGCGATCCAAGTCCTTCACGCTCGACGCAAGTGGAACATCCACCTCAGCCGGTATTTCTCTCCCACCCACGAGGCCCCAAATAGCGAGTGTAGCGATTGGGTTGAGGAAGAAGTTGTTCAGGTTCGCGAACGAGAGATACCCTTCCGCCGTCAGGGAGACCGGCTTTGGGATCCACGGGTGGCGAGGTTTTGTACTGTCGACGCCTTCGGACGCGGGATAGAAGAGGGAGAACAGGACGGTTTCGATCTCGAATGCCGGCGAGCCATCTCGGAAGTACTCTTCGCCGGCGCGGCGTGACGGTCGGGGGACTTCAAGATCCACGGTACCCACCGCGTAGGGCCCTGAGTAAGGGGGCATGTCGGAGGAGAGGAACGGCTGCCCGGTAAGGAGGCAATAGGTGATGTAGAGAACGACGATGAACGAAAGTAAGTAGCGCCATGTGAGTCGAGGTCGGAGGAAAGGAGGAAGTCGAGGTCGTCGGAACATTTTGTCGGCCAGGGCGTAAGATCCTCCAAGTTATTGATGATGCGTTTCCACTGCCGTCGTCTGGGTGGATGACGTATCCGAGATGGACCCCCGATGGAGATAAGACGGAGATAGGAGCCTGTGTGGATAACGTGACTGCTGCCTTACACTAAGCCATCTTTGGACTAACCCCTGGATTAGGCTCGCTAAGCCCGATCAAGGTTTCCCTTCAAAGCTTCAATATCGCCAAGATAATAAGGTTAATGGAGAGGCTTATATGATCCAAGACTCTCTTGGCTCCCGCTGCTTGATAATTACCGGACATACTGTGGTTTCTGAGCAGATCATGCGAGACCATGACTGCCATCATTCTGCTCACATCCCATTGACCCAGATTCCAGCAAATATATACTTCGATATTGGGAAGAATGAGAGTGAGGTATGTCGTACTAGCAAATGAGAAATAGAAAGAACACCACTGAATATATTGATGAAGTACATATCAAAGTCACTATAATGTCTCAGCAATCCAAATTGTGGTTTTAACCCATATTGGAAAGAGAACAGAATCTCTTAGTCTCTTGTATTCGTGGGCTTGAACAAGTACCGCACGCATCCGACATCTATCCAGCCCCCTGCACCTCCATTCTTCGCGTCCCCGTCCATGCCTGTTAGGAGTTAGCAATGATCCTCAGTAAATGCTTCAACATGCATATAACTCACAATCAAAGTAAGTGTTCTTGAAAAGGGTACCGCAATGAGCATCAGAGTCGCTGCCCAATGGGTCCGTTAGGTCTTGTTCCGTCTGGTCTTTCAATTGACACCCGGGAATCCATTTCACATCGAAATGATATTGTTGCCGGCCGTTGTCGCCATAAAATGAACTGAGTTGGTGATCAGCCGATACTTTCTGGTGGGGCATGGAGGCGCCACAAGCGTTATGCAGAAAGTACTGGTCCCAAGAGCTATCGTCCTTGGATGGCATTTTGGGGAAATCTCCCCATTTGTCGGCAGGGAAGCACTTCTGCTCACCAACCTCCAGCGTGGCGTATTCGGGCTCATCCTTGTCTCTGATCACATAAGACAAGGTACCGCAGTTGATATCAATTGATGCTTCCTTTGACATGACGTTCTGCTGGCTTCCGGCTCGGCCACACGGGCTCTGCGCGATGGACTTGAAGGCGTCCGCGCACGACATGGAGCAAGACATACTTCCCGTTACATCAAATTGCAGTGTGGTTCGGTAGTTGCTATAACTGTTAGCATTAGCAGGGGGTGTGCGTCGCTGCAAGCCTCGCTTCTTTGTGGGATTGTCGCCATTCTGGTTGACGACCCATGTCTGCTGTTTCCCTTCTTGGAAGCTGTCGCAGAACTTGTCATAAATTCCGCTTGTGAAAACATCTGCCGGGAGGTCCACACTCTTGTCCAAATCACAGCTCGGGGTCGGGTTGGGCTGCTCAAAACTATACATAAAAGATGCCCCACAGCTGTCTAGGGAGGCGCTGGCGCTTGGCTGAACACTGTGGCTGTCTAGTCCTTGACCTGGGGGTAAAAGCCTCGCGTGTTAGTGGGCCAAGGCTTATAATCGATCAGGGCAAGAAGCAAGGAGGCATACAGTTATCAATCATGGTGCTGAAAACATCCCCGCAGCTTTGAGAGCAGTTTTGACCAGCGTCGTACTGGAAGTGGAAGCGGTAATCCTCGTAACCACTCAAGCCAACATCGCTGGAGCTTAAGTCTGCGCTCTGGGAATCACCGCTGCAAAACTTCTCGGCGAATTTCTTGGCGAAATCGGTATCCAATCCAATAGCCTTGCTTTTGTCATCTGAGCAGGAGATGCTACTTTTGATTTCCTCCTCTTCAGCACTCTTCTGGCCATCCTCCAGAATTGTGCTCAACTCGGCCATTGCCGCATCCATAACTGAAATATCCATCAGCACAGGCAGATCATCATTCACATCATAGGCCACAGTGCAGCCACAGCCATTGTAGGGCCCTTCCTGTTTTGATGTAAGCACTTGATGAGAGTATACTGCCCAAGTAGGGATGATGCTTACAACTGTGCATTTTGAGTCATCCCCTGCCTTACAGTCATCAGCAGAACAGTCCAGCACTGTTTCATCCTGGTTAGGACATTCCTGCTTGCAGCTGCAATCCTGAAAGCGCCCCTGTGGAAAGAAGTAAGCTAGAGTACCCACAGATAGTATATAGTACTTACTATTGTGCATTTCCCTCCATCGGCACCCTCGCAGCTTTGATCAGAGCAAACGGGAAAGTCATCGTCACCGTCCGCAGGACACTGATCCTCTTGGCAAGGACAGCCAGCCTTAAGCCCAGTTGTACACCATCCTTCGATTGAGTCACAGTCCTTGCACTTAGTTTCTGTGAAGTCTTCAGGACAGGTATCAGAAGCTTCTGGGGCTGGAACCGCTGGTGGAGCAGCCAAAAAGCCTGGAGGAACTATAATGGGAATTGGGATAATGGGTGCGACGTGGCTGCTAGAGTTACTACCGCTGCCGCTGATAGAGTGCCCACAGAATGGATTACTCACCTCCCGTCGTCGTCTGTTGAGCACTCGCACTTGACGGACTCAACAAGGATGGCTTGTTTACTTAAAAAACTCTCGCCAGACTGATAGATCCAATTTAGGCATTGTCCCTTATTATCGGGATCTTCGCCACCACAGCGTTCATCGTCACATTTCCACTTATCCTCACCAACCCTGACAAACAGTTAGTATGAGGTAGGTGGTAACGTTGGTTACAAATTCGTAAGAAAGGACAGGGGCATACTGCTCGGGACAGTAGTAGACATGTGGTATAACATGGCCGTCACGCTTCTCAAGTGACCGGGTACGGCCTGAATGGCTGTGGGGAATCGTTGCTGCCCAGGTAGAGAAGGCAAAAGAGCCCATAACAAGGGGAGCCACGCGGATATAGACCATGGCAGAATTTCTTTTGATTGAGAAGTTTATTGAGTGAGGAAAGAGCCTTTGGCTTTGCTGGAGACTGTTCAGAACTCGAAGAGGTGTTCAGGATGGTTTAATATACCTTCAATTGCTATCAGTATCCTCTCTGTCCATTGTTCTGGACTATCCGAGGCTGAGTCCGCTATCCAACACTCCCGCAGGATTTTGTTGAGGCAATTCCATATTTAGAACGACCATCTCGTTCTACATACATGCGGTGAAGGCCAGCGAGACCCAATTTTGGCGAGGCTGTGAAGTTTAGACAAAAGATAGCGAGTTCTAAGAGCTTGGGAGTCCTGAATCGGTCCACAGCCTCAACGAAGAGGAAGGCCATATACAGCCGTGTAGGAGTTGCAACAATCCTACGGCACCAATCAATCTAGGGCTGACTATCAAACTAGCTGTTGGACTGGCCCTAACGAGGCCAGGCACGTGGTAGGGACTCAGCCCACCCACACAACTGGTGGCAGTTGGGTTAGCCCAACAAGTTGGTTTTATACAAGTTTGTTGATTAAATGGCGTGCAGTGCAGTGGCAGATCCTACGAAGCGCTGCCGACCAACAAGCCAGGATCACAGTTGGCGCGATATCGGAATTCAGCGCGGCGTTTTAGCGCTAAATATTCGGATCTAACATCGCGTGAGGAATCAGCTAAGCCTGATGTTGTTGGACTGGATCCTGAACCCGCACCAACTATATCCCCAAGCAAGTCAAGCACCATCATCGGACTCCCGCCGTTATGGGCCCTAGTCCCCGCACGAACGGTCGTCTGCGCTAATATCACCATTCGCTACTGAGACTAGCAGGAATCCGTGGGGGCCGTAGTGGCAGGACACCCAACTAGACTATACCGTATTCACTTTTTGGACAACACCAACAGTCTTCCCGTGAGATTCATTGGTCGGCGCTTACTATCTGCGAAAGATTCTCAGAACAGCTCTCCATATTGCTATGGATCTCTGGCCCCCAATCCCCCAAAAATACACTGGTCTAAAAGGTGCCAATTTTAGTCCCAGACACTAGGTAGCCGATGAGCCTCATACACTGAGGTAATCGAAAGGAACACCGTTATACCTCATCGTCGTGCTTGTTGGAAACTAGCCCGCTCCTTCGAGATGATTAGAACAAGCAATTGATATGAAGCTGGGAGTGATGATATTTAAAGATAGATCTCGCACCAAGAAAGGTCCTTCAACACAGATATCATCAAGCTCTTTTCTCTTACTCCGTATAACAAACCATGCCGTCTCTCCGAGGTCTTTTTCTTGTTGCCGTAGTCTTCCATCTATTGGCATTGGCGGTCGGCTATAAGTTTGATCCACATGGGTCATGCGATAGTTTGTCATTTCCTTGTCTTCCTTCCTGTTGCTCAATGTTACTGACATCTCATAGGCAGAAAAGGCGACCTTAAGAAGATGCTAGATAGAGCCAAGGAAATGGCGAAGGACGGGGAAGCGGCAATGAGAAAACGCCCACTAGACCCCGATGTGAACAACCTACGAAAGATGCTGTTTTCCCCAATGACCGCCAGTGATCTCATGGCCAGTAGGTCCTACCTTTCCTTTTTCATGAATCGCCCACAGATCCTAACCAATCGACGATCAACAGACCAGCTTGGTCTTGTCTACAAATCGATTCAGCGCAACGACGATGACGCCAACAAAGACGACAAACGTTCCCCGGTTATATATTGCAACTTCGACCGTTGGAACGAAATCCCTGGGACCAAAGCTGGCGAAGTGTTCTGGAAGGACAAATACAGCACTGATGTTTTTAGAGACTCCCAGGTTATCCAGAAATGTAAAGATGGAAGAGCAAAGGCCTTTCTGGTAGGATGGAACTCGGTCCAAGGGGCTAGGCCCGAGTCACAGGACTTTATCCAGCTCTGTCCCTGGTGGGTGGAGAAGTCACTCTCCGATAATTATCGCCAACTGGAACAAATCCCGGACAAGAAGATCAAGCAAATTCCCATTGGCCCTCCAGATAATGGGCAACCATGGATGGACCTTATAATGGCGTTCGAAGTGACGCTGATGCACGAGGTTTGTTCAATGGTACCCTCCACCCCCTGGACAGGAAATAATCTTACTTCTTTAGTTCTCTCATTCCCATGATGGTGCCATGACTACTGACAGGGGCGGATATGGGTGGAAAAACATTATTATGACCAAGGATAACCCACTTGCGCCACCATACTCAAATGCTGATAACCTGGCGTATTTCAACCTTGGTTTGTTTGGTTCACATTCCACGCTGATTTCATTGCTGCTAATCTTATGCTATAGGAGTCAATCTCATCATGAAGAAGGGTCAGGCCGTTACAATCGATGGAAATCTGAAGCAGATATGTACGAAGGAGAACAAATCCAGTAGTAAGTGCAGCACTCAGTAGATGCTGCTCGGTCGGTTTCACTGTCTGTATGTAGTATATAGCTTTACTCCTAGATTACCTGAACTCCGATCGGTCGGCCGAAACAATACTGTCCTTCCAAGGTAGCCTAAACTTTCTAGACAGCGCATTCCAGTATCATAAATACCTCATTAATGTCTGGCTAGCATGACATGTTGCAGTTGTCATCTGCGACGTCGAACGGAACTGAAAGCCTAGTTTTCGCAAGGATTACTCAGCACGCCCTCATGCCCGCGGCCTCAGGCAGTAGGCAATATAAAAGGCAGTAAACATTCCTAGTAGTAACTTCATCCTTTGTCCCTACTTCCAAACTCTTGGTAAGAGCGCCCGTCAGGACAGCCGGCATAGTTTCCTTTTCCCTTCCAAGATGACCTCCGAGCAGCGGGATCTTCTGAGTCAATCTCAAAGCCCCCTTTTCCGCTTGCCTGTGGAAGTTCGGCAGCAGATCTACGAGTATGTCTTGGGCGGCACGACTGTCCATTTCATCATGACTGATGCACACGGCCTCGAACACTGTGCTTGCCTGTATGGAAAAGAGGTCGTTGACACGTCTGCTTGCCCAACTCAGGACCAGCCCAAGATCTATTGTCTCGGCCCTGGACTCATGTATCTTGGTGACCCCTTTGCCCATGCGGGTGTCTCCCAGAAAAGACGTCTACGTGGGGAACCAACGAAGTTGTCTTTGCTAGAGACCTGTCGACGGATGTAATTTCTTTGTCGCTTCAAAGTGCTCATAACCGAGGCTGACGTTCCAAACAGTTACCTCGAGGCCATTGACATCCTACCGTCTCAAAACACAATCAGCATCATCGCACAGTACCCTCGTGGCCTCGACACACTGTCCGAAATCCAAACCCAACTCGGTCCGGAGCATTTTAAAAAGATTCGGTCTTTGGAAATGTCATACGTCAATCATCTCCGCCATATGGAAAACGATCCACAATTTTGGTTTGCACAATGGGCACGGTTTTGCGCAACACTGGCCAACATGAATGGACTGGAACGCCTTCACATTGGGATTGTATTTCATGAAGTTACAGCTGGGCAACTTTCGTCCTCCCACGAAGCCAAATTCTTCGGGCCTTTGCTTTCTATCAAGGGGCTGAAAGAATTCTCGGTGAATGTGTCATGGAATGCTAGTCCAGTTGCTGAAGGTCTCCTCCAGGATGCATCTTTTACTCTTGTGCGGGATGGCAATACCCCATCTCGGCGGCGGTTCTGCTGTCGATCAAAACCAGGACTTCTGATTGGAGGTGCTGAGCAAAACAATGATAGTCTACAAGTAAGGGTTGTTTACTTGTCGGTACGCTTGAGAAAAAGGCTCGCTTATTTCAATCCCTTCAGGAAGTTCAGAACTTGACGTCTTCCCTCCCCAGCACATCCGGCACCTGCAGCTCTGATTCTTGATACCCCAGAGTAAGACAAATAAATTGGTTCTCCCGAGAATCCGGGAGATGCAACTTCAACCTGCAGCAGGATGTTAAAAGTTTTAGAATGGTGGCTTTTTGTTTAATCTCATGTCAGGTTATTTGATCTTATAGCTACAGAATGACATATGCTATTTTACGTTCCCAGCCTCTTCAGATGCAACCCAGCACATATTTCAAGAGACAGGGAATAGAACCAAGATGGTGGTGTATACGCCGCGATACGCCCACTCCTCTTCCACTATCCTTGACGCCATCCTTGGATTTAGTCAAGCTTGTCACCTAGGTCGTTACCTTCCGGGTATTGAAGGCGGAGGGTAATGTGAGAGGTGGTTTGGTGGAGGGTGGAGGACATCACAATGGTGTGGTGAAGTTGATTGGTTTAATGTGTCCGAATGTTTGATGCTGGAAGCAAGTAGGGTTTTAGACCTATTCTTGCTCGCAGGAAAACGCTCATCGCATCTCATGCCCGAAGCCACTTTTCGGAGCTACAGAATCGAACATTGAGCTTCTTTGTTTTTACCCCTCGCTCAGCATTCGATGAATCGCGCTACCGTTGTCAACATGACCAACTCTCCCCTTGGCGGCAGGGCCAGGAGCGAATACCATTCCGTCTCAAAATGCTTTTCTTTGTTGTTGTGGAGATTGTGTAACAAGTACCCTTGATGTCTCTCAAGCCACCGTGAACAAAACCTTCTCTCGCATCAGTATTGTCGCACCGCATGATTAGTTTTGCACAGTACTGATGATCTTTTCTTTATTGGTGCTTCGATTTCGGACGGATTTGGTCTTGGGGTTAGGAGTCAGAGGGGGGATTGACAGGCAGAATACCTTTTCAATCCGGAACGATGAACCTTATACGCCCCGGCAAATCAGTGTCGAAGGAAGCCTAAGACCAGTCCTCTACTAGGCTGGATTTGGTCCTCATAAACAAAATCAATCTCTTCATTTCTATCAATGGAACGTTCGAGCCTTTGACCGGGGATTGCTAGATAGCCCATGTCAACCAGGCAGCACCGATACCCAATAACAAAATACCCCCAGCCCATCGCATTAAACCCCGTTTCATGTGATACTGAGCAGCTCGATAAAATGCTTACGAGGCATTGATGCGCGGGAAAGGAGTATCCCCCTTCCCCAGCGCCCCGAACAACGGTCCTCCTTAACATCAGAGAACACCAGACGATCTGCAGGGACAGTCTCCTCCAGCCAACCAATGTTTCTACGGTAGACTGAAGCCTTCTTCCTCTCCTCTCCGTAGATCCCGTCCCACCTGCACATGCAACGGGAGGATGTAGACGACGGAATGCCGCATTCCGTGGAACGGAAATACCACCGCGCGAAGAAACCATAACTTTGCGAAACTTGCGTTGTGGCCATTCTCAAGAAGCCAGACCTCGCACGTTACTATCATGGCGTCCGCGTAGGGGTCCAGCAGTCCCCGACGAACTGAGAACCCCGAACGTCGGGGATTGCGACATCGCCGTCCAAGTGTTCTTCCATTGGAGGAGAACCTCCTGGTTTTCGGTGGCACAGGTGTCTCAGATGATGATCCATGGTTTGATCTCGATGGGACCACCCATGTCAGAGGCCGTCGAGGGGAACACTGAGCGCGGGACCGAGCGAAGCCGTGGCTGGGCGGGTAAGTCCTGCGCCCATGACTTGAAATCTCTTTCCTGGCTTTCAGTTTGCGGCTTGCTGGCCCACCTTGGAGACGACAGGGAGGATCTAAATGAAAGTTGCCTGGATAGCGGAAAGGGCCGAGGCAAGTGACTCTGTCATGTATGTCTGCGGCTTCGATCTACGCCAAGCACCTGCCATTTTGTGTATGCATAAGGTGGACTATGCTGGCAGTTCTGCAAAATCAATTTTTGCTCTTAAATTCTGCCGGTAGTATCTTTAAATATACGGGTCAAATACAATGATACCTTTTACCACTACCCCTCCATACTAGATCCACGCAATTTCTTCCCTTGCTACCTCTACCTATTGCCTACTCAGCCTAATTACCCTACCCACCCTACCTACTGTGTCTACCCTGCCTACTCTGTTTACACAAACTACCTAACCGAGATCATTGAATCTATCTCCTACCTACCTACTTACTCTTAACCTGGCAGGTAAAGTAGGTAGAGTAAATAGAGTAGGTAGGGTAGGTAGGCAGACTGGGTTGAGTAGACAGGGTGGGGACTAGGTAGAGGCAATAGAAGTGTGTATTTAGTATGTACAGGTAGTGGTAATAAGGATTATAACATTATAAATATAAAAAAACAGACATATATTTAAATTACTATAGCGGTGCGCGCGGGAGGGTCCTTAGTGAATTAGATAAATGAAAATTGATCTTGCATTATGGCCGGTATAGTCTGCCGTAGTATGCAAAACGATCAAAAGCTATTTCTATCTTTCAATAAACAGCAATCAATTCAATCCTGTTAGGGCGTCTGGATAGTTGAGCGTTCAATAACACCGCGGCTGAAAGTCATTGCCTTGACCTGCAACATCCGGGGAAGGTGATCCTTCTAGATATACTAGTGCTGAATGGATCAGACGTGCTCAAGCTTATTTTGATTAGGACTCCAGGTGAACAGGTCCATACGATAGCCACGTGATCAGGCCTCATGGTGAGTGGATGGGAATATATCCTCTTGCCACCCTAGTATACATGCAACCCATTTTGATGCGCCCTTGGTCCTTTCTCCATACACTTGTTGGCCTGGTAGAGACCAAATTCCAATGATTTCGAGCTCTAGCTGAGGGTGCCTTGTTGGTCCAATCTTTGGAATTTGAGATAGCAGCGTTCTAACAGATAGCCGCACTAATATACAACGTCCAGATTGAATGTATTATCCTGGGGTTTAAATTCCTTCATAATCTGCTAGCGGACATGTAGGTTTAGGATACTTGACTTGTATGTAGTTCTCGAGGGCTACTGAGTATCTATATCCACTGTGGGTCATATAAAGCGCTAGACTATAATAGGCAGGTGTCAGATTCTATAAGAGAGGATTAGTAGTCAAGTGAACATCTGCGATCACAACTTAGCCAGCAGAAAAGGACTAATACTGACGCCAGAAGAAAAGGATCCTAGATGGTCTTTCTATTCCCTACCCTTACTAGATCTCATGTATATCTTGCTTTCAGGGATGGCTTCGTTGTAGTATTTATTTTGGTCTGTAGCTGTTAAGGACCACCTGACGCCCTCGCGTGATATATTGTTTACTGCGCCATGGCGGCCTGCAAGGAAGGATTCTGCACTCGATATGAAGCTACCTCTATGCTAGCATGAACGGCTTTCCGGGAGACTTCATCTCGTATCAACTTTAAAGAACCCGGTTGGCTTGACTGTAAATGTGGGCCTTTCAAAGAACCCTTCTTTCCGAGCTTTAGGTGAATAGTCGAATGGACAGGTGTCAAACTCAGGCTAATCATCGATAAGGCGCGTCAAATACTCGAGATTGGCCTTCAAGCTATGTGACAAGCTATAGCCAATATGACGTGCTATGCCCGTTCCTAGGCTCCCCGGCTGTTCTGGCTATTAACGGAATATCAGAAAGTATATCCAAGGAAGGGGTTGTGCGATAAGGGCAATCGGGACATCTCCGATGCGGATCATCCCCGCCCAGTAGATTATCTATCTGGAGATGGGCCTAGGCCGACGTTATCATGCATGTCAGTTGTTGCTGGTGTGGTGATGTCTGCCGGTGATTGCATCATCTGTGCTAATGCCGCTAGACAGGACACCAGCCCATCATATCGCTAAAACTTCGGCCATTGTTAACTTCTTGCTGACTGAAAGACGGCATTAGTTGGACCATCCCCATAATGGTTTCGATCATACCTCCCAGAGTAATCACGCTATTCAGAGTTATGTTTACGAACTCAGTATCCCGCGAATTTATATTCGAGCCTGACCCCGGCATTATGAACAGGTACTCTTGGACGATATCAATTCCACACGACTGCTGGTCTTTCAATGGCTGGTATCACTAGCAACGAGGCTCGTGTGCCTCGGAACAGCTTGCATGCGTTCTATCGAGGCACACTCTTCAACTCGATCCTCATCGGTCTAGTCAGCTTTACACAACCAGGGATATGGGGTGCTCTATCAAGTTAGTTTACATCCCCCATAGAAAACGACCATCGCTAACCAGAGCGGCGGGATGAAGACCTTGGAGCCGGTGGGCTGGCGACTCCATTTTTCGTTAACGCGGCAAATGTCATCACCTTCGCGATTATGATATTTATGAGTCCACTGTTCGCCGTTCTGAGTAACCGATGGAGTTTGAAGTGGGTTCTGGTTTTCGGAACCCTTGGGTATGCGCCTTATTCGGCATCCCTGTATACGAACAGTGTTTACGGGACGCAGTGGTTCATGCTATTTGGGGCGGCGACCTGTGGCTTTTCTGTTAGTCAACTAGGTCCATGCAATGGTATTTCCGACCATAACTGACTTACTGTAGGCGGCAGCGCTCTGGGTCTCCGAGGCAGCGATCGGTGTTGGATATCCCGAGGAGCATCGCAAAGGAACATACAGTATGCTCAATTCTAGCGGCCCCTGTTAAGGCTATAGACTCAGCTAACGATCCTTACAGTTGCCATATGGTTCGGCCTTAACAAAATTGGTTCCATCGTGGCCACTTCAATTGAACTAGCCTTGAATGTCCAAGGCGACCAGAAGGGAACCATCAGCCCAGACACATATCTCATCCTGATCGCACTGCAGTGCCTAGGTCTTCCACTCGCCTTCCTCGTCAGTCCGGTGAACAAACTAATTCGCAGCGACGGCACACGACCGACTCTTCCCCGTCGAACCACCATAGCCGAAGGATTCCGCGGCTTCTGGCACGTCTGCAAAAGACCCGAAATCGCCGCTCTGATTCCCATATTCCTGACTAGCCAATGGGCACAGACCTACGAAGGCAATTACCTAGCGACATACTTCACCGTGCGCTCGCGAGCTCTCGCAGCATTCGTCGTCACCTGGGTCGGACTAGCCGTCAACATCGTCTACGGCTGGTTCCTGGACAGCAAGCTTATCGGTCGACGGTCGACGCGCGCGCGAGCCGGCTGGATCCTGCTGATCGCATCATATACCGTCACCTATATTTATAATCTCGTCGTGCAGGCCGAATACGCACGCACAAACCCGACATTCGATATCGGATCGCCCGGCTACGCCCGTGCCGTGGGTGTGTACTGCCTCTTTTTCGTCCCTTACAATGCTTTCGCGGTATTGGGCTATTGGGTTCTCGGAACGTTCGACCGGAGTATCGAGAATTTGACGTTCTCGGCGGCGTTGCTCCGTGGGAGCGAGTCTCTGGCAAGCACGATTTCGTATGCGCTCGGCGCGTCGAAGGATGTCTCGCTGTTGACGAATCTGATCGTCGCCGCGGTGTTGTTTTGGGCGTCCGTTCCGACAACGACGTGGAGTACGTGGCAGGTCAAGGATGATGACGAAATCCAGAATGAGATTGAAGAGACGGCGAGTACCGGTGAGAGTGGAAGTGAGAGCCACGGTCAGACGGAGGGTGTTAGTGTGCTTGTTAAGGGATCAGGGGCCTGACTGACACGGCTTTGTGGGGGTGGGTCGGAAGGCGGAGGAAATCATGATCATAAATGTATCAGCGGCGCGAGCCTAATCATCTAAGCTATCTGTACCTGAGGGCGATTAGATCATGGTGTGTGAACCGTTGAGTTCTTATCATGTGATGTCACACCGCTTAGGCAGCCCTAAGTTCGGCCATACAATCTGGTGTAGAAAGTACCAAAACCACAAACGCCACTCAGTCATGCATCTGCACTTGTGATCCAGCAGTTCTGTGTCAATTCGAAAGCTGCATCACAGAGTCAAAATTATTACAAAGAGTGTGTTAGCCATGGGGCCGTGATCTAAGAAGTAGAAGTGGATTGATCGTCTAGAATGGTACGATAGTAGAGTCACTTGAAGGCAAGGATGTTGTCCTGAAACGTCTGTTGTCCATTCAAACATCTTAACGGGGTCAGTAATGGTCTCATTGTACACCATACGGAGTAGTTTACTGCTTCCACTTGCTCTAGTGGCACCAATAGATTGTCGGGTTACATGCGGTTCCTTCAATTATTGGTGGCCTCCGTATGGCACTTGTACAAGAACGGCACTTTCCAGCATTTGTCCTATTGCTGATCGGCACCAGTAGAGCCAATGAGAGCGAAGATACTGTGTGATATCATGATGGCGCATCCCATCAATTGCCGCAAACAATAAGTTCCTATTGATGGACGCGGTCCCACCCGGGCAAACAGGGGCGAGATTGAGTGGTTGGAACTTATCACCGTCGGATGTGGCCCCACTACATAGTGGACCCTGTCAGGGATAAAATCATAAAATCGGGATACTAGTAACAGAAAAACAAGGACATCGTATGTACGGCGTAGTACACACACGGCGTGTTGGGGACGTTCGTTAGGGTGCAGCGGGGTGACAGCCAATCATCCGTCAGCGAACGGCAGGATACTAAAGTACCTACTTCCCTAAGTACTGAGTGATGTGATCACACCGTAGAACGCCTTCGCAGCCCCGGCTGGGGTTGACCCAGACGAGACACGAATGACTTGCTAATGACACGTACCCCGCCTCACCCCGAGTCATCCCCTTTCTGGAGTAGTTAACCCAGTGACTGGTTGGCAGCTGAGACGGCTAAATTTTCCCCCCTACTCCGTACAGCACCGATTTTCTCAACCTTCATCTCCCCTTCTTCTACTACAGCCCCTACTACTACATTAACTGCGATCCGTGTTTCTTCCTGTGCCGTTGCAATACCCAACAGATCAAGTGAGAAACTGGGAAAAGCCCTTTGAAATCCAAGAAACTGTCACTTGTTCGTTTGCACCACAGTCTCAAACAAAAGGAGAGGACACTAATGTTTGCCAGCACCATGCCTGCACCTGTCGAGAGCGAGCAATCGGCTGGCCCCAAGATTCCATTGTCTACCGTGACGCAAGAGCATTATTACTATGCAGTCCAATCGCTTCTAGCGGAGATACGCCGCAGCAACAATGCAGAGCTTCAGGAACTGTTGGAGTGGCTTGCGCAGCCGCGGACTGATCCTGAGGCGATGGCAATGGTTCTGGAGAAATATCGCCCGTAAAGTATCGAAGGACACGTGGTCTGCTATAAGTGCCTACTCAGACTCTCATCATGTGGTGTTGCTTGTTTGTTATCGGCGATGAGTATAGGGCGCATGAGATTGCGATCGCAGTTCTGTCATTAGTGTTGCCAGCTGGCTCTGCGGCTTCCAGCTGAGCACTACCTACGTATTGGAGTATAAAGCAGTATGCGCTATGTTACGGGAATTATTGAATAACGAGGACAAACCCACCGCATAAGACAACTTCAGCGTAGTGGACTAGATAGATGTCTAGATGCCAAGTGCATCCCATCTCTCCAAGAATCTGTCAAGTTCCGCTTGCTCATTTCCATCTGCTCTCAACGCAAAATTAGGATACAAACTGCTTAGTCCATCCCGGTCTTTTTGAGACCAATCACATGTCTCGAAATCCATGAACAGGGCATCAGTCTCTGGAGGTAGTGTGATGGCCAATTTCCTCGCCGTAAGTTGGATCCCCCGGAGCATTGCCTTGGCAAGAGCCCAGCGTCGCGAAGCGGCTTTGGCGGCAATACATAAAATAATGAATGCATCCACGCTTTCAGGTGTCTCGAGATCCTCGAGCAGAGTATATAGAGATATTGTAACCCACTGAATGTGGCTCGCCGGAAAGATATCGATGCCCCAAGAATCACGGTGCTGTTGCATCAATTTTGCGATCCGGCGTGCCGACCACAATATGGCCTTCTGTGAGTTAGTATCGGACGGTTCTGCTTCTTTCTCGTCATTCGCATTATCCTTCGATGTTTTTGCCAGTCCATGGACTGTAATCAGGGCGTTGTGGTAATACATACTGCGGAAACCTGTTAGGGAGAAAGTCCCAGCGATGATAGAACACTTACTGAAGACATAGGACTTGAGGAAGCGGCATAACAGCGTTCTCTACACGTAGGCACTCGGGGAGGCTCGCCTCCCACTTTGATAACCTCCGAACCACTTCGTTTGTCGTCGAGAGCACGTCTTCTAGAGACGGTCTCTTTCTTCCACCGAACATTAAAGAGCACCAGTCATTCAGGATCGCAGCCATATCGCAAAGACAGCCAAAATGACATGAGGAATGCCATGAAATTTTGTCACTTTTGACTGGATAGGAGTTCCATACGTCGGTACAACCCTCATGATCGCGCTTCGGAATTGGTACATCAGGGGTTTCGATCATCGGAGCTTTCTGGTATGCCATGGAACTTGCCCTGCCAACTTTTAGCGTATTTCTCCGAGCACATGTGATAACCGTTCCTTACATCGTTATGCTATATAATCCCCAGAGTGTAGATGTACGAACGCGTTTTTCTTCAGTTAAATCGCTGTTCTGCATATTAGAAGTGTCGTAGGTATTGTTGTAAAGCTCCTTGGCTACAAAGGCGAGTTGACCCTGAAAGATCCAGCCAACGCGATCCTTGCCCGTGAGAAAAGCACTACAGGCGCCTTAGAATCAGCATTTGCCAGATATTTCTGGGGTTCTTGGAATTACCAAATGGAAAGACCACATAGGCCCTGAACTGTGGAAATGGTAAAACGTCCCTTTTCCTCTTCAAGACATTTTCGCGCCTCATCATAGAAATGCTCGCCCCTTGTTGATGGATCTTTGGGGTATTTGTAGGCTTCTGCGTAATCGGAATAGGCCTAAGCTTTTGTTAAAGGAATGTATCTGTGTGGAATCTCACATGAAGCGTCGACTCACACAAGCGTCGGCTAACAAAACATTCACGAGGAATGGTGAGCAAAACTTTGAATCAAGATTTTCGGCTTTCATGTCACGGATGAAGAGCTCTCGGTCAATCCATGGAAAACAAGGATGATACCAAGTAAAGTATAGGGATATCAAATGAGATACAAAGGTATCATCCTCCGTTACACTTGTCCAGGGTTTTGCAGGGACTTGCAGAGGGGGCTGATCGACCAGTTCCTTAACGCTGAGGACCTTTCGAGGGACCTTATTTCCAACGTCTTGGCTTCCGCACAGTGCTTCATGGGCTTCGACTATCTCGGGCGAAGCTCCCTCTTTCATTCGAGCGTCGATGTAGGATTTCAACTCCTCAAGGTCAGGGCCACTGCGGATCAGGTTGAGGATAGCGTAAGCATTGCTGTCGCTACCGTTGCGCAGAGACAGGAACAAGTTGATTAATAAGTCCCGATCCTCCTCCAGGGTACTGATCTTCCGTTTTATGTTGATACGTCGACGCTGGTCGGCATTGTAATCGTAGAAGCATTCCGTCTTTTTCGCGATACATCTTTCGCAAGGTTCCTTACCATCACACTGCCAGATAAATCAGTTATCTGATCTAGCCTGCTCGCGATATCGTGCATTCAGACCTTTGTTTTCCGCACCTTGCAAGCAGTACAAGCCAAAGAGGAGTTGGTCCTTCGCGGAACAGATCGATCATCCCGCGACGAATCAAGTAGTGGTGCAAGGGGCTTAGGTGCTAGCTTTTCGGCCATTTAGTGTCAGACTAGAATTTCCAGATTTTTCAGTTCATAGGCTGGTGACGGAAATGGCTATGCAGGACAGCATGGGTGGAGGAGGTATTTATCTTCAAAAAATCCCACAATAGGACTAACCTGGGTTGGCGCTTGATGATGTAACACCTTCTTAATGTGGCTGTAACTACACCGTGTACTGCGGAATAAGTACATCTGAACTATAACCGCTCAATACGGTAAGAAATAGCGCTGTAAGAAAATCGACTTGTTAGTGGGTTCCTCACAAGTTTAGTGTTAATTCGGTGGCCACTTAGAGCCACTCTAAGACTTGAGTTGTCGCTAATAGCAGATTGTGGGACATAGTCGAGACTAACTAGAAGGGACTCTTGAATGGATCAATCATTGCTGCGAAAATTGGCATTAAGATCCAAGTTTGTATCTTTACAACTTCTTTAGAAATCTACTTTTTGCGTAGTTACAAATGATTGTTATACCTCAGGTTGTCAGCATGTCGCTTCCATGGAGTACAGTACCTATTATTTACTCGTTTCCCTTTGCTCTCGTTCTTTTTCCGGATTAATCTTCCCACGTATCCACTCTGACAGATCGGTGTTCGTGTCTACACTCTACACACCTGTACGGAGTATAGAGTTTGGACCCTTACAAACCCAATAGAAAATTCCATTGAGCGGGGTGCGCTGAAGCCTGCGGTAAATCCCGAATCCCAACATCGAGCCATAAGTGGCGTCCGAATTTATATCTTTAACCATTGATCCAGCTTGAAACAGAACTTCTGGAACAGTCACGTCAAGATACAGAACGCCACATCCGCGTTTTGTCCTTCCGCACCTTATTTCAATGTTATAGGAAAGCAAAGTTTGCCCGACAACCAATCTGCTGCTTTCCTGGGATGCAGCCGCGCGATGGCTTGAAGCACATTCAGAGGTTACACATTCAAGTACGAACGTAACTTCAACCCGCGCCCTTGCATGATCGAGAGAGAAGATGGGTTTCTCCATGTTAGGACGAACCACATTTGAGAGCGCTATTATCGGACACCGACTGGCGCAGCTTTGTCGCTCCTGTACCTTCCCTTGGTTATCAACAGAACCGAGCTAGGGAAGAATTTCCCCCTCAGGGCTAACGTGACACTGTTGTTTTCACATGCGACCTGCCCTTGCTCCGTCACTATCAAGTAACGCTGGCGCTCTAGACTTCCACTATTGTATGGATCTGTCGTGCTCCTTTCATAGGTACTGAGTATGCGGAACGAGCTCTGTAGGAGGCGATATCCGTAGCTATCAACCCAGATGATTGTCAAAGTTATATGTATTATCACGTAATGGAATCCAAGGGTAGGCCAACTTAGTTTGGGGATTTGTTCTAGGAGGGCTCTTAACTAATATTCTGGTAATACCAAGCTACCTGATTCGTCGAAGGAGCTGAAACCATATTCTTTGTCCATGGCAGAAAACAAGAATATAACGTATGACTATGGTTCGACGGTTATGAGCGCATTATTGCAAACCGAGGTGTTTACTAAGAGCTATACGTAAAACACATTTTCATTTCTTGGGTGCCGAGTCGGAAGTAGGAACCTAATCTATTACGGTTGTTGATTTGCTGCACCAGAATATATCTTTGCTGTTTAGCCTTCCCACCTCCGTCAGGGGTCTAAGCCTAGGCCCGGGCCTCCTAGCAACACTGATCTGTCTTCTCCGCGGCGTTCTTAACTTGAATGACACATTCTTGGCCGACCGCGTTGGCCAATACTAACCACTTCGTTCCTTACTGAGTCTAAGCTTTGCAATTGCTTTAGCGGAAAGTCTCCGCTCTATGCGTGTTCCTTACCGTGTCGCGAGTGCTTCGTACATTCACAGTAGTTACTGCATACTCTTTGTTGAGCTTCTAACGATCTTGCTCGTTCATTAACTGGTTTCAGAGGATAGCTAGGTTTCTCCATGCATACCATCCCCTTCTTTGTCATACCATTTCATTGCGACCTACATATACCAAACCTAAGCTCTAGCAAGTACATACGACCACAGGGTGAGGAGAACAGGGCTTCCCGTCCGCTCAGCCGTACTTAAGCCTCACGCCGGCCGGTTAGTAGTTGGGTGGGTGACCACCAGCGAATCCCGGCTGTTTGTATGTTTTTCTTTTGTTGTTTTTTGCTGGAAAATCATGGGATCGTGTGAATTGACCTATTTCTGTTGTTTTTGATTTATTTATATTTCTTGCCTTGTCCTTTCTAGAATCCCCTCATCTATCCCTCGTTCATTGTAATTAGTGATGTATCCTGACAATGTCGCCAACCAGTTGGGCGATTAGTATAATCCTTCCCAATCAGTGATCTACACCTCAACTCACGAGTTGGACTTTTTTGGTGCTTTTTAGAGTCAGGTCCTGCCACGAGTAACGTCGGGCCAATTGTGCTTGCCGCTTTCGGAGAATCGCAGGTGTTCGGAGATTATTCGGGGTACATCCAAGTAGCGTCTTGGGAAGTTGGAATAGGAAACCAAGCGCCGGGCGGCTATAAACCCCTTTCCAAGTTTACTATATAGAATATTTCCACGATGAGTTTAAATGCGGTCGCTGATATAGTGTGAAACATTAAAGAGTTAATCAAGATTAATCTCATGTTGTCTATTTTGTTTCTCCTGCCGGTAATTGAGCGTTTACTAGCTCCACCCAATATCCAGATCAAGATAAGGCATAGGGCTGTGGATCAGGCCACATCCATTATTGATGGCTTCCTGGATCGAATATTCCACAACGGCAGAAGTTTTATGATTGCTGCAAAAACTCGAAATTGGCACAAGACATCCCTGAGTTTCAACCTCCGTCCGCTCTTAACTGCGACAAGCTTCGGTCAATGTCTCCACCGTATTTAATACCCGACAAATCACGTCCGCTGAACTAGTGCTCTGAATCATTTGAACCTCCTGGTGATTTCAAGTAAATTATTTCCTCCTCCACTGCGGAACTACCGAACGCTCCACTCAGGAGCCTTAGTGGGCATTCTTCTCCGTGCAGCACTTTCCTCTCGAACGAGAGCCGGCCATCTTAATCGAGAACTGTGAATTATAAAGACGGCAAGGCATCTTTGTCCTGTCATGATGTTCTTCCTCATCCCGTCCTTTATCCCGTCGATCTTGTTGATCTTTGCCCCTTGTTCGTGAAACCTGAAACTGAGCTCTATCAATATGTTCAAATCAGTTATCGCGTCTACATTCTTTGCGGCTACCGCTCTGGCAGCTAGTCGCATGACTGCTCCTGCGGGAGCCATTGTCGTCGCTAAGTCCGGTGGTGATTATACTACGGTACGTCGTCTGAATTAGGGTATGTGTGAATCAGGTGACGTGTAGATGCTTATGGAACATAGATCAGCGATGCAGTCGGCAACCTGAGCACCACCGACACCACCACGCAGACTATTTTCATTGAGAAGGGTACCTATGATGAGCAGGTGTACATTCCCTCGATGGTGGGAGAGTTGATCATCTATGGTCAGACGGAGGAGTATGTTGAACTTATTGCGAACCCCCCAATGAACTTTTGACTGACGGTATGGAAGCACCACCACCTACGAGCAGAACCTTGTCAAGGTCACTCACGGTATCAAGCTGGCTGATGTCGAGAATGATGATAAAACCGGTTTGTGTTTCTTGGCTCTGAATTTCATCATACTTCCTAACACCCTCTACTTCTAGCCACCATCCGAAACCACGCCGAGAACTCTTCCATCTACAACCTGAACATCGATAACAGCTGCGGTCAAGTCTGCCACCAGGCTTTGGCTCTCAGCGCCTATGGCGGGAACCAGGGATACTACGGATGCAAGCTCACCGGATACCAGGGTACGTTCTCGTAACCCGTACATAGAGCCACAAAGAAAAAGATGAAAGGGAATGCTAACCTCAAAAAAAGATACCCTTCTCGCCCAGTCCGGCAACCAGATCTATGCTAAAAACTACATTGAGGGCGCTGTGTATGTTCAAACCCCATCACCGATTGGATACCTACGAACTAACGGACCAATCTGTCCAGCGACTTCATCTTCGGCCAGAGCGCCCGTGCCTGGTTCCACGGCTGCGACATCCGCGTGTTGGAAGGGCCCTCGTCTGGCTACATCACCGCCAACGGTCGCCGATCCGAGTCCGACGAGTCATACTATGTAATCCACAAGTCGAATGTTGAAGCCGCCGAGGGCAGCTCTGTCTCCGCAGGAACTTACTACCTTGGTAAGTTGCACCCATTCTACCCCTGTTTCCTGTATTTCCTATGCCTCAAATGCTAATCATCGACTACAGGCCGTCCCTGGTCCCAGTATGCCCGTGTTGTCTTCCAAAAGACTGCCCTGGCCGACGTGATCAGCTCCGCCGGCTGGTCTGAATGGTCCACTTCGACTGCCAACACCCAGAACGTCACCTATGCCGAGTACGGCAACACTGGCAAGGGAGCTAAGGGTACGCGTGCTGACTTCTCGGAAAAGCTGGATGAGGCTGTCTCTATCTCGGAGATTCTGGGCGCTGATTGGCAGAGCTGGGTTGATACCGACTATGTCATTTAAGTGTGAATTGGCTGCTGCTCTTGAAGTTCATTTCGAGCGCTCGAATCTCTGTTAAAGGAGCTTTTGTTTCTGAAGCATGTATTATTAGCTAGATTCAATTCTAATTTACCTTGACGGTTATGCAAACGTTTTCCGACTTTTCTAACGGTTCTTGTTTCTGGTCTGTCGCCAGGATGGAGAGGGTTCAACAGCCTCCAGTTGTATATTGAATCTTTCATAAAAGTATGGCTTGATTCGGTCATTCCTCCTTTTGCATCGAACGTTCTTGTCAGGGCCGTGTCTTATTTGGACAGGGTATCTCCGACTTCCCATGTAAAGTAAATGTTCCCAAAAAGGGAGAGAACAAAGAGAACGTGAGCCTTAATGCATGGACGGAACTGTTCAAGAGCCTCTCTTTGTAAGTGCGACAAGTAGATACCCTTATATTCTTCCGGCCCATTGTCAACGTCTACAATGGCATTTGGGACAAACAATGACATGAATATCCTGTCCCGCATATAAGGTGAATACCCCCACGTTAAGGACGTGGGAAAACTTGGAGGTGCATTTATTTCAAGATTTGTCAAGTTGTTATACGGAATACTTCGGTTCTACATCTTTCCTAAAATTACCCTTCCTATCCCAGCAAGCTATAAATAGAACTCAAGAACAGTCCCGATTGCTTCTCATCTAAATCCTGTCTAATTCCCAAGTATTTATATTTTCCTTCCCAAGCCACATCGCGCACTCACGATTCGCCCTAATTTCCGAACGGTCAGTCACCATGCGTTGTTCAATCTGCCACCACTCGTACAAGTACGAAGTCCAAACAAGCTGGCTGGTGTTCGAGAACCAGTGTGGTTGTGAGTGTCATACTTACCCTGGGAGATATCCCAAGGCCATACCGGGGTCCTTTCCCGACGACGAGTTTGTCACGGTACCGCTCGACGAAAAGGCGAACAGCGAAGGACAGAAGGTGCTTGCCGATAGAAGAAGACGTCAGGCACAAGAAGCAAAAGAGCGAGCTGCGGAGGAGCGCGCCAGGGCTGCGTGGGACTCCCAGGAGCCCATGCCCGAGGAACAACCCAAAACAGTACGCATCAGGGCGCCGTATGTCGACAGCCCGCCGTTCAATCGCTCGACCGTCTTCGTCCGTCGGCAGACTAATTCACTCCCTCATCTAACCGAATATCGCCGGTCAGGTTTCGAGACACGGGGATATGTCAATCAGCTTCCGTACCGCCGCGTCCCGAATTGGTCGCGCGATTCGCGCTGCACTGACCGCCGCAAAACGGGGCTTGAGAAGCTTCGTGAGAGAAGCAGTCAGCTCCGGGCTCTCCAAAGAGGTGCGCAGAATGGTCGCATGGTATAACTTGGTCAGGAGTATCGAGCCGATAATGGCGAGCCGCCGGACGTACTCGGTCTGGTCACTACCTGGCTCGGTGGTGCTGGAGCTTAGGCCAATTCGATTGCTTCCTGGGGTAGGACCGACAGGACGACTTCGAATAGAGTCTGGGATCATGCGTTTCGATGTCGATCTGGACTTAGATCAAGGGGCACCGACTATTTCCTTTGCGCTGGTTGTATGGTCGTTGGGGTGTCGTGTTTCCCTTTCGCTTTTCGGATACTGGTATATCTCTATTATTGGTCTCTTCTGGTTGGATGAACCTTTTCAGCTTCATGCTTGCAAGTCGAGCATATAGCAAGTGGACAATTTGGGAACAAAAGTTTTGCTTAATGAGAATCTATTATAACATTCATAATCTCTCACATATTTCGTAGTAAAATGCTCAGTTATAGTTCCTGGTCATATCTGGCAATACATACATCGCCTGGTAGCCTTTCATGTTGCACCTGAATCCATCTTATGAAGCTTAATCAGTATTCATGAACTGCTCTTCTTGAAGGCCTCTTGGGGAGTAGAACGACATCGAGTCCTTTTGAGTTGACTGGGATGAACGGATTATCATAGTAGGAAGATCACATAGGAACATCCACCCAGCAGCCACTGGGCGTTTTAAATAGAGTATAGATCTTCCCACAGTTGTATTGGTTTGCTGCTTTCGAAGTGTATACCCTGGGGAGTGCAAGTCAACCCAAGACCTTCCCCCACGAATGGCTGTAATTCGGTGCCAGTGGGGTTTCGGAAATCTCCATGAATCAAACAATGCTTGATATACTATAGATGGAGTTTGCCAGCAAAAGAAAGAAGGCAAAGACGATTTTCAAATCGGAAATAACCGCACAACTACTGAGCAATGAGCATATAAACAGACCTTGTATAATGGGCGGTCAACTGCAACCTTATCAAGGCAGACGCTATCACAGCCCTCTCGTTTTAAGATAAGCTTTTGTCACGAAACAACAATGGCCCACCAGCAGAAATGGAACATGGATCGTCGCCAGTCAAAGGGACGTTCTAGCGATGAGGACAGCTACGAGATCGTGGAGATGCCATATACTCGTCCTTTGGCCAAGTATAACAGCAAAATGGGAGGCTCACCTAAGCGCACTGAAGAGGCTAAGATGGCTAAAAGCATCCCCCTGATCTGTCTTGACAGTGACGAGGAGGGTGTGTCTAAATTCAATCACCAGCCCAAGAAGACCGAGGCCTCCTCAAGCCATCATCACGAGCCTAGTCTTGTTGACGCGGAGGAAGAAAACAAAACGCCAATCAAAGACGGAAAATGTGATATCGACGACAATGAACCGGCGTCCTTGTCCCACTTTATTGGGCAGATTGAATCGCTCCAGTCACAGTCTCCAAGGACCCCTCGTTCTTCGAAGAGTAACAACTCCTTGAAATCCTCCTCTAACGTCGGCCAAGGATCTTATTTTACTCAGGAGTCATCGAGCCATCCTTCGATCAACCCATACAAACATGAAGGGGACGTGCCAGGCCCTACTGAGGAAATTGGGGTAACTGAGACTTCAGAACTTCATTCTGCGCGCATTCTGCAAGAGGAGATCAAAAAGGACGTTTCAGGCCCCACTGAAGGGGTTGAGGCAAATGAGACTTCAGAACCTCGTTCTCGAGGCAGTCTTCAAGACGAGATCGAAGACGTCTTTTCTGACTCCGCCAATGAGTCCGAGGTGCTTGGGTTTCTGGAGAGTCTCGAAGTGTTGGACTTCGAAGAGGAGCTCCGGCGTATTGAAGAGGTCTTGGGAGAGTCTTCCGGGGAGAATGATAGCTCTGGAAGCCCGGCTATGCAGCATTCAGTGGGCTCTGAGGAGCTCAGGCAGATCGAAGAAGCGTTGAGGCAGCCTTCGCTGAGTAATTGTATGGTTGCAAATCCACCTTTTCAGCATTCGGCGAGCTCTGGGCAGTTAGACGAAGCCGAAGAGGCCTCGGTGGAATTGACTGAAGAGCTTAGGGATGCTGAATACCCAACCGAGCCGTCGCAGCATCATGAAGAGTCCAGTATTCCCGGATCACCAGAGATAGAAGATTCTATGGCCTCTGAGGGGCGTCAAGATGATTCCTACAATTCTTCCTTTGAGCCTTCTGAAGAGGCTATTATCTTCCAAAAAACAACCCCTCAATCGGACAGACTCGCAGAGAGCTTAGACGAGTTGTTGCAGCACCCCCAGGAGCCCGCCCAAACGAGCAACCAGGAAGGTGAGGAAACGACGTCTCGCCCCGAGAGCCCTCAAGCCGACGAGCCTAGCGATCATGGAATCCAGATCCCTTTCGAACCGACCGGTGATCCAAATTGGGATCGAAGAGTGGTGGAGATTCATAGAATGCTGCAAACCATCAATATGTCTCCATCCCAAAATTTCGCAGTCCTAGCCACAATAATCATGCGTCGACTGGCAGACATGAGCGATGCTGAGCTTTGGGATGCCCTACATGCGGTTTTCGGGGTCACTACATTCTCCGATGTTGAGTCCTCCAATTCCCAGTCTCTGAATGCCCGAGTCTTCCATGATGGAACCGCCCAATCCGAGTCCGTTGATGCTGAGTCCTCCAATACCAGAGTCTTCCATGATGTATCCACCCAAGCTGACTCTTCCAATCCTCAGTTCTCCGATACCCAGGGCCACCGTGATCAATGCACCCAAATGAAGCCCCGCAATACTCAGGTTGCTAATGTGAAGCCCCCAGTTGCTCAGCCTTCCAATGTGATAAGCCATCATAATCAGGTCACCCAGATTGCACCAGCTGAGGGAACTTCCGATGTAGTTTACACCCCCAAGGTCTCGGTCGTGAACCAGTCTATGAACTTGACGCCACTGTATGAACGGCTTGATGACGATACTGTTGTCCTCATCATGGTTTTCTTTTCTATGGTTGGAATTTTGAACGGTCTTACCTTCCTCTGGGTTTCCCTAGCCAGCGCCAACCGGACCTGACCTTGACTTTGATCTTGGGCGTACTTCCTTTCTGCTACTTGGTGCTCTCTGGCTATTTGATGTTGGAGAAAGGTAAAGAATGAAAAGGGTTTAACAAAACAAAGATAAGATAAATAGTGAAATAAACATGTTTCTTTTCGATAAAAATGAATTAGGTGCTTCATCAAAGAAGCGTCTATCCCTCGTAGCTTTCATAACAAGTCGATAATCCTGCATCTCCGGAAAACTCCATTATGGGCAATACAGGGATTGTCCCACTTGAAAGCTCTCACGTTTGATGAGACATGACGGTAGCAATCAGGGATCAATCCCTATCCGGACTTTAACGATAATTTAGTAGGAGGCTTTCCTTTTGTTTCCGGAAACCACCTCTCCAAACAAGATGAGATGGTCATTTCTACGATATAGATAGGATATAAAGACCCTTCTACTCATCACTTGATTTCTTTATCTATCCTAATCCACAATCATTGTTCGGAGCCGCTTTCCCCACGGTATCAAACCAATAAGCTTTGTCTGTCTATCGTGAAACCCCAAGGTTCTTCAAAAAAGAAATCGTCACCATGTCCGGCAGCAGGAATGAGACCATGGAGAACTTGGCTATCACCTTGAGGAACGAGCGTATTGCTGACGCCGAGGAAGACCCTTTTCATCTTTCGAACGAAATGGAAGACCTCTCGCTCGATGATGCTCCACCTGCGCATACCGAGCATGAAGGGCCCCAGTCCACCAACCTTTCCCCGGTCGACTATGCTGAGGGTAGCGGTGAATGGCGTGAACTAGACATACTGCCCCAATACACCCCTGAAGAACTTGAGCGTATCATGCAGGACGTCTACAATGAGTACATGGGCGACTCTATGCATGATTCCGATCAGCAAGAGGGTGATGGCGAACATCGCTTTGATGAAATAGAATTGATCCCCGGATACGCAGCCGTGAATGAATATCTGGATACCTTGCCAGATCCGGCTGTCTTTGAGGTGGACGGCAATTTTTCTCAGGCCCAGAATGGAAATACTGGCAGTGAGATGCCGAATTCCTTGCCAGACCCGGCTGTTTTTGACGTCAATGACAGTTCCCCTCAGGCGCTGAATGAGAATACTCGCAGTGAGACCGTGGAAGACGAATCGGATCAACTCCCTGAGCCCACTCCGCCAGTTACTCATACCGAGTCCTCGGGCACTGACCAGGTTGACGATGCCAACGGAAGCAACAGTGCATCGGGTCCAGCAAACGGTCAACCCTCTGGTCAGGTGCCATCCGGAAATACCCCTGTGGATGAGCCTGCACATCATGAGACAGGCTCGATCCCAGAGCTGGTGGTGAGCGATTACGACAACGATCATCCCTTGGCTTCTCGTCAGCCTGACCATTCGGATTTGCCCAATGGTCACCACATTATTGATCTCGACTGTTCTACCGAAGTATTGTCTGAAGCGGACTCGCTCCCGGAGTTGGAGCGCGTGCGTGGCAACCGTACTCGACCCTCCGGCACTCATACTAACCGTAATGGTGTTGAGTGTGACATTGAGACTTCTGATCCACTGGTTAATGAGATCGAGTCATTCGCCGCTCTGGTTACAACAGATAGCCATGGCGTTGTGAACTCTGAAGATCGTGAAAGAGACACTTACCAGTCGGAGGATCCAGTCTCTCTGTCTGAGGCCCTGGTCAACGACACAATTACCATCCCCCACTTGACTAATTCTACTAGACTTATAACCTTGGAAGAAGTTCCCGAGGATGAAGAACCTTTGGACCCCTTTCATCCTCAGAACGAAGCTTCGACTATTCAGGGGCCGGTGGATATGCGACGATACATGTTGCCGCATTGGTCTTGGGATAGTGAAGCGATGCCTGGTTATGAGGTTTTCGTTGATAGTTTGAGCCCTGATGAATTCGACGTTACCAATGACAGGGAGGACTCTCAACGGGGACGATTTGGGTATCAGGGAGATGAGGACGATATCCCGTGGGATGCGCAACCACTCTTGTATTTTGATCTTCCGATTCGTCCTCGCGATGGAACCCCCAGGACACCCTTGAGTCCTATTTCCAATGTCTTTGAGGATCTGGCGGTGGCCCTGGACGATGGGGAAGTCATCGATTATGCAGCATTGCCGGAGGGGAATATCAGTGAACATGAGGCGCAGGCAGCTGGTATGACGACCGAATGGCGCCTTCCGGCAGACGAAGTGGTGACCGTAGCTGGATGGTAGGATGTAATCATGAATTCAATGACAAGCCTGGTCTTTACGATACACATGTCATGATTCTATGATCTACAGATTCACAGTGGACGCTTCTTCCAGCTTTCCTTATCAAAATTGAAGAACATAATTCACAACAAAATCCACTCTTTGCAAATATTGATTTCTTTTCCCTCATAAAAAAATCCCACTACTAATACTACGTTAAAGTCAAAGTAGCCAGAGTTTCCTTGAGATACACAGTAGAGACCAGTAATTATATTCCCTAAAGAATAAGAGCCAACCCAATTTGAACAGCCCATGTCCTGAATTGCCCGATGATCTTGGTTTCTAGAAGGTCAACATTCTATAGAAAGAATTGATAGACATTTAAGACAAAGAATGGGCAATAAGAACGTATTCATTATAGATCCTTGGTGATGATCAGAATATCCATTATCTTCTAGGCACTCCACTCTAGGATGTCAGAAATGGAGCAGCTCACCTTACTTCCACTTCCCTTAGACTCTTTAGTCTAATGCATGTGCTCTTGCAGTATAAAAATACGGACAAAGCATAGTTCACGAACAAGCGCACATTTCCTATTGGATCAAACAGCTGTCGCTGATAATTTGAATCTCTCAGACATACGCAGTAGCTTCCGTAACTGTCTTTGGCCATGTCCTATTCGTAATATAGGCTTGATCGTCAGTATCGCTCATTCTGCTTGTTCGGCCCGTTGAGCCCATAGCTACTTTACTATACTGCGCCTATTTAATAAGGAAGCTTCATGTCAGAAGCTACATATCCTATTTCTATTTTCTAAGAATCCGCTATTTAAAGTTTATCGGGGGTCTTTCCGGATGATGTTCCGTTGAGAAATGGACTGTGGTGTTAACTTCCACTGTTATGACACGCTTCCCTCCCTATCTAGGAAAAGCTCTAGGAAAAGCCCTTCATTATATCCGAGACCTTTCACCAATCCAACGAGTCTCCATAGTTTGACACCATCGAAATCTACTATAAATGGCGGCGTGATGTGTGTTCTTGTTGTCTCTTCGCCATCACTCTAAACTCAGTAGCCTAACACAGCTCTGAGATCGCCTACTCTCTACGGACTTCGAAAACTGAAAGTTTCAAGCGCACCAAAGGATTGAATGAGCTCTTCCAACTCATTGATCCAACTAAAACAAGTGATCTTGACTCGGAAAATTTTGCAGGCAAGACTTTGTCGCTCACAATCCCGCAGAACCTATCTAAATCAAACTTCACGTTTTCGAACTCCGGTATAAAAATGCCTAGAACCTCCAGCGCAATGTGCAACCAGGACTGCCGTGGCTGCTCTAACTGCCTTTCGATGGCTTCTGGTAGCGGTGGAGGTTACACCTACTACCATCACAGCGAGACTGTGATCGTGAGCAATGGCATTCCACAGCGGATGGAGCCTATGACTCGCACCATCCGAGGATCCGGTAATCTTAATGATATTCAAGACAAACTCAGCGAGCTTTCCATGAACAGCTCCTCCAAGCACAAGTCCCAGTCCCGTCGCAAAAGCGGTGTGGCCAGCTGGCTTGATAATATTGGCGAGGATCAGGTCGTCAACTCCAGAACTCCTGACCAGCATCTCCTCGAAGCTCCCATGGGCCGCTCTGGTAGTCGATCTCACGTCTCCTCCTCTACTCATCGCTCAAGTCGCTCGCGTCGTTCGAGCCGCGATGATGATGATGATATGCGCACTGTAGTCACTTTAAGTAGTGTGACTCCCTCCGAGAGCGCCAGCGGTATTTCCTCGCGCCGCAGCGACCACTCTCACGCATCTCGCCGCAGCTCTCACCCTGAGTCCAGCCGTGTTGGCTCCCGAGTTAGCACCCGTACCCGCGACGACGATGAAAGCACGATTCGCGCCTCTCGCCCAAAGGACAGCATGGTTTCCTCGCGGCGCGGCAGCGGCAGTGAAGCTTACAGTCGAGTCTCCTCTCGCCACCCCGACGATAGTAGCCTGCTTTCCTCCCGTCACGGCGGTGCCAGCACTGTCAGGGGATTTCGCATGGATAGCACCCTCAGCTCGCGCCACGGCGGTGGCAGCGAGATTACTAGCCGAGTTGGCTCCTCCCGCCACGGTGTCAGCGAAGTCGGCAGCCGGGCGAGTACTCGCCATCGCAGAGATGGCGCTATCATGCTGTCTTCTCACATTGAAGATATCCCCGCGACTGTGCTCAGTTCTCGCCATCCTAGCGAGACTTCTAGTCGCCGGTTCTCCAAGGATGAGCGCAGCTATGTTCATCCTCGGTAGATGATCGAAATGAATACCACTATCGTAAAGGGTCTTTCAGCAGATGTGACCAGTTGGTCTATAACTGAGTGATTGCGAGTGATCACCTGTTTCTTTCTGTTTTCTAAATTATTAGCACGATGAATACCTAAGGCTAATGAGAAATCGTTGGTAACTGACACCTTTTCCTGTCATCTTTCGTCGTGTCGAAGTTTGGATGCTGATAATACAAAAAAAAACCAAATAAAACATTTTACCAAAAGTAATTTCCAGAAACGTGGATCCAACCTAATAGTAGAATTAATTTATTAGCGTGTTTGTAGAAAACAAATCTTATCAAGTTTCTAAGGCACTTACGAATGAACTTTTCCAGCGACCATCATGTGTCTGAAATCACAAGACCTTCTCAAGCCTGTGGATACAACACTCTGCATTCATATTTTCCGCCCCTGGGGCCTGAGCAACGTAGAAAGTCCGCACGATATTAAAATCGAGTCATTTGTCGCCCCAAATTGCTTCTACATAAAAACGCAAAGGCGCCCATCAGCCGCCACATTCCATGCCTACCAATCATGCGTAGAATCAACAGCGCTTACATCGCGTTTTCCGAGCTGATAAACGAAGAAGACCTTGTGACAATAAACAACTTACCGATCCAAAAACTGTCTCTTTATATCTCAATGACGCTCATCTTCCTGGTTGTCTCTGTTACGTCCCTTGCGTATCACCAGCATGGATGAATCGAACGACGTTCATTTCAATCCGGGTGTTTGTGCGGTAGTGGAATTCAACCGCTACACTGTATGGATTTGTGTGGCCTTGAAATATAAGATTGCTTGCTAATTTAAGGGTGTTCCGATAGTCTCAACGGATCGAATATAACAGAAAAGAGTTAGCAGAAGATCTAATTGGTGATTGGATACAAACGCACGTTTCTGTAGCTATGCCTTGCCGAATTGTGTAGCTATGCAATCTGATGAAATATTGTAGGAGGCCTCTTCCAATTCTCCAGAGATTGCAGGTCGAGTACAATGGATGTTAGTCCTCGATTTAACTAACAGGCCGTCACACTCATGCTCACAACCGTTAGCTTTGCCTGCACAGTGTCAACCGATCTTGATACACATGGGGACTTCTTGTCAGCATCAGAGAAACTGGAGCTTTCCATAAGCAAAGAAACATTCTTCATGCTTACTCAACGCTTCCCTTCGTTTGATGGTTTGTTAGATGCTTGGAAATATCGAGCATCGGCAGGCTGCGTAATTCGATATATTGACTACGATGAGACGACTGGCCGTGCAATTTCAATTAGTGAGTCTCTATCCTACCTTCCGCGATTCATCCATTTAGAGCCATTAACGAGGAGCTATAGATTTCATCATTTCCATCAGACTATCTAGCAGCTTTACGTCTTTGATTGCAGTGTACCATAACTTTGCCAGCAGAAGCTCTATAGTCTTAGCATTGAGAGTCAATCCACACGATCAGGATTTCTTCCAACGGTTCCAGGAGCGTCACCAGCGTTTCGTCGGTCACCCGCTCTTTGTTATAACCCTCCTATTCGAAGTCAGCCTTGCCACGAATTTTCTTTACATGCAGAAGATCCGTCGGGAGCTGGGTGTGATTGAGAAAGCGACGGGGCAGCATGGATGGCTCGAGATTCCAGCGATCGATGCACTGGCTCACGATAGCGAACTGTCTCGACTAGGCCACGCGGCGGAGATTCATGTATCGATCTTTCGGCGTCGGTTGGACTACCTAGAGCATCATCTTAATTTGAGTCAGCAGACACTCAACGAGTTGGAAAATTTAATCTCAAGCGCCGTTGGCTTGCCAGTGGGTCTGAAAAGGGAATACGAACAGTGGCTTCGAAATCTCGCGATGCAATTCCAACTGCGACAGGTCGATCTGACTTACTACCAGCGACGAGTGGATAATCAAATAACGGCTGTAAGCTATATGCAGTCCTTCGAATAGCGGAGACTTTGCTAATGTCGATAGATATATGGATTGCTGTCGCAACGCGACAATATGCTCGGTGTGTCCGTTGCCATCGAATCGAAGAAGATTTCTGAAGCGTCTAAGCGCGATGGATCTTCTTTGAAATCGCTCACCGTGCTTGCGACACTATTCTTCCCGGCGAGCTATATAGCTGTGAGTGTTCCACATAGTCCACTGAAATTCAAAGATCTTGGCAGGTCTCATCCTCGACTAGACCCTTTTCACCCTTCCCCATTTCACCAAAACACCGTTGTGGGTGTACTGGACCGTCGCGGTCCCTTTGACCCTCCTTGTATTCATCTCTTGGTCTAGTTGGACGTTCTACCGCCAACGGCGGATTGCGCGAGAGACAACCGATCAGGAGATCAATCGTGATGTGGAGCTCGATCCAGAAGTTGCGTTCGCGTCGTCATCGAATGCAGCATCTTCGACGTTTCTGGTCTCCACGCTTCGACAGATCAGGTCTCATACGAAGGCGTTGAATCATTCGTCTGTTTCGTCTAGAGACGAGGCCAAAGGGGTGGATGTTGGAGGTGGGCTTGGGATGTCGCGTCAGTCAGAGGGTTGAGCTGAGCTGAAGAAGTATGACCTAGGGGAATGGAGCAAGGTTGCTGTGTAACGATGAACAATTATCGCAAGCACCAGCTAAGGAAGAGATTACGAAGACCACCATCACTCTTAAACTGTCTTCTACGGCCATGTCAAGTTGGTAAGTAACAGACCTGCTCGATGTGGTCGAGATAAATCTCCTCAGACTCTTTGAAATCGAAAGGACAAAGTTAATATAACCAAGGTTGCAACTGTGAAGACAAAGCTTCCCCAGTAAGCCATCGTAGGAAGGGAATACCCCATGGAAGTCAGAACCCGAGAGGGTATTGAATGCCAACCAGAAGATGGAAAGAAACAACAGTAAATTATTTCCTAAGCAAGGCTCATTCGAAAAAATAGCAACCTCATGAATTGTACCAGGTGAGTGTCAAATTGAACATCACCGGCCAGGTGCCAAAACCAGCTCAAGACTCAGCCCTCCTCACAGCATTCCCAGAATCCCAGAAAGCAAAACATTCGAAACCAAGTTCCCTGCCCAGTCCGAAAAAACTAAGCATATCCGTCCTCGCTCTCCTTCATAACCATGCCATCCTCAGCAGCATCGCCCTGAGCCTCCTTTCCACCTTTCTTAGGGGTTGCCTTCTTAGGGGATGCCTTCTTCGGGCTGGCCTTCTTGCGAGGGGTAACGGGACCAGAGTCATCTGCCTTGCGCTTGGCTCCGCTGAAAGTGACCTTGTTGGTCCCGTTTCCGTTCTTTCTGTACTTGTGCAACTGCTCGCTCAGAGCCTTCGGAGTGGGCTTCTCATCGCCGGCTGGGAAGTGCGAGATATTAGTTAGCATGGCGATGGAAGGTAGAGGAAGAGGAAGACTTACGCCAGGCCTCAGCAATCTCGTCAAGGTTGAGGTGAATGTCCTGAGTAGCGAAGATGGTTCTCAGCAGCTGTAGATTGTATCAGTATGTGTTTTCATGTGATGGGTGGGAGGGAGCTTGTCCGTACAATCTGCTCGTTTTCTTGAGTCCAGCGCATCTTTGCAGCTTTCCAGAAAATAGATTAAAGATTGTAAAGAGTTAGTGGAGTGGGAGTAGGAGATAGCAAGATTGCCCAAGAGATGGAGTAAGAGCAAGTTTGTGGCGGAGTACGCTGAGATGATGGGACAGTGGACGGAGAGAGGGTAAGAGATGATGAGAAAGTGGGGGTTGGAAGATAGATGTAGGTGGGTGGGCCTGCCGTTTCTCCACTGGGTTTCCGTGGAAATCTTGGTCAACGCACGTCCTGCTATGGTTGATTAGTCGCTCTCATGTCCTTCACTGGTTGCTGTTAATCACTTCTTATAGTTGGAATGTCCTGCCATGCGGATGTCGGTAGAAGTGACTTGTCCTATTGTTCAGCCAGTGGCTTTTTTCACCTCCAGGGACGACAACTCTCTCATTGTAAGATCTCTGGAGAAGACTCTCTTTCTGGGTCTAGAATGAAGTGAGAATGTCACATCAAAATGGCCTGTTGCCTCAGGCTCACATCATATCTTATCTTATCAGTGGTCAGGTGACTGCGGAGGATCGACCGGAGTTCGGCCTGCCTTCGCTGCCCATTGGCCAATTCGCTCCTGTCAACCACTTCATCCTCCACTTGGGATACTTTTCTGTCATGATCCCGGTCATTTAGGCTTCGTCATGGCGTCGGGCATTAGGCGAAAGCCAATTCCTGCCCCAGTTCCTTACGATGATTCTGGTGTTACACGTGGTGTGACGTCCGTCCCCACTCCACCCCCTGAATATAACGGCCATCACATCCATGCGTCACCAACGACTTCCGCGCGACCTCTCCCTCGATATCCAAGCCAGCCTCAGTTGCGCACTCCGTCTCCTTCGAGAAACCTTCCTCCGTCGTTGACCCCTGGATCGAATCATTCTCTGCCGCGATATCCCAGCACTGTCGATATTCGTCCCTCAACTGCACACAACCTCCAACCCCCGTTAACGCCTGCCTACAGCCCGCAAACGCCACCAAGATACCCCAGCATTCCCGACCTTAGAGCCCCCAATGTTTCTGATAGTTCCTATCGACCATCGACATCAAGTGGTCCCTCTCACATGCATTCTCAGTATCCAACCCAACCCGTGCTCTGCTCCTCCAAGTCTTCAAACAACCTCCGTCCGCCATTAACCTCCACCGTCTCCGCTCAAACGCTGCCTCGATACCCCAATCCTGAGACTCTCACACCCAATCCCTCCAACCCACCTGTCCAACGCGCTGCCACCGATGTCCTTCCATCAAGCACACCACCCCGTTCAGCCACATCTGCGACATCCGAGCCTTCCGCCGTTCAAAAAGCCTACGGCGAAGCGCGCCATTTCCTCGGCGGCCTTATCGCCCACCCCACCGAATCAACCAAACACTACACCATCCTCCGGCACTCCCACGGCATCGTCTTCTACCGCGGCAGCACCACTTCCGTCACGCTCTCCATTTTCTCCGATGCCCCCCTTCCCCCCGACCGAACCCTCTGGCTCCAAAGCAAAGGCTGGACCGGCAAGACCGGCATGCGCACCAAGGCCCTCCTCCGTCTCAACGACGACTGGATCAACGTGACCCCCACCCTGGCCCTGCACGCCGACCAGGTGCCCCCAGCCGACGAACGCGCCTGGCAGCGCGACATCGACAAATTTCGTCGCAAGAACACCTCCAATAAACTTCGCTCCCATGTCCTCCGCGAGACCGTCGTCGCCCGCATCCCTGCCGAAGCGGGGGACGGATATTTCCAGCTCGTGCTCTGCGGGCCCAAGAAGAAGGTCCTCTGCGGGAGTCCCGTCTTTCGTGTCCTTTCAACCTCGCTCAGCCCAAGCTCCGTCCGCGGCGCGAGTCTCAGCACTCTGCCACTGGAAATGGGCGCCATGGTCCTCGGTCTCTACGCCCAGGCCACAGCCAACAGAGTCATCGGGCCCGCTGCCGCAGTCATCCAGTCAAAAGTCGACACCTACTCCCCAAACCCGATCAAGAAGTACGCCGCCGAAAAGGCCATCACCGTCAGCGGCGTCGGAAACCACGTCGCCGGCATGATCAAAGGGGCGCCAGAAACTGCGAACGCACAACTGCAGGGACAGTTCCAGCCTACCGAATCACTCGATTTAGGTCCCCAGGCCCCGTTTCCGATGGACTTCAAAGCCCGAGGCACTTCATCCCCATCCCCCCCTTTATCGTCGGCAGAAACAACCGACGACCGATACTCTCTCTCCAAAGTCCCCGATTCCATCACCGATCATCTTCAAGGTATCTTCTTCGGCTGGGCCCGGTTCCTCGATTCCAAGATTCAGAACCATCCTCAGCAATGGTCCCAAGCCATCATCTCAATTCAGTCCCTCGACCCTACCCTCCAAACCCGCGTCAACATCTCCCAGACCCTCCGCAAAACCGTTTCTCTTCGTCTGTTGGACGTTGAATACGATCACCCACCATCGCCACCTCTTTCACACCCACAAACCCAGCTCCAAACCTATACGCCCCAAGCACCAACCCAGACACAAACCTCTACCTCTATTTCAACACCACCACCCCAACAACAATCCAAATTACAAATCCTTATCCTCGGCTTCCTCCGCCAAAACCTTCCCCCTCCCACCGCAAACACCGAAAAAGACCTCCTCATAGCCCGCGAACAAGCCACCGAAGCGACCCTGTTAGCTGAAGCCTGCGACGCGACATATGCACAAAACATCCTAGATCATCCGGCTTGGGGTCCAGATGGCATACCTAGCCTTAGCAATGGGGATGGGGTTAGGTCTGGTCCTGGTCCTGGTCCTGGAGGATATAATAACGGGACGTGGATGGAGAAGACTCGAGGGGGAGTTCAAGGGGCTGTGGCGAAGGGGCAGAAGATGGTTGAAAATGTGCCCTTGCATTGGATCGGGGTGAGGTCTACGGCGGCGGAGATCAGGGATCGGGGGGTTGAAGGGAGGGGGTTTTTTGTTGTGCGGTAGTCATCTGCTTGTATAGTAGGAGAGGATGTAAATTGTGATTCATATACGTGTGTCAATGAACGTAGATAGATAATGTTTAATATGCCGAAAGATTTGAAGTACCGAAAGAAAAGAAGTGACTGACTGTACCGAAAGAATCGAAGCCCGAAAGAACGAAAATCACAAGGTTGCAAAGTAACCATCAATTTCCCACGCCGTCCGGCTCACGAATTCATTTTCACTCTCCTTCCAGTCCTGCAACATATTTTCCACCCTCGCGTCCGCTCGAATATCATTCCTTTTCACCTTTGACAGCAACTTCGCCACAACCCTCGCTGTCAGAGAGGTCTGCATCTCGATACTGTCGACATCCATCCGTTCACCCATCTTCAACGCAAGAGGCAGAATCAAATCCCCTTCCACTTGCTCCATCATGTCGTCGATATAGTGAGAATCGAACACGGTCACGGGATCACTACATTGATCGATAAGATTGGCCACATTGTCTGCAAACGCGTTCAGCGGGTTTGAATTGAGAGGATTGTAATGGGGCGAGGGGATAAGCTTTGTCTGCGAGTATATAGCGGACGGAAGTCTTGAATTTAGAGAATGGTTATTCTCATCTCTCCTCAGGTCCTCAATAACATACCAGATGTCACGCAGCAGATCGTGAAATAACTGGTAATGTTCCAGTTGATTCTCTGGGCTTCGGGATGTGTTCTCACGCGCTTTCCGTATGTTTTTCAGGCCCTGAATGACGGTCTCATGGGATACGATGCGATCACCAAAGACCGTGTCGAATCTGACGGGCCTTTGGGCGAGCATACCCATGCGGTTCTGGTATTCCAAACAGATGTCTATGTCGTTGATTCCTGTCTCCCCCGGCAGGGCGGGCTGCAAGTCCCGCATGAGGAGGGAGTTCAGGTGGTGGAATGGGTTGGCCCTGCGGTGGTAGCCGAGAACCACGTTCCAGTGCTGTATTGCGGAGGCATATTGTAGAGAATGAGCTCTCGCGGACCTGAAGATGTGGTCATTTATTTCTTCAAATACAGGGTTCGTGGTGTATGCTAGGACAGATGATCGATGGGTGAGTAGAAAAGATGCAGGAAGATAGTCGTGCCAGATGTTGAGCACGAAGTCAACTGCGTCGGGAATAAAAGGGCCAAACTCGATTCCGGAACCTAGCCCTAATACCCCAAAGTGAAAAAGAAACTGTTTCATCCACCTTTCGTGATGAGTAATGGATTCGTCAACCATCGGTAGCAGGATTTCCTGGACGTAGCGGCTGCGGTGGTTTTCGGGCAACTTGTGGAATGCAGTGCGTGTGAAGAGCTCGAGGTTCCGTTGAGAGCAAAGTCCGGAGATGTCAGGGAGCTCTCTCTCTAGTTCTTCCCTGGTCGGTTCCGAGCTTTGGCTTGTTTCGCTGGTCCTGACAGTCGAAAGACCGAGCTTTTGGAGAAATAAAAACGAATTATCAGCCTTTTCAGAATCTCGCTCGAGAAGAGACAACATCGATGAGATCACTTCGGTTTGCACGTCAAATCGGGACGACGCGCCATGAATTGATTGCAGGATAGACAGGCTTCGTCCAGTTGGGATAAAATCGGCGGCTGCGACAAGTTGAGCCACCATCTTGACGGTCGTTATTTTCACAAGTGCAAACGGACTGCTTAGCCTTTCGCAGACAACGTCTACTAATGACTGTACCAGACGTACTGCCTTGTCCGGATGAAGAGCCTTTCCCAGGCTGATCAGTCTCAAGTGGTGATGGTACGTTGAATCATCGGGGAAGTCCTCAATGATGCGCAGGATAACGTCAATCCCCATCTCTGGCTGATCCGTCGAGGGAAACAGCTTAGTGAGCTCCACAACACACTCCAAGAATATTGAATATTCTGAGCCCAAATCTGGTGATAGGTTGTCTAACAAGGACATTGTCAAGCGGCGTAGTACATGAGTTGGAACGAATGTGATTCCATCACTGATGGCTTGGATTGCGCTGCCCATTGCGCCTGGAACGTCCGTGTTTGCGAGTGAGAGAAACCGGCTGCCGAGAGCGATCGGGGGCCATCGTGCAGCCTCTGATCTTGGGAAAGCCTCGGACAGAATTGGTTCCTTAGTGAAGTTTCCGAGGAAAAGCAAGGCCGAAAGAACAGCAGCGTCGCAGCCTCTTATGCCGAGAGTTTGCGAAACGTGCTTGGAATAATCGGGTGACCACATTCGCTCAGGGCCAAAGTCTTCATCCACTTGCTTCATGACGACATTGGTGGATGGCATTTTCCCATACATTCGACAGAAAAGAACGGTCAGAAGAGCAATTTCATCGTCCTTCTGTCCTGCAAGACCGAAGGGTTCCCACTTCATCGCGCCTTTTTCCAGAGGTTGATCTAGATAGCACGTTTCTGGCATTGAAGTGGAGTCGATCATCCGGCTGGCCTTCCCCCAGCCCCATTCACTGGCAAATCCAGCCAGCCAGTGTCGGAATATGGTCAAGTGCAGTGGATGCGGTGCGAGAACGGTCGCGTAGTGCTTCCAGACACGCATAAGTCGCTCATACCGGTACTTGCGGCTGCAACGACAGACAAATGAGCGTATGAGATCCTCAAGATCATCCACCTTCAGATCATCTACATCTTCGGGATCTATAACAGGCCGCATCAACACCTCAACTGGACCAAAGAGGACGTCATTGACTTTGGCCGCAGCATATGGGATCGAATCTGGCCTTTCCACAGCAAATGGTACCAAATATGACGGGATAAGATCCTGCACAGCGAGACCCATTGGAGATCCCTTTTGAGGCTTATCGTCAGGCGCTTCATCATCGGACATTTCTTCGTCATCGAACATTCCTTCCATCTCCTTCGAAGCCCAGAGCTTATCACGGCGTTGGATCAACTGATCCATGAACGAAAGAAATGTTGGGGAATTGAAGCGTTGAATGTCCAGCCCCGACAGCATCGGACGCCCTTCCACCCACCAGTTGAGTTCATGTCCTTCTTCGTCATATCGGAGGAGATTTTCGATCAACGGACCTAACATCATGACGGCGAGATCGACCTCGCTTGCGGCAAACTGCTTTTGGTGCATACGCAATGATCTCATTCTATTCGCCACTACGCTTTCGAGGAACGTCATTATGCCACCAGTGATTCGTGTATGGTCCAGTGGCTCCTTGGATGCTTTCGTCAAAATGGCGAGTATGCGCATTAGGTTGTCGTCGGCTTGTTGTGTTCGTTGTAACGCAGCCAGTGTTGTGGGTCCACCCGTCGAGCTTGATTCAACACATCCCAGCAGTTTAGATGATTCAGAGCCGAGTATGTAAGACTGGACCAACTCAGGGAATACGATCTGTAGCTATTTTAGCGAGACAACTTTGAAAGTGGAATGGGCAGCATACACTGTCCCGTATGAACCGTGTGGACCATTGCATAACTTGGTTGAAAATTGCCAATGATGTGCTGACCAGCGCAGTTTCTACAGCTTGGTTCGCCCAGAATGACCTCATTGCAGGGTCTTTGTCGTTCTCTGCTCGTTGTGTCATCCAGAAAATCCCTGTTCTCGTTAGAAACGCGGGTGGGACAAGTTATGAGATGAACCTACCGGCTTTTGTCGCTGGGAAATCATCATCCGTCCTCGCCACGGTGGCCTCGCATCGAGCCTTCAGCTGACATTGAGCAGGCCATGACAGCAGGTTTCCTTCTCCATCAAGTACAGGTAGATACTCGGTATAGCCATGCAGTAGTGGCACTCTGTCGAAGAGCTGCCTGATGTCGGTTGCTGGCAGAAGATTCAAGATGCTGTGGGGCCAGAAGGCAAGGAACCTCCGTTCTCTTTCGGACGGAGGAAGGTCCAGGTCTATCTCAAGCTCTTGGGAATGGCGACAGAATAGCTTGATGAGCGGCCATCGCACTTCCGCTGCGGTCCCTTCCAAGACTGTTTGTATGGGCTCAAACAGTGATGGGCTGCGACCAATGTGCGATACCTGCACTGGACACCGGAATCTTATCACGTGAACCAACAAAGCCTCCAACCTTTCTCTATCATCCGCCGAGGGCCGTGATGGATGAGCCCGATGGAGTAACCTTTTCGTGGGAGATTCTGTCTCACTAGCTGTGCCAAAATGGGCAATCGACCAGTAACGGATCAACTCCGTGAGCAAGAGCTGAGTAAGATCATTGAAATTTTCAATGGCTATGATCGGCAGGGTCCGGTCAATCAAACGAAAGATCTGTTGGAAGGAAGCCTTTTGCTGGCAGACATGGCGGAGTGTTTCATGAATGTATGCGTTGATTTGGGACGGTTTCAGCCTCCTCGACGCATCCTCATGCATTTTGTAGAGCAGGTCCAAAGCAAATTCAATACCCGGCAATGTGTCCAATGTATCGGGCTGGTAATGCACAGGTGTGTATGGCACAGAAGAGCAGATCATGGCTCTCACGCAGTTCTTCGCTACACTCTTCTGTACGTAGCTTGGCACTGTGACATCGCCCGTAGCAATACGTCGCAACAAAGCTGGATGGCGCAGGGCAATCCTGTCCAGCAGCTTAGGCGTCAACCGCACTTCTGGAAAGGAAGACAACACTTCCGCCAGGAACGACGAGCTGCATAACGGTAAAAGCGTGTCCAAGTGGTGCCAGAGCGGCCGAGATGCTTTGTCTTGCTGAAGGAGATGGACCAGCTGATCAACATGAACTGGCAACTCATCGTCCTGTCGGTGCACGCTTTTCGCAATGGCATGCAGCAGGTTTGCTGTGTCAGCAATAGACAGGCCCCCGATGATATCTCTGAGTCCTTCTGCACCGCCCAAGGTGTCCCACACTCGACCTCCAAGTGGACGTGCGTGAAAAGCGGGCGACCTGCTGGATACCGACCGCTCGAACGTTATGGGAAACCGGGTCGTGCAGAGCGGTAGATAGCAGTTGCGGGGATTATTTCAATGCAATCGGCAGCCATATTTTGTAGGCATCCGATGGCAAGGACTCGCTGTGGATCAGGTCCAGCAACTGGGTGTTGACGGTGTTTACGTGCTCAACGGAAGGGTGGTTGCCGATGAAATCGATGAAGTGGGCAGCGAGGGCGGGGTAATTCAAGCGTAGAAGGGTCTTCAGTTGGAGGGCCATTCCAATCGCCATTATGGTATGATTTCAAAGAGAGTGGAAATGGAGGAAGAGGATGGTGGGAAAGGGTAATTCGGACGGTTATTTCTGCGGCCTAAAAGAAGACCGAACTGAGAGAGGCACCGTCCCGTGATCGAAGGTATGATCCACGGCAACGGTGGATCTTCTCTCTTTGGCCCCTCTCCACCCTGGCCTTGTTCACGTTAGTACGGAGCACTATCTCGAGTCACACTTGCCTAATTGGTCCGGCAACTTGATCCCCCAATTGAGTTGGATAGATCGTCAACATTTCCTCCGAAGTGGAGCGTTAGACTCCGTCGACTGCAGGATCTAGCCTCTGTGACATTGTTAGAGCATACATGTGCCATGCTGACACCCGTCATCAGCCTCTATCCCAAAGACTACAGGACAGCTCCTCTCCACCTACTCCGTACAGAAGACTGATTGAGGATCTTCTATTGGCATTGACCATATCCTAGACGGATCATGCCCCTCCGGGCTTCCGAGCAAACACCGGGGCACTGCGGGTCTTGCGCATTCACATCGAGCAAACAAACAGGGATTGACAGACCACACCGCTTGTTCCGTACTTTGTTCTCGAGGGTGTTCAATGTTTTACAGGCTGACCGAGGGGTTCTTCTAGGCGCTGCGTTGATCTCTGAGGAATCAGGTTTTGTGGAAACAGGGAAACAATGCAAGCGCCGAATCTGACGAGAGCTGAGCACTGGGCCCTCGGGCTGGGTTTCCCAAATCCAGAGGGTCAAGTACGGAGTGCTACTTACATACGAGAACTATACTCAGGCGTCTGCATGTTTGCTTAAGAAATTACGCCATCAGTTATAACAGGGGTTGGATAATGCATACATCACACGCCTGCATGTTTGCTTCCTTCTCTATTGACTTGTTATCTATCAACTATGGATTTTGCTTTTTCCCTCTTCTTCTAGATCTTCACTCTTCTTGTTTCTCTGGTGGTGGATATGACCTGTACATTCGTGAGGACTTGCCAAATATTGATGGCTGTCCCGTGCTTTGGGTGGTTTAATTATATCCTCCCTAGACTTTGTTTGTCAGTTGCTAGGATTGAGACGCTCAAAGGATCGAAAAGAGAAGACGATCGGCAGGAAGTTAACATGTCAACTGCCCATTGAAACGACAAAAGTACGAGGACTCAGGAATTAACCCAACTGAAACTAACAACACGGAGTTCATTTCCAGCGAATCAACCTGACAACAGAATGGTGCGAATAAAGTGGTGGAGCAACGGGGGATTCCGTGTGGAGAAGCGGGAGAATCCGGAGAGATCCAGAAACGTGGAATGTGGAATCTGGCAGCTCTCAAGTCTCATCCACGGATCTATCCTGCCTTCCCGTCATTCATGCCTCATCCTGTCGTCTGCCTCTATTGCCAAGGTCAATGCACCGGATACAAGCCGGAGGTGAGTCCCGGTCGCAGATGTTATCCTTTCCCGGCAATGAGCTGATACAATAAGGCTTCAAGATCCCGTTCCTATTTGCAAGATAGGATGATATCTCTAAGCGAGCTGCTCGCTTGCGATAAGCCTGTCAGGGCTCCGGACCGGTGGCCGGACCGGTAGACGGTGGTTTCTGATGGGCTGGCGATACGAGGATCAGCGTGATAAGTCTGGAGGATCGGTAGTTAGGCTCCTGTCGCAGGCAAGGCCGTTAGGGCACGAGAGTCACCTGGTCGACGGACCATGCTGTATAGAGTAACGCTTGAGTTGCACTCTCATACATTCTCTCCATTTCACCAGAGAATCAATTCCAACCATCGCCAACCACATCTATCCTCGAGACCAACGACGCCGTGGCGCTCCCGTGTCGTCTTATCGTCGCCATGCTTGGCTGTCCAACCAGACCGTGCGGGAGTTCCTGGCGGCCTTATCTGATCTTGGAGAATGCGACCGTAATCCGACTCGCTTATAACGCTCCGTTCCCCTTCGTCTCTCCTTCACTTTCGTCGATTTCTCTAACGATCAATTCCTCAGTCTATTGATCATGGCCGCCGAAAAACCCATCGCCGAGACCCCCTACCCCGTCGACCCTCCCGGCGAGGTCAAGTCCGGCACCATGAAGGCCATGGTCGAGGCCGACCTGCTGGACGAGCGATACAAAGTAACCCAGCGAGGGCTAAAGAACCGCCACGTGCAGCTGATGGCGCTTGGTGGCACCATCGGCACCGGTCTCTTCGTGGGATCGGGCCAGGCGTTGAACATCGGCGGTCCGCTGTCGCTGCTGCTGGGCTACATCTTCATCTCGGCCCTCGTCTACGCGCTCGTCACCGGCATCGCGGAAATCGGCGCATACCTCCCCGTGCACGGCGGCACCATGTCCTACCACGGCTTCCGTTACGTCTCGCGCAGCCTCGGCTTCGCCATGGGCTATCTATACTGGTACTCGTTGGGGATTCTGGTGCCGTACGAGATCGTCGCGGCCTCCATGGTCATTGAATACTGGAACTCTGGCGTGCACCTGGCCGTCTGGATCAGCATCATGCTGGTGGTCATCGTGTTGCTCAACTTCCTCCCCGTGCGCTTCTACGGCGAGACCGAGTTCTGGTTCTCGGGCATCAAGATCATCACGCTGATCGGCCTGCTGCTGCTCTCCTTCATCCTCTTCTGGGGCGGCGGACCCAACCGCCAGCGCCTCGGCTTCCACTACTGGAAGGAATCCGGGGCCATGAACACCTATTTGGTCGCAGGCGACGCCGGCCGCTTCGTCGGTCTCCTCCAATGCATCGTCAAGAGCGCCATCGCCTTCATCTTCGCGCCAGAACTCATCATCATCAGCGGCGGCGAGATGGAATCCCCCCGACGCAACGTCCCCGTCGCCGCGCGCCGCTACATCTACCGCCTCGTCTTCTTCTACATCCTCGGCGCGTTGGCCATCGGCGTCATCTGCTCCTCGCGCGCTGACGCCATCATCAACGGCTCCGGCACCGACGCGTCCTCGTCGCCGTTCGTCGTCGCCATCGCCAACGCGGGCATCCCCGTCCTCGACTCCATCGTCAACGCAGCCATCCTCACCTCCGCCTGGTCCGCGGGCAACTCCTTCCTTTACATGTCCTCGCGGTCCCTCTACTCCCTCGCCGTCTCCGGCAACGCCCCCTCCATCTTCAAATCCTGTAACCGCTCCGGCGTCCCCTACCTCGCCGTCTTCATTTCCTCCCTCTTCTCCCTCCTCTCCTACCTCGCCGTCTCCAACGGCTCGAACACCGTCTTCAACTGGCTCATCAACTTCACCAACACCTCCGGTTTCATCTCCTGGATCTGCTGCGCCATCGTCTACTTCCGGTTCAACCGCGCCATCGCCACCCAGGGGGTCGAGAAACCGTACTCCTCGACCCTGCAACCCTACGGCATGTACATCGGTCTGGCGGGGTCATTATTCCTCGCCCTGATCAACGGGTTCACCTGTTTCTTTCCGTCCGAGTGGTCCGCCAGTACCTTTTTTACCGCGTATATCGGCATCCCAGCCTTCTTGGTCCTGTACCTGGGTCATCGGGCAGTGTTCTGGTCTGATCCGTGGGCATGGAGACCGGCAGATGTTGATCTGCATACGGGATTGGCGGAGATCGTGGCGGCTGAGAAACCGCCTCGGGTGAGGGATACGTGGTGGAAGAAGGTGATGGTGTTGGTGGAGTGATCCTTTTTCCTTTTTCGGTGTGATATGTCTCGTTCTGTTTTGTGGGTGGGTTTTTCTTTTTTTTGCGGGTGGGCTATTTGTGCTTTGTTATTGTAGTTAGGTACTGGCTCCTTCATACGTAGGGATGAGCTTCATGAGTACCTAACTAGCTTGTGTATGATGATCGGGAGAAATCGGAGAATGAGTATCCAGCTAGTCACCTACACCGTGCACTACTGTACCTGGTACTGGTAGTCATAGTATCGGACACTATAGGTATCCCCAGAAAATCTAATTTAAATATAAATTCAATCCATACCTTCGACGTGAAAAAAAAAAGTACAGTAGATAGATAGTAACCCCACAATAGCAAACAAACACAAAAAAAAAAGCAAATAAAAAATCCCAAGACTAGACCCGGGACTAACCATCCCACAATCCTAGCATCATGCATAATAGCAAACAAACAAAAAAAAGAGTCAATAAACGCCCAAACTAGACCCAGACTACCTACCCCTCCCTCCAAAGGTAAGCCATCGTACAGAAGAATCCCCTAGTCAATCGGCAATCAAGCAAACCAGGCAGCCACACTAGTAGACTCCGTACGGAGTACGGTGAAGGCAAATTAGGCAACCCATGCATCCATCAAACAATCCAACCACCTACATACACCGAGTACGCCATTGACGTACTCCGTCCGCAGACAGGAAACCAAATCCCATACCTAACCAGCCCTCAAACCCTAAACCCACACCTCTCGCCTGGCCATTAATATCTGGGAGGGAAGTGTACGGAGTACAGCATGCAGCATAACAGGATTTCTACGGACAGGGGTGTGTTTTTTTTTTTTTTTTTTTCTTTCGCGTCTGCCGCCATCAAGCAAACAATTTCATTTACAAAAAACAATGGCGCAGTGGAGAAATTGTCGTTGACAGGGATTTGGATCTGTGTTTTCTTTTTGGATTATCGGGATTCGGGGGACCAGAAGGGGGGGGATGGGTCAATTTGGGAGTTGTTTGCTTAGGGGGTGTGTGCGAGGGAGGTTTTCGAGGTTGGGAGGGGAAGGTGGGCGGTCTGGGTTTTCGGTCAGGGGTCTAAGTCCTGGGTTTGTGGATTTTGCCGGTTATGCGCACTCCGTACTTCTGCGCCGTCGTCTTCTACTGTACAGGCAACTACACGGATGTTTGGGAAGAGTGTGATTTCTACTGTAGATTTAGAGTCTGCATATTCAAGAGTACTGAGATTTCAGAAGAGGGTTGTAAACTATTGTAGATGGGGTTCTCATTCTGACAAACAGGAAAAGAATACTATGCTGCAAACAGCGAGGAAAAGACAAGAACTGTATGAATAAACAAATCATCCAGCAAACGTGTGATGATTATTCCCCCACTCGCCCATATCCCCAAAGTTGACCACCATGACTCGTCCTCCCCTCTGGCGTCCCTCCAATTCCAACCGTCGCAACGTATCCACCTCCTCGGCCGTCAGGATATTCCCCGCGCGTCGCCGCTCCCACGCCGCCTGGGTCACCACAGGCGCGACATCCTTCGCGACCTCGGCCTCGCTGCGTCCCTGCGCGAACGTCTTATTGTTGGCCCCCGACGGGCGCGAGAACCGCCACTCCGACTCCACGACGCGGTATTTGCGCTCCAGCAACCACAGCACCGGCCATGTGAGGATCCACAGCTGCAGCAGGAGACAGCCGTAGAAGATCCACGGGTTGTTGCGCGCCCGGTTGATCCAGTGCGGCGAGTACACGGTGAACGAGCGGTTGGCGACGGCGGTCGACACTTCGACTTTGCCGCGGTAGTTGAGCGCGCGGAGGTGCGATTTCAGCGCCGATCGGATGATGTCTGAGTCCAGGCCGGAGACGGAACGTTCGAAGGTGAATCTGTTGACGGTAGCAACCCGTTAGTCCTCGTCCAGGTATCCAGGTAAGTCCTGAGAAGCAAAGTAGGAAAAACATACGATTTCACCGGCGCAGGATCCTCGCAGAATCGATGACACCAACCGATCAACCCGGGACTCCCCCGTCCCAGTCCCTCCTCGACGTCTCCTCGACCCTCCTCCGACCCTCTCACCAAACCAACATTCTCCTCGTCTCCGTCCCCCTGACCACCCAACCGGATCGCTCCCCGCTTCTTCTTCCCGCAACACCCATGTCCCTTCCAGCGTCTGGACGGAAACACACCCCCGCGATACCGCTTCACACCATCCCCATCCCCGACAACCTTCAACTCATGCCATCCATCCTCATCCCGATCCCCCTGCGGCCCCGACCCCACCACATACGGCGAGAGGTCAACCTTAAAGTCAAAGTCCGTGACGTTGCGACTGCGGTGTTTCCGCCCGTGGTTCTCGGAGCGCGTCACGGTGTGGGTGCCGCGGATGGTGAGGACCGGACGAGCAGGGACGTCGGCCTGGCGGGCGACGAGCGCGTGGAGGGCCGAAGGGTCGGCGCTGAGGTCGGGGTCGAGGGTTACTTGGTTGGCGGCGCGAGTGTTGGCGTTGATGCTGAGGTAGGGCTGTTCGGAGGGGATGGGAGGGGCGAGGATGGGGGATTGGTAGTAGCTGTTGCTGGCGGCGGAGGAGGAGGGTTGGATGATGGCTTGTTCGTAGCTGGGAGGGGGGAGGTCGTCTCCGTCTCCGGGGATGGGTTGGGGCGGTTTTCCCATGATGATTTGATATTGTAGATGTGTTATCTGGTAAGAATGTAAGAATACTGGTAGGAGAAACAGGAAGTAAGTGAAAAGGAGAGATGACGATAAAAGGAGATGTGCTGCCTGTCAGATGTTACTAGACAAGAAGGGAAATGCGCCAGGCTGAAACGGATCCTTTGGCCCCCAACTTTGTCCCCAACTTGGTACACTCACACTACCTCCTAGGCTACTATATATCTACAAGTAGTAACTCAGGCACAGAGGTCACTACGGAGTACTCCTCCGATAACTTAAAGCCGCCCAATCGCTGCCACGTGATCCGTGACCAAGCACTTAAACTCGTCCGATCCATAGTAGATCGTGTTGCCGTCGTCCGGCGACTGACCCGAGCTAAGCGTGTCGCCATACTGCCAGTACAGATCGCCCGACACGGCCGTCGTGTTCAACGCCGTCTGCTGCCACGGCTTCTCCAGACTGCAGTGGTTCGACGTGACACCATACTCCTCAAACAGACACGGCTTTCCGGCCGCCTTGCACGCCGCTCCGTGCGAGCTAACCCAGCCGTTGCCCCATGGGTTGGACACACCCCCTACATCAACTTATCAGCCGGTGACTCTATACGATTGGGTCGGAAAGGGAGGACAGGCTTACAGCTATCCGGGTACAGGTGGAAGGTGCCAAAGTCGATGGTCGGGATGGCCAGATTCTTCGCAAAGTCGGATCCCTCCGAGTACTGGTAGGGGTAGCTACCGTCCGACTGGACGTCGAGCCCAAATCCCTCTGCTGGAGTCAGTGTCTTCGACCGGGTCAACAAATAGGAAGATATCAAGAGATCAACGCACCATCACCAATGCAGACCATATGCTGCGAATCCAAAGACTTGATATACTTGCTCGTGCTCTCGATCCAGTCATACAGCACGGTGGTATTGCAACCCTGGCAGCGAGGCTCATTGGCCAACTCCCAGGCGAAGACAGCCGCGGAATCAGAGTACCGTGACACCACGGCCTCGATGTACGCGCGGTACGCCTTCTGCATCTCCTCGCTGGCGTAGAAGTTGGCCTTGTCCGACCCTCCGCCGTACGCCTTCAGATACGCGCTGATGCCGCCGTAATCGTCCCAGAAATTCACAAAGTTGATGATCAGCTTGATGCCGTGCTTCTCCGCGGACGCGACCACCACGTCCAGGCGCTCCAGGCCGTCCGCGCCCGTGTTGATCGTTGATTTGCCGTCGGCGTGCTTCTGGTACCACACGGTGCCGGCCTGTGGCTCCTCGTTCACGTCGTTGAACCCCCACACCCGTAGGACCTTGAGGCCGGATTCTTTCATGTGCGAAAACACTAGGTCCACGTCATCGTCGTTGGTCAGGAATCCGATCCAGTACGAGTTAGATCCTGCGAAGTAGCCCGTCTCGCCGTCAATGGTGAACTGCAGGCCGGAAGTGGATGCAAAGGCGCCGGGAGTAGCGGATGGGGACGGTGCGACGCTGGACGAGGAGGCCTGGGGAAGAGCCGTGGCCAATTGGGCCGACACCAGGCCGGCCAGGGTGACGAAGGAGTGTGAGAGCTTCATATCGAGAGAGTGAAAGAGAGTTGCGTGAAACCTGCTACGGAATAGACGGAGGGAGTCATGCTGGACCACGGGACTTTATATTTATGCCTCAACCCAAGTACAGAGTACTCCATAGCGACCTAGCTATACCCTTCTCCGAGATCTACTAACGCAGAATGGCCTGATGGACAAGCCTCCGTATTAGATTGAGTAATTTCTGCTTCTAGCAGACGTCTTGGGCGCGGAGTGCCGGACGGGACAGAATTGGATCATCTCCGGGTCCAGAAGGGAGGGCGATCGTCAGGGCGATTAATTAACCTGCTTCTGCAGCGGTTTTGTCCGTGCTGGATGGGGAATGGCCGCTAGGCTGAAACTCCGAGTGGTGGAGCTGATTCAGGTGAGTGTTTCGAATGGACGGAAGACGGGTATTGTTCAGTCTGGATTGACTGAGTAGAATGCAATGATTATGCGGTAGATGGTGATATGGGAATGCTTTGGATGGTATGATAGGCGAATGTCATGCCGTCTCTAGAGTTTATTCGTCTATGCTTGCACCAATACTTCCCACATGTGACAAGGACATGATAACGCTTCACATTGAATAATCCAAGTAGCGAACATTCTATTTCCTAGACTCTGGAATAACACTGTTAACAAATTGTTCTCTATAGGCTCTCGAATAACACTGGTGATCAACTGCTATCTGCTAGCAAGTCTCATCACCCAATTCCCCACGTCTAGACCATTCACTCATCTACAGCAACACATGCAAACATGATCATTTCCGCCTGAATCAGGCAAGTCTTGTCTTGATTTCTTCCAAGTACATCTCTATCGTCATCATCACCATCTCATCTCATCATCTCAAAATCACAACCACCATCAAACGCCTAGATACATACAACCCGCCAACCAACCCATCGCCAAAAAACCTCATAATACAACCCCACCAGTCGACTCACTCATTTATTGTTTCAAACCAGAGAAAACACCATCACCACCCAAACCTCAAACCGACTCGACCAAAAAAAGAACCTAGAGATGAGCCGGCAACTTCCCAGCCTTCTTCGCCGTAAACGTCGCAATCAAATCCATCAACGGCGGCGACAACGCATCATACGTCTCGAGCCCAACACTCTTAAACCTGCCCCGAACCTCATCCATCCCATTAGGATTAAACCCCTGCTCAATAATCGAGCTCACGAACCCCGCAAACTGCGGTTCCTGCCACCCCTGCTCATCCGAAAGCTCCGCATGCACGAAATCCAACCCCTTGAACGGATGCTCCTTCTCGATGCGCCCGAACAAGTGCACCCCGCAGCCGGTGCACGCGTAGCGCTGGATCGCGGCCTCCGGGTCCAGGATGGCCAGTTTGTGGGCGTTCGAGGTCACCGAGACGGCTTCGCGGGGCACGACGCCGACGATGGAGAACAGGGCGCCGGACGGCTTCCAGCATTTGGAACAGCCGCAGGCGTGGTTGTGGGCGACGTTGCTGGCGACTTTGACGGTGACGCGGTCGGAGGCGCATTTGCAGTGGAGAGAGCCGCCGGGGAAATCGGGGGTGCCTTTTTTGAGGCCGTTGTCGATGAGGGGGTGCAGGGAGGGGGCCATTTTGGTGGTAGCTGGAGGTTTTTGTGTTGTTGTAGAGGGGAGAATTGGAGGACGGTGGTGTAGCACGGTAGATAGTAGAGATATAATTTAGTATAGGGTAGAATATGGGATAGATGAGAGGACGGATGGGGCCAGTTACTTATATAACCAGAATCCACAATCGCGATCTTAATCTCTTATCCCCAGACTAAACCCCTCATCTCCTGGCTAGTCCTACCAGTGCATCCCCTCACGCGGGGAATCTCCACCCTGGTGATGGATTCTCCACGAATGTCGCAATGCCGTCGGGACGCGATTACTCGACTGGTATATCGCTTCCGGGATGGATCGTTTACCTGCTTCGGGGAGGCGTCCGACAGGTTGGATTGATGGCGTTTGGAGTACTGTGTGCATGGTGTGACTATGAGGGTTTTCTCGTCTTATCTGAAGATATGGTATAATCTATACCGTGGTCTAGAATATGGTGTACAGTACATGCATGATTACTGAATATGGACTGATTCTCGGTATAGTTCTGGTCATTAATCATCCGCTCTATCTGCATACATCTACATCTACTCGACACTTTTACAATGTAGTATCCACCACGCACCGCACGCAATCCCCCTGCTTCATCTGCTCGAATGCCGCGTTGATGTTGCTAAGGGTCTCGCGGTGCGTGATGAACTCGTCCACCTTGAGATCCCCGTTCAGATAATCCGCCACCAGTCCCGGAAGTTGTGTCCGTCCTTTCACGCCCCCGAATGCGCATCCTTTCCATTGGCGACCGGTCACTAGTTGGAAGGCTGTTCATGTTCGTCGTTAGTCAATTGCACGATTCCCATAGACTGAAAAGAAGAAAAGGGGGACTCACGTCGAGTGCTAATCTCCTGACCCGCCGCCGCAACCCCAATGACAATACTCTCGCCCCAGCCCTTATGGCACGCTTCCAGCGCCGCCCGCATCACGCTGACATTGCCGGTGCAGTCAAACGTGTAATCGCATCCTCCGTCCGTCATATCAATCAACTTCTCCGTGATATTCTTGCGGCCCAACTTCGCGGGATTGACAAAATGCGTCGCCCCGAACTTATACGCCCACGGCGCCTTATCATCATTCAAATCCACGGCAATAATCATGCCCGCTTTATTCTTCACCGCACCCTGTATCACAGACAGGCCCACGCATCCGGCCCCGAACACCGCCACGCTCGACCCCTCCTCCACCTTGGCCGTCACCGTCGCAGCGCCGTATCCCGTCGTGATCCCGCATCCGAGAAGACATGCCCGGTCGGTGGGACACGCAGGCGTGTACGCGACCACCGAAATATCCGCCACAACGGTATACTGCGAGAAGGTCGAGCAGCCCATGAAATGGAGGAGGTCTTTGCCGCGGGCCCGGAACCGAGACGTCCCGTCGGGCATCACGCCGCGTCCTTGCGTGGCGCGGATCTGTCCGCAGAGGTTGGTTTTGCCAGATTTGCAGAACTTGCACTGTTTACATTCTGGGGTGCTGAATCAGGGGGACGGGGGCTGGTTAGTTCGGTCCGGTCTGAGGCGACGGAGGAGGAGAAAAGGAAAAGAGAAAACCTACTAAAGCGCGATGACGTGGTCGCCCACTTTGACATTGGTCACGTCTGGACCGACGGATTCGACGATACCGGCGCCTTCGTGGCCGAGCACCACGGGAAACGCACCTTCGGGATCCTTGCCGGAGAGGGTGTATGCGTCTTCGGGTGTGGTGTCACTATTTCATCTGCGGGACAGGACTCGACCGGGCATCTTACCGGTATGACAAACACCCGTGTGGAGGACTTTGATGCGCACTTCATGGGCCCTTGGTGCGGCGACCTCCACGTCCTCCACTGAGAGCGGCTGTTCGGCCGCCCAGGCAATCGCGGCCTGAGGTTTTGTTTAGCGTCAACGTATGCGGGTGTATACTAGAGAATGTCGCACCTTGCAAGTGATGGTCTAGTATGGTTAGCAAATAGACGAAATCGAGCATATGTAGGTGATGAATACCTTTCCAGCAGTCGTAGCCATCTCTAAACCACGCAAATCAATCGATAACGATACTAGGTGATCAGACAGGAGAGCAAAAAGAGGGGAAACGAAAGTCGACCGTGGAGCATGTTGTATATGCTAGGCTTTATACCTTCGCCCCAATTGACAAGTCAACCCGTGTGAGGAGATGCACGAACCGAAGAGGAAAAAATTCCTTACGTCGATGCCAAGCTGGTGAGGGGTGAGGGGAAAGCAAAGCTGCGAGTCAGAGAGACGGACCGTGTAGAAGAATTAGTCCGGAGCTGTTATCGCGATGGATGCTGGCCGTCAGATCCAGTGATCGGGAGCCCTTCCGATCAGGTGGGCCCGGCCACCCGGTCCGTCCCTCCGTAGTCTTTCTCTGCAACTATGCCGATACCGCTGTCTATCACTTATCCAAGTTACCTATCTGTGGATTGCATTTCAAACCTCGACTGGTTCATTGAACATCTTAGAAACATTGTCAAAATTGCTTCTATTACATCCAGTGCGGTCACCATCAGATATAGATATCACAACCGAATGAGCATTGTAGCAAGAACGGGGTCATCCGGTTTGTCTTCCACAAGATGAGTGACCAGACCAATTTCTTAACACTGAATAGGAAAACCGCCCACACACTATGCACCATACAAAAACCGTCCCCCCTGAGCAACTTCCGGACACCTCAACGTTTGCCCGCACAATTTCAGACCGAACGACGTCGGGGTATACTTGTAGGAGGGGAGATGGTCGAAACGAACCCCGGAAACGCAATCCCCCTTCTATGTTGACGGGCGATCCGGTAGTGTCTCGCTGCCACTTCTCTGGCTGGTTCCAGTGTGGCTGTGTCCCCCGTAGGCCCTATCAGCCCTGTGGCGTTCCCCTGTGTTCGCCCTACCGGCCCCAGCATCTGCCCTGCTAAAAGGGCTGCCTCTCCATGGCTCATAGTGCACAGGTGCAGTGGGCCTCGCTCGAGCTCATAGGGGTAGCTAACCGCCGTAGTCCTGTGCTAGAGGAATGGCGCCTGAAGCCCAGGTGTTCCTGAGTGCCTGGCGCTGAAGCGGGCAGTCCCTGCCCCATATTCTAATTCACGGGTAGTATAGTAGAGTTGGCACTGCTAACTCACCTGATGTTCTTTGAGTGCTTGACGTGAACCATCATTAATCCAATAGCTCCTAGCAGAGACTATGGGGGAGCGCGGATCGAACTGATACTTGTAGCGGGGCGGATACTCCCTTGGTTCTAGCCGTGAAAACGGAACTCTAGGATGCTCTGTAGAAGTATATACGGCCCCCGCCAACACACACTTGTATTATAGTCATGGTACCCAGGCCTTACGGCCGTGCATTATTGTATCATGGCGCGCCTGTGAGGCCATACTATATGAGCTATGGTGTAGTTACCAAGTACGGACAGCTCGCGAGCAACACCTATTATCACCAGCCATTGCGGGACATATGACACTGCGATAAAGACGAGGCTATGATATTGAGCGTTCCAAACGAACTCCAGCCTCTGCCGTATTGAGCAGCTCCTGGGAAGATCATTTTCGTCAGACCGATAGACCATATCTTGTACGAAGAGGTCGGGTTCTAGAAAGGCTTTGAAGGTTCACATAAGAAGATGTCTATCTCTGGTCTCTGGAGGGTGAGTCAAGTTGGGCTCGATCTAGCCGATCCTAGAAGGGAACCTGGTGATTTAACCAGGAAGTTGGGTTTTTGTCTTGGACAGAATCATCAAGGCAAACGCTTAGATAACGGGCAACCTAGCGATGTGTTAATAGTCTTGATGTATAGCAACGAAGAGGGCAATGATCCAGCGAATCCACCCCTTCTCTACCTGTTTGAGTAGGCTGTCGTTCTAGTATTGGAAGTATATATTTACTGGCAAATGGGGAGAGGTAGGTCAAGCAAAAACAATACAAAATGGAGGGACAACGGAATTTGAAACTATAATTAAAATAGATAAATAGCAGTGTTTGGTAGCAAGTAATGAATAACAAAAAACAAAAACATACAACAGCCGGGATTCGCTGGTGGTCACCCACCCAACTACTAACCGGCCGGCGTGAGGCTTAAGTACGGCTGAGCGGACGGGAAGCCCTGTTCTCCTCACCCTGTGGTCGTATGTACCAGACAACCCTTTACAATAATTTATATCCTATGAAACCAATTAATTTTCTTCTCCCCGCCTTCGTCCCACCGTTGTTTATCGCGTCCATCAATCCAGGCGAATCCAGTCAATTGTTGGAACCAGAGTCAAGCACCTCCAGCTCCTCGATCTTTGAAGGACATCTCTTTTGACGCGTCCTCTCCCAAAGGACACCCCAGATACTCGCCAAACCCCATCAAGGCCACCTCTGGTTCCATCTCTACAGCGCAGAAAATGCAAGATCTATAGGCACAATGAGTCGCTATCTAACCCCATCTAAAATCGCCCTCCTGTGCCTCGTCTCCATCTACACCGAAGGAGTCGTGCCCAACTCATCCGCCATCCACGTTCTCTCCTTCCTGGTGTCCTGTCTGAGTCCTCTGGACGCGAGCAACCCGCATTCCACGTCGGGCCCGCGTGAAAAGCACTCCTCCGTGTCCATCACCGACCTCGAGGAAGCGCTCTCCGCCCAGGCCTCTTCCATCCCAGGTCGCTCCGTGTGGGACCTCTTCCTGCGCAAGGTCTGGTCCATCGACTCGTGCGATGCCCTGGAGGTTTTCTTCTCCGATGTCTCGGACATCCTGGTCAAGACGCGCGACGAGCAGCTGCGAGATCGCGATAATGGTCTGGCGCCGGAGTCGGGCGTCATGCGGCTGTCACGGTGTTCGCCGCTGGGCGTGTTTGTGAGACGCGCGCAATTAGAGTTTACGAGGTTGCAGTTTCATGATTCTGTTCGGCTGTGGAAGGGGTTTGTTAAGTATCGGTTGCCGACGTATCGCGCGTGGGCGAGGAGGAATCCGGCTGAGGAGCAGGCTACGGTTGATATCAATCTTCTTGAACTGGGTCTGGATGCGAATAGTCCCCTTGCGAGAGTTGCGTATGGGAATATCGAGGACGAAGAGGAGAATGAGGAACAGTACGTCAGTACGAAAGATGTGGAGCGGTTGCTGGAGTTTCAGATTGGAGAGTTGCAAAGTACGTGACAGGCCCTTTTGCGTGTTGGTTTTCTAACAGTGGCAGGACTGGGAGGGAGAGTTCCTGACGGCATGAAGACGACGCTGGAGCAAATCATCAACTCTGGCGTGACGCTACCGAACCTGGTGTATTATCTACGGTAGGTTTCCCTCCACAGCACAGTAGGCAGATAATTGACGGATCTAGATTCCTCGACGCCTGGCGGGCCGGAGACTACCCGTCTTCCTTTGACAATCTCCATCGCTACTTCGACTACACGATGCACAGTCGGGATCGCAGCTCGTACCAGTACGCCTTGCTGAACCTGGCAATCCTGCAGGCCGATTTTGGATGCTACAGTGAGGCAGTCTCTGCGATGCAGGAGGCCGTATCCATCGCTCGCGAGTCTCACGATATGAACTGCCTGAACTTCTGCATGAGCTGGCTGTATCATTTCGGCAAGGCGTTCCCGGAGCAGATGAAGGACGTGCAGAACACCGGCATGCTGGGCAATGAAAAGGAGGGACTTGCATTCCTCAAGGCGAAGGCAAAGGAGACCGAGATGTGGAGTTTGTTGAGTACGACCCTGCTGAGCGAAGCCAAGCTCGAGCTGCAAAATGTACGGAGTGTCTCCTGCCTCCCACTTGCTCTGTGCCAGCGGTACTAACAGTTCCAGGGCGAGTCGCTGTCGTCTTCGATCGAGAATATCGTCCGGGCTTCTCATCTCAACGTCACCAAGAATCTTGTCAACTCTATGGGGCCGCAACTTCTCCTACAGGGAGCGTTGTATTTGCGAATTGGTAGGACTTCCTAGTTTAACAGACGTGCCACCCTCTAACCAGCCCAGGCGTCTCGCATCTCTCCTGGCTCAGCAACGAGATCTTCCGCGAATGCTACGCTGCTCGATCTCCATTTGAAGACTATCTCAAAAGCACATTCCGCAGCTGCCAGCTGGTGCGTCTCCCCAACCCTAGTACCTAACACATTCTTACCACGAAGGCAGCTCTCCCAACAAGGCTGTTATAAAGAAGTCTCGACTCTCATGAACCAGGTGGCCCCCGAGAAACTCCGACCCCTAAAAGCCAACCAATACTGGACCTTCTTCTCAGGGCTCCTACAACTGAAGCGTCAAGTATACCGGTGCGTCCTCCATCCCTTCCAACCACCCCACCATAACATACCCACCTGACAAACAACACAGCGACAACAAAACCGCCTGCACCTCCCTCCTCTCCCAACTCGAAGCCATCCAGCTCCCAGACACCGACATCTCCCTCCTCGCCTTCCAAACAACAGACTACCACATCCGCCAAGGCAACTACACCCGCGCGCTCTCCCTCGTCGAATCCACCGCCCAATCCCTCCACCCGGAGAACTTCGACATCAACTCCCAAGTGAAACTCCTCTGCCTGAAAGCCTCCATCCTCGAGAAAACCGGCCAGCCACAACGCGGGTTCTCCCTCGCCATGCGCGCCGCTAGCATCGCCCACCGCGCCCGTCTCCTCCCGGGTCTCTGGGAATCCGTGACCGTGCTGGCCGCCGTGTTACTTGCGCTGCGGGAGTTCGAAGCCGCCGCGGAGCTCGTGGAGAGCGTGATGCCGCAGATCTTGGAGTCGAATGATTGTGATCTGGCGGCGAGGGCGTACTCGTTGCTCGTGGATGCGAATATGGGTGTTGCGGGGAAGTTGAGAGCACAGGGTCAGGACCGGGCTAGTAATACTCATGCGACAGCATCGGCGGGGGCGGTGGCGACGAAAGAGTATATGAATCGCGCGCTGGAGTACCTGGACTGTGCATATGAACAGTTCGAGGAGATCGAGGATATCAAGGGACAGTGCGAGATGATGGCCAAGAAGGCGACGGTCATGCATCTGACGGGGGACTTGGTGCTGGCGAATGATTATGCCGCGAAGTATCTGGATTTGCAGAAGCAGGGGAGGTCGGATGTGTAGCAGTGAGTAGATTACAATTGTGATAGTGATGGTGATTAGTGGTGCTGGTGCTGCTGCTGTATGCTCGCATCTTCGGTTCATAGAATTTTACGATTAGTAGTGCTGTCAGGTATGCCCGTATACATCGTAGCAACGCCAGATGTTTACCAAGCAACCGATTACAACCAAATCAACAGATGAAATTTCAACCAACAAAAGAAAACAAGTCAATAAGTAGGATAGTGTGTTCAGATATCTCCATTCCATTCATCTGTTCCCATTCCGTCCCCTTTTGGTTTCTGAGTCCTTCCCTCCCTTCCGGCATGGCAGGCAACTCACATCTATCTTCGAAACCCCAGCGATAAATATACATGTGTTTCCGCCCTTGTCAAACAGCCCAGACTATCCGACGGAAGCCATAACCTCATCCATCAAGGATCAGATTTAGGTGGTCTTGTCCTTGTTGTGGTAGTTGACGGAGCTGTTCCAGCTGTTGGGGAGTTAGCTTGCTTGCCCTTGTCTTGGCATTTTGGGTGTGGTCGACCGAGCATGTCGACGCGCATGAGTTCAACTTACAAGATGGTCTAAATCGCATCGTATGATCAGCATATATTTAGAAAACACAAAATCCAGATAACTAACCTTGTCACCGTCTCCCCAGGGGTAGTTCTTCACCCGGATGTTCTGGTAGGGGTACTCGGTGCGCTCTTCGAGAGGGGGCATGTGGTCCCAGTGCTCCCAGTGCTCCTCCCAGAGGTTGTAGGCGGTCAGGCTGCCCAGGACGAGGGCGGGGATGACAGCACTAGAGAGTGTAAGTTATGATCTGCGGTGTTCGCTAGTCCTCGAGAGGACTCAATTGGGTCGGTTTGGTAAGCTGAGAAGGGAGGGATCGTACTAGATGGAGAGCTTGCGCCAGAGGTCTAAATCGAGTCAATTGCGTCAGCGTACCCAATTCCTGAAGGTCATTGCCCCCCCAAGCTGGGTAACAGCTCAATTGGCCCCAGACAGGAAAAAAACATACCACTGGTAGCAGCAGCGTGGTGCTTCACAGCCTCGCGCTCACGGTTGAACTCGTTGTCCACGGCCCAGGGAAACTTGCTGCCCTCGGTGCTGTTGAACCGACGCTGGACGGCAGCGCGGACGGGGGCGGAGCGAGTCTGCTGCGCAGAGCGCTGAGCCAGACGAAGGATGTTGCGTTGAGGGAACATGGTGTTGACACGGAGAGAGCAGACGTTGCCTGATTGCAGCGGTGCAGGGGAGGTCGGAGCGAGAGAGAGAGAAAGGGAAGTGGGATTATGTCGGAGGTCCGCCTTTCCGGTTAACGAAGGTTTAGCGGCCCCGTGATTTCATTCCGTCCGCGCCCATTTGTTCGGGGTGGATTATGTCAGCGCTTGATGTCAGGTCACGTGGGCATCCGTTCCGTCACGGGTGTTACGCTTTTGGGTGATGCTTCTCGACGTCAACTATTGGAGGTGTTCTTAGGGTTTGTTTTCTGAGGTTGATTCGTCGGGGTATGTTTGTCTGGATGTGATTCATTTACCATGGGGTTTCGCATCACCACCTGGAACGGTAAGTTCGTTCCCTCCGTCACATCTATATGCGCTAATGCATTGTTATAACAGTCAATGGGATCCGGTATGGTCTTCTAGCGAGATTAATCATCCGTCATGCTGAGTGTCTAGAAACCCATTCTCGTATGAGCCATGGCGAGGGAAACGCACCTTCGAGGTACGACGTCGCACCCCAAGCCATCCACTTCCACTAATGACAGCAGGCCATGTTCGACATTCTTGAAGCCGACATCGTCGTCTTCCAGGAAACTAAGATCCAACGTAAGGATCTGCGAGATGATATGGTCCTAGTGCCTGGATGGGACTGCTACTTCAGTCTCCCGCGTATCAAAAAAGGTGTGCCCTGCTTATCGCCGGTTCGCCAACCCAACTAACCAGGACAGGCTACTCCGGAGTTGCCATCTATACTCGCAATGCAACCTGTGCTCCCATCCGCGCCGAAGAAGGTCTCACTGGTGTGCTCTGCCCACCTAACTCGTCGACTCCGTTCCGAGACCTCCCCGAGGACCAGCAGATCGGCGGGTATCCGACCATGGAGCAACTTTCTCGGCTGGAGCTGGACGCCGCCACGCTGGACTCGGAAGGCCGCTGCGTCATCTTGGAGTTTCCGGCATTCGTCCTCATCGGGGTCTATTGTCCGGCTAACCGGGACGAGACCCGTGACTCCTTCCGGCACGGCTTTCTGGATCTGTTTGACGCGCGCATCCGGAATCTGGTGGCCATGGGTAAGCGCGTCTTCGTCACGGGCGATATCAACATCTCTAGAGAGCAGATTGACGCGGCGCATGCGGCCGAGGCTATTCGGAAAGGCGCCACGACGGAAGACGAGTTTGTGTCTGCGCCTGCGCGTCGGCTGTTTAATCAGCTGCTGGCCGGGGGGAAAGTCGTTGGTCCCCGCGATGAGGACCGAGAGCAGCCCGTTCTGCACGATATCTGTCGCTCGTTTCACCCAGATCGGCGGGGCATGTATACCTGCTGGGAGCAGAGGATCAATGCGCGGCCAGGGAATTACGGATCGAGGATCGACTACGTTCTGTGCAGTCTGGATATCCGGGAGTGGAGTTGTGATTCTAATATACAAGAAGGGCTGATGGTAGGTTCTCGTCTAGCATGAACGTCTCCGTCCGTCTAACGATGGCAAACCAGGGATCCGATCATTGCCCGGTATATGCCGTCTTGAAAGACTTGGTCCCACACCAAGGCGCCATGGCCAATATCCGCGATCTCATGAGCCCCTCGGGCGTGTTCCGCAACGGAGAGCGCCAGGGCGAGTACACATCGAAGCTCCTCCTGCCTCTCTCCGGACGATTGATCCCGGAATTCGACAAACGAAGGAGCATCAAGGACATGTTCACGCGGAAACCCAGCACACCAGCTGTAACTCCCAACGAAACGCCGACAACATTCACAGCCGAACAGCCCCCACAGCCACCCCAAGGCACCGTCCGCAAGCGCGTGGAAAGACCTGATCCTCCTCCGGCCGTCAAACGCACAAAGTCTACTCTCGCGTCCTCGCCCGCAGCACCCATCACGGGGCAGAAATCCCTCAAGGGCTTCTTCAAACCGAAGTCCGGTCCCTCCCCCCGCCCTCCGCTCAACTCCCCCCAAGAACCAAAAAACAACCTTCCCTCCCAACCCCACCTCCAACCCCAATCACCATCACGTGGCACCGACGCAGGACCCGACACGGTTATTGACCCCATCGCCAGCCAAGAAGGCTGGTCCAATCTCTTCGCCAAGAAGCAGCCCCCGACATGCGAGGAACACCGAGAAGAGTGCATCCGCCTGAAGGTGAAGAAGCCGGGCATCAACTGCGGCCGGGCATTCTGGATCTGTCCGAGGCCGCTCGGTCCGAGCGGGAATAAAGAGAAGGGGTCCGAGTGGCGCTGTTCGACGTTCATTTGGGCGAGTGATTGGAATCCGTAGGGTTTGATACTGGTGTTGGGTTTGTTAGTGCTGTGATTGATGAAGGATATACATGGATGGAGGGGTTTGGATGGAGGGCATGTAGATGGATGGATGGATGGATGGGGAATGCTGATGTGATACTCGGATGGCAATACCCGACGATATATGCAGAATCTGTGAGGGAATGTATTCGTAGAGTGGCGCAGAGAAAAGGGAATGCAATGATGCAGGAAGCAGCAAGGGTCTATCTATGCGTTATATTGGCAAAGAAAAGAAGGAAACACAACGATCCAGGAAGTATGTATCACGAAATCTCTGAGGGAAATGTATTCGTGCAGTGGCAGAGAGAGAGAAAAAAAAAAGGGGGGGAATGCAATGGTCCTGGGATCTATATACCTCCCAATCCAGCAGCACATGCTAACTAGCTAGCACGGGTTGCAATCCCCCTCCAATCAACCGAATTACCTCAACAGACAAAGAAAAAAATCGGGGACAGAAATAAAAAAATGAAAATAAAAAATAAAACCCCGGAGGACAACCAATTCCAAGCCTCGGTGCCTGACCTGCGTCCTGCGGAGGTCAATCCGCAAAGCTTTTGCTCGAGGCGTCAACACCAAACCCTCCGCTCCACTAGTTATGAGTGCTTGTGTTACCACACTCCCTTGATTTCTCTCTTTCCTTTCCTTCTTCGGTCTAGTTGATCGCCCTTGACTCATCTCAGATAGCTAGGTAGATGCGTTCCCGCCATGGTTACCTTGGATTGGCGTTGTCCTCGAGGGAGAGGTAACATCGTTCGACCCGTTCCTCTATATTATAGACTATTATTTACCGAGTGGGCCCTGGATAGGACCTTCTGTACTGGTGGAGGCGTAGACTAGGTTCTAGACGATGGGCCAGGATAGATGACAGACAACGAACTGTTTCTGTACGTGTGAAACGAATTCCCCCGTTCCTAGATGCTTGTGACTGCACTGACTCGCGCATTTCCATTCTGAGTCTAGTACATACGTAGACTACAATCTCCACGATGGACCAGGATAGATGACAGACCTAAATGACATACTGGTCTTACACAGTCCATGCCCGGGTCTGATTCAAAGAGGTGAGGGGAAAGAATAAAAAAATTAGCAGACAATCAAGTTTGACCCCTGTCACCAGTGATTGCCGGATCATGACCGCCGTGAACAGAAGGGGATGAAGACCACGGTCCTTCAGAAGTAAACCGGCCAGAACAAAAATAGACAAGGGAGGTCGGAGAAACATTCATGATACACCGCTATAGACCCTGGGGCGGATGTGCATGCGAAAATGGATATGTGTACAGGGGAAATGGCAAGAACGCAAACCAGCCGCCGTAAAGTCGAAGCAAAAGAAAAAAGACGAAGACATGGAAGGACAACAGGAATCTTTCCCTAGACTAGCCAACAGAGCCCCGTCATGATCAAGGGTACTCGGTCATATACTCGGAGAAATTCAGATTCTCAGGAAATAGATTATCCCGACCACTATCCTGCCGCATCTGCTCAAGCAATGTGTCGAAGGCCATGTGGTCGAACTCGAACGGCTGCTCAGGCATCGGTATGTCGATTCCGGCGAGGCCGTCGTCCACGGGCATGCACAGGGGTTCGGTATAGCCGGGTGTCGAAACGTCCGAGACTTCGTTGGTCGACATGGGGGACTTGGGGGATTTGGCAGACAGGCTCGTCTTCCGGTCCTGGCGCGACGAGGCACGGCGCTTTCTTTCGGAGGGCTTGCGAGGCGAGTAGTGGTAGTCGGGGTGCTCTTCGGCATGCTTGGTTTTTAAGTCTTCCGCCTGTTGGCGGAATTGCCTCTTCACTTCCTCGGCTTCGCTTTCTATTGTTCATTCAGACCAAAGGATAGTCTCTACCACGTACTAGATATAAGTTGTCGTAACTTTTTTTCATAAATGGTTTCAGGTTCTACAAGTCCTACATTATGCTGGCTGAACAATATCAGGTGGGGGTGGTGAACAGTATTAACGGGCCTGGAACAATAATAACAACCATTAATATAACCCCGGATATTCCCAGTAAAGTAGGATACCTGAAATCTCCCTGGCAATTATTTTGCCTCTGGACAAGTGGGTCTGTAAGTTGGAAGGTACACGGCGACACGCAGTGAATGGGCCGTCCCAAGTCTCAGTGGCATATAAAGGCGCTCCTTTGTCTTACCAGCCTCCCACAGACCCAATGTGGGACATTCAACTTACCTTTGTCTCTGCCGAAGAAACAGTTGGAGACATTTGTTTTATTTTTGAGTCCTCCTTTCCTTTCTGCTTCTTCAGCCTCTTCTTTCTCACCAAATCACCTCACACAACATCCCTCTCTCACCGTCTCCATTAACTCAGCCTGCTTTCCTCTGGCAAGATCTCAATTCTCACTCTCTTTTCATCAAGTCCTTCCCATCTTCCCCTCAAAATGGATGGTGGAATCCACCCCCTTCAGGCTGCATTCAATGCTTTTCTGATGACAATCCCCCCCAATCATCTCGAGGAGCTTTTAAAGTACATTCGAGACGCCCACCCGCCCCAAAACAACCAGCTTGTACGCCCGAACGGAAATAATGGTGCTCGTGCTGAGATGAATTCGGACAACCATCGTGGTGCTGCGGTTCCAGCTGATCCAGAGCAACGTCCTCAGTCAGCACGAGGAAGACGGGCCAGCGAAGGAAGGCGAAGACCTCTCAACAGTTTCATAGCATTTAGAAGTAAGTGGATATAACGCTACTCTTTGAATTCAACCCATGAGCTAATAGGAGAAGGTTATTACTCCACCATGTTTCCAGATTTGACTCAGAAGATAAAGTCGGGCATCTTTCGGTTCCTGTGGCAAAATGACCAGTTCAAAGCCAAATGGGCAATTCTTGCAAGAGCATACTCTATCGTTCGTGATGACCATGTAGAAGAGGTCACTTTGGAAACTTTCCTGGCCCTTAATGCTGGCTTCATTGGCATCATCCCTCCCGATCGCTACCTTGACGCCATGGGCTGGCAAATTACAGCTGATCAACAACAGTACACAATGGCTCGTGTCGGGAATCCAAAAATCAACGAAGCCGACGTGGCAACCAACTATTCCGTTGATGACATTGTCAACAATTGTTATGAGAATGACTATGTCACTGCTAGAAATCGCAGAAATAGGAGGGGTCGTGGTCATGCTCCTGTCATGGCATTTGCTGCTCAACCAAACTTGAATTTCCCTCAGAAAGACAACATTCAAATCAATGCCAATGATGCCGATGTTGCCGATGTCGACCAGCCGAACGTTGATACGGGGTTGATTTTGATTCCTCATGAGCGAGATGAAGAGGTAGCCACAGATGATAGTGGTTTGACTGTGGCTTCTGATGAGTTATTTGATTTTGCCATGGAAAATTTTGTCCAGCATGGTGTCGAGGATGTCGACACCGAAAGCATTAACGTCATTCACGATGCTGAGCAAGAGCCGGTGGCTCAACCGAACTTCAATACTGATCTCGACGACTTCAATCTTCCGGACATTCATGAAGAAAATTTGTTTTTATTCGACCCTTCCCTTCGAGCACATCTGTTTCCCTTCGATCCTGCTTCCGAGGCTCACCAATTCGACAACTTGGCTAACATCTAAGCAACGACTGTCGTTACCTTAACTGATACCACGAAAGATCCTCCTCCCCCCCCGCCTTAACGCCACGGATACGACCAATTCCCTCGTTGTACAATATGACGGTTGCTTTTATGACGTCATGTACTTTCCTCGACCTCATGAGCATACGGCACGATCACAGCTGTCCAGCATGACAACAATAGCCATCATGGTACGGTCTACGGAAGCATACAAGCGGAGCATAGCGATCAGTTTTTCTTTTTTTCCTTTTTTCTTTTCTTCTACGTTCCTCGGCGCTGGAGTCTCGCTTCTATTTTCTCCATACCCTCCGTGTATTCTTTCGTTTCTATTTGTCTATAGTACCGCACGTCTTTCTCGGCACCAGCATGGCAATTTCATCCGACTGACTCGTATCCCTCGAGTCGATATGATGACGTCGAACGTCCGTCTGGCATGATGACAAGTCCGTGTGCATTGGGATTCAACTAGCGTTTCTTGTTTATCCTTACCCTTTCGGGCTTACTTTCGGGATCTTATTCTGTTTTAATCGTCTTGTTATTTTGCTTCTGTTCATTTTTTTAACTTCCGCCCGGTTCGTTTGTTCTTGTCTTTGCTCTTGGCTCGATGGCTCTGCCTTGTTCTTTGATACTGTCGAGCAGACGACGTCGCTACAGTACTGTTACAGGCTGTTTGGAGAGATCATTTGAGTTCGGACATCAGGAAGAACAACAAAGCGATCCACCTGGAAGGGCGGTCTCGCCAATCGATGACGGGGAACTCGATCTGGGGTATTTCCTTTTCCTGTTCTGTTCATTTGTTCATCTTACAGGATGAAGACTTCTGTTCTTTGTTTCGGGAGGCACCGATCTTCACGAGATTTGCTCTATCTGGCATGGAGTTTAACTGGAAGAGATCATTTCAGTTGACTACTGTTCCTGTCCTGTTTTCTGTTTCTATCTGTTACAGTGGACATCCGAAATGGAATATATTACAAAGACGCCACCATCATACATGCCATGAAGCTATCAATGAATGTAGTAAGGACATCCAGGGGGCTGGCTTAGTGCATTGGACGTGAAATTCATATTCAGAGACCAAAAAGGGGTCAAGTATCTAGCCACATGTCAATTAAAAGAAATAAAAAATGAAAAAAAAAAAAAAAAAAGTTCCCCCATGGATGACACACCTTGGCTCTTCTTTGACCCTTCCATCTGCCTTGGCTTGTGGAAGTCGAGTGGAAACGTAGACTGACGGATGCTGCATGATGGCTGATGCTGGCTGATGGTGGCTCATCCCGACCTACCTTCTTTGTGTCTTACTTTCCCTCCTCCACTTTCTTCGGCGTCGACCTCGCCTCGTCCCGTCCTTGTCGATCAGATATTGGATGATGGATGATGGATGCAAGTGATACATGGCTCCATCGAACTCACCATTATCCCGCATCCGCTGTCATGTCCATCTGCGTCCTCGTTCTCGAACAGGCAAACTGAAAGAATGCACGAACGAAAAAGAAGCTCTCGTCGGGATTTTAGGACCAGATTGGGAAAGGTACGTCCTCTCCATCTCTCCCTGTCCCCGTTCCTTGCCCCATCTCGTGAGCGAATGAGCAAGCGAGCAGGAATATTTTACAGCTAACTGAACTTTCTTCCTCCTCCTAGATCTTCGTCGTCGAGTCACAGGAATCAGGCACGGTCATGTCATCTACGCTATCCTGTCCTACCCAACCAGCATACCGGAGGAACCGATACCCAGACCAAGCAGAGATGAGCGAATGGACGCAGACCCATCTAGGCAGACAGAAATGGACCCTGCAGGAACACACCCCTTCCAGACCAGTACCCAACAACGCTAAAGCAAGCCATCCTGACACCCTCAGACTTTGGGGCTCCCAGAATTGCGCTCCCCACTACAACCACGCCCACACGTCCGACTAAGCTAGGCTAAGATCATCATTCGGCCGAGGAACGTACCAAGGAATCAACCAGCTAACCAGCATGGATTTCTCCAGGCTACAGGCCCAACCCCACTTGATCCCCCTGATCTTCCTTCCCTCTTGCCTGTGGAGCCTAGCATCTAGCTACAGCGTCGAATCGAGACGGGATCGAGAGCGTCGAAAAGTTCAGAATTTGGAATTCAGACTCCTCAGTCTTTGACTCCCATGTCTTCTATGTAACCCCCTATGTTACATCCAGCCCTCGTCCCTGTTCGATCCAAGTCGTACGAACCGAACCACCAGAACGCTACCTGCCAATCGCAACCTCGCAGAACAAGAGGATAAAGCGGGAAAAAAGAAGTCCAGGAAGAACCCAGACCACATCCATCCATCCATGACAACAAATACACATCCATCGACACCAGACAGATCAACACCGGTCCAGACCAGAATGGACCAGACCACCTCCAGAAAACCCCGCAGATCAGACCACCCCCAGAGCCTCCAGACCATCCCCAGATCAACCTCGGCCCATACGAACTCCCTACAGTACCTGAACGATCTCGAGGACATCGGAAATAGATAGTACAAAGAGCCATCCTCCTGCATGCGTACATTCACAGGTAAATCCACGGGACGGGAAACCAAAAAAAAAAAAGAAAAGAAAAAAAAACGGCGACGTCAAAATGCAAACAAAGAAGTGTCAGCCAAGTCGCCAAGACACGGGGACTTTCAAGGCTTGGAATTGCAGAGTTTCTTTCGTACTTTTTTTTTCTTTGTTTTTCATCTTTTTCTTTTGGATGCATGTACGGATAAGCACGTGCAAATATCGGAATTAGGAACAGACTCGGTTCCGAAGTCGGAATTGAGGTTGATGTGCAGGTCTAGATCCGGATCTACCTAGTCTAGTAGGTGTGTTTGGGTGTTTGTTTTTTCGCCTTTTCGCCTTTTCATCTTCTCATCTTCTCATCTTTTCATCTTTACATCTTTACATCTTTACATATTCTCATATTTACATCTTTGAAACATTTGATCGTTCGATCGATGGATGTTGCGTAGCACAAACTAACTACATACCTCAAACCTATACCTATCAAGTACAACAGCGCAGGAGTACAGTAGTACAGGCTCTAGGACAGTAAGTAGCACAGTAGCACAGCACAGTAGCGTGGACGTGCAGTGTAACTGTGCAAGTTATCAAGTTACTACCTACCTAGATAGATAAGCCAAGTTAACTAACTAACTAAATTCCCAAGTAACTAAATAATAGTAAGTTACCTAAATCTGTGGCTGTGCGCTGTGCTTAGCAGTTTTAGCACACACTTAAAAACCCAACTAGTCCCGCTCTCTTGGCTTTCTCCTTACTCCTCTCGGTGTTAGTTAGTTAGTTACCTTACTAACTAGTAACTACGTACGGAGTAAGTTAGTTAGTGACTGGATGCCGGATAATTCATGCGAAGTGGGGAATCTGTCGATCAAGTTAATTCCGATGACTCGTGTCTTTTTTTCCTTTCTCTCTCCACCAGTTTAGCTGGTCTTGGCTGCTGATCGGAGAAATGATTACTCTATATCCAAGGGGAATTTCATTCAGCTAGTTATGATAGGCAATGGGTACAAGAAGGGAAGAAAATCGATGGGAAAGAAGAGGAAAGGGAAATATAAGGCTAGCTAGATGATGGATGAGAGGGAAACTAGGATATGAAAGACCCTCAAAATAATAGATCGCCTAAGAAAAAGAAAAAGAAAAAAATGAGAGAGATGAACTAAAAGGCAAGAACAAGGGGGAGAGAGAGAGGTGTGTGGATCAAGTATTCCACCTCATCAAATCAACCCATGGTTGATAGGATCCCCTGACCAAATACCAATTCAACTCGCCTTAATCTTCCTGGTACGAAATCTTACGCATCTCACCCAGACGCTGTCGAGCCCGCGCGAGATTATTCTCCAGTTGAAGGATTTCGACCTAGGAGTGGCGTTAGACTAACGGTTCCATCATAAAGAAACAAAGAAAACCTCCTCTTCCAGGGACCAATGGGCAACCACATTGACCCCCGGAAAAGCAAGAAACGTACCTGCTGCTCCATCTCCTGAACCTTGAACTCATGTGAGCTTAACTTGGAATAGTCGACTGCTTCCGTCTCATCCTGGTTCTTCTCCCGAATGATATCCTGCACCTGTCGTACGAGAGCCCGGCACGCGGCCCCAACGGCCTTACTGGCCGTCTCCAGTCGGTCCTGCGTCTTGCTCATGAACGTCGCCTTGACGCGACTGGCGGCCACCAGCTGCGCCGTGCTGGCCGCTACGTCGTTACTGGCAACGATCAACTGTTCCGGCGAGTTGCGTCCGGAGATCACCCCGTCGGCCGTCTCGATCAACGTGTTGGTCGACGCTGCCACGGCCTTGGCGGCCGAGATCAAACCCTCCGTCCACCGGTTGTTCTTCTTGTAGAACGCAGTGCGCGACGAGCTACCCCGCCCCTCGCGTACAATCTCCTGCTGCGAGTCGGTGGCGGCCTTGATCAGTTCGGCGATGGCGTTGGTCACTGCGATCGCTGCCTCCAGAATCCAATCATGGATGCGCAGCTCGTACGTCGAATATCCGTCACGCGGCTTGTTCTTCAGCTTGGCCAATCGCTGCGCCGCCGCGTCGATGGCATCGGCCGCCTTGAGCAGTTCTTTGTCCACCAGGTCCCCGAGGTCGCCGTTCGTCGTCAGCTTACTGCTCTTGGGCGCGAACGCCTCCACCTGCTTCGATAGGCTCTGCAGGTCCCGCTGCACCTCCAAATTGTTATTAATAACCACGTCCGTCTTCTGAAGCGCCTCCAGGCCCTCCAGCCGGAACGACTGCAGCCCCCGGAAGAAGCGCACCGTCGCCTGGGCGGACTTGCGCGCCCCGTTGGTCAGCTGGTCGGCACTCTTGTCGTCGTTGGCGAACCGAGTCAACCCCTTGGTGTTGCTGAGCACGTCGGCCACCGCCCCCGAGAACACGGAAACGGTCCGGATGATCTCGGCGTGGGTGCTGTTGGGGCCGTCCGCGATGAAGTTGTTGAAGGCCGTAGAGAACTCCGTCGCCGAGGCGGATGCCTTTTCGATCTGCGAGAGCACGTAGGGAGGCGACGCGTTCTGGTTTCCGGCCTGGTTGGAGGAGTCCAGCTCGTACAGCGCGTCGTCCACGCGTTGCACACCAGTCTGGAGCACGGAGTCGATGATGTCAGTGATCTTCGACACTGTGCTGTGCAGAACGGCATCGATCTGATCGTCCAGTTCGTTGTCGGCATCGCCTTGGTTCTACTACAGTTAGCTTGGAAAGATAGAACGCAATTTTTGTTCACGTACCAGCTTCAACTCCTCAAGTTCCATAAGAGCCTGTTCCATTCCCGATTTGTAGACCTCAATCTCCTCGTCCTTCTCGCGAAGCGCCACGTCCTGGTCACCCTGGCGCTCGGAGTTCTTGGTACTATATTCCTCCAGTGCACGGCTTTTGTTCTATAGTATTGTCAATATCACATATCCCAAACCCACAATTAAATGCTTACCCTCAGCGCTTCTTCCAGATCCGCCATCTCCCGGTTGTACTTCGACAGCAAGGTAGATATCTCCGTTCCCTTGGCGCGTTCGGCGTTTTCGGCCCGCTCAAGCGCAAAGCGGAGCTCGCGCTTCACCTTCTCCACCTCCTCCTTGTTGTTGCCGGTCAGACGATCCCGGTCGTGCAGGGCACGGTCTCGTTCGCGGATCATGTCCGCAAGCTCGAGGTTCTTGGTCTTGAGCTCACGCTCCAGCTTCTCGCGCCGCTCGATCGCCTCGTGCGCCGACGCCGCCTTGATCTTCAGGCTCTTGGTCGTCTGCAAGAGGTCAAGGTGCTCCTGGCGCAGCTGCGAATAAAGCTTGGCCAGGGCTTCGTACTTGGACCGCCAGGTGTTGACTTGCTCCTGCAGCGACCGGATCTGGTCGTCACGTGAGGCGTTCTGCATGTTCAGGTTCGAGGTCAGCTGGTTCATCTGCTCCTCCAGGTCCTTCACGCGGCGATCGTATTGCTGCAGCATCAGCTGGTCACGTTCGAACTGCGCCCGAGCGTTCAGGTTCTCCTGCTCAAGCTCCGCCAGACGACCCTGGGTCTGAGTGCTAAACTGGTCGCGCAACAGCTGCTCCTGCGCCAGCCGGGCCTGCTCGGCCTGGAGACGTTGCTGCTCCTCGAAATCATTCTGGGCCTGCTGCTGCGCCAGGATCTGCTGGCGCTGTTGTTCCTCCCACTGCTGTTGCAGGCGGCGCTGCTCCGCTTCGAATTCCTCCTGCTGGCGCTTGGCCTCGGTGGTCCAGAAGTCGTTAATTGGCTCGGGTTCGGCGGCTACCTTCGGCGGCGGAGTGGGCTCGGCCTCAATCTCCTTGGCAGGGCGCTTAGGTAGAGCGGGGCGTTCTTCATCCTCTCCCAGCAAGTTGGGAGGGTCCTGGGGCAACTTGGGAATTGTGATCAGGCTTGTCAAGTAGCGCAGGTTCGAGCATTCGTAGTAGAACCGAACCAGACGGTAATGTTGGGCATCGTAGCGGCCTCGGAGGGGCTCCAGGGCCTCGGCATCGCCAGTCGCTATACAGGTCCAACCGTTAGCTCCGAATCATAAACAGCAACCGTAGTGCGTACTTGTATGCATGGCCCTCAGCATGCTCGTAATGAACTTGTAGATGCCATAACTCTCTTGCACCAGCGGCACCAGCGACGAGATCCGGCACTCGTTGTTCGTTCCCGACTGGAAATGCGAGAAGATCAACTTCTGGAACGCATCGATCTGATCCTGCAGAGTCATGAGGTCGGTAATCGTCTCGTAACTAGTCCCATTAGCCACTCAGTTATCCAATGTAGGTTCGAATAGCACACGTACCCCTCGTTCGGATCGTTAATCGTCTTCAAACTGATATACTCCTCGTACTCGAACAGACCTATATCCCTCAGCAAGTATCCGGCACGTCAAGCACAAGAACTCCATACCATTGAACTCAGGGTGGTTGCGATGGAACGCCAGCTTGGACTCGAGGAAAAAGACGTATTCGCGAATCAAAGGACCATATCCTAGTATCCAGTCAGCAATCAACCCTCTTATAACCAAAACACAGCCACCGGCGACTCCCCCTGACATACCGCGAATACCATCACCTCCGACACCGCGCATCAAGCTGTCCACCCAATTGACATGCTGCTGAGCCTCGCGAACCACCGCCGGGTGTCCCTCCTGCAAAACCTTATGTATTGTGATGAGCGCTTTATAGGTCTGGACTTCGTCGGCGAGGACAGGCTGGCTAGACAATTTTCAAAACGTATCAGCTACCACCAAATCATGCCATTCTAGCAGCCACCTACACTTTCATTCCCGCCCAGAATGCGGCGGAGGACTTGTGGTCCCATGTATACACGATACAGCTCCGAACATGTTTACCTGCGGGAAACGGAATCAGCGGACCGACAATTCAACGAAGGTTCGAATCGCGTCGACCAAAACGGGGACAGAGAGGGAAAGGTAAAGCGAGTATTCAGGAAAGGAAGCCCATGCATACGTTTAGGAGCGGTTTCCTCTAGAAAGCGAATCAAGGTCAGTTCATCAAATCGCGCGAAATCACCGTCGTCCAACGGGCCATGTGTTGGGATGAGACAACTTACCGATGCTGGTGGCTTTGCGAATGTTAATCGCCAAATCGGCCTCCGTTCTATCCCCGGCAAGTCAGTAGACTATTCCGATATGTCTGTTTCCTCGGCGATTTCTCATCCAGCTGTAGATGCAAACGTACCGACTCATCTTGGCGGCTGCAGGCGAACTCGCTGCCGACGAGGATCAGGGGAGTGTGCGGCGGGAGCCGGTGGACCCGAATACGGACGGCGCAATTCAAAAAATCCGAGGTAGATGACACGGACGGATAGATGAGAAAGGAGGAAGGAAAGGGGAAAAGAGTGGATAGGGAGGAGACACGACAAAAGAGAGTTAAAGAGAGGCGTGATGGGGAGGGGGGAAAGAGGGAGGAGGAGCATGACGTTTGGCGGGAAAGCTGACGCCTGCAGGGCCCATCGCGGGTCTTGGCACCGCCTCCTGATCGAACCCCCGTTTGGGTCTTCTTTGGGTCGTCAACCTCGTTAGGCAGCTTGGTTCGTGTCCACAAATGTGGTTGCACCGTTGCTGCGCTTGCGTCGTCAATCTGCAAAGGCAGTTGTCTTCCGATCATGCGAAAATGGCACGAATTCGTCACAATTCTCCGGAAAACTGGGTGCTCCCTGTACTGGATATATATAGTTACCTGATCTACACACATCATAGTCGCTATACCATCGTCCTATAAGACACATAGAGGCTGTGTAAATGTCTGAATCTGATGTATCCCATTAGAGCCAATATCGCAATAATTAAACGCCCGCTCCAAATACATCTGTCTGTTCTGCCAGGATATCACGGCCAGTTCGCAAAAAGAAATTATCAAGACTAGAACACCGACTCGCCCCCTTCTATATACTCCATGAACCCTCGACACCCACGTCTTTCATCGTCTCCGTCACGGAAGGATCCCATCGGTTGCCGATAAGATCTCCATCCCATGTTTCCCATGGCCCAGCGAATCGTGATCTTCTGTTTCCTGATCATGTTTCTCGACACTCGGAGCGTCCGTCTGCGTCTCCTCCGATGAGGGCGAGTGCTCCTTCTTTGGCTCGGGCAGGTCCACTTCAGGGGTCACGTCGACGGCCGGACTATTAGGCGTCGAATCGTAGGGGGCCTCGACAACCAGGAGTTCATCCGGAACGTTGTCGCCGTCTTCCGGGTTGAAGACCGGCTTGCGTCGGGGGGGTAAAGGTGGCTTTGGAACGGGCCTCTTGTGTCCGTCTTCGGTGGATCCGTGTGAGGTATCGAGGTGAACGGGTTTGCGCTTCGGCGCTGCAGAGGCATTCCTCTTGAAGGCATACCTCGCGGGGGATGGCAGCGGAGTGCCTGGAGGAGGGAGAGGATGGCCGCGCCCGATCGGTTCCTCCGGGGTGCCGGCAGGACGAGGCGCCTCGGGTTGGTTGTTGTGCTCGCTCTTGCCAAACATGTTCCAGCCCCATTTCTTGGCCACAGAAGTTGCCGTTCCGATCGAGATCGGTCCCGAGGCCCTGTTGTCCGAGGATGCAGACGTAATCGATTTGGTCAGGGTCTCGAAGGTGGTGCGTCGCCGCGGTTTACTGCTGTTGTTCAAGGATGTAGTAGAGCTGCCGCCGCCATTTCTGAGGTTCAGAGACGAGTCGCTCGCTTTGTGTTGAATGGAGGAAGACCGCCGCGGCGAATCATTGCTGAGGTCCCCAACGCTCTCGATGGATTCGACGATCGACGGATCCCGACTCTGTGCAGCGGCGCTGTCGGGCCCAAGTTGGCTGTCTGCAGGCGGCGAACCGTTAGGCGTCCTGGTCGGCGACGACGGTGGTGACCGGCTGGTTATTTCGATCATGGCACTGGTGGCGCTACTTTTCTCGTCATTCCTGCCGTCGTACGTAGCCTTGTCAATGTTCACGTTGTCCGCCGTGAGCACCGGGTCAGCGGCATGGGAGAAGGTCTGGGATCGAATCACCCGGGGAGGGGAGCCGCCAGCTTTCTCCATGGCGGAAGTTAAAGCACTGGTAGCATGACCCAAATTCTCCTTGATGGACCCTTTGGAGCCCTTGCGAGACTTTAGAGCCTCGGAAGGTATGGGCTCGGAAAGTGTAGGTGCACTCATTGTACGCTCGTCCTTTGCTTTCAGCACGTCGATCGAATCCTCCTTGGGACCAGTTGTTTCTTGAGGCTGTTCGCCAGATTCATCAGGTATATCCGTCTTGGACTCAGGCTTTGGGATGTCCCGCTGCCAAATTCCTCCACGGAAACGCTGCGACAAGGTATCCAAGAACGGCACGTCGTCCCAGAAAGGTTGGACGATACTCTCTGCGACAACCTCGCGGATCCGGCTCTCGATGGTACGTAAAATGATGCCGTATGTAATTTGCTTCGAGCTGACGATAGGCTCAATGTCCATCACCATGTTCGGCATGGACTCGAACGAAATCCAGGCACGGTTGCTGGGCGGGGGCTTGAAGCGGATCAGCAAGTGACCCTCGAGCTTTTTCAGCACGACAGCCAGAACGATGTCGACCTCCCTGGCCTTGAACCGTTGACCCAAGTCGATGCGCACCGTGGCGGAGATTTCCACGCGGAAATTGCCTGTATACTGTACGTCGGTTTCCACACAGCAATTGCCGTCCACTGTCAAGTCCTTCAGCCTCGGGTTGATGATGAACGGAGCTCCTTCGCCCATGTCGATCCGTTGCAGGCCGATCCGGCTGATGAAATTGGGTTTGTTGACTCGAGAGATCTTTTTCGTGATTTTCTTTCGAACAAACTCCTCCATTTCAGGCGTCTTGTACATTGCCAGAAACAATCGACCCAGCACGGCGTTGATCCACCGAGTCTGCAGCTGTTCCTCGGAGGAATGCAACCGCTGAACCAGGGCAACAATATGCTTCGTTTCGAAGGATTGATGCTTGGGCGGACCGTCCGACGAGTTCCCCATTCGAGCCTGATTCTGAAGCATGGCGAAATAGAAATCCTCCTTCTCCGACAAATTCTCAGAGAAGAGGTAGAACGGTGGGGTCGGTCCGCCGAGGTCTGCCAGCGATTCCAGCCGCCGGGTGAGAGAGATGGCATTCCTCTTCAGCCACAACTCCCCCTCCTGGATCTCCCCCTCCCCGCCGTAGATACTCACGTCATGGTGGGCGAGGGAGATGACATAGCGCACCTCCACCTGGTGTTCATCGTCATACAGCATCAAGTGACCGTGCCTGTAAGTATGACGGCGCTTATCAGCCAAACTCGGAATTGTGCCAAGAACAGAAAGGAGAGAAACCATACCGCAAGACAATAAAGAAGACATTCCGCGCCCGTTTCCCGTTTCTTCCGTTCGCTTTGGCCGGCTCGATGGTGGGGGTCTGCTTGCGGTCGAACAAACTCCGGTACATAGTTTGGTAGACGCTGGGGCTCTCCGCGGCGATCACCTCGCCGGCCGGCGTGGTTCGTTCGGGAGGCTTCCCATTGACTCCACCAGGCACATATTCACGACAGACGGCGAAGTATCCGGCCGCGACATCGGGCTCATGGGTGCGGTGGAATTTGTCTGCCAATTCATCGGTGCCGGACTTGAGACTGAACTGGTCGTCGGTGGGACGCCGAAGGGGGTCGTGAGGCTGGTCGCATGGCTTGTCGGCCGGCGGTGGGGGGGATCGGAGGGTCAAGTACGCATGGAGGAAGAGGAGTAGCAGGACGAGCGGGATGAAGGTGAGTCCCCCAAGGATGTAGACGAAAAGAAATTTGGCGAGCAAACCCATTGGGAAGTGGTCGGATCAAAGGTGCAGCAACGAAAGGCCCATCCTGGAGGGAGGGTGAGACAAAGCAGGAGGTTGGTTGGTTGGTTTGCTTAGTAGGTAGGTGTACGGTGTACTCCTATGGTAAGACAGATAGTGAGCAGTAACGAGGAAAAGTAACTGGGGAGGTCCTGCCCGGATACAGCACCAGATGAGACCAGCTCTTCAGAGAGACGGAGAGAGAGAAGAAGAAGACAGGGAGAAGATGGAAGGATGACGGGGTCTTGTGCAGCAACAGCAGGTCTGGTCAAGTACCTGGAAGTACCCCGTTTGTACCTCCGATGAGACCGCCCAATGATTTCATGCCGCTGCCGAACCATCCGTCATTTCCGGGCCGGAACAATATCATCCCGTCGGCTTTGGACCCTGACCGCCCTGTACTATCAGGTATTATAGTTTACCGTACTGTACTTGGTAGCTGGCAGAAGCCTCGGCCGTACCGCGGAGGTACCCACCAGGTACTCTGTTTGAAACGGATTGATTCATGATTCATCCCTTTTCTATAATTCCTCTATAGGACCTGCTGGGTAGGTAGCTCTCCTTTCTAGACTATGTACACCCAGACTGAGCTGTTTATCACGGAATACCCAATTGCACCTCGGACTTCTATCCCCTGTATAAGGGAGAAGAAAGAAAGAAAAAGAAAAGAACAAGGATTCCCAATCACCCATCCCGACACAAACCAAACTATAGAACATTGGACAGGGTCGAAGTAATAAGGAAGAGTAAACATAGGCACAAACTGGCACGAATACAATGGTACAGATAGAAAATAGTGGTGGTACATTGACCTCGTTCGAAGAAAAAGTGTCAATAGAGGAGAGGTTTCTCACTCGGATAATATTATCCATGGACTCTGCGGTATCCCGTCTTAAGTCGTGGTCTCGCATATGGTCAGGCAATTCGTCGAGTCGGATTTATTTCCGTCGGTTCATCGTCTTCTCGCACATCTGGATAAGACCGGCCTTCGCTTCGCTATCGGGGAATCCGCTGATGGCCGCAACAGCCTTGTCGGCGTACTCCTGGGCCAGGGCACGTGTCTTGCCCACGCCATCACTCTGGAAAACGAGCTCACGAGCCTAAACGAAGGTCGAACTAGGTTAGCCTCACGTAGTCACAAGCATCGACTACGCTAACCAAGAGTCAGGGTCAAAACTTACCCGTTGCACATCGCCCTCCCGGCTGAACTTGCGGCCAACCATCGAACCCAACTCCGGGTTCTCTTTCCAAGCAAACAGAAGCGGCGCGGTTGCAAGTCCCAGCTCCAGATCCGCTCCGGCAGGTTTGCCCAGCTCGGCGTCGCTGATCGAGTAATCCAACATGTCGTCCACAAGCTGGAAGGCTAGCCCCAGGTTCCGTCCGTACAAGTACGCGGACTCGACCACCTCGGGCGATCCGTCACCCAACAGAGCGGCCGCACGGCAGGACTTGCTGATCAAGCTGGCCGTCTTCAAGTATGTCTTCTGCAGGTAGTACGAGATGGTTTCGTCGGTGAAAACAGGGTGTTTCTCGTCGGCGGCCGTGTTCTTCAGTTGCATGAACTCTCCCTCGACAAGGTTTGCGATAACGGTGGCCAGCAACTCCGTCACCTCCGGGTCACGCAGGCGCGCCAGAGCGACGGAGGCCCGGCCCAATAGGAAATCTCCGGCCAGCACCGCCATTTTGTTTCCGAACTGCAGGTTGGCGGAACTAGAGGACCGACGAGTGACCGCATTGTCAATGACGTCGTCGTGAAGAAGCGAGGCGGTATGGATCAATTCGGTGATTTCGGCCAGCCGTCGTTGAGTAGGCAGGATGTTCTCGTCGCCGGTAAAATCGTATTGGCCTTCAGCAGACGATGCGAGCGGGTTGAGGTCGGGGTTCGTATCGGCGAGCACGGCGGAGGAGCTAATGGACTCGTTCACGGTGTTCGAAGGCGCGGAGGTCGCCCGGCCATTTCGAGGAGTCAACGCCGTCGCCTGGGACATCAGCAGCACCAGCATGGGGCGCATGTGTTTTCCCTCGCTCTTGGTGTAGTACTTAGCCACCTTATCTAGTGTGGGATGGCCAGATCCCAGCAATTGGCGAATATTCTTGGTCAAAAACTTGAGTTCTTTTCCCACGATCCTCAACGGGTCGACCGAGATCCCCGGCGGTGCCTTTGGTAGGCCCTTGAAGATCGTTTGGGCCGCGGAGACGGCGGCCCCAAACGGCGAGGCGGATTTCCGACGTGTGGGATGATACTTGCGTGTCTGGAGGTTGATTTGATTCGAGAAAAGATCATTGCGAAGGCATTGCCAACAAACTAATGCCGAAGGCGGGATTCGTGCAGCATGCACCAGCCCGGAGGCCGAAACGGCTCGAGCTTTCATATTCCAACAATGGAACAATTAGGGGGTAATGGATAGATTAGGAAGACATAAGAATGGAAAATAATTCAGGTATATAGTACAGAAAGGAATGGAGAAAAGCAATGGTGAATAGAGAAAGAAGGTTAACTCTGGCAGATCCGAGCGGATGGACGGCGGAAGTGAGAAGCCGCAAATTATCGACGGCCAAAAGAATTTCGACCGGCGGAGTTGGACTCGGGCCGGAACGGGAAGGCTGGACCATGTCAGTATCAAGTTTATCAACACACCTTGTTTATCTTTTCTCTACATCATCATCTTCCGTTCTCTTCTCGTTCTGTCTGTTATCTTTTCTATTCTTTCCTCAAAATGATTAGAATACTGCATTATACAATAAACGAAATTGATGGCCCTAGTCTAGATTATCGACGGAATTCAAGAAAGCCAGCAAGACAAACCCGACAAGCTGGACGGAAGCATCTACAAAACGACTCGGTCCTTCAACATTCAAGGTAGAAAAAACCAGTATTTGGTTTATATGGGGAACAAAGACATGCAAAACCACGCCGGCAAGCTCAATCCTGCCTTTCCCCCTCAAAGTACACACCCGAACAACAATAGAAAATGAAAACTTGCAGATAACGCACACATACACAGAAAAGTCTCCGTTGTCAACCCGTAATTCGAAGGGAGATGGCAGGATCCAGGTTGCTGAGTGATTATGATGATCTTCGGACCGATTAGATGGCATCGAGATCACCCCCAGCATCCTCGTCATCCATGTCTCCTTCCTGGATCTCCTTCGCCAACTCCCGCTCCCGTTCCCGGGCCTCCTGTGCGCTCTTCAACTCGAGACGGTGCTGGTTCATGGGGAATCTCATGGCCTGGGAAGAAATCGGTCAGTAGGCGTTCGAAGTTGAGAAGAGATCGGTAGTAGTAAGAGGGGCCAATGGCCTTTAAACTCTTTCGGGACATACCTTGACACTTTCATCGTGGAGAGCCAAGCAGGCTTTGATACGCTCGTGGAATACCTCGCCAGGCTCCCGAGTGGCGTAGATATCACCGACTTCCTTGCTCTTCATGAACCCTCGCTCGTGGTCCAGACTGGCCTCGATGACACCGTCTCGGATGGCTTTGGCGACAATGTACTCTGCCGACTCTTCACTGTCCAGTCCCAGTCGAAGACAGATGTCTCGTAGGGAAATGCGAGAGTACGACAGCGACATCATACGGATACCGGTCTTGATCACATTCTGTCGCAGACGCAGGATGAGCGTGTAGGTGCCATCTTTCCGGAACGTCGCGCTGTGTGTGTTGACGATGTTCAAGAACCCATCCAGGTCACCCACGCTGACGGCCTGCACCAGTAGAAAGTAGGGGTGCATGGCGCGCTCGAGGGCGGCCTGGCGGAAAATGGCTCGGTCGGGAATGTCTCCCATGAGAAGCTCAACCACCACCAGCAACTTGTGAGAAGCTTGGTAGAAGCCACGCGCAACGTGACTCGACGGCGACTTCCGAGTAGCACCGATCAAGTGTCCGTGAGCATCGGTATACTGCAGCTGGATGGCACGGATGCGACCCAGATAGTACAGGTACCGGGCAATCTGGTTGTTGGATGCAGCGGTGGGGAAGCGGTTGTGAGAGATGAGCAAGTCTGCCTGCGAGATGTGAGATGTAGACAGGTAGTTACGCAGCAGCAATGTCATCACAGTAGCCTGGGTGTCGACATCCTTGCGAAGCACGGCTGTCCTCAGAGCCCCAAGCAGCGGCTGGCGGATCGAGGTGACCGTAGCGGCAGGAGATGGGGGGAGAGGTGCAATCTGCTCAAAGAAGAGAGAGTAGTAAAAGTACACGCGAGCGGCCAGCGAGTCGAGAGTGCGGCGGTTGATGGTCCGCAGACGCTCGATCAGGTTCGTGGAGAACTGGGCGCCCTTCTGAATCTCCTTCCGATCGTAAAAGTAGATCTGGACGAGTATAGATAGATAGGTATCGATCTCGGGCAAGATCTCTTTGGGAGTCGACTTGGTTTTCTCCAAATCGACCGCCATCTTGGAGCTATCCGACGATCCAAAAGCACCCGCTTGGTCAATCGCCTCGAGCAAGAAGGACGCTGTGGAGTTGGAGGAGGGATAGGTCTCGACTATGATTTCCGCCAGCACATCGGAAGTGATGTGCTTGCGCATGGAAGATATCGATCGTAGGACACGCAGGGTAAATCGAGGATCGAAATGGGCGACGGCACGCTCGAGGAGTGAGAAGTTGGTCTTGATATCTGCAGTCGATCGAGGCGATATGTGATTAGCGCATTTGATTGAGTTGCGCCCCCGGGAGGGAAGCAGTCAAGGGGAAAAACTGGGGAGAAACCCACCTTGGATAGCCTTGGTCTTGGGGTCAACCTCGGATTCGGGATTCTGGGACTCATCGCCCTCGGCACCCTCCATCGCGACATCACCTTCCTGGTCCTGGCCTTTATCGCCGGATAGCCTCGAACCCTTGGTGGGGGGCACTACAACAGTCATCTTCTCGTCACCTTGCCGATCCTTGCTGGCGTTGAATGAAGATGTAGGCCCACCTGCCGTATCCTCTCCCATCTCCACGTCCTCGACGCCATTCACGCCATTCTTCGTCGGATCGGAGCCGTTGGTTTGCGGCTGTTCTCGTTGTTCGCCCATCCCGGAGTTGGACGCGCTGTTGTTCGATGAAGCAGCTTTGGATGACTTGGCCTTGTTGGCAGCGGCGCGGGTAAGCGCGGGCTTGTCCTTGTTGGAGCTTGAGCTCTGCGAGGTAGAGCGACCCTTGTCACCGTTAGCAGACGAAGAGGTATCTGACTTGCTGTTCGATCTCAAAGAACGCCTCTCGGCCGGCATATTTCCGATTAGATGTATTGAAGGAGTCTTCTTTATTTCTTGTTCCCCAAGTGCGAGCTCAGCTAAGCAACGAGGACCGCGGGTACCGGAAACAGAAGAAGGGGGAGAGAATTGGAGACCAGAGCACTGGAAACAATCCCAAAGGAGCAATAAAAACAGGGTGTAACTAGGGGAGGAACACTGGGGAGGGATGAGATGATGGAAAAGATGGGTTGTGTAGAAGGGTTGGGGGTGATGAGGTGGTGATGTGATGTCAAGGTTGGTTTGGGAATGAGACGCAAGAGAACCAGCGCAGCGAGGAGCTTAGTCAGGAAGCGGCGAGTTAAGAGAGAGCTTACCTCAGGTGAACGGGTCAGCTGCAGACCGGATGGAAAGGACGGGGGGGAGGCTTGTCTGGGCGGATTGTCGGGGATTGGGAAGCAGAAGTTGATTGAGGACGAAGTTGTACACCGTAGCGGTTCTCTCTCTCGTACAGAAGTATCCGTTTGATCCTTGTCGCTGCGGTTGCCACTGCAGAGGGCGAAGGAGAGGGAGAAGAAGTCGCCGACGCCGCGAGAAGGTCATGGATCACCCCAGGGGTGCCTGAGGCAGTGGGAAGCTGCCGCACCCGGGTCTTGGCATTGTTTATCCGTTTGTTCGTCCCTCTTACTCAGACAGGTCCAGAGTACAGACAGATTCCCCCTACCATCATTCCTCCTTAGCCATGTCGCTTCTCGACAGTCATCTGGAGCAGATCGCGCTCTCGTCCCAAGCCATTGCAGACCTCCCGTTTGTGCCACCATCCTATGCGCAGTTTTGCCCTCGTCCCGCTAATCCTCAGACAGATTCCCCCCACCTCGCATCTTCACCAACGCTTTGCTCGGGTCCCATGACATTACGGCACTGATTCGCGATACAGAGGCTCATGAGCGAGCTCTCTTCCAGACCGACCCCTCCGTGAAGTCCAATCCTGCGCAGCGACGAAGCACGCGGCGTGGCACCACATTGCCGTCGGAAGCGGAGGGGGAGTCCATGGCCAGTCGCATCTACTCGGCCAGAAATAACAAAAACCAGTCGGCCGTTGCCAGGGTCCTCGGATCTGACATGATGGAGGAGATCAAGCGATCGACCGGTACTTCCAGCCGGGGAACCCGTAACGAGGTCAACCTCGACGTGCTGCTTCGGGGGGCGGAGATCCTCTGTGGTGTCTAGTAAGTGACTTTTGATCCGAGTCCCAGCAAGTTCCACCTAACCGCCGACTACAGTCCTGTTCCAGGGGCACAAGAAAAGATTACCAGCCTCCGATACCGTCATGAATTGATAGCAGAGTCCATTCTTCAATTAGAAGAGCGTGTCGCCAAAAACTCGACTGAACTAGAGCAAATGAGTCACTCATACGGAAATGAGTATGATGACTACGATATGGCCCCTGCTGCACAACCCGAGACGGCCGACGTCACTGACGCCGATATCGAGCGCGAGATGGAAGAAATCAGAGAACTGGAAAGGAGAAAAAGAGTCTTGGAGAATCGTGTGCACGGAATGGAACGCGACTTGGGAGAGCTGATGGGGTAGAGGCTAAACCTCATCAGCCATGGTATATGGCTGAGACTCTGTCAGAAACCGGGGAGGTCGGCTGATTAGCGCGACACCTCACGTTCTGGTTTCGACGTTGAAAGAACCACCACGATGCTCTGCGGCCAAGGCTCCCATGGCCGATACTCGACGACAGTGCACGTGAGCTCCGGAACCGAAACCGACGCCGCTGCAAGTGAGCAAACTTCGAGTCAATAATAAACTGCAGACGATAACAAGCTTCACTTCGCTTAGCACAGGCGTACACTGCGTACGGGGTCTGTATGCAATACGAGCGGGCGTCAGCTATACGGCTCTCGTCCCCCTCGGTGTCTTAGTGCTTGAGGAACGATTGGAATGGAGGTCTATTTCTGGGGAGGTCTTCATGGTAGGGTGGGATCTTGGACTTTGCATGGTCTGTTTCATTTGAGAGGTCAATGCCTTACAAGTGACTACTAGCTCAGTGAATCTTGATTTACATGGAATAAACAATGTGGTGTTGATAGAGGCACACCGAATTCACTTTCAATTGACAAAACAATACCCTTAGAAACAATAGAGATTCTCGACTTACTTTGACCTCAGCCTCATCTGCCATGTTCATAGTCCCGATAGTGACACGGATGCCTAGGTGCCTGACGCCAAGACTGCGGCTCCGCGGACCATCGATTCCTGCTCGTTCCATCCGTCAACCTTCCCATCCTTCTCTCTCCCGTTGTCGGGGACAAGCTGTGTTCCATCCAGTTGTATCTTCTGTTCTTTCATTTAGCCTCCTTCGAAACCCCGGGACACCTCAGTCGAGAAGCTTCTCTCGACGGAACTGGTCGCAACGGCACGCTACTCGCTAGTGCGCATCCCCAGCCCCCCATCGCGGAAAGTTATCCCAAGTTACCTCCTCGCTAGCTTCCTATTAGCCCGTCACTCGACCGTCACTCGACCGTCATTTCCGACAAACTCGGTCGCTTTCATCACAGGAAACATGGACGGCAGTCAAGTTCCAGCACAGGCCCCGCCGCAGCCTATGATTCCGCAGCATTCGAACCTTATCCGCACCGACCAGGTGCAGAAACTACCGCATCTGAACGACCAGCAGAAGACTCAGCATACGCAGCTCGTGCGCAATTTCTGGGAGGTCCTGAATAGTCGAGATCCGAAGAGCTCCGAATATCAGCATGCCCATACCCGACTCACTCAGATATCTCAGAATCTGATGAAGGGCATGCGGGCCTTTCAACAGAATCGCCAACTACAGCAGCAGCAGCTCCAGCAGTCAGCAGCGGCGCAGGGTGGCCAGCCGGTCGCCCGTGCGCAGTCGGTCAACCCTCAGACGTTTGCCCAGCTTCTCCCTCAAATCCAGCAGAAAGTCAACAGCCTGCACTTCTTCCTCCCTCCGAACATCAGCCACGAGCAGGCGCAGACATGGCTTCCGGAAGCCAAATTGCGATACGGAATCGCGCTTCAAAAACAGGAGATTGGCCGGGCGCGAGCCAACGACCTACGTCAACAGTTCGCCCAGCGACAGGCATCCGGAAGTCTGTCACAAGACGATCTGCAGGATTTCAAGACTCGACAGGTAGCGGCGGAGAAGCTTTACCGGGAGGGCGGTGACTTCTTGACCAAATTCAAGGAGCAGCAGGAGAATTTCAAGGCGCAGACCCATCGAACGGGGGTGCAGAATGGCTCAGGTCCTACGCCAGGTCCGCCTACTGCTGCGCCGGCTGCCGCGCCGAATGCAGGTCCCGCCGGACCAGCAAATGCCCCTAACACGCTGCATCCCGGACAAGCGCCAACGCCTGCGCCTCATACCATCACCTCTGCGGTGAGCGCTGCCCGCAATCAGGCTGGGCAGGTGTCGATGTCCCCATCCACTTCTCAACAAGGTCAAACACCTAATGGCCAAGCCCCGGGTGCTGTTCCTGCTGTCCAGGGTATCCCTCCGCAGCAACCACCTCAGCAACCGCAGCCTGTGCAAGCCCAGTCACAGCAGGCCACCCCGGCATCACAGGTCACATTCACTCAAGTGCCTGGTCTGGATGGTTCCACTCCCACCCCTACATCCACACAATCAGTCACCGTGCAAGGCCCCCCACGCCCTTTGTCCCAGCAGGCTGCGATGGCCCAGGCCGCTCAGAACTATTCCAACAGCAATGGCAGTAGCACTCCTCCGAATACGATGAATCAGCAACAGCCCATGACGCAAGCTGTGAATAATTCTCATGCGCATCCCCAAGGCTACATCCCCAATCGGTCCACTGAAAATTCCGCACGCAATATCAACATGGCTATTCCCAAGAACTTGAACGTTCCTCCCCCTGAGCCAGTCAATATGGCACCCTCTCGGCCAACTTTATCCGGGGGTCCCAGCCACGGGGCGATGGGTATGATGGGCCAGCCTGCGATCCAGAAACATCCTGGCTATGTGCTTGAAGGTGAAGGCCAGCGCGTACTCAGCAAGAAGATGCTTGATATCTTGGTTCGCCAAGTCACTGGAGGGGGTGAAGGCGAGGGGCTTACCCCAGATGCTGAAGAGGTATGCTTTTAAGGTCAATCCGCGCCCTTACATCAACTAATTCCTATTTAGTTCATCATTCAAATGGCTGATGATTTTATCGACGACGTCATCACCGCCGCCTGTCGTCTCGCCAAACTCCGCCCCTCGTCTACTCTCGAGATGCGTGATATCCAGCTCGTCCTCGAGCGCAATTACAACATGCGCATTTCCGGATTCTCCACCGATGACCTCCGCACTGTGAAAAAGCCTCAACCCACTCAGGGGTGGACTCAGAAGATGTCCGCCATTCAAGCCGCCAAGGTCACCCAAGGCAAAGCCGAATAATTTTTTTTGTCATTTCTTTTCTGTTCAGTTCAAATCTTGTTTTCTGTCGGGCAATTCAACAATATACCAGTCAGTGATGGGTTACGCTAGGGTGCAGGTTTTTTTCTCTTCCATTATTCTCTTTCTCGTCCATGCTTTGAATCCCCTTTCAACTTCGTTTCACTAACTATTCCCCCTGAATCTTGTTTATCAACCCGATCCTCTGATATCTTCTCCCCAAATTGACAATGGAAAATGGGCGTTACGTGGCGTCTTCCCCTTGTGCTGTCTATTTCCTCTGATCCACGTGAAAATAAATGATGGAGTGGTCTGTCTGCATGTATTTTGGCGTTTCAGTTCTCCTACTTGTCGAGTATATTTTTTTTTTTCTTTTAGAATGGTGTATTTTGACGGTTTCACGTTGATACTGATCTGATAACTCCTGGCAACGGCAATGAATGCTACGTTTATATTGAATAACTACCTAGCGACTCACATTCCTCCTTGTAGAGCCTATAGTATCTATAGAACATATAGTACCTATCTAGCTTACGTTTACTTACCTTGCCTTCCTAGATCTTATCCTACCTCACCTTCCCATTATTAGTTACCGACTGCGAGTCCAACTAAATCGAGTCCAAAACCAAGAAAGAATAAGATCCGATCTGAATCGAATATGCCCTAACAGACAGACAGGGCAGACAGATGAGACAGCAACATATCAGGAACATGCATAGATAGCAGGGACTTTTTTTCTCTTGCTCTTCCCATTTCGATCCCTATTTCTAGTGTTAGACCTAGCTGTAGTTCTAGTTGAAGTTCAAGTTCAAGTTCTAAATCTACTTGTAGTTCTTGTTCTAGTTCTAGTTCCTTTCTGGGCTATTCTATCCTATTCATCTTTATTCCTCACTTGCTTGCTTGCTTGCTTGCTTGCTCATTCCACTTCCTTACTAATATACATACATACATACATACATACATACACATCTATTTACTTCCTTCCCCAAACATAGACATACACACAATCGGTCTAAATGTCACTGATTCTTTAGTTTAGCTTAGTCGCTTTAGCTACTGTACCTACCTACCTACCTACCTACCTACCTATCTATAGAGGTAGGTAGGTAGGTAGGTAGGTACTCTGTCTATTTGTCAAGGATGGCTAAATATGCTTGCTATTCAGGTGGATATAGATACCATTTCTAGGATAGAATGGAATCAACCAAAATATTTGATGTGTTGATACGTTCTATGGTCTGGTCTATGGTCTCCTCTCGTCGTCCTGCTGTTACGGAAAAGGGCCCTCCCTTCCTTCTCCTAAACTACACTTACAATAAAAGAGTGGGAACTACTAAACAAGAATAGATGGTATCAATTCTCTAGCAGGTAAGGCAGGTAAGGCAAAGGTAGACATGCTTTGCTCGCTGTACTTCTTTCTATCAAACAATCTTCTAAAACAGAAATCAGGCAAGAATAAGGGAGGTACAAACAGATAGAAGGACTAGACAGGATTCACAAACATGGACATAATTAAGTCGCTCAAACCTGCTCACGACAAACGATGCTTTCGCTTCTCCCGTTCAAATTATACAACAGAGAATAGAAACAGTAATGCAAGTGATGGCAAACAATATTGGGTAGACGAGGTGATGTGAGTAGGTCAGACGAAGACGCAAGGAAATGAATATCAAACGGGAAACAAAAAAAAAAAAAAAAAAAAAAAAAAGAGAAAAGAAAATAGTGAGTGTAGGACAAACCAAGGAAAGTATAATAAATCAGAGAAGAGAGTGAAGTGCGGTCGACGCGTCGACCACTAATATAGTAGCTGGACTCGAAAACAGATAAGGAAATGATAGATGTGGTGTATGTAGTACAAGTAGCTAGGGCCGGGACGACACCACTAACCCATGTGATAAAGAGAGATGTCTCAACAATCAAGGAGATCTACACCCCTTGAAATATCGAGTAAATTGGCCCTAATATGGGCAGACGAAAGGACAGACGAAAAGGAAATAGCGAGTCCCCGCAGGTCCTCAAAAGATAGTACACAGGATCAAATACTGCTTGCCAGGTTGTATAAAGGGTGACCAGGAGCGAAAGAAGGTGTTTCGTGGACAGTGTGACGCTTGACCAAGACGAATTCAAAACCAAAGCTGAGAGGGATATCAAGTGGACAGAGATAGATACCGAGAAGGGCGATAGGTGCGCCCTGGGAGAAAGAGAAAACAAAAAACAAGAAACTCACATCAATCGTGGTAACATCAACACTATCACAAGAGTGGTTTCCGGGAGAAACAGGTGGGGAGAAAGATGCATCGCAGAATTAGGAAGCCAAGAATCCGGGGCGCCAAAATGTGTCGGTGGGCAAGCAGAGCATGACCGGGTACGAGGAGTGGGTATCATGAAATCGACCAATTGGCCATCCTGACGAAGAAAGGTCGAAGATGGTCTTATATATAAGGCTTTGGAGGGGAGACTCGATTCTAAGCCACCGCCTTGCCTTTCCCGCCGAAACCAAAAGCGTGGTGATGATGGTTGGGGGGATGGTTAGGCAACGGCGGTAGATCTTTCTCTGGTACTGGCGACGGGCCTTGTCGGCTGTGTTGACTTTGACCGCCAACACTGCTGGCCTCGCCGGCCTCGTCCACAATGGGTAGCGTCGATGCAGGGACACTGCCGCTGGGGTCGGCCGGATCCCGCACAGTCGACAACGTTCGGGGGTTAGCTATTGTCACATCTTTAGCCGCCTCTTTCTCAGCCGCCTGCATTGTCCTTTCAACGGAAGACGAACGCTGTTCCGATACCCGAGACTCCCGGTGTCGCTCGGCCTCCTCCTTCGACATGGTGATACCCTTGATGAAATGGATGAACCGATCTCCGTAACCCACCGGCGGAACTGGAGAGATTTGCGACCGATCATTGGAGAGCCCCTTGAAGAAATGTTCCAATTTTTTCACGGTTCCATACTAGAGCAGCGGAAGATGGGATCAGCAATTGAGGCTCAAATTTCAGAACAGTGGTCAAACTCACGTGGGTCAGGCAATCAATGATCCCAAGGTAGTAGATCTCCTCTCCGGGTTGACCGTTCTCATGGGTCGCGCGGAATCCGCCATCGTCGGAATAGAAAACATGGAACTTGCGTTCGTCAAGGATCTCCTCCGGCATCTTCGCCGCGGCCCTGTCTAGCGGCACCGGGCGTTCTCGTTTGAGAGACAGCCGCAACTCGCGCGCCTTGCGCTCACTCTCCAATTTGGAAGGTGTCCGCATTAGCATGTTGGGCGCTGCCTCTTCTTCGCGGTCACCTCCGGGTGAAAAGACTTGCAAGGTCTTGTCCCGGAGCCTCTCCTCGTTTCCGCGTTCGGCATCGTGGATTCCCACCAGAAGAGAATAATCCATGATTCCGAGCCGCTTCAGCAATTCCACATCTCGCTGAAGCTGCGCCAGGAAGAATTCTCGTTTGGACGGGCCGCACTGAAGTTGTCGGTTTCTCCGAACCCAGTTCAAGTCCTTCAGGGTCGCTCTGGGGTTCTTTTCGAGGTCATCTTCGCGCAGGTCACGGCCGATGGTCGATCCTTTCAGATCGAATGTTTGGTGAATATCCCGATGGGGCGGAAAAAGGTTGTTCATCACGACGAAGTGGATCTTCCGGCCATAGGCCATCTTAACGCGGTGGAGGCCATAGAATTGGGATATGAGGGTGTTCGGGTTTTGTTCGACGTGCTTGTAGTATTCGGGAAGGATCTTGCGTAATAGTTTATGTTCCGAATGGTGGATCGTTTTGATGATATACTTGTAATCACGCGAAAAGTAGAAGAAACTTCCACTTTTTCCGGGCGAGCCCAGTTCTGACAGAATATACTTGCTGGTGAGGGACATCAAATAGTCGGCGGGATCGATGCGGAATTTCGTTCGCAGACTCCGGAAAACCCACGGCGCGTAGTCTTTGAACTTGAAATCGTACTTGGCGGAGGGCGTCAACTCATTGCCGGTTCTGTTGTCGATGGCATGATCAGCAGATGAACACAAAGGATACAAATCAGGGGAGAAGCAGTCGACGCATACATGTCGAATGAGAACTTGTGCTTGGCTTCAAAATCAGCCGGCGTTAGTTCCCGTTCCATCTTCGCATTGATCCGCGACACGGTGAATCGGATGCCCGTAAGCATGTTATACGCCGTGACCCAATTTACGTGGTTCTGGTCCACCTTCGTTCCGACAATGACGCGATCGTCGTCGTCATCGTCGCGGCGCCTTCGCCTCGAAGCCCTCCTGTGTTTGATGGCTTCGGCCCATCGAGCGGCGTCGTCTTCAGGATTCATCTCGTCCGGGAAGGTGTCGGAGCGATTGGTTCGACTGGCCCGGCGGCCGAGGGTGAAGGACGGACGGCGGCCGTTCGTCGTAGGCGATAAACGGCCACTGCTGTAAGCATCTTCGGAGTGGTCGCGGCTACTGCGGCGGCCGCTGGTCGTTCGAGGTACTTGAAGGGTATGACGCTGTCGAAGGCCAGGGTGGTTCGGATCCTGCTGGGCAGAGCTATCCGCGCTCGGCGGCACGGGCGGGGAAGAGTAGCGATGAGGTCCTTTTTGCGAAGGGGATATGCGGTCGGCGTCCGGCGAAAGGTACCCACTATCTTCGGGCTGCGAGGATGACAAGCGCGTTCCGTTTACGTTACCCGACGTATCCAGGGAGGCCAATTCGTCGACGGAGGCGCGAGAATGGTCACCGTTCACCATCGGTTTGCCGCCGAGCGAACGAGGACCCAACGACGTGCCATTGGGCTGATGACCAGAAACCGAAGTTATCGAACCGGCACCAGCGCCGACATCCGAGGATCGCGGGGTGTAATCCCTGTCCGGCGTCATCGAGGGTCTCCCCCCATCTCGAGGGTCTCGAGCGGATCCGTTGCCTAGCGAGTGCATGCTTCCATCTTTCGAGTGAGGGAGATCTCGGTGGTAGGAGCTGGCGCTCGATCGGGGCCCATTCAGAGAATAGGCACTGCCATTGGCGAGGTGTTGACGGTCGTTCGGGGGGGCGTCGTTGTGGTTGGCGTCTCCGTTGGGCCAGTTGGTCCAGAGAAACGTGTTGCCGACGGAAGCCTTATCGTGCGGTTTCCCTTGCGGCGAGTCGAAAGGTCGAGGATGAGTGGCCGTGGCGGTGGCTGTTTGATAGGGGCCGTCATTCGAGAAGGACGGCATGGTCGCTGGGCCTGCACTCCCGGCGGAGGAGAGTGCAAAGAGGGGGAGAGGAGCGGGAGATGAGAGACGAGGGGGTGGAATCCAAACAGCGGCGCAAGAGAGACCAGTCTCCCAGAGACTTAGTTTTCACGGATGATCGGGAAGGAAGGGAGATCTATGGAAAGGACAACAGTGGGTGGCCAATGGCGGACGGACAATAGCAAGAACCAGGTTCCTGGGACGGGCGGAAGTGGCCAGCCGGATAGGCAGGAAATTTAGCGACCGATAGGCATGGTCATGTAAAGCGAGAGACGAGAGAGTTGGTGGTCAATCCGGCACCGTCGACGTGTCCGGTGTTCAGTGAGGGGGTGGAAGAGGGTGAGAAATTCCTTGGTTGCAGGCGTTGTCCCGAGTAGGAGAAAAGAAGACGGAAGAAAAGGGGGGTGGAAAGGGCGAATTAAGGCAGCGGATATGCAGGCGGGAGATGATCAAAGAAAGAGGGAAAGATGAAGAAGGAAGGTGGGTTGGAAAGAGGAGGGAAGAAAGAGAGAGAGAGAGAGAGAGAGGGAGAGAGAGAAGGGGGGAAGAGAAGATGGAATGGATGGGATGGGATGGGAGAAAGTTGGCAAAAGGCTGAAAAGTGACCGAGTTGCGGGTATTCGTAATTCGCCCGCAGCAGAGGCAGCACCGTATTGCGCCCGGATAAAAAGGAATGGAGTCGAGTAATGAAGGTATTCCCGCTCAGTTGGGGAAGGAAAGATTGATGAATGGCCAGAAGAGAGAGGGAGAGAGACAGGCAGAAAGAGAGATGATTAAACGCTTGACGATGAGCGCAGAGAGAGAGAGGCTGGAGGGAGTTGAAAGAAGGGGAAAAGGACCCAGTCAAGTGGAGCTGCTCGATATTAGTTGGTATTGCAGCAGTTATGGAGTCTGCACAACATTACGGCGTCGTACTTGATAAAGTAGATGTAGATATACTTTGTAGATACTATAGAGCGACTGGACAGTCCATTCTTGCTCTGTCCATCTTCTCGAGAATTCCCCCTTTCCTAAAGATGCAATCCTACGTGCCTACAAGAGTATAGAGATATACTCCGTAAGGGACATGCATAATTTTATGTCCGACGGGCGGAGGTTCCCCGTCCTGGTCTAGCGGTATTATTGTATTGTGGTATTGTGGTATGACCATCCAGGCACGGATCCGAGATACGATACGGTATCTACAGGTCCTCTCTCTGGAGATATCCCACCTGGACATACATGCAGAGTACTTCACTTATTCCAATCGACCTCAGCTTATACGGGAGGGTCCATCCTACTTGCACCCGTTTACAGGGGCAGTACCTAGATGGCCGATGCTCATGTCTATCCTCTCCGGGGATCGACAAAAACGTCCCCCGAAGTTCTAAGTAATTTGCCTCCGCGGCCCTGACGCAATATGCCCATGCCCTACCTAGCAAGTAAGTATGCCCTTTCTTCCCACCTGCACCCACACGCAATTCCTGCACGAAAAAGCCAGCAACTCGGCGGGACGGGACGGGCAGGTGTCAGTCAGATGATCTATCTATCTACAATATCTAGATCCCTCGTGTATGTGCCATCCCATGCAATTCGTGCAGAGTTGCCTACCTAAATACTCCACCTCCACATAGGCCCTATACCCTACCTAGGGTAGGTACTAGGTAGGTAGGAATACAGTGGGTACGGTAAGATTTAGCAGACGATAGTGCTCTGTCTGCTATTTTTGGAATGGATTACCCTCTTTCCTGGCCGGATTACGGTTACCATTCTCCGGGTATACAGTCTCCAGAAATTAACTGCTACAGTAGGAAGTAAATCCTCGGAGTTGTGCTCCCGCCGGGTCCCGTGGATCGTGCCGTTGTATACAGCTCCAGTATATAGTATATAGAACATTGGCAGTGGGATATATCTACAACTTGAACTATCATGACCACTTAACCATGACAGGAAGAATTAGTAGCCAGTAAGTAGCTCGGTAATATCCACATTCTTCTCTATCTCGGCGTCATGCTACCACTGAATCCGCATCGCCAAGTTCAAGATATATACTCCCCCTCTGCAATGCTACAATCTCAAATCAATGAACTGGTCAAGAATTCCATTCGTTACACCCTCATCCGAAGACAAGTCCACAGACCAAGTGGCAAGCAGTTAAAAACAAGATAAGATATTCCCGTTGCAAGATCCACCACAAGACGCCTTTCCTGCCGATAAAACGAAAGAACAACCAACGTATCCCAGAAACAGTGCCCTCGCCGAATGAAGCAGCGAGTCAGAAAAAAAATTACAACCGAAGAGAGAAGGGGGTAACCCCAAAAGATATCACCCAAAGCATGTCAAAAGCAAAAGTCAAAGAGGGATAAAAAGAGGACAAGACAAAAGGAAAAACATCACGCAATCGCTCAGAAATCTCAATCGGAAATCTCAGCTTCAAGTGGCCTTCTTCTTAGGAGCCGCTTTCTTGGCCTTTTCGGCAGGCTTGGCCGTCGTCTTCGTCACCCGGCCCGACTTGGTTGTCCCGAGGACCTTGGGCTGGTCGACAACGGCGGGCGCCTGCTTTGCGGTCAGTACATTCCCCGTCAAGAAACAGAAGAGACATTACTCACAGTGGTGGACGCCTTCCGAGGCTTAGCGGTGTTGGCCTTGGGACGGCCAACAGGCTTCTTGGCAGTAGTAGTGGTGCTGCTGGTGGTGCTCTTCTTGGTGGTCTTGGGCTTGTCGGCCTTCTCGGTCTTCTCGGTCTTCTTAGCAGCAGCCTTCTTGGGGCCAGGCTTGGCAGCAGCGGTTTTCTAAAGGGCGTTAGAAAGAGCAAAATATCCTGACATGGATCAAACTTACCTTAGGAGCAGCAGGCTTGGGAGCAGGTTCCTTCTTGGCGAGCTTCACGGGGCCGGAAGGTCCTAGCAACAAGACGCGTCAGTCGGCACCCCATCAAAGATCAACAAAAGACGGGGCAGCGATAAGGAGCCCCGAGCGCACGCGCAGGGGCGACGGCGACGAGGTGAACCAAAAAGAATGGCAGTTGCGAAAGGATTGGAACGACGCGCAACAACGCGAGACTAAAATTAAAAAACTTACCCTTGGGCTGGGTGAAGTCACCCTTCTCGACACCGGTCTTGATGGCCTTGTTGAACATGCTATCAAAGGCAGCCTGAGTAGCCGACGAGATCTTGTTGTTGGCCTGAACATATTTCTTGATGGACTGGCGGCTGTGACGAGCGTTAGCTTCGAGACGTGAAGGAGGGGAAGGAGACGACTGCCACGTCGGCAACCCAACAACCCCGGTCGGGAGACGGGGGAAAACAAAATTCAGCTTACCTGCTACCGTTGCGCTCTTTCAGCTGCAGTGAAAGGAAAAGTCAGCGATCAGGATGATTACAAAATTAAACTGGTCCGACAGGGCGTTGGGGGATTGACGACGCGGAGGCGTGGTCCCGGTCGCAGACGGTTGACGCCCGCGCTCGTCATTCCCAAGGCCCGTTCAGGACGGCGTGATCAACTCACGTTCAGGATAGCATCCTTGATCATATCTATATTACACGAATCAGCATACATTCGCGACGAGAACAGTACTTGAATCACCCCTACGCGATGTGGTGGTGGTGAAAGATCAGGGGAAACATACCACGGTAGGAGGCGTGACCAGAGCCGGCAGCCTTCTTGGTCGCGGTGGAAGCTTTCTTAGGAGGCATTTTGAGGGGTTAGAGTGGGAGTGAGAGAAAGTGAAACAAGTGGATAAAAGTAGAGCGACAGAGGAAGATGAGGATAATTCCAAGAAGTCTGAAAGTCGAGTGGATCGAGAGTGGGAAAGGAAGAGAAGAAAAGCAGACGACGGCGGAAGGGATGGAAGGCCGCGGGGCATGCGCGCTTTATAGGGCAGCGGGTGTTGACACAAGATCACTTTCGCTCTCCCTCACAACACGTCAAGTCGCTCTCCTCTTTTTTCTCCCTCTCCCTCCCTTTTCTTTTCTTTCTTTTTTTTCTTCTGTCTTAATTTTCCCTTTTCTTTTTCTCTTTCTCTATCTATCGAACTTTCTTTTTTTGTGTTTTCTCGGTTGTTGTACGGAGTAGATTGTCTCTTATCTTCTCGTAGTTAATTCTGTAGAAACTAGAAATTGTGCACCCCCCGTTGGAATGAATTCCCTCGCGCATGATGCCTTGACGCGTGCTGCTCTCTTCCTCTTCCCCCCATTCATGATTATCTTTTCAGTTTCCCCTTTCTACTGGAATAATTGAATATGATGTTGGTCTATGCACATTCTCAAGTCTCCACTTGGTTTGAAATAATTTTTTCCAATTTTTTTTTCTTTCAGTTTTTCCCTCTTTTTTCTGCACATTCTATCTGTTCGGATGATCGCGTTGTTGTGCCTTTCGCATGCCCAATTTCAATCCCCAATGCGATCCCCAAAATAAATATCCTAGTATCTTGAGCTACTTTAGAAAATAATACATCTGTCAAATTACAAGAATATTTCTACCAATCATACCGACTAGTGGGTGGACTTCCCCTGCATCCTACAGAGTCAATGTGCTACAAATTCTAGCTCATGGCTGGGCTGGGGATATCTTCACGGGACTGCCGTTCAATCAAGCTCATGACCTCCTCACAGCTTGCGCAGGAGCTGTTCCTGTTCGACAAGACAATGGAGAAACAGAAGTCAGATCCAACCCCTGAGCCGGTTAGACCCCTTGCATCGACATTCGAACCGTGATTCCCCTCGTGAATTGATAAGTACATACATACATACATACTATAGTATACCTACCATCTAGGTAGGAGGGAGGTTACGCAGGGTTTCACCGGACCTCGTGCCCAGTTCCCCCCTCCTATCGGTCACGAGGGGGTGAGATGATGTATACTTTCTTATCCGTGGATGTTGGGCCTTGAAACGGCGTAGTTTGAACTTTGTGGATTGGGAGCGCGCTGTCGGGATTGGTTTGTACGCCCTATGTTATAGATCATGATCCATGGATGGCCCTGGCTTGGTTTGACTGCATTTGGGAACCTGGTCTGAGAGACAATGGAGCTTGGGGGTGAAAGAATTACAGATGTGGATGTGGGAAGTTGAGAAATCAAGCCATATTGTGATTCAGGTTATAGCTAGCTAGGGAGTAGTTACGGCGAACTATGACGGATGGGTCCCCCAACGGTCCCCAGCATGCGTTGATCTACTTCCGTCTTCCTTCTCGCCCTCGCCCGGCTCATCCGCGTCTTGGCTTCCGGTCCCGATTTGATGGAGGCATCACCACTTTGCCTTGTCGCATGTTCTTCTAGCTAGGAGGGTAGCTCCTGATTAAGGTATGAAGAAGAGATCGGTTGATACATAATACACAACTACAATGAAACCCGATTCAAGCCCTGTCGGACCCAGGATCATAATTCACCTGAAGCACGGCCCTTCTCGCTTCCCGAGATGAGTGATCTGGCGCACACTTTGAATAGCTGATCTGTCCACCAGGTCAGGGGTTATTGGGTCTAGATTGGAGGTAGGGGCTTTGGAGATCTGTTTATCTTGTTTCTTGTATCATTGAAGCGCAATGCTCTCATACTGGTCTGTGTGGTTTGGTGGGAGTCGTATCTCCATCTGTAGTATTCGGCTTCCGAGGATATATATAGTTCCAGCCCTCCCGCGACTTCGATCATCAGCGTAGAACTGCGCGTAGCTTATTCTATACTGTGCAAACAATTAAATATCACAAACCACAGCAACAGTAAAAACAATGAAGATAAAACAAGGACACACAATTATCTCAGACATTGTGCCCCCTCCAAGGAAGACCCTCCCATCCCCGTCCACTCATCACACAGTACACCCAGACATTCAATGCACGCCACACTCAAATCCCAACAAGGCCAGCACAATAAATACTACAACCAGAAATAGACACCCAAGAGACAAACCCAATCAAGGATGATTTGGCGCGCCTAGAGCCCCGAGTGCCTCAGGATCACAGCCAATGGGTTTTGTGCCCAACACCTCTCTTGCTGGCGAAACCCTGTCTGCCCGGCCCCGATTGATTTCCTCGGCAGATCATGCAGAATGAATGCCCCAAAATAATACCCAAACATTGTCTTTCTTCCCCACAGTGTTTCGCCTGGTGATTATTTACTACCTATGATTCATACGGATTAATCCTACTTGTACAGCAAATTACTAGGTACTAGGTGGAAGTTGGACGGTTGTCGTTCCAATGGGGAATCGCCACGCCTTGTTTGAAAGTGCTCCGTAAGTGTTGTCAATTGATTCCGATCTCCACATAACGCCTTGATTCTTCCGGTTTCCTTTTGGGTTGATTTTGAATTGTTATCATTCGGCCCGTAAATATTATTCTGTTTTGTCTCCGTAATTATCTTGATCCCTTGTCATCGTCTGTCGGTCTACCCGGCACCGCGAGGTCTCGACTTGGCCTCCTTCTTGGCTTTCGCCTCGTCCTTCTTGCGCTTCTTCTGCTCCTGTAGTTTCTCGTCGTGTTTGCGCTTAAGGTTCGCCTTCTCCGCATCTGTCCGGGCCATTGGCTTGAAGAAGCCCTCCAACCGGGATTGCTGGGCCGACTTTAGGTTCTTCTGCAGCCGAGCAGCCCCGTTTCGCACTCGATCCTCGTTGAACCCCTTGTCTTTGACCAGGAAGTCAATGAGTCCCTCGACGTCGGGCGCATCCCACTTGAAGTCGCACTCGGGGGCACTGGCGTCCCGGACATCCGGGTTGAGGAACAGTTCTCGGGCGTCCTGGTACGGCCAGTCTTCGGGAATGACGTATTTCTTCTTGGGGTCGCTCTCGATCGCCTCGACCACCTTCTCCAGGCTGCCGTGCTCCCGAATCAACTTCAACGCCGTGTTAGGTCCCACCTTGGGAATGGGTTCGAGGTAATCGCATCCTAGTAGGATACATAGATCGATAAACTGCACTGCGTTAGGATGGGTCTGCCTCTTGCCGGACGACTTAGCTCACCTGGTTACGATCCATGCCGAGGCCTTCTAGCGCACGGTTCAGATGGATCTCCTGAATAGGCTCCTTCCGCTGCTCACTGAACGTAAGATGCCGCAGCAGAATAGGCGCCTCGAAGCAAAGTGTATCCATATCCTCCGACGCAGCCGCATAGACCTTCCCCGCCCGCGCGAGCACGGCGCACTGCGCCTCTGCCTCCGTCGGGGCATCAATGTAGGGAATGCCCATTAGCTTGATAAGCTTCTTGCACTCCGCATTATGCTCTCTCGTGACACGCACGGTCCGTCGCGAAAACTTCTCGACATCCTCCGCCGTTCCCGTCTCCTTGGCCTCTTCGTGCGCTTCCGTGGCCTCGCTTTTCCGCGCCGTACGCTTGGCCAGTTCGCCGGATTTCAGCTTCGGCGGGGCGCCGTCGAACACGTATAGAGGCTTGATGCCGTTGTCCACCATGCGGAGGGTGCGGTAGAACATGCCCATCAGATGTGACGTCGTCTCGCCCGTGTCGCTCATGAGCTGCTGGCCTTCCGATCGGACGGCGATGAGGAAACTGTAGATGCTCATGGAACTGGTTTGATTTGTTAGTGTTTGCGGGGGGGTTCAAAGCTCGGAGACAACGCACGCGTCCTAAATTCCAACGGATGTCTGTTAGCTTCCATTCGTCAAACGGCGCATCAATGCCATGTCAGGAATACTGGGGGATGACATACAATAGCGACCTTCCGGCCGAAGTGGTTCTTAATGTCCCCCGATTTGATCGCATCGGGGGCATTTTCTGAAATGACCTGGTATAGCTCTAGAGCACTCGATTAGACGGAAAGCCCACGTCATTGATGGTAATGGACTCGAAAGGGTCGACTCACGTTTAATACCCATTGTGCTTGATTTCTCCCTTCCCGAACTTAAGAGAAGATCAAAAAATCAAGAGAGGAAAAGTGCTGGTCATGAACTTCAGAGAGATTGCCAGGTCGAAAGAAGCGCAGCCTTCGAGGCAGTCGTCGTTCGCGCGAAGACGCGACTTGGCGCGCCGCTCCCATTAAGCTCTATCGAGACTAGCGCCCGCGGGCTGGGTGCATCACGTGGTCCGCAGCACCCCCGCAGCTCCGCGTCTTTCGCTCCGTCTTCGGGGAAACTGCGAGGAATCACCAGGCCTGGGCGCTCCTCGCTATGGATCACTCACGGCCGTGGATGGCACTAGTGCCCCTACCTACCAATGCATCCGATGTTATCTAAGCGCTTAGCATCTAGCACTAACCAGTTAACTGTCTCCTCCTTCCCCGATTTGCTCGCGGTCTCCGAACCCCTCCCCTCACTCCTCCAACTCTCCGTAACCGCCTGTTCATTGCGGGCACAGCGGGGTGACGGCCATAGACACTATTTAATGCCGTACGCACCGGCTCTGGCAATGAATTTTCTGGCGTCATGAAACGAAGCCGCCCTCATTTTGACGCCAATGACGATGCGTCGTCCGTCTCCTCCCCCCAGGGTGCATCGGCGCACCATCCGGCGCTTAAACCAGATCCCCAGCAGAACATCGGCCATATTCCCAAGATCAGTCGGAAGATCAAGGCCTGCTCCGAGTGTAAGCGGCATAAGGTGAAATGTGATATGAAAGCAGGGGAGTCGACCTGCCACCGGTGTCGGCGCATGGGTCTAGATTGCATCGTCAACAAGAGCCTCCAGACCTTGTTAGATGACGAAGCGGAGTAAATCTGCCCCGCTCTGTAATGCATCCCCTGGAGTTGGCGACTGGAATTAACTGACCGGTTTCTATTTCCGTAGGTGGAAAACTACCATCGAGCTCGCCATGGCCGACCTGCTGAGCAAAGCCGATTTACCAAACCTTTCATACTATCAAACGGCGGGTAGGGCGACCGAACCACCGTCGAAGAAAAAGGATCGGAAAGAGTCGACCGTGTCCACGGAGGATGCTGGGCTGGCGGTTGGACACGATCGGAGAACCAACTCCGTAGATATAAATGCCGGCGCAGCGGTAGACGGACCCGAGGCGGCTCCCCAGTCCTTTCAGCAAGAGTCGCAGTTTGCCCTCGATCGGGAAGAAAACGGGGTCTCTTCGCTAGTCAATGCGCCGATGGGGAGTCTATACGAAGTGACGCAGTTGAGCGAGATTCAGGCAAATACCCCCAAGCGACAATATGCGCCGGACAGGGCACTTGTCACCGATTTCATCTCCCGCGGTCTTGTGGGTATACAAGAGGCGCAGGAGCTGTTTTTCTATTTCGATCGCGTGCTCAATCGCTATCTCTGGGACGGCATGGCGCTTGTGCACAAGGATCTGACGTCTGTCCGCAACTCCTCCACGATGCTCACGGCGGCCATTCTAACCGTGACGGCCCTCCACATCCAGGGCAAAGAGAGCACCTTCGACACTTGTTACAACGAATTCGCCCGATTAGCATCGGCGTCAATGCTAGACCACCATACTTTGGATGACTTGCGCGCGTTATGCATCGGGGCGTTTTGGCTTGCGGATATCAGCTGGAAACTGTCCGGCCACTGCGTGCGGATAGCCACCGAGCTTGGTCTCCATCAGTCTTATCGGAAAGCGACACAAGGCTCTCCGGAACATATAGAGCAGGCTCGATTATGGTATCTTCTCTATGTAAGCTTGCTCTTCCAATTATGCCTTTTTGCTGCTAATTGCCACTAGACATTGGAGCACCATTTCTCGATCGCGTACGGGCGCCCGCCGATCATCCACGAAGACCATGCCATTAAAAACCATAGCGCATTTACCCTATCCCCTACAGCCACACAAGCCGAGCTACGCCTACATAGTCAGGTGGACCTGTTCATTATCCTCACCCGGATATATCACGCGTTCGGTCCGGATGTCGACTTGGAAGTTCCCGAGAGCGAGTTTGACACCATTGATCAATATGATGCTGACTTGGAAACCTGGAAATCGTCGTGGCTGCCTCGATTAGGTATGTCTAGCCGCAAACCTGTCCTTTTCTCTTTCTTTCTTTTTTTTTTTTTTTTTTTTTTTTTGGCCTCCTCTAATGATGGTATAGCCGGAAGTCGATATGTTGGTGCGTATCCTTACAAAGCCGTCTACTTGCACTACCATTTTTCTCGCCTGCAACTAAACTCCGTGGCATTACGGACCTACCATTCCTCGTGTTCTTCCCGTTCTATGTCTCAGGAGCGCAAGAAGCGCGCGAACCTGGCTATTGAATCGGCCATTAAGACACTGCTGGTCGTCCTTGACGAACCGGACATTCAGACCGCGCTGGTCGGTGTGCCGTTGTACCTCCACAGTATGATCACCTTCGCAGCCGTATTCTTGCTGAAAATCGCGGCCAAAGGCTGCTCGAGCAACATCCCCGGCAGTCAAGGCCAGCAAAACTCCATCGCATCGGCCGGCCTGCTCATCAACGTGGCGTATGTGCGTGCGCTGGTCGGACGAGTTGTCGAGCTGATGGTGTCTTGTAGCCGAAGGGCGAGCGAGCGCCATCTCAGCCACCACATAGCCCGTGGCTTGCGAAAAATGCTCACCGGACTGGAGGAATGGGAGAAGCGGAATGCCGGTACCCAGCAGTCGGCTGGACAGCGCTCGCATGAACAGTCTATGTTTAAGCCCATCATCATCCCGGGTGCCCAGCCACTGGGCGAACGGGACACTATCCTTACCCATCCGCCTCCGCTCCTAGGGGTGGCCCCTTTGTCTGCCGAGCGGGGAAATGGCTTCGATCCCGAAGCCGCGCAACTTCAGGCGCAAGCCGGCCTCTCGGAAGGCTCTCTCGATCCCATGATGCCGGACCTGTGGGGATTCGACGAGGATTACTTTCCTACGGGGGTTTTCGATTTCCTACAGTCCCAAATGCCTGCTTGATGCGATAGGCCGGGCATGATCCGCTCCTGGCATATACATAGCCACATCTTTGGAAGATGTGAGCACAGCTATGGGCCTGCATGTTGATGTCTATACCCAGTCGAGGATCTGAGAGATCCTCGACGGTCATCGCAATGCGGCCAATGGTTTTCATTCGCCAGACCGACAGTACAGTAACACGGCGTATGCCTTGACCAGTCTGGAACAAAATCCAAGGAGCCGCAGAAACTCTGCATCTTGCGGAGCTGCCATTGTCACGCTCTTCGGGGCATTGTAGATATACACCTTCGTGACTAATATGTTTTGATTGATTTTGCACGTTGAACATAAGGGCCACATTCTCAGACACGGTATTCGGAGGGGAAGTCTAGGCGCATTATAGTAGCGATATACATGTCCATACTTTATAGAATATATAGGTTCTCACTTACTGTTTTATTTCAAAAAGTAAGATGAAGTCAAACCATGACTTAAAAATACTATAAGCTATTTCGAGGCAACTGACTCCTATACTTGACTAACAGGGAAGAGTTCCGCGGGAGAGCCCCAACAAGCGGGCCGAGTAGCATTGCCGAGGTCGAGGCGGCCCCTTCTTAACCTTCGGAAGGCAAGTCATTACACTTCACTCCGTACTGGGGACGCAGGTCGTCTACTTAAATCGAGTATCGTCATCTGCCAGAGATTCGGAGTCCTTTTACTTTCTTACTCTCCCCTTTCACCTCCTCTGACTCCATCTTCTCAATTTCCCGCAACCATGCAGCCATCCATGCTCCGCACGGCCTCGCGCCACCTTCAATCGGCAACCCGCCGCTGCCAGACTCCCACGTCGGCGCGGGGGTTTGCGACTGCGTTCAATTGGGAAGATCCGTTAGCGGCGTCGGAACTGTACACAGCAGAGGAATTGGCGATTCAGGACACGGCCAGACAATACTGCCAGGAACGCCTGCTCCCGCGCGTCCTCGGTGCGCTCCCCACCATGCTACGGTCTGCACGGAGGAAGAAGCTAACCTTACTGCAATTGCCACAGATGCCTACCGCCACGAAAACTACGACCGCAAGATCTTGGAGGAGATGGGCGAATTGGGTCTGCTGGGCGCCAGCATCGAGGGGTACGGCTGCGCCGGAGCCAGCACCGTCGCGTCCGGGTTGATCACCAAGGAAGTCGAGCGCGTCGACTCGGGCTATCGATCGGGGATGTCGGTGCAGAGCTCGCTGGCGATGACGGCCATCCATGATTTCGGCACGCAGGAGCTCAAGGATCGTCTGCTGCCTGGGTTGGCCAAGGGCAAGCTGGCGGGCTGCTTCGGGCTGACTGAACCCAATCACGGCTCGGACCCGGGGTCTATGGAGACGGTTGCGCGCGAACATCCCACGAAGAAGGGCGTCTATCTCCTGTCCGGCTCCAAGACCTGGATCACCAACTCCCCTATCTCGGACGTCCTGATCATCTGGGCCAAGCTGGAGTCTACGGGTAAGATCCGCGGTTTCGTCGTCGAGCGGGACCAGTGCCCTGCGGGGACATTGGAAACGCCCGCGATCAAGAACAAGTCTGCCCTGCGCGCCTCCATCACGGGGATGATCCAATTGGACGACTGCCCGGTGCCTGCGGAGAACATGTTCCCCGAGGTGCAGGGGCTGACGGGTCCGTTCACCTGTCTGAACAGCGCGCGGCTGGGCATCGCCTTCGGGGCCATGGGCGCCCTCGAGGACTGTCTCAGCCGGGCGCGAACCTACGCGCTCGAACGGAAGCAGTTCAAGGGAAACCCGCTGGCCAAGTACCAGCTGATCCAGAAGAAGCTGGCCGACGCCGCCACGGACGCAGCGTACGGAACCCTGGCCGCCACGCAGGTCGCGCGTCTCAAAGACGAGGGCAAATCGACGCCGGAGATGATCTCGATGGTCAAGCGACAGAACTGTGATCGGGCGCTAGCGAATTCCCGCATGTACGTGCCTTCACATTCTTTAGGTCCAGATCCGGTATGTACTAATCTTTGCGCGAAATAATAGCCTGCAGGAGATCTTCGGCGGGAATGCAACCTCCGACGAGTACGGGATTGCGCGACATGCAGCGAATTTGTTTGTTGTGCAAACGTACGAGGGCCAGAGCGATATTCACGGTATGTACCTTCTGATCCATGTCTAGTTGGTGGCTGTGATGGCTGATGATTGGTGTAGCGTTGATCCTGGGACGCGCCATTACTGGGGTCCAGGCGTTTGTCTAAAAATATCCAAGTTGGTGGTAGATTGTACATAGAATTGAATACAGACTTGATACTTATTCTTAGTAACTACGTAGAAGTAGTTAGACGACAGTAGATGACAGTCTCGAAGTAAGACGGAGAGCCTTCGAGAAGCCACTGCCACGTGACCCTTGCGCCACGTGGGTCCTGTGATACCCCAATACCATACCCAGTACACCATACCGTGTACTGTACGGTAATTCCCTCCGCCGACTCGGGTACCTTGAAAGAAACTGAACAAGTGAACATTCATTTGATATATTCAATATTCAATATTCATTCGACAAGAATGATTAGTTCAGTCAAAATCCCCACCCTCCGAACCGATGACGATGATGATCCGGGCTCCAACCCGGGACTAAAGATCTTAGCCGTCGCCACGCCGAATTCCTATTATTCATGCTTGCAAAGATTTTACTCCGGACACTGATGGTAGGAGTACGGAGTAAGTAAGAGAAAATGTGGGAATTAAAATTTGGTCTTCTTGCAGGTCGGGGAGTGAGTGTAGTATGGGTTCTGATCTATCAGAGTACTTTATCTTATTGTAGATATTATATTCTATCTGTATACGTCAGGGTGCATCCTGTAATACCGAGTGGCGGTGGTGGCTGGTACTGTCACGGGGCGGAAACGGAACAGAAAAAAAAAATCGCAATCTTCTTTTCACTTTTCAGCCCAAAATCCTTCCCCTCTTTTTCTTCCTCTTCGCCTCCCACGTAATCATCGACGGTGAGTCTACCCTCTTCTCTCCCTTCCTCTCTCTTCCCTTCCCCTCCACCTTTTAACCTCTCCTCCATACGTTTCCTGTATATTCCTTTCTCGTACGTATTATTGCTTTTTATCTCCCTTTCTGTATTCCTCTCTCCCTTCCCTGTCTTCCCCTCCTTGCGACTCTCGAACTTGACCGACTAACGAGGCGATTGTGTTGTGCAGATTCCCCCCTTCAGATTCGATACCCGCTCTTTCTCCCCCTCTTTCTCACCCGAGTGGAAGTCTCCTCTCTCATTACACATCCTACAAAATGGCTCTCAAGAGAATCAACAAGGAACTCGCGGATCTAGGCCGGTAAGTCCTGTTCATCACGGATAGGGGAAGGCTGGCATGTCCTCACCGTCTGGCGGTGTCACCCCACCACGACCGCGGGGCCTCAAGCCGCCTACCCTTCGCCCTGTCTATCCGCCTGGTATTCGATAGCGACTGACATATTTTCGCAGTGATCCCCCCTCCTCCTGCTCTGCTGGTCCCGCAGGAGAGGATCTGGTACGACTCCCCTGTCCTGTTACCCTGTTGTCTTGCCGCCTTGCCCCTCGTGCCGTTTGCGGCGGGCGATTGAACAAGGCCCTACGAATATACAACATCGCAACTTCACTTCAATACCAGTGCTGACATTGTCTTCGGTTTTAGTTCCACTGGCAAGCGACGATAATGGGTCCTGTGAGTATTCCAACACCAACTTCTTTGTCTGACAGCCGTCGGGTGGGGTCTTTGTGCCTTCCCGGGCGCCAGATCCCGACCGGCATCCCCCGTCGGTCATCGGGCTAAAATCAAGTACTCTTTTGAACCTCGCTAACACAACTCAGGGTGACTCCCCATACTCCGGAGGTGTCTTCTTCCTGTCGATCCACTTCCCTACCGACTACCCTTTCAAGCCCCCCAAGGTCAACTTCACCACTCGCATCTACCACCCCAACATCAACTCGAACGGCAGCATCTGTCTGGACATCCTCAGAGACCAATGGAGCCCTGCTCTCACGATCTCTAAAGGTTTGTTTGTCATTCCTATGGATTCTGTCCGACAACTAACACCCCCGTCTCCAGTCCTGCTGTCGATCTGCTCGATGCTTACAGACCCCAACCCCGATGACCCGTTGGTGCCCGAGATCGCGCACGTCTACAAGACCGACCGCCCTCGGTATGAGGCCACCGCCCGCGAATGGACCCGCAAATACGCTATTTGATCTTCGCTCTTCAATCTTCCACGGCCACCCCTTGGTCTTCCCAATCGCTTCTGCGTCTTCTTTCGTTTGCCGTTAGATCAGATCCGAAGCCTGGCGTACCGTGATCGTAGATCCGTTTCAACTTTTCGTGTTTTCAACCATGAACCTATTTGCGCGTTGTCTTGAAATTTAACTACCTTTTTTTTTTTTTTTCTTTCCGTTACCCCCCTTTTTTTTTCTCCTATCGGCAGGAGATGTCATATCCAACGATCATTATGACCAACATGCATTGATGGCATTTTCTTTTTTTCCACACGACGGAGTCGGACAAATTACGTGATGAATACACAAACCCAAGGATGGCGTTTCTTTTCTTTGGGTCGGGGTTTGGGCGGAGGAATGGAGGATGCTGGTGCGGTCGTTGAGGCTTGCCGGGATTGGGGATGCGAGTGAGGGACTGCTGGGGATGAACGGTGTTTGTATCAGATAGCACGTATTGGCAAGACCGAATCAACATGACCGGTGATCTATATGATTAGAGTAGCACTCGGCACTCGGAGTAGAAGGGAAGAAGTAACGTAGTCAGCAAGAGTAGATACAGAGAAAGTGAACTATAAAGCCAGAATAGTCAAGAGAATATTCAAGAGATCTTCACACAAGAGAAGAACTACCGACCTGATTAATCTAATGTCAGACCAGCCGTAAAGCACCGGAAAAAAAGAAGAGAATGATGGTATATCCATCCGTCTCCTATACTTATCTTTAGAAGTTATTCTAGGCTAGATAATCTAGATAGACTTCAGAGTAAGAGATACATTATATCTAAAAGATGCAACTCGGTAGCAAATCATACAATTAATTCCCTATCACTAGGTAGATTGTAGATATAAGGAACGTAAGGAAACAAAGAAGATAGATAGATAGATAGGTATACTCCAGGTCGTACTTCTTCAGCTCTAATCTAGTTATAGTCGTTAGGACTGAGGTTGGTTGGTTATCTAACATGCAATCTGCGTCCTACCTACCTACCTAGCCATCTATTCGTTTTGCCCTACATGAATACACCGTGCCATTCTATGACTATGTTATGTATGTAGTGTATGTAGTGTATGCAGACCTAGAGGAAGATCTCATCGACTTGGGATTGTTGGGTTTGTTCGTCTAATCCATTCTCGGTAGTTCACTAGCTTGTTCGTGATTTCGACCTTGCAGAATGTGTCAGATTAGATGGATGGATGGATGGATGGATGGATGGATTGAATGTAGTAATGCCCTTTAGAATCGGACTTGGTTTGTTTCGAATACCGTAGCTTTCCTTATGCTATGCTTAACACTTTAAATATGACTCGCTGTCCTGGTTTATCCAATTTGCGGTACTTTTGAAGACATTTCATTTCATTTTCATACCCTACCTGTGCAGACTGACTAGTAAAAGAGGAAAGGAGTACCATTAACAAACGGGTCTCACTTCTGGAGAGATACTTGGCCAACATATATTCACTTAGTAATAATAGAAGTATGTAGTCAAACAACCCCCGCCCCCCGAAGAAGAGAAAAGTAGATCAAAGATCCTCCTCAACAAGCAAAACACACTCCCCACCACCAGCACGCATAATCATCCCCGTCCCCTCCACACAATTCACATACTCAAACTGCGCCTCCCCGCGCCCTAGCACCGACACTTCATGCCACGTGCGGAACTGCCGCGTCGCGCCGAATGTCTTCGCATGCCGGATGGCCCCCGTGTAGATGGCTAGATGCGAGGGGTGGCGCTTCGCCCAGGTCTCGAGGTCGGAGAGGTTGCGGAAGAAACCGGTCACGCAGGATTCGTCGCTTTCGCTTTCGCTCTCGCGTAGAGGTCTTTGAGATGGAGGGGATGGGGATGGAGAGGATTCATGGCTAGGTCTCGGGGATATAGGAGAAGAAGGAGAAGGAGGAGATGACGGAGGAGGAACATTCAGAAGATATCGTAACGCCATCGACCCCGTCTCGACGGGGTTCTGCCATAGATACGCAAGACCGTTTCGAAGGGTCGGTTCGAGGTTCTCCTCGTAGGATCGTCGCTCGTCGTCGGGACAGTGTTTCCAGAATTGGCCGGACCGGATATGTGCTAGGTTATGGGTTGTGTTGGTGCCGATGAGACGTTTGCCTAGTGAGGACGGGGGAGGCGGTGCGGGTTGGGTATCATGGTCCTGATCCTGACTCTCATCTTGATAATGATCTTCATCTTGATGCTGATGCTGATGCTGATGTTGATCTTGATATTGATGAAGCAGATCCGGTCCAAACTCATCAACCGCAGAATCAGGAATCCGATCCCTCGCCGCCCCCCAGTATCCCGTATACGAATGCCCCTGCGTCCCCATATCCGGCAACCTCGCCAGCCCCGGCAGATAATCTGTTCCGGTGTAATTAGTCTCCAGACGCGAGACGTGACTCGTGAATCGCTCGCACCAGAGACCGATCTGCCGTTGCCGTTGCCGTTGCTGTTGCTGTGGCTGCTGGTCCGGTAGATCTACCCTATCCAGCGCTCGATATATCCCCGACAGATCCAGCCGCTGAACCGCCTCATCGTACTTCGCTCTGTCGGCCCAGTAGCACACGAGCACGAGAGATCGCGGGACATCGTGTCCGTCAATGACCCGGAAGCGTTCCACCGATGCAGGCGCATGAGTGGGTTCAGAGATCCAGTGTTCGATAGACGCGAGACATTTCTCGAATGCAGCGTTGTTGTGTTGGTCACCGGTGTGCTGCTGAACCCCAATATAGGCCGTGAATACCTGGTCTATGGTCTCTGGAAAACATGCCCACCAGCGAGGGATGGGAGGTTTATGGCCGTCTGGGCGTCGGAGAGGATATTTGCGGATAGGACATTCCATGTTTGTTTGTTGACTGCCACCGAGGGGGGTTCAATAGCTTGGTCCAGGGGATGATGCTGGAGTAATGACCTTGAGCGGGGTGGCTTGGAGAAGAGTTAGGGCAGGGTCAGGTGATGCGGAGGGTTTAGACAATCAGGATGCATGATTCGGCTATAGATGAAGGGCCGATGGTCGTGGTCTCTGCGATGGCAATGCAGACCGAGTCTAACCTCGGGAATTGCGGAAATTGCGGAGGGGGATGCATCTACTTGTTGATCGTCATGTATAGAACCCTGTATTAATTATTTCTATCTAATCGTCATGGTTTACAGTCCTCTCTAAATGCTGAGTATCTTGTAAAGCTAGATAGAGGTGCGCTGCGGAATACTGCGGTCTCGGACCGGAGCAAACGTTTTCCTCCGTCAGTTGTACGTGATCGCTATGACTGCATACAAGATGTACCTCTTATTCACCGGGCTAGATAGAGAGCGAGAAAAGATGCTAGATGGTGTGAATTGCCATGGGAGAATGATTGGAGAGCAGGTTGGTTTATTTATCGTAGATAAGATAGGTGAAATCTTATGGAGAAACTTACGGAACAGGAAAGATATCAACTCGAAAGTTCCAATGGCTTGATTGATTGACAAAGATTAAGATAATATAGAAAAATAGAAAAAGAAATAACCACTCTATGCAGAAACATCATACTATAATATTATATTGCCAACAAATACTTCTCAACAAGATCCAAATACCCAAACGCCGTAATGCCCCTTGAATGCGGAAGATCATGCTACATGCAGGTCGTGCTGACTGTTGTATGTCTCTCTGTGTGCTGGTGACCGGAGTTGATATGCAATGAAGAAAAGACAAGATGTGTGAAACTGTGAAACCAGTAGATGAGAACAAATTAAGATCTCTAGGCCACCTGACTCCCCCGACGGCTGGGACTGATCTTCGACCCGGCCTTGGAACCCCCCGCTATGCTGCCACCGCCAGCCTTGATCGTTCGCTGCGAAGCCTTGGAGGCTTGACTAGGGGCGTGGCTGGAGACCTGACTGACGCTGTCACTGGGTCGGACGGGCTCGTCGAATTTACTCGAATGTTTGGAGGAAACGCGGGAGGCCGGTTTGGACGCATGGGATCGGTGGGAGGCGTGAGAGTAGGAGGATCGTCGCTCCGAGTTGTCCACCTGGCTGATGGAATCGTCGGGGGTGACCTGGGTGTTCACGTCGCAGCCATCGATGACGCTGCCGGGAAGGGGCACATCGCGGGCCGTCATCTTCGACTTGGCATCGCTGCGGTAAGATGCGACGGAGCCCTCGGGAGCATGACGGGCGCTGCGGACGGAAGAGGCGGCGCTGCCAGAGTGCGATCTCGTCACCGAGTGGCGAGAGGAGTGGTGTGATGACCGGTGAGTGCTGTGGTGGGAGGAGTGGTGGTCCTGATAGTTGGCCTTCGATGGCTTGATGGTGGACGAGGAGTAAACGCTGCCGTTATCCATTGCCCGCGAGCGATCGGGGAAGCTGCTGATAAAAGTGCTGGCATAGCCGCGCGAATCAAGCGGTGGCGGATACTCAATCGCCCGCAGAGGCATTTCCTTCGAGGCCGAGGTGTAGACGCTGCCCTCTGAAGCTCGACGGCCGTTCTCGTCCATGTAGACACTGCCGCCACCGCCCCGGGGGACGTACTCCGTACCCTCGTAGATGGTGCTGGCGCGGGGGTTCTTCGAAGTGACACTGCGAGTCAGCGAAGGGCGGAACTCAGACTGAGAGTAGGTGCTTCTGGCAGGAGGAGCTTCGATGGCCCTGAAGCCCTGGGGCTCGTGCGTCTGCGACGAGGCCTGCGAAGGCGAAATGAGCTGCGCGATGTCGCGGGGCGAGTACTGAGGCGGCGGCGACATTTCGGACGACTCGGAGTCACCCTTGGAGGTCATGGCATAGGCCAATGCTGCACCCGCAGCGGCTCCGATCAGGGTGCCGACAATGGTTTTCGAGACCTTGCTGTCATCGGACTTCTGGGTGGTGGTGTGATGAACAACGTACGTCGGCGACGGGGTCTGTTGGATCTCTCGCGGGGAAGACGAGGGCGCGCCTCGTTCGGAGGGAGGAGAGCGGTCGACGGCGCTCATTCCTCTCGACACATGAGACCGGGCCTCGGATTTCGGCGGCGCAACGCTTTCCGGCTTGATCGAGCTGGCCTTGCTGGTGGCTTTGGAGACAACGGATCCGTTTTCGAGCAGGGCCAGAGCCGGCCTGCTGACTTCCGATCTGGCCGACGAGCTGCTGGGTCGGAAGACGGCCTCGATGCTGTTGCCGTCAAAATCGATAATCGCTGCGCTGTAGTAACCGGAATCCGAATCACGAGTTTTGGGTTCGCCGTGGATCTTTCCGCCAGCCTTCAAAGCGGAGATGAAGAATGCGCCCACTGCATCCTTGGAAGGAGCAGGGAAGGCAACGTGTGCGGCACCAGCTGGGACTCTGCAGTAGAGTTAGTCTGTTTGTTCATCGGAGTTTCACGATCCCCGTGGGGATTACTAGAGATGACCTACCCAGGCTTTTGTTCTGTTATCCAGAAGTCGGCCGGCTCACCGGCGTTTTGTCCAAAGCCAATATAGTCATCATGACGGCCAATGAACTGGTAGCCCAAGGGCTGTAGGCAGGAGAGGAAGAATGATGTCGAGGTGGGGAGGTGCGAGACCGTTAGGGTCAAATGAGAGACGGGCATGTCTGTGAAGTGCAAGTTGACTCGCTGGATTCAGCGAGTCTATGAAAAGGTAACAAGCCCAGAACTGAAGACGTGGTACGACACGAAAGGGAAGAATATGGCCTGTTCAACAAATGTTCACAGGCAAGAGCACGACACGACTTGAGGTCGATGACAAGTTTGCTCGAAGGGAGAAAGAAGTAATTGGGAAGGGTGGAAGAGGTAGAAGAAAGAACACACGAATGATAGAGTGACAGCAGTTTGATGAGTTGACAGAGACAGAAGATGTGAGAAACCAGGAGGGAGGATATATACTTGATATTTCCAGACCAAGCTCCCAAAAGGGGGTTAACTATTCTTCCCAAGAATGCCCAACATTGTATCCAATCACAAGTAGTCAGACGCTAACCAAATAATCCTAGTTTTAATAAACAAAAAAGGGTTTATGCCGAAGAAAGCCACCTGCTCCAATGATGTAGAGTACGGCTTAGCACCGCCAGTATGATTGCATAGACCCGCGAAGCGTCCGAAATGCTACCCAGTCTCCATGAGGCACCCTAGCGACCGAATCCGGGCTCTGCAGGCTTGGACCGGAAAGGAAGTGTTGCTAATTCCTACCTATCGGTGAAGCCAGGGGAAATCAGGAGGAGGGAGAAAGCTCGTCCCTAGTCCCTAGTTCCTACCCGCCAGGTCATCGTGGGGGAGGCCCGACGGACGGTCCTGTAGGTGGCCCTGTCTACATCGGATGGGGCGCCTATCAGAAAACGGTGGATCCTGCACCAGAGGAGCCAAGCGCAAACCGCATCATGTCAGAAGTCGGAAGAGGTGAGGCGACAAAACCCAAGTCTGAATGGAAGATGGCGATTGGCAACAGTGGAGACCGGATGGACAAAGAGGGAAAAAATCGAAGGAAAAGTTGAAAGTTGAAACTCGCTATGGAGTGGAATCCGCGGTCAACAGAATAATATTATTAGAAACAGTCCTTCTTTAGTTGATTTTTTAGTGTTTTTCTGTGTTATTCTTCGCAAAGCAAAGGCCACCATAATTCGGGTTGGGCTTGGGAGTCGGAAGCCAGTGCGCTCTTCTCATTTGCAGGGCTGGTCATAAAAATCACCAATGACGGCGGGACAACGAAGGGGCAGATGGCGATGTCAAGTGTGCACCACCTCAGGAGCCCACTGAGGGGCAGTTTGGGAACTTTCCTTCCCTTTCGCTGGCTGCACCCTTGGCTGATGGTACGTTTCATTGCTAGTTTGGGCACTGCTGCTGCGGTTAGTCGCCGAGTAGTGGTATCTGACCGCCAACCGACATCCACTCCGTTTCTGCGTCGTGGATCAAACGCCAGCAGGTCTGGACGAATGAGGCCCCGCGATGGAAGAAAGCATACTTTTCCCGGAATAATATCGCAGAAAGAAGGCGAAAAAAAAGGGCTGCATGTTCACCAGGCCTTACTTCCTTAGAGAGAACAATGGGCCCATGCTGATCTCATCGAAACATGTCCTTCCAGCATTATCTAGAAGATAATCATATGCGCTCCGTACTCCGGAGCACTACCCCGGTGATTCGATTAGATTAATTTTCGCTTGTCAGTGACCGAAACTTCCATCACCGAATCTTGATCCAGTTGACCAACGGCACAAAGTGAAGCGGAGATCCACCCAGGGAGAGGTCCTGGGATATCTGCATGCCACGTTGAATAGGGGCGACTCCATCCCCAGCCACCGGAACCACCCGATCGTAGGATGTATTTCTCCATGTTCACTGACAGGATGGATTGGATGCGTTGAGAATCCACCCGTGTAGCCCGTGAGTCAGTCGTCAGGGAACACGAAGGGGGGTGAGAAAAAGGGGGAATAAGTTGGATGAAAGTTGAAAGAAGATGATGGAAGACGATGCAAGATCGGCCTGAATGCCTTGGGGCATCCATCTTCGGCCTCAGGCAGCGGCCCCCTCTTCCCCCTTCCTGACTGCATTCCGACTCTTTCTCTTTCTCCCCTCCACCTTTCTTTCGATCATTTCCTACTCTGTTCTACGGAGTGCACACCAAGTATATCTAGGTTTAGGCCTGTTTTTTTTGGCCAAGCTGCTGCAGAGGACCGTGGCACAATGATATCATACAACACAGGAAGTTAAGCATATTTGTTTCGAGGACTGTTGGTCCCCCCCTCATTCATTGATCTGTTTTCTTTCAAGATTTGATGTATACCTATTTACCTCTCTCTATTGGAATATATCGACATGGTCTCGTGATGAGCATGATTGCAAGGTATGAACAAGAAGGCCTGAGAGCCGTGCAACACCCCCTTGCCCCTGCTATAGATTAAACGAGACGGGGATCGTGGAAGAAAGCAGAACCTTGGCTGGAGATTTGGACCCGGCAAATGCTTTTATAAGAATAAAAGGGCAAAGGGAGCTTAGACCGCCGCCGTACTGCGTGGGGTCAAGCATCGACCTGTTGCCTGCCAGAGGATGCTGGAATGTCCAAATTCACCAACCAAAGCCTGGATTTGGTGATCCTGGGCTCTAGGGGGCACGCAGCTCTCAGAACCACCAAAACGCACAAGGAACGAGAAACGCAAGAAAGAAACCAAAGTTCCGAAATGCATAGGAGATTTGTAGGCAGCGTGCTTCCCCCACCTCGTTGGCGCTCTCCATCGGATGAATCATTGCAAGGAAAAGTCGTTACCTCGTCAAAACTTAGGCTGCGTCTCTCGAGTAAGATAGAACCGATAGCGCCTGGAGATCAGACGATGTCCCACACTTCCTCGGCGGCGTGGCAGAACTTGCTACAGGCCACACTGGCACTCAGACTATAGTTACTGATACTGATGGTGTCGTCCTTGAACGAGTCGGCAAAGTCGTCGTGTCCCTTAGCCATGGCTCCGACGAAGATACAGACGCTCTCCTTGGGGCCCAGCGATTCGATATAGTCCCGAGTGCGTACCACGGGGGCTTCGTAACTGAGGGTGACCTTGCGGCAGTTCGGGGGCAGGTGGTCGGTGATAGGGTTCTTGATCACCTTGAGCAGCTTCTCTTGCGAGTTGGTGGAGCGAATCGAGAGTCGGTGCAGCAATTGGACCATCAGACCGGCAAATCGCTTGAAAGTACGAGGAATGCGAACGCTGGGGTTCACTTCGATCAGGACACCTTTAGCGGTGTGAATGTAGATCTGAAGTTTACCGGCCTTGTTGACGGGCGAATCGAGGAGGGTGAGGAGACACTAGCGGCGGTGGTTAGCCTTCGGTTCTGAAAAAGACCCTAACTCGGACATGGGGAGGGATGAAGGACCGTACCTGATGGGTAATATCCGGTCGAGCCTCGCTGATGTCTCTGTTCATCTTGCGCATCACACCGATATGCTCGTCGCTGTTGAGCAAGGAGTATTTTTCATCACGGTTGGTGCCGCTGCGTCCGCCATGAGAGGCGCGGAAAGTTTCCAAGCTTGCATGAGACAGAACGACGATCAAACGCTGGGTCTCTTTATCGTGGGCGGAGATGGGGACATGTTGCTCGGCGACCAGCTGAGGCAGTTCGGGAGGAGGGCAAGACTGAGTCCCTGAGGGTCGAGCTTCGTTAGCATCCATGAGATGTTTCAAAAAAATCAAATCTTCGCCAAGCTGGAGGTATTTGCGCGATAAAGCTGCGGGTTTTTTTTTTGACGATCGCGAGGGGGGAGATTCAAGACGAGGGAAATGAATCTAATTGATGGAAAGGCGGGGGAGGGAAAAAGGTCCAGCCAGCCGGCTGTGGCACAGACGGACTGTTCCTTGGGACACACCCATGCAAACGATGCGAAGATTCCGTCGTACCATCGAAGACCCAATGTGGTGATGGGTAAGGGGACAGAGCAGGGCACAATGTGATAGATAGATCTCTTTCGCAGCTTGCATGCCAATCAATGGATAGAGTTGGTTTACTTACTGGCACGCTTTCTCTTTCCTGCTACTTGAACAGAATCCGACATAATGAACCGATGAACCAATTGAAGACTTTTTTATTCGAAGAATGGTATTATATGTAATTCGAGACTCGGGACCGATAAGAAGAATCGAGAGGAGATGAGACGGACGACGGACGATTGAGAAGAGCGACAAACGGTAATAAAGGAAGATCCGGAGAGGCGCAGAGAGAAAGGAAGCGGCTGCAGGATAAGCTGACAGTCGCAGGATGAGGGGATTTCAAGTGGGGATGTTTCTGCTTCGTCTTGTCTTTAAACCCCGGCAACTTTGAGTCTTATTTGAAATGAGACCCTCTCACTCTCTCTTTCACTTTCTCTATCCCGTGCAGGCGCAGTGCAGAAGGAGAGAAATGTTGGGGGATCGAACGGATTTGAAGGTTGAGTCGATTGCGCAGAAAACGGCAAGGAGGACGGAGGAGGAAAAAAAAAAAAAAAAAAAAAAAGACCGCCGAGCGACTTTTTCCGCCCGCAAAATCAATGAAATCGAATTCAATCAATCAATCCCCTTCCCCGTTCCTTCTTTCAATGGAAAGTCTCCGATCGGCGGCGACTTCTTTCTATTCCACTCCGTCGGCCATCTCTGCTTCCCCTCCATCTTCTTCCTCAGCAGCACCTGTCCATTTAGAGCGCACTTATGATTTCACGCTCCCACTTCTTCACACCCTCCCGTCCCAAATCCTACATTATCTATGCATCCAAGGACCGTTATGATTGATAGAATCAAGTCCGACCACTCACCCCCAAGATGAATATCCTGCTTTTCTGTTTCCTGCATTGTCTCACCACCATAGAGAGGAAATCGTGGCTTTCCATTTCCATTTCCATTTTCATTTTCGGTGACTGACTGAGACTGTTTACCCCCGTACAACTCTCTCCTTCCTATGAAACCATGGTTAAGGCACACGGAGTGACTCAAACACATCTCGTATTGCTCAAGTCCGCCGGAGTAGAATCGCCGTTTGTCATCCCCGAGCCAAACCCTACCTACCTGTTGGAAATCAGGAAAAGCTGGCTGGGCTGGAAATCAAGCAAGCGAACCCATCTCAAGCTGCGTTCGAAGCAA